CTTTTTGCTTTTTTGTTGTTGCTGCTGCTGGTGCTGAACCGCATTAGAAATTGCCGCTTTTGGCCTGTCGTCGCCGCCTGTCGTTTCGCCTCTCCTTTCGCCTGTCGTTTCGCCTCTCCTTTCGCCTGTCGTTTCGCCTGTCGTTTCGCCTCTCCTTTCGCCTGTCGTTTGGCCTCTCCTTTCGCCTGTCGCCGTCACCTCTCGGCGTCACCTGTCGCCGTCACCTGTCGTCTGGGGTATGTGATCACAGAACCCGGAAGTCAAGCAATATAAATATTAATTCTGTGCGATCTCTGTCATGCTCATCCTGCATGAGAAACTCCCGCCCGACTTGGTCAAAACTGGACGACTTTTGGTACTCATGCAACACAGATTTTTGCATGCTTCACATTTAGCATGACAAGTTGCATTCTTCCAGACCCAGACATTTTTACATTTGATATTTCAATGCACTCGTCGTCGGGGTATTTCTTCCTTTGTCCAGAGGTAATATTTCCTCGTCTTCATCTTCATTTTGTGCTTCTAGAAGTACACCTTCTTGCACGCTATGGAAGCGTCAGGATTGAAATCGTCAAAGTTGAAATAATTTCTCATGCATAAAATGCAAGGCATAAAGTGCCTCTCTTGCAGGGATAGCAAGTGAAGCCGACTGTCAGCCTGTTTGGGGTCTGCAACAGAGATGCTAAAGCAGCATGACAAAACACGCCTTCTGTCCCTAAACAGCATGAGAAACTGGATTTAGAAGGTGCCGAAATTTGTCATGCACCGCTTAGAAATTGGGCTTCCAACTGGTATCGATTTTATGCATCACAAGTTATTTCAACTTTGACGATTTCAAACCTGACACATCCATACACGCCGTCAAGATCATAAACATTTCCACTGGCTTTGCCGTGTAGTTCAACATCTGCGAATGTCGATCTGTGTACGCCTTCTAGAAGTGAAGAAAGTGTTGCGCGACGACCACTTCTTTCAGTATCCACACTTACTAGTTCTTCATCTACATCTTCCGGTAGTTTGTTTGATGTTTTTGTACCAGCTGGTACAACTGTCGTGGGTGAAACAAGGTTTCGCGTTGTCACCACTTTTTTCCTCTGCTTGTTCTGTCGGAGCAGGACGACTTTCACGGCGGTGACGGAGGAAATGGAAATAACTGGCGCCTTATTTTGGAACAACAACAGGAGCGACCAAGCAGCGTGGAACAACAACGCGAGCGGGTTGCTGTAACACGTCGGGATAATTTTTGTTGTTGGTCCTACACAAATAAAGTAATCCAAAAAGACTATTTGTCAGAAGACCGCTGGTCTGATGTTCCACGATGAAGATCCTTACTGTTTTGGTCCCGTTTGGACGCAAGAAGATGATCAAGATGATGATCAGATGATGATGTACATAGCACCTGTTTCAGCACAAGATGAAGATGTACTTTCGCAATGCACCGATGCAAGTGCATGAACTCAGTGGATTCATTTGGAACGTTGTACACCTCCACAGGCTTAGGAGTTGCAGAGCTGAAGGCTCTCAGAACACAAACAACACGCATGCGATCCCGCATGCTATGCACACTACGTATTCGCTTTCCAACCGTAATCACGTCGTGAGTTCGCACAACACAATGATCATGTCGTATATCCATCGAGGGATTCTGAGTGGCGTTCAGACACTATTTCTATCGCGCTCAAACTAATAAACAATGAATAGGCAGCACAAATAGGCGGAGCATTTTCACTGGGGGGTAAAGCTAAAGCAAAGGGAGAAGAAAACGAATAATTTTTTTCGCATGTAACTGGTCGTCTGTTGTGACCAGCACTACTTACAACTCGTGCGTCTGGGGCAGGTGAAACGTAGTTGGTATGCTCATTGGGTATCAAGCAACAGGCGGGTCTGAGAGATGCAATGCCCTGATCTTGTCGTGATGTCGTGTTTCATAGAGTTAGAGACGATGTTTCAAAAATTTGTAGATACAAAGACGGAATCCAGTTATAACGCAGTAGTTTAGGCAGGTAAACGAGAACCACACGACTGGTGAACGATTTCATGACCTCCGTTGCAATTATATAGGACGACACGACTAAACTGGACGAAAAAGAGAAACGCAACGGTGCACGACGTCAAACGAAGGCAATGTCTACTTCTTAATCTTATCAAAATGCGCAACACGACTGATAGCACAACGATCTTCGGAATTAATATTTGTTTTTCTCAATAATTCATTCCCCGTGATGAATGAAGAAATAAAATGGGGAATTTTAATGGGTGAAGTTGATGCTTGTCGCGCTCGCGACCCACCTCTACTTCCAGCGATGAAATGGAAGCAGATGAGAAGTACGACTCGCGAATACCGCTTCTGTCCAACATCTTTTGCAGCTACTTCGATGTGTAGCTTGTTTAGATGAGCTGCTGTAATCTTCATGTTATCCACGGGACAACTGAAGCAAGCGAGTGATGTAGAAGCTTTCTTCAACATGCAGTGCGAAGTGCAGAAACAGCATCTGAAGCAACGGGAGGTCGTGAGAACTACGGCGACCCCAAAAATCTCCTTGCGACAGGCGGCCAGCTGCTCCTCGTTCTCATCGTGTACTAGATCGTGGTGGTAGCTATATGCAACTCGAATTCCAGCCCATCAGACGCTGGCTCAAGTAGAAGGAGAAGCAGGAATAAACTACTAGTCGACGGTCGTGCTGACACCACGACCTCCAGGTAGCACGTTTTATTCGCTGCTTCCGTCCAGAAGCATTAACCTCCATCGCGTTAGTACATGATGCAGCTGGATGTCCTCGTCGTCGTGGCGGTGCACAGCATGATTGTAAAAACACCGTCGCAGCTCGTGATCACAAGTGTGGATGTTGACCTCGAAGTACTACGCATCACGTTATCACAACGTGTGGTTGTTGTAGTGGTCGTCGTGCTGGTTGTTGTCGTGGTTGTAGTTGCGGGTACGGCCGTCGAGGAAGATGTTGTAGCTGCGCTTAGTTCATCTGCATTATGGGGTTCTCAAACGTTACGTGCTCACGCTCAGCTCTTTATAATGCAAAACTGCCACAAGCAGCCATACAATCAAGGTCTTCTCGCATGGCAAATTCTCGAAGGGCTAAACAGCACGGGAACAATCCGTTCCAGATTTGTAGTGCAAAACGCGCAATCTTCCCGCTTTCGCTTTTGCTGTTTTAGCATTACAAATCCATGTAACAGTTGAGAATGTAACGTTCGTTGAGAGCGCCATATGCGTCATTGTCTCCGTCTGCCTGTTCCTCCAAGGCGGTCTTTTTGCGCAGCGCGGCAAAATCCACTACAACTGTTGGGGATGAACTAGTGCCGGCGCCTCTGCCTCCAGTATTATTTTATGAACTGCAAAAGCATCGTACTCGTATAAATGCATTACAAATTTCCTCCGCATGAGAGAGAAAATCTGTAATGTTGATTTACCTCGAGAAAAAGATTTGTAATGCATGATTGTAATACGAGTACTATACTTTTGCACAGGATATATTTGCACCAGTAACGTCTCCCGACTCCATAGGCGCGGGTAGGATGGCAGTCGTGACACCATCGGAGGACGGTGGAGGTGGATCTACCGCTGAGTCATCTTCTAGGAGGTGGCTGTCCTCGTCGGGGCCACATTCTAGTAGAGCGGAGGAGCTGGAAGGTGTACTTGTAGTTTTGAAAGCACTCGTCGTGGTATTTCTTTCTTTGTCCAGAGGTTCCTCGTCTTCATTTTCATTTTGTGCAGCTTCTAGTACACCTTCTTGCAGCACGCCGTGAAGATCATAAACATTTTCACTGCCCTCGCCGTGTTCAACATGATCTGCGGGTGATCTAGTACTGTGTACGCCTTCTAGAAGTGAAGAAAGTGTTGCGCGACGACCACTTCTTTCTGTATCCGCACCTACTAGAAGTTCTTCATCTACATGATCTTCCGGTGGTTTGTTTGATAATTTTGCACCAGCTGGTAAAACTGTCGCAGCTCGTGATCACAAGTGATGTGGATGTTGACCTCGAAGTACTACGCACCACGTTATTTTCACTCCCATGTCCTCGCCCGTGTCCCATCATGTCGCCCGGTCGCGACCGGGCCGGAATTTGATATGCGAAGATGAGAATGAGCGTCTAGTTATTTCAACATAGCGCCAACATGATTGACGGCGTTGCTATCTAGTTTGATTTCAAGGAATGATTTTTACGTAAGTAACGCTAGCTACGTATGAGTCTAGGTTGTAATGATCCAAATCTGATAATCATACTCTGTTGCGACGAGGTTGTTCACCGCGAAGCTTATGCTTCACCTTTCCTGGCTTCTATCCTGTTCTTGGGTCGTCTTCGTTCTGCCCCAGGCCCAGCAGCGCGACGCCGACGTCCTCGCAGGAAGATCTTCCGCACCACAAAGTCTTCTTGGCAGGACGAGCAGGAATCAAGAGCCAGCTCCAGCTCCTCGGTTGACAAGTGCGAAGAGAACGGGCTCCAATTTTTCCTGGCTCCTGACGGCGCAGAGGACCTACAACTCCAACTGCTCGCTGTGACTCTCTAATATTTCACCTCGTGCACAAAGCAAAGCTGCGTGTACAACTAAGTACAGCTGCAACGACCACGATCTCCAACCGTACTGCAGGATGTTCTTGAGGAAAAAATGCAGTCTCGAAATAATTGCCGTTTTCCAAATCGTCCGTTCTTGACTGGCTCACTCCCTTCGAGGACGAGTGGCAGGTCCTGGTTGACGACAAACGGCCGCAAAGTCCTCCTCGCGGTTGTGGTTTTTATCGTGCGATACAGCAGCAGTTGACGAACAAAGTTGTCGAGTGTAAAGATGGGGAGGTCCTCCGGGTGTCGTCGGTCGTGGGTGTGGAGTAGTAGAGTATGCGTATGGATATGGAAGATTATTGTTACAACTAAGAAATAAGCTTTCACCTGATTTCTCTTCCCTAAAGCGCTTAGCAGCTAAGGCCTTTATGAGGATAGTAGTTCATCTTGGCTCAACATTCCGTGAATTTCTTATAAATTTGTTCCCTTGATGCTCCACCGCTATAATTTTTAGGCGGTCTTTTTCTTAGTGCCACGACGAGGATGAACAGCTATGTGAAGATCTTCTTTTGAAGGCGAACGATAAAAATTTGATGCTAAGTATACCTGGTTCCGCCGGGTACAGCTGTCGTTTTTGTAGTGCGTTTTGCCATATCCTGTGCAAAAGCATCCTACTCGCACAATATTATTGCATTTTACATCAAATTGAAATTTGCTCAACGTGAGGACAAAGTCATGCAGATTTCGCTATAGGAGAATTCTCCCCATGCGGTATTGCAATAATTGGTACGAGTAGCACACTTTTGCTGTATGCATATCCCAGCTAGAAATCGCGTACCCTGTCTTATCCGTGGGCGCCTTGCAGCCCAAGCGACAGCAATTTCCGTCTTGCTTACACTGCGTCACGCCATCGGCCCGATTGTTGCACCAATTTATGGAGTCATACGGCGTTTGGGGCGCTGTCCCGGCGTATGCATCGCAAATATGTCTGGGTCTGGAAAGTAGATGCAAGGTTTGTCATGCTTGGCTAGCATGACTCTTAAGTCTGTCATGCGCGTGGTGACCGAAGCCCGCCACTTTTCTCTCATGCAGAAGCTCACTTTGTCATGCAGAATAGACAAGACTGTAGACTGTACCAAAACTTGTCACGCTCAGCAGTCAATTGGGGTTTTCTCCTCTTTCTCAACCAGCATCACAAGTTTCCAGACCCAGACACGTTTGCATTTGATACGGCGGCATTGAGGAGCAGCCTATCCTGGAAATAGGCTTTGGAACTGCTGTATGCAATACAAATTTCCTGTAGACAACGCACAAACTGCATGACAAATTTTAGTACCAAGCTGGACAGCATGCCACTTGTCATGCTGAATAGGATTGGAAGAAAAGTTTGTCATGCAGAAACCACATTTGTACGTCGTGTGTGGGAATAAATTTACTGTGGATATGCTATCCTTGTACAAACAAGCCACGTGCTTGCACATCGGCCAACACCAGCGGTTCTCGTAATATTGCCCATCTCCCTTGTCGCTGGTCTCCCACAGGTGCCGCAGACCGGGTTCGTAGGCCTGCTGTCCGTCGTCGGTAGCGGGCACTATGCGGACGTGGTTCATATTGGCCGTGCAGGAAGCGCTATGAACCGCAAAAGCATAATTGCACTAGGAGTGATTGCAATACAAATTTTTAGCTCAGCATGACAAATCGAATTTGTCATGCTGATTGAGCTTGGAAAGAAGATTTGTCATGCATAATTTCGACAACTACCACTACGACGAGCACGACACTTTTACAATGCATAAGCGCAGCGCTCGGCGTGCGGCGCCGGACAGGAGTGGTCATTCATCTCCGTACCACCCGTGCACTTACACTTCGGCACGCATATCGCAAGAAAAAACTGTTTCACTGTAAACTTGTAATGCAGAAAAGGTATCCGAGAAATGTTTCTCTTGCTACACATGCATAGAACATTGGATTTTTAGCTGTGTTTTCCCTTAGCAATCTCGCACGGCAAATTTTCTCTGTGATGTAGAACAAACTTGTGATGCACAACTTGCAAAATCCTTACAGTGAAACACTTTTTTCGTATGATAACGCACCCGTCCGGTTCAATCGTGATGCGATTCTCGGGCCCGGTGCACCGGAGCCTGGGGGCGGTCTTCGTGACGAAATCCCCCGCGTTGCACTGAAACTTGAAATTTGCAGCGTTGTAGTTCGTCAGATCGGTCGCCGATTTGAAGGCCGCGCCGCTTTCTGGGTACAGGCTAGGGTCCGACAGCAACTCCGTCCAGTTCGGGTATGAGAGTGCACGACTCCCCCTCCCCCTCATTTGTATTGCATGAAGAGCTGCAATACAAACACCAGCACACGTGGAGCCTGTACATGAAAAATTCATGCACCTAGTGCAGTACTGTTTGGGCTTCTGGAATCTTGTCATGCAAACAGTGCCACAGGGAAGCGAAGCGAAGCACTTGGGTTTGGGGTTTTGCATGACAAATGAGGGGGAGGGGGTGGAGTTGTGCATTGTCATATCGGGAAAACGTCAAACATAGCTTTCACCCAAAGATGTTCCGGCTCTTGGCAGCTGCGGATACAACAGGTACTGACTATGACCTGCTCAAGCGCTACAATCTCAAACGTTACTTACAATAGAGTCGCGGTTTTGTATTGCATGATGAGCATGACAGACTCGGACAGCATTCCGCTTTCTGCAATACAAATTTCCCCAGATTGTGCTGCGGATTGGGACTCCCGAACTTATCAGCGCAGTCCTATGAGAGTTGGCTAGAAGATAATGCACTTTTTGCAACACAAGTTCCAGATTCTATTGTAACGTTTGAGATTGTAAAAACACCTGAGCAGGTTATACTGACGTCCGCAGCATTCTGAATGTCGCAGTGGTTCGTTTGACACTGCAGCGCCGAAGTCGGGTTTCGCTTTTGCAGGTACCCTGTTAAGCCACCGTGGCAGTCCAGCGCCGAGGCCGTGCACGCCTCTTTCTGAATTGCAAAAATGTCTGGGTCTGGAGGATGAATGCAGATTTTTGTCATCCTGTTTTTGCATGACGCAAAATGTCGGTCATGGAAGCCCTAGCATCACAGATTTCGAGAAGCTTCCGCATTGCTTAATCCGCATGACAAATCCCCCATTTTGGTGACAGGAAGTGGGCACCTTTTGCTGCCTATGCATGAGAGATTTGTCTGTGCTGTGAAATGCGCATCACAAGTTCGCATTCTTCCAGACCCAGACACTTTTGCAATGCATACTCTTTACAGCCCTGCAACTTGATCAAGCCGCCCTCGCTTGGACACTGCATCTGCACCGTGCTCGAGACCCCCTGGGGCTGGTGCGATGTTGCACAGGAAAAAAAGTCATCGCTGACAGTGTGTATGGATGTGTCAGGATCGAAATCGGCAAAATCGAAAAATTTGTGATGCGCAAAATGTAGGGCACTGAAGGCCTGTATTGGGGAGCAGGTAAATGAGACCGATTGTAGGCCTGTTTAGGGGTATGCAATGTGCTGCCAGAGTAGCATGACAGGAGGAGTCTTCTTTGCCCAAAGAAACAGCATGACAGAATGGATTTCGGTGCTTCCGAAGTTTGTCATGCGCCACTTGGAAACTGAGGCTCCAACTGGCATCGATTTTGTGCATCACAAGTTTTTCGATTTTGTCGATTTCGATTCTGACACATCCATAGTGTGCCAGGTGGTCGTACTAGTAGGCCGCCCCCGATCGCCCGAGGCTTGCAGGATGGGCTTCCAAGTCTCGCGGTCTGTCGCAAGAGGCGCTTTGAATACGTATCCGTACAGCATTTCGGTCTTTGTCGTGCCCTCGGGATACCGGCACACCTGCTGACAGCAGTCGTTGTCGCGACACCCAGTGTCGCTCTGCGGCACGCGCGTGGTGCAGTAGCCGTTATCGGTCGGGTTTTTCGTTCGCATGTAGAAGGAGGTGGACCCGTGCCCGTCTCCCTGGTAGAACTCATTTTCGCAGTCGATCGAATCGCAGCTCGCCCAACAGCCGTCATTTATGGAGTTCTCAAATCAGTATACATTCTCAACTGTGTTAAATGCGAGAATGGAAAAAGTGAAAGGAGGCAGATTTTTGCGCCTTTTGCGTTACAGGCTTGGCGGGACGAATTCTAGTGCTATTTAGCGCATCGAGAAGTTGTCACGCAAAGAAGGCTTGAGGATCGTGTGAAGAGAGATAGTGTTTTTGCATGACAAACCATGTAACACCTGTCGAGAATGTAAGAACGTTTGAGAACGCCATATCATTTAGCCCGGTTTTGTACTGTGCGTCCTGTCCCGCCTATCCAAGAAAAAAACATTGTAGCTGTAACTTTTATTTTGGAGAAACAGCATTACAAATTTGTCTGGCATGACAGCAATAACCTGTCGCGCGCAGATAGTACGTGAAAACGGCCTAGAATACACCTTGCGATGCATGCCAAGCATGACAGACGCAATCATCTTGCATGTTGCGCATCACAAATTTACACTAACAACGTTTTTTTCTTGGACACCGCCCCTGCGCACGTGAGCGACGGATTCGGGCCGCGGTAGTCCGGGGTGTTGCACTGTATTGCGCTGCTATGAACTGCAAAAGCATCGCACACGCACTAGTATAAGTTGTATCACAAATTGGCTTAGCATTAGTGATAATGCGGATTTGCCTTAACACAAAGATTTGTAATGCATATTAAATGCAATTAGTACGAGTACGCTACTTTTGCAGTGCATAGCTGCTCTTTACCCACCCGGGTGAGTGTCCAGGGTCCATGGCCGCGGATTGTAACGCACTTGACCAATTCACGACGTAGGACGCGTCCGTGCTGCTTGGCTCCTTGCAGCCCGCGTTACAACAGGTGTCGCGGTCCCCGGTCCCGCCACAAACAGTGCTCGAACACTGGCCGGGGGTGCCGTGCTTCACAAAGTACTTTCCGTGCTGTCCCACCGGAAAGGTCGCGCAGAAAACGCCCGTGCACGTTTGCGCGCAACAGGTATCGTGGTCGGTCAGGCTCCAGGTGTGGCCACCCGTGGAGAAATACCGGTTGGTTGTAGACGTGATGGGATCGTCGAACCAAGTGTCGGGACCGGCGAAAAGCGCCACGCCATTCAGTTTGATGCTGCTCAGACACAACCCGTCACTAGTGCTGTGGTCAATGTTTAACGACTGCACAAAGCTACCCGCATACCCCATATTCACACTCGCGGTGCGCTCCTGATTTTTGTTGTTGAAGTTCAAATTTACTGAGAAGCCGTTTCCAATTTTGTCCTTAAGTTTGACCACCAGATTTGCGCTTGATTATCAAGTGCAAAAATGTCTGGGTCTGGAAGAATCCAACTTGTCATGCTAAATCTGAAGCATGCAAAAATCTGTGTTGCATAACGACCAAAAGTGGTCCAGTTTTCACCAAGTCGGGAGGGGGTTTCTCATGCAGAATAGGCATGAGAGAGATCGCACAGCACCTGTCATGCTAGGTCGTGCATTCCAGACCTCGTGGGCCATGGAAAAGCTGCATGACAAATCGCGCATTCTTCCAGACCCAGACATTTTTACATTCCATATTGATTGCGCGTTGTTGATGTTGCAGGATTTTGCTGCGACGGAGAGGTTATCAAATGCAAAAGTGTCTGGTTCTGGAAGAATGCAAGCTTTCCCATGCATATTTCTCATGACCCATGATGCCTGTAATGCATGACCCAGCATCGCAGACTTTTAGAGGGCTTCCTGATGCACCTTCCGCATGACAAATGCCCTGTCAGTCCGTGTAGCACAAATTGTGCCCCTCTTGTTGCTGGTCACGCAATACAGATTTTTGTAGCATCCAAATTCAGCAGCACAAGTTGCACCCTTCCAGACCCAGACATTTTTGCATTTGATAGAGGTTAGGACCTTCGAAGATTCTACAGTCCGCGGTCGCGCAGAGGAGGTGTGACCGTGACGGTTTATGAATATGTGCAAAAGCATTGTATCGTACTAGTAGTGCAAAAATCGCAATACAAATTACGTAGCCCCCCAGCATGAATTTGTCATGCTACTTTGACTTGGAAACAAGACGACTTGTCTTGCATGACTGCGATTACAACTACGAGTGCGATACTTTTGCACGGGATACGCTTTCGGCGTGTACGACTGCCCGCAGTTGGTATCAAATGTAAAAATGTCTGGGTCTGGAAACTTGTGATGCTGGGTGGCGTCTCATGATGAGGCTACAAATGCTGGCTCAGCATGACAAGTTTCTGAGTTCCTAGGTGTTGCCTATTCTGCATGACAAACTGCGCTTCTGCATCACAGAAAAACGCAGTTCTTGGGTAACGTGCATGACAGATTTAAGAGTCATGCCAGACAAGCATGACAAACATGAATTCTTCCAGACCCAGACATTTCTACAGTTGATAGTTGGTCACCGCGTCGCAACTCTGCCGACAGCACTGGTCCACGTCGCGGACACGTTCCGAGGTTGAAACATAGTACTTCATCGGCGTGCAGAGATTGTCACTACAAAGCAAGTTCTGCAGGGCGGGATCTCCAATCGGTTTCACGCGACTAAACATGGGAAGCAGCACGCAACTGTGATAGTCGTCCGTGCGTTTCATGTAGTCAGAGTGAAACCAGTCCTCGATGGTGCCCACGTTGTTTAGCGCCTTGCATTCCGGCGGGTCGGTTTGCGCAATCTGTTTGGTACTCTTGGTCAAGCGACAAGACGCACCCCGCCGTCCGGTGGGGGAGTTGCATTTGCTGCAATACCCGCTTTCGTTGCAGGTGCTCCAACTTTCCATCGGCCTCGTTCCACAGCCCGAGCACACAGGGGTCTCGATTGGCGCATAATCGTCGGAGCACATTTGTTTCGCGGTGGGGTGCCGGCACGTCATTCTACAGCACCTCTGCTCGTCGGCTGCTTGTGCGGCGCTGGCGGTCAACGTTTATCAACTGTAAAAATGTCTGGGTCTGGAAGCACAAGAATGCAAGATTTGTCATGCATATTTCTCATGACCCATGATGTCTGTAATGCATGGCCTAGCATGACAGATTCTGTGCGATCTCTCTCATGCCTACCCTGCATAGGAGACTCCCTCCCGACTTGGCCAAAACTGGACGACTTTTTGCAATCATGCAACACAGATTTTTGCATGCTTCAGATTTAGCATGTCATTCTTCCAGACCCAGATGACATTTTTACGTTTGATAACGTTCCCGCTTCGGCAAAGCCGCCGACCCGGCACTTGTGCCGCGAGCAGTACTGGTTTGGAATGACAGCAAATATCCTATGTAAAAACGTCCCCACCCCATCGTCTAGACAAATCCACAAGCTTTGGCTGTTTCGCATGACAAATTTGGACGCGTAGTGTAGTGCTGTTTCAGCTAGTTCAGCAGCATTACAGATCTTATTCTCTCATGCTGATTGGAGCATGACAAATTTCAAAACAGCATTAGAAAATGCTTCTCATGGGGCCCCGCATGAGAAACATTTTAAGCATGCAGATTTGCATGACAACTATGGTGTGGGGACGTTTTTACACAGGATAGCAAACCCCCCTGCTTCAAGAGGGCACGCGTTTGCCAGCGTGCATTTCTCATGACAGTGGAACAGCGCAACTTTCCCCTCCTTGCTTGCGCACTGCCCCGAAGGGCTCTTCCCAGGCGGCAAGGTGTGCGTGGAGGAGACACAGGATACATAAGTTGCCACCGACTTCCAGTTGCCGTCCGGGGGGATATCATATGCAAAAATGTCTGGGTCTGGGAGATTGCGAGATTTGTCATGCTAGTCTGGCATGACTTTTAGATCTGTCATGGACGCTTCCAAAGAGCCCCATTTTGCTGTCATGCAGAAACGCAGTTTGCCGTGCAGAATAAGCAACACCTGTAAGCTCAAAAGCGTGTCATGCTGAGCCAGCATCTGTGGCCTCTTCATGATACGCCACCCAGCATCACAAGTGTCCAGACCCAGACACTTTTACAATCCATAGGGGAGAGCCAGCGCTAATTTCTTCCAATTTTGCCCGGCGTTCAGTTGGTACCCATGTTTATCTCCCTGGGCAACTTCGCAGCCTTTCTCGCAGCAGGTGTTGAGGTCGCTGTTGCCGCAACTGTACAATCCTGTGCAAAAGTATCGTACTCGTATTGCAATCATGCGTCTTTATCTCAAGGTAAATCCGCATTACAAATTTTACTTCTCATGCTGAGGAAATTTGTAATGCATTTATACGAGTACGATACTTTTGCAGTTCATATGTACCCACCGCACTTGGGGGAGCCAGACTTGACAAAGTACGCGCCATCCGCGCCTATCAAATGCAAAAGTGTCTGGGTCTGGAAACTTGTGATGCTGGGTGGCGTCTCATGATGAGGCTACAAATGCTGGCTCAGCATGACAAGTTTCGGAGCTCCTATGTGTTGCCCATTCTGCATGACAAACTGCACTTCTGCATCACAGGAAAACGGAGCTCTTGGGTAACGTGCAGGTGCATGACAGATTTAAGAGTCATGCCAGACAAGCATGACAAACGTGAATTCTTCCAGACCCAGACATTTTTACATTTGATAGCGCCCCACGTGTAGCCATTGCAGAACGCTTGGTCACAGCGCTTCACTATGCATTGCAAATATCGATCTGGGTCTGGAAGACTGCCAGGTTTGTGATGCTTATTCTGCATCACGACCCACGGAGCCTGTAATGCATGACCTAGCATCACAGATTTTTAGAGGGCTTCCTGATGGTTATTCCGCATGAGAAATGCCTTCTCCACGGGACGTAGCACAAACTGGACTCATCTTGCTGGTCATGAGGCAATACAGATCTTCATCTTTTTACAAGGCAAAGACAGCATCACAAGTTGGATCCTTCCAGACGCCCAGGGTGGATATTTGCAGTTGATATTCACACAGCACCGCTGGTTGTCGCTGCTGGAACAGCTCTTACTGAGGCACGAGATGTCCGAGGCGCTGGGACTGCGCGCGTAGCCCGCGGGGCAGCTGTGGTCGTCGCACATCTCGTTTTCCACGCAGCAAATGGCGCGGTCGTTCTCGTTGCACGTTGCCCCCTGGCAGTAATGTGGCGCTCTCAACTGTTACATTCTCATCTGTTACATCATTTGTGATGCAACAATGGGAAGAATGAAAGGGCGGGCCTTGCGCGTCTTGCATGACAGATTTGGCACAGACTATCAGCCTGTTTGGCCTTTCCAGAATTTGTCATGCGGAGCAGCTTAATGGTGTAGATGATAATGGTACTTTTGCATGACAAATCATGCAACAGTTGAGAATGAATGTAACAGTTGAGAACGCCATAAGTAAGAGTTACCGTTCTGGTTTGTGTACTTCTTGCCGTTTTTGTCGCCGCACCCAAAGGTCTTGCATTGTGCGTTTCGGTTGCAACACAAGGCGAGGTCTCTGGAATCGCTGCACGCGTTCGCCCAGCAGCGATAATTGGCCCGCGCGGCGTCGTAATGCCATCCGGCGCTGTCACATCGGCCGTGGTCACTGTTGCCCTGAGAGCATTTCGGAGTATGTTGGCAACACCTCTCTTTGTCGCTGCTGTGATCACAGTAGTGATTCGTGCAGAGGGTCTTCGCTATGAACTGCAAAAGTATCGCATACGCATTCGTATAAATGCATGACAAAAACAAAATCCCTCAGCATGAGAAATAAAATTTGTCTTTCGGATTTGCCTTGAGAAAAAAATTTGTAATGCATAATACGCGTACGATACTTTTGCACAGGATATCCGCCGAGTCCTTATTCATCCACCCGCGGCCCCACTTGTTGCTACAGCCGTCCGGGTTACTACCCCCCTGGTCGTGAGTGTATTTGCATTTGTTGTTTGCGTGGCAGCAGGCATCTCGATCGCCGCTGTTGCTCAAGTTGCAGTTTCCTGGTGCCTGCGTGGCGCAGTTCTTGCTTGACGGGGTACTTTTCTTCCGGTACCCCCGCGGGCAGTTGCCGGCCTCGGAACACTTCTCGTAGCACCCACTAAGCACCAGGTTGGCGTTTGCCGAAGGACACCGGTATTTGGCCGTTCCGCGGTACTTGCTGGAACACTGAAAAAGGACACTGTTGGTCCCCGTGGTTCTATCCACGAACAAAACTGTGTTAGTGTACTTAATTCTCTTTGGCCGACAGCATCACAAATTTGCTACACATTGTGATGCGTGGCTTGTAAGGTTGGTTCCTAAACCCTGAAACCTAAACAAAACCCTTACCCTTTCTGGATCGATCTTGAACAGCAGATGAGGGTGGTGGCTGGATCGAAGGTGAGACGGTCGCGACGGTAGCCATCCCGTGCCGGCGACGGTTGGCCATGCGTGGCTTGTAAGGGAAAACATCACACATGAAAAGAGGACTCCATGTTTGTCTGGCATGACAGGTGTAACACTGTTGCATGTTTTGCATGACAGATTTACACGACTAACACAGTTTTTTTCTTGCATAGGTTCGTGCCGCGCTTCCCGGAAAGGCGGCCGTGGACTGCCCTGGGTCGACCAGTTTAGTCCAGAAGGTGTTTTTGTAAAATTATCCTGAAAAAAGACATCCCCGACCCATAGTCAACAAGATGGGAAATCTGCTAGACAAACCAACAAGCTTTGGGTGTTGCGCATGACAAGTTTGGCCTCGTAGCGTAATACTGTTTTAGGTAGTTCAGAAGCATCACGACAGATCTAGCACGTCATGCTGATTGGAGCATCACAAGTTCCGAAATTATACCAATCGAAAATGCTTCTGATGGGGCTCCGCATGAGAAACATTCTCAGCATGCGGCTTTGCATTACAGCTACGGGGTAGGGACGTTTTTACTCAAGATAAAGTTCCCGCATTGTTCCCGATGAAATAGGCAAAGCCAGAGGCAGAGAAGGAGCTTATCCTGTGCAAAAGTATCGTACTGGTAGTATTAATTATAATTTACAATCATGCAATTACAAAATTTTATCCCAAGGTAAAACAGCTTCACAAATTCCATTTCTTGTCATGCTGAGCTAATTTGTAATGCGATTACCACTAGTACGATGCTTGTGCAATTCATAGAGCTTGGGATCTTGCACTTTTGCAAGCAGCAGGTTCCCCGGTCGCCGTTCCCGCTGCAGGAGGTCGCGGACGCGCACTGGCTGTTCACTTTTCCAGGGTCCGCAAAGTAGTTGCTGCCGCAGTTCATGAGCGCACAGGTCGCGTGGCAGTTCCGGAGCTGCAGCGAATAGCCGGCGCCCGCGCATTTGTACTCGGGTCCGCTCCCCAGGGACTTGAACCCCGTGCCGCACTGTAGCCCTCCGCCCTGCCACCCCTGCCGCGCAAAGCCGTCGTCCCCCGGTCGCGCGGCGTGCGTTTGGTATGAAAGTACACAACTCCCCCTCGTTCTCTTTTCTCATGCAAAATCCCAAATCCAATTGCAATTGCTGCCTTCTTGTCCTTGTGGCATTGTTTGCATGACAGATTCCGGAAGCCCAAACAGTAAGTACTACACTTCGCTCATGAACTTGTCATGCGCAGTCTGGATGTGTGCTGGTGTTTGTATTGCAGTCCATAGCATACATATGACTATGAGGGAAGGTTGTGCACTCTCATATTTGGCCCCGGTGCGTCAAATGGGTCCAGGAGGACACGCCGGACCCTGATTTCCACGCGTACCCTATCCTGTGTAAAAACGTCCCCACCCCATAGTCAAGATGGGGACTTTGCAACACAAACCTAGAAGTTTTGGGACTCGTCACGCATCACAAGTGCCAGTCCGTAGTGTAGTGCAGGCTAGCAAGGACACACGCATCACAAATCCATCTGCTTATCCTGGTTACAGCATTACAAATGCCAAAACACGAATAGAAACGCCTCGCATGGAGATACGCATCACAAATGTTCCTGTCATTGCAAATCTGCATCACAACTCTGGGGTGGGGACGTTTTTACAAATGATATACCCCGTGCTCGAGTTAGGGCCAGTGCACTTCTGGACGCAGCACGTGTCGCGGTCCTCCTCATCGTCGCACTGGTGCGAGGAGCATGCCGCGGCCCAGTTATGCTGTGCAAAAGTATCGTACTCGTAGTAATCGAAGTCATGCATTACAAATCTCCTTCTTAACCTAAATCCGCATTACAAATTCCATTTTTCATGCTGAGGGAATTTGTCATGCGATTTCTACTAGTACGATGCTTTTGCATTTCATACCAGTCTGTCGACGGCCAATCGGACCCGCACATCCCGTCGTTGGTGCGCATCAGCGTTTGGCTTCGGCACGCGTCGGTCATTTTCAGATAGTGGCGGTCGCCCGCGGTGCGACGGTCAATGAAGCCGCTCGTCGGAAAGGCGCCCTTTTTCGTCCAGGTGTAGCCGGAGTTCCCCTGATTATGAACGAGATGCGTGCATTTATGACTCCCGCTTTCCCGTTTCGCGCAATTGTCGCGGCCCTTGCTGAACGAACCAGCCACCCCGCCATGAGGAATATATCAAATGTAAAAATGTCTGGGTCTGGAAGATTGGAACTTGTGATGCTAACTTTGGACTCTAGAAAAATCTGTATTGCATGACCAGCAAGAGGAGTCTAGTTTGTGCTACGCCGCGGGGAGGGCGTTTGTCATGCGGAGTAGGGATCAGGAAGCCAGCTCAAAATCTGTGATGCGCGGTCGTGCATTACAGACATCCTGGGTCATTGAAAACATGCATGACAAATCTCAGAATCTTCCAGACCCAGACATTTTTACATTTGATAGAATATCTGACCCGCTTTTGTCGTAATACATTTTCAAAACGCACTGGTTAAAATTGGCCGTGTTATGGAAGCGTCATGATTGAAATCGTCAAAGTTGAAATGCTTTGCCATGCAAAAAATGCAGCCCACAAAGTGCCTGTCTTGCGGAGTAGGCAAGTGACGCAGATTGTAAGCCTGTTGAGGGGTAGCAACTGAGCTGCTAAAATAGCACGACAGGAGCAGAAGTCTTCTTTGACGAAACAGCATGACAACCTGGATTTCGGCTCTACCCAGATTTGTCATGCGCCACTTCGAAACTGGGTTACAACTGGCATCCATTTTATGCATGGCAAATCATTTCAACTTTGTCGATTTCAAACCTGACGCTTCCATACGTGTCGCACCGCTCGTAGCAGCCGCGGAGAACGAGCGACCCGGATATCCTGTGCAAAAGTATCGCACTCGTATGAATGCATTACAAATTTCCCCAGCATGAGAAATGAAATTTGTCATGTGGATTTACATGAAGAAGCAAATTTGTAATGCATGAATGCAATTACTACGAGTGCGATACTTTTGCAATGCATATCCGAGCTCGCCGGGCAATTGTAGGAGGGCGTGTCGGAGCGGTGCGTCAGGTGGCATATCGTACAGAAAAAAGCTGGCACTTGTAAAATGCAAAAAATGAATGGCAGAAAATGGTGTCATGGGCGAGCCCAGCATAGAGTGCTTTTAGGGTATGCAGTACAGATTTTTCTGTGTTGTGTAGTTTCAGTTTGTTATTTTTGCATTACAACATGTACTATGTAGCCTGCCTGCTTGTTTCTGTGGGATATGGCAGAGGAGTTGCGAAGAGGTCTGCCACCCGTCCCCGGGCGCTGCCCGGTCACTTTGCCCGCACTGGTAGAACCTCACGTAGGCCCGGGGCTGCACCACGGTCGTCAGGGCGGTGCCCCCGTAGTTGCTTTGTTTCTCGTAGCGGTAGCCGTACTTTGCGGCGGTACTCGGGTCGCTACACTCGGCGACCTCGCAGCACAGGTCCCGATCGGCCGTATTGCCAGCAAGGTTGCACCTGGGCCGTCCGTCGCACTGTGATGTGAACGTGGTGGTCCTTTTTTTGTAGCAGCTGGGGCAGTATCCACACTGCAAATATGTCTTGATGAGTCATCTCGATCTAGAAAAATGAAAACTTGTAATGATGGAGCTTCCTTTGCAGGGCTAGAAGTTCAGCCACAAGCATATACAAATTTCAGCTGAGTCGCCTTTTCATCATGCGTAGCGGGCATTTATTTTTACAACTGTGTTTCTAATTTCAAATGACGAAAGAGGTCACGCTGTAATTGTTAATCATGCAACACAGATTTTGCTGATTGTTGTAATCAAAATCATGCAGCAAAGATGATTTAAGCGCATGTGTATCAGTTCAACTGGTCCCGCGGTTCAACAATGTGCCTACCAGTTCAATACCGCCCCGGGGCCTAAATATCCTAGAACAAACAGGGCATTTGATATGTTCGACGCCAAAAGAATATGCAGGTAGGGGAAGTTGTAGGGGGGGCGTTCCTGACCCAAAGGCACGCTCCTGATCTCTCTGGTACTTACTCGACCCGGGGGGTCAGGTATCACCTGACCCCCGGTTCGGGTCTGTACCTGCAATGCCGCAGCGCCGTCGTTTTAGATGGTGCTGCGGCACAGCATCGCACACCGTGACTGATGGGCGCCACAGGTCTCAAGCCCAAATCTACTGTCACTACAGAAAAGAGTAGCCATGTTGACTGCGATCGGCCCTAGCGTTCGACCGCTTTCTGTTTGAAACCAGCACCGCGCGCACAGCTTCGGTCTTCGTGCGCCCATTGATCGGAAGCAGCGTCCCTAAATCCTACGACCGCCAGCCGTCCCACCGTAAACAATAGTCGCGCAGCGCCTCGCGCCTCACAAACCAAAATCGCGCGCGCGCGCGCCAAAAGACAAGACCTTGCGGGGCTTGTTGTGCCTCCTCGCGGGCCTTTTTTTTCGCGCTCTCTTTTTGTTTATATTTTATTCTTTGGCGGCTTTTTTACTACTTTTTTTTTGCCCGCCTCGGGCGCTTCGTTTTTTCTCATGTCGGCACTGCAGCCGCACACGTCGGCGCAGCACTGCTTGTGCGGAGTGAGTGTTGGCCCGACCTTCTCCCGTGCGCATACTTTTTGCGACATATGGCGCCCGCAAGATATGCTCTGTAGCTCATCGGGATTCTTTTCTCACGTTGCCTGCTCTTTTTTCGGGGTTTGGCACGTGCACTACGTATGGTTCTGTTCTTTTTCGTATGCCCTGAACCTTCACGAACTAGTTCGTGAACTGGGGTACACTCTCGAACCGATTCACATGCAAACCAAGCGTATACAGAACTTCATCCAGCGTCTTTCCAGAATGTGAATGAACAACTTCCACCAGACATATTTGCATTGGATAGGCAGTTATCAAATGTAAAAATGTCTGGGTCTGGAAGAATCCGAACTTGTGATGCTGCATTTGGATTCTAAAAAAATCTGTACTGCATGACCAGCAAAGGGAATGCAATTTTGGCTACGCGGAGAGGGCATTTGTCATGCGGAATAGGTATCACGAAGCCCTCAAAAAGTCTGTGATGCTAGGGCATGCATCACAGACATCGTGGCCCATGCAAAACGTGCATGACAAGCTTCAGAATCTTCCAGACCCAGACATATTTGCATTTCATAGCAGTCTGTATAGGGGTCGTCGCACTCTCCGAACTCAGGGTTTTTGCAGTGCGTGAGCTATCCAAAATAAAGACGCTCCCACCTCAGTAGAGTCGTCATGCAAAAAATCTGCATGCGTAAAATGCTTCCCATGCGGAGCCGCCCCATGAGCAGCATTCATCGTCTTTTTTAGTTGGGTTTTCAAATTTGTGATGCTCGAATCAGCATGCGGGGCTAGACCTGTGAAGATGCCGCTGCACTCGCTCACCAGCATCGGACTTCGACTACCTTGCGTCGAGCCGAAATAACTTTTCATGCGCAACAGCCAAAGCTTGTTGATTTGTCTAGCAGATGTCCCACCTTGACTCGTCTGGGGTGGGGACGACGTTTCTGCGCAGGAGGATATGAGCTCCTGATTGTATGAACTGCAAAAGCATGATCGTACTCGTATAAATGCATTACAAATTTCCTCAGCATGAGAGAGAAAATTTGTAATGCGGATTTACCTTGAGATAAAGATTTATAATGCATGATTGCAATACGAGTACGATACTTTTGCACAGGATAGATTGGGGTTCGGCACCATTTCCGGGCACGCGTTGTACAGTGTGCAAGTCATCGAGTAGTAATCATTATGGGAGTGTCAGAATTGAAATCGACAAAGTTGAAATAATTTGTGATGCAGAAAACGGATACCAGTCGGAAGCCCTATTTCCAAGCGGTGCATGACAAATTTAAGTAGAACCTAAATCCAGTTTGTCATGCTGTTTGGTTAAGGGCGACGTCTTTTGTCATGCTACTTTAGCAGTTCTATTTCTACCCCTCAACAGGCTTACAATCTGCCTCCCTTGCATCCTCTGCAATAGAGACAATGTCTGCGTTGCATTTTACGCATTGCAAACTATTTCAACTTTGACGATTTCAATCCTGACACATCCATAATCATCTCTGGTTGCGTAGAACTTGCAGTACCGATCCTTTTTGCAGTTTTCTTTGCATTCCCACCAAGCCCAGGACGTATGGCCTGCTTGCAAATCCCAGTAATCGAAGTCGTAGGTGTGCTGTGCTTCGTGGCATATGGTCCCGAACCCCGAACACCCGGAACTGGAATGACAGAAGTGATCATAACTGTACTTGGGCAAGCGTGGCGGATTGTAGCCGGACCAAGTCTTTGGCGTGCAGTCTGAGGCGTAGTAATGCCCCTGACCACTATACATAGGTCCTTGCTTGCATCTTTTGTTCTGAATCGTGGCGTCTACCCAACAAGACCGGGCCATGGTTTTCTTCGTTCTCGTTGTGCTTGATGTAGTCCCGGTGTTCAACAATACTTCGCCTGGTGTCGTGCCGTCGGGCAGGTGGAGCTGTTCCGAGCTTTCTACTTCTGTTTTCTGTTCCTCTCGCCGCCGCTCGAGCCGGGCTAAAAGTCCCGCGGACACGTTGAGGTGCGAAAAATTCATGGTGGCAAGATTGTCTGCGCTCATTATTTTATCGCAAGAAAAAATGACTGCTCCATTGTAAATAACTTGTGACGCGGGGGGGGAGCAGGACCCAACAACACAGAAGCTTTAGCTTTTGGCATCTGCGAGACATGTAAGACAGCGAATTTTCTGGTGCGGTTTCCCTTAGGAATATTAAACTCGCATGGACAATTTTATTTGTCATGTAGAACAAACTTGCTGATGTGATGCAAAAGTTGCAAAATCCTATACAGTGAAACACTTTTTTCGTGTGATAGATCTTTTCCCATTTCTCGACTTCCGCCCGGCGAATCGCTCGCCTGTCCTCCGCGGCTTTTTTCGGAACTGTCGGCGCCACCTGCTCCTCGGATGGCGGTTTTATTCTACTTGTCGATGATGTAGTTGAGCTTGAAGTTTGTTGTCGTTCCTCCAGCCCTGGTCCTAGTGCTAGGCCCGTGTTAGTACTCTTTATTTCGCCGGGGCGGCGGCTCGTCTTTTCCTCGTCCTCGTCGTGGTCATCTCTTCCTCGAAGGATTCTTGCTGTGTTGTATCGTATTTAAAAACACCCCCACACCAAAATTGTCATGCAAATCTGCATGCTGAGAATGTCCCTCATGCGGAGCCCCATGAGAAGCATTTTCTATTCGCGTTTTTAGATTTGTCATGCTTCAATCAGCATGGTATACTGGATCTGTGATGCTGCTGAACTACCTCGAACAGCACTAGACTACGAGTCCAAATCTGTCATGCAAAACAGCCAAAGCTTGTGGATTTGTCTAGCCGATTTCCCATCTTGACTATGGGGTGGGGACGTTTTTACATAGGATATGTTGGTGCTGTTGTTTACCGGAACTGCTGGAACATCAAGCTTATTTTCGCCTAGTACTACATTTTGGTCCTCGTCGACGTCCTTGGGAAGTAGTTCTTCAAACGACCTCTTGTAGTCCTCCACAACCTCGCCCTGCTGCTCAGTTGTTTTTTCCTCCTTCTTCGTCCCCTCAGAAGTGGTCGTTCCCTGGAGGTCCTCGCCGCCTTGATGTTGATGCTGGTGCACATCTAAAAAAACATCCTCGGAAATAAAATCCTCCTCCACGACCTCCTGCTGCTCCTCTACTTCTCGTCGCATCACCTGTTGCCTCACTGCGGCGGCGTAGAAATGAAAAACGGTCGGGCTCCTGGCGCTATTCCGCGTAGTACTGCTCGTGGTTGATGTTGATGCCCCCGTGGCTCTGCTTCTACTCCTAGATCTAGACCATGCATCATAGTAGGAGCTGCTGTTGTCCGCGTCCCACTCCAAACTAGCTCTCCTCCAGGCGTCAGCAGCTGAAGAGGGCGCCGTCGTCCCGCGAGGCGTTCTTCCCGGCAGGTCGAAGAACGCGTTCCGTGTTAGAGGCGCATAAAAGTCGTCGTGATCGCATGTAGTGGTCCAACGACTCCTGACCCACTGCTCTCCATCCTGATCAACTTCTGCTCGCAGAAGGGTCTTGAGGACAATCAAGGGAACGATCGAAAATAGGAGGAGCTCCTGCAGGTGGAGGGCCAAAAACCCCAACGATGAACAGGCGTAGAGCGACTTCACTTTCACCAGCCACGCCCACGGGTTTATCAAAAGTAAAAATGTCTGGGTCTGGAAACTTGTGATGCTGGGTGGCGTCTCATGATGAGGCTATAAATGCTGGCTCAGCATGACAAGTTTCTGAGCTCCTAGGTGTTGCCTATTCTGCATGACAAACTGCGCTTCTGCATCACAGAAAAACGGAGCTCTTGGGTAACGTGCATGACAGATTTAAGAATCATGCCAGACAAGCATGACAAACATGAATTCTTCCAGAACCAGACCCAGACATTTTTACATTTGATAGGGTTAAAAGTTTTACGATTCGCAAGAACTACGGTGGTCTCCCCGCCGCTGCGAGAGGACCAATTTTTGTGGACCGCTATTTTCCTCGTCTTCGCACCGGTGCTGGTGGTTTTAATTTCATCGCGACAAGGAGAGCAGCTCAGTTCGCAGCTCCGCTTATTTTCATCGTCTCCATTCTTTCCCAGCAAACCGCTTTCGCTTTCTGTCCCAAGAAACCGCTTTCTCTTCCTGCGAGATCTCGTGCAGAACAAGAGCGTGCAGCTGGTCGCGCTGCCCACGCAGCATAAATTCTTCCGCTTTATTTTCCGCCAGCTTCTCCCTCTGCAGGAGGAGCCGAATGCGGAAAAAAACATGCTTGTCGCGGCACAATGGGGGGGCAGGAGACGAGGTGGAGGTCGTGCACGATGCTAGGAGACTAAACTGAAGTTAAAAAAGGCTAAAGCCAGTGGTCGTAAAAGTAGTTTTAGTTTTTGGTTGAAAGACGTGCACCGGAGGAGTGGTAGTTAAGTACTCCTCTAGGTCGCGGTGGATAGTCAACCCAAATCCCTCTTGGACGATGAAGAGGTGAAAATGTAAAAGCCATGCATTTTTTGTTTTTGAAAGTTACCGTACTAAATAGAAATAATTTTTGCAGACAAAGAAAAAACTCAAGTATTCAGTACGTGAAAAACGGGAAGCAATAGGTAGAAATGGGCAGCACACATATAAATGACGCCGGAAATTCGCCAGCGACCTTCGGAGTAGAGAGTTGCACTTTCTTGATTGATGTAAACGTAACTCTAGTGAAAGATATGAAAGAAAAAAAACAAGTTGAAGTTGAATACCGTATATGAAATTGTGCGCGTCTACTAGGTCTGTAATTGTAAAAATGATTCAGCGAGAACTTTGCCGCTCGTGTCGAGTTATATTACTTTCTATTTTGCTATTAAGGTGGCACTTTGTCCACGGCTGCTCACCTGCCTGTTACATACTAAATAACTAAACTTTGCTGTATAAAAATGATAGTACTTTGTTTGGTTTTTCAGAAGATTTGTTCATCTTATTTCTAGAGCTATTCTTGATGATACAGATACGATTAAGGAAAGCGAAAGCGACGAAAGCGGCCGCACAAGCCTCCTTAGACTTGTAGTTGAAGTTGTTCCGTTTCTGGTTGATGTGGGACGAGTACCACTACCACAGCGTCCGTCCTCGAAGATGACAGTCGTTGTAGCAGCTTCTCTCCTATTTCATTTTCATCTTCGCCGGAGTTGTATGTACGATAATCACGCCACTAGGCAAGTAGAGTTCGTTGCAGGGCGAGATGAACAGGTGCTGTTCACAATAACAACGAATGACGAGATGAAGGGCGAAGATACAACTTATCATACTGCTGTCGGAGGAAGTGCTGCCGCCACCATTCTGCTTTTTGCACAATAAGAATGATTTTTTTTTTAATCAACGATAAGAATAAGTATAAGATCGATGCCGCTGCAAAAAATAACCTAGCAAGAATGCACTTTATTGAGCTTTTGAGTTGTTCATCCGCGAGGCAGAAAAATTCGATCGATTTTTCCATGAGAGTGAGCTGAACCAATGGAAAATAGCGGCAGGAATTTCCGGACAGCCCAGCACAACTTCATTGACGTTGTTCATCATGATGTCCTGCTGCGCTTTTTGTTCTAGATCTTCAACAATCTGGAGGCTCCCCAATGAAAATGTTGGAAATAACAAGTGCCTGACGCGACAACAATGAATCAGTATCAGACCGGCACCGGCTACGAAAACAGAAAGACGCAATAAATAACATGAAAAATCTTCCTGCGGCGGCGCCACTAGGAAAAAGGACGTCGCAAGAACTGTTCGGCGGCTCACGTTTGGTTCTATATCACCTGAAAAGACTGACGATGACGAACAATTTCAGTCGGCTTGCTGTCGTGTCAGATTTCCCCTCAGCGAGGAGGCGCAGCTTCCGGCAACGAATGACCTGCATCTCGTCGTCACAGCCGCCGACGAGAAAAGCGTCGCTTTCCTCTTGATTTTTTATTCTTTCATTCATTTGTCTTTGCGTTGTTTCGAATTAAAAACGAATTCATAGAAATCCAAAGAGCGCAAAAGCAGAACATGATTTTCATCAGGTGCATTTTTTCTGACATCTCGAACGACCTCAACACAATTATCAATTTGGAACTCTGCTCGGACTATACATTTACATCGTTTATAACTACCTTAGCACAAGAAATCAAACTGTGACAAGAACATCGACGACGGACCAAGACGACGTACATAAGACACCAGCAGGTGGTGCTGGAATACAACAATAATTCAAACTGAAATTCGTATAAAGTTACATCTTTTTCTTTCGTTCTGCTGCACGGTAAGAAGATGAATAAGAAATGCGTACTATATTGCTCTACTTGTAAAAAAACCTACTTGCGACCACCACTATTTAATGGATCGCGACCACAACCACATTGAAGTAAATCTCCCTGCTGTCGAAAACAAAATGCTTTTCGTTTACATTTTGTTCTTTTTGCTCAAAAACAAACTAGAATTGAAAAAAATCACAACGGGTAGCTCCTCGAACTTCTAGCCAAGAAGGTTGACATGAAGATGCTACAGCTGCCATGCGTATAGCTTTTTCAAAGGGCGCCAGCTGTTGTAGTTCAGAATCAGATATGTTGTTGATCTTTTCTTCCTATACGGAAGAGCGATATTTTTGAATTGCGCCGTACTTACTCATTTGCAGCCTGCCAGGGGTTTGTTCTATGTCAACGTTGGTGCTCTACGTTCAGTCATCCACGCCCCCTAACATGTCCTCATCATCGCTCGGGGGCTTTGGTGGCTCTGCTTTCGGCGGATTACCTGCTCCCCGGGGGCTCCCCGCCGGACTGGGAGCGGCGGATCCGCCTGGTTTCGGTGGCGCAGGAGGTCCAGCATTTCCTCCTCGCGGGCTAAATGCTGATTTTCCGCCGAACGGTGACGGCTTGTTGCTTCCCCCTTTGCTGAAGGCTGAGGACCCCCCACCGAACGCCGAGGATCCCCCGCCCATCTTCGATATGACAGCGCACAGCTCCCCCTCGCCCTCATTTGTATTGCATGAACAGCAAGACAAACACCAGCTAGCACACGTGGGGCCAATGCATGACAAATTTGTGTGCCTAATGTAGTACTGTTTGGCCTTCCGGAGTTTGTCATGTTGGAAGGCTAAGGGCTGGGCGTCCCCTCGTAAACTATTCCTACAAACCGTAGCCTTCCGGAGTTTGTCATGCAAACAATGCTACAAAGCAGCGACTGCGTGGATTTGTGGTTTTGCATGACAAATCAATGAGGGGGAGGGGAAGTTGTGCACTGTCATATTCGAGCCTCCTCCTCCAAACGCCGAAGAACCACCGCCGAAGGCGGACGAACCGCCGCCCATCTTCGAGCCTCCGCCGAACGCGGAGGAGCCGCCACCGCCAAACGCGGATGACCCACCAACTTTAGATCCGAACGCCGATGATCCGCCGACTTTAGATCCGAACGCGGATGACCCTCCCACTTTGGATCCAAACGCGGATGACCCACCTCCCATCTGGGAGCCGCCTCCCATGGCCGCGCTGCCGCCGCCAAATGCACTTCCGCCGCCGCGTGGACTCGGGGGAGCGCCTGGTGGCGGGCCGATGGTGGCATTGGTGCCCTGCTGCGCCCCGCTGCGGGGGGAACTGCTACCCCCCGCTTCTCCGGGTTCGCCCGCAACGGAAACACCGCCGACCTGTTGGCTCGCGTTCTTGTCGGCTTTTTTGTCTTTCTTTTTCTTCTTCTCGCCCTTTTTTCCTTTAGTCCCAGGAGCAGCAGTACCGGGTTTTTTCTTGTCGTCTTTCTTTCCACCTGCTTTGGCTGCGGCAGCAGTACCGGGTTTCTTCTTGTCATCCTTTTTCTTCTTTTTCTCCTATCACACAGAAAAAAACTGCCAGGTTATATATATTTGCAATGCAAAAATAAATAGACAAAAAAAATTGTATTGCGTATCCTAAACAGCATGCTATGAGGCCGCCCATGACAGATCTCTCTGTGTATTTATTTTTGCATTACAAAGATGCCCTGCCAGTTTGTTTCTGTGGGATATCTCCCCGTCATCGTCGTCGTCGTCCGAGTCCTTATCGTCGTCGTCTGAGCCGGAGCCAGAATCGTCGTCGTCCTTATCGTCGTCACCATCACTGGAATTATGCATTGCAAAAGTTATTTGCTATCGTGCCTACTAGTGGAAATTGTTCCAATACAACTTCATTGCTCTTCAGCACAACACCACATAGAAAAATTTGCAGCAATGCGGTGGGTTTATTCATCAGTTACCCTACCAGGAACCAGAAGTAGAAGATTTGTACTGCATGGCGTTGCACTTCCAATTTCTCCTTACGAGCGCGACACAAGAACTTTTGCAGACATCAGGATACGAACTACTGCTGTCCGACGAATCATCTTCATCGTCCTCCCCGCGCATTTCCTTTTTCGGTTTTTTCCTTGCTTTTTTCGCGAGCTTTTTCTTCTTTTTCTCCTCGATTTTTTTCTTCGCAGAGACTTCCCTGTCGTGTTCCAGTCGTTTCGGGTGCGGCCGCATCTCCTTGGACAGGTTCCACTTAAACCGCAGCACGTAAAGCACCGACGCGAAGAAGACCAAGATATGCATTGCAAAAGTATCGTAGGTACTCGTAGAAATACATTGCAAATTTTCTCAGCATGAGAAATAAAATTTGTGATGCGAATTTACCTTAGGAAAAAGATTTGTAATGCGTGATTGCAATACGAGTACGATACTTTTGCACAGGATACAAGAACTGCACACACAAAAAGCTCCGGATGCCCAGTCGCCAGTCGTACCCAAAACCCGGATCGAAGCTGTCCCAGGCTGCACAATATGCATTGCAAATATCGGTGTGGTTCTGGAAGAGCTCTGTGAGTTTGTGATGCTAGATGCCGGATAAGTAAGTAGCAGGCATGATCGCGGAGCCTTCCGAGTAGAACTTGTGATGCTACGGCTCGCATTCCAACTACCCTTCTGGGACATGCAAAAGCAGCATTACAAGCCTTACACACTCTTCGTCTTCCAGACCCAGATATCTAAAAATTTGCGGTTGATACACACCACGTGGCATTGTTGAAGTAGTTGTAAATGCCGCGGAGTCCCTCTTTCTCCGTTAGCTGTGCCAGGCTGAAAGGGGTCTTGTGAAGATTTTTTTGACTGTTCATCATTTTTCTCTCCTGATTCCTATGCATCTCTATCTGTATCTTTCGCCGCGCTAGTCTCGCTTTCTTTGTTTGGCTCTGGGGTATAATTACTGTGTTTGTTCCGATGCCAATCGGTGGCTCTAAATCTTTTAGTGTGCTTGTTGATATTCTTCTCGCTGCACCACGAGCTTCGGTACTGCTCGTACTTGCGTCAACATCTTCCAGTACTTCTTCTAGCGAAGAAGATGCGTGCGGCCGTGAAGAGGACGTGGCTAAGAAAGAAGAGAATGCACTTGACGACCCAGTGCTGTCCTCCGTCTCATTCGTCCCGTTCAGTTCCACGCCCAACTGCTCGTCGACGTCTGTTCGCGGGATTTCCAGCGTCAACATCATTGACTCTTCCGTCATACTAGACAAAGCCGTTCCGTCGGTTTTGTTCTTTTGCTCCGCGAGCAGGTGCTTCGCCAGGTATTTCTGTTATGAACTGCAAAAGCATCGTACTCGTATAAATCGCATGACAAATTTCCTCAGCATGAGAAAGGAAATTTGTAATGCGGATTTCCCTTGAGAATATGGATTTGTAATGCAAGACTTGCATTTATACGAATACGATACTTTTGCACAGGATATCTGTACGAGTGCGTCGATTTTTTCTGCCGTCGAGTTCGCTGTCGGGACGATTTTCTGGGAAACAACCTCGGTCTTCTCGTCCACAGTTATGGCGTTCTCAAACGTTACACTCTCAACCGTTACATGGATTTGTAATGCAAGAACAGCAACAGTGAAAGTGGCGAGATTGCAGCTTTCGCATTACAGATTTTCCACAGATTATCATGCTGTTTAGCCCTTCGAAAATTTGTCATGCGAAGCACCTTGATCAAGTGGAGGCTGATGGCAATTTTGCATGACAAATCCGTGTAACAGTTGAGGATCTGACAGCTGAGAATGCCATAACAGTCGTTTTTATCGTCGAGTTTTTCAAAGATCTCGACATGGCGATCTTCGCGTCTTCGTTTGTGGACTGGAACCAAATGGTGAGCGCGAATCCGCCCCGAGGAAGGTCGTCCAGGTTTTCTTCTACCTCCGGGATGTTGTCTTCTGGATTATTGGAGGAGGATTTTTTCTCTAATTGTGCGGGATCTAGCGGGGGCTTCGCCGGGACAAACCCACCGGACACCACCGCGATGGAGGTTTGTTGGAGTTTTTTTCTTCTCTTTTTCCTCTTCAGCAGCTCTAGCAGGGAGGACGAGGAGCTTTTATTTCCTGTAATAATTCTGCCATCCTGTAGAAGCAACTCTTCCTGTAGTAGCGACCGCTGCGCTGGGTCTTTAATATCTTTATTCTTGTTACTACGCTGGTCATCGTCCCGGCGCAGCAGGTGATTCTGCTGCTGCTCGTGGTGGTCTATTGTATCACCTGCTCGCTTGTTCTGCGCTATTCCAGCACTCACAGCAGCTGGCTCAGTATCATCTCCACGACCTATTGCGGCTTCTATAGTAGCGTCTAGGTGGGCTATGTCCTCCTCCTCCTCGTCAGCTCCTCCATCCGCTCCTATCTCCACGAAAGAAGAGCTTCTGTTAGAAGACGATGATGATATCAAAGAACTACTGCCTTCGTTCTGTAAAACGCCACTGGAATTTGCCAGGTAGTCATTCAGCGCGATTTCCATCGCGTCAAAGGCCGTGCCATTCGCCTGAAACTCCAGAAGATCGTTCTCCTGCAGCATAATCCTTACCGCCAGCTCCGAGGCTCCGGGGGGTAAGGCTTTCTGCTCGACCACTTTTTCGCCGGGGATAATAGCGTGCAGGACCTCCGCATCGACCACCTCCACGTATCGGTTTTCTTTCAACCATGTCCACACCATCGCCCCCTCGGCGACCAAGCTTGCGTCAAAGGTTTCCGTCGTCATGGTGGAAATGGTGTCGTTGGTCTCGGCAATCCGTTCGAGGTAGTGGGTGGTCGTGTGTGGGAAGATGTCGCTGTCCGTCAGCTGCGTCTATCCTGTGCAAAAGTACCGTACTCGTTGTACTGATTGCAGCTACGTATAAGAAATTTTTTTGCTAAGCTAAATCAGCATGACAAATTTCATGATTTGTCATGCTGCGCCACTTTGTATTGCAATTACAACTACTAGTTGTGCCATGCTTTTGCATTTCATAGCGTCCACCTCTGAGCGACTCTCTGAAGTTTTTGCCGTTGTGCGAGGCGGGCTCTGGATAGTGCAGTCTTCGACGAAGTACTAGATGCAGAACTGCGCGAGGACGAGGATAGCTCTGTTTCTAGAAAGGAGGCAGCTGCTGCATTACCTTCTTCCTCTCCGCTGTTACCTTCTTCCTCGGGCGTGACCATCAGGGCGGCGATCTTGCCCGCGATTCGCTCTTGATAGTCGTCGTACTCCATCACAATCGGCACGGCGATTGCCTTATCGAGTGCAAAAGTACGCACTAATCGTAATCCCATCGCAATATTGCATGACAAATCTAGTCTGTTACCTGAATCTGCATGAGAAATGGCACTTCCTTGTCAAAATCCTGAAAAAATTTGTCATGCGATTCACCCTAGTACGGTACTTTTGCAGTGCATATGCCTCGTCCCTTCTGTATGGAATTCTCGCACAGGAGACAATTTGGTTCAGAACTTTCGGCTCCTCGTTACTTTCATCCGAATCACCTCCGTCGTCAGAAGAAGCTTGATCCGCGGTGCTGCTGCCGCGGTCTCTTCTCTCTTTCTCTTTCTTCTCCTCCCCACCCTCTAGATCTGCATCGAGGAAAGAAGCGGCTGCAGCAGCACCAGAAGTACTCGAGGAGGAAGCTAGAGAACTTGCTGCAAGTGAACTTTCCTCCTCCACGACGGTCGTAGTTGTCGTCGTCGTCGTGGGTGGTGGATCGAAATCCACCAGCAGTGTGTACAACGGCCCGCCTTCAAAATACTCCGGGTTTTTGTATTCTGTGAACAGCGGGTCGTACTGAAACCCGTGACACTTTTCCTTCAACGCGTTGCACGCCTGCCAGGCCGAATCCGGACTGTAGTAGTAATCCGGCGTGCTGCGGTCGTCGCAGTAGTAGAAAAAGTGCGCGACCACCGTCGTGGTCGTCGTGTCGGTGGTGTAGCCTGACTCTTCTGGGTCACCTAACGCACTCTATCCCGCGTAAAAACGTCCCCATCCCATAGTCAAGTTGGGAGCCCTGCAATACAAATGCAGAATCTTTAAAAGCCACGCATGACAAGCTCCTCTCTGTATTCTAGAGCAGCTTAGCAAGGACAGCCGCAGTACAAATCCATCTGCTTGTCCTGTTTACTGCAGCAAAAATTCCAAAACACCCGTAGAAATGCCTTACGTGTAGCTGCGCATCACAAGTCTTCCTGGTTATTGCAAATCTGCATGACAACTCTGGGGTGCAGGGGAAGTTTTTACATAGGATACATTCGACCCGGTCCACACGCACCCGTTGTCGCAACCGCCGCCAGCACTTTTGCACAGCGTGTCCCCAGTTGCCTCGTCCCGTACGGCTGTGATCTCTTATCCCACGAAAAAAGTGTTACAGTTACACATTTGTTGTAATTTCAGCATCACAAACTTGCTTTGCATGACAGAGGAAACTTGCAATGCAAAGATCATAAGGGAAAACACGAAGGAAACGAGTCTCCAAAGCATTTCCTGCATGACAAAGGTTGTCTATGTTGCCGGTCGTGCAACACAATGTGTAACTGTAACACTTTTTTCTTTGCATATCTCTTCCAAGTTGCACAGTCTTCTGTTTCCCAAATTGTGGCAAATCTCTATCCTGAGTAAAAACGTACCCACACCAGAGTTGTAATGCAGATTTGCAAAGACAGGAAGACTTGTAATGCGCATCACCATGAGAGCCATTTCGAGTCGTGTTTTGGAATTTGTGATGCTGTGAACAGGATGAGCCGATGAATCTGTGATGCGGCTGCACTTGCTAACCTGCACTACACTGCAGAGTGCAACTTGTCATGCGTGACTCACAAAACTCCTAGGTTTGTGTTGCAAAATCCCCATCCTGACTCTGGTGTGGGTACGTTTTTACTCAGGATAATCTCCACCGCTTCCTCGAAGCTTACCGCTGCGTCCGCTTTCGTGCAGCTGTTGGCCGGGGTGACACAATCAACATTGACAGAAGTGTATGCACTGCAAAAGCATCGCACTCGTACTAGTATTGCAATACAAATTAGCTCAGCATCTGCATCACAAATGAAGAAAGTTCTCATGCTTATGTTGCATAACTGCGATAATTTGTAAGTACGAGTTTTAGAAGTACTTTTGCACAGGATAAAGTGGTGGAAACGACCGGATCGCCGTTATCGTCTAGTTCTCCGGTCTCGGTCTCGGTGGTAAACGTTTTGCTAAACGCTGTTCGAAACGAGTCTGTCACGGAATCTTCCTCCCCACAGCACCTGACCGCGAACCGACCGGTTTGCTTGTCTATTGCCGTCGGTGTGAAATCCGCGTTGCAGGTGTTGGTTAAGGCGTTCCCGGTGTCCAAGTCCACCCCCGGGCTGGCTGCGCCCCGAATGACGAAGGCCGAATGGGAGTAGGGAAGAATATGGGGGCGCCAGGATTGAAATCGACAAAGTTGAAATAATTCGTGACGCATAAAACGGATCCCAGTTGGTGCCTTCTTTTCCAGCGGCGCATGACAAATTTGGGTAGAGCCTGTAATGCTGTTTGGGTAAGGAAGACGCCTTTTGTCATGCTACTTCAGCAGCTCTTTTTTCTACCCCTCAACAGGCTTACAATCTGCCTCCCTTGCCTACTCTGCAAGACAGGCATTTTGCGGGTTGCATTTTATGCATCACAAAGAACTATTTCAACTTTGACGATTTCAATCCTGACGCGTCCATACAGAATTCTTTCCTCGTAAATGGGCAAGTGCTTGTACTCGATGCAGCACGTTTTCAAGTCCAGGTAGCTACACTTTCTGTCCACGCAATAATCCAGAATCGACTCCGAACTGATCGACAGCTGGTACGCGTGGGAGATTGCCCCCGCCCCCGGGTTGATGGCCGTTCTCTCGCAGCCAAAATCGTTCGCGGTCTTCCCCACCTGGTAATATTCATCAAAATACGCGGAGTGTAGAATCCCATACGGGTCTGGCGTATAGCTTTCCCAATCCGGGCAGACCCCGCGTCTCTCGCAACACTGCTTTTCATTCAGCACGTTGTCGCAATTCCGAGAAAAACACAAATTGTCGCCGAATTTGTAGCCCTCGGGGTTTTCGAACTGATGAATCAAGGTCTCGTGTCCCGGGTGTGGGTCTGGCACTTCGATTTCGGTTTGCCCGTGCCCGATGAAGCCAGAGGGAATTTTTTGCAAGTTTAACAGCTGCAAATGCGTTTTGTTCAAGATCTCATCCCTTGTCTGTTCGAAGTCGGAGAAGAGGTGTAGGGTGACTTTCGTGTTGTCATTCGCATCGCCCACCGCCCCATACGCGGTTGTCGCAGACCGGTGCACGGGAATGACTGTTTTCCCGCTGTTTTCCGGTAATGATTGACTATAAGCCGTCACGACGGATCTATTCGCCACGTACTGGTCAATCTCGATATCCCGCGGCTGACACTGGAAGCTCTTCAGATCGTCGATCACATCCTCCCCGAAGAAACCGATATCGCAGGTCGGGTAATCGCAGCATTCTTTTGTACCTTCCTCGAAAGGGAAATACGGGGGAAACCCGGAACTCGCCGGCACAGAGGTCGAATTCGATAACGGCCGGCCAAACCCCCGGTCGGCGCAATATTCGTCGGCCCTAGTGGTTCCGGAGCCATCGCCCAGCGGATCCGTGTCCGCAAAAGGGTACCGGTGCGCCGTTGTGGCGTCGACGGGCACATCGGTCCCGACAAATTGGAAGTCGGTTCCGAGCCCCATGTCTTGAATCGATCCACTTGCTTCTTGGAATAAATCCCCACTGTAATTGATGTCCCCGTAAATCGTAGTTTCCTTCTTCCCGTCATACAGAATATAACAGTGCATAACTCCCCCTCTCCTTCATTTGTGATGCAAAATACCCAATCCGCCCTTTGCCTCTTGGCACATTTTGCATGACAAGTTCTGGTAGCCGAAATAGCACTTTAATCCAGTGCAAATTTGTCATGCAAAACCGGCATTCTTGCCGATGCTTGTATTGCCGTTCACGCAATACAAATGAGGGGGAGGGGGGGTTGTGCACTGTCATACAGAAACACCCCGCCGCACTTGTCCCGCGTTGTGTAGGAGAAATCTCCCTGGTAGCAGCTATCCTGTGCAAAAGTATCGTACTCGTAGTGATTGCAGTCATGCATTACAGATCTCCTTCCCAAGGCAAATCAGCATGACAATTTCCACTTGTCATGCTGAGCGAACTTGTATTGCAATTACTACTAGTATGATACTTTTGCAGTTCATAGCAGCAATTCTCCGCTGGTAAAGGCTCGTGCGGTTCGGGGGCTGAATCGTAGTGCGGGTAGGTTTTCCAACTCGGATTCCGCTCCGACGCATACAAAGGTTCGCCATAACCCTTCGAGCTACAGGAGTCTTATCCTGTGCAAAAGTATCGCACTCGTAGTGATCGCAGTCATGCATTACAAATCTCGATCCCAAGGCAAAACAGCATGACAAACTCCATTTCTCATGCTGAGTGAATTTGTCATGCGATTTCTACTAGTACGATACTTTTGCAATGCATAAATCTTTGTGGGTGTCCAAATGTTCGAAGCAGTTGTCCACACACCCACTGTTCACGATCGTCTGACCATGAGCAGGACACGTGAACACCGGCGACCCGTAGAATCCATCCGCACAGCGGCCCCAGGGACTTGCCAAAGTGGACACGTCGATGGGGTTGCTCGGACCGCCCTTTCCAGACCCGTCGTTGATGTCGATTGGGTAGAGTTCCAGAGACGTCAGCGCCGCCTCCCAATCGAAAGCCGGCTCACTCGAGGACATCCCGGTACCGGTCACATGCATGAAGTAGGGGTAAGACAAGACCACGGCACTCCTCGGCGCCGCTGCGTGGCCGAGGTCCGGCGGCCGGCGGCAGCCCTTGATACAGCACGTGTTTTGGCAGGATTCGATGGAAAATTCCTGATCATTTTCCACGGCGGCGTTCATATTGTCCGCATTCGTGGATATCGGCTGTACATCGAACCCACACAGGTTTTGCGTCGGGCTCGGAGTGATCAAATCTTGGAACCAAACCCCCAACGGGTCGTCCTTCGGCTCTCGGTAGTGGCACTTCGCGAAGGTGTTAAACCCGGCTGGGGTTCCACTCGGCTTCTCGGCGACGAAATCGTCGGCGTCACATATCCTGTGCAAAAGTATCGCGCTTCTAGGAATAATTGCACTATATGTTATGCATCTACTTTCTCAAGGGAAGTCAGCATTACAAATTTCATTTCTAATGCTGGGCTAATTTGTAATGCAGTTTATACTACGCACGATACTTTTGCATTGCATATCGCAGTGGGCCCAGCAAAACCGTTCCTTGTTCCCCTCCTCGTCTTTTAACTTGTAATTCCCATTGGTACAGATTTTACACGACTGGCGAAACGGGATTCCCATCAAATTGCACCGGTCTTGGTCCACTTCCCCTAAGATTTCATTGTTGTTGTTCGCGGTATTGTGCGAGGGGTCTTTGGTCAGCGTGCAGTAGCAGGTTGGTTCACACCCCCGCAACAGCACCTGCTGGTTCGAGCCCGGGCAGCGCAATTCCGGTTTCTCCCCCTGAACCACTTCGTGGTACCCAACCGCGCATTTCAAATTCTGATGCATCGCCCAGGTGGACATGCCCGGATAGGCGTCGTCGGTGTTTATTTCCGACAAAAGCGGGTGCCAATGGAAGGTCGCCGGATCCCCGGGGGTGTATATCGCGCGAAAAAAGTGTTACAGTATACACATTTGTTATCAACTGAGCAACACAAATTTCTCTGCATGAGAGAGAAAACTCGCAATGCAGAAATCCTACAGGAAAACACCTATGAAAGGAGGCTCCTACGTACGCATATCCGGCATGACAGAGCTTGTCTGTCTTGCTTGGCCTGCAACACAATGTGTAACTGTAACACTTTTTTCTCAGGATAGTGTACGTGCCGGAAACACTCGTCGCGTCCACCTCATACCCCACTCCGTCGTTGTCCCGCCAGTCTCCCGTATACCCAGGTTTGTGGCAGGCGGCAACGCAGCAACTGTCCTCGCAGTTTTGGTCGTCGTAAAGGTGTCTCGTGCAGTACGTGTATCGAATGCAAACCTGTCTGGGTGGTCTGGAAACTTGTGATGCTGGACTGCGGATGATGAAAACACACTACACTTCCAAATGCAGCCAAGCATGACAAGTTTGCAGGACGCTTTCTCATATGCATTCCGCATGAGAAACTCCGTTTTTGTAATACAAAAGAGGCTGCGTCGACTTTATTTGTTGGTCATGCAACACAGATTTCACCGGGATGTAAGCGCAGCATTACAAGTTCCAACTTTCCAGACCCAGGAGACATCTTTGCAGTGGATAACGTGACCGCCGGCTTCAACGTGTGGTACCAGGCTTGCTCGGGCGTTTGCGGCCTGGTCGCACACGTGATGGAGGTGCACGCCGGCCAGCAGCGAGTTTCTTTCGCGTGGAAGGGCGCAATCGTGCTGGCGATGGTGTTGGAGCTCGGATTGGGGCCGTAGTCGGTGTCATGCCGCAGCTTGTACTTCTGCGGGTCGCTGCAGCTATCACAGTGCTGCCGCGTTGGCCCGGGGCACTGGCCCGGGGTGTGGTCCGGCGTACCGACCACCACCTCGTTGTCCTTCACCGCACCTGTCCCCGGCTCCATCTGATCCGTGGTGCACCAACAGGTGGGGAGACAGTGATTCAACTTCACCTCTTCCCCCGGCCCGTCACACCGCAGCGTCGCCTGAAACTGTAAGCTCGCCACCGCTATCAAATGTAAAAATGTCTGGGTCTGGAAGATTCTGAGACTTGTCATGCAAGTTTTGCATGAGCCATGATGTCTGTGATGCATGCCCTAGCATCAGAGATTTTTTGAGACCTTCTTGATGCCTATTCCGCATGACAAATGCCCTCTTCCCGTAGCAAAAATTATACTCCCTTTGCTGCTCATGCAACACAAATTTTTTAGACATCCAAATGCAGCATCAGAAGTTGCATTCTTCCAGACCCAGACATTTTTGCATTTGATACCCGCGAACTTGTGCGCCGAACCACTGTAGCCCGGCGTTAAGTTTGAGTGGTAATTCACCGCGCACTGGAACGACGCGTGCTGAAACTCCGCACCCGGGGCGGTGCCCGAAGGGATTGTTGACAGAGGAGGGTGGAGTTCCGGATGGGTCAAAGCCTGGTCCCAGGGGTCGATATCATAGCCCGTTTGGTCCACGGGCTCCCTGCACCCCATGACGCAACAGTTGTTGTGTTGCTTGCATGTCCAGACCGTGTTCCTGCGCTCGTTGCACCAGACCTGGTTCGTGTTGCTGTTCGGGGGGGTTTGGAGTTTCCGCTGGTGCCAGGCGGGCTTTTTGACACCACTCACCTGCGTATCCACCTGCTGCGACCAGTGGCAGTTGATGTAGCTCCTTATGCATTGCAAAAGCATCGTAGTCGTACTAGTTGTATAAATTGCATTACAAATTTCCTCAGCATGAGAAATGAAATTTGTAGTGCGGATTTACCTTGAGAAAAAGATTTGTAATGCATGATTGCAATACGAGTACGATACTTTTGCACAGGATACTGCAGGTCGCCCAACAGATGTGCTGCTCGTAGTACAACCCATCCCCGTACGTCGTGCCGTCGCCCCACTGAAAGCCCAGATCGGCCTCGCTCATGGCCGGATTGGACGTGGTGCCGTACTCGTTTTTGTCGCTCACCCGCACATCGTACTGCTTGTCATTGGGATCCGTATTGTCGGAACAACTTTGACACCGCTCCGCGTGCGGCGCTGGGCACCCCGTGTTGGTCGCCGTACCATGCACGCAGTCGCAGATCGGCGCGCAGCCCCGGTGTTGCACTTCCGCGGCGGAAGTGGTACATTTGAACTCCGCAGTGCCGTGGTAATCCGCCGCATTACATTATCATTTGTAAAAACGTCTCCACCCCAGAGCTGTCATGCAGATTCGCAATGACTGGAACATTTGTGATGCGCATCTCCATGAGAGGCATTTCTAGTCGTGTTTCGGAATTTGTAATGCTGTAACCAGAATGGGCAGATGGATTTGCGATGCGTTTGTCCTTGCTAATCTGCACTACACTACAGACTACAGCTTGTGATGCGTGAGCCCCAAAACTTCTAGGTTTGTGTTGCAAAGTCCCCATCTTGACTCTGGGGTGGGGGCATTTTTCATTGTAATATGCATTGGAACAGATTCACATCCGGCGACATATCCGCCCGGACCCAGTCGTTGTCACTTCTCGGATACAAACCCGTATTGCTCGTGTAGTCGTACCACGTCAAAGCCGCGTTCCAATCCGGCACCGTGTAGGTCTGGAAGGCTTTATGATCCACCGGTGGGACGCACACGTGGACGCAGCACGTGTCTCGATCTTGACTGTAATCGCAGGCGTGGTCGCGACACTGCGTATTCGCGTGGTCGATGATTTGCGTGTAGTTAGTCGCTGCAGGATTGCAATCGAGATGCGTGCATTTTTGTGCGCAACAGGTTTTGAAGTCTTGTTGAAAGTTATTCATGTTTGCGATGGTCTGGCACCGGTTCTCTTCGCAGTAGAGGTTGTCGTTTAGCGCTTTGGTTCTTACAAAATAGCCCGGGATTCCGTTAATCAGAGCGGTTTCACACATGGTTTTCGCATTATCGCAAGAAAAAACGGCTTCACTGTAAACTTGTGATGCACAGAATGGAACAAAGATCATGCATTTGTCTTGCTACACATGCAAGACATAGGCTTTTTACCTCTGTTGTCCATTAGGAACCTCGCATGACAAGTTTTCTTTGCCATGTGTAACGAACTTGTGATGCAAAACTGGCAAAATCGATCCTTTACAATTACAGTGAAACTGTTTTTTCTTTCGATACGCATTATCCGACGAGCAATACTCCCGGCAGCCAGTCGGATCCAAGCGGACGACTTCACTAGTGACGTTGCAAAGGAATTTCGGCCCCTCGGATCCGGGGTTGCTGATGGTGCTCCGATCGAAAAACCCGCTGGCGCACGTCAGTTGCGGGTGCGCCTTCCAGTTCGTGGCCGTGTCGTCGGGGTAGGAACTAACGGTGGGAAACTGACCGCCTTCTGATAGTAGAATCTGCTGCCAGTTTATCACAAGAAAAAAGTGTTACAGTTACACATTTGTTGGAGTTTCTGCATCACAAATTTTCTGGCAGAGAGAAAACTTGTATATGCAAAGATCATAAGGGAAAATACGTACGAAATCGAAACGAGGCTCGCAAGCATTTCCTGCATGACATAACGTTGTGTGTCTGTCTTGCGGCTCCTGCAACACAATGTGTAACTGTAACACTTTATTTTTCTTGCGATACAGTCTGCCACACCGGGCGCCAGGGAGTACCCGTAGATTTGCGCCGGCGTGTATCAACAGCGAAAATCCCCCCTCCCTATATCAAAGCGGAAATTTGTGATGCGGGACCTCTGTACACAAATCAGGTTTGTCTTGCAGTAGAGGACTGCAGACCCAGTATATCAAGCCTGAGTGAGAGAGGTTCTGGCCTAGGTGGCACGCAGCACGACAAAAGTCCGCGCTGTAGGCCCGTCAGCATCACAAACCGCCGGCACAAAAATGCGGGGGGCCTTCTGGGTTTGCCTTCATGCAAGACAGACACGAGGCGTGACTACAAATCAGCATCACAAATTTCCGAAAACTATAATACCTTTTTAAGTAGTATGGGGAGCGGAGATTTTTCCTCGCGATACCGTGTCCGGCGGTCGGCAACCGGGGATGCAGCAGCTGTCCTCGCAGTTCTGGCGGTCCCAGCGTTGCTCCGTGCAGTAGGTGATAGTCGGATTTTTCTTTGTAAAGTACCAGGCGCCGCCTTTTATGGTCGTCGCACCATTGGTCGTGTCTTGTGTCCTGTCCTGCGCCGGGCAGGAGAACCCGGAGCAGCTGGCCCAGCACCGCCGCTCGCCGACCGCCGCGTACGCACCGCCCCACTCGTGATTGGGGTACAGATTCTGCGGGTCATTGTCTGCGCGGAGCTTGTATTTTACCGGCATTTATCAAAATGAAAAATCCCCCCACCCCATACTCAAACTAGAGATTTGTGATGCAGATTTGTGGCCACAAATCAGCTCTGTCATGCTAGAAGGCAAAAGATGCGGACTGTAGTGCTACCTAGCGTGGGAAAGTATTGCATCTCCAGCATGACACGAGGCAACTGGAAGTGGGAAACCGCATGACAAATTGCCTGCAATTCAGGCCACAACTGCGTCTCTTGGCCTTCTAGCAATACAAGTCGATTTGTGTACTCAAATACAGCATCACAAATTTCGTTTCCGATATGGGGAGGGGGGATTTTTCTTTTTGATAGCATCCCGACGACATTCATGTCCGAGCAGTCGTGACAAAATTGCTTCGTGGGCCCGGATATGGCCTGCAAAAAAGTATCGCACTCGTAGCAATCGCAGTCATGCATTACAAATCTCCATCCCAAGGCAAATCAGCATGACAAATTCCGTTTCTCGTCATGCTCAGCAAATTTGTCATGCGATTCATACTAGTACGATGCTTTTGCACAGGATACCGGGGCAGTACTCGCCCAACTGTAAAGTCGATCCCGCGGGCGTCAAAATCGGCGTGTGCTCAGACAACCCCATAATCTGATTCTGGTCCGCGTTGGGGGAAGTGTCGCGGTCGAAGGTGCAAAAACAGGTCGGAATACAGGTTGTTTTCGTTACTTCCTGCCCACTACCTTCGCACTTTAATTTGACGGCATTCAGCACCTGCGCGGGGGTTTTGAAGTGGCGGGTGGCGTAATCAGCGGTCGTTGGATCGTGTACGGGGTCGATTTCGGGGCTCTGGGAATGGTAGTGGTATCAACTGCAAAGGTGTCTGGGTCTGGAAGAGTTGGGGCTTGTCATGCACATTTTGCATGACCCGTGAGGTCTGTGATGCTGGTGCTAGCATCACAGATTTTTTGAGCCCCTCTTGATGCTAATTACGCATGAAAAATGCCCTCTCTGTGTGCCAAGAGCTGACTCCTCTTGCTGCTCATGCAACACAGACATTCTTACAATCCGCAGACAGCATTACAAGTTCCACTCTTCCAGACCCAGACATTCTTGCAGTTCATAAGTGGTCCGCACACACGAAGCCACTCTCCGTGTGCCAGTCCGCGTTTGCGCCTGGGGATTTTTTACGAAAGTTCTCATATGTAGTATATCACCTCCCATAGTACCAGCACGACAGCACAAAGAGGAAACCATACTCATCATCATTCACCATCATCGCCTATCGTCATCGAATCAAAAACAAGAAATTTCCAAACTAAGAAAACAGTCAACAGGAGAATTATCCATGCACAGGAATACAAAGCATCATCTGGAAGGGAACATTAGTGCTCATCATGCAAAAACATGCATACTCCTCGTGATAGTGGCAAAAAGAAAAATCATATATCATCATCATCATCATCATCATCATCATCATCATCATCTTGTAATTCCAAAAGAGAGGGAGAGGTCATCTAGTACTGCTACTACGTGGCCGTGGTCTACTATGCATGCATAGAATCATGATACTGCAGAAGAAAAATTCGCGGAAGTTGTTCGAAGCCAGCATGCATGTGCAAAAAAGAAAGTGCTGTATTCGACGTTGTATTGCTTCATCTATACACAAGTTGTAGCTGTGCTACTGTGAGGTCATAATCACCAGAATCAGCCGGTGGAGGTAGACGTCGCTGCGCATTTCAGAATCTTCTGATCATGCAAAGAAGTCGACCACGACCATCATGCAAAAGGGCGCTAAGGCTAATCGCATTTTTGGCATTCACAATCATAGTACTTACTTCTAAAAGGACCTGCGCAAGAACAATCAACATGTACATTCATCTTGATGGAAAAAAAAAACTACTGCTACCACTATTAAACTGCTAGCACTACTAGGAAGAGAAATCAGGTTTAGTAGTTCTATAGAAGGACGAGAGCTCGGCGGTGGAGCAGTTCGGTCGCGATGTAATTCTTCCTTGAAGATCTCCTGTCGACGGTCGCCCGTGAGTAATCTTCTCGTCCTCTTCCAGCGCAAGGACCTCGCCCGCCACACTAGGCAGCACTACTAGCTGCCTCCTGCTGGTGTCATAAAATAAACGACCCGTTTTTCTCCCGCGCGGAGAAATTTTGGCGCAAGTTTTTGCCGTTCTTCTCCTCGTTCATCCCGCCGAGCGGGGCAGCTAAAAACAACTACTCGTTGTAGGTGAGGCAGTTCCGGGCCGTGTCGCCCTGCAGCACGACATGGCTCGACGTACAGAAAAACGAATCTCATCGTCATTCCGAGGTGGTCGTCTCACGGTGTCGTTGCGCGGCCTCCTCGAGTCATCACGCAGCTGGAATGTGTTTACTTATTTCTCTTCGCCTTCCGCAAACGAAAACGAAGGCCTGCCCCTGATGTGCCACATATCGGACAGCTTTTCACCACGTTGCCGTTGCGAAATTTCGATCGTATAGCCGGGTCAAGAAATGTTCTTGGAGGAACCATCATCGAGCTGCCCTGCCGTCCGTCGCTATCAATTGGTCCTGCTCGGGGACCTCGCCGTCGGTTATTTCGGTTTCGAAACAAGGAGCCGATCTTTAACTTTATCCCAGAAAAGAAAACCGCGCCCCCGCCGAGCTCTTCACGACCTGTATTGATAATACTGAACCTGATTTCTCAGCATCTAAGTAAAAATGTTGTCGTGCCTCTAACCTAAAACTAGTACAAGAACTTTGTCTCGACTTAGATAGAAGACAAGCTGCAGGTAGCCGGCGCCCACGGTCGTTTTGGAACTTCTATATAGGCTGAGCCACAGAAAAAGCTGCAGCTGAATCACGGCGGAGATTTCTTCGTCCGGATAGAAGTCGACACGAAACGCTTTTTATTCGGCGAAGAGGGCAGCACAAGGCTGTTCTTGGACTTACTCTACAGGTCCTTTCATGTCGGCCACCCAGCAGGTAAGAAGTACTCCAAGTGGGTGCTCAGTGCTCGTCGCAATCCACCGCCGTGATTCTTGCAATTCGCAGTTCCAGACCTTGGGCGTGGCTACCTGCTAGTTCAGCTACGGAGGACAACATTTCTAAAAAAGTGCGACAATCGGAAGAATGGCCTGATCCTGTGATTTTAACCTGCTGAAGCGAATAAATACGGATTAGAACTTCTACAACGCGCAAGAAAGGGACCTTTTGATTGCAAATAGGCTAGGCGGCAGAGATCGATACCTGCTACTTGTAGATGAGTAAACGTGACGGTGACAGCAATTTTTCTACAAATTCAAATGGTAAAAACGAAGAGAATATTATCAATCATACCTCCGGGCACCGGATACAGCTCCCTTTTCGTCAGCGCTGTCTCCCAATCAATCCCGTACCAAACTCTTTCAGCGCTCTTCGGCTCTGCGCAGCCTAATTTACAGCAGTTCATCTCTTCCCGACAGACGTCCTCTGTTTCCCGCACGTTGTTGCAAAACTCGACGGTCGGGTAATTCAAAAGCTCCGCCTTGTCGAAGGGCATTGGCAGCCCGGTCGTCGGACTCGTCAAGTTCACCCGCCGTTGGTACCAGGGGTTGGTTGTCGCACTCCCCGGGTTGGAGAAGTCTTGGTAGTGACACGAGATGTAGGAGCATTTGCTCCAACAGAGAATCTGTTCGTACTTTTGCGCCCCGGTGAGCGACCACTGGTAGGACGACGGTGGCTGCGCGGAGGCCGGCTGATACCTTACCCCATACTGGTTCGGCTCGTAGCAACTATCACACCGTTGCGCGTGGGGCGCGGGGCAATCCGTATTCGTTTTACTTCCGTGGGTGCAAGCACAAACGGGGGAACAGCCTTCGTGTTGAATCACCTGCCCGCCAGCCTTGCACTTGAACCTCGCGGTACCGTGGTAGTCGTGGGAATTGCAACTATAGTACTTCTGGTTCGTCGCGGGATCCACCGCGGATACAGTCCACGCCGCCGCATTTCCCGCCGGGTAAAGTCCGGTGCTCGTACTATAGTCGTACCAGGTGAGCGCTTTGTTCCAATCGGGGACAATATCAAGTGCAAAAATGTCTGGGTCTGGAAGAATGCACGTTTGTCATGCTTGTCTGGCATGACTCTTAAATCTGTCATGCACGTTACCCAAGAGCTCCACTTTTCTGTGGTGCAGAAACGCAGTTTGTCATGCAGAATAGGTAACACCTAGAAGCTCAGAAACTTGTCATGCTGAGCCAGCATTTGTGGCCCCATCATGAGACACCACCCAGCATCACAAGTTTCCAGACCCAGACATTTTTACATTTGATACACGAAGTAGGTATTCAAGGAAATCGCATCCGTTGGCTTGTCGCAAGTATCCGCGCAGCAGGCGATGTGGTCGGTGACGTAGTCGCATTCGTAGCCCGCGCACTGAATGAGGGAGGAATCCACTTTCCTTAAAAAGCTCGTCGTCAGCGGGTTGCAGTTCAGCGCGCTGCACATCTGGGCGCAACAGGTTTGGAAATCGGAGTTCGTCGTATCAAACACGGTGGAGCACTTTTCCCCTGCACAAATGTATGCATATGGAAAAGCACCGCAGTCGTACAAATTCTTGCAATCCTGCATGACAGCTCTGTTTTGCCTACCTGAATCTGCAAGACAAAGTCCATTTTTCGTCATTTTGCGGAAACTTGTCATGCCATTCATACGTAGTACGATACTTTTGCCATGCATAACACCGCATCAGAAGCAAGCGCGTTGTCCGATACCTCGTAGTTTCCCGCCGCCTGGCCGTGCTCGCAGAGTTGTTTCGCGTTGTCGGAACTGCACTTCTCGTGGCAATATGCAATACAAACTTCCCGTAGGTACTGAATGTACAAAATGCATGACAAATTTCACAGTCCTGGAAAAAACTTTTGTCATGCAGAACAGAATCGGCGAAAAGTTCTGTGGTCATGCAGAAACAGAATTCATACGTGTACGGAAAATTTCCGGCGGATAGGCAACCGGTGAGTTCTACCAACGCCCCCGGCGCCAAACACCGCAGTTGCGCCGTGCCTGGGTGGGAGTCCGCGCATTTTAGATCCGGGTGCTGCTTAAACGCCATGGTGCTATCCGGGTACAGAGACAGTTGCGGAGGTTGGCTATTTTCGGAAACCAGGATGTCCTGCCAGGTCTTGCTGTTGATCAATTTGTACCCGTAGCTTTCGTCAATATTCGCCGGTGGCCGGCAGGATTCGATACAGCAACTCTTCTTGCAATCGATAAAGTTGTGCCACTGCTCGTCGCAGTACGTCACAAGCGGTTGTTTTGTGTAATACCACGCGCCGCCGGGGTTGTAGCCGTATTGACCAACTGTGCCGGTCGCCGGCGTCGGGTGCAGACTCGTACACGTGACCGCACTGCAGCTGGACCAGCAGCGTTTCTCCAGATTGGTATCCACCCCAACCTCCGGCCGCAGGCGGTAATCCGGAAGACAGTCGAAGCAGTACTGCATATTCGGCCCGGGGCACACGCTCGGGTCGTGGTTCGGGCGCCCGATGTTTTCGAGGGTGAAAAGGGTTGCGTCCGACTTATGAGAGTGCACAAATCCCCCTCCCCCTCATTTGTCATGCAAAATACCGAGCCCACCTCTTGCATTCAAGCCAGCTGCGCATGACAAGTGTTGGACGGCCAAACAGGACTAGACTCCATGTCCGGAGTTGTCATGCAAAAGCTACATTTGTGGCATTGCTTCTGTTGCTGCTCATGCAATATAAATCAGGGGGAGGGGGAGTTGTGCACTCTCATACGACTTGTCGTTGGTGCAGAAGCACGTCGGCCGACAGTACAACTTCTCCACCTCCTCGTCCTCCTGACTGCACTTCAACCGGGCTTGCTGGGACAAGTTGTCGATTTGCTGCTCGCTATACGACGGTGTAAGCGTGCTGTGATACCCGTCCGCGCATTTGAACGACGCGTGCTCGAATTCCACTGCGTGAACCCCCGACCCGGTAGCCGGCGGGTACAGTCCGCGCATGGTCAAAGCTTATCAAATGCAAACATGTCACCTGGGTCTGGAAATTTTCCAGATTTGTCATGCATATTCTCCATGAGCCATGATGTCCGTGATGCATGCCGTAGCACCACAGATTTTTAAAGGGCTTTGTGATCATACCTCTACCGCATGAGAAATGCCCTCTCCACGTAGGACAATCCCGACCCCTCTTGCTGGTCATCCAATACAATTTTTTTTAGGATCCACAAACAGCATCACAAGTTGTGACCTTCCAGATCCAGACCCAGACATTTTTGCATTTGATAAAGCTGCTTCCCAATCGATTTTATAGCCAGTTTTGTCCAGCGGTTCCCGGCATACTTTCTGACAGCAGTTACCCGATTTGCTACATTGCTCCCTCGTGTCGCGCTTCTGGGTGCACCACCGGATTTCTGAGTAGGTGTCGACGGTGGTGATATCAAAATGACTCGGTGCAAAGTCGAGCCGCGGCTGAAACCAGGCGTTCGTCGACAGTTCCTTAAAGTGACAGTCGACGAAAGAGCACTTCGCCCAGCACCAATGATTGTCGTACCTCGCCCCATCCCCTATCGCAAGAAAAAACTGCTTCGCTGTAAACTTGTAATGCAGAAAATGTATCCGTGAAGCGTCTGTCTTGCTACACATGCAAGACGCTGGATTTTTAGCTGTGTTTTCCCTTAGAAATCTCGCATGGCAAATTTTCTGTGTGATGTAGAACAAACTTGTGATGCAAAACTTGCAAAATCCTTACAGTGAAACACTTTTTTCCTACGATATCCCCGTAGAACGGCGCGATTGTCGGCCACGTGTACACCTCATCCATCAAATCGCCTGTTGCAGCTGGCAACGGAGCCGCCACGACCCACGCGACGGCGCCGCTGTTGTAGTTCGGAATGTTGTCCCCAGCGAGTTGCTCGACGGTCCACCGGTTTTTCCCCGCGGCCCCTTGCGACGACCAGACCTGTATCGAAAGGAAAAATCCCCCCTCCCCATACTGAAATGGTATATTTTTCGATATTTGTGATGCTCATTTGTGGCCACAAATCGTGTCTGTATTGCAAGAAGGCAACTCCGCAGGCTCCGCCGCATTGTGCAGGCGGTTTGTCATGCTGTTGGGCCTACAGCGCGGATGTTTTTCATGCTAAGCGCCTAGCCCAAAACCTTTCTACTCACGCTTGATATGGGCCTGCAGTGCTCTTCAGCGAGACAGCTCGGATTGTGTACACAAATCCAGCATCAGAAGTTTCGTTTTGATGTGGGGAGGGGGGATTTTTCCTCTCGATAACCTGCACGGTAGTCGTCGGTGCCTGCGTACGGTCCGCAGACATGAGCGCGTAGCCGATGCCGTTACTGTCTTTCCCCACATCAATCAAGCGCCACTTTGACGCCCCGGTGCCGATCTGGATGAATTTGGGCCCGAAGGATATTTTTGCGGCGGCAAAGCTTTGTAAAAAATCCCGGCTCGGCCAGGGACTCCAGCTTGTGCGCTTCAAAAATGACGTGTGGAGCGGAAGATTATCCGGTGTCGTTCCGCCGTTGGCAAAGTTAGCCCAGTTGTTGCTCCGAAAAATTTCCGCCGTCCGAATATCCGCGGTTATTTGCCCATTTTCGGGTAGATACGCGATCCCGAAGTGCGAAAGGTTGACAACGCCCCCGTTCGTGGACAAGCCAAACCGCCACCGGCCAAATTGCAGGAATCGGTCGCCGAAATACACCCCCTGAACAGCACCCCCGGCAGCATCAGCAACGGGTCGGCTCCATAAAACCGCGGAGCTACCCGTCAGATCCGAACCGCACAACGCTTGCACGGCAGCACTTGCCAAACACTGCGCGACCGTCCCGGCGTTGCCACCCGTGCGGCACACATGCCCGTTGCTGGTCCAAATAGTCGCAATCTGCTCCCCCCGGTGCTGCAGGATCAAACACGAAGATCCAGTCGCACTGCTGATTTCTCCCAGCCGCCAGTCGCCGAACTCGACGAAGCGATCCCCAAACGTCACCATACTACCCGCCGGCGTGGGAAGCATCCGCGGGCTGACTTCCCGTAACGCGTACAGCTATGCATTGCAAAAGCATCATACGTAGTGAAAATAAATAGCACCACAAATTTTTTCAGAAGGACGAAAAATGCAATTTGTCATGCCAAATTAGCGTAAGCAAACCAGATCTGTCATGCTATATAGTACGATACTTTTGCAAAAATGGATAACAGCTCATTGTCGGCGATTAAGTCCGCGGTCGGCGTGAATTGTGCCACGAGTTCCACCGACGAATCTGTTTGCTCGCAGGCGATGCACCGTTGTGCGTGCGGGGCCGGGCAGTTTTGGTCGTCCGGGTCAACTATCAATTGCAAATATGTCTGGGTCCGGAAGGTTCTGAGACTTGTCACGCACGTTTTGCATGAGCCATGACGTCTGCGATGCATGCCCTAGCATCACAGATTTTCTGAGGTCTTCTTGGTGCCTATTCTGCATGACAAACGCCCTCAATCTCTCCGCGTAGCAGAAATGAGAATCATTTTGCTGCTCATGCATTTAGAGATTTTTTTGACATCGAAACGCAGCATCACAAGTTGCAACCTTTTTCCAGACCAAGACATATTTGCATTTGATATCAACGGTGCCAAACGCGCAGTCGCAGATCGGCAGACAACCACGAAACTGGATCTCGCCGTTATTTTCGTTCGGGTTGCACTTGAACTCCGCGATGGAATGGGGGTGATAATTCTCACTGTTGCAGGCGAACCTTGCGACGTCAAAGGTCGGTCCGGTGACAATGCCAGTTAAGTCTGTCGACTGCACCTGTCACAGGAAAAAGTGTTGACGTTAACGGAATTTGTGATGCAGCAATGCATCACAAAAAGCGTCAGAATTTGTCATGCATAGCATGCATATTGGGCTACATTTGTGATGCATGGCTGCAATCTGTGAAAACTGTAAACGTTAACACTTTTATTTCCTGTGATAGCACCCAGCCATCTCCTACGTTCGCCGGTACGGTTGGATAGAGAGCCGCGTCGGTGAGAACCGCGTTCCAGTCGGGAGTCACGACAAACTGCTTCTCCTCGTGCATTACTGCAGGTTTGGTGCATATCAAGTGCAAAAACGTCACCAGCACCCCAGACTTGTCATGCAGAGTTGCATCTACAGAAACGTTTGTAATGCGGGTTCCCATGAGGGACATTTCTAGTCGTGACTTGAAATTTGTAATGCTGGAAACAGGATGAGCAGATGGATTTGTGATGCGGATGCCGTTACGAAGAACCCGCACGATGCTCCGGACTGCAACTTGTCATGCGTGGCTCCCAAAGCTCCTAGATTTGTGTTGCCAAGTGTCCAACTTGACCACTATAGGGGTGGGACGTTTTTACTCAGGATAGTGCACGCCCGGACGCAGCAAGTGTCCAGGTCGGTCGCCTCGGTACATTGGTAGTCGGCACACTGATATGAACTGCAAAAGCATCGCACTCGTAGTAATTGCAACCATGCATTACAAGTCATTTTCTTGAGGTAAATCCGCATTGTAAATTTTATTTCTCATGCTGAGGAAATTTGTGATGCATTTATACGAGTACGATACTTTTGCAATGCATAACTGAGTCGACGCGTGGTTGCTTCGTTTCAAGTACCCGAACGGGCAGGTTAATGCTGTGCACCGCTGCGCTATCAACTGCAAAAGTGTCTGGGTCTAGAAACTTGTAATGCTGCGTTGGGAATAGCGAATGCTCTGCAATCCACAGGCAAGCATGAGAAATATTAATATTTGCGTTTCTTTGTGTTGCCTTGTTCGCATGACGAACTGCGTTTTTGCATGACAGGCAAAAGGGTCTCTTCTTGGACACGCATGACAAACTTTTTGGTCATGCCAGACAAGCATGACAAATCTCGCAATCTTCCAGACCCAGACACTTTTGCATTTGATATGCGCGCAGCAGGTTTTGAAGTCCGGGGAGGTGAGAAATCCGGAGTTGGCGTGGCAGGTGTTGGTATCGCAAACATACGCCGTGGGCGTCGTCGCCGCATTGGTTTTGACCTCGTAGTTATCAAAAGTAAAAATGTTTGTGATGCAGGGTAGCGTCTCATGATGAGGCTACCAATGCTGGCTCAGCATGACAAGTTCCTGAGCTCCTAGGTGTTGCCTATTCTGCATGACAAACTGCGCTTCTGCATCACAGAAAAACGGAGCTCTTGGGTAACGCGCGTGACAGATTTAAGAGTCATGCCAGACAAGCATGACAAACATGAATTCTTCCAGATCCAGACATTTTTACAATTGATAGTAGTCCTGTCCCGCCGTGGCGCACAAATACCGGCCGTTCGGCGATATCAATATGAAAAATCCCCCCTCCCCATATCAAAGTGGAAATTTCTGATTTTGGATGGCTAAGGGCTGGGCGTCCCCGAGTAGACTATATCTAAAAAACTTAAACCACATACCCGGTAAACTCTAGTAGGATTTTTATTTGGACGATGTGATTTCTACCGAAAGACAGCAACAGCAGCTCCTGGGAAGGCGGCGTAGAGAGCTGTGTTGTTATCTGAGTAGAAATAACTTCGTACAAATTTGCCCACTAGCACCGAGGGATCAAAAAAAGTATAGAGAGGAGTACTACCAAAAAGAAAAAACTAGTTCTAATTCCACTATATATAAAAACGCCCTAAAGCTGGCACCCTCGCACTGGTACAACTGAAAGACCACCAAAGTGGAAATTTCTGATGCTGGTTTGCGTACTCAAATCCGACTTGTCGTGCAGTAAGGCACCGCGGCCAAATCCGCAGCCTAGGTGGGAGCGCTCAGGTCTAGTTGTTCAGCATTGCAAACGGCTACCCTCTAGGACCAACAGCATGTCAATTCGCTCTCACAATTGGGCGGATTCCTCTGCACTTGTCTTCTTGCAAGACAGACCTGATTTGTGGTCACAAATCAGCAGCACAAATTTTCGGAAACATACCTTTTCAATATGGGGAGGGGGGATTTTTTCTCTTGATAGGCGAGTCGCACTTCTCGCGGCAGCCATTCATTTCCACTTCCAGCTCCGGGCCTAGGCACCGGTACTGCGCTGTTCCGTGGTGGGTGGGTTCACAGAGAAAATAGGTGTCCCAACTGTGGTAAACGGGGTTGGCCGCCCCCGTCTGCGGGTAGCCCCGGGTGGCAGAGGTCAGGGCGTGGAGCCAGGAGACGCCGGATTTGAATGTGTATCCATACCCGGTTGTCCCCGGCGTTTCCTGGTTCACCGGCGGGTAGCAGCCGAGGACGCAGCAGGAATCCAGACAATTTTGCCACCGGTACTTTTGCTCCGAACAGAACCGGTCCGGGTTAGCTTGGTTGGTCAGGTAGTACGCACCGACGGAGTTGTGCGCGGTTGATTGGTCCTCACACGAGTCTGTGTTATCCTGCGGCGGGTTCCCCGACGTGAACGAACTGCAGTCCGCCCAACACCGGACCTCGCCGTTGCTATCAAGCGGCTTCAGCTTGTGTATCCTGTGCAAAAGCATCGCACACCTCGTAGTAATTGCGTTTATGCATGAGTTTTCTTTTTCTAAAGGTATATCAGCATTACAAATTCATTTGCAATGCTGGGCTAGTTTGTAATGCAATTCATACTAGTACGATACTTCTACAGTTCGTATTGTGTTTGTCGTTGCAACTCGTGCAGTACTGTTTCTATGACAGTGCACAACTCCCCCTCCCTCTCATTTGTGATGCAAAACCCTAAGTCCAAGTGCTTTCCTGTGGCACTGTTTGCATGACAGATTCCGGAAGCCCAAACAGTACTGCACGAGGCGCATGAATTTGTCATGCACAGGCTCCACGTGTGGTGGTGTTTGTATTGCTGTTCATCTTATACAACTGAGGCGGAGGGGGAGTTTTGCACTCTCATAGTTTCCGTTGCGACTCGTGAACGATCCCCGCCGGCCGGGGGCACCGGAGCTGGCCGGCGATCAGTTCGTCTGACCTTACCGGCGTATGCATTGCAAATTATGTGTATGTCTGGGTCTGGAAATTTGTGATGCTACAATGTGACTGGTGGGCGCACTGCAATACGCAGCCCGGCACGACAAATTTTTGAGCTGCTCTTGTGTTTCGTTTTCCGCATGGCAAACTGCGTTTCTGCGTGACAAACAAGAGGCCCTTTTCCTGCTCCTGCATCACAGACTTATGGTTATGACTCATGCCAGACAAGTATGACAAACTTGCATTCTTCAAGACCCAGACGTTTTTGCATTTGATACGGCGTGCCGATTTGCAACTCCTGGTCTGCCGGAGTAGTCATTTGGTCCGCGGTGCACCGGCAAATGGGGTTGCAGCCTTTGACCTGCAGTTCCGTATCCGGGTCCTCACATTTCAAACTGGCTTGGTACCCATTCAGACTCACGAGGGACTCGTAGTTGAACTTGCACGTGTAATTGGCCTCGGTCTGCCACACACTAACACCCGCCCCGTGGGGGTAGAGTTCCTCGGAGATGATCACGCTGTGCCATTGGATGTTGTAGGGGATCTTCGCGAACGCGGACGGTTCCCGGCAGCCCTTGACGCAGCACCGATCCTGGTCGGTTGGTCGGTCGCATTCCCAATCTGTGCACTGGATCTATCGCAGGAAAAAAGTGTTACAGGTACACATTGTGTTGCAAGACCGGCAACACAGATAACCTTTCTAATGCAGGAAATGCTTGGGAGCCTCGTTTCCTTCCTGTTTTCCCTTATGATTTTCGCATTACAAGTTTTCCCTGCCACACAGAGAAAATAATTTGTGATGCAGAAACTCCAACAAATGTGTAACTGTAACACTTTTTTCTCGTGATAGGATCTGCGCCTCGTTTAACCGCTTGTGATACACCGCGGGCGCAACGTATCGCAAGAAAAAACTGCTTCACTGTAAACTTGGGATGCATAGAATGAAACACAGACGCAGTTGTCTTGCTAAGATGCAAGACATTGGGTTTTTAGCTCTGTTTTCATCCCTTAGGAACCTCGCATGGCAAGTTTCCTTTGTCATGTATATACGAACTTGTGACGCAAAACTGGCAAAATCCTTTACAGTGAAACACTTTTTTCTCACGATACAACGTTGTCGCAGGTCAAAGCTGTGCACATTTGGGCGCAGCAGTGCCGGAAATCCGAATTCGTGTTGACGATGTCGTATTCCGTTTCGCACATCATCTCTTTGCACTGCCGCCCCGTGTTGGTGATCACCTCGTAGTTGTTATGGGATTCTCAGCTGTTACACTCTCAACTGTTTTTACACGAATTTGTGATGCAAGAATAGAAAAAGTGAGAGAAGGGAGCTTGTTGCACCTCTCGCATTACAAATTTGGCACAGATTCCCATGCTGCTTAGCCCTTCAAAAATTTGTCATGCGAAGTAGCTTCATCGTGTGCATCCATGCTGATGAGCATTTTGCATAACAAATCGTGTAATGGTTGAGAGTGTAACGTTTGAGAAGGCCATAGTTGTGAAAAATGGGGTCGAAACTGCTGGTCCCAGTGACTGTGTCGAAACTCAAGGTATCAAGCGCAAAAGTGTCTGGGTCTGGAAGGTGGTAACTTGTGATGCTGTCTTTGGATTCCAAAAACATCTGCATTGCATGACTAGCAAAAGGAGCCCAATTTGTGCTACACGTGTGTGTGTGTGTGATGACCTTTAACTCCTGTCAGGGCGGCGTTAGAACAGATCTAGCCTCTGCCAATACCGTGGCGTTAGAGCAGATTTAGCCTCTGCCAATACCCCTAGGTGGACACCCGTTCCACGTCCTACAGGTACCACCCGACCGCACCCGCCGAACCGTTTCCGATTTCTTACGCGTGCATGCGGCCGGTGGGCGCTAGATGTGGCTGCCCTGCTTTACCATCCAAGCCCGCGAGCAAGGTGGAGCTCCAGCGTTGCCTTGCTGGGTTATTCTTACAAACGTGGAACGCTACTGCTTCTGTGGTCGGTTGCGCCTACACGGGGAGGGCATTTCTCATGCGGAATAAGCATCAGGAAGCCTTCTAAAAATCTGCGAAGATGCTAGGGCATGCATCACAGGCGTCATTGGTCATGCAAAATATGCATGACAAGCCTGGCAATCTTCCAGACCAAGACATATTTGCACTTGATACAAGGTCGGACTGGATTCACAGAGGTACTTCCCGGCCTCCGAGTCGCACGGTTCCCCACACCCTCTCAATTCGATCAACTGCCCCGACCCGAGACAGCGGAATTCCGGTCCATCCCCGTAGCCGCTGTGCGTGGAATCGCAGACGAGTTTTGGGTTTTTTCTCCACGTCAGGTCCCCCGGGTTGGGGTAGGAGGAGCTTATCCTGTGCAAAAGTATCGTAGTCGTACTATACTTCTAATCGTATTCATGCATTACAATGTTCTTTCTCAAGTTGAATCCGCATTACAAATTCTATTTCTCACGCTGAGGAGATTTGTCATGCGATTTATACTAGTACGATGCTTTTGCATTTCGTAGAGCTAACCCCACTGTTAAACTCGCTGTCCAAGATGTCCCGCCACGTGGCCCCGGCGGCCAACTCGAAGCCGTAACCCTCGTTCGTGTTCGGCTCCGGGGGCCGGCATATGCATTGCAAAAGCACCGTACTTGTATTGCAATCATGCATTACAAGTCTTTTTCTACAGGTAAATCCGCATTACAAATTTTTTCTATGTTGAGGAAATTCGTATTGCGATTTATACTAGTACGATGCTTTCGCAATGCATACGGCAGCCCGGAATGCAGCAGCTATCCCGGCAATCGATTTCGTTGCGTCTCTGCTGCGAGCAGTAGTCTACCACCGCGTCGGGGCTCTTTCGGGTGAAGTAGTACGCCCCGCCCGGATTTGTCGCTGTTGGGGTCGTGGCCGCGAAACTGGTGCAGGTGATAGAGCTGCAGGCCGCCCAGCAGCGCCGCTGCCCGTCACTGCCTGGAGTTCCGTCAGTGTTAGGGTGGTGAATGTAGTCAGTGATGCACTGGTGGCAGTACTGCTTCGCGGGACCGTATCCAAGAAAAAAACTGTGTTGGTGTAACTTTCTGTTTCTTTGGCTGTCAGCATCACAAATTTATTTGCTCTACATGACTACAGAGAAAAAAAAGGTCGTCGATGGTATCAGACTAAAGGATTTACGGAATCGGACTTATTTCTGGAATCAGGCTAGTGGAATCAGGCTAACAGTTGGAATCAGACTAGTGGAATCAGGCTAGTGCTTCAACATCGCGTCCGTGTTCTGTCGTGCTCGCGCGCCCGGGTCTGGTAGTAGTTTGTTGCGCCCACTGCTGAATCATGTGGCCGCTCCTGATCTTAAGCGGAGGCCTTTGGTGCTGTTACAGCACCAAAGACCTGCTTGACTTTCGGCACCATCCACGGGCCAGTGTCTCTCCGCCACCGCCGATCCCGTTCGATATGTCCAAGGGCGCCATGCTTCCCAACAACACTGACGCCAAGCCCGGGTAGATTGCCTGAGATATGTTTTTTTTATAGGAGATTCAGGCTGAAAAAAACGGGAATGCGATGCATAGGTCTGGCGCAAAATGAAAATCTACGCAGCAGCCCCTTTCTGCCTCGCACCACTACCATCTTCAGCAATATTCGTGTATAGGTATACTTAGAACCGCGCGCGAAGTTGCAAAAAAGTGCTCCGCGCGGCACTGCGCACAGTCGTCTCCTTTTCGCGGGCCTAGTCTTTTTGCCAACTCGATGCACGAACAACCACAACTCCAGAGGCTGTGTGCAAAACGCATGGATGCAAAGTCTTGGGGCGGCGCCCGCGCCCGCCGAGGCACGGCGAGAAAAGAACTAAAGATGAGGAAGGAAGCCGCAGAGCGCTGCAGCCACTGACGGAATAAAAAAAAGCGACATCACAACGAAGCGCCTCGCAACACTTGCTCATTGGTCCAGCGCCGGGCTTTGCGAAGTAGAAAACGCAAAAAAAGGGTCGACTTTTTAAAATTTGCCAGCGCTCCCCCCCTATTTTTTGCTCAGAAGTCGGGAAGTTGGGCAGTTTTTGTTTAAGTTCGAGAAATTGCCTCCAGATAAGCGCGGCGACTTCGCGTCTTTTCCTCTTGACATGTTTCAGCTTCCCGTCGTTCTGTGCGCATGACCCTGCCTGCGCCGCGCGGCCACGGCCCGGGCCGTGCTCTGCTTTTCGCTGTAGGCTTTCCTAGGATCTCTGCATGGGGGAGCAGCTCGCGACGACGCGAGGGCTTCTAGCAGCCAGGCGGTGCCCGCTAGACATGGCCGGCGACATCACAACGAGTCGCCTCGCAACACTGACTCCTTGGCCCAGCGCCGGATCTTGCAAAGTAGAAAACACAAAAACAGGGTCGATTTTTGAAAATTTGCCAGCGTTCCCCCCTTATTTTTTGCGCAAAAATCGGAAAAATATGCAATTTTTGTTTAAGTTCGAGAAATTGAATCCGGATAACCGCGGCGCCTTCGCGTCTTTTCTTCTTGACATGTTGCGCGTCGCTCTGTGCGCAGGAACCTGCGCGGCCACGGCCCGAGCCGTGCTTTGCTTTTCGTTTGGGCTTTCCTACGATCTCTGCGTGGGGGAGCAGCTAGTGAGGACGCGGGATGATCTCCTAGCAGCCACGCTGTGCTCGCTAGACATAGCCGGCCAACTACCTCGCCCTTTCTAACCAATGGGAGCGAGGCCAGACAGTTGCACCCCGCGCAAAACAGAGAAGTAGAGCGTCCTTTTTGGGAGGGTAGAAGAGAGGGCGGCAAGACTGAGAAGTAGAAAGGAGTAAAAGGCAAAGGAAAGAGCAGCAACAGCAGCAGCAAATCTGTTGCTTTGTTAAGGAAAACCATCACGCCCGCAATGCATTAGATGGAAAGTAGAGCACGACGCCCCTGCTCACTTCGCGAGAGCGAAGCAGTCTGTCTCCCTTCTGGCTCCGTGACGCCGCGCGGCGGTGTGTGAGAGTCGTAGTGGTGGCGCGAGGTCTCATGCATAAAGCTAGGACATGCGTTTCTTTATCTCGCGATTCGTTTCAAAATATTAATATATATAGTACCGCCGCGCCAAAAATAAACAAGCAACGTGGTATCATCTGAAAAAGAAACAATGTATCTGCATTTAGTACCTGCTAGGGCCCGCGCCCGTCATCCATGACACATGCGCGGTCTGCCAGTCGTGCCGTCGCGAGGATGAGGAAGCGAGTGAGCCGAGAATGATCCGGAGCTTGTGATAGAAGTTGACCCGGGCTGGCCACCGAGGATCGCCGAAAACAACTTCTATGCAAGATATACTATGAAAACCTTGCCCCCCCTCCGTCTAAATGTGGTCTGATGCGCAGACATACAAAGCATGCAAATCAAGTCCCGCCTGAAATAGAAGCGCGGCAGCGAACACGCACTGCCCACAGATGAATTGACGAGAAAGCGATGGGCCAAAGCGATGCTTGCAGGAGGGCATCAACATATCCAATGCATACGACAGAGAACACAATGACCGACCACATTCATTCGACGACGGATGGGGATGCAGACTCAACGTATAACTATAATTCTGATTCAAGTATCTTGATTCTACTCACTATTCTGATTCCACTAGTCTGATTCTACATCTAGTCTGATTCCATTAGTCTGATTCCATCTGTTTAGTCTGATTCCCTCTCTTACCGAAAAAAAAAGTGTGTCATGCGTGGCTTGTAAGGGAAAACACACACGAACAGAGGACTTCATGGGTGTCTGGCATGACATGTGTAACTCTGTTGCATGTTCTGCATTACAGAGTTACACTTACGCAGTTTTTTCCAGGCATAGCCCGGGGCACTTGTTGGTGCTGTGGTCCGGGGTGCCGAGGATGAAGTTAGGATCGGAATTCGTACTGGTGTCCGACGTGCAAAAACAGGTCGGCACGCAGGTTGACTTCTCTACCTCGGCCCCGGACGAAGGACACGCGAGGTCGACGAGCTGGGAGAGCTTTGAGGTGGGGAAATTGACCGTGTAGTCCGCTGGGTATTTCGTCGAATGGTAGTTAGTCGCACACTGGAAGCTTGAATGCGCGAAGGAGGGTATGGACAGGGGCAGAATTGATGTCGCTGAGTTCTTGTTCAGACTCAGAGTCGAAGGTTCTCTGAGTTCAATCGTTCAACGTGTAGTTGTTTATGCAAAAAAGGAAAGCCTTAGCCTGCTCTTGCTCGTGAGGACCGTAGTGTTGGTTTCTTCGTTTGTCTCACACCCATGATCCTCACGCACTACCACTAGTCAGGTAAAAAATGCCGGGGCGGGTAGCTTTTGCCATGCATCAAATTCTTGTGAGTTGTCCAGCCACTGACAATTCTGCGTGCGCGGGATACGAACTGCCGTTTGACCTGGGGAGATGGATGATAATCTTCTCAAGGAGGAGGAGGATCCTTCACGCCTGTTTTTAGCTATACATAGTGCTATCAAGTGGAACATGATGTCGCAGACCACCCGGAGGAAACGAGCAGGGAGGCACCGCTCTCAGGAGAAACACCTACTCGGCCAGCATTCACTCCTGTTCCTTGTACCAGACGCGCCATGATGCAACTACCACTCTTCGAGTTGCGGGCACTGAGGTACACTGTTGCAGCTTCTTCTCTTCGAGCCGCGGCCGGGTGCGCTCCGTCTGCTCACAAGCTTACCCTCTGTGGTGCGGCTGTCTACTCTGGGACGGTCCGGGGCTTGGGCGAGTTTAGGGTCATATCGGGCACCATATATGTTAGGTGCTTGTCCCTTAACTCTGTAGACTTTGCGCTGCCTCCGCCCTGGAGCAGCTTGCGGCAGAGCTCACCTCCCGTTTTTGTCTCGATCAGGTTCTTCAAGGTGGTAACATATTTGCCACGCTACCACCTTCTCTCGGGTGGTTCTGGCCGGACCTTCGTCTGGTTCTACAAAGTCCGCGTCTACGAGTGCAAGACGCGAACTTTAGCTGCGCCTTCAAAAATCTGAGATTCTTCCACTGAGCGGCTGCACTGGTTCGCGGGGAGTTCTAATATGTATGGATTTGCACCTTGAATCGAGAAAAGATAGGGATACATCAGGAATCTCTATCTGAGAAAATCAATATCAGGATCTATCGACATCTCAGCAGCTTGGGGTCCAGATAAATATCTTTCCTCGTCTCGTTAGCCTTTCGCTTCGGTTGGTTTTCTTGACCTGGACGCGGGCGTGACCTGTTGTGATCGTTCTTGCGCCCTAGGCGCCCGCAGATGGGGATGTATAGCCAAGGGTCCGGCTGCGCGTGCGGGGAAAAGATGAGAAGACGTCACCAGTAAAGAACACTCCCCGTGCCCTCTCTCTCTAGTTGTTCTAGTTGCTTTCGTGAGTTTCCTTCTGTCTCGGTGTTGCTGTTCCGCCTGCCACAAGAGGTATTTTCAGGCACTTTATCATGTTAGCTTTTTCCGTGTCGGCAACTTCGCCCCTGAGGGAGTGACGTTTTTTATTTGTAGTGAGGATGAGACCGCTAGACTAAAATATTTTCATTTTAACATCGCTGCACTTGCTCCTTTTCCACCTACTTCTCCTCCAGCTCGGCCGCCGTCCGTCGGTTTTCGCATGTTAGTGTTGAGCTGGTGCTTGCATGCGCTGCGCCTCGGGAAAGGTTCCGGTCCGCCCGCCCTAACACCCCTCGCCCTTGGATGCTTTGCCCGCTCGCTTTCGCCCTTCACCTCCACACTAGACTTCCAGCGCGGTAGAACAGCCTTCTGGATTTCGGTGGTTTTGGGTGCAGGATTCGGCGTCGTGCCCTCTCTGTGCGAAAACTCCTCTTCTAGTCACGGTCTGTAGCCAGTTTGAGGCCTTTCATCACCTCAGCACCCGTTTTCCCTCCTACCATCGGTCTTTCTACACTTCTCGCACCCAGGGCGCGAGCTTCTCGATTAGCGCGGCGCTCACCGCTGATCGGAGTTTTTCCGGTTCGTATGGTGTTGCTTCTTGTTTTTCGGTCACCGGGTGGCACTGTATGGCGGATCGCACACCACTTGGTAGCACGCCCGGGTAGATGTCACCTACCTCTTTGTAGAAATTGAGAAATTGCGGCACACTGCTGGGCTTTTTGATCAGATAAATTCGATAGCTTAGCTGTTTGATTCTCGGCTGACTGAGGTACTTAGTGCGGATCTGTGGGATTTCCGCTGCTTGGCAGTCGAATAGCAGATGGTCAGTGGTCGGAGCTGTCCTTCTCTTGCAGAGGGGACACACCATCACCACCCCACCCTCAGCTTCTTTGTCATGCAAGATCTTGCCCATGCCTAAACGCCCTTTATGTGTTGTTCCCACCCATAGCGGGAAGATTATACTATTGACGAAATTCGGCCACCCTTCGTTACTCTGGTAGGGTCCGATTTGTCTTGCTCTCTCTAGTAAGTAGGGGTGTGCAGAGGATCCTGCGTCATACTTGTTCAAGATTTTCTCTTCTAGTAGCCTGCGAAGCAAATTTGTAGTCAGCACCTTCCTATACAACTCTCTACCCACCTCTTCCCCCCGCTGGTGATCAAGCCCCTGCGTCGCCATCTCGTCCGCCCAGTCGTTGTAGTAGTTGCCCAAGTGCGATCCTGTCCATGCAAATTCGAATGAGCATCCTGGACCGGATGCCGCTTCTAGTTTCTCTAGTTCTAGCACCACCATTATTATCATGGGGTTGCTACGGTCTCTGTATGCTTTCAGGGCCATTAGCAGCCCATTGCTATCTATGTAGAACTTATGCTTCTTGATTCTTCGAAGGGTGGTAGGATCGACCTTTTTGATCAACTCGCGAATGTGATGGATAAGACCAAAGCACTCGCCATCAAAAGAGTCAGGATCCGCTTCTGGGATCTCTGACACAATGCCACAACAGCTCACCACCAGGGGAGCGGGGGACTCCTCCTGGAACTTGCATCCCGACCAGGAGGCACCGCCCCCGCTGCCCGTGTCTCCTTTTGCCCCTCCGTCTGTGCACGATACCATTATTGTTGGATCTGCGATGGCCCGCTGGATCTCGGCCTCTGTGATCTGGGAGATCAGCAGCCTGCACTTGTCCTTCAGCTTGTGGTCGTCTCCGCATGCTGCTGGGTCCGGGGCCCCGAAATCCGCCGCCACCGTGCTCATGTCGCGCACACTAATCTTGTCCACACCGCGCCAATACTTCCTACCGATGCTGAGCACTACTGCTGCCTCCGCTAGTTCCTTAAAGTCGTCGCTCAATGCAATACGGTTCATCCTGTCAGACCAGGCCTCTGTGCACGGGGCCCACAACGGGTTGACAAACTGCGCGGCTCCGACTGCTTCTTCCGGATCTCCTTGTGCGTGGATGTTCGCTGACGAGGGAAACTCGTCGGCCTCAACATCTTCATCAACTTCTGCTGTATCCGGGATGCCGGCGGCGCGTGGAGGAGAGGGAGGACGCGCGACACTACTGCTACTGCTACTATTGCTGCCTACTGCTGCTGAGGTTGCGTCTACCGGGGGCGCCGGAGGATGAGGACGGAGCGCCGGCGCCCTGACACTATCTGACTCATTACTGCCGGATCTATCTGCAGCTGGTGGTGCGGAGGGGTGGTGGGAGCTGCTACTGCTGCTTGACATACCGGCCTGCGGCAGGGAGGACAGGAGAAAGGAACTACTACTGCTACTGCTGCTTACTTGTGGCGCGGGAGGACATTTACTACTGCTACTGCTGCTGGGGGCGCTTTCGCCGACTGCGATGTCATACCGCGGCGGGGTGGGGAGAAATACAGCGCTACTACTGTTACTGCTGCTACTGCTGCACAGCGGCGCCGGCGTGGGAGGAAGAGGGCCGGCGGCTGCGACAAGCCCGACGGCCGGCCGGAAGCTCGGGATGTTGTCACTGCTGAGGTGGAGGCTCCATAGCTGCTGCGCCGCGCCCTTGAAGAACACCATCAACGCGTCCACCAGCATGTAGTCGATGGGGGGGGCGAGGCCGGTAGTGTGGAAAAGGACGGCATTACTAGTATTCTTCGGGAGGTCGAGGCGTTGCTTGATTTTACTACTGAAGGCCGCGCTGATTTCTTTCTTGGCCGCGAGCGTGAAGAAGGGAAAAGTCACCACCGAGATGGAGGTGACTGCTGGATAGGCGAAGGCGTTCATCAACATTATCAGCTGCTTTACTCCCCACCCCTTCTCCGTCTGTAGGAAATCGAACTCCTTGCCGACCTTGCGCAGCACCTCCTTCGCGTGAGCCCTGAAATTCATAGTGCCATCATAGATAACCCCGAGGCTCTTGCCTGTGCCTGTTGCTGATGCTGTGCATGGCTTTGTTGCGTCATACATAATTCTGGAATGTTTCGCTGCATCAAAAAATATCTTTTTCTGCAAACCCTTCTCTTTCATGACGCCGGGCACCTTGTCTGCCCCGGGGGATTCGTCTACTACAACTGTAATATCATCCGAATACGCACTGAGTACTTTCACAGCCTCTATCTCTAGCACGTCCAAGATCAATGCAATTGCATACCCATTCCATACTGACCCTGAGAGTGGCGAGCCTTGCGGCTTGCCCACCCAGAGGCAGTATGCCCGCCCTCCTGGTAACTTTATCTTTCGCATTTTGAGAAATCCGGCAACCGCAGCAACTTGTTGCTCGGGGCAGAGTCTCAGGCGAAGCTGCCCCAAAGTCTCAACGTGGCACACTATATCGAACCCACTACAGCAATCGTTGAGAACTACGGAGCACTTGACATGCCTATAAATTCCATTAATCACAACTGCAGCGCTGAACTCTTTTCCATGCGCTTGCCTGTATGCGTTTGAAAATGGTGGCTGGACGCTAGGCCCCTTGCCATGGTATTCAGTTCCTGTCCATTTGTGTCCCTCAAGGAACAATGACTGACGTCTGTCCAGTATGTTGTCCAACAATTTCGAGAAAACGCTACACAAGCTAACTGGCCTCATCAACATCTCCAAAAAACATCCTCCCTCCACCTTCGGAACGGCTGCCATGGATATCAGTCGGCCTACCTTCGGGTAGCATCCGTATTCGACAAAGGAGGCAAGGCACTGGAAAAGCGCCCACCGCATCATCGGGCCGCAGTTCATGACCAGCTCGTGGGTCGTCATACAGAAGCCCGGCGCTCTCCCCTTCTCCAGTTTACGTATCGCGGCCTCCAGCTCCTGGAACTTCAGCGGCCAAACAACTCCGCCGTCAGTCACGCTTCGTTTGCGGAGGTAGTCCCGTTCCGCGTCGCGCCACGCCGCCCCCACCTCGTCTTTGCTTGCCATCGCCACTCCAAATTCTTCGTAGACTTTGTAGGGCTTCTCGCGGAAGAAGGAGCGGATGACCCTGCACACTTCCGCGGGTGTGCGTGCCGCTTCGGCCTCCGTCGGGATGTCCTTCACCTTCTTGGCCTTCAGGAGTTTGTTGGCCTCGGACAGGGAGCGCACTGCTATGCCGGTGGTCCTCTCTAGGTAGGCGATCCGCGTAGCCTCATCGTTCTTGACCATAAGAGTCGGAAAGCCGGTCGACCACCGCGCTTTGCCTTTCCGCTCCTTCATCGCGGTCCAGTCAATCTCCTTGCGAGCGGCGGTGTCTACGTTGTCGCTTGGCAGTTCTACTCCTCCTCCAGCAACGGCTATCGGCCCACCTGGAACGGCTCTCGTGTCCGCTCCAGGCTTTTTATTACTCCCTTTCGTGAATTGCTCTGTTGCTAGTGCTGCCTACTTCTTCGTCTTCTCCCGCTTGAACTTCAGGGTCTCCATCGCGGCAGACCGAATACTATCCCGGATCCTCACGAGCGTGTCGTCAGCCGCGTCCACGCTAATCACCGCCCCCGGCATCCAGTCGTCAGGCGCAAGAATCTTCTGTGTCCAGTAGTCCTCCTTGGCTCCCGTCGCCCCGCTAAGATCAATCTTTCGGAATAAACTACTTGCTCTATCCTCGGCCGCCGCTCTGTATCTCATCCAGTCCTCGTCTTTCGCCTCGTCCATCAGGAACTTGATCCGGTTTTCGTCTTCAAAGGTTAGCGGCGGCTCGCATTCCCAGTCTGCAAGTTCTAGTAGATTCGGCCCTATCTTGAGTTCTGTCAGAAGCAGGTCGTGATCACTAGATGTCATGCTTATTGTGTTCGTATTTTCATGCTCAAAGAATCTACTTTCGTAAACTATCATGTCGGGGGTGGAGGAGGATGACGGGCGGGTAGCCAGGCGCCCTCCATTTGCCTGTACCCAATTTCCTTCATGGTTCACGTTGGGCCCTAGTAGCTCTGCAACAATCTTCCCTGCCTTGTTGGCAGTGAAGTCTCTCCTCGTGCCACCTGCGTCCCACTTCGCGTGCCTTGCATTCAGGTCGCCTAGAAGGATGGTGGGCAGCTCCGTCTCCGGGTGGACGGGCAGCAGGGCCTCGGTCAAGTTCTCGGGTGGCGCGTAGATCCCTGCTACTGTTACTGGGTGGTCGTGGATGCGAACTATTGCTACTTTTCTCTCGCACTTCTGGTCCGCCTTGCAGAGAACGACTTCGGGCAGGCCAAGCTCGACCCCGATCAGCAGCATGCTGGAGCACACATTTGTTCCTCGTCCTGATCGTTCGGCAGAGAAGGACGTGGTAGCCGCGTCTCGTCATCTTGTCAACCAGCCTGGACTTGTCCGCATCTAGCCAGGCTACATGCGTCTCATCTAGGTTGATTATGTTCAGCTCGACCTTGGTCTTCTTGTCGTCGAGAAACATGCAAAGTTCGTCCGTAGCAATCGGTGGCTGGTGCGCGGCGAGCACGTCCCGCCGCTGTGAAGTTGAATGCGCCGCCTGCATGTTCCACGTCCCGACCGCTATCTTGTCAAACACCGGGCCCCTGGGGCTCTTGAACTTGGACATGATGAAGGTCGTGTCGAGCACCGCATTCTTCTCCGCTTCCAGCAGGGCCTGATAGTTCTTGTTGTTAGAAGGACGGCTTGCGTGTAGGTTCTGATAGTGTTGGGCCTCGTAGATTACTTCCGCCGAACACTCCACGCACTGCTTCGGGATTCTCGTGCAGTTCGGACGCGACTGCTTGGTGAGTGTCTGCCGGCAAACCTGTGAGTGGATGTCGATGACGGTGAGATCGTCGTGGTTCGCTATCCCGCAAATCCCGCACACGAAGTCGCCCAGACACGCCGAATCGAGCATCCGCTGCCTGTGAATGCCTGGATGATAATCTTCTCAACAAGTAGGACTGAAACTGAAAACTCCTGTTTCAAACAGCACTCATTCCGTTGAGACGGAGAACCCAAAGCTCATCGATCGCGAAGAAAAGAATTCAAATTCAACGCCGTATAGAATCATGCAAAGCACTAAGTTAAATGCGGAATGTTGAGCCAATTTGTCGTCCTCGGATTAATATACAACTAGAACTACTAGTAGTGCGAGCTGATTTAGATGAAGATTTAGTTCCAATAGAAAGTGTAGTTCTAGCTATTTTCATTCTCATCTTCGTGCGGAAAATGAAGGGGCCGGGCTATTAGCATGTGCATGGTCTGCTCGTCCACGCTTGCGGTGGTGGTGAAAGTCGCCTCCAGCTGCTGCCCCGATTCGTTGTTCCAAGTGGCGATCGTTGAATCTCGAAAATGGTAATGGGAATAGGAAAAGGCTTTAGTAATGCACCACTCAACTTCATCTTCAAAAAGATCCCGCAGCTCCACTGCGTCGAGACGGTGTGTGAGAAGGGAACATGAAGTAGCAGCAGCAAAAATGAGGTGGACAAGGATTGAGGAATTTTTCCATTCTTGCCTATCGTTCTTTCATGTCGTACTAGGGGAGTCGCGCCACCAACTCTTCTACTACGGTAAATGCGTTGAAGATCTGAGAGCCACCCTTGCTGCTTCCATCGTACTATGGAGCCAAAGACCGCAAAAACTGAAACGAAAATAGACGCGCGGCTAAAAGTTGGCTGCAGCAACAGAGATGAGTCCAGCTGCTTCGAACAAATTTTGTTGTTCTTGCTGAAACAAAAACGCTACTTGCACGCACGACCACAGTGAAAACTACTACCGCTGCCGGTCTCACAACAGTAAAGTGCGCGAATGGAAATTATGTCAAGACCTTTATTCTGGTGGATCCGATTTTCATTTCAGGACGCACGTGGGAGTCACAACTGTACAGCAGCACCTTAGATGGGTGGTAACGCATTTATTCATTTTCTTCCATTTACGCCTGCTGGTGTGCGTGCGAGACAACGGAACACTTTTTCGAAGAAAGCACTGGTGACCTCCAGTGAGATGACGAGCTATCGAATCGTCAACCGTACTGCTGGGCGTAGCGCTAGCAGATTATTTTGAATAGCTGGGATAATTTGGGGGTGGGTTCCCAATCATCTAAGTAAGTAGCTACAGCACAGTGGCCGGGTAATGTCGAAGTTTTGTTCTCTATCGTATTTCTGGAGCTCATGTATCGCACGGGGGCGGGGCTCGTCACTAATATCACAGTCTAAGGAGCATCAGCATGCAACTACGTCCAATTTAAATAAAAACTCATCATGAGGACAAATCGGCTTCAGCATTCGCTCTGTTCTTTCGTTCTCGTCTTTTAGTCACTTGCCTCACTATTCCTTCTGCATCTGGTCGCGTCTTTCTCCATTGGGAGGTGTTCGTCTAGCTAGTTTCAAAAGCAAAAGAAAAGTGAACTATAAATATATACCCCCGGCGAGCCCGTGCAGGTTTGCAAACCGCTGGCGGCAGGCCTCGGTCATTTTCAAATAATCAACAGCAGCATCGTCCGTCGGTGCATTTCCATTTTCCACCTTCGCGATACAGTTTTTGCTCGGCGACTGGACCTGTTTCAAGAACGCGATCCCCTTGCAGTCGCTATCCCGCGCGCACCAATCCAGGCAATCCTCGAACGTTTTAAACCCCGCGGGCTGCCCGTCGGCTGCGCTGCCCCCGGCAGCGTAGTTTTTTCCCACCTGCCGGATGCAAAAATTGTTCACGTCGTCAGTATCCCACGAAAAAACTGTTTCACTGTGATGATTTTGCAAGATCTGCATCACAAGTTTGTTACACATGACACTGAAAATTTGTCATGCGCGCTGCCCAAGGGAAAACACGCTTGAAAATCCAATGTCTTGCAGGTCTAGCAAGACAAATAGTTCTGTGTTCCATTTTTCTGCATCACAAGTTCACAGTGAAACAGTTTTTTCTTGCGATAGTCAGGTTATGAAATGCAATGGTATCGTACAGCCAGTACTTGGCATTACAAATTTCCTTAGCATGACAAATGGAAGGTGTCATGCTGTTTTAGCTTAAGAAGGCGACTTGTCATGCATAATTGCGATTACTACGAGTGCGATGCTTTTGCATTTCATACAGGTGGTGGGTAGAGCTCCTTCCGGACCAACGCGGTTGCAAAGTTGATGTTGTAGCCCGTCGTGACTTGGGGCGGTTTGCATATGCATCGCAAAGAGGTCTGGGTCGGGAAGAGTGCAGGAGTTTGTCATGCTCATTTTGCATGACCCATGAGGCCTGTGATGCATGCCCTAGCATCAAAGATTCTGCGAGGGTTTGTTTCTCATGGTCATGCCGCATGAGAAATCAATGCCCTCTCCGCGTAGCACAAATTGCACCTCTTTTGAATGCTGTTCATGCACTACAAATTTTCTGCAGAATCCAAAGGTAGCATCACAAGTTGCATCCCCCCAGACCCAGACATATTTGCAAGGCATATTGCACCCCTTTACGCAGCAGTTGTTCGCCTTGTCGCATTCACTGTCTTCGTCCCGGGCGTGTGTACACCAAGGAATCAATATCCCCAGGAAATAAGATTTTCCCCCCGTACTTTTAGAAATACAAAAACATCAGCATCACATCTTCTGGTTTTTGCATGACAAAACTTTTCTCCAATCCTCCTGCTCAGCCTCTTCTTCTTCCCGAGTGTATGCATATTATGAATGATCTCACGACCACTATTGCCAAGAAGTTGTTTGCGATGCATTTTGTCGTTTTTAGTTGTACTTGTGCGCGGCGTGGGGACGAAATACATTTCCATTGCATAACCAGGCAGCTCATGTCATTGGTGGTCCAGGCTCCAGTTTCAAAATCCGCGGCCACCCGGCTCTGGTAAAAAGCCCCGTTGTTATGAAAGTGCACAACTCCTCCTCCGCCTCGTTTGTATGGCATGAACAGCAATACAAACGCCCGTAGTCTTGAAGCCTGTGCATGACAAGTTCAAGTTCACCGGCCGAAGGTTGTACTGTTTGGACTTCTGTTGAAATTTGTCATGCAAACAGTGCCACAGTGCAGCAAATGGATTTGCGGTTCTTTTGCATCACAAATGAGGGGGAGGAGTGGGAGTTGTGCACGCTCATAATTGTTTGGCTCCTGCCCGTGGCAGTAGTTGACGTGGTCACACTTCGCCCAGCACATTCTTTGTTCGTAGTACTCGTTGTCGACACTCCAGTGAAAAGCGTTGGGACTCGCAGCCACATCTTGTGTATTCAGTACCCGGACCCCGAACTGCGCCGAATTTTCGCACGACGCGCAGCGTTCCGCGTGCGGCGCCGGGCAACCGGTGTCGGTCTTCGTGCCGTGGGCGCAGTCGCAAATTTCCGCGCAGCCCCGGCCTTGTAGCGGTTGTCCCGAACCCGGGCACTTCAGCTGCAGAGTCCCCGTGTAGTCCGTGAAGTTTATCACGCAGAAAAAAGCAGGCAGGAGGTCACATTTGTAGTGCAACAGTGAATACTATACGTGTTGCATATCCCAAACAACATGCAGCCATGAGGCCGCCCATGACAGATTTTTCTGTGTATTTGTTTTGGCACTACAAATATGCCCTGGCTGCTTTTCTCTCTGGGATAGAGTTGCAGTGGTACAGATTGGTGTTTGCGACCCAGCCGCCGCCTGGGTACAGGCCGGCGCCCGTGTTGTAGTTCTGCCAAGAAATCACGCTGGTCCAATCCTGAGATGGGACCACATTATACTTGTGCACAAACAATGGATCTTCGGCACCCCCGACCGTGGGTACCACGCAGCCCTGCATACAGCAGGTAGCTTTATGCACTGCAAAAGTATCGCACTAGCATAAATTGCAATACAAATTTCCTCAGCATGAGGGATAAAATTTGTAATGCTGATTTACCTTAAGAGAAAGATTTGTGATGCATGATTGCAATACGAGTACGATACTTTTGCATTGCATAAGCTTGGTCCCCTTGATCATCCCCGTCGCAATGCTGTCCGGCACACCGTAGGTTCGCGTGGTCTATCATATGCAAATATGTCTGGCTCTCGAAACTTGTGATGCAAATCTCGGAATGGTGGGCGCACTACAATATGCAGCCAAGCATGACAAGTTTTTGCACTGCCATGTGTTTCGTTTTCCGCATGGCAAACTGCGTTTTTGCATGACCGGCAAGAGGCCCCGTTCCTGCTTGCGCATTACAGATCTAGGAGTCATGCCAGACAAGCATGACAAGTCCTACATTCTTCCCGACCTAGACATTTTTGCAATTCATATGGTTGGCATTCGGCAGAAGGCCTCCGGGACACCAATTTTCGGTTTTGAACCGCGTGCACCTTTCCTGACAACCGGCGAGGTGTATGGCGTTCTCAACTGTTCTTACATTCTCAGCTGTTACTTGGATTTGTGATGCAAGAATGGCAAAAGTGAAAGGGGGCACCTTGCGCGTCTTGCATGACAGATCTGGCAAAGATTCTCAGCCTGTTTGGCTCTTCGAGAATTTGTCATGCGAAGCAGCTTGATCGTGTCGATTCTGATTGTGATTTTGCATTACAAATCATCGTACAAGTTGAGAATGTAACATTTGAGAACGCCATAAGGAGCAGTTTCGTGTTGGGTGCTCCGCACGTGTAAGTTGCTGCACCCGCATGCGTGGCTGCGCACTGCAAGTGTGTCCACGTTTTCGCTTGATTCAGCTCCGGGTACGCCAAAGCTCTGCTCTTGAGCAAGTCATCTTCCCAATCTTTCCCGTTTAGTAATTCGTATCCAAAGGTATCCCCCGGCAGCGTGCACCTGTGCACGCAACACGCGCTCCGATCGGCTGTTCCGCAATGGTTGTCTGCACAGTGCGCGGTATCGTCCTGTACTAGAAAATAGCTAAAATCCGTCCCGCAACTAGCGTCCGGGTCGGTTTTGCACAGTTCCTGACAGCGGTCGGTCTGAATTTCCAGATCTTGCCCCGACCCCAAACACCTGACCTCGCGACTCAGCCCCTCGGCTTGTACGTGGGTGGTACTATCGCAGGTGATCCGCGAACTGGCTGTAGCCCAGCTGGCTGTGGCTTTGGGGTAGGCGAGGGCTGGGTCTTGGATCACATCAAGCCAGGTGGTCACCGCAACGAAGCCGTATTTATCACTGTCTGCAGGGTTCACCACACACCCTTGGACACAGCAGGCTGCCTCATCCCCGGTGTATGTACTCTCATCCACACAGTGCTGCCCGGAGCAGGTCAATGCGGCGCGGTTTTCGTGTGGTAAGTAGCCGCTGTTGCACCAGTCTGCAGTTTCGAACTTCGTACAGCGTTCCTTGCAGCCGGTCAGCTCTAAAGCTGTATTAGCAGCTGCACACTCATACTGCGCAACGCCCGCATGGGAGCTCGAACACTCCAAATGCGCCCAGGATTGAAACTGACCGGCAGAACCCCCCGGGTAGGTCAGAGTGGAATTTCGCAGCAAATCGGCGACCCAATCTTTCCCGTCTTTCAGTTGGTATCCGACGGGGTCTGTCGGTGGTAAGCACCGCTGCACGCAGCACTTATTTCTGTCGGTAAGCGCGCAGTGGTTGTCAACGCAGTACATATCGTTATCAGGGGAAAGAAGGAAAAAGTCGCCCGTGACGCCGCAACTGGCCTCGTGTCCTGTCTTACACTTCTCACGGCAATACGCAGTTTTGATTTGTAATTTCTGCCCGCTCCCGGCACAGAAGGTTTCCGGGGTGCCGGAACCACTTGTTACGTGCGTCTGCGTATCGCAGGAAAGCAGTGAGCCCGCATCGGCCCAAGCGGCGGCACCAGGGTAGGCACTCGCTGCGCTTTCTCGCACGGTGAGCCAATCCGGAGTGGCAACGAAACCATACTTATCGTTACTCGTGGGGTCGATGCAGCCTTCGATGCAGCAGGTTGCGTGGTCGGTTGTCTGGTCGCAGTACTGCCCCGCACAGGTGAGAGACGCGTGATTCGACCTGGGTAAATAGCCGGGGGCAGCACTACTGCACCAGTCTGCATTTTTGAACTTCGTACAACGCTCCTTGCACCCTTGGAGGTGTAAAGCTGTATTTGGGCTCGCACACTTGTACTCCGCCGCGCCGTCGTGCGTCGCGGCACATTGCAAGTGTGCCCACGTTTATCGAAGGAAAAAACTGTTTCACTGTAAACTTGTGGTGCAGAAAGTGTATTGCAGAGAGGTGTTTGTCTTGCTACACATGCAACAAGACATTGTAATTTCAAACGTGTTTCCCTTAGGAACCTCCCAGTTTCCCTTAGGAACCACGCATGGCACATTTTCTATAGTGGAACAAACTTGTGCTGCAAAACTTGCAAAGTCCTTACAGTGAAACACTTTTTTCGTAGGATAACGTTTTCACTTGATTCTCCGGGTACGCCAAACCCCGGCTCTTGAGCAGATCTTCCTCCCAATCTTTTCCGTTTACCAACTGGTACCCAAAGCTATCCCCCGGCAGCGTGCACCTGTGCACGCAACAGGTGGTGCGGTCGGTGGTGCGGCAGTGGTTGTCTGCGCAGTAGGCGGTGTCGTTTTGGACAAGGAAATGCAGCGAATCCGTACCGCAACTAGCGCTTGGATCCGTTTTGCAGTACTCCCGGCACCGGTCGGCTTTCAATTTCAAGGGCTGATGCGATCCCGTGCACCACGTTTCGGGAGGACTGCTCTGTGAAGGCATGATGGCCACATGCGTCGCAGAAGAACAGCCGACGCGGGAGTCTGCGGTCGCCCAAACAGGGGCTCCGGAGCCGGTTGTCGGGTGTATCACATGTAAAAAGGTCCCCACCCCGTAGTCAAGTTGGGAACTTAGCAAGACGAGTCGAGAAGTTTTGGGAGCCACGCATGACAAGTTGCAGTCCGTACTGTAGTGCATGGTAGCAAGGGCACCCGCTTCAGAAATCCATCTGCTTATCCTGTTTACAGCATTACAAATTCCAAAACGAGATTGGAAATGCCTCTCATGTTGGAGATGCGCGTTACAAATCTTCCTGTAATCGCAAATCTGCATAACAACTATGGGGTGGGGGCGTTTTTACTCAGGATAGGGTAGGCCAGCGCCGGGTCCTCGCGGACATCGAGCCAATTTATCCTGTGCGAATGTATCGCACTTCTAATCGCAGTCATGCAAGACAAATTTCTTTTTCAAGCTAAATCAGCATGAGAAATTCCATTTGCCATGCTGATCTAAATATGTATTGCAATACCACGAGTGCGAGTACGATACTTTTGCAATGCATACAATTGGCCACGAAGCCATACCGGTCACTCTCGGAGGGGTCCAGGCAGCCTTCCACGCAGCACTGCGCCTTCTCCTCCGACGAGGTACCGAATCCTGTGCAAAAGCGTTCCCAACATCCCAGAGTTGTCATGCAAATGCGCAATGATAGGAACATCTGTATTGCGAAGCTCCATGAGAGGCATTTCCAGTCGTGTTTTTGCGTTTGTGATGCTGTAAACAGGATGAGAAAGCGGCTTTCCCATGCGGCTTTCCATGCTAGCCAGGACTACACTGCCGAGGGAAACTTGTCATGCAGAACTTCCAAGACTTGGAGATTTGTGTCGTAGACTTCCCATCTTGAGCTTGACTATGTTGGTGTGGGGACGTTTTTGCATAGGATATGCCGCAGGTTTCCGTGACACAGGCCAGGCTCGCCGCGTTTGCCTTTTGCAGGTACCCGGGAAAGTGGTCTTTGCACATCACTATGGCGTTCTCAAACTTTAGACTCTCAACTGTTACACGCATCTGTGATGCAAGAACAGCAAAAGCGAAAGGGACAACGGGAAGTAGATTGCGCGTTTTGCATTACAAATATGGAACAGATTACTATCATGTTGCTGCTTAACCCTCCGACAGTTTGTCATGCGAAGCACCGTAAAGCAATTTTGCATGACAAATCTATGTAACAGTTGAGAGTGTAGTAACGTTTGCGCACAACGCCATAGTCAAGTGATTGCACATTTGGTTTTTCTGGCAGCAGCGCTCCTTCTGGTTGCCGCTGCAGTCGTGGTTCGTGCAGCGCAGGGCGTCCGGATTGGGTTGCAAGTGGTAGTAGTCCTGCCCGGCTACGTCATAGTCACTGCAGGCTATCCAGGAAAAAAGACCTATCTCCAATTTGTCATGCAAAACATGCATAAAGTCCAGTGTTTGTCATGCCAAAAATGGATGGGGATGGGTGTTCTTTCCTGGATACAGGTCACCCCCGCGCTACACCTCATCCGGCAACAGGTCGCTTGTTCGCTACTGACGCAGCGATTTTTGGCACAGGGGTGGTCATCCTGGCGCGGCAGCTGATTCGCGGCGCACACGCCCGTGGAATGCTTGCACTTCTCCCCGCAACGGGCCAATTTCAGGCCGAGCGGCAGGCCTTCGCCTTTGCACCGCAGCAGCGGATTGCCAACAAGGCTCACGTGGGTGGGGGCGCACTCCAGCTGGGTGCTTATGAACTGCAAAAGCATCGCACTAGTATGAATCGCATGACAAACTTCCTCAGCATGAGAACTAAAATTTGTAATGCGGATTTAAGTTGAGAAAGAAATTTGGAATGCATGACTGCGATTACTACGAGTGCGATACTTTTGCACAGGATAGTGCTTGCATCGAACCAATCATTCAAGCCTAAGTTGTATCAACTGCAAATATGAAGTCTGGGTCTGGATGAGTCCAGATGTCTGTGATGCTGGTTGTGCATGACCGAGAAGGTCTGCCATGCAAGCGCTAGCATCACAAATTGTGAGAAGCAGAACGCTTCTCAATGCCTATCCCGCAGAACAAATTCCCACTTTCCTTCGGCGACAAGAAGTGCGCAACTTTTGCTCTCCGTGCACGACAGATTTTTGTGTGATCTAAAACGCGCATCACAAGGTCGCACTCCACTTCCAGACCCAGACGTATTTGCAAAGCATAAGCTGGGATCTGGGTAGGCCAGTGTACTCGACTCGCGGATTTTCAGCCACGTCCAGCCGTTTCTCAAAGTGAAGCCGTAGGGATCCGCAGGGTCCGCGCAGCCTTCGACGCAGCAGCGAGACCGCTCGGCCACTGCCGTGCTGGAGGTGTCGCAGGGCTCGCTTTCGCAGCTCAGAGTTGCGGCGTTGCTCCGTTGCAAATACCCATCCCAAATGCTCCCGCAGGGAACGTGGCTGCACTTTTGGTTGTCTTCGCAGCAGCGGGCTTCGTCATTGGCTAGCGTGCAGACGGCATTCGCGCACGCGGTACTGGATGCCTGGTCCTTGTGGTGCTTGTATTGCGGACAGACCAGGGAAACAGTGCACACGTCGTTGGACTCGCAACAGGTGCCCTGATCCTGACTCGGCGTGCAGGTAGCGGCCGCACAATGCTGCTGCGCCGCGTTATCTATCTGGTGGGTGAAGGGTCCACAGGTGAGATTGTCACACGTCTCGTTCTCTTCGCAACACTCGTCTAGTTGACACTGGCTGCTGGCGCACACAAACGTCGTCGCCTGCACCAAGTGGTGGGTGCCGGGCGGGCAGACGCTGGCCGAACAGTAGTCGTTAAGATCGCAGCAACGATCTCGGTGCGCTGTGTTCGTACCGAGATTGCAGCTGTGGGCGCCGCAGGTAAGCATTCCGGTAAGATCGTTCTTTTTATGGTAGTTCGCCGGACAGTTTCCCGCGTGGCTGCACTTCAAGAAGCAGCACTTGGCGTCGGTGCAAACGCCATGGGTGCAGGAGCGGGTCCCCTGCAACTGATAGCCCACGCCACATGTGATGCCCTGGTCCGCATCGTTGCATTTGTGATCGCCTTCGCAACAAATGTCCTGGTTCTCCTCGCTGCTACTGCAACTCGCGGTCTTGCAAACTGTACTGCCCGCCTGTGGGATCAGGTGCGTGCCAGCATCGCACGTCAGCGTGTCACACTTCGCATTCTGCAGGCAGCACTCGCTTATGGTGCAGACCTTTGCCGCGCACGTCGTGGCACTTTTGGCAGGGTCAAAGTGGTGCGTGTCCGCGGGGCAGACGCCAGGGTCGCAAGTTGGATTTGCGTTGCAACACTGACCCCGCTGCGCGACGGAATTCTGCAGATCGCACTGGTACGCCCCGCAGTTAATCGTGTCTGGGTTGTCTTTTTGGTGGTATCCTGCCGGGTATCAAATGCAAATTTGTCTGGGTCTGGAAAAGTGCAACGTTTGTCATGCACGTTTTGCATGACGCATGAGGTCTGTGATGCATGCCCTGGCATCACAGATTCTGTGAGATCTTTGCCATGCCTTCTCCGCATGAGAAACTGCCTCTCGGCTTGCTCAAAAGTGGACAGCGTTATTGGTAATCACGCAACACAGGTTTTTGCATGATTCAGATTTAGCATGACAAACTGTACTCTACCAGACCCAGACATATTTGCAATGCATACCGGGCAAGCGCCCGCCGCGCTGCACTTTTCCCGGCAGCACAGTGCCTATCCTGTGCAAAAGTATCGTGCTCGTAGTAATCGCAGTCATGCATTACAAACATCCATCCCAAGGCAAAACAACATGACATCGGTGATCTACGGGCAGCATGACAAATTCCCTTTGTCATGCTCAGCTAATTTGTATTGCAATTTTTACTAAGTGCGATGCTTTTGCAATTCGTAGTGCCTCCGACGGATCAGCATGCTGATCCGAATCTTGACGCTGATAAAAGTTACTGTCGCAAGCGACGCCCTTCGTCGCGTCGTCGCACCTGTGGTCGCTTTCGCAGCACTTCTCTCTCTCCTTGCTAAGATCGCCATTGCACTCTTTGCTCCGGCACCGAATGGTCGCCGCATCATCCTTTAAGTGGGTTGCGGGACCACAGCTGGTAGAACTATCTGCAGAAGGCGGACTACTAAAAAAGCTGCAAGTTTTGGTGCAACACATACCTTTATCCCCAGCTTTGCACCTGGAACCTGCGCACTGCGCCCCATCGTTCCGGCCGATTTTGCCAGGGTCGCAAAGGGTTATAAACTCGCACCTTTCTTTGCATTTCTGCTCCCCGTATGGCGTACCAGCACCGTCGTGCAGCTGTAAAGCCTCGCCCGATCCGGTGCACCTTACATGCACCTTTATGGCGTTCTCAAACGTTACATTCTCAACTGTTACATGATTTGTAATGCAAAACGAGCATCAACATTCACAAGGTGAAGCTACTTCGCATGACAAATTTTGGAAAGGCTAAACAGCACCTAAATCTGTGCGGAATTTGTGATGCTACAGATGCAACCTCCCTGCTTTGACTTTTGCCATTCTTGCATCACAAATCCATGTAACATTTGAGAATGTAACAGTTGAGAACGCCATAACCTTCCCGTTCGGATTGGTGTTGTGCGTCGCCGAGGCGCAGGTTACCGGTGGCGATCCGGTGTACACGTTATAAGCGCTGTACTGGTTGCCGGGGTAAGCAGCTACCGGATCCGTCCGCACGATAAGCCAACCGCCCGCCGGCGGCACAAACCCGTAGGCGCCCGAGGCGGTCGTCGGATCTGTGCAACCTTCGACGCAGCAGTTTGCTCTCTCCTCGTCCGTCGTCGCGCACGCGCCTTGGAGTGTGGGGCTGGACTTGCAGGTCAGAGAATCGGCATTGCTGCGATTCATCCACCCAGACCACACTCCGCTGCAGTCCAGCGTGTCTCCTGTGCAAAAGCATCGTACTCGTACTAATTGCGTGTATGCATTACAAATCTTTTTCTTAAGGCAAATCCGCATGACAAATTTAACTTGTAATGCTGGCCCAATTTGTAATGCAATTTATACTAGTACGATACTTTTGCAGTTCATAGCGTAGAGCACTTCGCATTCGCTTCGCAGCAGGTACTCTGGTCGCCGCTTGTTCCGCAACTCTCATTATCCTGTGCAAAAGAAGTATCGCACTCGTATTGCAGTCATGCATTACAAATTTTTTTCTGAAAGCAAATCCGCATTACAAATTTCATTTATCATTTCTCATCATGCTGAGGAAATTTGTCATGCATTCATACGAATACGATACTTTTGCAATTCGTACTCATTCTCGCAGAACAAGGTCGCCGCATCGTCCTTGTGATGCGTCCCGGTGCTGCAGGTCAGGGAATCGCAGCTCGCACTCGCTTCGCAACAGGTACTCTGGTCGCCGTCTCCGCAACTCTCAGTCTCGCAGAACGAGGTCGACGCGTTGTCCTTGTGGTGAGTCCCGGCGTTGCACGTCAAGGAATCGCAGCTCGCACTCGCTTCGCAGCAGGTAACCTGGTCGCCGCTTGTTCCGCAACTCTCAGTCTCGCAGAACAAGTTTGCCGCATTGTCCTTGCGATGAGTCCCGGCGTCGCAGGTCAGGGTATTGCAGCTCGCACTTTCGTTGCAGCACAAGTCGAGGTCTCGGGAATCGCTGCACGCGTTCGCCCAGCAGTGAGCGCTGGCCTGCCCCGTGTTGTAATGCCATCCGGCGCTGTCACATACGCCGTGGTATATGTTGCCATGATAGCAATCCGGAGTTTCTTGGCAACACCTCGCTTTGTCGCTGCTATGATCACAGTTCTGATTCGTGCAGACGGTATTTGCCGCGTATCCTGTGTAAAAACGTCCCCACCCCAGAGTTGTCATGCAAATCTTTTTTTTTTGATTAGGCCCCATTTTCATGTAGTTTCAGTTTCAGGTGCGCTTTCCGCTCGTGATTCGGCGGGGGTTAAGCCGTGTAACGAGTTCATCATTTTTTTAAGCTAGGAGCCGGCGCGCGTTACTTAACGTGTGAAATCTGATCTCACGAACACCGGCCGGCGACCAAGCAGAACCGGGCCGACACAATATTTCACACAGTTAAGCAGATGGCGCGGGTATCTGAGTGCTGTTTTTTTTTGTACCAAATTTAAACTTGTCGCCTGCCCCAGCAACTTGCTCTCGCTTCGCAGCCGTTCTCTCCCTCCGCCCCACACGCCTATCCCACTTGGCCAAGTCCTCTTCGTCCTCCTGTAGCTCGAACGGTACGCGCGGCTCCCCTCATTGGCACTTGTCTTGAGCCCCTGGCCGTTTGTCTTGATTCCCTTGCCGTGTCCTCGCTAGCAGGCCGCGCCTCTTCCCCCGCTTTGCCGCGTTGTCTCCGATTCCGCGTTCGTTGCTCATGATGTTTTCTTTTTATCTCAGCCCAGCAATACTATACCCAACTGCGACCCCTTCTATGTATCAAAGTAGTTCCAGTTTTCTACCTTACCAGCGCGGCTGCTTCGTCTTCACTTAAGTTTATCAATCAGTCTAGTCTTTTGTACTTGCATTCACCTACATACTTCCTTATCCTAAATTACGCCCCCGCCAGCCACTTGCTGGAAAAAAAAAAGAACCGCGACACGGATTGCCTGGATGTTTTGGAAAAAGCACAGCCGGTGGGGGGGGACCACAGGAGTCACCCCCCCGCTAGCTGCGCGGCTGTTGAAGTATCTGCTTCTACTTTTTACATGCTTGTCTACGATTTTATGTCTCACGTCGTTACTTGTTCATATAGTGCTTTCTTTCTTAAACGACGAAGCGCTTTCTTTCTTTCTTCACAACTTTTTCCACCAAGATCGCCATCATTAAGCTGCTTCGCATGACAAATCTCCGAAGGGGCTAAACAGCATGTAAATCTGTGCCAAATCTGTAATGCAAAAGGCGCAAGCTTCCCCCATTCACTTTTGCTGTTCTTGCAAATCTGCATGCTGAAAATGTTTCTCATGCGGAGCCCCATGAGAAGCATTCTATAGTCGTGCTTTGCAATTTGTCATGCTCTAATCAGCATGGTGAGCTAGATTTGTGATGCTGCTGAGCTAGCTCAAACAGCACTACACAACTACGAATCCAAATTTGTCATGCAAAACAGCCAAAACTTGTGGATTTGTCTAGCCGATTCCACCCCATGATCTTGACTATGGTGTGGGGACATTTTTACTGAGGATACCGCGGTGCCCTTATTCCTCCACCCGCGGCCCCACTCGTTGCTGCATATGGAAGTGTCAGGTTTGAAATCGACAAAGTTGAAATAATTTCTCATGCAAAAACTGCAAGGCTTGAAGTGCCTGCCTTGCCGGGATGGCAAGTGAGGCCGACTGTCAGCCTGTTTACCGTTTCAAATAGAGCTGCTGCAGGAGCATGACAAAAGCAGTCGTCTGTACCCAAACAGCATGACAAATTGGATTCAGGTGCTCGGAAAATTTGTCATGCATCGCTTGGGAATTGGGCTTCCAACTAGTATCAATTTTATGCATTGCAAGTTATTTCAACTTTGACGATTTCAATCCTGACGCTTCCATACTGCACCCGTCCGGGTTACTGCCCCCCTTGTCGTGAATGAATTTGCATTTCGGATTCGGGTCGCAGCACCGGTCGCGGTCCTTGTTTGTGTCGCACTTCCCGGTGAGGCAATGGCAGGTCGCCCCACCATTCTTTCGGTGGTAGAAGGTGGGGCACGTCCCGTATTCGCCCGCCGGATCCTGAACGTCTTGCCAGAATATAGAGGGCAAATGAGTGATCTTAGGGAGTGCTCCTATCCGTAAGAAAAATCGCAGTCCGTCATGCGGATTTGCTATTACCTCCTGATAGATTTGTCATGTGAAAAGCACACCAAAAGCCACTCCATTCCATGCGGTCTGGTGTGATTTTTGGTGGGCGTTTTCGTTCGTTCGTGTGGATCGGCTCTGCCGACCGAGTGACCCATCGCCTCACATACAAATAACCGACATAGGCGAACCCCGTTGCGGGACATACAAATTGGCCGTACGGAACGAAGGGCCCTAAGCGCTACATACATAGTTCACCCTAGCGCCTACCACTTCGGTCGGGACTGAGTCAGCCTGGTCCTGGGGGTTCACAGCGCACTAGCCCTCTGCTAGCATAAACAGACTGGGTTCTGCAAACTGATCTAACTTCTCATAACAGTAAGGCCATCACAGAGGTACGCTGAAACGGGATCGGGGCGCTCCGTACGGAAGGGGGCCTTTCGACGCGGCGCACACTCTCCTGTAGAGGTTTACGCGGAACACGGATGGGCCGCGCACGCAACTCAGTCGAGGAGGACACGCGCTCCCTCAATAGCAGAGGTGGTAGTCACTCACGGCGGCTGGCCTGTCTGAAAACGGTAATCCTTCCCCACCTCCCATCTTCCCGGTTCGTCAATGACTCTGGCAAGCCATGTTACTTAGACTCCCCGCGCATGCATATATGGGACGGCTGGGGGGTTTTGCAAAGAGCTCTCGCCGCCCCTGATCTACTATAAAAGAAAAAGCCCCATGACTTCGGCGGAGCTGTTTAACTATTAGCTAGCTGATGGCCTCCTGTTTCATAATAGTCTTCCCTTTCTCCTCCTTTCCCCTTTCTCAATTTAACTCGCCTCCTTTCCCCCGCCTCACTCGCCTTCCAATTTCACTCGCCTTCCCATTTAACATGCTTCAATCTCCCTCCTCAATTTAACTCGCCCGCCAATTTAACGCGCGGAGCTGGCTGCTTTGTTTCGGCTTGTGGTGCAAAATCTTCGCTGTTGCTCTTCTCGGCTCCCCGACCTCTGCGCTGCGCCTTGTTTAGTCACCCTTTTTTTTTGGGCGTTTTGCAACACAAAAAGGGCTCTCCAGGCGAATCCGCATGACAGGCTGTCTTTTTTCTTCGGACTAGGAGCAGCCAGGAAGATCACTCATTTCCCATCCATACAGAAGCATCGCGCGTTCCCGTTGCACTTGTCCTGGCACCGCGATAAACTGCTGCATATGGCGTTCTCAACTGTTACATTCTGAACTGTTACATGATTTCTCATGCAAAATGGCAATCAGAATCGACATGAACATGATCAAGCTGCTTCGCATGGCAAATTCTCGAAGAGCCGAACAGGCTGAGAATCCGTGCCAAATCTGTCATGCGCGACGCGTTAGGTCCCCTCTTTTACTGTTGCCGTTCTTGCATGACAAATCCTGGAAAAACAGTTGAGGATGTAACAGTTGAGAACGCCATACTGCACCCACCCGACGTATGGTCGTCCGGATCCTGGATCAGTGCGGATCCTGTGCAAAAGTAGTGTCGTACTCGTATTGCAATCATACATTACAAATTTTTTTCTTGAGGTAAATCAGCATTACAAATTTAATTTCTCACGCTGAGGAAATTATTTGTCATGCATGTATACGAGTCTACGATGCTTTTGCATTGCATAGCGCGGCGCAGAAAGCGATATCCGCTAGGAGCGCCCGGTCGGTATTGACATTAAAGTCCCTGATATCGTACGAAAGAATTGTTTCACTGTAGGGACAATTTTGCGGGTTTTGCATAACAAGTTTTCTCCAGCACATGACAGAGAAAGTCAAAATTTGCGGCCATGCGAGGTTCCTATACGGAAAGCACAGCTAAAAAGTCAACGGCTTGCATGTGTAGCAAGACAATGGCAAACCCTTCTGGTTCATCTGGGATGCAATTTCTGCATTACAAGTTTACAGTGAAACAGGTTTTTCCTGCGATACGTGAAGAGGTCGTTCGCGAGACAGCCCGTTGTCGGTGGGATGTTTCTATCCTGTGCAAAAGTATCGTATTCGTAAGTCCTGCATTACAAGTTTTTTTCTCAAGGTAAGTCCGCATTTTATTTATCACGCTGAGGAAATTTGCAATGCATTTATACGAGTACGATACTTTTGCACTGCATAGTTTCCCGTGTTCGACTTCTTGACAAGCGAAAAGTGCTGCGAAGGAAGCAATGTTATCCTGTGCAAAAGTATCGTATTCGTATAAATGCATTACAAATTTCCTCAGCATGAGAAATAACATTTGTCATGTGGATTTAGCTTAGAAAAAAAATTTGTGATGCATGACTGCAGTTACTACGAGTACGATACTTTTGCACAGGATAAGTGTGTCGCGCTGGCAATTTATCGGCTTGCTGGCGTCGTTTGCGTGCCACGTGAATTATGAACTGCAAAAGTATCGTACTCGTAGTATTGCAATACAAATTAGCTCAGCATGACAAATGGAATTTCTCATGCTGATTTAGCTTGAAAAAGAAATTTGTCTTGCATGACTGCGATTAGTACGAGTACGATACTTTTGCAGAGGATATGAATCCATCTTTGGCAACGACCCAGTTCAGAATATCGCCGATTATCAACTGTAAAAATCCCTGGATGTCTGGAAAAATCCAACTTGTCATGCTGATTTTGGATTCTAGAAAAATCTGTATTGCACGAGCAGCAAAGAGAGTCCAAGTTTTGCTACACGGAAAGAGCATTTGTCATGCGGTATAGGCATCAGGAAGCCCTCACCAAATCTGTGATGCTAGGGCATGCATCACAGACATCAGATGTCATGCAAAATGTGCATGACAAACCTGGCAATCTTCCAGACCCAGACATTTTTACATTTGATACCGATTCCGTAGCCAAACATATGGATTGCAAATATGTCTGGGTCTGGAAGATCGCCAGATTTGTCGCGCAGGTTTTCCATGACCCATGAGGTCTGGATGTAGGACATAGCATGACAGATTCTGCGGGACCTTTCTGATGCCTATCCTGCAGGAGAAACTGCCTCTCAATTAGGTCAAGAGTGCACAACTGTTGGCAATCATGCAACACAGTTTTTTTATTTTGCCTGATTCAGATTTAGCATGACAAGTTGCAATCATCCAGGTGGCCCAGACGTATTTGCATGTGATAGAACACGGGACAGAACTCAAAAAGGTGCGGACAGGACGTGTATGGGTTATTGTCGCACGCTATCAGGTGCAAAAGTGTCTGTGTCTGGAAACTTGTTATGCAAATCTACAAATTGTGGGCGCACTGCAATACGCAGCCCAGCATGGCACGTTTTTGCGCTGCTCTGTGTTTCGTTTTTCGAATGACAAACTGCGTTTTTGCATGACAGGCAAGAGGCCCTGTTCCTGCTCATGCATCACAGATTTCTATACATAAGACTCATACCAGACAACATTGATGACAAACTTGCATTCTTCCAGACCCAGACATACTTATTTGCATTTCATACACGCTTCGTTGCACTGATAGTCGTAACAGTTTTTGTATCGGAAGGAAAAATCCCCCCTCCCCATATCAAAACGAAATTTCTCATGCCGGATTTGTGTACACCAATCAGCTTTGTATTGCAGGAAGGTATTGCGGCCAGATCCCCATGCTGTGTAGGAGCGTATCGGTCTAGTTGTTCAGCATGGCAAACGGCTGCCCTTTAGGCTTAACAGCATGACAAATCGCTTCCATAATGGGGGCGAAGCTTTTGCCCTTGTCTTCTTGCAAGACAAATGTGATTTGTGACCTCAAATCAGCAACACAAATTTTCGGAAACATGCCTTTTCGATATGGGGAGGGGGGATTTTTCCTCACAATATTTTGCCGTCCTCCGGCAAGCCTGTGCCCGCGTAGCCCCCGTCGCACACAACGCCGATATCAAATGTAAAAGTGTCTGGGTCTGGAAGAATGCAACTTGTCATGCTAAATCTGAAGCATGCAAAAATCTGTGTTGCATGATTACCAAAAGTCGCCCAGTTTTGACCAAGTCGGGAGGCAGTTTCTCATGCAGGATAGGCATGAGAAAGATCGCACAGAATCTGTCATGCTAGGTCCTGCATTCCAGACCTCATGGGTCATGGAAAAGCTGCATGACAAATCGCGCATTCTTCCAGACCCAGACATTTTTGCATTTGATAGCCGAACCCGCTGGCCGATTCGGACGGGGCGTCCGCCCGACGCCCACACTCCGAGTTGGCGAGAGTATGGCGCTCTCAAATGTTACGTTCTCAGCTGTTGCATGATTTGCCATGCAAAATGAGCATCAACGTCCAGGTCCACACGATAAAGCTACTTCGCATGACAAATTTTGGGAGGGCTAGGCTACTTCAACAGCATGGGAATCTGTGCCAAATTTGTAAGAGTGGGGTAACAAACCTCCCACCAGAAGTTGCAGGCCAACTTCCCATCCACCCGGCCGGGTGGATGGGAAGTTGGCTTGATTGGCCTGTCCGCGTCGCCCGCCCACCCCTCGCTCGCCCCTTCGCTACGACCAGGCGAAACTCGACCACCCTCGACAGCCGCAGTGTGCTGCCGTCTGTCCCCCCATGGTTGTTCTTACGGGGCCCCGTATTTGGACAGAGACAGAAGCGGGCGGTCTACTCCAATAACGAACCCGCTGGATGCCCATCGGCTTCTTCAGAGATAGAGGCGCCGCGTCTTCTACAGTGGTAGGCTGCGACTTTGCGCAAACTCGCAACCACCCACCCAAGCCGGTGGCTTAGCTCGCAACCCGATGACGTTACGCTTCTGGGAGATCCGTTTAGTGTCAATCTCACTTCAAGTGAGATTGACTAAGGCAAACTAAACAAAATTTAACAATGTTAAATTTTGTTTAGTTTCTTAGTCGGCGAGATCGATCGTGGTAAGGCAAACGCCGCCACGAAACGCGCCCGCCCCGCCGAATGGCGGGCGAGAAATCTGCAAGCATGCAGAAGATAGCAAGCGCTGACGCTCGAAGAGCGTGCGCTACGTTGCTCGACCGCGGCACCCGCCCGCCCTTGTCTCGGTCGCCTGGGTATGACAGGCGCGCAGATCCTAGCTGCCAGACATATGACGTTTCGCAACTGCTCGAACTCGCCAACGCATGCGCCGTCGTTGCGCGCCGTTGTTGTGGCGCCCTCGTGCGGCACTGAATGCGGTTGGTGTCGGTTTCACCTCAGCCCCTTGTGTGGTGTTGGCTGTGACCCCGCCTGCGGGGAAAATCAGCACTCGCTCCTCGCGGACCTCCACCTCCCTCACACGCGCGCATAACATCCGCGGCTCGCGGGCCCCGCGCATACGAGCGCGCGTGCAAAGGCTCGCACGAAATCGACGGCATGGGATGCAGCCTGCTGCCGCAGCTGCTTGCCCATGATCTGCCCTGCGGGAGGGCTCGCGGCTGGCGCCGTCGCGTCCCCATGTGCATATTGGCTTGACGTGTCGCGGACACCAAGCGCAAATGCGAATAAAGAGGGCGGCTAGCTGTAGCTAGCGCTTCGCCCATATCAGCCGCTTTCTCGAGTCTCGTCGAGGGTGGAAGTCAACTCGTAACCACCCACCCAAGCCGATGGCTTAACTCGCAAGCAACCAGAAGGCGTTACGTTTCTGGGAGATCCGGGATCCGGGGACGAGCGGGGGGTGGGCGGGCGACGCGGACAGGCCAACCAGGCCAACTTCCCATCCACCCGGCCGGGTGGATGGGAAGTTGGCCTGCAACTTCTGGTGGGAGGTTTGTTACCCCACTCTAATGCAAGAGTTGCAAGATCCGGCCTCTCCCTGTTGCCATTCTTGCATCACAAATTCATGTGACAGTTGAGCATGTAACAATTGAGAATCCCATAGAGAAAGAATTCGGTGTGCTCCCTCAGGTGGTCCCACGCCTGACCCGGAGCTTCCTGGTCCCAATACGAATCCGACGTGTTGCACCTATTGTCTAAATCCGTATACGGTATGGAATGCAAAAATGTCTGGGTCTGGAAGAGTCATGCTGTAGTTTTGGCATGACACAGAAGGTCTGGTATGGGAGCTCTGGCATCACAGTTTTCGAGAAACTTTCGCAATGCCGAATCCGCATGACAAATGTCGCCCCATTTTGGTGGCAGAAACTGTAACTGAGCAGCTTTTGCTACCTATGCATGAGAGATTTTTCTGTGTCCTGAAATGCGCATCACAAGTTTGTATTCTTCCAGACATCCAGGGACTTTTACATTTGATATACGGCGTCAGGAAACGATGGTACCCAATATCGCACGTAGAATGCTGCTATGAACTGCAAAAGCATCGTACTAGTATAAATTGCAATACAAATTAGCTCAGCATTACAAATTAAATTTGTAATGCGGATTTGCCTTAAGTAAATACATAAAAGCACTTAGTACGAGTACGATACTTTTGCACAGGATAGCTGCCCCCGTTTTAGCGGCCTGCATATCAAATGCAAAAGTGTCGGGGTCTGGAATGCTGCCGGGTTTGTCATGCATATTCTGCATCACCCAGGATGTCTACTGTAATGCACGGCCTAGTACAACGTAGCATCGCAGATTTTTAGAGGGCCTCCTGCTCCTGATGCCTACTCCCCATGACAAATGCCCTCCCCGCGTAGCACAAACTCGCCTCCTCTTTCTGGTCATGCAATACAGATTTTTTTAGAGTCCAAAGTTAGCATCACAAGTTCCAACCTTCGGCACCCAGACACTTTGGCATTTGATACTGCACGCAAAGGCACCACCGTCGTCGAAGAAGACGCTCGGGCTATCGTAAGGGAAAACCCCTCCTCCCCATATCGACAAGGTGCGCCTCAGAAAATTTGCAATGCTGATCATTGACCAAAGATCGTCTCTGTCTTGCAAGAACGCAACTCCACAGACAGCCGCCGCATTCTGCAGGCGGTTTGTGATGCTGTTGGCCCTACAGACTAGACATTTGCCATGCTCAGCGCCTAGCCCAAAACCTTCCTACTCAGGCTTATTATAGGCCTGCAGGAGTCTTTTCCAGCAATACAAATCTGATTTGTATACGCAAATACAGCATCAGAAACTTCATTTTGATATGGGGAGGGAGGATTTTTCCTTTTGATACGGGTTCCGCAGTTTCAGCACTTCGTGCTGCAGTCTGAGGAGGCAAGATTGGTCTACCGCGACACTGTATGCATTGCAAATATCCCTGGATGTCTGGAAGGTTTCAATTTGTGATGCTGTCTTACGATTCTGAAAAAATCTGTACTTATTGCATGAACAGCAAAAGCGGTCCAGTTTTTGCCACGGCGAGAGGGCATTTCTCACACCGTCTAAGCATCAGGAAGCCATCTAAAAGTCTGTGATGCTAGGCCATGCATCACGACAGACATCATGGGTCATGGAAAATACGCATGACAAACCTGGCACGTTTCCAGACCCAGACATTTTTGCACTTGATACACTGCTAGGTGCTCCGCCTACCGCAGTCGAAGATGTGGCAGAATATCTACTTCCGCCTGTGTTTTCCAGATGACTTGTTCCGCTGCTGCTGCTGGTGTCGAGTTGTAATTGCGCACTGGTCCTCATTTCCGAAGGTGCTCTCCTCGTCGGAGAAGCTGCTGCAGCTGCAGTATTGTGAGGAAAAATCACCCCTCCCCATATCGAAAACGCGCGCTTTTCAAAATTTGCGATGCTGATTTGTGGCCACAGGTCGAGTCTGTCTTGCAAGAGAGCAAAGCCAGACCTTCCGCCGCATTTCGCAGGCGATTTGTAGTGCTGCTGCGCCAATGGGGCAGACATCTGCCATGCTAAGTGACTACCTCAAGCCACCCCTGTCCAGGCTTTGTATCTACCTGCAGTGCTCTACTGCAAGACAAAGCTGATTTGTGTACGCAAATACAGCATCACGGACTTCCCCTTCGATATGGGGAGGGGGGATTTTTCATTTTGATATGCAGCTGCCGGTGTACTACTAGTGGCCCGGACCGGTGGACCGACTACCACCGACGTCATGCCGCCGGCGCCGTATCAAATGCAAAAATGTCTGGGTCTGGAAGAATACAGACCTGTGGTGCGCATTTCAGAACACAGAAAAATCTCCCATGCATAGGCAGCAAAAGCTGCCCACTTTCTGTCACCAAAATGGGGAATTTGTCATGCGGATTCGGCATTGCGGAACAAGCTTCTGGAAACCTGTGATGCTAGAGCTTCCATGCCAGACCTTCTGTGTCATGCAAAAACAGCATGACGCTTCCAGACCCAGACATTTTTACATTTGATACGCCGTCGCCCTGGAATAAATAGCCGGCTTGTTCCTCGTCGTTTCTCTTCTGGTACGCTGACGGGCCGCTGTTATCCCACAGAAAAAAGCCGACAGGTCACATTTGTAATGCAAAAATAAATACACAATAGAAATCTGTATTGCGTAGCCTAAACAGCATGCTATGAGGCCGCCCATGACAGATTTTTTTCTGTATTTATTTTTGCATTACAAATATGCCCTGCCAGCTTTTTTCTGTGGGATAGCTGTAGGCAGATGAAAAGTGGTCCTCCCGGTCGCGGGGGCCATCGTCCCCGTAGAAGTTGTCGTCCAGAAACGTGTATGAACTGCAAATATGTCTGAGTCTGGGAGATTGCGAGATTTGTCATGCTAGTCTGGCATGACTCTAAACTCTGTATTGCGTGCCCGCGCAGACGAGCTTTTCTTGTCTGTCATGCAAAAACGCAGTTTCTCATGCGGAGTACGCAACTCTGAACCACGGAAAAACTTGTCATGCTGGGCAGCGCATTCCAGTGCGCTCACTCTTCCCTTTCTTGCATCACATCGGAGGTCTTGCATCACAAGTTTCCAGACCCAGAAATGTATGAATTGCATAACGTGCTATTGTTGGCATCTTCTTGAGGGAAAAAATCTTGGCTCCTGTTGTTCAGTTTCTGCGCCGTGGCCTGCAGCATCTCCTCCAGCTCAGGCGTTATGATGTTCTCAAATGTTACATTCTCAACTGTTACATGAATTTGTAATGCAAGACTGGCGAAAGTGAAAGGAGGAAGATTGTGCCTCTTGCATATACAAGTTTGGCGTAGATTTAGATGCTGTCTAGCTCTCCCGATTTTTGTCATGCGAAGCAGCTCGATCATCTGCCGGCTTAAGGTACTTTCATGTAACTAACAGTTGAGAATGTACTTAACGTTTGAGAACGCCATAGCCGTTTCCGTGTTGTTTCGGATCGCCGCCTGGATTTCGTCCAGCTGCGCCCGCCCTCCTTCGGTTGCCGTATTCTGTGCAACTACAGTATCGCGCTCGTAGTATTATAAATCGCAGTCATGCATTGCAAATCTGCATCACAAGGTAAAACAGCATGACAAATTGCAGATGATCTCATGCTGAGCAAATCCAAATTTGTAGTGCCATGTATTATATGCGATTTGATATACTAGTACGATACTTCTTCTTTTGCAATGGTTATGCCGCCAGTTGCGACAACAAAGCCCGGTGCCCAAACAGCCCTGCTGTGTTGTCTGGCTTTCCCTCCCCGCCCGCTGCACGAGGCTGCTCGATGTGCCCCCGTCCTCCTAGAGACGCCGGCGCCTCCTCCTGCCGTGGGCGCGGCTGAATCTTTATGCCTGGCGTTGCGTGTGGTTGCAGTAGCGAAAGGGCCCGCAGAAACAGCGGCTGCAGGTGCTTGTTCTGCAAAGCTGCGCCCACAAAGTGCCGCACGGATATGGCATGCTCAGCTGGATGAACAATCTCAACTGAAACTACGAATGCAACTGCAAGTCGTAAATTTGTCTTGCATAAAAGGGCAACAACAGAGCCAGAGTCTCGTCTGCTTGCAGCTCCAGGTCTTTTACATGACAAATTTTGTACGGATTATAAATCAAAATCATGCCAATGGTGGGCTCGTGTGTAAAGAAATCAAACAAGATTTTTCATGCTAGACTCTATGTCAGCCACACAGGTCATTTGCATTTTATTTGCATTCGAAAAACAAAAAAAAAGTCTCCATCTGAAAACTTTCCCTCTGAGCAGGCCATAATGTAGGACCGCGCCTTCTTATGCTGTGCAAAAGTATCGCACTCGTTTAAATGCAAGCCTTGCATTACAAATCTTGTTCCCAAGGCAAATCTGCATTACAAATTTTATTTCTCATGCTGATGAACTTTGTAATGCATTTATACGAGTACGATACTTTTGCAGTTCATACTTCTGTTTCCAATACGACGCCATGGATGGGGAGGCTGTACTATGAACTGCAAAAGTATCGCACTCGTATATTTGCATTACAAACTTCCTCAGCATGAGAAATAAAATTTGTAATGCGGATTTACCTTAGCGTAATGCATGATTGCCATACGAGTACGATACTTTTGCACGGGATATGTACTGCCGCCCGACGAAACAACTACCGGCGGCGCGTGGTCGTCGTGCTGGGTCGACTATCCTGTGCAAAAGTATCGCACTCGTATTGCGATCATGCATTACAAATCTTTTTCTTAAGGTCAATCCACATTACAAATTTTTTTTCATGCTGAGGAAATTTGTAATGCATTTATACGAGTACGATACTTTTGCAATTCATAGGGTCGACGTTCCATTTGCTTTTTTTGGAGAAGCTAGTCCTGCCGGAACGACGTTGTCTTTTATTTGTTGGACAGGAGCGGCAACATTTTGTCTTTTTACTTCATCTTATCAAATGTAAAAATGTCTGGGTCTGGAAACTTGTGATGCTGGGTGGCGTATCATGATGAGGCCACAGGTGCTGGCTCAGCATGACAAGTTTCTGAGCTTCTAGGCGTTGCCTATTTTGCATGACAAAATGCGTTTCTGCATGACAGAAAAGTGGAGCTCTTTGGTAACGTGCATGACAGACTCAAGAGTCATGCCAGACAAGCATGACAAACATGCATTCTTCCAGACCCAGACATTTTTACATTTGATACATCTTGTTCCTGCGCGCCGAAGAAGGACGCAGAGCCTGAACTGCTTGCTCTTCGTGAAAATGCTTCTTTGCGAAGCTTGGTCTTGGTCCTCCCCTCCGCGTCATCATCTAGTTTTATTTCCGATTGCTGTAGTTCAACACCAGCATCAACCGAGTGATCACGACGACCATGTTATCAAAATGAAAAATCCCCCCTCCCCATATCAAAATGAAAATTTCTGACGCTGATTTGCGTACACCAATCCGACTTGTCTCGCAGTAAGGCACTGCGGCCAAATCCGCACCTAAGGCGGGAGCGCTCAGGTCTAGCTGTTCAGCATTGCAAACGGCTACCCTCTAGGATCAACAGCATGCCAAATCGCTTCCACAATTGGGCGGAATCCTCTGCAACTTGTCTTCTTGCAAGACAAACCTGCTTTGTGGTCACACATCAGCAACACAATAAATTTTCGAAAACATACCTTTTCAATATGGGGAGGGGGGATTTTTCCTCTCAATACATGTTGGAGGACGCGGCCAGGATGTTGTTGGACATCATGATCAACATCATCTACTCCCTCGTCCTCTTCATGATTCCTTTCATTTACATTTTCTTCCACCCCGGGATCCAGATCTCCTAGCTGGGCTCGGCGTTTCGTCTTCGCTGAGACCGCCCGCGCCTGGACGCCCAGACCGTCGAGAAAGCTGGCTCCTTTGGAATTGGAAGATGATCTGTGGTCCTCGAAACGTCGGTGGTCGCGGTCGCCATGGTAAAAATCGCGACGCTCATGAGGAAAAAAAATTGATCCCATATCGCCTTCGCGGGGGGTTGCGGTTGAGGAGGTGGACCCGCCACTGAAAATATGCAATGTAAAAGCATCGATCGTACTAGTGGTTTTCGATAAATATGTTGACAAGTTGTACAAAAAATTTTTTTCGGAATCCAAACTGAAATTTGTCATGCTCATGCGCAATCTTCAGACCTACGAGATGTATTTGTCATCTCCATTTGTCATACCAGTAGACAAGCACAAATTATTTCGATGCGGTGGATACAAAAACTGGTCCTGCAACACCAACGCGGTCGAAGCGCAGGTACAGAAAACACCGGACGCGGTTATGCAGGTTTTTTCAGCTGGAACAAAGACTCAAAAAGTGGAACCATCAATGGAATGCATAAAGTTGTCCTGCATAGATACAAAGAGGTGCAGCTTTAGTTCGAGTTTCGTTTGCTCTGCATGACGTCGAATTTGAGTACCGATTTCAATGCGGGGGGGTCGGAGTGTCGCTAGTTTGTTTATGCTAGACCCGCTTACAGGTACGTCACCTAGTACATTTTGCATCGCAAATCATTCTACCCCTTGAAGAGATGACTGTTCCATCTTCGCAGGCCATAACGGTCGCGCAGGTGGAACAGGATGAGGATGAAGGGCTCGGCCCAGCGAGACCCGGTGGTCGTCCCCGACGTGGTGGAAAGGTATATCAAATTAGAAAAGTCCTCAGCTGTATTTTTCCTCATAGGGCCAAAAAAAAAAAAATTTGCGCGGGTTTTTATGTATCAGAACCAGGCCCACCCTTCAGGAGGTTCTCCGGGATAGGGTACAGCCTCCATCTATCAGGCTGCATTGCGATGGTGTTTGGGATACGAAAAGCAGACCAATTGAAGCCAATCACGGCGGCAGTGCAAAAAGAAAAACAGCACACCGTCGCGCTTGAGCAAAAAGTGACCCCGTGTGGCCACCGTAGCATCGGTAATTGAATGCAAAAAAAGCTTCTCCCACTGCTACCGTATTTGTGCTCACTCTCCTTCCTGACCCTAGGAAAAGCTATGATTTATAGCATCAAAGTGAGCTGCTTTTTGAGAGAGTTCTGATCCAGAGCTCCGTCGTGGAAGTCATTTGTACTCATAGCAAAAAAAAATGAGTACTCATAGCAAGGTTTCGGACGTCAAAATGCCAAGGATTTTGATCAAAAAAGCAGCTTTTTTTTGCAAAAAAAGCATCTTTTTTGCCTTCTCCGCATTACAGCCTCGACGGTCCGAGTCACAATTCTGGCCAACTGAGGCACTTCTTGGCCATGCTTTTCAGCGCCATACCGTCGCGATGAGTCCTCTTTTTCAAAGCAATCCCATCACTCACAAATAAGCAGCAGGCGCATAATTTCCGAACTTGCCGTGAATTGCTTTCCGCTTGGGCGATGCTACACGCCTTGAGTTCTGATCTACAAATATGCTTGAAATTTATTTTTTTTTGCCCTATGAGGAAAAATACAGCTGAGGATGTTTCTCATGTGATAAGGTAATATCGGCATTTATTTCTCGGCACAGACTACAACAGTTATGTTGCTGTTGGTGTTTCTTACTCTTCCGCTTGCTGCATTTGAACTTGTTGATGTTCTTGCGAGGGCAATTTGTTCGTGAAAACGACGCGCCTCCAGCCGGTCGGTTATTTGCGGCAGCTTTTGAAGATTCTGTAGTGGAAGATGTTTGTGGTTTTCTTGCGCGGAAGACGTAGTTATTCCTGTTCAATAAGTTGTTTTCAGACGAGTCAAAATCAATTTTTCCCGCCGTTGACTCCTCCTCAACATTCTGCTGCTCCCAGAAGTTGTAGTCCACAGACGACCCCGCGCGACTGCTGGGTCCTCCTCGTTTCAATATTTGTCCCGCAGCAAATCGAACCGGAGGACCAACACGGGCCGCACAGGTGCAGCAGGATAAAAAAAGCTCCTCCTGGGGAGCTTGTTGCTCTGGCTCGACGAGGGCCACATCTTCACCGTTTACTTCTTCTTCTGGTCGTTCACCTCGTCGGGGTGCAGCAGGTTGTTGTTCAACATCTACTACATCTTTGGCAGGGGTAGATGAACCGGATGAACCGGATGAATCCACCATCTTGTTCGTGGTAAAACTCTTTTGCCCGAGATCTTTGTGGTAGTCATTCTTGTCGCCGCGGGGTGGTAGAAGCCGCTCTTCGACGTCATCCTCCTCCCGCGGAATCGGGGCGGGAACAAGGGCGTCGGTTTTTACATCAACGTCTCCTAGCTTCTCTTGGGATGATGATGATGAAGATGAACCCGATGGTCGTCCCCGACCTGATGGAAAGGTAATATCGGCATTTATTTCTTGGCACAGACTACAACAGTTATGTTGCTGTTGGTGTTTCTTCTTCTTGTTCTTCTGCTTGCTGCACTTGTTGATGTTATTCTTGCGACGGCAATAATTTGTTCGTGAAAATGACCACGCGCCTCCAGCCGGTCGGTTATTTGATGCATCAACGTCTCCTAGCTGCTCTTGGGATGATGAAGATGAGCCACCACGTCCTCGCGCCATCATCCTTGTACGAGACAAGATGAGGCTGGTACTGGTACTGGTGTTCGTGTTGGTGCTGCCCCTGCTCCCGGTCCTCGTCCTCCCGTGGTTTTCGTGATCTACTTCTACCACAACTGATGTTTCTGTTGTGTTGTAAGAAGCACTTCTACTGCAGCAGCTCCGGTGTGCCTGTGGTTGTTCCCGTGACGATCTTCTATGTCGTGGGACGACTGCCATGTTGATCTTCACGAAGTACAGGAGTGCCCCCGGCCCCGCGGGGTGGTCGCTCTTACAACTGGGCCAACACCTCCTCGCCGAACTGTTCGGATATTCAACTTGACCTGGTTGTTCTGGAGAAAAAAACTACTGAGTCGCGTCGTGTAGTCAGTCAGCTAGCTTGACCTCGTTGTCCGAGCTCCTTCTACTTTTTCAGATTTCATGTCACTTCTATCCTTTTCCTTGGTTTTGAGGTCAAGCCCTCGCTAGTCAAGGGTGTCACTTTTTACTTACTGCTGCAGCTTCAAAAAAATTACTCCGGATCTTTGTCCATCGTGATCTTGGTTCGGCTGCTCGTCCCGCGAGAAAGAACTTTGCTTCCCGGGGAGTTTTATGCATTGCAAATATGTCTGGGCCTGGAACAGTTGGAGTTTGTCGTGCAGGTTCTATATGGTCCAGAAATTCAAATTCTTCATTGCGGGGCACAGCATCACAACTGGTTCTGCAAAAGAAATCCCCTCCCAGGGAGGCCAAAAGTGGACAGGCACAGATTTATTTGCTACTCGTGCATTACAGATTTTTGAAAAACCTGTAACTGACAGGGAGCGTCACAAGTTCCAATCGTTCCAAAGGCCCCAGACCTATTTGCACTGGATACGTTTTGTCACTTCGTCGTCGAAAAATTCCCGTTTATTTCTTCTGAAAACGAAAAGGTTGCTGCTGCAACGAACGTGACTACACAACGCTTGTGGAAGAAGCCATCTTGTCTTTTTTGGATAAAATACGCTTACTTAGTGTCTTGGTCTTGCCAAGGTCAAAATCAAATGAAAACATAAACAAAGAGAAAATACATAGATAGAGAAGTATGTAAAGTCGAATGAATAAAGAGTCGTGAAGAAGTGAGTGCCTCTACATCGTGGTCGCCAATGGGTGGTATTTTTCCAATAGGCGTGGGCCTGTAGGCGTTAATTCGGGGTGGGTGGGTTGGTCGGTTGGTTGGTTATGCAAATTTCCCGTGGAACCAAACCCGCTGCGCTGTATCTTGTGTTTTTCTGAGATTCATCTAACTACTATCACCGTTGAAGCTGCCTACCTACCCACCTACCGGCTCTCTCTACGATCGTACTACCGTGATCGCGCCGACCCAACTACCTACCTACCCCTTTCCACCCAGAGGAGATCGGTGACCACGCCTACCGACCCACCCACCCACCTGCCGGGTGGGTGGGTGGGCCGAGCTTGCGTTGCCTATTGGCCACGCCTACCGACCTACCCACCCACCTGCCTGGTGCGGGGGGCAAGGGTGCGCGGCCTATGCATTCATTGGCCACACCTACCGGCCTACCCAACCACTTGCCTGGTGGGCGGGTGGGGTGAGCGTGCGTTGTCTATTGGCCACGCCCAACGACCTACCCACCCCTCTGCCTGGTGGGGAGGGTGGGGCGCGCGTGCGTTGCCTATTGGCCACGCCTACCGACCTACCCACCCACCTGCCGGGTGGGGGGGGGGCAGGCGTGTGCTGCCTATTGGCCACGCCTACCGACCTACCCACCCACCTGCCGGGTGGGGGGGGGGGCAGGCGTGTGCTGCCTATTGGCCACGCCTACCGACCTACCCACCCACCTGCCTGGTGGGGGGGTGGGGCGAGCGTGCGAGCGTTGCTCAGTGGCCAGGCCTACCGACCTACCCACCCGCCCACCTGCCTGGTGGGGGGGTGGGGCGAGCGTGCCTTGCCTATTGGCCACGCCTACCGACCTACCCACACACCTGTCTGGTGGGGGGGGGCAAGCCTGCGCGGCCTATTGACCACGCCTACCGACCTACCCACCCACCTGCCTGGTGGGGGGGTGGGGCGAGCGTGCGTTGTCTATTGGCCACGCCTACCGACCTACCCACCCCCCTGCCTGCCTGGTGGGAGGGGTGGGGCGCGCGTGCGTTGCCTATTGGCCACGCCCACCGACCTACCCAACCACCTGCCGGGTTGGGGGGGGGCAGGCGTGTGCTGCCTATTGGCCACGCCTACCGACCTACCCACCCACCTGCCTGGTGGGGGGGTGGGGCGAGCGTGCGTTGCCTAGTGGCCAGGCCTACCGACCTACCCACCCACCTGCCTGGTGGGGGGGTGGGGCGAGTGTGCCTTGCCTATTGGCCACGCCTACCGACCTCCCGGCCCACCTACCTTGGCACGGGTGAGCATGCGCTGCCTGCTGGCCACGCCTACCGACCTACCGACCCACCTGCCTTGGCACGGGTGAGCAAGCATGCGCTGCCTGCTGACCACACATGCCGACCCACCCACCCACCTTCCCTGGCAGGGGTGAGGGCGCGCCCTAAAGGTTCAACGCTTCGACCAGACACAGACATACTTGCACCCAATGCGATCCCAGGCACTTAAGTTTGTTCTTGGTTCTCAAATTGATTCTGATCCTCAGTGACTTTGTTGTGAGTGGCACAATCACAACGAGAAAAGAAAAACAAATCCTCTGCCTCAGGGTCAGGCCTTCATTGGTGCGCTGGCTTGGTTCGTTTCATTCTCACAAGATGAAGCCGAGCTCCTTCGGCGGGAGGAAGAAAAATGTCGCAGCTCGTTCTCTCTGGCCCTGGCCTGCGCACGCAGTGCGCTTTGTGGCGAGGGTGGAGAAGCGCCGCGCATAGACGTATCGCCTACCTCAGTGTATGTAGTTCACTCTATCGCAACTAAAACCCCGACCACTTGCGAGGGGAAATCTAAAAGCTGCCATAGCAGTGGGGTTCTAGACTTCAAGTGGCGCCCCGCGGATGCGGTCGGCGTTGTGGCCGTGCCGCGCCGATGGGCCCCGGGCAACTAAAAGCGCCACAGGCTGCTAGATCAAAGACCGCCCTTTACGGGCGGGGCGCTTTTCATCAGGATGGGCATCATTTCACCCATTTCGGTGCCCGCGATAGCAAACCGTTTACGCGGGAGCCTTTGCGGGCCACCACACACGGGCCAGGCGTCGCCGGCCTGCAGCCAAGACTGTCTCTGAGCAGTTGTAGTTCTTCATCACTTCACTCTAACTGGGCGCTGCCCCAGCTCCCGCATTTTCGTTGTCACACGCATCAAGAAGTAGGTGGGTGGGAAGGTAGGTGTAGACGCGCCTCCGTTGCGCCCCGCAAGTGAAAATCGCCCACACCTGGAGGACACGCGGACGCATCATTGTCCAATGACGACCAACCAACCCACCTACCCACTGCTCAGCCACGAAGGAGGGCGTGATCTTTTTTGTTTCGGTTGATTATGAATGGACGAGAGGAGCGTCAGTATCACGAGGTAGGTAGGTAGGGAGGTAGGTGGGTAGCGTGCATCTCATTCCCGATATCAAAGCACAACTTTCTCCAGCTTCGATTGTGGGAAGCAGAACGTCGTCGACAGACTCACGTACATCAGGATAAGCGAAATAGCGACACCGCGACGCCGAATATGTCTCCGCCACAATACGTCCACCACCAAACGCAAACCAGACGCACGTCGACCTCACCACGCACTGCGACTCCGGAAGAATGTTTTTCTATAACCCGCGACGGCCCGCCGTCTTCAGCATTTGCATAACCAACCAACCGACCAACCAACCCACCCCGAATTAACGCCTACAGGCACACGCCTACTCTATTTTTCAATCAATGACCATATCGATATCCAGGAGGAAAACGAAAAGCGTGCGGCTACTTGTCGTTGGTTGCACATGGAGGAAGACACTAATGGTCACAAGTGTCCTCGTTCGTCTTCGTAGTAAATAAAGGACTTTTGTTCAAACCGAAAATATTACGGTAATGCAACAACCACAACTGCAACTGCAGCTGAGCCGGTTCTTTGCGTACAACTCCAGCTATTTGTAGACTGCTCTAGTTTGTAGTCTGCTTTAGAATCTAGCCTGTAGTCGACCTTCTTCCTCGCTGGTGGTTGAGGTTCTTCCTACATGATTGCAATTCCAATTTGTTTCATGATCGTAAATTCTGATGATGTAAATCTATTCGAGGTAGTCCCCTTAGATTATCCTCTTCCGTCCTCTAAGTCTCATGATTGCTTGGATTGGTAGTCTTTCGCTGTTGTTGTTTGCTTGAAAGGAGAGTGCTGAAGATGTATTGCTGCTGCTTGTTGTTTTCGCTGATCCTGTTGTTGCGCCTGTGGTGATGTCTCGCCATAGATTTCGATCAAGACAATCTTTTACTGTTGCTCGTTTTCGATTGAGATCCGCGTTGATTTCTGCTATCCAGGTCTTCGTTGCTCCTTGCCCTTTTTTTGTCTTGGCGTTCGGCACGGTGGCTGACAACATCAGCCGCGCCCAACGTTTCGCCGGATACCTTACCACGTGGCCAAAGTATCGCAGTCTTCGCTCTCTAATTTTCTCAGAAAGCGCCCGGGCCTCCAGCCTGTTGTAGATGTCTCGCGTTTTGACGTGGTCGCGTTTTGTTACTCCGAGACAGTGGCGGAGCTTCTTTTTCCACCACGTGTCTAACAAGTTCTCGTCACTTTGTCGCAGACACCACGTCTCACATCCCCATGCGAGCACGGGGTAGACGAAGGCGCAGAGGATTTTAAATTTGAGCCGCGGCGTGAGTATTTTACTGCTGAAGACGTTGGAAAGCTCCCCGGTTTTCTTTTGTGCTAGCAGGATTCTCGTCTCGATGTCGCGCTTGTCGGTGCCGTCTTCCGAAATGATGGACCCGAGGTAGGCGAATTCCCGCACGCGCTCGATGCTGTTGCCGTCTACGTCGATTGCTTGCTGTTGCTGCTGTTCTGCGTTGAAGCTCATAAACTTGGTCTTCGTGAAGTTTACTTGCAAGCCAAACGCTGAGAATTTTGCACATAGGTTTTTTGTGACTGCCGTCAGTTTTTCTAGGCTTTGCGCAAAGAGTCCCAGGTCGTCGGCGTATAGCAGGTGGTCTAGTGCTACTGTTTGCAATTCTTCTGCTTTGTTTACGAGGCGGCCGCAGATGAATTCTACTCCTTCCCCTACGTCTATGCGCTCCATCACGTAGTTGATGCAGAGGTTGAAAATGATTGGCGATAACAAGCAGCCCTGTTTTGTTCCTGTCGTTGTTTTTGTTTTGCTGCTTTGCTCTCCGTCCCGCTTTACTGAAAACTGGTGGTCTTTGTATAGCGCCCAGAACCTGATCGTAAATTCTATTTATAGATTCATCAATTCGGTGCTCGGCTCTGCACTCTTTGCAGACCGATCTGGTTCTGGGCGCGCCCCTCCTCCTCTCCTCGAATAGTAGTACGATAACTGGACGACGAGACATGTAGGTACTTTTAGCAATGACAATTACGCATACCGACATGAAACGAAAACTGAGAGGCCCAGGATGGTGGAGATTACGCATCATCACCGAGAAATGAATTGATCAACTGGTGTTGGTACATCTTTAAGTTGAGTTCCTAATGGTAATTGATGGGCCCTCATCGTTGTAATCGCTCATCACTCATCGTCCGGGCCAGTGCAAAGAAGTTCAAGTAGTCGCGCGTCTTGATCGTCCTGTTGAAAATTGAAATTCGACTGGCAAGAACACACTCGAGGACAACAGCCGTCACCTGTATCATTGACGCTACACACGCTCAACTGCAAATCGCTATGTTTTGATTTATGTCCTCTTTGATGAAATTGAATTTTCATTGATTTTGATTTTGTAAAATGTAATTCTCGACGAGGCAGAAGCCGTTCGCTACAACTTTTCCGATTTGTCCTTTTTTCAACTAGCATGAACAGGCTGTTTTTCTGAAAGTCTTCTACACGGCTAGCAAATACAAGTGCAAGAAACACAATCACGCATGTTTCTGTAGCTCAGTTTCTGCCCACCTCTACTACAGTCCTTCCTTGGTGCGATCTTGTCAAAAGCAGTTTCCCTGCTGGTCTGCCACTGTTAGAAACAAAAACATAAACATAAACAACCCTTGTTCTAATCGTAATCTTCTATGTATAAAGATATAAATTTCCTTATCTATGCTTGTACTTCCTTAGAAAGTGACACACTTGCACTTCTTTGCCTTGACACAAATCAGACAGGAAGCAAAATGGGGAGTGAGACAAGCGTAAAATACTATCGATCCGCAGTCAGATGGGGCGAAACATCACCTAACTGCACCTTTGCGAGAATGCAATTTCACTCAGCTCGCGCGCGGAGGTGCCATGCTCTACGCGACGAGCGTAGAACTAAAATCACTCATCGCAAAGATTAGTAATGAAGAAAAATTTCGCGCCAGCTTCAACCCCGGCAGCACATTCTTGTGCTATTGGGCAGGACAGACGAGAGGGTTAGTGATGAAGACACAAATTCGCAGCAACCTTCTCCGACAACAAACATGACGCCAAGCAACGAGCCCAACACCACAACGCACGAGGCAGTGAACTGTCGCTGCCCGCTCACGGCAACTGTAATTTGGCGACAACCACAACAGGCACATGGAGCAGCAACCAACGTGTCCTGGTTTTCCTCATAGGCATTACGAGACGCAGTAGTGTTTTGGAGGAAGAGAGCCGAAAGCAAATAGGTATCCTGACAAACACTATTATAAATAATATAACGCACTACAGCTGCACTAATAATTCTGCATGTGGCCCGATAAAAACAAAAAAAAGATAATCGCGGCTACTTAGTCGTCACGGTCGACTCTGCTTGTAAAAGGCGGGCAGCTTCCTTTAGCCTGCCAGGCCTCTCGAGCACTTTCCTTTTGCCTGTCGACCTACGAAGCCCCTTGTCCGCCAGCTGGTCCGCTCAGTTGATGTGGCGCGGACTCGTAGTCCTCGGGGAACGAAGAAGTGGGGGGGGCGCCCTCTTCCTTTCCCATTTCATCGAACAGGCGCTTCGCCTGGTTCAAATAATATTGAAGCGACCCAAGCGTGTCCGCGAGTTTCCGCTTATCCTTCCATGAGCTCTCGGTCAGCTGTCGGAGATTTTCCATGTTTGTGTCGGATGTTCCTCCGAATACGATTGCGTTGTAGTCTTTGACGTCTTTCGCTAGCTGATTTTCCATTTCCTGGAATTTTCTTGATAGGGGTCCAAGGTCCCCGTCAGCATTCAACACCGCGACGCGAAGGGGTTTCAGTTGTTCTTCCCATTCCGTGTTTTTGGCCATAATCCTCGCCGTGACATCATTCGAATGCCGGGGGCGCGTTTGCGCTTCGCGGGGCTTTTGCTCTGCGACCGCCCCCACCCTTGGCCCCTCTGTGGCACGCGCGGCAGCGTGCGCGGTTGGCTGTGCTGTCTCTGTTGCGCGCGTGGCCGGCAGCATGGTCGTTGTATCGGGTACGTAGACCAATTTCCCAGCGACCCTTCTGCCCTATGATTGCAACGCAGAGAAAAGAAAATGGCGGCCGCATCTGAAACGAGTGCCGAACCGCCACCCTGCATCGTGGCGCGCTTCCTCGTCACACAATGGCTGGAACAGCTTCCACGGCTGCAATGCAGAGCCCCGGCTCCCCGTTCACTGGATACGCGTTTACCCCCTAACCCGACGACCTCCGCGACCGCCCCGCCTACGGTGCGCAGGCAGGGTCGCAGAGAATCGACCTGAAGATCACTCGCTGCTATGCGTGCTACGTGTGCTATGCGTACTATGCATACTATGCGAGGGTGGGGGAGGTAGGATAAAATGAGGGAGGCGGCCCCCGACCTGCCTGGCCCCCGCCTCCGGGCCAGGTGGGTGCAGGAAGCGCGCGCCCCTGCGCCAGCAACCACGCCGCAGAGGGCCCCACCGCCTCGGCGCTCCGCAGCTAGGGCCGGTCGGTGTGGCTCGGGTTGGCGCCCTGGCTCGTTGCTTGGATGGGCCGCAAGGCACGGACCGGCCGCTGCGCTGTTTGCGCCCAGATTTCTCATTATTAATAACTCCGTCGGGGCTCCGCCCTGCCGACCGTGCCCGGCGCGTGGCCGGGTGCTTGCTACCAAGCAAGCCGGCGCCGCGCGAGCGACCGAATGAGAGAAACAAAGAAGGAAACAAACAACGCAAAAAAAGGCGGCGCGGGCGGCCAATGCATGGCTTGGGCCTGCGCGCCGCGCGCCCGCCGCAGGCTCTTGCAGCGACGTGACGCTGGCGCCCGCGGCTTAGGTCTTTTCGGCCGCGGACCCCGTACCAGGGCCGCCAATTCCTCTCCCACAATGGACTGCGCCAAACTGGCCCCAGGTATGCATGCACAGGCACCTTAGGCAGCCGCGCACCCCAAAGGGGCGGGCGCGCTTTCTCACTTTTGCGCACGGATCTGGCCTTTGTTCATTTCTTTTCCGTAAAGCGCCAGGGGGGTGCAGAGCAACAAAACCACGAAGGCCCACACGGCGCGGCATATGCCAATTGGCCCTTCGTCTCGCTGACCCGCGTATCCAAACGCCCCTGAATGTTTCGCCGCTCGTGCTTGGCGTTCTCCCAGTAATTGTCTGTCGTTACCAAGGTGAAAAGCTCACCCAAGAAGGCGGCTGGCCTCATCTACTTTCGGGTGCCGGTGGCACGCGATTCGCCTGCAAACCTTCCGCCGACCCCACGCTCGCGTGAGTGGCGACATCACACCCGAGCCACACGGCCGCCCATGCATGTCATAAACATGTATGCCGAAAAAACGAAAGGCCAAGGCCCCGCTCGCACGCTGCCCCTCCGCCTGGCCAGGGGCCATTGCCGGGCGCGCGGGGCACTGCGGCTCTGGGCCTTGGACCCGCCGCCGAGCCCTATTCTTGACGCACCATGGCCCGCGCGATCGCGACGGCCGACAACTTCATTCTCCGCGCCCCGCCACTGGCTCTTTGTTTTTATTTTTGGCGGTGCCGCTGTCGCCTCTCTCTCTGTCTCTGTGTGCTATAGGTAGCGGGCCGGCCCAGGCAGGGAGCGAGGCCCCGCCGCCGCGGCTGTGGGTACATACGGGGCCAGAACATCAGCAGGGCTAAAGAAATCAACCAGGCACAACGAGAGAAACGCCGCGGCAAATTCTGTGGGGCGCCCTTTTCAGCAATTCTCACGCAGGCGAACCCAGCCGGACGAACCAGCCCCGCGGGGCCGGGGGTGCCCCAGAGGAAAACAACACACGCGCGCGCGTCTAGGTGGGCGAGATACTGTCTTGACATTGTCAAGCCTCCTGCGACTAAATGTCTGCTTGACAGCTAAGCCCGAAAACATCTCGCGAGGCGGGGCGCCACCCGTTTTAGCGGTGACCGCCCAAAAAAACGCTGGCCCAGCGGTGACCACCCGTTGTAGCGATGACCCCAGAGGAAAGCAAAAACAAAAAGTGCGCGCCGCTACAAATAATTATGGCAAAGAGGCGCCCCACGCAATATTTGTGCGCCTGCGCCTCAAGCAATGCAAAAACCTAGTGGAGCAACCGGGGACGCAGGCTAACGTCGAACGGCTAGCCCGCGCAACGGGTCTCCATTCGCTCGGCAATCACGAAGAAGATTCCGAACCGGGCCTCGTCCTGCCCCAAACTGCGATCGCTGTTCTCGATCTTTGAGACTGGCTGGCCTTTCGTCTAGTGCAGGGCGACTAAAAGGTGTAGCCCTGGACACGTCATGGGGCTTTCATATGTAGGAAACGTCAAAGCCCCGACCCGAAGCGCCCGGGCGTAGACCTCTAGCCCCAAGACCCATCACGCCATCAATTTGCCTGGAATTCTCCAGACCTAAGCCCTCGCGACCCATGCTTCGCAAATTCCCATGCACTGGCAAAATCCGCCATCACCTCTAGTATGCGGCCTGAAAGAACCGCATTCGCAAAGCTGTTAAGAACCGCACTCGCAAAGCATGCGGCCCGATAGTTGTTAAAGGCCGACTTCTAACTACTCTCTGGCCCTAAAAATCAGTATAGTCAGCCTATCGAGGACCTCTGCCTTGCTCATATTGTTTTTGTTACTATCATTTTGCACGCCCACGCATAAGCAGAGGCTCCGGCCTGACATTCTCCATCTCGACTCCCCCTTTTATATATTCCTCTCTCCCGTATATCTATACTTCTTTCCTGCCCCACAGGATCCGCCGCGGGATCCCCGTTTGCAAAGCCTATGGCAGGCGCCACCCCCACACCCACGCAGGGGGACGCAAGAAACACGCCATGGCGCAACATCCTGCCTGCGCAGGAATAGGAGCCTGCCTCAGACGGAGAAGCTTGGCCATCACAAGTAACCTTTTCACCTTTTATAAGAGAACGGCTGGCAAATGCCTTGCCCAACGCTGTGGCATGGCTCTGGATTCTCCGTCCTTGCGCCCCGTCTGACGTCCGACGCCTGGCCTTTGCGACTTGATCCATTGCCGCTTGCGAAAAGCGTGCAGCATTAGTCCGGGCTGTGTCGCGCATTCCTCCTTTTTGCTCGCTTTTGGCAAAATAAAACTGCATCTTCGCAGCTGAGTTCGCAGCCACCGGGCTTAATCAGCCACATGAGCGGGAAAGCATGGCCCTAGGCTTATTCGCTTCTTCCGCGGCCGGTCGGATGTCCGCGGCTCGGAATCGGATGCAAAAAAAACATAAAAAAACGGGACCGATTTGCGCGCCAAACAAAAAAAAAGGCTCCTTGCTCGGCCCGAGGATCCAGGCGGCCGCACTCGACCTCTCCTGGGAGAGTGGGTGGCCATGGTCTCTTGTCTTATTTGCCACTGGTGATTTGGCGGAGTTCTCAACATCCGGCCGCAGACCGGATACGAAGAGAACTCAACAGCGCAGATGCAGTTTAATTTCGTTTCTCGACTCATACCACTTTTTTTCCCTGCCCTCGTCCGGATTGCCAGTCGCAGGACTCTCGGTGGTCTCGCCAGCCTTCCTTTCCCCCATGAACGAGCTCGCTGCGCTGTCTTCGTTCGCCGGCGCCGTGGCATAAAATTGAAAACGATGTCCACTCTCTAGTAAACACTTTACAACCGCACTATTTCTAGTTGCCCGGCGTGGCTTTTTCGCTTTCACGTTTAAGCGGAAAGCGACGGAGAACAAGTGAGTTCGCAAATTCACTAAGGAGCACAGGGTAGCCGTAGTTTTCCGCACGACCAGACTGATGCGTCGTATGTATGTGATGCGTGTAAACATGCTGATCCTGATGCTGCCCATCTGGCGTACTTAGATACACACTCACGTCACCCTCTTCACGCGAAGTAGATGTTGTTGAAAACAAAAATACACTATATCAACATCATGCTCTGCCTCTGGCTTTTATATACATTAAATATACACCACACAGCTTCGCTGTCTAAGTAGCTCGCCCATGGCTAACTGCGGGCTACAGCCAACTACAACAGGTGTGCGCCACGAGGACGAGCACTTCTGCTGTGCTGATCTGTAATTTGAAAGCGAAGCACCCAGAAAAGCTTCCGGATAAAAATGGTGCGAACCACGCCCCCGCACGTCACTTCCCCACCTTGGGGAAGAGCTTCCCCTCAAGTGGTGACGTACTTCTCCAGTGCTTGGGAAATGGGGAAGCCAGGCCCCACTTAATGGGGATTCCAGGCCCCACTTCACCACCACCGGCTGCACGCAATGCCCTGCCGCCCGGAGCTGCGCTCCGCGGGCCTACCGCCCATCTAAGTGGCCACCATGCATCTGGCGGCAGTGTGGCCTAGGAGGGTGGACATAGCATAGCATATAGCATAGCATACCCTCAGGATTCAGCGCACTTCTGATGGTGCGCGCAGAAAAGCAGAGCGCGTGAACGCACTTCTAGTGGTGACATGAAACGACACACGGGGCGCGGACGCGGAGTATTATTTAAGTACTAACGAAACACAGCACTGAAAACGCACCGGGGGCACGACAGCCATGGGGGGTCCAAAAGGCGCAAAGGAGACAAGAGAAGAAAGAGAAGAGCCAAGGCAAGCAGGCAGGGAAGGAAAGGGTAGAGAGGCTGCAACGCGGAAAGCGGGGCATCTATAGTCGAGGCGAGCCGGCGAGCCGGCGCGACGCTCGGCGAACCCTAAGCCCTAGGCCCTAAGACTAAAACACCAAGTCCCTCGCCGGCTCTGCCTCACCTCCGGCTCCGCCCGTTGCGGTGATGATGTGGGGGGAGGCGGGGAGGTGATGCAGGGGCTGTGGGATGGTGATCCGGGTCGGGTGGTGATGCGCGGGGGAGCGAATGACCCAAAGGAGTGGGAAATTGAGTCACACTCCTTCTACCAAAACTTCTCATACCAGGAGAAGTTCCAGGAGCAGAGGAGGTCAGCAAACGAAATGGTCGATGTCTTGGGCGACCAGCTGGGAATGCACATGCACGTAGTTGTACGTAAGTACTAGGTAGTGTTACTTAGTTTCTTGGCACGGCAGCAAGACAATATTATTTTCCTCAATTGTTTGTGTAACTGCACATCCCTGAACCTGATCAGAACGGAAGGTTCCCGAAGAAAATGCAAGAGAGCTGCCCGACGAGAAGAACACGAAGTAGGTGTAAAGCGGAGGTGGACAAGCAGAATTTTCCTTCGGATAAGTTGGTGGTCCTTGCTCGGATGATCGCAGGGAAAGCTTACCACCGAATTGCAAGTTATACCCTATCACTCTTTCTACCCAATCAGATGCCCTCTTTCTACTACGTGTAAGTGTATGTCAGGTGCACATATTAGAGCATCATGCCTCCAAATCAATATAACACATGATGACTAGCTCGAGCGGGCCTCGGCGCTACTCCCTCCTCCGACGCGCGGCAGGAATAGCCTGCCCTGATACCCTAGTGGTAACGTCGTTGACTGAGGCTAGGTTTTTTCGTCATTCAAGTGTGGAAAGACCCTCACTGGATTAAGATCATCCTCGCTAGAAAAAATAAAGCAAGCTATTAACAGTATCCTAAAAACGCAATCACCCTGACCACCCTAACGACGTGCAGGACGAACTTGCTCGGGCGGGTTGAGAAAAGGAAACAGCAGTGGCGCGGCCTGGCGGACAGCCAAAAATGACCATCAGAAGAAATGTTTGTCCCTCTCCCTGAGCAATTCAATGCGGCGATCTGGGCCCCGTAGTCCAATTGCTTAAACTGGTTCCCAATGGTGACGTAGAAGAAAATCCTTAGAGGTTCCTCGTGTTTCTCTTACGACATGGTGACATTAGCGTTACTTTTGAAGTCCACCAGGAAACACGCACAATTTTTCCTGCTTCGATCTAAAGAAGCATGCGTCTCCTGGACGTCTGACTCCGATCGCAACCTATAAATATGCTTCATGTTTTTTAGGTGATTAAAAAACATCTCGCGACCAGCTGCAATTTCTGCTCGAAAGATGTTTTTGCGGGTGCAAACTTGCAACATTGATGTGCTTTCCCCTGGGATAGACCACCTAGTTTCGATTTTTTTTCGTGCAGAGCCTCCAACAACATGGATGACGACCCGAGGTGCGGAGACAGCTGCTTGAGCAGCAGCAAGCTACACGCTCTTGAGGAGAATGGTATGAAGATACTAATACGTCGTCGGATGCAATCTTAAGATGTTGATGCTGTGCCCAAAGAAGGCCAATAACTATACATAATACAAAGCATGTGCATTACCAGCATTCGCATCGCCGTCTTGAGCCTGGTTTGTCCCATTCGGAGTTTCTTTCTCCGCAACACCCGCGGTGCCCTCGACCTTTTACTATGCTACAGAAAAAGAGCATGGCGTCTAACAATGACCAGTCAGAACAGGAAAAAAAATTGTGGCTACGTCTACCTGTTTTAGTTTTTCACCTGCTCCAACATCATTTCTCACTTCCGCATCTAAATTCTTGATGTTGTGATGATGATGTAAGGAGGCCAAGTTCGTATTATGTTCCGCACCATGCCTCTTTTCGGAGCATACCGAAGGAAATTTCTCTTCCGCTGGCACTGTGTTCTCCGCTTGCTTCTGTTCCACGACAGCGTCTTCTTTTTCCACCTGAAGTTGTGGCTCGGGAGGACTTTTTTTTTGCGTCATGAAGATGAATATTCACAGTTCTATTGCGTAAACGTTCCGAGACGGGCGGCCGTTTCTCCTTGCCCTGCAACGATGATCACAGAGCCGAGGCCGACTCGGGAAGATCAGAAACGAATACTAAAAGTCAAACGGGGCACCCGAACACATACCAATTTGGTTTTTTCTGGCGCTAGGGAGCGTGACAAGCATCCAACCATCTACTGAATTTACATGTCAGACGTATGAAAGTAAGATGAACAAAATACTTTCAAAGTGTTCTATACCAGTTTCTCCTTCTCCTTTTCTTGGACAAAGGTCGTCGACGGACTCGCCGGCGGGGCGGGGACGACCGCGTCCTTTGCTCCCTCTTCGTCCTTGACGCCCTCGTTCACCGGGTGTGAAATGAAACTATGTTGTCTGGGTCTGGAGCATGCGAGATTTTCGTCAGTCCTCATGCTTTGCTGAGTGACGGGAGTCAACAATCTGTCATGCAAGCTAAGAACGCGTAGGCGTACGCGGGCCACCTGTTTGTCATGTTGCGCAGATATTGAATACTTACTGTCGTGCAGCTCACGCAAGATGAACACGCAGTTGCTCAAAAACTTGTTATGCGCTGATCCCAAGGGGAGGCTTCTGCAGGTTTCTTCTACTTTTTCTTTTGCTTCTCATCAGAAGTACACCGGTATCAAAACCTCTTCGTTCCAGAGCGACACTACAGATTTGCATTGCATACCGGCGTCGTGGCGTCGCCTTGTTTTTCCGCCACCACCTGCTCCGGTTTCTTCTCGTCAACATCGGTAGAGGAAGGAATGGGGTCTCCAGCAGGGGAAGGGGCCGCAGCTCCACCTTCCGGCTTGGCCGCATCCAGTTTCTTCTCCACGAAAGCAGACGTGGAAGCAGCAGTAGTTTCCGCACCGTTGCCGTCCGCCTGCGGAAGGTCCTCTGTTGCCGAATTCTTCTTTTTGTTTTTCCGAGCCGCAGCGCGCCGCTTCCTCCGGTTGGCCCGTTTGTTACTCCCGTCGGCATATCGAATGCAAAAGCATCGTACTAGAACTAGTTGTATTACATCAGCTCAGCATGACAAATTAAATTTCTTATGCTGTTTCACCTTCGGAAAGAGATTTGTCATGCATAACAGCAATTACTAGGAATAGATACGAGACTTTTGCAGTTCATACGGCAGCACGACCAGGCGAGGACTTCTTGGACGAACGGCCGCGACGAGAAGGTCCATCTTCGCCGGGAATTGGCAAATATCCTGTGTAAAAACGCCCCCACCTGAGAGTTGTCATGCAGATACGCAATGATAAAAACATTTGTGACCCGCATCAAACTGATACGCATTTGCGGTCGTGTTTTGGAATTTGTAATGGTGCTGTAAATAGGGTATGCAAACGCTTCTGTCATGCGGCTGTCCTTCTCCTTGCCAATGCCAACCTCCCTGCATTATAAACACAGGGGGGAACTTGTGGTTGTGATGCGTGGTTTCCAAGACTTCTGGATTTGTGTTGCAGAGCTCCCAACATCTTGACGTATCATGGGGTGTGGACGTTTTTACTCAGGATAGCAAACCGGCTTGACGCATCTTCGCACGCTCGTAGGCCAGGGCCTCTGGATATGGATCGCAAATATGTCTGCTGGGGCTGGGTAAAGTTAAAGGCACGGGATTTGCGTTATTTGCCATGACAAAAGAAAACGGGTCCATCGCATATATGCATCACAAATCATTGTTGTCCTTCACATCTCGCATCACAAATCCAGACCCCGACATGCTTGTAATGCATACCGGATCCGGTTCGTCGTCCTCCTCGAGGAACGCGTACTGGTCTTCGGTCGGAGTCTATCGCGAGAAAAAAGAACATTGCTAGTGTACTGACTTTGTCATGCGCAACATGGAAGAAGATGATTGCGTCTGTCATGCTGGGCATGCATGGTAGGGCCCATTGTTCAGTCGCGCAGCTTCCAGGTAGACGAGGTAGTACTATCTGCGCATGACAGGTTTTTTCGTTCACGCCACTAATGCTGTTCCCGCAAGTAGAACTACAAAGTTTACACCTACAAACTTCTTTTTCTCCGCATACAGTCGCGTTGACGAGTACGGGCGTGGCCAACAAGGAGGCGGCGGACCCGGTCACCCGCACAAAGCTTCTGGCGCGCGTCATGGTCTTCGTGCTGGGGTTTGTTTCGCGGTGGAGTTTCTCTTGCGCTTCAGTGTTTGATGTGGCAGAACAAGCTTCAGGTTCTGACTTTCCTCGTACTAGATCGTTTGCTTCTCTACTTCTAGAGTTTTGCTCCCCTGCTCTTCTGTTTTTGGTGGTATGATCGACGGTAGTTCTTGCAGTGTAGTTTTTTTCCTTTGTTTCTTGTCTGCTCCTCCTGCACGATGATGTAGACTTGTTGTTGTTCTACACGAAGAGGACAAGCTCCTTTGCAGCCACCTTCTTAAAGTACGTCTATCTTCCGACGGTGCTGGTAGCAATGAAGTTGCTTTCGTTCTCCTCGAAATTGAAATTTTTGGTACGTGTTCGTTTTCTCCTCGTCAGCGTCTTCTTGATGATGTTCTCCTCGAACAAACCTTGCTGTTAAAGACGCCGTTCTCGTTCTCCTCCAATGTTGTTCGTTTTAGTGAAGCTGTTCTTCTCCTCAAAAACTCTTCTATGATGATACAGCTGTCTCTCCTCCGAAGCTGTTGATGTATGAAAGTGGACAACCAGTACTCCATCTCAGCGCCGCTAATTTGGCATGCAAAAGAAGAAGATAAACCCCGAATGAGTGTAAGCTACTTTCGAGGACGACAAACGATGTATTTGTACCGAGTTCTTTCTTGCATGACAGTTTTCATCAAGAGCCCAAACTGCATGGCAGTCCAGAAGGCTTGCTGGCCGTGGAGCCCTCGCTCTTCATGCAGAGACTTCTACATTTCAACTTTTCGCGCAGATGTGGCTTTTGCTTTTCATTTTTACGTTAAATTTTTCTCTAGGAAATTTTGACGCGGAGGAAAAGTTCGTTGTCCTCTCTCATAGGTTCTTTACAGTTCTTCTGCCTGTACTAGTACTACTCTGATAGTAGTTTGGAAAATGGTAACTCAAATTGAAATTGAAATTCTTTGTTTTAGAGACGGATCTTGTTTTTGCAACCACTACCACTTGGGATGGCAATGGATTAGGAAAGAATGTGACTCAGGAAGATTGATAATTCGAAAAATAAAAACTTGTTAATTTAGAAAAGCCACTATCACGGTGATTGGTTGTGAATGTGATTCTGATTGATGACAGAGAAACAATGCTTTTTTTTAGTGAAGTCCCGATGATATTTTTGTTGTAAAATTTAATGTAAACAAAAAAGCCACTACCACGGGGATGGACAGTGACCTGAGGAGAAAAATTCTTCTTCTTTCGGTTGATAGGAATTGTTCTTCGATCTTTTGATTTGGTGTGAGTGGGTTATCGTTGGTGAGTTGTAAAGCAAGAAGTAGTAAGTCGGTCAAACAGAAGCAAGTAAATATTTTTTTGAAAAAGAAAATTGAAAAGCACTTGGTAAAAATCTTGAAAGTTGGTTCTTTTTGTGGGAGTTGGTGGTGGAAAAAAGTTGGTGAGTTTTGCGGTTACGACTTCTGATGCAGAAACGCGAAGGAATCTTGCAAACAAAAGTTGTAGTTGCTCCTGGTGGTAGTCATGTTGGAATGTGGTCAAGAATAAAAATGACAGTGACAAACTGTCAGAAGATTGTCCAGTGCTTATAATAAAGAGCGCATGGAAGATTCTCATCTTCCAGCAGTTCTATTTCATCTTTCTCACCACAACTGTACTACGTTGTTCCGAAACGTGGCGGACGAGGACAGATATGATTATGAACGAACGACTCCAGTATGAATGAACGACTCCAGGCTGCACGACGAGCAGTATAACGTGTACGATCACGAGCAACAATGTTGTGCTGCTTCCGTGTACGAAAAACCACATGTAGAACGTAGAAGAACCGACGAGGATGGCGAACCCCGGGCACACAAAAACCGAGATTGATGACAATGAATTTCTTCACGATGCGCACGACAACTAGCAAGCTAGAAAACACCAATAACCGAAGCTCCTGAATAAACAAACCGAAGCTCAAGCCAAGGCCACCAGCTACAATACCAAGAATTTCCATTACGATGGTTGACAAAGCAACTACCGACGGACGACGGAATCTATTTTTATTTCCGTCCACGATGAAATGCTATATCGCAAGGTTGCAACTGCATCCTCAACCGAAAAAGTTCTTCAACAGAAGCGAGGTCCTCGACTAGACATTTTCCACATCGCGGTGAAAGTGAAACCAAAGAGACCGAACGACTCAGACTCACAAGGACTTGATCACGACATAAAGGGAAAACATCCGGAACTACTCAGAAACAGAAGCTAAGGCCTCCTGCGCACAACGGCCGCGACGCTAGCAGGGTTTGAATTTTTGATTTTATCTTTTTTTGTGAAAATAATGTAAGATTAAGAATCCGGAAGTATATGATAACTCTCGTTTTCCTTTTGTTTCGTGCCAAAGGGATGATTGCGTGCAGCAGTATGCGTTCTACAAAGCAGGAGCCTGTGAGTTCGTCATAGTCAAAACTACCGTCTTTTACAACGACAACTCAGGTTGGACCGACATTAAGATGTCACATCTCACGGTCGTGAAAGAGCTGGCTATAGCAATCCTGGTAAACTAGCTTCTGCTTCTCACGAAACTTTGCTACGTATTATAGGCGTTTTTGCTTGCCTTCGCTGCAACAGCAATATGATCGCAATGGATCTTTTAAACATTCAAGATGAAGTTTAACAATACACATGCAAGGATCAATTCGAAAGCAGTGCTGGGTCCTTTGCTCGATTGTTAAATCTGTTTACCATTTGAGTAAAAATCATGAGGTACTCAAATTGAGACTCGGTATAGTTGACACTGATTGAAATTCAAATACGAAGAGCCTTTGACGAATTTTTTTGAGTTGAGATTGATAGATAGTACAAGTATGTAAAATTTGAAATTGAATTTACAGAAGAAAAGTTACAGAAATCTTCGATACTAGTCAAGCTGGAAGAAAGTCTATCGTTGGGGGCGACAGACTACTCCTTAAAGTACTGATATTCCTCAAGAAGATGCTCCTGCTTCTGAGACTGCTCCTTAGAATGCTTTTAAGCTGTAGTGTACTCCTCAAAGTCTAGTACGTAAAGACTCCGTGGAATACTGCTCCTCAGACCACTACTCCTATAGAGAAATATTCCTTTAGAATATTGCTTTTCCTTAGCAGAATAGTGTGCATAGTAAAAGAATTCCATTTGGAACTAACTCCTTGATGGAGACTGGTCTTCGGAAAGAACTACTCCTCGATAGAATCTGTATCGACAAGAAAAATCCCCCCCTCTCCACACATTGAAAGCGACTTGGACCTGCTGCTCGAATCCTGCAGTCATGCCAGACGCCAGAACGGGGACTGTTCGTGTCCTGCACCAGAGCGCTTTGCGTGTTCAATACCATCATCATGATTGACTTTGACACTCGTAGTACACAGCGCTAAGGCGAAGGAGCACGCCCCCTGGTCGTTGTCCTTGTGCAGGCTAGCATGACCAATCACTACTCAATCGTTTAATATGCCTCATGAGTCGTGGTCCTCGCGCCCAGTAGTTTCTTTGAATGCAAGCGCCTTATTGTGTAAACAAATCGAGCAACTGAAGTGCTATGTGGGGACGAGTAGGGGCGATTTTTCTGCACGATATTAATACTCCTCAAACCACTTCTACACAGCTTGGACTTATTGGAAAATCATGCTCATGGAGGAGCGTGTCGCGTTTTATTGGGCGAGTTTATTATATGTAGTGGGGTTAGAACAAATGCCGATAGGGATTTTATGCCAAAGAAAAGAAAAGTGAATAGTTGTCTGCAATGAATAAAACAAGTTCACTCTGAATTTGGAAGAAATCAAGATATGGTGAGTCATACGGTCGAGATTGTAAACTGTAAAATCGCAAACAAAATTGAGTAGTTGTAAGAGCCGAAAATAAAAGAACAAAAAACTAACCGCTGGAGGTGTGCATGGTGTTGTGCGGTTCTCCTCCAGGGTCTTTTTTATTTTTTGCAGCCGACCTATTCTATCTCCATAGCGTTGTAATCGTAAATCTCCTCCATTACGCTTACGTATACGTGGTCGACTAGGTCCTGCATAAATTGTGCGTCGAGCAAGTCGAGATGACTTGTCTCCGCTGCGTGTCGCCGTCGCGCAAGCGACTTAATAATTTGTGGTCCTCGAACAAGGACCAACTTGTTCTGCTCGCCTCAGCTTCTGTTTCTGACATACTCTGTTCTTCTACTTAGGGAAACAGAAAACACGACAGTTACAGGCGCCTCTTCTTGTAGTTCGTGAGCGAATTACAGTCATGACCTTGGTGGCGAGCGCTCCTGCTCCATAAGAATTTGAATATAGGAATAGAGTGACTGCGCTGCTGGTCGTACCTCTGGTGCCTGCAACAACTTACGAAACAAGCTGGAGTGTGCATTCAGAGGACGCGCGCTCCTTACCCTTGTTATATGCGCTGACTAAGCACTAAGGCTGTCAGCAGCGACGATCGCTGACGCGGTGCAGACCTCTAGTACATCCTTGTTATTCATCATTTTTGTCCGGTCATGATGTAACGCGCAACGAGTTGCCTTCAAATACACAGACTCCACTTACTAGCACCCCGCGGACAGGGTGCAAGAAAGCAAACCTGTCGGGATGCCGATGGAAGGGGGAGCTGCTGCTCCAATAAATGCCGACTGCTAGCTTGCCCGGCTTTCTTTGGGTTAGTTTAGGTGAAGGTTAAATAGAATTAGAATGTGCAACTGGAGGGTGGTCGAAAATAAATCTAAATCTCCTCTGATGTTCTATTAATTTTGCAAAAACGTGAAAAGAAAACGGCGTTGCTGCACTGCACCGTCTCTGTTTCCTTCACTTGGGGCACAGCGTGGAAGAGATTGATACAATGTGGATGATGTCATGACTTCGTAGAAAAAACTTTTCTTTAGAGGACTGGGAGGTAGCCATACTGATTCGGATATAAACCACTCGCACCACATGGGCACCGCATCTTTCAATTTCTTGTATATCATGTATAAAGGCACACTCGATTTCTTACTTATGTATCCTTCGGACTCAAGCACCCGATCATGCATTGATGCCCGCGCCCAATGGCGATGCTGCCCCAGTGCCATCGTTGTGTTCAGCATGATCACCAAAAGCATTGTCGTCCGGCTCCGGAAGGGGAGCAATAGAATCGCGCAGATGGGCACGCGCACGGGCACCAGTAGCAGCAGGAACAATAGAATTGCTCGCCTTCCGTGCATGATTCGTGTCCCCGCCTTGAATACCCATTTTGTCTTCCAAATGTTTGATTGCCATGTTTAAGGCCGTAGTAGCGGATTCAAAGTAGGTTCTAGGGTCCTGCAAGATTCTGCGGCTTTCCTGTTCGCCTCCCCTGGCCTTTTGCTCATCTTCAACCAAATGCACATGATTGTTGTGGAGTTCAGTAAGCTTGCCCATTAGCATTGCCTCTTTATCGCGAACAGTGTCGGACACCACAAGGTTACTGCCATCTATCGCACTCTGTACTCTGTGAAACAGGTTTTCGTCGATCTCGAGTTCATCGCCTTGTTTCTTATTCTCCTTTTGGTGGTTTGGGACCGGAAGTGCGTTGGCATCTTTATCCAACTGACTGCCGACCTGCTTAAGAAAAGCCAAAACGCTCTGCAAGCTGTCTGTCGCTTTGACGGAAGCTGCCGTTGCCTCGTTGTGTATTTCCTTGTGTTCTGCTGCAATTTTTTCTTCAGTGCGCTGCTCTGCGTCGTCCAACAGCTTCAACCTCTCTTCCAGCTGTTGCAGCATGGGACGGACGGCACGGTCACCCACGGCTGTCATTCTTTCGTTTGCTTGCTCCTCCGAAGCTTTCTCGTTTTGTTCCCCGGTGACCTGCGCTTGCATCCTTGCTGTTAACGCCGCAATACTCCCAAGTTCTCTCTCTTTTTGAGTTTGTTGTTGTGCGGCGTTGAGCTCCGTGTCGACGTTGATGCCCTCCTGCTGAGGCACACCAGTACCGCGACTCATGTCCATGGAACCTTGGGTTACATCAAGCAAGGAGCGGGGAACCGTTTCCACTGCTTGAGCACTCTCGTTCTCCCCAGTCGCCCCTTCGATTTTCTGCCACCCGCCGGAGCCCCCGGAGGTGACCGGGGGTTTGCCGATCGCCGACACGTCAGGGGTTTTCTTGGGCATCATTTTTTCGGCGTCCGCAGTTTCCGGCGTGTCCTTCTTCTCCAAAAACGCAGGCGCAGCAGCGGCCGTGGCCGGAACAGCTTCTTTTTCAGCCGTCTTTTCGGCCTCGGTTGGTTTCTGTCCACCATCAGAATTGGCCGATTTCATCTTCGTCGCGTCTTCTTTCGCCGGCGGTGTGTCCTGCTTTTCCAGGAAGGCGGTCGAGGAAGAAGCCGCTTCCTTCCCCGGCACAGCGTTCGCCGCGGGCGGGTCGGCGGTGGCGGCAGGCACGTCGGCTTTGGGGGCCGTGGCAGACGGTTCTTCCGCCTTCTTCTCCACAAAAGCAGAAGACGACGAGGCGGGTTCTTGTTGCGCAGCGGGAGCGGGACCAGCAGCTTAATATGAAGAAGAGAAGTAGTAGTTCTACTACGAAACAGATGAAATTTCTCACGCATCTATACATCAAAACAGAATCATGCGGGTCGGCAGACGTGCACGTGAAGGTGGACCTGCAACTGCAAATGCAAGACACTTGTGATGATGTGTTTTTCTGTCCATATTTTCCTGTGTGTGAGAAATGTCCTTTTCGTGGCACTACATCGATTTTCTCTCTGTGATACGGCCTGACCAGCACCCACGTCCCCCTCGCCAGCGTCGGTCTTCTTGTTCTTGCGCCCCGACCTGCAATTATGGGTGGATCATCATGTGTATCTTCCTCGTACAGGTAATAAGTAATCCAGTCACGCGGCTTAGTTTGTTTTTCCGGTGCAGGAACCACACACATGACATCGGTGAAGTACGGCGGTAGTGGTCAGCTCAGCGTACAAAGGGTCGCACACGCATGACAAATTGAAGACTTTTAGACTTACTTTCACAAGATAAATGGTTGACCCGTACGAAGATGACAGGTGCTTCATTCTAGCAGCCTGGGACATGGCTTTTGGTGCAGTTGCAGTTCTAGAAATACGCATATTCTCTGAAACCTTGCATAGAAATTGAATTAGAATTTGCAGTACTTGTTCCTCCGGTTCTTGCGACGATTTTATCCAACACGAAAAGGCTAGCCGTGTGGTATTGGTAGTTTTTGTCATGCAGCAATTATTTTCGTCTTCAATGTTAATTTATCACTTTTAGCGTCGTATTGGTCGATAGAAAATAGACCTCTCGTCCTGTATCTACCTCACGAAGATAAAATCCTCATGCTTCAGCCTTTCTTGCTCTTTCTCTTTGTCCATCTTTTTCTCCTACACATTACATAATCAATGTTCCGTGCCTAGCCCACCTATTTCACCGCCTGCAGCGTCTCCTGCGGCTCCCCATGATAGGTCTTTTTTCTATTTGTATTTCTATTCTTGCTGTGCTGCCTCGGGTTCGTCTTTCTTCATGCACGACAAATAAACCACACGGCTTGCCAAAGTGCAAGTTGACGATACAATTTTAGTTCCATAACCGTCCGCCCTTGTAGCCTTTCGACCCCGTGCGACCGGTTCCCGTCGCCACGCCGGGCACCTTGAAGTATGCATAGGAAAACGGCCATCGCTACTTCGAAGATCTGTGCGGTCTACGCATCTTGCTATCTCTTGCTTCGGTCACCAGCGAAGCATGACGAATTCAAATTCTTCCGCTATAGTTCTTGTACATTCACAACAAGACGATGATCGAGGTACTTGTGCTTTTTTGTATATTCCTTGCACACAACGTCGAGAACCAAGGACTGTACTGCAACTGCCACAAAATCTCAACATGCTCATCGATTCTGCTTCCGTTTTCATGAACTGATCGCGGTTTTTTTTGTCGTATTCCCTGCAAGAAGACAGTGATGCTTGTCCGTATTGGTATGCTAGAAAGCCAGAGTAACGCGATAGCCGTTTTCCCTTGGATAGCAAGCCCGCCTGCTTCATCTTGGCGCGTTCGAAGGCCAAGGTAGGTATGGAAGTGCAATAAAACTACTACAACTACATCGAAGAGCACGGCGGCGTCCCAGAACAGGTGGATAGTACATGTCTTTTTGTGTTCTATGGCCCGCACAACATGGAGACTCTTCAGAGAGACGCTATGCAAGCTGCTTTATATATAATTCCAGCACACGCTAATATACAAGCTGCTTTATTCCAGCACATGTTTACCAGTAAGTACATCAACACCTGCTCCTCTCGGGGAAAATGAAAATGTGTAAGTAGTTTTTCATCATTTGCATAGCATCCTCGTCCACCTCGTCGTGGTACTCCTCCAGGAACGCGTACTTGTCTTTTATGCAACACAAATTAGCTGTCTGGCTCTGGATGATTTAGATTTTCCGTAATTTCTTGCAATTTCTGATGCGCAGATTAGCTACGAAAAATTACTTTGGCATGCAAAAAGCGATGAAAAAAATCATGCCAAAGCCAACTTCATTTCCCACCCATAGCTTCCGTCGGCGTGGCCTCCACGAGCACCGGCGTCGCCAACAGGGACACCGCGGATTATGAAAGTGTAGATCACCTCGTGCCCCTCGTTTCATCGCTGATTTGTATTTCTTTTCATGCAGAACAACAATCAAATTCAAAACGCAAGAAATTGAAATTCCACTACAATTCGCCGTGGTCGTTGATCCATATCGGATCCGATCCCGCTTGGGAATTTTGATTTTCGCATGAGAGCTTCCAAATTATACTGGCTCTGATTCATAGAATGTTTAAAATGCCGTAGTACCAAATGAGCGAAATCCCGAGGGAGATGAGACGATCTGTAACAATTTCGTAGGGACCCGGCCACACTCACAAAGCTTTTCGGGCGGGGCATGATCGATCGTTGTGGTCGGTTGTTCTTGAAGTCCCAGAAGTTCTTCAAGATGATTCGCTAGTTGTAGCTAGTTCCTCCAGTCGAAATTGTTTTTGCAGCAGCTTCGTTCCTTCGTTCGAGTTCGTTTCCGTTTTTTCCTTCTCCTCTTTCGCGCCAGCGGTTTTCGTCTCCCGCTCTGTTGTTTGTTAGTACCTGAAAGTGTGATGAATACTCGTCCGTTTCTGTTTTTGTTTGATTCATTTATTGGATAATGCAATTCCAATGTCTTTTTATAGATAATGATAAATTTGGTGATGCGAACCAAAGCAGCTTCCGAGAGTTCTGTACTAGAGGTGCTATTAACTGGTACCTTGTTCTTCGCAGTTTCTCCTCGTGTAGACGTTGAGTCGTGCCAGTTACAGACCTTGTCGGCTTGTTTTCCGCACTCCTCGCAGTAGTTAATTCCGGTTTTTTGGTTTTTTGTTCTCCTCGTTTGTTGGCTCCTCCGAGAAGATTTTGATTTAGTGTAGTGGTGGTTTTTTGAGTTTCGCTTTGATGTTTTCGTCTCGATGATACAGTTCCTCACCTCAAGTTGAATGTACCAAAAGTAGCAGATATCGCAAGAAAACACTGCCCCACTGCGAGTAGACTATGAAAATGCAGAACCTGCTGCAACACACAGCTGGTGCAACAAAACATACAACTTCTTGACCTCTGACCGGAAATGCAAGTGCTTAACAGCACGCATAGCAGAATGTTGTTCCTCTGTCCTCATGCTCAGTATGCACGAAATCGAACTAGTGATGCGGAGATTGCAGTTCTTCCTGCAGAATCAACGTCACAGTGAAGCAGTTTTCTCATTCCGATAAATACTTAGTTGTGGGTTTGCAACTTGTAATATCCTTTTGGGAAGAAATTACAAGTGCAGCAAGTAGTATATGTAAAATTGGGTAAATGAGTAAAAAAGTGGGTACAGGACTACAGCTCCTTCGTAGAACTTGCACCAATTGAGTAAAAGCAAAGTCGTGACTCTACTTTAAAAAGCTTTCGCTTCTCCTTTGGTTTTGAACAAAAGTTGTGGGTTCTTTAGCCGTTGTGGGGAACGACTTAATTTTTTCTCCGCAGTTTGTTTGAAAATGCAAATGGTGTTAGTTGTGAGGAACAAAGTTCTTCGCAGTGGTAAGTACTTCTTCTAGCACGTTTTTTTTAGCAGTTGGGGGAAAGTTGGAAGTTAGTGATCGTGGTGTTAGCGGTTCGTGAAGCAAAAATTAATTTGCACACAAGTTGCTCCTGATATGGTGGTTGTGGAAGGTAGAGTGGAATAAAAAATGTGCATTTGCCGAGTTCTTCTTATCCACGTCGCTTTGGCTCACTTACTTCTCTACGAGTACGACGGCGCGCGTGAATTAGAACGTTAGCTGTGGGGAGTACTAACTCCATCTAAAAGAACGTCCAAGTGACGAAGGCCGGCGGTCGTCTTTCGTCGGTGGTTGTGGACGAAGCAAATGGGTGGACGAGAAGTACAGATACTTTTCTTCTTTGCACGAAGTTGTAGACGAGCACAGATAGTTTTCTTGGCAGAACCGAAGACCACTACACGCATCAATTCTTCGAAACACCGAGAAGAAAGTCTTTCCAGAGAAGAACGAAGAGGTTCAACACCGTTTGTGTTCGCAATCGCAGCACGTCGACGTCTCCACGAATCAGATGGACTGACTGCGACTGGCGCATGCAAATAAATCAAAGACCGATGATGATGAAAGAAAGCAGAAGCTGCAGAAGGACTTAAGCCGAGAAGTAAGGTAACGGTTTTGTTTTTCAAAACGATTGGATTACCAGATCACACCGAGGATTGTTCCGCTTCACAAACGAGGAAAGTGGACTACTTTCTCTTTCTTCATACTGTCTGGTATTCGCTACCATCTTTGAACCTCACGCACAGCAGCCGAAAGTATGTACGAAAAATTTTCATCGTGATGTGCCGAAAGAAGAAAAAGAAAGCTTAAGCTTTATCAAACCGAAGTACTCCTACACATTGTGTGGAGGTTCTCCACACGAAATAAAACCGAAGCGCTGGCGCAGCCATGAACACTATGGAGATTTTTGTCATTGCACTTCATTTCTGAAAGAAGGAGGAGTGCGAAGTAGTAAATCAGCTGCGCCTGAGAGGACTGTCCGCGACAACTCGTGTGCCTTGCATGGGATGACCTTGTCTCTACCACCAGGACGAGGGGTGAGCTTTTGCTTCATTTTAGCAGTTTTTTTACACACTGTTCTTCATCTATTGCTCTGGAAAAGGAAAAAATCGTGCTATTCATATTTTCGCCTTGGAAAGAATATCAGCCCTTGCTATTTTCGCATTTGCTGGTCCTGATGCTGAACCAGAATCACCGTGGTGGTGGTCGTGTTGATCATCCTCTTCATCGTCATCCTATGTTCAGCAAGTGCTTCTCCTCCTGTTGCGCTATCGCACGGAAAAGTCGCGCCACCACGCTTCCTGCCTTAGCAGCTGGCTTGTTCGGACGGGTACACAAATTCATGCACGTTTCGTTCTGACCCTCTTCCTCGTCCTTTAATGTCTCTTTCTGCACAACTAGTACATGACAAAAACATACAAAACCATAACCAATACAGGTTGTGTTGTCGTCCTCGTCAGCATGACAAAACGACTATTTCTTTATATGTGATAGGCAACACGCAGTACCCCACTGACAGATACCAGTTGCTGCAGTTCGCCCCCTATCCTGTGCAAAAGTATCGCACTCGTATAAATGCAAGTCCTGCATTACAAACTTTTTTCTTAAGGTAAGTCAGCATATACAGATTTTATTTCTCATGCTGAGGAAATTTGTAATGCATTTATACGAGTGCGATACTTTTGCAGTTCATACCCCCAGCCGCACAAACTTCGCGTCGTGTATCGAATTGAAAACTGTTGTTCCCAGCACCCTATAATCGCTGTGAACGCCAATTCATTGTGGTCACATGTATCTTTACACTTTCATGCTAGGAGCGAAGATGAAGATGAAAGTTAAATAAAAGAAGTGAACTTGCAGCTCTTACACTGCGCGGAGTAGCATCAGTGTGGAAAAAACACAGTTTAGTCTACTACTCGTCTTCTTGTTCTTCGCATCCAAGACAAAAACTGCATCAAGAAAAGTACGTATGACTTCTTTATCTTTTGCAAAGATTCGTGCTGCAGAGCACTTTTGGAGATGGGAAACATTTTTGTTCATCCTTTCCATACCGCACAGTTCGTCCTTGGTCACCAGGTCAGCTTCGGTCGTTTTTGTGCAAGGCAAAATGAGACTTTTAACCACAGTACGTACATGTCCACATGTTCCACCTCTTCCTGAGATACTAATGCGTCAAATACGGAAAGACAAAGAGATGAACGCGAGGAGTAGTACTTACAAAGAAATCCAACTTACGAATTAAACAGCACAGTTTATAGCCCCCTTTTTCCTGGGTTGGGAGAGCCTGGGAGAGGAAAATCAGCAACGCCAACACGTCACAAAAAAAAAAAAACTCGCTGGATTATCTAATCCCCCGCGTATGGTGTTGATTATTATACTTTAATAGGGAGAGCCATAGAACCAAAAAAAATTTCGCGCGCGCGCTGCGCGCGCGCATTCACTCACCCCATACGCAGCCAATGGCGTTGCATCGATTCGAAGGCAAACGAGCACCGCGCGCCCGCTCATCGAAGGACATTTGAAGTGGCCACTTCAACTTCCCCCCATCGAAGGAAATTTGAAATGGCCATTTCAACTTTCCCTCATCGAAGGAAAATCGAAGTGCCCACTTCAACGCTCCCTCATCAAAGGAAGCTCGCAGTTGCCATTTCAACTTTCCCTCATCGAAGCAAGGAAATTTGGGATGGCCGCTTCAACTTTCCCTCTTCGAAGGAAATTTGAAGTGGCCACTTCGCCTTTCCCTCATCGAAGGAAAATCGACGTTACCGCTTCAACCTTCCCTCATCGAAGGAAATTTGAAATGGCCCCGTCAACTTTCCCTCATCGAAGGAAATTCGAAGTGGCCACTTCAACTTTCCATCATCGAAGGAAAATTGAAGTGACCACTTCAACCTTCCCTCATCGAAGGAAATTTGAATTGGCCACTTCAGCTTTCCCTCATCGAAGGAAAATCGAAGTGCCCGCTTCAACTTTCCCTGATGGATAACGACAGCAGCGCCCCAGGGGCCGCCCGCGTGGAGGACACGCATGCAGGAATTTTTCGCCCCCTAGATGCCACCTGTCGGCGGCATCCGCCATCCCAAAAACTGCGCCGAGTAGTCACAAATAGAAATACGCCACAGGGGCGCCGTCCAAACCGCTTACATATATATAAAAAGAACTGCAGTAGAATAGACATCATACCATCGAGCCTGAAGCAAATTTACAAAACGAGTCGCGCTGTTCCTTCTAATTTGCGGAAGCTCTCCCAGCCTCTCCCAGCCTCTCCCGGGCTCTCCCAGCTTATAAACTTAACTGTTATAGAACCGATAGGATGAAAAAATCGAGATTTGTTGCAATGCCCACCATGCAAATCCAAATGCCATGACCATGTGGAGAGACATATTATCTGCGTGCAGTACTGTATTACGGAAAATCTGAATTCCAATTCTTTTTGCATTCGATATGAGCTGCAAAGATGGACGCCGAGGAGCCCCCTCCTGGCAGATTCGTGTAATATAGCGAGGAAAATGAGTGACTAGTGTGGGGACTACGTGCTACTAGACCTAAAATCTGTCATCCGGTTTTGCTAGTATGTGTCTTTTCATCGTCGTTTATGCAGAAAGCAGACCGAAACGCACTCAACTTCATGCGGAGGTGTAACGTGCTCTATTTTGGCGATCATGGTACTTACTCCTGCTGCATCAAGAGAAGGGACAAAAAAAGCTGTATAAGCATGCGAAAAACCCGCATGACATTTTTGACAAATTGTATTTATTTTCCCAAAAGCTGCCAGCAGTGTGGGAGCGGCACACTCACTTCCCCTCCATACTGCGCTGTCCGTTGGCTCTTCGCCCACTGTTCCGAGCATGGAAGACGCGGTCTGATCGCCGTTGCTTGTGGTGCCTTCATATCCTGTGCAAAAGTATCGCACTCGTACTAATTGCGTTCATGCAGTCTTTATTTCAAGGCAAATCCGCATTACGAATTTAATTTGTAGTGCTAAAGTCAGTTTGTAATGCATTTATATATACGAGTGCGATGCTTTTGCACTGCATACTTCAGTTGCTCCTGCCCCCGCACTAGGGGCGCCGACAGCGGAGAGGAAGCTGGGCTTCGAAGGTAAGCGCAACGGCCCCAAGTCCGCTGCGGACCCGAGTCCAGAGGAAGAATCGCGCTGTCGCCCCTGGTATCCAAAAAAAGAACTGTGCATAGAGTAACTTTGTAAAGGAAGATGAACAGCATCACACATTCGTTTTGCATTATTAAACCTGTCATGCGCAGCTACTACGTGGAAACATCACGTATGAAAGTAGCCTACTTATCACGCAGATCCAGCATGACAAGTGTATATAGTTTTGCACCTTCTGCATCACAGAGTTACACATACACTCACATAGTTTTTTTCTTGCATACCTGGTACATCAACAACGGGAGTTCAGAAATTTTCACCTCTTCGACCTGCTCTACCGCGCCGAACTTGTTGGAAGTGGAAGATTGATGTGGCCGCTGCTGTTGTTTTAGTATCCCGTCCGGGTTTATCTCTTCTGCTGGGTCTTCCACAGTGCTTTGCAGTTTTTTCCGCAATGATCCCGCAGGCTTGGCGTCCATCGCCTTGATCAGCTATGCAATACCAATTTGCCGCACATATACAAGATGCATCACAAATTTCCGCAATTTGGAGTGTTAGAATTGTCATGCTGAACTAACATTGGAGCCAAGTTTTGTCATGCAGCGACCGCATTTGTACGTGTACGGGAACTTTACTGTGGATATCAGCGGTAAAAGAATCACTTCTGTGTGGACGGAGGATTTCATTTCCAACGTGATGTTCATTTTCAGAAGTATCAACTGCAAAAATGTCTGGGTCTCCTGGAACTTTGCTCGACTTGTCATGCAGGTTTTCCATGACCCATATGATCTGTAATGGAGGACCTAGCATGACAGATTCCGCGAGATCACTATCATGCCTATCCTGCATGAGAAACTGCCTCTCAACTTGATCAAAAGTGGACAGCATTTGGTAATCATGCAACACAGATTTTCATTTTTGCCGCGTGATTCAGATTTAGCATCACAAGTTCCAACCTTCCAGACCCAGACATTTTTGCATTTGATAAGAAGACCGTATTTACCAAACTCCGCTTTAACCTGCATCGCTTCCGGACTATCGAATGCAAATATGTCTGGGTCTGGAAACTTGTGATGCTAAAATGTGACTGGTGGGCGGACTGCAATACGCAGCCAAGCATGACAAATTTTTCAACTACTACTGTGTTTCGTTTTCCGCATGGCAGACTGCGTTTTTGCATGACAGGCAAGAGGCCATTTTCCTGCTCATGCATCACAGATTTATGAGTCATGCCAGACAAGCATGACAAAGTTGCATTCTTCCAGACCCAGATATATTTGCATTTGATACGGCCGGCTGTAAATCAATTCCAGTATGACCTCGTCCTTTGGCTTTTCGAAGCCGAGTTTCTCGTAGAAAAACAGTGCTGAAGCGAGCAAATCCGGCGTCAAATCTTTCTTCGTCGCCACCGTCGACCCTGCAGCAGCGGTGTATGACCTGCGAAAGTGATATCGCATTCGCACTCGTAGTTGTATTGCAATACAAATTAGCTCAGCGTGGTGTTGGTGACAAATGGAATAATTTCTCATGGTGAGTTCGCTTGAAGAAGAAATTTGTCTTGCATGACTGCGATTATTAATACGACTACGATACAACTTTTGCACCGAATACGGTGGCAGCAGCTACAACTGCTCCCCCTCCTGCTGCGCCTCCGGGCCCGCCCGCAGTGATATCGGTCACCACGGCGTTCTCCGGGCTGGCTATGCAAGAAAAAAACTGTGTAAGCGTAGCTTTGTAATGCAGGACATGAAACAGAGTTGCGCCTGTCATGCCAGACAGCCATGTTGAGTTCCTCTTTTCATATGTGTTATCCCTTACAAGCTGCGCATGATAGGTTTTCTCTGTCATGTAGAGCAAATCTGTGATGCTGTCAGCCAAAGATAGTTACACTAACACAGTTTTTTTCTTTGATACTGGCGGACAGGCAGCTGATGTTCGGACGGTAGAGGGAAAAACACAAGTCTTGAATGCGCCAATCCTCTTCAGCGATGTGCTGCAGAAAAAGCGCGCAATCTTCGTGCTGCCACATGCAGCAGTCCAGCAGGGGCAGCAATTCCTTCTCTAGCAAATGAGCGTTTGCGGGTACGGCAACCTTCGCAGCAGCTGCGGGAGTGCCGTTCACCGATCTGTTCAGGAAGTTGGCGCTGTCTTTCGCTTCGTCCGTCTGTTCCTGCTGGTCGCTAAAACCGACAAAGGGACTCGGGTACACATCACACAGCATCACCCCTGCGTCACACCGTCCGTTCCCGTGCAAAGTAATCCAGACCTTGTAGAACTCAACCTACAATATGGCGTTCTCAAATGTTACACTCTCAACTGTAATGCAAGAATGGCAAAAGTGAAAGGGGCACGGTTACCCCTGCTTTTGCATTACATTTACAGGTTTGGAGCAGATTGCAATACATTCTAGCGCATCGAGAACTTGTCATGCGAAAGAGGCTTGATCGTGTGAAGGGTGATAGTGTTTTTGCACGACAAATCACGTAACATTTGAGAGTGTAACGGGTTGAGAACCCCGTATGCAGGCACCCCTTATTTGGGTTTGTGTCCGTGGCCCTCAGCTTCGCCGAGGTACTCTATGCAAGAAAAAAACTGTGTAAGTGTAACTCTGTAATGCAGAATATGCAACAGAGTTACTCCTGTCATGCCAGACAGCCATGAAGTCCTTTTTTCATGTGTGTTTTCCCTTACAAGCCAGGCATGACAGGTTGTCGCTGTCATGTAGAGCAAATTTGTCATGCTGGCAACCAAAGAAAGTTACACTCACACAGTTGTCTTTTTCTTGGATATACTCCTCCCGCTGATCAGTTGGTGGATCTGCTCGAAAGAGTTCATGTTGCTGTATCAAAAGGAAAAATCCCTCCTCCCCATATCGAAAACGAAAGTTGTGATGCTGTATTTGAGTACACAAATCGATTTGTCTTGCTAGAAGGCCAAGAGCCGCAGCTGTGGTCTGGTTTGCAGGCAATTTGTCATGCTGTTTCAGACTTCCGGCTGCCTCCTGTCATGCTGAAAGTGCAAGGCTTTCCCACATCACCACCCAGTAGTACAGTGTCTACATCTTTTCCCTTCTAGCATAACAAAGCTGATTTGTGACCACAAATCTGCATTACAGATTTCCGTTTTGATATGGGGAGGTGGGATTTTTCTTCTTGATATGCTGTTTTCGCACTTTTCGTAAAACTTCCGAATGTCCCGCAGCGAACCCAGGTGCGGGTGCGGATTCCACGGTATCGCGCGAGATTCGATCTCGATGCTGGACATCGCAAGAAAAAAGTGTTTACAGTTACACATATGTCAATTCAGCAACACAAATTTCTCTAGATCAGATAATGCAGAAATCCGACGGGAAAACACGTACGAAGCCAGGCTCCTATGCATATCTGGCATGACAGAGCTTGTCTGTCTTGCTTGGTCTGCATAGACTATGACTATGTGTAACACTTTTTTCGTACGATAGTGGACTGCTGGGCTTTCGCGGAGCCGCGAGGGGAAGCTGTTGACCCCGACGCAGAAGCCGGACTCGCTGTCGTCTCTAGCCTTTCACTGGTTGAGGTCTCTCCGATATAGACGCAGTAGGACAAATTGTTTTCGAAGAGATGATGTGCAGTGGAAAGGTTGCAACATCAGCTTGTCGTTGGGCAAAAACTACACCATCTCGCAACAGAAACTCACACCGCAGGTGAAAGAGAGTGACGTTTTTCGTATACGTAGTAAATTGCAACCGACGTTGATGTCAAGTTCAATTGTAGTTTGCGCATGCCAATTTTTTTCAGTCAGTGCATTTCTTGCATTTGTGTTGCTCAACGTGCGTATTACCGGGTACAACATTTTTACCACTGTTCCATAACAACGCGAACAGGTTTGCGCAAAAATCCAACTGCTGCAGGGTGATGGACGGAAAGGCCTGCTCCAGGGGCACGTTGCTGTTTCCCAGCCAGTCGACCGGGTGCATGACCGGCTGTTTTTTGTTCCGGAGGTTGTTCACCAAATCGCGATATGCTTCGGGACTCAGCAAGGACAAGGCGTCACTCCCGCCCGCTCCCGCGCCGGCCGCAAGGTCGGCGGCGGTTTGGTCCCGCGAGTTGGAGCGGGAGCGCGCCATCTGGTGGCCTGGGGTATATGAAATGTAAAAATGTCTGGGTCTGGAAGATTGCAACATGTCATGCTAAATCTGCAGCATGCAAGAATCTGTGTTGCATGATTACCAAACGTCGTCCAGTTTTGACCAAGTCGGGAGGGAGTTTCTCATGCAGGATAGGCATGAGAAAGGTCTCGCAGAATCTGTCATGCTAGGTCCTGCATTCCAGACCTCATGGGTCATGGAAAAGCAGCATGACAAATCGCGCATTCTTCCAGACCCAGACATTTTTGCATTTGATAGGGTAGCGCCAGCTGCAGAGCCTGCTCCTCCAGGCGGCTGCAACCGCTTGGCCCCGAACGCAGGTCGAGAAGAGGTGGCCGCGGAAGCCATCTTCTTTTAGGAGAAGCAACAGAAAGTATATGTGTGATAGTCCTCTCCTGCGCGACGTGCGAATAAATCCGATTCCGAAGATAGAAGATTGCTCTTTAATTCAGAAAAAGACATGCCTACTCGTATACTAATGTGCCGAACAGCAACAGAGTGGTTTCAGATAAAATGAACTCAAATAATCAACCTCGGTGTCTTCTTCCAAGATTATGTAGTAGTAGTAGAGCGGTCATGAACAGCGCACAGCTATGATCACACGGGAAGCAAATTCATGTTCATCTTGCACCGATATGTAATTACGATAGAGCTGGACAGGTACTAGATTTCGGTTTTCCCTGACCGACGGAGGTAGATTTACTTCGTTATGTAGAACCGTAGCCTGCATTTGACGACGCCGGATGAACATGTTCATCAATCTGATACTGATTATACTCCAAGCTTTTGCATTTCGGTTTCCCGCCCCGTCGGGGAAATGGAACAAGGAGCTCCAGAACGCGCAGTCGCTACACAAATCATCATTGTCGCTATCTGCATTGTCTTCTGGGGTTTTGCATTTTTTGAAGGAAATGAAGAACCACTCTTCTTGGAAAAGCAGCCACTCATCTCGTGTTTTCGTTTTCGTTTTTGTTCCTATCATCATTTTTCTGTCATTGTCGCCAGGTCGTTTGGGTATCATCTTCAAACGAAATCGTTGCTGTATCTGCATTGCTGCAGCGTTCTTGCCGGCCCTGCGTCCGCACTTTTCAGTGCTCATGCGAGTGATCGCGATGTCGCCGGTTCGCGTCCTGCGGTATGGCTTGCTCAATTGGAAACGATCTCACTTGGAAAACCTATTTTTTGTGATGCAAATACTGGAGAGACTTCGCCCTTGTTCCCTTCATATGCAAGACAAATTTCGCCTGGTTTAGGTTTAGCTTTACACCGTTTCAGTTGCGATTGTTCCAGCTGTGCATGCCATACGCATCGCCGCCCTCTCCTGCAGCTCTTCCTGCTCATGACTGGTGCCGCGACTGGTACTACCACTACCCCCGTGTGCGTGATGGGAACCAGAACCGGTGCTCCGGCCATCACCAGAATTCCTGCCGCTTTTGCCGTACGGGCCATGCCGCTGTTCAACATCCCCAGCCGCATAATTCCCCGGCGTCACTACCCGTTCTTTCGTGACCACGCTATGCATTGCAAATATGTCTGGGTCTGGAAAATTTCAAGATTTCGATTTGTCATGCTAGTCTGGCATGACTCTGCATTCTGTATTGCGCGGCCACGAACAGCCTCTCTCGCCTGTCATGCAAAAACGCAGTTTCTCATGCGGAATGCGCAGTACAGAAGCTGTCATGCTTGACTGCGCATTACAGTTCACTTATTGCTCGCTGACTTGCATCACAAGTTTCCAGACCCAGACATATTTGCATTTGATACACGCCCAGACTCACCGACTCCGGCGGCAGCTCGCCTCCCGGGAGCTGCTGTGCCACGGAAGAAGAGTATGCATTGCAAAAGCATTGCATCGTACTAGTACAAATAGCATTACAAATTTTTTCAGCATGAAAAATTGAATTTGTCATGCTGTTTTACCTTGGAAAGGACATTTGTCATACATAACTGCAATTAGTACGAGTACGATACTTTTGCACAGGATAAAGAGGAACCAGATCCAACGTTCGCCAGGGAGGTCCGGGAGGGGGGCGGAAAATTCGCCGCCGGTGGTCCGCTAGCGCCGCTTGTCGTGGTGGTTCCTGCGCTAGTACTGGCTGCGCTCGCTCCGTACACCGAGGGGCAGCAGCCGGCCCGGGGTATAAACGGGTGCAAAACTACGGAAAATTGGATTTGTCGGCGATCCTGTACTTGTTCTTCAAGACAAGGAAAAGCACGAGTTAATCAGGCAGCAACCACAGCAGAATTCTGTCAACAGCCTGCTGCTCCAGGCGGTCTAGTGCAGCCGCTACTGTACGAGAGCTGTTTTTGTGTGTTAAAACTAGTGTGAGCATTTCTACTTGCTACTAAAATTTTTACTGCTGTGGTTCTCGACGCCCTGACCCGTGCGAAGAGGCCGCTTCTACTCCGAGTATTTGTCCATTTACGACTTCTTATTTACCATGCGAGGAAGACACGACCGCCAGCGCACGACACCTCCAATCGCTGCGCGAGGCACAGAAGCTGGCAGTGGCGCCGGGGAAAATAAAGTTGCCTCACATACAGTAGAGTAGAATTCCCAATCCGAGCACGCTCAAAACCAGCAACAAGCAGTTTCTCCGCGTTTCCTTCTTCTTCTTCTCCCGGTTTAGCCGGTCAATTTCACTGGTACCGGCATAGACGTTGTCACTCGTGTCCTGGAGGTAGTGTTCGATGTTCAAAATCTGCTCTCCCTGGTCCGTCACCACGGTGGCCAGGTCCTTGAAGATTTTCTGCACCTCGCCCACCTGCCCCACGATCCGCTGGATGCCCTGCTGCCGCTCCTGCGCGATCCGAGAGTTCATGTTCGCGTCCTCTTGCTCCTGCAGATACCGCTGCTGCTGCTCCAGCTGCTGCGCCTGCTGCAGGTAGGAAAACGCACCACCTGTTCGGTCGTTCGGGTTGCCAAGTTCGTTCTGTGCCGCGCCGCGGTTGCGCACTTGGAGGCCCGTAGTAGGGTCCAGGGAAGTTGTACTGTTGGCCGTTGTTCCGGCTGTAGTACCGCCGGCGCTGTTCCCGCCGCCGCCGTCGGTGCTTTTCGCGACGTTTTTCGAATGCAGCATGCGATGTTCGAATTCGTCGAGCGAATTCTGGACCTGTCGCTGGACAATCTGCATGTTGTGGACTTCTTCCTCGAACGCCAGTTGGGGATTATGCAGCACAAAAGCATCGCATTTCGTAGACATTGCAATACAAAGTCTTTTAGCAGGGAGAATGGAATTTGCCATGCGGGTTAAGGTTGGAAAGCAGATTTGTCATGCATACCATGCAAGAATTACTAGCACAGCACGAGTAAACGATACTTTTGCACATGCTACAGTTTCTCGACGGACAGCTTCTTGTTTCTCGCCAGCCGCTCCCCAGCGAGAGACACCTGCCAGTCGCGAAACAGCGACCTGCCGTCTTCGATCAGGCCCTTGCTGTTCAACAGGAAATCCTTAAACGCCACTTCCTTCGGCTTGTACTCGCCCTGGTATCCAATCATTTGCGAGGTAATCGACGTGGACAAGAGTTCCTCGCGCGCAAGCCGCGCTTCCTCTTGCAGTCGTTCGATGATAGATTTGATGTTCCGTTCGTAATTGGAGGTGGAGGAAGTGGATTGCTGATGTGTAGTACTTTGTGCAGTACCAGCGGAAAACGAATGAAGATTGTTGCTGTGAGCCACCTGCGCCATCGCGTGGTGCTGCTGGGCATTGATGACCGGATGTTGTGGAAACGAGCCTCCCGGTGTTGTGCCGCTCGCCCCTGGAAGAACGCCGCCTGTTGGCGGCGCTTGGAGATGGTAAGACGCTGCTCCACAACTATGTGAAGATGCTCCTTGGAGTAGTTGTCCGCCGCTGGTGGAAAATGGCCGGGCAGCCGTGCTGGAGGAAGATCCACCGGCCGTGAAGTTGTGCGTCGTCGTTGCGGCCCCGAAGTTATTGTTCGAACTATGATGTCCAACATGATTATTGGAAGACAAACCTAACAAATCCGGCGTGGTACTAACAGGTCCACCCGAAGGAGCCAAGTTCGGCGTGGTGCCTCTTTGGTGTTGATATGAGAAATTCTGTTGCTGGTGCTGGCCTTTTGGGGAAAACAGGGTGCTGTTGCCACCTCCAGCCCCGGGCCCTTGCTGGTGCTGGTTGGGCGCGTTTATTTGCTGGGTCAGGTTGCGAAAGGACATTTTGATCGAGTTTTTCTCGCTTGAGTCGTGTGGAAGACTGCGCCAGTAAACCGGGCGGTGCTGTCGCTGGATATCTGAAAGGAGCAGGGTGATTTCGCTACATCAATCGCAAAGGCATAGATGGCACACTCGGACTGAGTTCCTACTGAAAGAACAAGAAGAGTAATTAAGTCGGTTTCGGTCGGATAAAACGTCTCTCGTTATGTTTCTGCTTCGCTAAGAAAAGAATATCCAACGTCTCGATAGCCAAGGCCTGGTGTCAGCAATCACAAAATCAGAATCAAAGTACTACGTGTGTACTATGTATACATAGGAATCACGAAGAACCTGTGTAAAAAGTACTTGGTACTCACAGGCAATGAAACTCAAACACTACTACATCTAGTTCAACTATTCATTGAGGTTGAGCAACAGTCATGCAGCTAGGTGAGATCAAGGATTTGCGGGCATCTTCACTCTCGTCGGGTAGTTGCGCTTTAATATGTTCATAACATCAGCATGGGCCTAAAGTAAATCCATCTGTTGCAGTTATCGCAGTCGCGCAGTTCCTGCAACTACGCCCAACGAACAGAAAAGCCTGCCGCCTCGCCAGAACAAAATCCTAAAACACAAACTGCAAACCACCTAACATGGATTGCAGTGTACGAGGACGCTTCTTGTCATTCTCACAGGGAGCTCGGAGGCAACATAGCCCTGGTACTAGAAGATCTTCTGCCATGTAGTTGTTTCTTTCTTTTGTCATTGCGAAAACTCTGTGTAGAGTTCATCTTTTCACTACGGTTGAAACAAATCCACTCAGAGGAGGGCGGCAGCAGCAGCACTTTGTAGTACTCGTGCCGACTTCTCCGATTAGCGTACTAGGTACAGTGACGACGATTGTATATTCATTTCGTTTTCCGGTAGGTGAGGCGGAATAAAGAGATGATATTGACCAGAGCATTTCTATGCCGAATAAACGAAGTTGTGTAAGTACTACTTATCTTGATCTTCTAGTGATACTGCTACACCAGCAGCAAGGCCGCACCAAAGATAAGGAGAAACTCAACTCTAAAACAGCATCTTCAAGTCGCGACCCCGAGCATTTGCAGTAAGTTAAATCCGTATTTCAATTCCGGTTTCGAGGTTCGCGTTGGATCCAGGTAGGCCTGTGTCGCGCTGGTATCCACGTACACATTTCGCTCGTCCCGCTTGTGCATCTTGTCCGTTTCCGCCTTCTCCAACGCCCCACCGTCGTCCCCGCTATTCTCCTTGTCCCCGTTATCGACCACGGTTTCAAACTTGCGCACCGATTGCGGCTCGCCGGTTTTCTCGAACTCTTCATTCCTCTCCTCCGGCGTCCGGTTATCGACGCTGGACCGGGAAAATTCCTCGGTCGCCACGCCGTCCGCCTTCGGCGGCTTATGGCGTTCTCAATTGTTACATCGCCAACTGTTCTTACATGAATTTGTGATGCCAGAATGGCAAAAGTGGAAGGGGGGGCCTGCGCGTCTTGCATGACAGGTTTGGCACAGATTTACACGCTGTTGAGCCCTCCGAGAATTTGTCATGCGAAGCAGCTTGATCGTCTGGTGGCTCATGGTCCTTTTGCATGACAAATCACGTATACAAGCGAGAATGTAACATCTGAGAGCGCCATACGGTTCGTCGTGCGGTTCGGACCCGAGCTCCTCGTAGGTTTTGTATCCTGAGTAAACACGTCCCCACCACATAGTCAAGATGGGCAATATGCTAGACAAGTCAGCCAGCTTTGGCTATTGCGCATGACAAGCTTGGCCTCGTATTGTAATCCTGTTTAGCTCGTTTAGCAAGCAGCATCACAGATCTAGCCTGCTATGCTGACTGGAACATTACAACTTCCAAAACACGACGAGAAAACGCTTCTCATGGGGCTCCGCATGAGAAACACTTTGAGATTGAGCATGCAGGTTTGCATGACAACTATGGGGTGGCGACGTTTTTACTCAGGGTATTTTGATGTTCGGATTCAGAGTACCGTACGTCGACGGCTTCTTCGGGATATACGTCGCGCCGGTGAACGGGATGTCCTTTTCCTCCTTGTACAGGTCCGCGTACTATCAACTGCAGAAGTGTCCGCTTCTGGAAGAGTCGGGGCTTGTCATGCACATTTTGCATGACCCGTGAGGTTTTCCTTGCTGGTGCTAGCAACACAGATTTTTTGAGAGCCTCTTGATGCTAATTACGCATGAGAAACGCCCTCGCCGCGTGCCAAGAACTGAGTCCTCTTGCTGCTCATGCAACACAGATATTGTTAGAATCCGCAGACAGCATTACAAGTTCCACTCTTCCAGAGCTAGACACATTTGCAATCCATACGTACTCGTTGCCCGCTTTGTGGTACACGTTTCGCGAGCCTTTCCCGTGCGCGTTGTGCCCCCCGCTCTTCAACGTCAGGCCGTAGATGTCCCGCGCGCCCGTATCGTACCGCATGTACCCGTTGTTCTGGTGTTGCAGCTCGGGCGTCAAGGATTCGAACTGGTTCAGCTGTTTCAGCGCCTGGTTCCCCAGCGCGGTGGCGGAGGAAGCGAGGGTCTTCGCGTAGGTGGAGGAAATCAGGGCGCGCTGGAGGGCGCCGCCGGACTGGTTCACCAGTTCCTCATACCACTCCCCGATCGCGGGTGGGTACACGTCGTGCTCGGACTGGGCGCAACCGGGAGGAGAAGCGCCCAACGTGTAGGGGTCCTTCCCGACGTGGGGGGCGCCATTTACAAGGGAAACCTCGGAAAGGAAGGGCATTTTGTTGGCTTTTTAGATTTTGATCGGAAGAGGTTCATGTGCAGTTTCCTTCGAAAATAAGAACTTCAGCTGAGGATGTGTATATCAAGAATATCGTTTCCGCGATATAAACACAGACGATCAATATCTCTCGTTCCCTCACTACGCACAGCATCTTCAAAAATATAAGTCGATGGCGAAAGCATGTCTACCCTCAGCGTATGAATTTGAAGAAGATGATACTGATACACAGAGTCGTATTATACTTTGTGCCTTTCGTATACGCCCGCTCATCACCCAATCATGGATGTGCGAGCCGGAGGGAAAGCGATAACACCAAAGCGCTCGTCAATTTGCTTGCAGCCGAGAGCGAAGGAAGCTTTCCGCGATAAGGCGGGTCAATGAATTTGCTCGGTTACATCGCAGATGGGCCGTCCATGCAACGAAGCCGACGACGACTGGCTGCTGGTGCAGGAACCGACGCCAACGACAGGGCGGAAGAACAACCTCCACAACGGGCCGCACGCTCATGCTGCGCCAGTAAAAGTAAAGGCGCCAGGCTGCGAAAAGTGCGCGAGCGGGCGCATGCGGAAAGAGGCCAGGCGCCACTGGCCTCCCAAGTAAGCGCGCCGCCGGAACGGTCCACGCGCCCCCCGCAGAAATCGGCGCCACCCTCCCTAGAACGAAGAAACACAACACGCGCAGGCACCGCATGGCTGGGCTGCCGTGCCCCCCCCCTCTGAAGGCCCCGGGCGCGGGGGGGCGGGCCCCGGGTGTCCAGCCCGAAAGCGCAAGTGCTTGGCACGGCGCGCCCGCTTGGCCATTATCGCTCTGCGGCACCTGCTGCGTTCCGCCGCTTGCATGCGTCCAGACCGCCCGGGCTCGTGCATTTGTTTCTGAGTGCCCCGCCTCCGGCCAAGAGATCGGCGCCAAGCGCCCGGCCTGCGAGGGCTCGACGTAACCCAAGCACCACTCTAATCCATCGCGGCAAAGGTCCGCCTGCGGTGTGGCTTTGTCGCGTCCAATAGAAGCCGCAAACCACACAGGCGCGCGCGGCCCCCTGGATACGCAGCGGGCGCAATTGCCGGCGTTTCGCCCTTGGTTTGCGAGGGCTACCCCATCCGTCCCCGGCTGACCGCTGGCGCGCCGGCGCGGGGCCGGCGTTTCGGCTAGTTTTTCTCTGTGGGGGCCGGCTTCTGGCGCGCGGTGTATCTCCGCGCGCTTTTCTTCCTTGGCCACTTCTTCCTTGGCCAACGCGCTGCCTTGGAAGATGGCTGCGATGCCCGCGCTCTCTATTTGCGAGGCCCTTCCCAAGTCTTTGCAAGTGAGCTACCACGGCAATGGCCAGACCCCCGCGAGCAGATCGCCCACGAAACGGCCGCGAGCCTGCCTAACAAAAAAGCGAAGGCGCCCGGCCTTGCTCGGCGCCGGCCCGGCCCGCCCGCCGGCAGCGGCACCCAAGCGCCCCGCTTTTATTTGGGGCAGCCCGGGCGGCACCCGCGGGCCCGCTCCCGGCGGACATCGGGCAGCGGACTTGCAGACCGCCCGGCCGCCTTGCCCTTCCCGCGAGCCTTGCGCGCCGCCTCGGCTTCCTGCGAATTGCCCCGAGAACCTTCGTAAAGATGGAAGCGATTTGTTTTTCGACCAGGGGCGCCAAGGTCGCTCTCAATTTCTGGCTCGCCATATAACAGTAGCACGATTAAACAGGAACCTCGAAGGCTCTCACTTTCCGTCTCGACGACCGACAATCGATAACTCGAGGCGAAGTTGTCCGAACAGGATACAGTGGAGAGGAAGCTGTCTTATTCTTCTTTCCAGCTTTAATTCTTCGGAAGCGGACTCATAATTCCAAATCAAACAATAGCTCTACAGGTCCTGTCGCTTATTTGAAATTTTCTTGACCAACGCGTGCTGATGCTTTCAGCGAAACCTGTGATCACCTCCCGCAACCACATCGCATCTGTCCCATCAACCTCCTTCTATCACGCGACCTTCGCAGCTGATGACTCCTGTAGATCCTCCTCCCTCTCTTACCGCCCAACACATCAAGAACTGCACCCGGTTCTGTGGTCATTTCTTCGCGAACAACTTACTTGCGGCGGCGGAGCTGCTGGTTTTGGCCGCGAACGCCCGCTGCACCGGTGACATGTCGGCCTTGGACTTCATTTTCGGTTTTTTCGGTTTCCGCAGCCCGACGTCATCCGTCTCCGGCTCGTCCGTCCACTTTAACCCTTATCCTGTGCAAAAGTATCGCACTCGTACTAATTGCAATCATGCATGACAAATCTTGTTTCTTAGCGAAATCAGCATTACAAGTTTCATTTTTTCTTCTGGAAAAATTTGTATTGCGATTTATACTAGTACGATACTTTTGCAATGCATAACCCTTTTGTGACGACGATGTCCCCAAATTTCTCCTCCTATCAAATGCAAATATGTCTGGGCCTGGGAGATTGTAAGACTTGTAATGCTCGGCTGACACGAGACAAAGATCTGTCATGCACGTTGCGCTTCTACCGAGCTGCTTTATTGTAATGCAAGAGCGCAGTTTTTCATGCAGTTTACACAAGACCTAGTCCTCGCTCAGAAACTTGTCGTGCGTGTCACCGTATTGGAGGTTGCTTGTGATCCGCAAATTAGCATCACAACTTTCCAGACCCAGACATATTTGCAATGCATACGTCCTGCGCCACGTCAATCACCGACATGGTTTTCAAAACCAGCATCTCGAAAAAGCACCCGGCCTATCATATGTAAAAACGTCACCACCCACGAGTCAAGATGGGGATCTCGCAACAGAAGTCGAAAAGTGTTGGGAGTTAAGCATGACAAGTTCCTGTCTGCATTGTAGCGCAGTTTAGCAAGTACAGCCGCAACACAAACCAATCTACTCATCCTGTTTACAGCATGACAGAGTCCAAAACACGATTGGAAATGCCTCTCACGGGGATGCGCATTACAACTCTTCCTGTAACTGCAAATCTGCATGACAACTCTGGGGTGGGGACGATTTTCCTCAGGATACGGCCAGGGCCTTCTTCTTGTCCATCACGTGGAGGAAGGTGGGCTCTTGCTGCTCGCACACGTCCAGGTAGCTGAAAGTCGGCTCGACGGTTTTCTCCCCGTCCTCCTCGTTTTTTAAGTCGTCCAAGTGGTCGTGGCCATGTTTTTCCTTGTTCTCCTCGTATTTCCCGGAGATGAACTGGTGCATCTTCGCCGTTATGCATGGCAAAACTATCGTACTGCTTAATACGAATCTTCGCACGAGAACAAATGATCTTCCCAAACGGAAGCGGAACAAGTTCATGCAGGTTCAGGCAATCAAAAGTCGATCTGTCATGCTCGTCCGTGGCTGCAATCAGTATTAAAACATGAGTACGATAAACTTTTACAGGGGATAGCCGTCCGGGCACTGTAACCGGTAATGTTTTCCTCTTCCTGGTCCTGGTTGTCGCCGGTGGTGCCCGCGATTTCGACCTGTAGGTATGCAGGAAAAAAACATTGTTAGTGTAAGTTTGTGATGCGCAACACGCATTAGATGATTGCGTCTGTTATGCTGGACATGCATTGCAGGGTCCATTCAAGCGCGTTTTGACGTGCTATCTGCGCATGACAGGTTTCTGCTGTCATGCCAGACACATTTGTAATGCTGATCAGCCAAAAAAGTTACACCTAGAATCTTTCTCTCTTGGATAGTAGGTGGATGTCGTTTTCTTATTTTCACAAGAACATAATCTGTTTCATCACGATGCAAAAATGAGGCACAAGTATGTATAGTTCTCTGTAAAAAGCACTAGCAACACGACAAAGTCAGTTTTTACAGTTTGCCGACGCTGCATCATAAAGAAGTACAAAAAAAACAATTTACCACTTCCATCATGGTTTTTGGTTTCTGCAGGTTGATCAACTTCAGGTCCTCGTCCATGCCTTTGAACGGTGACGGAGTGTTGCCAAACGCGGAGCCGCCGAAGATTGGAGAGTTGCCAAACCGCTGCTCTTGCTCCTCGGACAATCTTCGCTGCCTTTTCCATATCCTGTGCAAAAGTATCGCACTCGTAGTAATCGCAATCATGCATTACAAATTTTCATCCCAAGGCAAAACAGCATTACAAACTCCATTTGTCATGCCGAGCTTCTAATTTGTAATGCGATTACTACTAGCACGACGCTTTTGGTTTTGCAATTCATATTCCAGGCCTCTTGATTTTTCTCCTCGTCAGACTCGTCCTCGAATTGCACCTGACTGTTCCGTCGTTTTCGCGGAGACCCGAAAATGTCGTCCTGCTTGCCCATCGGGTTAAAATTCGAGTTCGACAGAAGCGGTTGTTGGTCTGTATTGCCTTTTTGATTTGAAAGCAGAACATCTTGTTCCCCGGAGATGGAAAAATCGATCTTCCTGCCCGAGGCATGATTACGGAAACTATAACTAGTAGTGTCGTCACGGAAATCAATATCGCCAAACTGCACAGCACCGCCATCGGGGTTCTTGCCAAAGCAAGCAGTAGAGTCGTTGTTATTTATGTCATCAGGGGAGTCGCCAATAGAATTATTTGTGCAATTTGTACTAGGGGTTCTTTTGGGGTTATTTTTCTGTAAGCTGTTTTTTCTATCACTGGCACCAGCTGGAGGAACTACTTCTATTGCTGCATCTTCCACTTCATCTGGGCTGCCGTCGAGCAGAATTGGCAGCACTTCTACTTCTTGTGTCGCTTTATTTTTAGAACTTCTGCCCCTATTACTACCTCCGGACCTCAGATTTTCTAGCGCATCAGATATCTGCGAGTAGTCGCAGCGCGCATCCGGAGCAAAGGCGTTGTTTTTCCGGTCTCTACGCCGGAAATCAAACTTGCTTTTCGTCTCCTGTACAAGAGCCACGTTCTTATGTTCGTGCGCCGACGATGAAGATGAATCAAAACGACCTACTACACCAGCTTCACGACTACGTGAAGCATTTGAACCATCAGAGCCACGAATAACAAGGGGTGGTGAACTACGAACCAAACTAGAAGAATCATCAGAAGTCTTACGCCGCCCCCTCCAGTGCGCGTAGACGTGGAACTCGGCCATTTGGTGGTTGAACGTCATCGCCATGTGCGGCCTGCCGCCTTTCGGGAAGGGCAGATGATGAAACTCCTTCAGGATCGTATCAGATGTAAAAATGTCTGGGTCTGGAAGAGTGCAGGTTTGCTATGCTTGTCTGGCATGACTCTCAAATCTGTCATGCACGTTACCCGAGAACGCCACTTTTCTGTCATGCAGAAACGTAGTTTGTCATGCAGAATAGGCAGCACCTAGAAGCTCAGAAACTTGTCATGCTGAGCCAGCATTTATGGCCCCCTCATGATACGCCACCCAGCATCACAAGTTTCCAGACCCAGACATTTTTACACTTGATAGATCGCTTTCATGTGCACCTTTTCCGGGTCGTTGCTGAAGAGCGGCAATGTGAATTTCTTCCGTCTCGAGATGTTTTTTCGCATCTCCTCGTATGCTGAGCAAAAACATTCCCACCCCAGAGTCAAGTTGGGAACTTAGCAACACTAATCCAGAAGTTTTGCGGGGAAGCATGACAAGTTTCTCTCTGTATTGTAGTGCAGGGTAGCAAGCACAACCGCATCACAAAGCCATTCTCCCATCCTGCTTACAGCATTACGAATACCAAAACACGATGGGGAATGCCTGTCATGCGGGCCCGCATTCCAATTGTTGCTGTAATTGCAAACCTGCATGACAACTCTGGTATGGGGACGTTTTCGCTGCGGATACCTCGTCTGTCAGCGTCAACTTCTCCCGGTCGGGCCCGTCGGGTTGGAGTTGCTTGAAAAAGGTCAGGATTTTCTGCTGCTCCGAGACGAGTGGCTTCTGCTTTTTGCTTTTCAACAGCGTCTGCGGATCCTGGTATGGCGTTCTCAAACGTTACACTCTCAACTCTTACATGATACTGTCATGCAAAAGTGCCTGCAGCCGGCAGATGATCGAGCTGCTTCGCATGACAAATTTCGGAAGAGCTAAAAAGCATCTAAATCTGCGCCAAACTTGTAATGCAAAAGGCGCATTCTTCCTCCTTTCACTCTTGCCAGTCTTGCATTACAAATTCATGTGACAGTTGAGAGTGTAACGTTTGAGAACTCCATACCTGGGGTTGTTGTCCGGGTATGGCGGAGGAGGAGGCGCTGGGCTGGTTTCCGGGTTCGATGCCCGGTATTGCTTGCTGCTGACCACCGTCTCCGGCCAACCCTAGACCACCAAGCCCAATTGGTGCAGCTCCTCCAGGCTGTAACACCACCTGTTGTGCCCGGTCGAGTAAGGTGTTTGGGTCCAGGAGAAATGGTGTGTTGTTCACTTGTTGCTGCTGAAAGGGCGTGGGGTTGTTCGTTTGATTCGATTGCAGGAACTGGTTCACGGAGTTCGGCGTCCCGGCGCCGTCCTGTAAACCACCGCCGGGGGTTTCCGGGGGTTTGCCCAATATTGGCAACCCGGTCACGGGGTCGAGCATTGGGGTCTGGCCGAACAGATTTTGGGCCGCGAGGTCCTGCGGGGCGCCGACGGGGGTGGGGAGCTGTGGGTGGATTTTTGTCGTGAAAAATTGCCGTCGCAGACGACTGCACAAAATTTTTGTCATGCAGAATCGGCGGCACCAACCAGACTCACAAGCAACATAAAGCAAGAACCATCAGTGCGGCGTATCAACATGCATACAGTTCTTCTTCAACAATAGCGAAAACTACTCTTACATCGTCTCCAAACCCAGCCCCGGCTGCGGGCGTGCCGGCGACGTTGTTGACACCGCCTACTACACTTGCGTTCCCCATTTCCACGTCAAGGTTTAGGTCGGGCATGGGTGCGTCGTTGCCGAAATCCATGTCCATGTCCATGCCAGTGGAGTCCCTCTTCCCGGGCGAGTCGGGGTCCTCTTCCGGGTAGTCAAAGACCGGCAAGTCCTGCAACACGAGCATGTTGTCGTGCCCCTGTTCGATTTCCAACTCCTCCAGCACGTCGCGCTTGCGGTTGTGTTGCTGTAGTAGACGTATGGAAGCGTCAGGTTTGAAATCGTCAAAGTTGAAATAATTTGTAATGCATAAAATGCATGACCCGAGGCACGTGTGTTGCAGAGCAGGCAAGTGAGGCCGATTGTAAGCCTGGTTGGGGTTACAGCTCGAGCTGCTAAAGTAGCATGAGAAAATCGCTCTTCTTTGCCTAAACAGCATGACAAACTGGATTTAAGGGCCACCAAGATTTGTCATGCGCCACTTGGAAACTGGGTTCCAACTGGCATCCATTTTGTGCATGACAAATTATTTTAACTTTGTCGATTTCAACTCTGACACATCCATAAGACGTGTGTTTCTTGTAATTAGGTGGTGTCAACATGCTGATACCCTACGCAACACAAATTCATGTACTATACAGGAGCTACAACCCAACACAAATCCTATTTATACGTATTTACCACTTGTTCCGGCATAGTAATGGCTGTTCTTTCCGCTTTGTGCCTGGACGTTGCCCAGTCGACCTGTTTCCCGTCTAAATCGTTTTGGAATAATTTCTCCTCCTCCACGACCCCCTCCGCGTTGATATTCCCTTGCTGCATCATGTGTCGCTGTGCCTTCGTGTAGCCATCTGGGTTGTTGTTGATTTGGTTCGCCTCGTCCAGGATGTTCTTCTTGTCATACTCCCAATTCGCCTTCATCAAACTGTAATTCGCTTCCGCATATCGAATGCAAAAATGTCTGGGTCTGGAAACTTGTGATGCAAAAAGTGGATGCTAGCCGGACTGCAATACGCAGCCCAGCATGACAAATTTTTGAGCTGCTATGTGTTGCGTATTCCGCATGAGGAGCTGCGTTTTTGCATGACAGATAGGCGAAGCTTTTCGCGCCCATGCATCACAGATTCTCGTGTCATGTGACATGACATGACTCATGTCAGACATGCATGACAAATGTCAGAATCTTCCAGACCCAGACATTTTTGCAATCCATACCACATCCGCGTCGTTCTGCTCCTGTTTCATGTCCAACACCCGCACCCCGCCGAAAATCAGCGTCGCGTTATGCATTGCAAAAGCATCGTACTAGTATGAATTGCATTACAAATTTGCTCAGCATGAGAAATAAGGTTTGTCATGCTGTTTTACCTTTGGATGGAGATTTGTAATGCACAACTGCGATTACTACGAGTACGATACTTTTGCATTTCATACGCGTGCTCCCGGAGCCACGACGGGTGCGACATGAGTTCGTCTTTTTCTTCTTTCGTCAACGGCTATCAAATGCAAAAATGTCTGGGTCTCGAAGGTTCTGAGACTTGTTATGCACGCCCTAGCGTCGCATATTTTTAGAGGGCTTCCTGATGCCTACTCCGCATGACAAACGCCCTCCCTTCGTAGCACTACTCCTCCTACTCCTCTTGCACTTGCTGGTCATGCAATACAAATTTTTTTAGAGTCCAAAGTTAGCATCACAAGTTCCAACCTTCCAGAACCAGACCCAGACACTTTTGCACTTGATAACGGCCGTTGCGGCACTATTTCCCCGTTTTCATCGACATACTCCGATTTGTACACTGTACTTGCGGTTGCTTGTCGCACGAACTCTACGAGAGGGAAGTCCCGGGCCGCCTGCGGTTTCATCGATTTCTCGTTGTAAGCCACCTGGAACAGCTGCCGACTCGGTCCGTCGAGGTGGGCGCCCGCGAGGGTGTTTTCCTCCTCGTTCTCCGTGCCGGATTTTTTGTTTTTGTCCTCATTGTCGTTGACAAAATCGCCATCGTCGGCGCCGAGCTTCAGCGCTTGTTTATTTTTCTTCGGCGCCATATTTTTTCCTTTAATATTTTTTCCGTCAGCAGATGAAATTTCGCCTCTAGCGAGTTTTTGTAAATACGGTGCCTGGTGCTCTATGTTATAGACACTGTACCCCCTATCGACCACTTTTCCGTTCTGTTTTTTCTTATTTTGAAACTGCAATTCAGACCAGGGAATATTTGGCGTAAGTGTAGTCGGAAAACCACCGGGGCGTAGATGCCAGGAAATAAGAATCTTCGGGGTCCTAGGGAGGTTCTTCTTCTTTTCCTCATCTTCATTGTGCTCCCTATCAAGAAACGCGCCAGGACGATTCTTGTATCGATTAAAGCGACCAAGAGAAGCATCCAAGTGGGACTGGGTGGAAAACGAATTATAATTTATTGCTGCTGCAGCTGCACTAGAACTACTACGACTACTGGTACTACTACTAGATGAAGACACGGCAGCAGCTGCAGTGTTTGCTCTTTGATGTGTTTCATCTTCTTTCAAAAACAGGTCGGCAAATCTACTACTGTTTCTAGCATTTAAAGCCTTTGACTTGATAGAAGAAGACCCTCTAGCAGAGGACGACGACGGATTGGTGTTTCCAACTCTGTTATACTTCACATCACGACCTTGCTCACCTTGCTTATGTTTACTACTTGCGCTTGCTCCTCCGCCACCACCTGCCCCGTCAGTGTGCGAAGCTGAGGACAAACTCTTGTTCCTTTGTTCCGAAAGGAATTCTTCGAAAATCGACTTCTTTGGTGGCATGGCTACCACTAGTACGACCTTTGAACTTACTTACAACTTGGTTTGTACGTTTATACAAGTGTATTTGGGTAAAAATATTTGCCGAAACAGAAGCGCGTAGTACGGATGATTTGAAAAATGATCTTACAAGTGGAAGTGCTCGTAGGTCGTGCAACAAATAAAGAAAAGTGCCTTTAGTGCCAGTGTCAGAAGTGTGTAGAAAATCTTACAGAAGTACCGTGTGAATAAACCAATCTTCAGAAAAGAAACGAGGTTGTGTCAACAATTGTAAAAAAATCACCTTGTACTGTATAGATGAAATCGCTAATCCTAGCACGATCGAAACAAAAAACTCTCAACGCTGCCGTAGCCGTACTCTCAGCGATGACAACTTGACGAAATAAAGTTCTCTCTTGTACAACTGCGGTCTCGCTGTCAAATCATCGGCATTTGCAGGCTGTGAAAGAGCATCTTCGTGAAAGCAAAGATCCTCTCATTGTTGTTTGTAATCATAGCTGTCCACTCGCAATAACAGTAATCTGGCTGTAGCTTTCACTCCTTTGATTCGAGCATCTATTCATTTTACCGGACTTTATTGGTAGCAGGCCTAGGGATAGGATTTTGAACTGAGATGAGCAAGACCTGTAGTACAAGAGCCGCAGTTTATTTTTTCCCGATGCTGGCCACAATGCGCGACAGAGATCCTCACGAAAGACGTGCAAGGGTGGCGCGTACCACAGACACATCTGATACGATGTTTTTCGTTCTCGCCAACAACTGGAACTCAATGTTCGTCGTGGTAAAACTAGATGAGATCCACCACCAGCACCACAAGAATAGGTCGGCTATCGGGGCACTTCTTCCCACTAAATTTTGATGTTCGTAAAGTCACCAGTCGACCGCACGACAATGTGCGAAAGTTTTCGTTTCTTTCCGCGATATGATTCATCTCGACTTCGAGAGACGAAAGCTGTCATAAATTTCAGTGATCGTGTTCGTGATCATGATTCGTGTTTGATACAATTGAGATGAGACAAGAAGAGCAGTACGTACACTAGAACCAAGCACTGCTTACTTAATCATCTTGGTTCTACTTGTTTTCTGGTAGCAACGAGGCTAGAGCTATCCCTACCTCGTTCCATGCTCCTTTCCCTTTGCCACGATTTCGCATGACAAACTCGACTTTCACCGTGGTATCAACACCAGTTCTGTATTCTCAACAGGACAAGAACAACCAGCAATAAATATTCTGATGCTAGATGCCCAACAGCAAATTGTGGTAATCCAGCATTTCCTGATCCTCCTCGTTGTTCTCGTTTTGCGGTTTATTCGCGTTGCTGTTCTCCCCCACCGCAGCTCCATTCGCAGTGTTATTTGTATTGCCGTTTGTCGCATCACCTCCCTGATTTGCCATGCCAGGCTGCTGCCCAGCACCACCTGCATTGTTGTTCCCCGCAGCACCAGCGAGCAACGCCTTCTCCTCTAATTGCTGCAACTTTTGATTCTGCACTTGCTGCTGAAAGCCCGCAAGCAGGTTTTGCTGGTGCCCAGAAGAGGCAGCTGCACCTGCAGCTCCCTGCTGCATTTGTAGTCCTCCTGGTCCTGTTCCAAAGCCGCCAGCAGGAGCGCCTAAAGGATTGTTGTTCATCTGATTGCTCGGCATTTCAAACGCCTGCTGTGTCATCACGACATCTCCAACTGTGTTTTGCTGGATTTGGTTTTGGTTCTGCATCTGCTGTGGTCCTCCCTGCACCATCCCCATTCCGTAAACCGCACTACTCGCACTCGCCCCGATGTTATGAAGGTGCACAACTCCCCCTCGTCCCCCTCATTTGTATTGCATGAACAGCAATACAAACACCAGCGCAGCACGTGGAGCCTGTTTGGGCTTCCGCCGGATGAATCTGTCATGCAAAGAGTGCTACAGGGAAGCACTTGGCTTTCGGCTTTTGCATGACAAGTGAGGGGGAAGGGCGGGAGTTGTGCACTCTCATAGATATTCGTCGGCAGTAGCATCTGATTCGCTTGCCGATTCGTCGTGGACCCACTTCCGTCATTCTCCGTATTAACGCCGGTAGCGGCCGTGTTGAAATTCCCCGTCTGATTTGTCGTTTTCCCGAGCCCACCCACATCCACGCCCATGAGCAACGCCGCGGCGTTCCGCTTCAACGTTTCCGTGTTGTGCTTCGCGACGCGGTGCGCTGGGTTTCGCGGATCAAACTTCTCCGCGGACGTTGGGGTCGTTAACCCCCCGGCGCCCGGATTGCTCCGTGTGCTCATATCACCTCCTGTCGTCCCTAAAGGCGCGTTTGGATTGATATTCCTCACCGCCCGCGACTGCAGATGGCCGGCGAAAGTGGCACTCACGTCGGCGCTACTACTCCCGGGAGTGATGGCTCCGCCCAGTTTCTGCACCTTGTCGCCGACGAGCACACTGCCCATGTTACTCGCCGTTTGGAGGTTGATTAACGCCTGGGTTACCAAAGCGGTTGCCTCTGCTTTCCTTGTCGTTTCGGTGTTCTTCCCCTCCAGCATGTCGAACCCGACAGGGAGATTTAACTGGTCGTGCTTGTGGTTCACGTTGGAAGCAGTGTGTGCGTCTCTTGGCGAGATCTTCTTCCCACCTTGCCCCCCTGGCAGGTGCGTGCCGAAGCCCAAAGTTGTACTTGTCGGAGTTTGCAATGAATTGCTGTTATTCGTATTGTTGTTCCCCATAAGGGGGAGTGGCAATGCGCGGGAGTTTTGGCTTCTCGTGCTGCCAAAACCAGGTGGTCCTGCTCCGCCGACGTTGGTAGGCGTTTGGTTTCTTCCAGTGCCTATTGGCAAAGGTAGGACGGACGGAGCAGCTTGGGCTGAAGCTCCCGTTGGCCCGAGTGTAGGGGAAAGCGTAGAAGATCCACCAACCGGGAATGTGCTGAAGTCCTTCGATCCCTTCGGACCTAATTTGCTCAGTTGCTGCGCACCCTTGACGCCCTTCGCTGCGAGCCTCGCAGCCATGGAAGGGGAGCCGATGGTGAGGTTGCCGCTACCATCAATCCGGTTCACGACCGGAATGAAATTTGGATTGAGACTGGAGGAAGAGACGGCCGGTGGGGAAATGACCGGAGGGGGAGGGAGAGGAAGTTGTGGCGATTTTGGTGGCGGGGGGAGGAGAGAAGTTGTACTATTACCTGACACGTCGGGCGGATTTATCTGCAACAGGTTCGGCACAACTGGTGGTGGTTGATTGTTCACTGCTGGATTGTTGTTTATTGTCGTGCTAGAGCTAGTTTTGTCGCTGGCTAGCATGATCTTCTTCCACGGCGCATCTTCCTCGACCGCTTGCTTTTCGATGTTCCAAGGTGCCTCTTCTGCGACTTTTCGCCTTTTCCTTTTCTCGCCTTTTCGCTTCTTGCCCGCTTGCGCTTTCATCACGGCCTGGAATGAGGTTTTATTCATGATGGCATGATCATGTGTAGCAAGAGGAAGAGGAAGACACAATTTTTGCATGACAAATCCAAATTCGGATTTGGAGGTCACTTTCAGCGGATAATTTCAGCACCATTCCGAAGCCTATTTCGCACAAACGCTAAATGGCAAGAAGTGGAAACAACTACTTACATAATTCTATTCAAATCTATACCTCTCTCTCCCCCTGGTAATCTCGGACTTGAAACAGCATCTCCTCCTTTTTCAGTTCCAAAAGCCGTTGGTCCAGTTTTTTTTTCCGATCCTCCAGCTCTTTCACTTTTTTGAACCCGTTCTTGAACGCCGCTCGTTGCTCTTCCCGCATACCGAGCGTGGAAACCCCGCCGTATTCCTCCGCGATAGTTTCCTCGACTTCTACCTCCTGAAACTGCGGCTTCACGTAGAGCGTCGATTGCTCCTTGGCTTTTTTCTCCCGATCTTCCTTTCGGATCAGGTCTAGGTGTATCAAATGCAAAAATGTCTGGGTCTGGAAGGATGCAAGGTTTGTCATCCACATTTTGCATGACTCCTGATGTCTGTGATGCATGCCCTAGCATCACAGATTTTGTGAGGGCTTCCTGATGCCTCTATCGCATGAGAAATGCCGTGTCGCCCTGGCAAAAACTGGACCGCTTTTGCTGTTCATGCAATACAGATTCTTGTAGAATAAGAATTCAGACGCAGCATCACAAGTTGCATCCTTCCAGATCCAGAGATATTTGCAATGCATAAGGTGCATATCAGACACGTGCTCCTCGTGATTCTGCTCTTTCGAATTCGTCGCCACGATGGGTTGCTGATAAGATTTTTTGACGTTCTTTTATTGTTGTAAACGATACATGTATTGCGAAGAGTCGCAAGACAATATAGTTCTGTGATGCATAATTTCAGCGCACGATATGTTGTTCTATCTGTCAGTACAATCTATACCTCGTAAAGCGTCCTGGGGTCCACTAAAGGGTTCCCGGCGTCCACTATCGCCGCAAAGCTCGGGCGCAATTCCAAGTTCGTGTGCTGCACGTAGCACCCGAAAAATTCATTCGCGACGGTTTGCAAATCCTGTTCCTCCTGGTATTGGATTACCAAATACGCTTCCGGCTCCCCCTTATCCGGGATGGCGCAGTCGAAAGAAGTTGTTCTTGTCGCGTCGTTGTGGTCCGGTGGATTTGGCTGCTGATACTTGTTCTTCGTGGATGAAGTCGTTGCTGTTGTCCCTGGCGGTGTAGAAGTTATCAGATGAATTTTCGCCGATTCAACGTCGAACCCGAAGGCTTTGAAATATTTCATCCAGGCCGACCCGGGGAACAAGTCGTATTTCTTGCGTTTTTTGCTCTTTTCCGCGATTTTGTCCGGAATGAACCACCTCCGGGGCCAGGGACCGAGGCGGAGGGCGATTTTTTCCGCCTTGGACAGCTCGCGGAGACCGGAGACGACCTGTGGGGATTTTGTTTGCGATAGTTGTACAACATGTACAACGGCGGTCTAGTTCTAGAAGAGCGCCTTGTATAATGCAAAGAACTGAATACAACTTCTTCTACCCTGGTACTCGTTGAAGATTCATTTCGCCATGCAAGAAGATCAGCTTCATGAATATATCCCGTGCTAAGTAAGTACTTACCGCTCGTCTCCTCCTGTTGATCTCCTTTTCCGACAGTGTATCCCGGATTTGCGCTACCCGCAACGTGATGATTTTCTTCTCTTCCTTTTCCTCGGGATTGTCTTTATCATCGGCACTTTCCCCCACTGCCGCTGCACTTTGCTCTTTTGATATTCTCTGGTTATTTACCAAATTTATCAACTGCCCGTCACTCGCCGCCCCCTCGATGCTGATTAGATCGAATATCCTCTCCAGCCCGATCGCGTCTTGCAACGCCGATTCCTCGTGTGCGAACAGCACTTTTTTCTCTTCCAACCGCTTCAAATTTTCTTCGTTTCCGAGAAAATTTATCGACTCCGCCCAGCTGGTCGCTTGGTCGAGGTCGGAGGCGTCGAGATGGGTGGGCGGGACCAGCTGTGATAGTTAGTGATCATCGGTTTTATTATGCAAGACAACATTCCGCATGTAGCTGCGCTTGCGCATGATCCAAAAGGAGATGTAATGCAGATCGAACATTCCGACCCGTAGGTACTGAAACTGGTTGCGGCTCGATGCGGGTTCTTTCAATAACAATTGCAATTTGTATATTACCTTCGTCCTCCACACCATGGGCCTTAAAATTTTTGGCATGCTGTTTACATCGGTATTCTCTGCGTTTTTCGTGAGCCATCTTGGCTCCGTCGAACTACCGGATGCTGCGGACGTCCCGGCCAGTGGGCTAGTCTTGGGCGAAGACTGCGGAACTGCAGAGGACCCAGTGGTCTTTGGCGAAGACATCGGGACCGTGGGAAGAAGTGCAGGTGCTGCACCACCTTTGGGACTTGTTGTCGCAGGTGCCGCAGCAGCAGTCGCTGTTGAATCGATTTCCATTGGGACGGGGTCGGACATTTTCCCGGACTTTTTAGTTGTGGGAAAATGAGAAAAACGTTGAGGTTAGCCCCTCGGCCTTGCTGTCCAGCTTACTCCTGAAGATTTTTCAGTGGCGTCGGCAAGATCGGCAAATCACTCACAGCACCACCACGACGACCTCCTCGATGCGGCCTGTCTGTGCCTGCGAATTAATTGCAGTCTAGTACCAAGACTGGAAATACTTAAACAAAATCCCTGTGGTTTCGTAATGCAGGTGGTGTTAAGAAAAATTCAAATCTCGGGTCGTCTATTGCATGATCAAGCCTTCTGGAGGATCTTGAACTTCTACAAGGGCCGTGAGTCGTGCCTAGGTAGACAAAACAAGTTGTTGGCTAGTAGCGAAGTCCGCTTTGAAAGCCGAAGCTGTCAGATAGAAGAACGAAGGCCCTCTTCCTTTTGCTTCTGGAGTATATCAGGAGGTACAGATTTCTATGTCGCTAGAAAAAAGTAAGTAAGGTAGACAACAAACTAGGGCTAGAAGTACAGGTCGCTTCATGTAGCTTTGAAAATGCGTTGTGTGTTCACGTACAGACAGACCTACCTAATTTCTTCTTGTCGTCGATGAAACTACTGACTGTCTTTTTTTGAAGAGTTGCGGGCATATGATTATCTTAATACCGGGATCTTGTTCAAGTGCAACCATGCGAACCACATCTTCTTCACCGGCACGGATCGATTTTTGAATCGTACTCAACATGATTTTTCAAAACGTAGAGAACAATGAAGAGCAACAGCTAGGAGTGAGCTGGGAAGTGAATTTGGAAAATTTTTTGTATCTTCGCTTGTTTGTCTTCTGGTAAACAATTGCTTCGATCTGCTCGTCCGGTCGTGCTGACGCAAGCTGCAGTCTATCTGCAATTATGGCAAAAGAAAATTTTCTTGTCTCTGGTCTGTGTTCTCGAGTGCTGTCGCTTTTCTTATAGAAAATTTCATTAATTGTAGCATCTAGATCTACTTTGCCTTCCTCTTGCTGAGAGGTCGAGAGATTTTCAAAAGAAAGCTCAGTGTCCGGTCTCTACGTGGTCTTTAGATTTTCTTTACTTGAGCATGTTGTTTTGCACGCTTTCTGAGGCTACAAAGGATCCGTAGTTATAATTGGGAACTTTAGCTTATCTCGCCTCTACTTTTTTTTCCGAATCATTAACAGCAAAATTCCTTCGTATTTCGACATAGACGTCATCAGAAGATTCATACAAAGTTGTATTCGACACGACTCCTGGCCGAATCGTGACGGTATAATTCTCCTGGCGGTTCTGCTTCTCCGCGAGAGGCGATGAATAAACTACGCGAGCTAATGCTTTTCGCAAAAAGATCCTTTCTTCTTTTTATTCGACCTCTACGAAAATGAAAAGGAGCGATGATGCTATTTGAATCGCTAGATTTGCGTTTGATGTCAAGTGGTTCCTGTTCCTGGTGTTTAGTTTTCGTAGCGCGAGTTGCGTCACAACTAGTTGTAAGCTTACTAGCATCTGCAGTGCTCTTTGATACCATTACGAGAGAGCTATCAGTACTACAACTACTAGGTTCATGCACCCCACCATAATTCCTGCTCTGTCGCCCCGATTCGTCTGCTTCTGCTTCATCAGATTCAGATGCTGCTTCATCGTCTTCATCTCCAGCCAACAGGAACCGCGAAGCTAACACTACTTCCTGATCCACTGAAGCGTGCTCCGACCCAAAACCGCTCAGCGTCACCCGCCAATCATCGATATCCCAACACTGGTAGGAACAACACACCTGCCGACTATCGTGGTGAAAACTTCTTGGCCCAAGAGAAAGGGAAGTTTGTGTTGCACTTGCAGCTACTGCATGCACATGCACTTGCACCTACCTACTAAAGGAGGAGGAGTTATTTCTTTATACAGCGCATGTTTCGGGGGGCGACCCAAGGCATGCATCCATACAGAATTCGTGTACTGTCTACGCTCTGTGCAACACAAACTTCACCCGATGAACTTCTTGACCCAAACTCTTTCACTTCCCTAGCTCCGCACCTGTTTGTACGCCGGATCGCCGCCGAACGTCGGCCCCCGATGTGCCGACCAGGGGAAAGAAATCAAATCCTTGAATTTGCAGTTGTGCTTGTACTTCGTCCGAAACCACAGCAACCCGAACAGACCGCACCACCCCTGACAGTGCGCTACCTCGTCGCCGAACTTCGTGAGTTATGAACTGCAAAAATGTCTGGGTCGGGAAGATTCCGAGATTTGTCATGCAGTTTGTCCAAGTTCCACCACGTCTGGAGTGCAGGGCCTAGCATCACAGGCTCTGCAGCCCCTTGGTGATGCCTATACTGCATGAAAAATGCCCTCTCAGCATGGCCAGAAGTGGGCACCTTAATCTTTTGCACGTTATGCATCACAGATCTTTGTAGGATCCGAAACACACATCACAAGTTCGCATCCTTCCAGACCCAGACATTTTTGCATTTGATATCAGTTTGCAGTTCACAAACTCCCCCTGACTCGTGCACAGGGCCTTTTTCGCCGCCCGCATCACCGTGGCGTACAGACGTGGGACGCCGATAATCGATCCGAGGTTCTTGAAACTGGTTTTGATGGGTTTATGATAGTTATGTTGGCCGTGCTTGCGTTGTAGTTGAGGCAGGAGCGCCGGCGGGTGCACTTGTGTAGTTCTTGTTGGTGACGTACTACTAGATGATGCGCCGCTCGTGGCGAGAAAAGAAGTTGCGGATGAGCTTCCGCACTGTGACCGCCCGGCCAAGGGAGCTAGTGGTCGATTGAGAAAATCCTGTAGTGCAGAAAGAACATCATGGCGGCTTAGAAGAGTCGTGCTGGTCAGAGAAGCACTACCGCCGGATAAGGATGCTGTCATCATCTTTGCGATCCGTAATACCCTTCACGACCGGTTTCTCGTTCCCTGATCCGAAGATGCAGTTGTTCTAATTAGTCTCTGGAGAGGTCCTCGTAAAAATAGCACGAAGTTGAATGAGTGACAGTGGCTTTCAAGCATGCCGCGGCGACGAAATCTGTCCGAATCAGTATGACGAACGGATGATCGCGCTGTCTCGCGCTCCACTTTTTGTGCGGTCGAGGTCGGCTCCGACAACTCACTCTCATCTCATCCTCATCGGTCGTGTTGTTACGAAAACCGATAATCGAAAACAAGCTGTGACAACAGTGCTATACTGAGCAAGAAGTGCCTGATGTGGACGGATCGTTATTGTCATCATCATGTTGTGGCTCTGGGTCGATGTCGACCTCTACCTCGTTCGCTTCACAGCTCGCATCGAAAGTTGAAGAAGATGTTGACGTAGTAGAGGCGGCACTGTATTTTCCTTCATCGCCGCGTTCGTCTTCATCTTCCGCACAGGCATTTTCTTGTTCCACCAAAGAAAGCGCACTCGTATCAATACTTTCCTCCAGCTCCAGCCTCATCTCGAGCAGTTTCAAAATTTTCGCAGCGCAATTCTTCCGGATTCTTTTCGCCTTTCGCAAATCTTCCTCCGAAAACACACGGCTTGATGATGATGTGGCGGTTGCGCCGGTGAAGATTTTTATTCCCATCCCCTGGTCATCAGCACTGCTGGTGTGTTCATCTGTTGCTCCCGTGTAGATGAAGTTTCGTTCAAAATGGTTCGCTAGCCAGAGGTACAAATCACAAATTTTGTGACAGCTCTCCAGTCGCAGAACGTCCTGGATAGAAAAATGGCGGTTTTTTCCACTGGAGGACATGCTCAACATCTCCGCTTCGTTTTCCACTTGATGTAGTGCTGTCCCCTGCTGCTCTCCTGCATCAGTTCTGCTAACTTCGGCCCCGTTGCTCGTCCCATAGTTCATCTGCAGTGGCGTTTCCGGCCGGTGTCCATCGGCGTGATCAGCTTTGAGGATCGTGCTGCAGCTTTCTTGTTCTAGAATGGCAGCACCACCGGCAGTCGTAGCTTCAGAAGAAGGAGTTGTGTTGCTATCATCGTCCACCCCAGCATGATCATCAAGATGCAGCCTTACATTGTCCAAACTAATCCTCCTCCGGTTGCTCAAAACGTATCCTGTGCAAAAGTATCGCATTCGTAGTAATTGCAATCATGCATTACAAGTTTTTTTCTAAAGGTGAATCCGCATTACAGATTTTATTTCTCATGCTGAGGAAATTTGTAATGCATTTATACGAGTTGTACGATAGATACTTTTGCAATGCATAAAACGTACTCCCGGACGAAGGTCTTCAAAGCGCTCAAAACCTCAATCTCCTCCGGCTCCACATTCGGGGCGGAGGCGAAGAGAAACAACTCCCGGATGGTTAGCAAGTGGATCTTCATGCCGGTGGAGGTGCAGGAGTCAGAGTCTGGGGTGTTTGTCATGTTGTTTCCAGATGAGTTTGAATAAAACGCGTCCAGGTCGGTGAGGCGGCAAATCTGTATCATTTGCTGCAAGTTTTGCAGCTGGAAGTAATCATCCGTGGTTGCGTGGTGTTGGAACATTTGTAGCAAGTCGGAGAATTTGAGCTCTTTGTCGTGGTGACCAGTGACCGAGATCTCTCGTTCGAATTTTTCCAGCATCTGCACCTCCATCGGGATCGTGAAGACAGGGAGAGCTGCACCAGAAGTTTCCTGGTTTTGCTCTGCAACTTGGTCTTCTTGCCCTTGGCCTTGCGTAACTACGGCAGCCGACTTCGTCCTTGTGTCGCTACTTGAAGAAGAAGTCGCGAGACATTTCCGCAGGTACCGTAAATCCTCTGGCACAAACGCGCCCACCCGGCCGCTGCTGGTTGATGCAGCAAGAACACTTTGATGCGCTCCTCCCGCTTCACATGTAGTTGCGGCGCGCGGTAACGACACCCCTCTCCCTATCCTATGTAAAAACGTCCCCACACCATAGTTGTATTGCAAATCTGCATGCTGAAGTTGTTTCTCATGCGGAGCCCCATGAGAAGCATTTTCCAGTCGTGTTTTGCAATTTGTCATGCTCCAATCAGCATGATATACTAGGTCTGTGATGCTGCTGAGCTAGCTCAAACAGCACTACGCTACGAGTCCAAATCTGTCATGCAAGACAGCCAAAACATGTGGATTTGTCTAGCCAATCCGCCATCTTGACTATGGGGTGGGGACGTTTTTACATAGGATACTCCCCGCCCTCCCCGCGATCTGCCTAACCTCGTCCTCCGACAGCTTTCTCCTCTTATTCCCGTCGAATTTTGACGTTGCAGAGAACAAAATCCGTTTGATCCTCAGATTCACCCCGAGCCCGATACAATCAGTTGCGATGAGGACAGGAATTTTCATGTTGTGTTGTTCTTGCGATGATGTAGCAGCACGAGCAGCAGAACGACAACCAGGTTTCGGTTCTTGTGTCGCATTTTTACCTAGGACTTTCGCTGTGTAAAACTCCGCACAAATTTCGTTGAATTTCTGCACCTGCTTCTGACGCACTTCGGGCGGAAGCGTCCCGTACAGAACGATAGGGTTGTACTTCGTCGTTTCTTCTTGTAGCTGTTGGCCTTGATCCTCAAGAAGGCCCGCACCGCAGCTACTCGCTTTACTAGAAGAAGAGCAAGAATTCTGTTCCAATTCGTGTTTCAATCTGAACACTTCCTTCCTCGAAAAGGCGATGATGCAGTCCCCGGGAAGAATCTCCCTGCAAGGCTTTCCCTCCACGTGTAATGGGCCGTTTAACCGCTCGTACTTGCGGGATTGGATGTAGTTTTGATCCATGGGTGGAATAAATGGCAAGCATGTTGTTGACAAACTGTAGTCCCCTGCTCGTCGAACGAGCAACAGTTTTTCCATGATGTGATGCAGCAATCTCTTCTCCACTTTCTCGTCCGGACTCAGAAAGCCGCACAGGTGGACTTTCTGTTGCAGGTTGGTCTGCATGTAGTTTGTCGACATTGATGTTCCAGCAGGAGCAAAAGAAACATCGGAGGCTGCGGCTCCAGAAGAAGTAGTTTTCGTGGTGAAACAGGTCATCAGGGCTTTGAGATACCCTGGGCCTCTCACGGGGTCGAAAAGTAGTTGAAATTCGTCGAGGATGATGTTGATGTTCATGATGCTGTGCTGTTTGCCTTTGTCATGCGAAACACCATCGGAAGTAGTAGAAGAAACAATCGTCTCGAAGAAACTGGGAAACATCTCCGTTGTGCAGGCAATGAACCTGCTAGAAGTCTTAGTTGCTGTTTTGTCTTCGACGTTCTTGTCGTCCGATGAACTTGTATCACATGCGACCACCTCGGTTTCTTGTCCCGTCCGCAGTTCAATGGTGGAGAAGAAGTCACGGGTTTTCATTTTCATCTCGTTGAATTTTTCAAACGCCAGAATCCGCAAAGGTGCGCAGTAAACCACGATAGAAGAAGATGAAGCACTGTGATCAACATGGAAGCGGCCTGCAGGAGGGGAAGTGATGTTTGTCATGCACTCCTGCAACGCGGAGTGTGTCTTCCCGCTGTTCGTCGCGCCGAGGTGGAAGCAGAAGCGGGTTTCTTGGTTGATTTGTCCCGCGTTCTTTCTTGCACTTCTCCCCTGATCATGTGCTGACGGTATAACTTTTGCAGGTAAAACCTTCTCCTTCACGTAGTCGCGCAGATTGGTGGCGATGTGCGATTGATGATGTTCATCAACATGAGCGTCTATTCCATTGTGCTGGCCCACACCGCCTTGGCTTTCCTTCCCACCAGAGCGATGGGGGCTTCTATGCCGTTGGTACTCCGAACTGTTCAAGAAGTGCTGGTACAGAAGCCGGAGGATTTTCAAGATGTTTCCATTGCCCTTCGCTGCAGCGGCATTGCTTTTCGTAGTCGCTGCAAAAGAACCTGCTGCAGCCGTATTGTAGTCCACCAGCGAGGTATTTATTTCAAATTGCGCTTCGTCCTCGCAAAGCACTGAACTCGTGACTTTGTGAAACACATCAGGAAACCGGGTTTGGCAGAAGGTGGCGAAGGCGGTGCTGGTGGAACTGTCGTCTGAAAAGGATTTTTCAACATCCTGCACGAGTTCATGATGGCGGAAAAACTGGAGAAACATGTGCCGGTCGTAAATTGCTTGTTGGACAGCTGCATCGTCGGAAGCAGAACATGAGGACCGGGTTGATGTGCCGGCCGCTGCAGTATTAAAAAGCCGCGTGACAATTTTTGTCGGGCAGGAAGATTCCTCGCGGCGGCCTCTATCGAAGGTTTGTCGCTTCTGGCACGACCGTGTCAACCGCCGCGGCAGAAGTGGTCGCAGCAGCCGAGCTGTGTTCATCCTAATGCAAAGTTTCGTCACTTCCGCAGCGCATCAAGGTCATGCACAGAAAAATCCGTTCTGCGTTCCGGGAGACTAAGTCAAAAATTCTAGTATGGATCTTGAACAAATTTCTCAAAAAGTGTACGGTAAAATTGAGATCTTTGCGTCATTTTTTTTTCAAGCTCGTTGCACACAAGAAATAGGTGAACGTGAGGACCACATAAAATGAGGAACGGATGGACTTTCGTGTGACTGTGAGATAGCTTGTAACATTAAATCAGAACAGCAAGACCGATGGTCCTCGTTGAGTTCTTTTATTTCCGCCGAGCGAGGCCACTCTCTCGGGTTTCTTGCGGTACTGCTCAAGCCCGACTTCTTGCTGCATGCTGTTTGGGACGTAACATCTGTTCAACAAGCACATCAGGTTTACTTTTTTACATGTGCAACATCAAGCGCCACCAGATCAATCTTCAGATCCAAGTACTCATAGTAGTCCGCCAAGTTGTGTTGGCAGTGTGCTCAAGAAGGTAAAAATGCTGTAAAAGTTTCCGCGTCTGTACATAGCTCTATTCAAAATGTCAGTCAATTTTCGCGTCTTAACAAGCTCTACTGTGCAATTCTGATGTACCTCTGCGTCTTATCGAAACAATTGTTCAATCTCACTTTGCATCTGCTGTAGCACAGGCACAGCAGTTACATTGCAGCTCATAAAACAAACTGTGCGTGCCATTTTCTGTTGTTTTTTATTGCTTCAGTAAAATGGATCTGCTATCTTTCTCTTGCGTCAGCGTCAAACGAATTATCACTTCGAGTCTGTATCTAAATGTGATGTTTTCTTTTCTCAGTTCAATCCTTTTTTCGATTCAGTAACAATACGGTCGCATATGAATAAGTAAACTTCTCGCTCGTCTCGTTCCTTTGCGTCTCTGCCCCGCCCCGTTTTCTTGGACTCCTCCGCACCAAGACCACCTCATCCCCGCTGACTCGCGGCAATTGCGCTGTTATAGAACCCATGCAATTTTTCAATCGGTTTCCGCCCCTGCTCGTCCTCGACTGTCGGGTCCGCCTTGTAGTCCAACAATAACTGCGCGAAGTGCCCAAAGCCGGAGGCACAGACGAGATGGAGCGGGCGGAGTTCTTATCCACAGGAAGTTTCCCGTACACGTACAAATGCGGTCTCTGCATGGCAAAACTTGGCTTCGATCCTAGTTTAGCATGACAAGTTTCAAACGCCGAATTGGGGAAATTTGTGATGCATCTTGTACATGTTGTACGGGAAATTTGTATTGCATAGTTCGATCGGAAACACGCCTTCCAGGTTGACGTCGACAAGTTTCGTGGCGCCAGAGGTGTCCGCTACCTTATCCGGAGCATCCAGCAGGACCTTTGACAATGTTGTTTTCACAAATAGCTGGCGCAGTGAAACGTGCGGGCTCTTCTTTTTGTTGGTCTTGTATCACAACATCGGGATCATGATCGGGGATGCAATCTCTTATGCTGGAACAGGAAAAAAAGCGAAACATGATCAAGCCACGATCTTCTTACTTACATCAATCCCATCATAGAAATTACTGCACCTTGGCCAGCCGCATCCTGTTTGCGTGCGCCGCAGCGATAAAGGTTCCCCGCAGGCACCGGGATATCAAATGCGAGGGGTAGACTTGCACGGTGTGGTCTTCTAGCCGGTCCGGGGATTTCGCGGAAAAGGCAACCTTCTCTATGTTCACGGCCTGGGACAACCGCAAAAACTCCTGGATCACCCTGATCGCCAAAATTTCGCTCATTTCGTTAAACCGGGAAGGCACCACAGGCACGGGCCACGGGGTTTCCTCGCGCAGAGCTCGTCTGGTCTGCAATAGCTGGAGAAAAACATCCGCCCGGGGCTGGCTGGAGTTCGCGACGCGCTTCGGACCGTCCTCAGGGTAAGCGGGCTGGTTCTCGACCCGGCCTGGTCGTTTAGGTTTGATTTGATACGTCGAGTAGGAATAACTTTGAGCTGATTAAAGCTCGAGGTAAATGGTAAGGGGGAGAGCGCACTGGGAGAGAATCCTGACTTTTGTGTCGTCCGCTACGCAGAGCTAGCGGACACAAAAGTTCCAAAATCCAAACTTTTGTGTCCGCTAGCTAGAGCTAGCGGACACAAAAATTCCAAAATTCAGACTTTTGTGTCCGCTACGTAGAGCTAGCGGACACAAAAATTCCAAAACTCAGACTTTTGTGTCCGCTACGTAGAGCTAGCGGACACAAAAGTTCCAACATTCTGACTTTTCGAGGTAGGGGAATCCGCGAATTTTCAAAATTTTATTTTTATTGCAACGAAAATTCCAAAGTCCTGACTTTTGTGTCCGCTAGCTAGGGCTAGCGGACACAAAAGTTTCAAAGTCCCAACTTTTGTGTCCGCTAGCTAGAGCTAGCGGACACAAAAGCTCCAAAATCCCAACTTTTGTGTCCGCTAGCTAGAGCTAGCGGACACAAAAGCTACGAAATCCAGACTTTTGTGTCCGCTAGCTAGAGCTAGCGGACACAAAAGTTCCAAGATCCCAACTTTTGTGTCCGCTAGCTAGGGCCAGCGGAGACAAAAGTTCCAACATTCTGACTTTTCGAGGTAGGGGAATCCGCGAATTTTCAAAATTTTATTTCTATTGCAACGAAAATTCCAAAGTCCTGACTTTTGTGTCCGCTAGCTAGGGCTAGCGGACACAAAAGTTTCAAAATCCCAACTTTTGTGTCCGCTAGCTAGAGCTAGCGGACACAAAAGTCAGGACTTTGGAATTTTCGTTGCAATAAAAGTTCACTCTGCCCGAGCGGAGAGTGACGGCCAAGAGTGATGGCCAAGAGTGATGGCCAACTGTCCTGGCCATCACTCCTCCCGCCCGGAAAGTGATGGCCAAGAGTGATGGCCAGGAGTGATGGCCAAGTGCCCTGGCCATCACTCTTGGCCATCACTCTGCCCGAGCGGAGAGTGATGGCCAAGAGTGATGGCCAAGAGTGATGGCCAACTGTCCTGGCCATCACTCCTCCCGCCCGGAAAGTGATGGCCAAGAGTGATGGCCAGGAGTGATGGCCAAGTGCCCTGGCCATCACTCTTGGCCATCACTCTGCCCGAGCGGAGAGTGATGGCCAAGAGTGATGGCCAAGAGTGATGGCCAACTGTCCTGGCCATCACTCCTCCCGCCCGGAAAGTGATGGCCAAGAGTGATGGCCAGGAGTGATGGCCAAGTGCCCTGGCCATCACTCTTGGCCATCACTCTGCCCGAGCGGAGAGTGATGGCCAAGAGTGATGGCCAAGAGTGATGGCCAACTGTCCTGGCCATCACTCCTCCCGCCCGGAAAGTGATGGCCAAGAGTGATGGCCAGGAGTGATGGCCAAGTGCCCTGGCCATCACTCTTGGCCATCACTCTGCCCGAGCGGAGAGTGATGGCCAAGAGTGATGGCCAAGAGTGATGGCCAACTGTCCTGGCCATCACTCCTCCCGCCCGGAGAGTGATGGCCAAGAGTGATGGCCAAGTGCCCTGGCCATCACTCTTGGCCATCACTCTGCCCGAGCGGAGAGTGATGGCCAAGAGTGATGGCCAAGAGTGATGGCCAACTGTCCTGGCCATCACTCCTCCCGCCCGGAAAGTGATGGCCAAGAGTGATGGCCAGGAGTGATGGCCAAGTGCCCTGGCCATCACTCTTGGCCATCACTCTGCCCGAGCGGAGAGTGATGGCCAAGAGTGATGGCCAAGAGTGATGGCCAACTGTCCTGGCCATCACTCCTCCCGCCCGGAAAGTGATGGCCAAGAGTGATGGCCAGGAGTGATGGCCAAGTGCCCTGGCCGTCACTCTTGGCCATCACTCTGCCCGAGCGGAGAGTGATGGCCAAGAGTGATGGCCAAGAGTGATGGCCAACTGTCCTGGCCATCACTCCTCCCGCCCGGAAAGTGGTGGCCAAGAGTGATGGCCAAGTGCCCTGGCCATCACTCTTGGCCACCACTCTGCCCGAGCGGAGAGTGATGGCCAAGAGTGATGGCCAAGTGTCCTGGCCATCACTCTTCCCGCCCGGAAAGTGATGGCCAGGAGTGATGGCCAAGTGCCCTGGCCATCGACGATTTGGCAGCAGGCTATGCTGACGATTTGGAAGCCCAGAACGCGGCTTTTGCTCCATGTGTCCGGTGGAGATGAACGTGGAGGTCTGTTACTTCTCAACGTGGCGGACTGCTCACACGGACACGACGGAGGCACAAAAACACAAACTAGTTTGCATTTCCATTTTCTTTTTCAACACCCCAAAAACAAGTACATCAACCAGAACAGTGTATAATGTTTCTAATTCTATGCCGTAACACGTAAGTACCTCCACACGTGATGAATTCGTATCCCAGATGCGCGTTCGGGTCCACTACTTGCAGCTGAATCGCCAACGTCAGCGGGCTCCAACCCTCGCTGGTCTGAAAAAACAGCGGGTCCGCGCAGTTGCCATTGTCGGAATCTAGCTTTTCTTCCACCGGCAAAGAATTGGATTTCTTCTTCGCCCGTACCAACGCTTCTCTGCCGATGTTCGTGCTAGTCCGCTCCAAGGCGGAAACCAAAGGGTTGACCGCCGTGTGGTGTAGCTGGGACGCAGAGAGGTGGTTTTTTGTCGTTTGTCTACTCGATGGGCAGGTGGTTGTCGCCGTGTTGTTGGATTGTATCGTCCCGAAAAGCTGCTTGCTGGGCGACGGGCGGGGGGTTAAGAAGTTTTGATTTGTCGACTTCCTCGTCCTGTTACTAGCCCCTAACGACGTTGATCTCGACTGGGGTAAGCTAGGGGAGGAATTCGAGGGCTGGGTTAAAACGTTCAAACTATTCATGTTCCGCTGACTACTTGTACCCGGCACTACTGCCGCTGCACTGTTTGCTCCGTTTTGCTGCTGCTGCGACCCTGCTGCTGCACTGGCACTGCTCCCACCTAACGCCTTCTGCGTCAATATCGGCACCGACGCGAGTTTTATTGGCGTGAAGTGCGCTGTTCTGACCAGCGGGACTAAGCATTTCAAAATGTCCACGTCTCCTCTCACCACGGCGAGGTGTAACAAGCCCACGCGGTAATCATTGCTGCTCCAGTTCTCCAGGCCCTCGTTCGTACTGTGCGCCGTCTTGTGGTAGGTGAACTTGTTCCCCGGGAAATCGTGCATCCGCAGGCGGTATGAAGTGCAAATATGTGGTCTGGGTCTGGAAGGAAACAGAGTTTGTCATGCTGGTCTGGCATGATTGCAGAGTTTGTGATGCGCGTCCAAGAAGAGACCCTTTTTCTTGTCATGCAAAAACGCAGTTTGTCATGCGAAAAGGGCAACACTAAGCCGCGCAAATATTTCTCATGCTTGGCTGTGCATGAGAGAGCATTCACTAATCACAACCTAGCATTACAGGTTTCCGGACCCAGACATCTTATTGCATTTCATAATCGGACCAACGGGTCGGCGCCGTAGGCAATGAGCATCTGGATCATGTCGATATCGCCACGACCCGCGACCGCGAGAGCCAAGACCGTCCACTGCGAGTCCGCTCGTCTATCTGTGCAGTTCAAAAACCTTCTCCCGCCGTTCCGGCAGATTTCCTTCACAATTGCGTGGTGGTTGTTCCAAACCGCGAAGAAAAGCGGTGTCCACCGGTACCGTTTTGTCGTCGCGTTGATATTCTGGCCGTGTTGGATATGCATTGCAAAAGTATCGTACTCGTACTAATTGCAGACATGCACTACAAATCTTGTTTTTAAGCTAAATCCGCATTACAAATTTCGTTTCTCATGCTGAAGAAGTTTGTATTGCAATACGATGCTTGTGCATTTCATATTGGAGCAGAAATTGCAGCGTGCGCAAATGCCCCCCGAAGGCCGCTAGGTGGATGGGGAGGAGTCCGTTGTCGATTATTGAGAGGAAAAATCCCCCCTCCCCATATTGAAAACGCATGCATCTGAAAATTTGTGATGCAGATTTGAGGTCACAAATCCTGTCTGTCTTGCAAGAAGGCAAAGCCAGAGAGTCCGCCGGATTGTGCCGGCGGTTTGTGATGCTGTTGGGCTTACAGGGCCGACGTCTGTCATGCTAGTCCCCTACGTCAAAACCCCTCGACCCAGGCTTGGCATATGCCTGCAGTCCTCTCCAGCAAGACAGACCGGATTTGTGTACGCAAATCCAGCATCAGAAACTTCGTTTCGATATGGGGAGGGGGGCTTTTTCCCTTTGATATCGATGGAAAAGTCCTCAAACTCTTTCGTGCCAAAAATAGCCGGGTTCCTTGTCGGACTGCGCTGGTCCTCCGGTGCGGCGGAATTGAGGGCCGGGTAGTCTGATGTTGGTGGGTTTGGAATGTTGCTAAAAAATGATGCACATCAGGAGTCAAACTTTCGCTTGATGCGCGGCCCGATGATATCAACAGAATACTCGTGCAGATGCCGAAACTAATACCAGGATTGATTTGCGAAACTGAACCAGAAGCAAAACACGAACTCAATCTCAATCGTACCAAAACTGATAGTACCTGCATGCGCCACTATGTCTCCCTGACACAAGCTCTGGAACCCGGGCAAATGTAAGACGAAATCCCCCGTTCTGCAATGTAAATCCGCGCCGAACCGCAGTAGTTGTATGATCGACTTTATCTTCCCCCGTGCTGCGCACAAGTGTAGCGGCGTCCAGTTTTCAAACCCCGCTCTCTTACTGGCGATGTTTATCCCGGCTGTGGCGGTTGCGTCGGTGTCCCTAGTATCCTGTGCAAAAGTTTCGTAGTCGTACTTATTGCAGTATATGCATGACAAATCTTCTTTTCAAAGTAAAACAGCATGACAAATCCCATTTCTCATGCTGAGCAAATTTGTAATGCAATTTGTACTAGTACGATACTTTTGCAGTTCATACCTAACATCCCGCTGCGTCTTCACGTCGGGCGTCATGAAATTTAAATGCCGCGCTTTTGCTTTTGATGGAGAGGTATGCATTGCAAAGGCATCGTACTAGTATAAATTGCATCACAAATTTTGGCAAGAAGGGAAGTGGGATTTGTAATGCTGTTTTCCCTTAGGAAAAAGATTTGTAATGCAAGACTTGCATTCATACGGGTACTTACGATACTTTTGCAATGCATAAGAGAAGAAATCCCGGTCGATCAAATCATTCGTGTTCACCATCCCGCCAATGTTGTTTGCCAAAGCCCATTTTAACAGGTCGGAACCGCCGTTTGGAAGGTTCGAGTTGATGATTTCGCAGAGCACGTGGAGCAGGGAAAACCCGTCCATGTTGGGAGTATGGAAAGGAAAACCGTGTAAGGGTTTGTGGTTTGATGTTGTGCAAAATAAACGCTCAGCTCTTGTTTCATCTGCGGTCGACATTTAAGCATTTGGGTTGTTGTACCTCAACATCATGCAGCCTATCATGTCGAAGGAACAGGAAGAGCTGGTCGTGAAGCTGCAAGAGTATCAAAACATTAACCCGAATGATTTTCGCTACCAAATTACTTAACGCGGCGGCGTTCGGCTCACCAGCGTTGCCTACGTGGTCCCAATCCTGCTGCGTATTCCCGGTATTCAAATTGCACCAACAATCCTCCTGCAGCAACAGCTTCAGGATGTGCTCGTGCCCGTGGTACGCCGCGGAATGTAAGCACGTCCACCGGTCTATGCAAGAAAAAAACTAAAACTGTGTAAGTGTAACTCTGTAATGCAGAACATGCAACAGAGCGACATCTGTCATGCCAGACAGCCATGATGTCCTCTTTTCATGTGTGTTTTCCCTTACAAGCCACGCATGGCAGGCTTTCTCTGTCATGTAGAGCAAATTTGTCATGCTGTCAGCCAAAGAAACTTTAACTTACACTATTAACACAGTTTCCTTCTTGCATACGGTCCTTCTGCAGGTAAAGGAATAAATTCGCTTTCCTCTCGCACGCTAGTAACCTCGTTAGGCGGATGTTGCCCTGTTTGCACGCGACGCGGAGGGCGGTGCGCCCGTCGATCTGCTCCATGGGGTAGTATGCCTGTAATAGGGTTGTTGTCGATTTGCTCCATAGGGTTGTTGTTTTTTCGAGCGATGTAGGATACGGTGTTGTGCGGTTCGGAGCGCACAAACTGTATTGCGCTCAGCGCAGCAACGATCTTGAGTTATGAATTATCATGCGACCACAACATGAAACAAACACTTGTAACAAACTACCTGAAAATCCGCCCCCTCTTCCAGATTCTGTGCCACCAAGACATGTTGGTTGTGTTGCACGGCCTTGAAAAGCAGCAAGGCTTTTGACGCCGCGCCACCATTTCTCGTGTAATCGTGTACTCTACCGTACGTTGTACTGTCGTTTAAGGGTTGGTTGCCACCGGCGTACTTGTTATACCCATTCCCGTTATACGCGTTTGGGTTCGGGTAATTTGGGTAATCTTTCCTCCCCGATGAGCCAGACGCCGCAGATCTGCTGTTTGGGTTGAAAAAGTAGTCGCCGGCTGCGTCCGGGGAAACGGTTGGAGGATCCGGGATGTCAAACTTTTGTGGCGTTTGCGACGCCACGTTTAGGACGACCATGGTTTAAGATTTTTGACTGCTGGCATGAAACAGGTTCAGGTATTGATATACTTAGAAACCGGAATGATGTCGTGTAGTTGTTGTACTTGTACGTGTCATGGCAATAAATTCCATTAGCCTAAAAGCACGTCTCTCCGCTCAACATCCTCGTCTCTCAGAGAATAAATCGCTCGGGCTCATGTACTACTACCCATAGAGCCTTTGTAGACCGGTGCTCCTCCTGCAGTACACCTGCTCCTCACATACAACCTTCAAACAAAATGAAAGACCGAAAGCACCTCTTAGAAAAGTTCCTGCTCTTTTGCTCGAACCTTCTCCGTCTCTGAAATTGCACCAGCACGCCCTGGGAAGGAAGTAGGAACAACACGAAAAAAACAAGTAGAGCTGAAAACAGCTGCAACAAAAAAAAGCTTGCCGAAGAGGTTGACAATGTGAGGTTAGTGTAGATGCAGGAGTTCGAATAAGACTGTGCGCAGTCACGTCGTTGTTTTCGTTTGTAGTTTTATTTCGCTGGAGAGAAGAATAGCAGCTTGTTGTCGCTGTAGTTGTTTCATTTCCCAGTGGAGCTTATTTTACTTCGTCCTTTGGTACCACTCGTTATCTCCTTCTTCCGAAAAGGACGACGAGAGAAATACCCCTTTGTTCAACATCACTTCAAACCACAGTACAGCATGGTGACGAGAACACTTGTGTCGTCTCCTCCGTCGGAGAGTTGGTAGGCAATATCGGCTATGGATTGCAAAAATGTCTGGGTCTGGAAGAATGCAGGAGTTTGTGATGCAGATTTTGCATGACCCATGAGGTCTGTGATGCATGCCCTAGCATCAGAGATTTTGCGAGGGCTTTCTGATGCTCACACCGCATCAGAAATGCCCTCTCCGCGTAGCACAAATTACACCTCTTTTGCTGTTCATGCAATACAGATTCTATGTAGAGTCCAAATGTAGCATCACAAGTTGCATCCTTCCAGACCCAGACATCTTTGCATTTGATATCGGCCAGATCCTTCGCTATGTCGGACAGGACGGTGGATTGCTTCATAAACAGTGCCTATCGCAAGAAAAAGCTGTTTCACTGTCGTGAACTTGTGATGCATAGAGTGGAGCACAGAACTATTTGTCTTGCTACACCTGCACGACCTTGACTCTTTAGGGGTGTTTTCCCTTTGAAAGCGTGCATGGCAAATTTTCTGTCACATGTGTAACAAGCTTGTGATGCAGATCTTGCAAAACCATCACAGTGAAGCAGTTTTTTCGTGGGATAGTGCCTCCTCTTCCGCCGGGCTCAGACGATTGCGCTCCCGAGGGGAAAGCCTGGCGTGGTCGTAAAGAAACTGCTGACAGGCCGCAAGTTGGGACTGGTACTTCAGCGCAATGCGCGGAATGTCCGCATTCTTGAGAAAATCGAAGGCGCCGTCCGTCCCCTGCATTATCAAGTGCAAACATGTCTGGGTCTGGAAAGTTGCAGGATTTGTCATGCACATTTTACATGACCCATGATGCCTGTGATCATGTGTGCCCTTGCATGACAGATTTTCTGAGGTCCTCTTGATGCCTGTCCCGCATGAGATGAAATGACCTCTCCACGTAGCAAAAACCGGGCCGCTCCTCGTGCTGCTCAAGCAATACAGATTCTTTCAGCATCCAACAGCAGCATGACAAGTTGCATCCTTCCAGACGCAGACATATTTCCAATGCATATGCACCAGGAGTCCGCAACACTGCTCCACCTTTTCCAAGTCACACTTCTCGAGCACCGACGCCTCGTGGAACAGGTCGATGCACCGAGTTTCCGGCTCGTAAATGAGCGCGCCGTTGACGCGCGGCATACATTTCGCGTCGTAGTCGCCAATCGACCGGGTGGGCTGCAGTCCGCCCAGCCGCCCGTTGTGTGGCGGCGCCGTGATGTCCGTGATCCCAGCCCGCGCCAGCCGCGCGCGCTCGGCCTCGCACCGGCAGGACTGCTCCACGGACAAGTGATTCAGGCGCCCGAACTGGAGGTGCTTCTTCCGGTCCCCGTCCCCCCGCGCTCGCTTGGACGAGGTGCAGTCACTCAGGGGCACGTACTTGGCGTCGCAGTCCCCGACCTGGGCGCAATACAGGTAGCGGCCCCAGCATAGCACCGCGTTCATGCAGGTGCCGGACGAGATTTTTTGTCCCCACAGCGCGAATTCGCAGTGCTCGGCCGCTTTCTTCATGGCCGCGGCCGGCGAAGTGCCCCGTTGTCGAAAGTCGTTCAAGACCAGGTCCGGGAATATCAACTGCAAAAATGTCTGGGTCTGGAAGATCGCCAGGTTTGTCATGCGTATTTTGAATGACCCATGATGTCTGTGATGCATGCTCTAGCATCACAGATTTTTCGAGGGTTTTGTGATGCCTCTACCGCATGAGAAATGTCCTCTCCACGTAGCACAAACCGGAGTGCTCTTGCTGGTCATGCAATACAAAATTTTTTAGAATCCAGACACAGCATCACAAGTTCTGAATCTTCCAGACCCAGACATATTTGCAATTCACAGGGAAAAATTCCGCCACCGTGGTCGCGGCCTGCGCGCCGTCGTGGCCGTCACAGACGTATGCATTGCAAAAGCATCGTACTAGTATAAACCGCAATACAATAAATTTCCTTAGCATTAGAAATGGAATTTGTAATGCGGATTTGCCTCAAGAAAAAGATTTGTAATGCATGACTGCGATAATTACTACGAGTACGATACTTTTGCACAGGATAAGACACCCGAGATGAACCAATCGACCTTTTTTTCCTCTCCTACCGTGCCGACAAATGAGAAAATACGGTCTTCGTTTCCCCGGTGCGCCGGCCACACCACGTTGATCTTGCCCTCTTCTTTCTCCCCGGCCGCGGCTTCGTCGTCCTCGTTGGCACCGCTGCTTGACTTTTTCTTCTTTCCTTCGTCATCAGATTTTTCGCCATCGTCGCTGTGCTTATCCTCGTTCTCTGCAACCTCGTAATATGCATTGCAAAATGAAGTATCGTAGTACTCGTATAGATGCATTACCTCAGCATGAGAGTTGAAATTTGTAATGCGGATTTACCTTACGAAAAAGACTTGTAATGCATGACCGCAATACGAGTACGATACTTTTGCACAGGATACCTCCTCGTCCCGCTCAGGCGACAGATCGCGCCGCTTCTGGGTGTGTCAACTGTAAAAATGTCTGGGTCTGGAAGAATTCATGTTTGTCATGCTTGTCTGGCATGACTCCTAAATCTGTCACGCACGTTACCCAAGAGCTCCGCTTTTCTGTGATGCAGAAGCGCAGTTTGTCATGCGGAATAGGCAACACCTAGGAGCTCAGAAACTTGTCATGCTGAGCCAGCATTTGTAGCCTCATCGTGAGACGCCGCCCAGCATCACAAGTTTCCAGACCCAGACATTTTTACATTTGATAGGGTGAACTTGCGGCTCAAGTACATAAAATTCATATTCTCGCTCTCGCGCGCCAGGTTTCTTGCGCGCAGTCCCGCGAACTTCTTTTCCCGCGCCGTCTTCTACGAACTGCAAATATGTCTGGGTCTGGAAACTTGTGATGCAAGAAAGGGAAGAGTGAACATTCTGTAATGCGCTGCCCAGCATGACAAGGTTTTCCGTGGTTCTGAGTTGCGTACTCCGCATGAGAAACTGCATTCTTGCATGACAGGCAAGACGAGGAGCTCTTTGCGGTGACGCAACACACACTTCAGAGTCATGCCAGACTAGCATGACAAATCTCGCAACGTCCCAGACCCAGACATATTTGCAATTCATATCTTCGGCAGTGTCACGTTCCCGGCTAGATTCTATGGATTGCAAATATGTCTGGGTCTGAAAGAGTCGGGGTTTGTCATGCACATTTTGCATGACCCATGAGGTCAGTGATGCAGGTCCTAGCATCACAGATTTTTTGAGAGCTTCTTGATGCTTATCACGCATGAGAAATGCCCTCTCCGCATGCCAAGAACTGGACTCCTCTTGCTGCTCATGCAACACAGATATTTTTAGAATCCGCAGACAGCATTACAAGTTCTACTCTTCCAGACCCAGACATTTTTGCATTTGATAGATTCTCAGTCTCGTCCACTTCGATGCTCCGAAACTGTTTGATATCTACCCGGCGCTCCCGCTTTTTGTTTTTCAACACGACCGGCTCCCTATTTTTTTCGACCCCCGGCGGTTTGTCCGCGTTGGCCAGGTCCAGTGCCTTAATATTTAGTTGTACCCCCGGCGGTTTTATCCTGTGCAAAAGTATCGTACAAATGCAATTCTTGCATTACAAATGTTTTTCTTAATGTAAATCAGCATGACAAATTTTATTTCTCATGCTGAGGGAATTTGTCATGCATTTATACGAGTACGATACTTTTGCAGTTCATAGGTTTGTCCGCGTTGGCCAGGTCCAGTGCCTTCAGTATGGATGTGTCAGGATCGAAATCGACAAAATCGAAAAATTTGTAATGCATATAAATGTAGGGTAAGTAAGGCCTGTGTTGGGGAGCAGGCAAATGCGACCGACTGCAAGCCTGTTTAGGGGAAGGAGATGCGCTGCCAAAGTGGCACGACAGGAGCAGTCTTCTTTACGTACCCAAACAGCATGACAGACTGGATTTATTTGGTGCAGCTCCCGAAATTTGTCATGCGCCACTTGGAAACTGAGGCTTAAAGTGGCATCGACTTTATGCATCGCAAATTGCTTCGATTTTGTTGATTTCGATCCTGACACTCCCATATTCAGCGCTTCGGCCGTCAACGGGAGCTGCTGCCCGGGGGAGGTAACGGGCTTGGGTTCGTCTTCGTCTTGGTCTTGGTCTGCCCGCTCTGGCTCCTTGGGCTTGATCTCGTTCGCCGCGTCGCTCTTGTGTGCCTCGCTCAAACGCTTGTTTGCAGCTGCAAACGCGTCCCGGTCGAAGGGGGCGATCGGCGGCTTAGCGAGGACCACCGGTGGTTTAGCGACCGTCTTCGCGCTCGGCTTAGTAATCGTCAGGCCGAACGGGTTACTGCTCATGTTCTGACTTGCGGGACCTTGCGGCAGAGGCCGCAGCCGCTTGGCAGCGGGGGTGGGAGTGTCTTCGGGCATTGTTCTACTTGCTCACAACTCTTCTAGCCTTTTCTACTGTGATTTGATTTACCGAGACGGATGATATCTCAATTAGAAGTCTTTCAGAAATCTACTTGCTTTCTCCTACTTCTTAATCTTTCAGATTCAGATTCAGATTTGTCGGCGCACGTGACGCAGTCACGTAAAAGAATGTTTCGCTTGGCTTGGCTGCGAGGTGGCGTTCCAGAACTTTAGGAGAAGCTATTCATTGGCTAAAACTTGACCACGCGTAGTTACACTGCGCATCCACCGTTTTTACAGTGCGCATCCATCGTTACAGCGCGCATCCACCGTTACAGTGCGCATCCACCGTCGAAACGGACACAAGTAGTGGAGTAGATCTTCGTACAAAACAAGTTCGCTGCCAGAAGTAGTGGAGATCTTCGTAGTTTTATCACCAAAAGCTCCACCTGCCACGAGGACGAGGACCAGAGCTGCATCACAACAAAACAGAGCTTCGCGATGAATATGGTGACATTAACGCTAGTGTCCTCGAGCTTAGACTCACGGAGCTGGAGCAGGAGTTCGAACAAAACTGGCCATAGTGAGAATGAATATCGTCGTTGTTTTCTTCACGTGCGGTCCTTCACGTGCGTTGTTCCTTCGTTTTATATAATCCTTCGCGTTGGAGGTTTAGAGAATCTTGTCGCTAGAGTTTCATTTTGATTTTCCGGGAGGTGTCTGTTCTACCACTAGTGGAGCTTTTACTCCGTCGTTTGTTAGTACCACTCGTGGTGAGGTCATTTTCGGTGGACGTCGCTGATGGTTGAGATGGATCATCGCACTTGTTTTAGGTCTACTACTAATCGTAGCCTATCATCGTAGCTTGGATGTTACAGAACCAAATAGAAGTGTGGAAGGCTTATCGCGTTTCGCTTTTTCTTTTTCAAATTGGAAGGATGAATATAGTACTTTGCTCGACATCAAGAACAGAGATGAGTTTGAAGACATACCTCGTGACAGTTAGCTTTTCGCTTCACAATTTCGTGGTGCGCTTTCTGAGAATTTTAGCTCATCAACTACTCGTGGATAGGTAACCAACGTCAAGAAATCATTTAAGCGCGGCTGATATTTGTCTTTGATTACAACCAAAAGTAATGTTCAGATTTTTCATACTTACTGTAGAAAGGCTTGTTTTCCTTTTCCGGTTCTTCACAGCCGGAAAAAAGGCCCGATTCTATTACCACACCACTCATAGCTGCGAATACAGTGCTCGCACCACTCTAGGTTGTACTTCTAACCACCACTCTTACACCCCATACGTCGTGTCAATCTTCCGGATCCCGGCGACTGAGTCATCCCTTAACCCGTAAATCGTCTCAAACCGCTTTCTCTGCCTTTCCTCCTCCAATTTTTGCCTCTTTTCCAACATCTCATCCGTCACCGGCTCCTGCATTTCCCCGCCGAGTAAACTGCCACTGCTGCTATTCCCCAACACCCCCTCATCGCTCGCCTCGATGGTTGACGGGGAAAAAACGTGCTCCAACTCGAGCACGATCGCGTCCAACTGGTGCAAACTCGGCCCGGAAATTTTTTTCATCACCTCTTTGTACCGCCATCCTCCGTCCTTCTCATTCGCGTCGTAACAGGGATTGTGCTCGAGGTAGAGGCATTTCAGCTTCAAATTCCACAAGCCCGCTATTCTTTCATCATTTGCCGCAAGTTCGATTTGCTTCTGCTTGGTTGTTTGGTAGGGCGTTGTTATGGTTGGTGTTGCTATTGCTGGTTGTAGCTGTACTCCTCCGCTGTCGTCCGGTGATTTTCGCTTCTTCAACAATTCCCCGGACGGCGAAACTACGGTCGCCGCGGTTAATGCCCTTGCATTTTCATCTCCTTCACTATCCTGCTTGTAACTATAGTGGTAATCGATGTCGATCCCGCACCCGCTCATCCACAATTCCTCTAACTCTGACAACCGGAACTGCTTCGGTATTGAATTTATCCTTTTATTCTGGCTAATGTCCAGCGTTTTTAAGTTCGGCAAATAGTGGTCAGAGAACAAAAACGGACTTCCGCTTTCCGCTCCGTCTGGTGTGGAGATGGGGAAGGGTGGGAGGTTGTTTTCCGATAAATACAGCTGCTCCAATTTCGGCCCGCAGAGGTTCTCGAAGAACGACGCCTCCCAGTGTTCTAACCGGTTGCACTGGATCGAGCAGATTTCCAAATCGGGGAGAAAGTGCTCGTGTTCATCCTTCATATTATCATCAGTCATGCCGTTCACCTTCATGGTGGTGATTTTGTTTTTCCCCAACCACAGCTCCTTCAATTTCCGGTATCAAAAGAAAAAGTCCCCCCTTCCCATATCAAAACGGAACGCAGATTTGTTGTCACAAATCAGCTTTGTCATGCTACACGGGAAAAGATGCGGACTGTAGTGCTGGGTGGCGTGGGGAAGCCTTGCATCTTCCGCATGATAGGAGGCAGCTGAGAGTGGGAAACAGCATCACAAATTGCCTGCAAACGAGGCCACGACTGCGGCTCTTGGCCTTCTAGCATGACAAGTCGATTTGTGACCTCAAATACAGCATCACAAATTTCGTTTTCGATATGGGGAGCGAGGATTTTTCCTCTCGATATCCGGAGGTGGATCACGTCCTGCGGGATTTCGCGTAGCCGGTTGGCGCCGAGCTCGAGGATTTCCAGATTCTTGAAACACGATAACGCGTTCTCCGGAACCTCTTCTAATTTGTTGGACGGGAGGTACCTGATGGGTTGTAGCAAATGAGGGTATAGGATTTAGGAAACAGTTCTGATAGTAGTTTGTCATGCTCAGTAAAAATGCAATCCTGATTTGTCATGCGCACCACAGCACATCAGAAAGAAAACAAATCTTAATCTATACAGTTTCTTCAGCGTATCCGCAAACACCGGTTTTTTGTCAATCCGGTCCGGGTCCCCCGCGTCCAAATACCCCAGATATCGGATCCGGTTGAAGCTCAAGTCTAGATGCTCCAGTTTCGGACAAAACTCCAAATTCTCGATGCGTTTTATCGCGTTTTGATACAACTCCAAATGCCGTAAGTTGCACAAAGTCTCCAACCCCTCGATTTTCTCCACGTTGTTCGCGATGAGTTTCAAAACTTGCAGATTACTCCCGATGATGTCGAGATTGACCATCTGCTGGATCCTTGCTGTGGACAGAACCAGTTCCGGTTGGTTCGGATCTAAAGGGATGTCCTTCCCCAGAATCGTGAACTTCGGCGCGGACTCGTCCTGACATTCCGTGTTCACACCAGCCGCCGGGTTGATCTTAATCGCGTTTTTGGATTCCGTTTTGAGGTTCACGGATTTGTTGTTGTTTTTCGGAGAGGGAGAATCGGGTATGATGTCTTCGCACGCGAAAAGATCATCGTCGTCGTCTTTGTTTGCGGCGAAAAGCCCGGACCGGTCGACTTTCACAGACCCAAAGGTCTGGATCATCGGGTTGGGCTTCGGCGGGTTGGCGGCCATTGCTATGCTTTCAAGTTTTGTGATACTAGAGATTCAAATTTATTTCGACGAAAAAGTGAAAGTCATGACGTCAGTCCTAGTTAAAAACCGTAGCCTGGAGTTGCTCCTAGTACAAGAGGTTGGAAGAGAAGGGCGCAATGAAGTGAATAAATCAAAATTATCGGGTCGTCGTCGCAACTGTGATAAAAAAAAGGGGTCCTCTTAATAGATGTAGATGTAGAAGTAGCACAAGTGCAATTTATGACGGCGCACTATAGTTGCTAAAGCCGCTCGTCTGCAACAGAGGCAAAGCTACAAAAAAATCATCACTCAGGGGTACAACTCATCCTCTTAAAAGGTCGCTGCTAGGATTTTTGGTTGTTGGAAATTAATCAATTCCCGGCTGTTGTTGACACCTGTGCCTATCTCTGCAACGAACTTTCCAACTACCTTGTTGTCTTATCCAACTTAATTCTGATCTTTGATGCGATTCATACTATTTTGAGCTGATGCGCTTTCGTTCACGAAACACTTCGACCCATTTTTTTCCTTTACGGCAAGTGATTTTAGACATTCCTGCCGTCGCATTTCTGGATCTTTTCCTCGATGTAATCCGCGTCGGTCAAAATTTTGTTCTATCGTGGAAAATTCTTCAGCATCCTGATTGCAGTGCATTTCTTGAAATTTCATGTGCAATTAAACAGACATAGTGTACAAAAATTCTTCATGTTGCTCCTCTTGCGCAGATCTTACCTGTACCAAAGCCTGAAGAAGATAGAACATGTGTACGTATTTTTTCAAGCGTGTTCATCTATTTGGGCGACGCACGGCAGGTCGAGCATCTGAATGCAAGTTGAAGCTTCATCATGGTTTATTTGAAAAAGCTGATGTTCTTTCTCACTCAATATTACTGCGCTGCGTGGTATTAAAACATGTTGCGAAGAAGTAGACCACTGTATGCTCAAAACATCAAGACGACAACCAAAACGAACGCCGTTTTTCTCTTCACGATCATAGCGATACTGTACTTTGGCAAACAGCAAACAAAAAGATAATATTCGTACTCCGTACGGGGTCGCGCGCGACTCAGCTTTGTGAGGTGGAAGCAACAGGTTTTTACGAAGGAAGCTGCAAGTTAGTAAACTGTAACTGGTGGTGGAAAAAATTCATCCCCCTTCTCTGATACTTCTGGTCCAAAATACCGACACAATGATGTCAGCGGGTCGTTGTCAACAGTGTATCGTCTAGATTTACAACCCAATTCAGTCAACATTTTCAATATCGGCAAAAGAAATCTGCTTTGGCGTAGTTTTTGCAAGAGAGGCATCAAGAAGTGATGTTGTAGTTGTTGTGATATCATGTATCATGACGTCGTGCTTGTTCGAACAAAATAGTAAAGTATTAGACAGCTGCTCCTTTCTTTCCCCATAAATTTTTGAAACCCAGCTGGTCAATCTTCCATACGGCTGGAAGCGCGGCGACTCCGTTGTATCACAAATGTGATCGTAGAGCGCTCCAGTCGATAGGTAAAAATTGACGCAAAACTAAGCTCTACCTCGTAACAATTGCGTTTTTTTCAAAATATTCTCTAATAGTGCCTCAACTTCGATCGACGAAGGGATGCATAATTCTACAAGCGTATTGAACTTGAACAGGATACAAGCTTAGTGCTGTTATGCGCATCCATATCCTCAAAATCATAAGGAGTCCGCATGGACAAACTCATCCTACAACGGTTCTGGTTAGTGTTCTTCCAATAGGATTGTAAAAGAAATCTTACAACCCCCGCACACTCATTTCCGGTCGTGGTCGTCCTCCGATTGATCTACTAGTAGAGAAAATCTATATCGCATGTAGTTATTCTTATTTCTGACATGTTGTATTAAAGTCATCTTGTACAGCCTTACTTACTTGTGTAGCATGCAAGCACTTTGTTCTTGTTTTCAATTTCTTCGTCTTCTATACTGTGGCTTTCAATTTTTCAAAAATGCATAGTAAAGCAAAGGCATGTACTAGTGGCGCAGCACTATCAATCCTGCACCTGCTTCCCCGTTTCTACAATTCTTTTGATGTTTTTTACGGCCGTTGTGTCCGCCCCATTTTCGCGCCCCCGGCGACCATATCGATCACTCTCAACTACAGCAACAACCCCCGACGAATTCCCTGTGGGTGTCTAACCGAGCTGTTGATCGGCTGATGCTGCCCTGACGGGGGCACTGCTTGTGCTAGTTTCTGGTCACCGTTGTTTTCTACTTGCCCCGATGTTGAACTAGTACCGTTCATCATTTTCCCGTCCTGGGTCCTCGTCGCCCGCAGCTGCGGATTCAGCTCAAACGCACCGACCTGCAACAGCTTCGCCAAAGAATCCCCTAAACTTAGCTTCACGAAGTTGTTGCCCCGACCGTAGTTCGCTTTTCGCATTCTCTTTGCGTGAAGATTGTTGTGGTCATAGTACGGGAAAGAAGAAGATCCCCACTCGTCGTGGTCATAGTCGTAATTGTCATCGCGAAAGCCGCCGTACCACCTGTCGCCCCGCTGCGTGTTAGTGTAGCGGTTTTCCCAACTGTCCGCGTGGTGGAAGTGCGGCCTTTCAGGCTCCCGACTCGGCGCCGTATAGATCAGCTTCCAATCGAATTTTTCCTCCTCGGGGTTGATGATGGTAACGTCTCCAGCAGCAAGATCTGCAGCTTCTTCATCCAATTTGGCAAGTTCTTCTGGAGAAGTAGATTTGTTCGCTGAAGATCCTTTTCTGCTTCCCCCGTCAGAAACTTGTATCCTTCCATACTGGAACATCACAGTGATCTCCCGACTCGCGGTCAAGAAGGAACTACCCTGCTTGTGTTGCCGCTGTTGTTGCGGAACCAATTGCTGTCCACGACAAATCTCGCTCGGGCGCAGCAAGGGACTGGTGGTCGGACTGGGGCTTCTGCTGCGGAGGAAAGAAGTTGCGCCCGTAGCACTATCCCTGGAAGCACTTGCGGATAGAAAAGGTCGCTGGAGTTGCTGTTGCGGGGACGCTGTCGCTGTAATGGCAGGAGCACAACTTGTGGAGACCACGTGACTCGTGGAAGTTGGTTGCGGCCGAAAATCCTCCACGCTCGCCTTGGTCTTGAAGAACTGTGTTGTGAACTTCAGAGAATCTGTCGTCGTTGTATCCCCAGCCGCTTCAACATCATCTGCAGCGTCACTTGTTCCAGTCAAATTCAAATCGAAATCCTCCACGACAACGTGCCACCCGGTGGGGACATTGTGCTCGTAGAACCCAATCATGATCTTGCTGCGCGTGAACATCAGACCGAGGCCTATCAAATGTAAAAATGTCTGGGTCTGGAAGGTTCTGAGACTTGTCGTGCATGTTTTGCATTGGCCATGATGTCTGTGATGCATGCCCTAGCATCACAGATTTTTTGAGGGCTTCGCGATGCCTATTCCGCATGACAAATTCCCTCTCCGCGTAGCAAAAATTGCATTCCCTTTGCTGCTCATGCAATACAGATGTTTTTGGAATCCAAATTCAGCATCACAAGTTGCATTCTTTCAGACCCAGACATTTTTACATTTGATAAGGCCGGAACGTTTGCCATTCGCGAAGTTCCCGACGAACCACCTGAGGAAGATTTTTTTAAAGAAAGACTAAAAGTTTTTGATTTTGTTCTTGATTCTAGCATCAGAAAAACAATGCGTTGTTGCAGCACGATGGCACATCTTGCGACAAAGACTTCACCAGAGAAGAGGAAGATGACATCAATAGAACGCAGAGTTATTTTGCAGACATTGTCATAGTACCCTAGATCCCCCAAGCGCAGTCTCCCCTTCCCATGCGGCACGACCTCCTGAGCGGTCGCATAGGAGCCGTCATGCAGTCCTCCACCCGGATGACGCGGCGCACCAGCAGCAGCCGTTATTTTCCCAACGAAATCAAACTTGGAAGAGAAACTGCCTACACGGAGGTCAAAGTTCAAAAGCTTGTTTTGTTGTTGAGTACTACCCGCCGTCGCGTATGAAGATCCTTGCTCTGCTTTCTGAAACGATTTCTCATACTGCCCAATCAACTTGTACAACTCATCGGGCGAGGTAAACGAGTCCACATTCGGCCACGAATTCCCCGTTTCCGTCCAGGACAAATTGTTGCTGCTGGCTGAAGCAGAACTTTGCCGGTACTGTTTTTCTTGGTTGAAGATAAGAAAGTCTTGGAGAATTTGCAGGAGATACGGTGATTTGGTGCTCGTTTCAAACCAGGTGGTTAGTTGCTGTACTGGTACTGGTTGCTGATGTTGCAACTCTTCCATCACAACATCGCAGACCGACTTCGGGGCACAAGATCTTGCCGTGTAGCAAGAGGCCGCAGCTTCGCTGGCCGGCGGCGTACCATATTGGGATCTAGTACTCGCGTCATCTTCTTCATACGACAGCTCGAAGGGGTGGTCATTTGCTTGTAGTTCATGAGAAACAGCTGCACCGGCTACTGCTGCGAAGCCCAAATCCACATCGGGCAGACTGGATTTGCTTAAACTCACCGCCGCGGGTGGTAGGGAAAAAGGCGCGAGCAACGGACTTCTCGGGCAAGAGGAGGAGGGACCAGTAGCTGCTAGTCCAACTCTGGAGGCCGCGCCACGACTGGAAGAAGATGACTCGACAACATTTCGCTGACGTCCACCATTTTTCCGCTGTAAAAGACCGCTGAAGAAATTCGCAGACAACAAATTATGATGATCCACCCCGCTGTATGATCTATTGCCCGCGAAGGTCCTCGTCCCCCCTGTTGTTGTCGAAGCCAACCGCAAAGTTCGTACCAGCACTGGGAAGTCAATCATCGATAGCTTGATTAACTGGTCCGCGGATTCCGGTTTCTTCAAGCTAAAATACAGGTAGGAATCGTTTTCTCTCTTCAAGTAGGGGAAGATCCGGTGCAAATCGGAAGTTTTGGACGCATTTTTCCACTGTTGCGGGGTCACCTGCCCGTACGTTCTCCGCAAAAAAGCGAACCGGGCTGCGAGCTGCCACCAGAGCTGGGATTCAAAATCCTGGAATAGTATTGAAGAGTGGCGCCGTGGGGGATGAGAGGTCCGAGACATCATCTTCTTCACAGCGGGGTGTTCGTCTCCTGTTACACTAGTGGCCTCTTTCCCCGCGGTGGCTTGACGCTGCAGCTCGTCGGAGGAAGTCGCAGTTGTAGCGAGCATCTCCGCGAGCTCTTTCCAAGGTTGCGGCTTCAGAGAATTATGTAGTCCTTGTTGCTGCCCGGATGTTGTTGAAAAATACTTCTGCTGAAACAGCGTGTTGGAGGAAAATTTGTACGCTTCGTCCAGCTTGAAAAGTTTTTCCAGCCGGTTCGCATTGAACCTTGTCTGGTGCCCGTGGTCGCCATCTTGTTCTCCTCCATCACCATGATCGAGAATCCCTTGCCATAATCTTTCTATCTTCTCTGCCTCTGCGTCCAGCCACTCCTGCGTCATCTCTGCTACAGTGGGGATCTTGGAGAATACTGCCGCTTTATTGCTCTTCCCTTCAGATGGAAACAGCCAGTGGGAGGAGGAAAAATAACCGTCTTCTTGCTCTTCTCTCTCTTTGTTCCCATCACGCGGTAGTTCTGGCGTAGAAGCCCGGTCTGGTTGTTCTGAAGATTGCACACTTTGATCCGCCAATAGAGAACTTGCGTCACCCGTGCCGAGCAAAGTGCTTCGGCTCCGCGACAGATCTTCCAGGAACAACGCCTCCGATTGTTCCCTGGCGTAAAAATACTCCTCCACCGAACACATTTCCTCCTTCTTCTTCGTAGAAAAAAACCCGCTCGGGTGCGACACGGCCATCCCCTGGAAGTCGTGGTCTGACGAGAGCCTCGGCTCCAGGCTGAGAAACTTCGGGTTTCGGGAAGAGCTCTTTTCTTCAAAAGAGGAGCTAACGGAGGACGTCGCTGGGGTGCGCTATGCATTGCAAAAGCATCGTACTTACTAGTATGACTTGCATCACAAATTTGTTCCACCTGGCAAATGGAGTTTGTCATGCTGAATTACCTAAGTCAGCTCGTGCAAAAATACTGGCTTTCATACGAGTGCGATACTTTTGCAGTGCATATGCGCCACGTTTTCACGATAACCTCGTTCGACGGAGCGGAGAGCAGATTTAGAGGGATTTGTTGTTCTTGTTCCTTTTCGACGGCGGGTTTTTGAAGAGAATTCAAAGCAGAATAATGCAGCTGTTCTTCTCGCGGAAAAAGGTTGCTCATCCACGTCTTTTGCGCGAAAGCATGGTCCTCTTCCGCAGGTCTTATTTCTGCGAAGTCAACAACATCCGTCGCTTGCAGTTCTTCCACCATACCTCGCGTCAGATCCGCAACAGAAACTCCGATTTGCCCGAGAAATTTCTGCAGTTCCCGCACCCCAATCTCCGCAACGTGTTTCAAAGCGTTCACCTCCATTTCTTCGGCGGATAAAAAAGATGCCGTCGAGGACAACTTTTGGTCCTTGTCATCTTCTGCTGGTAGAAGATCTTCACTTCCTGCGAGGACCTCTGGCTGTGGAGCTACAACTGCGTTGGAGACTCTAGCATCTGAAGTGGCGGGACTCGATCTCGAAGCACTTGTGGGATCCGGGTCACCCCCCTTGATATTATAATCTCCCGACGAAACTATCGGGGGCGATGTGTCTTCTGGTGGTTCTCGTTCCTCTTGAAGAAGCTGGAGCTGCCCGGCGGTGGTCGGGGGAAATAGTTGCGTGGCTGGGCCTGGCGTCGCCGCCCCTGCTGGTGCGCCAGCAGCATTTGCACCAGCAGCAGTCGTAGAAGTTGCATCACCACCAGCTGCTGCATCACTACCAGAAAGCACTTGTTCCACTTCGTCGCTCTGCAGCCTTGATCTCGTTCTTTCGCTAAAGGAACTAGTCCCTCTGCTGGCCCTTGGTGTGGAATCCAAAGAGGCCGAAATAGATGAACCCCAGAAATCCTCATTGCCTAGCATTGGTTCATCGTTATTTTTGGGTGTTGCACTCATCTCCCTAGCTGCATCTGGAAGATTGCACTGAAATGTCACGTTGTTGCTGGAGTTTTGCAGAGAGTTAGTTGCGGATCTTTCCTCGATGTTGCCCAGAAATGTTGGCAAGAGACCAGTACCCCCTGCTGCGCCACTGGCGAGTTCCTGCATCGCGTTAATGCTGCCTTGCCGAGAGATTTCGAATTCACTTCCCGCTCCGTTGCGAGTCGTGTCACCCCCGCAGCTCGTACTTCTGGTGAAAGGTTCGGAAGCAGGTGCCGCTTGTCCTCCGTACAGGTTTCCACCGGATGATACCGTTTTTACGAGAGAACCGCCAAACTTTCTCGGAATAAGTGTTGCGCTCTGAGACGGGGTTCCGGGGCGTGTACTACCCGCTCCAGGGAACACCCCGTCGCCGATCTTCGGCGTGGTGTGCGCCAGAGTGTTCGGCGCTTCCGTCGACCGGGAGCTGCTCACGTTGCTGGACGGAAGCTGATTACCGTAGTTCTCGAAGGTGTAGTAGTGCTGGTGTTCTCCGCCTAAAGAAGTGCTGCGGCGCGAGGAAATTTTTTTACCGGGTAGTTGAGAGGCTGACGAAAACGGATCTTGTTCTTCGATGCGAGCTTGTTCCTCGGCATTGTCAACATTGTCTGCAGGTGCAGTAATTCTAGTCCCCGTGCCTGCCGTAGAAGCATCCTCGTCTACAACTTTCGGTGGCACTACACACGGAAATCGTTGCTCTTCTACCACAGTGGCAGAAGTCACGTTCTTGTCTTTAACTTTTTCCCAGGTCGACGAGTCAAAACCTAGCGGCGATTGCTTCCCGGCCTTTGTACTCATCGTTCCCTGCTGGTGCTCCGCTTCCGATGCAGCGGACGAAGCAGGTGCTAATCCGAGATTCTTTCCGCTACCTTCCGAAATCATGCTTGCGTCGCGCGAAAATGTTCTTGAGACCTGTTCTTGACTTTGTAGTTCAATATCGAAAGGTATCAAATCTGAGTTTATCGTTCCCGCAGAGATTTCGTCCGAGCTCTTGTAATTATCGTCGGAAGAGAGGCCCCGCATCGCAATTTTCAATTCCATGTTGTCTACTCCAGGACGTTGCTCATCTTCAATTCCGATGTGAGCCACAGCGGCGCTAGGTCCAGCACGGCCTGCTTGTTGTGCTGCAGCTTCTTTCATGTTGTTTCCGAGTTCTTGGACCGTCTGTTCATGCAAGACTGTCGCTTGTAGTTCTTGGCTCTGTCCGTGCAGTGTGTGATCAACAGCGGCCACCTCCGACATGGGAGATCTGCTCTGGTGTAGTTGCGCAAGCCCGGCATGATCTGGAAAAATCTCGTCTCGCTTCGGCGTCGAGGCGAAGCTAGGAATCATTTCTACGTCCTGCAAACATGAGGCAAAGTCCTTTTGCAGCCCAGCACGACCCGTAGAAGAAGGCAAACACGACTCTGATGACCTGCCCAAAGTATGTTGCTGTTGCCCCGGGTTCTGGTGCTGATGATGCCCCTGCAGCCCTGGCGGTCCTGTGCTGCCAACACCAGAGGTCAAGAACATCATCTCTGTGTCGCGTGACGTAGACGATGCTGCATCAATCGTTCCTGAGGTGGACGAAAGAAACCTCACTCTACTTCGCGCATGCAGCGGTCTATGGGTGGAAAGTTTTTTCTTCTTCTCGTTCAAGGGCTGGTGACTGGTAGGAGACACGGCCAATGACCGCCACGAAGTCCTCGCCGACTCTGCTTCGGAACCGGAACTAGAAATAAGCTGCGCGTGGTTCAACATCTCGTGGTCATTTTCACCATCCTCATCGGCGATTTTCAACTCCGCCAGCCTTCTTAGCACCTCATTGTGAAAATCGCGAAAATTATTGTGCTGCGAGGATGAGGGCGGTTGCTGCTGTAGTAGTGCACTAGTACTGCTAGCAGTTGACCCGGGTGGAAGTAGAGCCCCCCGCGCTCCTGGTGCATGACCAGCAGATGTTGTTGAAGAAGTAATGCCATTACCAGGAGCTTGCTCATGTTTCATATTGGCCCCAGAACTTGTCAGAAGCCGCAGGGTAGAAGTGGCTGTAGTGCCGTCTCCACTCGCATGCAGCTCTGGAGCACCATCTACGTCGCTCGCATGATCGACGTCGTTGTCCAGAGGCCCTTTCAACATTGGACTACTCAGTAACTTCCGCTGACGCTGCTGCTGCTTCGGTGGCTTTTGTGCGAGCAGACATAACTTGCTCGGAAAATTTAGCGTGGACACTAGTGTCCCCCTCGTGCTGGGCCCATCTGCGGCCGATGTCGTGGCCTCCGGGCAAGACACAGCGCCGTCGTTGAAGAAGATGTTGCTCGGGGCCTCTTGGTGCACCGCCTGGTCATCTCCGAAAGAAGCGGTAGAAAGGCCTTGATGCTCAATCGCTGATGATTCCGCGGCAGTAGACGACGTCCCCTCATGCCGTTGCCTCCCATGTTGTTCCTGATTTGTCCTCTTATCTGCACCTCCAAAACCGAGGGAGAACTCCACAAACCGCCCCGCCGGGGCGAAGAAACACAAGAGCGGCCACGAAAACCTGTAGTGCAAGTTGAAGCTGCGGCTCGAGGGGGTTGTGGTGGTCCCTTTTGCTTTTGTAGTGTGCATTGTTATCGTAAAACAAGCACAGGGTCCAGTTTGTCGACACTGTAGCGGTGGTCCAGCTCCTATTTGTTGCAGTGCGTGCAGTGCCGATGGAGTTGTTGTGTGCAAAAAAACTTCTCTGATGCGGCGATGAAGAACTTAGCTGGTGGTCGCTTTGCTCTCGTCTTGTGGTGCTGACAATTCTATTCCCCGATCGCAGAAGCGTTGGCGTTGTTGCTGCACCATATGAATTCACTTCTAGTTCTGAGCATCAGATTATTTCACGCGAGACGAAAAAAGGAAGATAAAGTCGTAAGTATTTACAAGCAAGCCTGAGCGTCTACACAAGATCTTCACGTTCAAAACTACCAGATTAATTAACGTTCAGGGTCTGTGCAGAAGGGTTTTCGTGTCGGTTTGCATTATAGACATTCATAACATAAGTGAGCAACGGCTCAGAAGTCGCGCAAGGTTCATACAACGACATGTGGAACCAAGAACCAAGCGGAACACACTACTTACCAGGCCCGCCCGCTGTAATCAGACAGAGCAAACAGCCCCGCCGGCGTCAAATTCAAAATCATACTAGGTGCGTGTGGGCCCATCTCTGCCCAGAGCAAACAAGAGAGAGAAAAGGTGCTCGCTGCCGGCAGAATGCGGCAGGCCCCAGCAGGGACGAAGACAGAAGCGGCGGGCGCCACGGCCGGTCGGCTAGAACCTGAAACACACGGGAGCCGCCCTCAACCCGCCGGCGCGTACGAGATGAACGAATGCGCACCCCCGGAGGGGCCGCGCCCGGCCCGGGCGGGGCGCGCGCAACGGGCCGGCCGGCGGGGGGGCAGCCATAGGATATTGCGGGCCACGCGGCCCGCCCGGCTCACAAACTTCCGCGGGCCCAGCCGCGCGCCCGCCGCCGGCCGGCCCGGCGTGCACAGTCAGCCAGCGGCCCGAGGGAGAGGCCAAGCGGGCGCAACGAAATTAATAACAACCGCTGCCCGGCGACCCGGCGCGCGCCGCGGAGGCGCTAGCGGGTGAACGCATGCAGCCAACGAGGGGGGGGGACGAGGCAGGGCCGGCGACAGACATGCATTCTCTGCAACACTCACTGCCAGCATCGCTCGCAACATTTGAATCGCGGCACTCAGCCAGCAGCCCTTTTCGTTCGGATTGTCGGGCCCCCCAGTTTCCCGCATGACCCGCTCGCAATCAAAACCACCCAGCAAAGGCGGCGGGCGGGTTTACTATCTAGGGCGGCGGCACGTTCTCCCGCGAGCGCCCCCTCGGAATTATCATGCTGGCCGACCAACGGGCGCGCGAGGCCACTCATCGGCCACATTGTGGCGCGACCGCCTCCCGCCTGCGCCCCTTTTTGAACCCGCAAGGAGGCCCGCCGGCGCAGGGCGCAGGCGGCGCGCGCCAGGAACTGCGCGACGGGAGGGAGGCCGGCCAGACGCGGCCCGCGCGCCACTCTCCGACGCGCCGGAGCGGGCCCGGCGGCCCCCTCTGTCTTCCATAGTTAGAAAAGCACCGGCGGGCGCCAATGTCTTTCTGTGCGCCGGGCGGGTCGCACGCCCCCGGGCGGCCTCTGAATGTTCGCGGCGGATCCAGCCCTGCTCGACGCAGCACCCGGCGCCGCCGCCCGTTGCTTGCACCGCGCGAAGCTCCCAGGGGCGCACTTCTACGGAAAAGCGCGCGCGCCCTTTGGCCGACAGCGCCGGGGCGAGCTTAGTGGTGGCCCTGCAGAGGCATGTGCTTATGAGTAGCTATCTGCGGGTAATGTTCCTGAAGCAGATTGGGCGCTGCGCCGTTGGCCAAGTTCCTAACTCGGACAAAACGCCTCTGGTACTAGTGGAAGAACACTTCAAACCGCACTAGCAGCTGTTCTTTTACATCCACAGCTGTTCTTTCGCAAGTCGTCTTCTACAACTCGACTTCTATCTTCTCAGATGGAGATGAATCCAATTTATTATTACTCGCTTGCGTTTTTTTCTTTTCAAAAAATCGTTAACGTCATCTTCGTCAGACTAACGCTACTATATTCAAAACATCAAGCAAAGGGAAGCTAAATTCTCAGACCTATTTCTATTTTCAGTAGCGTAAATTGGAGGGATTGCCTTTCTTCTAATTCCAGATCGAATGAGAGAGCAGTTGTACTGAGAGGTAGATAAGAATATTCGCTGCATTTCGCAAAAAAAAAGTTCACGAAGATACTTGGAGGACAAGCATGCTTCAAAAGATTTACTTCAGGTTCAGGAACATCAGCGCCATACAAAAATACATGCGAGAATGCGCTGCAGGGCATGATCATAATTCGAAATCTTCATAACGTCAAAGTCAAAGGTAACGAACAACGAGCTCCGGCTTTTTACAAATGAGAGACCCGACCCTCCTGCATCGCGGAACCAATGACGGTTTGCACCGCGGTAGCTGCAGAAGAACCCAAGTGGTCTGATGTACTACCCCCGCTCGTTCCTGTGGGCGCCAGCCATTCGCGGCGGACGGGCCGCTCAACTGCTGTGGCAATTGAGTCTGCGCCCTCTCCTTCAGCTGTATTCGACGAGATGAAGTTGTCAACACCTGTTGCTCCTTCTTGCACAGTAGTTTGACTTACTTGCATTGCATCCTCGCCTGACGTCGCTGCCATGTTTCTTCCTTCTAGTCCTGATGAGGAGAACTCGCCTTGATTTTCTACTCCTGTATTCTCCCCTGTAAAAATTGGCGGGCTCGGCACGGGATCATCACCAGCCCCACCAACACCCCCGGGGATAGGTGGCTGGATTGCTGTTGGCTGTAGCGACGCAGCTGGCGAAGCAGTAGTAGAAACACCTGTCGGCTGCAAAATTGGGCGGGTCGTGCGTGTGGGTGGGAGCGGGGCGACAGCGAGGTGGTGGGGAGTTGTGGTACTAGGTGGCAAGAACGTTGTTCCGGCAACGGCCATTCTAGTATTTGTAGTTCCGCGGACCATTGGCCGCTGCTGCGTGAAACGGGAGGTCATCTGCTGGGGTTGTGCGTAAGGCGGGGCAAACCGCGGCGGCAGCTGGTGGTTCTGGGACGAGAGATAAGTCGCAGCGCCCACGTACTGTTGCTGCCTCGCATTCATCGGAGTTGTAGAGGTGCCAGAATTAGAAGCGAGATAGTTCTGGTGTTGCTGTTGCCCAATCCAGATCCTGGTTTGACCGCCTTGCTGTTGATGAACCAAAGGGGCCCGCGGCACGAAGGACCCAGCTTGTGGGGTCGAAGACACGACACTAGTAGGTCTACTCAACACGGGCTGTTGTCGCATCACAGCCACGGCCGGGGAAGAGGGCGACTGCGCCAGGTGGTGGTGCGCCTGCGCAGCCGTAGCCGCAGGTGGGGCAATTGAAATTGTTGTTCCAGACGTGTTCAAAAAGTCGGCGCTGGCAGAAGGGGATGTTGTACTTGTAGCGCCACGCGACAAATCTCGTTGTTGCAACACAGCCGGAGGAGCACCTTCGCCCGGTGTACCCGCTGGCGCGTCCAACTCCAATTGTGGTGCCTGCTGGGCGTTGAGCGGTGGGGTCGGGGGCAGAGAAATACTGTTTGTACACTCTCGTCCAGCTGCTTGGAGATGCAGGTGCTCCACGTCGACCTGCTCGTTCGAAGGAGTTGTCGTTCCACCAGCAGTTCCGGCGTTGCTCATGATTTCTGGCGTGGACGGGGCGGCGCTCGATAAACCCGTGTTGTCGCACGCCGTGGGGAGCCGCAGAAAAGGCACTTCGATCGGCGGCGTCCACTGTGGCCCGCCGGCGCGGCCAGTCTTGGAGGTGCCACGGGCCAGCTGCGGCTGCGGTTATGAAAGTTCTTGTGAGCACAACTCTGCCTGCTCCCCTTATTTTGGAAGGGCATGATAAGCAACTACACGGGCAACGGCAGCAATATAGTGGCTCCCGCATGACAAATCTGCATGCGGATTGTAGCAGAGGGCGAGGTTCCAAAATTTACCATGCAGTCGAGAATGCTCCCTGATCAGAGACAGGATGTGCTGCATGTGCATTAGCATTTGGTATGTTGCATGACAAAACAGGGGGACGGGAGTTGTGCACAATTCTCATAGCGGTTGCCACAGGACGACCGGGGGCGTGGTGGGGCGATTGATCTGCAAAGGTTTTTTTTGGTTCATCTTAATACCGTCTGCACTGTCTGACACAAAAAAAAACTAAGTACAATTTTCCAAAACTATATGTCAAAGCTGTTCCATCTGAGTCTAACCCATGTCAGGAGTACCGTGATCCGCACCGCTGGAGCAAGTTCGACCGCATGATTGGTTTCCCCCGAGCCCACCGTCGTAGCCGCAAGGGAGGGGGATGCTCCAGTATGCACAAGAAAAAGCTTCGATAGCACGATAGCACTCGCAGCTACACGACAGAATTCACGCGGCGAGAGAAATAACCTGGCGCTGGCCACTTTTATTCATTGAACAAGGCGAATGAAGTTCGCTGCTAGTTCCGTTGCAGGACTGCATTTTTCATTTGCGCTGCGGCTGGAAGATCTTCACGGTCCACCTTCGAGTGCAATCTACTAGCATCTTCTGTGTGTACTTCGCATACTGTGTTGCTGTACTGTCCATATCCGTGGCTGAAGCATCAGCACTGGGTGACTCCTCTAGATCATCGAGATCCACATCCATATGCATCTCTCGACCTAATTCTCCTCCCCCTTCGCTGGGCGCCGGCGACAAAAACGGGTTGTTGTTTCCCTCCCCGAAAAGGACGTCGCTACTGGGCTCTGAGATGGGCTCCGTACGGGGAGTCAGATTCATGATCATGTCATCTGCGCCGATTTTATTTCCAGGTGGAGCAGGATTTGTTGTTGTTGTTCTGCCCGCCGGCGGCGGCGCACTTGGCAGTCCTCCTGGTGGTGGGCTGGGTAGTTGTTCTACAACTTGCTGCAAGGATGTTGAAACGACAGCTGCTGGAGACAACTCCTCCTGGCTCATCATATCAGGTGCTGTAGATGAAGAGGAAGGTCCTGCACCAGCATGCGTGTCTACTTGTTTCGCTAGTAATTCGTTTCCTAACTGGACCAGTGGTCCAGCGACATTGTTGCTGAGAAATGCCTGAGCATCTTTCGTACCGGTTCGCTTATGCGAGGTTTTTTTGTTTCTCGGAAGATGATGTTGAGCGACCTCTTGACCCCCGCGTAGTGGCCCACCTACGCCGACACCAGCACTCGAAGCGCCATTGTTCGGGGTCGCAATTCTCGCCGCTGCACCCTGGTTGGTCAACAAGGGCAGGCATAACTGCTGTTGTAGGCTGGGTGCAGGGAAAGACGAAAATGTACCCGTGTTTGCTTGTGCGCCCTCAGGTTCCTCCACGCTTGCGGACCCAAAATTATTCGATCCCCTGAGCTCGCTACTCAACCCCCCAAGCGGCGTTGTGCAGTTGGTGGCCCGTTCCCAGGGCGCGTACCCGAGGGTAGAGAGTGATTTTTGCAGTTCCTCGTGGGTAGCCTCCGTGACGATGCGTGGCTCGTTGGTGCTGGAGGATGCGTCACCTTGCTCGGCTGACTGGGATTGAGATTCTGCCTCACCTGCGTAGTACAGCTCGTTGGCATTCCTGACCCCGTAGTTGGTCTCTACAGGTACGACTTCGATTTCCCCAGCACTATCGGCACCACCGCAACAGTCACACGGCGAACTCTCGTCGGAATTGGGTCGGGTTTGGAAATATCCTGTGCAAAAGTATCGCACTCGTACTAATTGCAGCCATGCATGACAGATCTATTTTGTAAGCGAAAACAGCATTACAAATCGCATTTTTGTTCTTGAGAAAATTTGTCATGCAGTTCATACTAGTACGATACTTTTGCACAGGATATGAAAGGGTCTAGTTGTACTTCGTCTGCTGGTACGGAGTCCGCTTCGCCGGAGGAAGTATGCGCGCCAGCAGCTGGGAGAAGGAAGGGGATCGCGGGATCATGTTCCTGATGATGTTCTTCTTGCACGCGGTCAGCCGGCGCAGGTGAGCAGTAGGCTGATCCGGAGCCGGGGCTGGAGGCCTGAGAAAATAATGTGGCAAGAACGCGATTTTTTGTCATGTATTTCTGTTAAACAGCTACAGAGATGCCAAAGTAGGACTGTTTGATAGATGCTAGGACGCTGAACAAGTACTACAACTAGAACGGTGGCGGTGCCTTGGTTCATTACAGAAAAGTAAAGATGGGATATTAAACAAGTACCTCTCTTACGCTGCACCTTTTCGCAAAAGCCGTCTGCAATCCGCATAAGCAGGAGCCACAACTTGCAGCAGAAGAAGTTGTCGCGCACCTAGTTCTTTGCCCGCTTGGTATTACAGCGGGAACAGGCTGAAAGGCAGCTGCTGCAACCGCGGAAAACGAAATACAGAACGACAGAAACACGTAGGCAAAAGGGAAGGTGGTAGCAACCATGATTTTTTTCAAACGGAGGCCGCGAGGGGAAGACATTTATTTATTATTATAATTATTTTGCTCTTCTTTATTATGGAGGCGCCAGCGCCTTCTTGCGATCAGGACTACCACCGAGCAAGCCGACGAGTACTCAAGTTGTAGTATCAGTTTACTTACTTTGACAGACCTGATCACACACTGACACTGCAGTTGTACTATGGAAATAAAACCATCCCGATCGATTCATCCACGAGAGAAGCCTTAGATCCGTTCCAAATTTGAAAACACGAGGTTCTACTACAGGTGTTAGAAGGCCAAAAGATCTAAAAGGATCTGCGGATGTTGATCTGTTGAAACTTGTATCCACACTGCTCATATAACCACGCAGTAAAGATCAACACGCTGCTTCAGCGACGCCTTCCAAACCCGGTCTTTTTACTGCGCCGTCAGCGAGGCGGTCTTCTATGAAGGCGCAGGAACAACGTTTAACAAATAGACCAGGGTAGGCTTCAACGCTGCAATAGTCCCTGATACCACTGAAAGAATGTATGTTGAGGTAGTCCACGACAAGCATCAACCTTCACTCTGTACAAATTTCGTTTCTCGAGAAGCCGTCGGCGTCGAAATTTTAATTTTACAATTGTTTCTACGAATCAAGTAGCACCGAGCGCAATACATAGAATGGCCACAAAAGTACATGATCATTGTGCTGCCTCCACGAGGCGATATCGATTCCGTGATTGATTCAATTTCAATTTCAAGTTGTGTACAATCACAATGTTGAGTATTTTACAATGAATAAATCGCTTTACGTCAAATTCATTCGCTCCTTTCATCTTCCTCACGAATAAAACTGCTGGTATTTTTAGCATTATGTGCCCTCCTCACTAGTAGGAGTGTCATTCTAGAAGTTAGGGTTTTGTTTTGTGAAAAAGCTACAAAAGTAAAAAAGTATGCTGGTTCGTGATCGTGATTCCATTTCTTCACTTTACCACGTACAACTTCTCTTGTTTCTAAAAACATCCTGCGACTTACTCCCTCGGGTCGTCCTGATCACCGAAAACAGTCCGTATCCACGCCGGTACCAGCCCCCCCTCCGATTCTCATCCCGTTGGAGTTTGCGTTTCTGACCAGTTCCGTCTGCGCACTTTCCGCAAACTTGTTTTTGTTACCATCCGTCAAGCCCTCGACCGGCAGTTGCAACTTATTCTGCAGTTTCGAGTAGTCTTTCACGACGGGCTTGTTCGGTACGGGACCACTGAGGGACAGATCGTCTTCCACTGGTGTAGTTGTACCAGAATCGTCCTGCTTACTACTCTCTACTTGTTCCGCATTTTGGTCGTCGTGCCGAAGACCTCCATGCTGTTCGTTGAAACGCATCAGCTCTTCTTCCGTCCGCCCCGCTTTCAGCCAGGCGTATTCCTGGACCGATCGGGTCCCGTACGCCATGCAATCAGAGGTGGCAAAGTAGAGACAAAACTTCGACTGGTTTTTATTCCCGGAAAGGTTGTTCTTCACGCCGATATGCATTGCAAAAGTATCGCACTCGTATAAATGCATTACAAATGTCCTCAGCATGAGAAATAAAATTTGTAATGCTGACCTACCTCAAGGAAAAGATTTGTGATGCATGATTGCAATACGAGTACGATACTTTTGCAGAGCATATCCGAAGGCATTCAGCAGCTCCTCACTCGGTTCAGCCAGTCCCGCCAGCGCCAACGGCCAGTTGATGCCGAATTTGGGAGCTTGCGCAAAGATCATCATCCCCGGGAACAAAACCATCAAGCCCCATTATCAGAATGAAAAATCCCCCCTCCCCACATCAAAACGGAAATCTGTGATGCTAAAACAACCGCACCGACATTGCCATTGCCATTGTCCATTATCGCTTACGGAAATCTGTGATGCGGGATTTGTGTACACAAATCCAATCTGTCTAGCAGTAGAGGACTGCAGGCAGATGCAGCGCCTGAGTAGGGGCGCTTTGCTGTAGGCGCCTAGCAAGGCAGGCATATCCTCTGTAGGCGATACAGCATTACAAAGTGCCTGCCAAACGCGGCTGATTCTCTGTCTTTGCCCTCTTGCAATACATGGACGATTTGTGGTCACAAATCAGCATTGCAAATTTTCAGTAGTGCCCCTTTTTGGTATGGGTAGGGTGGATTTTTCCTCACAATACCCACCACAGAATGAACATTATGGAGGCGAAAAGGTGGAAGCCCGTCCGGATTTTGAACACCGAATTAAAGGAAAAAGACGCGGACAGGACTATGCAGTGCAAAATTATCGTACTCGCAGTACTGCAACACAAATTCGCTTTAGCATGACAAATGGAATTTGTCATGCTGAGTTAGCTTGAAAAAGAAACTTGTCTTGCATGACTGCGATGCACGATGCTTTTACAAAGGATAAGGACGGACTTCGGCGGATTGTAGTCCGTTTCGATGCGCTCCGCTTTATAAATTGCAATTATTTCTGGGTCTGGAAAGAACTTGTGATGCTAGAGTATGGATAAGTCTGGCGCACTCAAGTGTAGCCACGCATGACAAGTTTACTTGACATCGTCTGAAGATGCGTAGCACGCATGACAAACTGCGTTCTTGCATGACGAAAAACTGGCGCCTTTGCTGGCTAAGCAATACAGATTTTTCAAGAGTGTAGAACATGCAACACAATTTGCGCTTTTCCAGACCCAGACATATTTCTTGCAGTGCATACGCTTCTTGGTGGTGCGATGATGAAGAAGTTCGACTTGCATTTTTATTTACCTCCACCACCCGAGCGGTGTATTCCCGTCTTCGGTGCGTATCCACTGCAAAAGTATCGCACTCGTTTGAATTGCAGGTATGCATGACAAATCTGGTTTCCTACCCAAATCTGCATTACAAATTCCAACTTTCTTCCTGATAAAATTTGTCATGCGATTTATACTAGTACGATACTTTTGCAATGCATAGTGCGGCTGGTACGGCGACTGGAGAAAAACGTCAAAGAACCACCGAAATTTTTTCGGGAAGACGTAGCGGGGTACCGGTTTTGGCAGGCCGCAGAGCTGGACATGATCTGCAGGAGCGCGACGTTCGCTGGTAGCGGTAGAAGCGGCTGCGCCACTCCAGTGTCCCGCCTGTAGTTGATGTTTTTCCTTCTCTGCTTCCGCGTGTAAAACCTGCTGGTGAAACTCATGCAACGTTTCCAAACGATCACTTGTTGGGTAGTAGTTTAACGCCGTACTATCGTGGTTGTCATCGGCTCCGCCTGTTATGCTGCTCATCACCCCCGTTATTCTCCCCCCCGCGCGCGCCGAGGAACTTCTACTGTTCCTCGTGTCACTGTTATCCACAGTAAATTTCCTGTACATGTGCACATGCGGTTTCTGCATGACAAGGCTTTCTTTTAATTCTGTTCAGCATGACAAGTGGCACGCTCGAAGTTGGTGAATAAATTTGTGATGCATTTTGTACATGTACAGCAAATTTGTATTGCATAACTGTAGGACAAATGCAACTCGTATTCCAGGTCACTCAAGGGGTTCATGCCCAGGGTAAACACCATAGTTTCGCAGGCCAGCGTCCAGATGGCGTACAGTCCCCAAACAAAGGCGAAGAAGATGAACAAGGAAAACGCCTTGAAGTTCATGCCCCCAACGCAATTCCCGATGAAAGGGCAGTGGTGGTCGAAGTGAAAGGTGCAATGTTGACAAATCCTGCAGTGGTGCACCTTCTGCGAGTGGAAATACGGCTTCCAGATGTGAGAGGACGGACAAAATTCGAAGTCAAAAGCGACCATGTGATCCACCTTCTTCGTATTCTCCGCCAGGGCGGCAGGAGAAATTTTATTTCCACTGGACGTCGTCGCGCCACTATTTTTATCCGCAAGTACTAACGGTATGCCCGTCATGTACTCTTTTTCGTAATTGGTCAACTCGTGTCTCCAGAACTCGTTCAGAATGGACCGGTACTTCTTCGGGTCGGAAAAGTACAACCCGTACTGTCCGATCACGCTGTCCCCGTTGGTTTTGTCCACGGCAAAATTCCCCTTGTTATCCTCTGCAAAAGTATCGTATAGTACCGTAGTAATTGCAGTATTGCTATTGCGTGACAAATCTAGGGCCTATAGGCAAACTCAGCATGAGAAATTCCATTTGTCATACTGAGCGAATTTGTAATGCGATTTCCGGGATAGTACGATACTTTTGTAATGCATACTTGTACCGAAAACTCTCTTTCTGAAACGGGTCGATGTTCCACGGGTAAGAGTGTTCCGGCTCGTAGCCCGGATTCCCGAAGCTGGCGGAAAAAATCGAAGCAAACAGCAGCGGCCAGAACAGGACAAAGCCAAAACAAATCCGTGCCGCACCGTGCAGGTGGAGGCAGTTGTGGAGGAGGTATTGTTTTTGCGACTTCGATGTAGCTCCTGCTGTACCGTTTTGCGAATTTCTGTTGTGATGCTGGAACCTGACTAGACCGATGCTGCGAAGCTGCTCTTCAGTCAATTCCGATCCGTCAACTCCAGTTCCATTCGAGAAGTCTCCTGCAGCGGCGCCCGCGTAGAAGTTGTTGTAGGTCTTATTTTGCTGGCTCGACGCTTGCACCGGCTCCCCAATGACGTAGCGATACCGCGAAGCAGATCTGCTTCCCATGGTCGAGGGCCCGCCGTAGTAGTTGTGTCCACTACTAGCGGCGTTTGATGTTGTTCCTACAGAAGTAGTTGCCTCGTCACTAGAAGGATTGCCGTAGTACTCCACCCGTTTATTTTCTCGGACCAAAATGGGCACGTGCTGGTCCATTTTTACTGTGTTGTCCGTTTCGCCATCATCATACAGATATGAACTGCAAAAGTAGTATCGTCCTAGTATAAATTGCATTACAAATTGACTTAGCATTACAAATTAAATTTGTAATGCAGATTTGCCTTAACAAAGAGATTTGTAATGCATAAACGCAAAAATTAGTACGAGTACGGTACTTTTGCACTGCATAACAGGTCAGCGATAGGGTCAACATCTTGCTCGTCTTCAGCAATTTCTTTACCCCCGAATATGCATTGCAAATATGTCTGGGTCTGGAAAAGTGCAACTTGTCATGCCAAATCTGAATCATACAAAAAGCTGTGTTGCATGATTGCCAATAAAGCTGTTCACTTTTGAGAAGGCCGAGAGGCTGTTTCTCATGCGGAAAAGGCATGGTAAAGATCTCACATAATCTGTGATGCTAGGGCATGCATCACAGACCTCACGCGTCATGCAACACGTGCATGACAAACGTTGCACTTTTCCAGACCCAGACATTTTTACAGTTGATACCGAAATAAGCACCAGAAGTTGTGAACAAGTTTTTCCTTCTCATTTCCCCGGCGCACTTTCGACAGCAAATCGAGTTCGCAGCTTTCTTCGATGTTCGAAACGCGAAGGCGTACAGGTCAAAGTCGACGAAATAGACGTCCAGCATGGCCTTGGTCCAGAACACCCAGGAAAAAATCGCAAACACGATGTAGTAGGACGGCAAAATACTTTGACTCGGTCCGTACACCAGCGGCCCGATCTGCAACGCCACGGTGAGGAACAGAATGTGGACGAAACCGCAGAACCCGAAGGCAAACGCGTTCGCGTAGATAAGCGCGGTGGGGTCTTGGTTCAGACTCGACATCGCGTTGGTGTTAAACCGGCCGTTGTCGTGGTTGTTCAAGAACGGAGCTTGACAACCCGCGCCGATCGCGTTCAGGCAGAGTGTGCGACAGCCGTTGCAGTAGTTGTGTTTCAACACGTCGTAAAAGGCGCGGGTGATGGTGTGAAAGTGAAAACTCAGAATGGTAAAAATGCTCACCAGCCCGGACCGCGGAGTCTGGTGGCCCGGAACTATCGGAGGCGGGGGTTTCGCGAAGAACATCATCGTCGTTGTTCCTGCTTTCGATGCTCCTGAAGACGCCACTGCAGTGGTAGAGCTGCTAGTTGCACTCGCATTGCCCATCATCACCAAGTGCGCCGGATTCCAGTTTGCGGGCAAGAAGTAAAACAGCGGGAAACAACAAATGCTGGAGCAGAGTAACTGCCGGGCAAGCTGTTCTTCCAGAATCAAGTCTGGATCCATGGAATAGGACTGAAAGTGCCCGGTGTAGGAAGTGATCATTTGATTCGCGTTTTGGTTCTCATTGTAATCTACTGTTCCTGCTCCAGCGAACTTCTGCGCAGAAGTAGGTGATGTCCACCTATTTGTAGAAGCTGTACCACTATGCATTGCAAAAGCATCGCGCTAGTATAAATCGCAATACAAATTTTCTCAGAAGGAGAAATGTAGTTTGTAATGCTGATTTGGCTACGAAACAGGATTTGTCATGCATGATTGCAATTAGTACGAGTGCGATACTTTTGCAGAGCATAACCACCGTAATTTGGCTGAAACGATTTCGCGTCGTCCACTTCCACCTGCCAAGATTCGTGGAGACTCGAAGGCTCGCTAGTACTTGCAGCGTCAACAGTAGAACTGAAAGCAGTAGAACTGAAACCATTATGTGGCTGCTGCTCCCCCTCTGCCTGGGGCGGTCGGCTCATTCCACTCGTGGATCTCGCTGTCCCTGTCGTTGTGTCCAGGGTCATTTTTTTTCCGATGTAGTTACAACTTTCGACGTCCTTCTCGCTACTTGAAGAGCTACTTGACGAGGAACTTGCCGCGGAAGAACTGTTTGCCGTGGTTGAAGATGATGTCGTAGAAGAGGTCCCTGCACCACCTCCACTTGTTCCTACCGCTGTTGAACTTTCTGTACTTCTTCTCTCCTGCTCGCCTTCCTCCCCACTAGAAGAGGAGACTAAAATCTGCGTTTTGTCACCGATCCGTCGGGCCGACAGTTTGATTTCCATCTTGACAGGAGACTTTAGATAGGGATGAAAAAGAAAACACTACAAGCACCAAAAACAAGGCGGACGTGAAACATTCATTGAGTGGATCATCTGGATCATTTGCAACGAGGATGTTGAACGGCAATAGGCCTATGCCATGACTCCTCTGGCATGATTTATCTACTTTGCCCAGAGATTCTGACCAAATCAACGGCTAATCGTTCTGGTTCTTTGCGATCATCAGATATATCGCTGCGAACTCTTTCTTAGCCGCAAGCGTCGCGACCACTTGTGAACGATAACCACGATTTTTCGAGTCCTTTTTTCCCGACCAGACGATTGCAGCAATGATGGAAAACAGACCGAAGAGCACCTAATCGACCAATGTACTTACAGCAACGTCGATCATGTTGTTGTGCGAAACGAATTCTCATCAAAGCCCCCGAAAGTAAAATACGACGAAAAAGATGTTATATATTCTTTCCGCGCCTTCTTGCTGACTACTTCTACTACTTCATACGCAAGAACTGTGCAACGCTGTGTTGATCTTCTTGGATGGAAGTCTTTTAATTTGCGAATTGCTCCGGATCATGATCTCCCGACGTCACTGTATAACTACTTGTTCGGATACGACCACCACCACGACAGACTACTTACAAGTACAACAGTGACAATGAATAGGCATCAAACACGGCACTTCTACACGAAGCAGGTCCTCAAGAAGAAAAAACTCCGCCTGGTTTCTTTCGCAATCGACTTGTAGTTGCCGATGGCATTTTTGCCAACGAAGAAGAGGAGTTAGCAGGAACTATTTCAGCACTATCCACCTGTATTCTTTGAAATGAAGGAAGTTGCTTCTCTGAATGCACTTGTTCCAGCACTTCTTTTTCGCGTTCTCGGAACTTCTCAAAATTTTCGATTAGCAGGGAAAGCGCAGAATTATCATTCTCTGAAAATGTTACTTTGTTATTTCCTTCGTTATCTGCGCCCGCCACTGTAGCTGCACTAGTTGTACTCACCATCGGTTCGGTGATGAAAAGCAACAGGCTCCAAAGCAGTCCATCGCTGGGAAAGTTGTCGTAGATGTACTCCGACCGGATGATTTTCGACATGTTATCCCCGTGGTCTCCTCTGTAATGCTTGTTGTAAATCTGGGACTGGAGTGATTTCAGGTTCCACACTGCCAAAGCATCGTCCTGCGTTTCATTATGAATTGCAAAAGTATCGTACTAGTATGAATTGCATTACAAATTGACTTAGCATTGCAAATTAAATTTGTCATGCGGATTTACCTTCAGAAAGAGAACTTGTGATGCATGATTGCAATTACTACGAGTACGATACTTTTGCACAGGATATTCATCGGTTTCCTGCAAAACCCTTGTCAAGGAGACGAACTCTATCCTGAGAAAAAAGTGTTACAGTTACACATTCTTATGGGAGACAAGCAAGACAGACAACCTCTGTCATGCAGGAAATGCTTGCCAGCGTCATTTCATTCGTGTTTTAGTTTTCCCTTAGAGTCTGCGCATTACAAGTTTTCTTTGCCGTGCAGAGCAAATTTGTGATGCTGAAATTCCAACAGATGTGTAACTGTAACACTTTTTTCTCGTGATAAACTCGAGTTCTCGCATAGTAGTTTTTCCTGTCCTGCTCCCGGTCGTGAGCACAAGATTCTTGTCAAATTGCATCACAAATTCTTGCAGCCGCTTCAGTTCGGCGGTTTCGACGAGGTATTTTCCATTGCTGTCAGAAGTGTCTGTCTGCTTGTTGTTCCCCTTTCTCTTCAATAGCTTCAGCCGCAATAAAGCGTCGGTGAGAGCGAGGAACCGCTGGTAGTCTTCGATTCGAGACAAGCTCGAAAATGGTTTCAAAAGCGTTTTTGTTGTTCCTCCCCGTGGTTCTACTTGTTCTTCGTGATTTGTCATTCTACTGTTGCTTCGTACAACTTCCAACTCCCCCTTGAAGACGGACCTTTGTTCTGCTGCTGTCCCGCTTCCAGAATTGATTTTCGAAAAAATTCTCGGCACGATGGCGGTTGTCACCTCTCTGAACGCTGAGAACGTGTCCCGTTTCCACTTGCTCTCGGCGGCTTGCGAAGAATCGTCCGTGGTCGTGTGCAGATCCGACTCGTTCTGCTGGTGTTCGTCTTGCACATTCTCGCTATACAGCTTCCCACTCTCGCAATCCATCCGCACCACCCATTTCAAAGCTCTTAAACTAGGCTTTTCGTTCTGGAAGTAAACAAAACTGGAAAGCAGCAGCAGGAGGTTGAGCGACAAAGCGATAGCAGTAGCAGGGGGCGACGTACTTGAACTTGTCTTTTGTTCGTTAGTATGTTTCCCAGTAGAAGTTTTTACAGATGTTGCCAATATTACCCTTGTTAAAAGTTCCTGGATCGCGAGGCCAGAGAAGACTCCGCAGGGCAGCCCGACCGGAATTAATAAGTAGCTGTACAAATCGGCCACGATCGCCGTGTCGCCGTTGTTGGGGAAGATGAAGTGACGCAGTTCGGGTTGCAGAAAGAGCTCCAGGAATTTCGGATAGAGTAAAAACGCGGAACTCGCGGTTAGCCCACCCACTGCAGCGCCGAGGAAAGGGTTTGTGTTTGCCTGAGAAACTGTGCCTGCATTTGTCATTTTCTGTTCGGGCATAAAATTTCGAAGCAGAGAGGACCTGCTGGTGGCTCTGTCCAAGAAGTTCTTTAGTCCTATCGGCAGAGAAGTATTAGAACTTCCTCCTCCGAACAGCTTCGACTCCGCGAGCAGCAGGTACCAAACACCGCTCGTGACCCCGTTCGCCAGTGCGATCGGCAAAAAAAGGTCTCCGTGGTGGCACACAAACGGCACAAAGTGCTTCACCAGAACACTGTACGCGCCGAAGCAACCGAAGAGCCCCGCGGAGAACTTGAGCAAATTCCCGAAAAACGTCGTGGGAAGGTACCTCGACCAAGTGATCCCGGCGCCGACGAAGATGAACAGGGGCGTGAAGAGGGCTGTACTGGTGGAGACTAGCAAGGTTCGGTGGAGAAGAGAGGGTGGTGGCGGGGGCGGTGGTGCGGCTGGTTCCTGGTCATGATCATGATGATCCACTCTTGGTTTTTTGTTGTCATTCGGATTCGTCCCCCCGGTTGCATACGTTCTCCGTGTCGTGTTAAAAAATGTGGCCGGAGGACGTGCGGACGAGCGATTGATGTTTTTGTAGTTCGCCGTCATGACAATTCTACTTCGCAAGGCCCGGCGTTGTGAACAAAAACGTCGAAGGTCGCGAGGAATTCTGGAGCCGCAGCTCGTAGCTCTGAATACAACCGAAAGTCGTGTGCCGGTCATATTCGTCGGAAAAGCAAATCCACCATGTCGCACCGTAAAAGGGGGCACCAGCTCGAGCTGCATCGCCGAACAACACTGCAGCCGGTGAGGGCCAGCTCCTCTGGTGAATACTGGATTTTTAGGTCCGGTGGATAGCAAACGCATTTTATTGTACTTAATCTTAATCCTTTACTGGCAAACAAAGCCTCGACAAAAAACAATGGGAAAAACAGAACATGGCACAGGCAACAAACAAGCTGCACTGTAGGTAAAGAGATGCGACTGCGAAGTCTTCAACGAAGGTGTTGCGCTGTCTAATTGCTTCGGCGCGCGCAATGAACTGTCTCGCCAATGACCAAAAGCACGCTTCCTTCTTCATCTTCATACAATGACGAAACACAAAAACGAAATAGCTACCCAAAAGAAGATCGATAGGCGGCGACGGTTCGATAAATGCCATCGGCGTTAACAAAAGCTTCAGACGCTGAATTAAAGAACATCAGAAGGGCCCCGGCAGTCCCCTTGGTCACTGACTCATGGTCTATCTTGAACCCACCCTCACACATGTGCCACAGCTAACAGAATAAACAGCCAGGAGGAATAGGGGCCGCGCTCTGGATGCGCGCCAGCCCCGCCTCCGCGAGACAGGTCGCGCGCCTGGCTCCGCCCGGGTGGTGGTGCAGCAACGCTAATACCGAAGCCAAGCAACGACTCCTTCCTTCGCCGGCCCGGGCGGCTACCCTGTCGCCCGCCTCGGGCCGGAGCGCGGCCGGGGCCCATTGCCGCCCTGCGCCGGATATACCTCGGGCGCGTCACACCGGAATAAGAGCGCACACAGGGGCGGGCGGACACAAAGGGCGAGCGCGCCCGCCTGCGAGATGGGAGGGGCCCAAGCCCCGGGCCGGGCCCACATTTGCAAGGTTGGGCGCTGCGGCCGGCCCGGCGGCCGGCCCGGCCCGCTTGCGATGCATGGCAAGGGAAGGCCTGAAGCCACGGCGCGACCCGCTTGCCGGCATGCTGTCCAGAAATGCTCCGCCGGGGTGCACGCCGCCCCACCTCCCATTTCTTTTTCCGCCCCGCTTTCTGGGCCGAGGGGCCCGGCTGCGGCGCGCCGTTCTTCCTTGTTCGCGCCTGCTGGCACAGACCGACGGATACAAACACACAATATCGCCGGCGGCTGGGCGGGGCAGGCCCCGGGGACAAATCCCCAGAGAGGGCGAAAAGGGTGGGGCCGGGGTGGGTCGGCTGCAAGCTGAGCCAGGTCGCCACTGTTTTGACTGCGCACTGGCATAGCTAACGGCCGCCATAGCACAGGCATGGCCCGCGATGAAAACCAGGCAGCCAGCCCAGGCGTAATGCTCCAGGTCTTTCAGCGAGACGCAAGCCCTTTCCATGCGGACTACAAAATATATCATATCTGCCCGAAGGCAGTCCGTCGCAAGGGGTATCCTGGCTACCCGGCCATGGCATTTCCGCCCCGGTAGCGTAATGGTGTGCCGGCCGTGAAGGGCTGGAACGAAGAGTCCCACCCGGAGGCGCATGCTTGCGCCCCCCCCCCCAAAGCCCGCGCCCCGCCCCCCTACGCCTTCGCGCCCCAGACGCTGGCGGCGCCTCCGGCTGCGGTCGCGCGGCCGGCTGTCATCCTGGGGCGGTCGCGCGCCATTTCGGCGCTTCACCGGGGGCCGACCGCGAACGCGCCCGAAGCGGCAGGCGGCGCCGCGGGCCGGGCGGCCACACTAGAAGCGGCCAAAACAGCGCCACCACCGCCAGGCGACTCAGCTCCGCGCGCGCGGCGGCGCGCGTGGCGCGTACGCGCTCGGCCGGGGTGCTGGCGCTGCCAGCTTCTTGCCCACTTTGCTCCTGCGCCCGGCCGGCGGGCCCCGCTTCCGGCCTCTGGACGGCTGCCGGGAACGCCTTGCGTTCCCGCCCAACCGGAAGGGTTTCTAGGCTAGAGCCCAACAATGCGGATGACCGCCCCGCAACATACCGCCGCGGGTCGTCTTAGTTCGCCTCTGGGCTGGACTGAACGCGCCGCAGCTCATCCACCAGAGCTGCCTCGCGCGGCGTTTACTTTCTGGCGCCGCCTTCTCTTTGGGGAGAATGTGCACGGGGACCCTGCGCATTTCGCGCGGCGCGCGCGCCCCTTTGGCCCCGCACGACTCTCCCCGCCCGCGAGAAGGGCGGGAGGTCCTACGCCTGCAGCTCAGCACGTGGCTCCACACCTGGCGCGCGGCGCTCCTGTGCTATCAGGCGGCAAGAAGAGGGAGACGTTGCGCCACTCCGTTGCTGTACTTCTACTTGCCTCGATGAGATAAGACACAACACGACGCAAAGGATAATGAACACCATGCCACAAGAACCCTGCTTCATCCAACAAGATTTGCTGAAGCCTCGTGGTACTGACTCAACACACAGCACTCCACGATGCTGTTCTTCTGTCAGGTATTTCACATTTGCTTTGTATCGAAACCTTGTTGAAATTTTTTTCAAAAGCACAACTCGAAAAATTTTCTCCATCGCCACCCTCGTGCCACATGAACAACGAGGGCTTCCTCCTGGGGCGAACTAAAGTGAAGATGAAGATTTCCTCTTAAGAAACGTGTACTAGTTGTGAATTATTTTCTGATCTATCGTGCAGTCGTGTCAGAAGTCCTGCAACTACTGCGGCGCAGTAGTACCAGTAGTAAGTCCTCCACCTTGGGCAGCGGGCATACATAGGTCTTGTTCTTAAATAAAAGGTGCTATTCATTGTGCGACTTCGACGTTTGTCGTGTGGCCCTTCTTATTGAAACCTCCAGAAGATGATTACTACGGCCTCGCACTTCAAAAGATCGAGGTTCCCTTGCCTGTTCTAGCACTACAGACAAAATAAGTCCTTCCCCAGTTGCAGTCGTGGTGTGAGGATCGCAGCACACCACGACGACCCGCGTGGCATTTACTCTTACAGACTAAAAAACAGTGCATAAGAATTGGCTCTGCAGCACACGACACAAGCTGCATAGTATGCCCGTCTTGTGAAAAATTGTTCTTGCGAAAAAGTTGTGTACAAAAAAATTTGAGTTTCCTTGCTACTCAAATCTGAAGCTCAAAAATTCGTGGTTCTAGTTCTACAAAGAAAATTGATATTTCTTGTTGAAAAATTCAAATTTCCGAAGCACACGGCACGCACGTTGATGAGTTAAAAACTATCATCTTCGTGCGCGAACGAAGATTATTTGTTAAAGGCTCTGTACATCTACAGTATTAATAAATGGTCGTAGGTTTCTATCGTATAGGTACTGTAGCTTTCTTTTCGACAGCTTGTTATTAAAAGACAGGTTTACTATTGTACGTAAAATTCATCTTCGACGCTCCCGAACCCGAAGCGGATGATGATGCTGAGTAGAGTGCAGTAGCTCTTCTTGTTTCTGCTACCCTTCTGTTGACCAGCTGCGGTCCACTTCGAGTTACTGAAATACACTTCTCTGGGGCCCTTGCTTGCGAGGACAACTATTTTGACAAGATCAGCGAAAATAGGATGAGTTTTGAAGTTGAGGACATCACACGTCGAAACTTTAGTCAATCTTAATACTGTTTACTCTTTTTACCTTGCTATAACTGAAATTAAGGCTACAAAAACTAGTGCAGGTGAACGGTTTCAATGTCCGAACGATTTTATTGATGATCTCCAATTATTTTTCAGATGAGAACTAATCTAATATTCTGACAACAAGAACCGGCCCAAGGCACTATTTCGCCTTCGCGCCCTTTTTCATCACGCCCATTGCCATCGACTTCTTCTCGGTTTTGTGGACGGACATCTTCTCGCTCTTCGAGGACATAACGCGGGACTCACCGATTTCGTATTTGCGGTATTTCGGGTCGTCCAGATTGATTGCGCCCCAGCCCGCGGCCGGCTTCATCTTGGACTGCTTGACCACCTGGAATTTGTATTGCATGAAATGCATTCAAAAGCCAGCTTGGGAAAAAAAAAAATTCTCAAATTCATGCACAATATAAATACCCATTGCAGAACATCAACATTATACCTGCACTTCCTCGCGCTTGGACTTGGCGACTGGCGGCTCGGTCATGAGATCCTTAATCCTGACGCCCTTCTTCAAAAAAGTCGGATTCGCCGGGGTCCACACATCACATCTGGTTTGTTGGTGCAAGAAAATTGTCGTTTTCAGTTGTCATGCAGCACAAACAGAAACACAATGTCGTGCAGACAAACACATCATCGTCATACATTCAAATCAGGATTTATACCGCGTCAGCCCTCTCTCCTCAAAAAAGCCCTGCGTTTCCTTCTCTGATCCTTCGTATGATGAGGAAATAAAGTGTTGCACGACAAAATATTCATGCACATTTTTCTTGAGCTTGCTATTCGACGAGATTGCCTAGCGTGGGGCAGACTGACTATGTAGCATGAGAAAACAACTCTTGTTCACTGCCTGTTTCTTGCAAATCAAATACCGCATGCCAAATTCTGAAGCAGCACGAAGTAGAAAAACAAGCGCTGATGTCGTCGTCGTGCAAGATTTATTTCCTTTCCATACAGCGTACATCATGTTCAGCTGCCCTCCCTTCGGGACCGGTGCAACGGTTTTGAACATCATGCTCGCATATTTCTCCTTTCGCTGCGATTTCGGGACGTTTTTCTTCTTGAACGGTTCCATGTGGACGTAGGGGTTCGCAAAATTGATCGAGATTTTCTCGTGCGGCCCGGGGCACTGGGAAAACTGCAAGACAGATCCGGGGTGCTTCACCGGGTTGATGTTCCAGTTGTCATGCGTTTCAAAACCCCACTCGTCGTCTTGCTGTTTTTGTTTTAAGTATTTATTTTAACGCGTCAATGGCATTAAAAAGATCGAAATAGGAAGCCTAAAGAACATGCTAAATCCTAAAACCCTAACTACGTCAGGGTCAGCCGCGGAACCGGGCTACGGCTACATTAAAAACGCAGTTTCGCATGACAAACCGCAGAATCATTCATTGCAGAAAAAAAATCAACATTACCTCGCTCATCTCGTTTTCTGCCTGCACGTCACCCCACAAAGCCATAACGTAGTCCTTCGGCAAATCTCGGTTGCATACTAACTGTTTTCCTGTGATTGTTTCAATTTTTGGATTTTTTTTTCAATTTCAAACAATTTCATCATTATTCTGCATGACAAACGTCTACACTCACTCGATTTTCGCTATGGCTTCGGCATGAGGAAGAGAATCGAATGCATCAATCTGAATACAGCACCGAAGCACAAAATATACCGAATTTTGGGTGCGGGATGGCGGACAAGCTTGGATCTCCCTTATCGCAGCATTTTTTGCAGTAGGCCAAGTACTTGGCATGCCTCTTGTCCATGCAGGGTGTGTATCAAATGCAAATATGTCTGGGTCGGGAGATTGCGAGACTTGTCATGCTAGTCTGGCATGACTCTGTACTCTGTATTGCGTGGCCACCAAGAGGTCCTCTTGCCGGTCATGCAAAAGCGCAGTTTCTCATGCGAAATACGCATCACAGAAGCACGAAAAAACTTGTCATGCTTGGCGGCGCATTACAGAGCACTTATTGTTCACGGATTTGCATCACAAGTTTCCAGACCCAGAGGACATATTTGCAATGCATAGTGTGCCATCCAGGTAGGTTCCGATGCACAGCCCCGACGCCCACGAGTTTTGCCCGGACTTGTACGGCTTCGCTAGAACCTTCTCCGAGTAAGCTTCCGGCATCTTGCTAGATTTTTTTCCTCCTAATGAAGTACTTCTAGCCCGTTTTTCTCTTTGTTGATCTCCTTTCTGACTAGAGGACGTTGTTTTCTTGTTTTTCCCACCTGAAGATGCTCTTGTGCTTGGACTATCTGCTACGCCCCCCGGGAGGGAAGCACTAGTTTCTTGGGAGCTTTTTCTTCTACTGCTCGGGGCTGTAGTACTAGCGCTAGAATACGATCTCTTAGAGGTAGGAGACGAGGAGGACTTTTTCCTTTTACCTTTACTTGAGCTAGGTGTGCTCCTACTTCTAGAAGCTTGTTTTTGTCTTGTAGCCGGGGAGTGGTTGTGCTTTTTTTTGAGGCCGTAGTCCGTAGTGGTTGTGCTTTTTTTTGAGGAGGTTTTCTTTATGCTAAAAAAACGTCTTTGTGACGTACACGACAAGAACGGGTGCAGCTCTACATCCACTGGGTAACTATCGCTCAAAATAAAACATTGAAGTGACAATGAATGTTGTGAAGAAGAAGAACTCGTTAGGGAAGCAGATGGTAAAGGATTCGTAAAAAATACGGTATTGCTTCGTGTTTGTCTACTAGATAGCCGAATATCTTGGCCCGTATGGATACTATGCCACCTACTGAGACTACTACTAAAACTGCGGTAAAATAAATTCACTGCTGCTGAACAACCTCCTTCACTATGACTACTGTGAGGTGTTGACAACTCTGATGACTGTGGCAGTAGCATTCGTGACGGCGGTCCTCGATGTGCACCTCCTAAAATTAAACCGTGAAAACTTCTATCAACATGTGTGGCCGCAGGTGTTGCTCTGCTCGTGGTGACACGCTTACACACATGCAAGGAACTTCTTTGTCTACTAGTACCGCTTTGGATAAAGCGCGAAAACGCGCTGGTGACACCAGCCAGCATAGCTTTGGCAGTATCGGTTGCGGGGTAAATCCAACCACAAAAGTAGTTGTAGGCCGTCGAAGATCCAAGTTTGCTGTTAGTTTTATCTTAAAAACTCACTCACGCTCCTCTCAGGGGGGATGAAGTCTAGGCGAAATTGTCCAAAATCCGGGGAGGCTCCTAGGGATGTGAAGTCCCTGCGGTCTTACTGATATTTTCAACACATTTTGCAACTTTTGTCGCACGAAGCACTGCTTCTTTCGAGCTGTTCTTTTCTTTTCGTTTCATCTGCGCGACTGACAACAAGAAGGCAGTGTTTTTCTGGTACGAAACTACATTTCGTTGCAAATCGGAACGAGCAATTGCACAGACATGGACGAATCGGAACGAGCGAACTGCACGGAAACATCAAAAATGGACGAACTCGAACTACCAGGCACAAGATAGAAGGACGCTACGGCATTATAATTTTTACTTACTGCTACAACTTCTTGCAACATCGCTCTATTGCGTTCTTAATACGATGAACAAAACTAAAAAGGATCATTATTTTAGCGCAAATGCTGCGCAGCTCCACCACGACGCACCGTGATAAAGCCCAGAAGGGGCCGTCGCACATGCTGAAAGTACTACTACTTCGGAATACATTCACATTCAGGACAACTGCGGTTCCTAATGGGACTAAAGTGTTGGACAACTCAACAGCACTAGCATGATCAACATGGATGCGCAAATAAAACGGCAAGTAATTCTTGATCGTCCGTCATCAATCAGAGTCACACTTTAAATTCCTATCTGACAGCAGTCATGGACAACAAAGCCGCAGCCCCCACCTGCTGTAAAACTTTCTCGCCTCTAGTCGTCCTCCAACAGGCTTCTCAGCTTATGAACTGCAAAAGTATCGTACTAGTAGTAATTGCAACTCAGCATTACAAATGAAATTTGTCATGCTGTTTTGCCTTGGGGTGAAGATTTGTAATGCATGACTGCGATTACTACGAGTACGATACTGTTGCACAGGATACAGCTCCGCCATCGTCAATTTCAGTGCGTTCCCGTCATTACCCGCCCTATTCCCCCCGCCAATCACTCCCTGAATCAGTTGCCGCTTCTTTTCCTGCAGAGCCAGAATCCGTTCGTCGATGCTTTTCTTGATAACGAATTTTACACAGTAAACCTCCTCAAGTTGCCCGATCCGGTGGATTATCAAATGCAAATATATCTGGGTCTGGAAGAGTTTGAGTTTGTCATGCTAGGTCTGATCGACGCAAAAATCTGTATTGCATGTTGGCCAATTCGGTTTACGAGAAGACAACATTTCTCATGCAGAAAAGGCATTTTTGCGGAGCCTTCGCAATAAAACTTGTGATGCTACCACTCGCATTCCAGACGTAGTTCTGGGCCATGCAAAATATGCATGACAAATCTTGCATTCTTCAAGACCCAAACATATTTGCACTGGATATGGATTCTCTGAAACGCCTGCTCCTCCACTGCCGGATTCCACCACAAATCCAACAAGTACGCTCTTGTCGCCGACACAAGATTTAACCCCACTCCGCCGGCCTTCAGGCTGATCAACAACACCTTCCCCGGCGGGGGGCTCGAGCTCGCGGAATAACTTGGCGCTGCCTGGAGCCAATCCACGCAGTCTTGCCTTTGGTGGATCGACAGAGAGCCGTCCAACGTGCGGACCTGGTTCGACGTCAGCTGTTTGGACCCCTCGGGGAGGAGGAAGTAGCTTTCCAAAAGCGACAGAAAACACGTCCACTGGGAAAAAACGAGAATTTTCCGGTTTTCAATTTGGACGTCGTGCTTGATTTTCTCCGCGAGCAGCTTCATCTTCGCACTCGGGTACTGGATCGCTTTGCGATGTTGCTGCAGCAACACGGAAGAGGTCGGTTTCCGTGCTGGGGCGGCGGGTTTGGAGGTAGCCTTGTAACTGCCGGTTGATGATGTACTAGTCGGGACGAGTCCTGCTGCCTTGTTTTTACTGCCCACTGTGGACGACGCTGCTTGCTTGTTCGCCGCATTATTTGCCGCATTCTGGCTGGTTTGCATCATGGAAAGTAAACTTAACTGTTTTGGAGCCGCTCCAGTCGAATTGTTTGTTTTATTCCTCGTCCTGCGTTGCTTTGCTGCAGCTTTTGGGAACTTGTTGGACGCGGTGGCTGCGGTTGGATTTGGCTGTATCATTTGATGCTCGTCGTCAGTCTTCTGGTTCGAAGTTTCTGGCATCACAATCTCCACCTTGCAAGCCACACATTTCACCGCGAGTAGCCCGCTGTCTTTTGCTTCTTCAACAAGCAAATGCAGACACTCCGCGCAGTAAACGTGTTGACAGGGCTGCACCACTTTCGGATCTTCCGCCATCTCGCCACACGAGGCACACACTTCGGAAATTTGGTTCCCTAGTTGTTCCTTGTCGTCTTGCTGTTCTATCGGCGCGTCCTGTATCAAAATAAAAAATCCCCCCACCCCATACTCAAACTAGAAATTTGTGATGCAGATTTGGGGTCACAAATCAGCTTTGTTATGCTAGAAGGGACAAGATGCGGACTGTAGCGCTGGTTGGCGTGGGAAAGCTTTGCGTCTTCAGCATGACATGGGGCAGCTGGAAGTGGGAAACAGGATGACAAATTGCCTGCAAACGAGGCCACAGCTGCGTCTCTTGGCCTTCTAGCATTACAAGTCGATTTGTGTACTCAAATACAGCATCACAGGTTTCGTTTTCGATATGGGGAGGGGGGATTTTTCCTTTTGATATCCTGCATAGCAAGTTCTATCTCGCTGGAACACTCCGCACCGCTCATTTTGCTTGTCTCTGCTGCAGCTCCTTGTTCGCCGTGCGTCAAATAATACTTCAAAACTGGTTCCCACTCCCTTTCCTGCAACGCGAGACTGCAATGCGCCAAACACATGCGGAGTTTTAACACCAAAGCAAGGATGCTGGTGAAGTAACTGCCCTTATTCTGCTGCGGCTGGTTCGGTCCTTTATTTGCATCTTCCGTGTTATGCATTGCAAATATGCCTGGGTCTGGAGGACAGTGCAAACTTCTGATGCGCATTTCGGAACACATAAAAATCTCTCATGCATAGGTAGCAAAAGTTGCTCACTTTCTGTCACCAAAGTGGGGCATTTGTCATGCGGCTTCGGCATTGCGGAAGCTTCTCGAAACCTGTGATGCTAGAGATTCCATGCCAGACCTTCTGCGTCATGCAAAAGCAGCATGACGCTTCCAGAGTCAGACAACATTTTTGCAGTTCATACGTGTGCGTTTGCAGCAAGACGTCCATCTTCCGCTTCGAAGCTTGAAACAGCCGGTCGTAAACCTTATGGATTGCAAAAATGTCTGGGTCTGGAAGCTTTCCAGGTAGTTTGTCATGCATATTTTGCACGACTCAGGATGTCTGTAATGCATGATCTAGCATCACATATTTTTAGAGGCCGTCCTGATGCCTATCCCGCATGACAAATGCCCTCCCCGCGTAGCACAAACTGGGCTCCTCTTGCTGGTCATGCAATACAGATTTTTTTAGCATCCAAAGTTAGCATGAGAAGTTGCAACCTTCCAGACCCAGACATTTTTGCAATCCATAAACCTTCCGCTCCGCGTATTCTAACTCGGCGTAGAGGACCACTTCGTGCCTCTTTGGAAGAGTGATGAGGTTTCTGTACACGATTTCGTGCGTTTTTACATTTCCTGCTTGTGCACCAGAAGATTTACTTTCTCCGGCCGCGACGTTTTTGACAGGAACTTTCTGCGCCGACTTGGTTTCTTTCGTCCGGCGGAGCACTATGGGTTTGCAGATCATTTTGATCAGCTCCAGAACCCTCTTCACCTGCTCACTGTTCTGGTTTTCAACCGTCCCCGTGCTCTGCCACGAGGACTCGGCCGCGGCGACCGCTGAAGTACTGCTGTTCGCACTTGATGTTCTGCCAAACAATGGGTCGGAGACCAATTTCCGCCAGACGTGTTGCACGCAGAACGGCTCCAGCTCCAGAAAACGGAGCTGCGGGTACAATTCCTCCACGGAATTTTGCATCGGCGTACCGGACACGCACCACTTGTAATCAGCTTTCAACAGTGCGATCTTCTTCGATAATTTGGTGTGTTTTCCCTTGATGCACTGTGCTTCATCGAGGATGATGCGGCGGAAAGTCGAAGTAGTGGAAGCTACTAGTGCATTTGTGCTGTTGTTTGTCGTGTTAGAACCCCCAGCTCCCTGCTGGACGACGAGGTTGTGTTGCGGGAGACTATGCTGTTGAAACAGCGGGCTGGTCCTGACATCTTCAACATTCACGACGCCGTAGGTCGTGAAAACAATGTCGTAATTGGAAAAATGCTGGCCTTTGCGGTCTGACCCGTAGTATTCCAGGTACCTGATCTTGTTAGTAGTTGCTGTCCCGGTCGTGCCCTTGGTGTTCGTGGAGGGTTTACTGCTGCTGTCGCTGTATCGCAAGAAAAAACTGTTTACAGTAGTTCTAAATTCACATTTTCTGCAAGAACTGCAGCAACACAAACTTCCTCTGCATCTTCAAAGGCGGGAAGATGATAGATATAAACTTGCAATGCATAGATTATCAGGGAAAGCGCGTAAATATGCTTGCAAGCACTCTCGGCATGACTGAGGGTGTCTGTTGTCTTGCTCGTCCTGCAACAGCACCATGCGATGTCCCTGTAAACTAGGAGTTTTTTCTTGGGATATGTTGTGCAAAAACCTGTCCATTTCCCGAATCCACTGGCCCATCAGCGAAAGAGGCGTGACCACCAAAGTCGGCCCGAGCTTGGGTCTGCTATTGCTTAACTGCATCAGGGTATTTGTCATGCGGGTTGCGGCATCATTTTCATGCTGCTGCATTTTATTTCCGATTCGCTGCTTCGCCTGCCAAAGTCTTTGGTCAAAATCCGTGGCGAGAAGTCCGAGCATCTGGTATCCTATGTAAAAGCGTCCCGACGCCGTAGTTGTCATGCACATTTGCATGGTTAAAATGTTTCTCATGCGGAGCCCTATCAGAAGCGTTTTCTGTTCGTGTTCTGGTATTTGTGATGCCTGAATCGGCATGATCTGCTAGGTCTGTGATGCTGCTGGATCTAGCTACATAGGATTACTACACTACGAGGCCAAACTTGTCATGCGCAACAGCCAAAGCTGGTTGATTTGTCTAGCAGAATTCCCATCTTGAGTATGGGGTCGTGGGGACGTTTTTACGTAGGATATCTGGATCGTTTTTCCCAACCCCATCTCATCCGCCAGGATCCCGCCCCGACAGTATGAATTGCAAAAGCACCGTACTAGTAGAAATCGCATTACAAATTTGGTCAGCATGACAAATGGAATTTGACATGCTGTTTTACCTTGGGATGGAGATTTGTAGTGCATGGCTGCGATTACTACGAGTACGATACTTTTGCAGTGCATAGACAGCTGGTTTCGTTGATATCGGGAAAAGTGACGCGCAGCTCCCCCGTGCCAGGCTGAAAATACAGGCGGTCGAAAGTTGTATTCTGTTGGCTGGTAGTTGCGGATGAACTTACAACTGTGGTACTTCCTGCCGCTGCGGTACCAGTAGCAGACGTCGTCCCTTGTTCTACTCTCGTCGCAGACTGATTACCACTAGTAGTCCCGACCCTCAACTTACTGGCACCATGGTACACATTAACCGCAGCAGAAACTGCAGCAGCTCCTCCGGCAACTACTGCAGTTGTACTTTTATCTGGAATAACCGCATGCGGCGCGTTTTGCTTCAGGTACTGATTTAGCGTGAAATTATACTGGTGCTTGATAATCCGGTACTCCGACCAGAGGGGATTCAAAACCGGCTTGCTTGTAGTTGTACTGCTACTGCTGCTGCTCGTCGCGAGGCGGACGTCTTCTTCTGCATTTTCTTCGGGCTTAGGATCCTTTACATCGTCCTCGTGCACTAGTGGTGCTTCTTCCAGTACCTGCTCCACCTGGTTCTCTTTCGCTTGGCTTCCATCAGCGTCGACCCCTGCGGTGTTCAGAGCTGCCAGAACCGGGTGATGATCTACCATTTCTTCCCCAGTCGTAGTTCCATGTACGGCAGCAGCCGCAGCAGCAGAAAATCCCTCCTCCAGCGCTTCTACTTTGTTGGAAGATGATGTCACAGGAACAACCGCGGCCGTCGGTTCGTCGGCAACGGCCTCCTCCTCCGAGTCCGAAATCAAATCAATCACGACTTCGGGCTGCTTGATGTTCTTGCTCTGGGTAGAAGTTGTTTGCTGTTTCTTGTTGCCGTCTAGTACTTTCGACAGAGCTGATGTCGCTGTTGTTTTTTCTCCTGATCGTGCTGTTGTAGTTCTTTTTTTGCTACCACTCGTTGATGATGTTCCAGCAGCGGCGCCGCCCACGCTTGTTCTTTTCCTCTTCCTGCCGTCCTCTTTCGGCGACGTGATCCTAGTTGCAAATTCGGAAAGGTCTCTACTATTCGCTGCACTCGGAGCTGCTCCTCCGCCTGGGCGGCCACGACTAGGCTGCGCAGCTGCACTCGCTGTGTCCAGTTGCAGTGGCACTTCTCTGGTGAAAATGACAGCATTCATTTTCCTCGGGTTTTTTCCTCCATCTTCCCCTCCAAAGTTTTCACACATCCCTTTCCACTTGTTCCCGATGTTCCCGCACTATTACAGTGAAAAACGCGCCCCACCACCCCTGAAATCGCAAAAATTTGTGATGCGAAGTTTCCAAATGAAAACTTTTTGTCATGCATGAAAGGAGTATGAATCTTTCTGATGCAGAGTCTAGGCGTGTATCGCATCGCTTCCATGACAAGCGCCGCACTTGCTGGGGTCTTTTGCAATACAAATTTTTGCTATTCACGATTGGAAACCTGTGATGCTGATACATGCAAGAGGGCGAACGTTTCATTTGGAAAGGTTTGCAATACAAATGCTCCCAAGTTCGGGGGTGGGGGCATTTTTCACTGTAGTACGCAGATTTCCGGATTTTCCCTCGCGAACAGGAACGCGATGCCCTGCTTTTGGTAATTCTGCAAGGTTTATCAACTGCAAAAGTGTCTGGGTCTGGAAGAGTGCCAGACTTGTCATGCAGGTTTTCCATGACCTATGAGGTCTGGCATGTAGCACATAGCATGACAGATTCTATGAGAGTTCTATCATGCCTATTCTGCATGACAAGCTGCCTCTGTCTCGATTAGGTCAAAAGTGGACAGCTTTTGGTTATCATGCAACACAGATTTATACATGATTCAGATTTAGCATCACAAGTTGCTTTGTTCCAGACCCAGACATTTTTGCATTGGATAAGGTTCTCAAGTTCGGGAATTTTTCCAAATCCGGCACATAGTAGGGTAAGTCGTGCTTTTCCAAAAAATGCGAGTCCTGGTTCAGCACATCTTCCGCGGGGCGACCACTTCTCGACGGTGCTGAAGGTTGTAAGGCTTGTCCTGCGATATTTGAAGATATCGGCTTCAAAGTTTGATGGTCGTGGTCTCCTGAAGTTGTAGATGACGCGGCTTCGAGCACAGAAGCTAGCGCGCTCCGCTCCCGCTGTTCCAGCTCGTTTCTTTCATCTGCGCTATCGTCTGAAGAAGAGATCTCAGCCTGCTGGTGCTGGTCAACATCTCTGTTCCTTGCAGCTATCTGTAGTTCCTGATCTGTCGCACTACTAGAGGCCGCAGGTCCTGAACGATCTCCTTTTTTTCTCCTCTTTTTCAGTGGCGGGGCGGCCGCAAGGTTGACGGCTTGAGCAGTAGTTGATCCGACGTTTTTCATCAAGAGCTTCTTTTGCTCCTCCTCTTCTTCCATTTTCTTGTTGCTCAACACTCTTTCCTATCAAGTGCAAAAATGTCTGGGTCTGGAAGAGTCGGGACTTGTCATGCACATTTTGCATGACCCGTGAGGTCTGTGATGCTGGTGCTAGCATCACAGATTTTTTGAGAGCTTCTTGACGCTGATTACGCATGAGAAATGCCCTCTCCGCGTGCCAAGAACTGACTCCTCTTGCTGCTCATGCAACACAGATATTTTTAGAATCCGCAGACAGCATTACACGTTCCACTCTTCCAGACCCAGACATTTTTGCAATCCATATTTCCTCCATTGTCTGTCCGCGGCTCAACAGCTCCAGTTTTCCCGAAACGCTATCCAACAGTTTCTGAAAGCACAGCTTGGTAACATCCTATCAAATGCAAATATGTCTGGGTCTGGAAACTTGTAATGCTGAGGGACTTAGAATGTGGAGGCCACAAATGATGGCTCAGCATGACAAGTTTCTGAGCTTCTAAGTCTTGCCTATTCTGCATGACAAACTGCGTTTTTGCATCACAGAAAAATAGGGACTTTGGGTAACGCGCATGACAGACTTAGGAAACTTGCTAGCCTAGCATGACAAACCTTGCACTTTTCCAGACCCAAACATCTGTGCAATCCATACCTCCTGCCGCTCCACAATGGAATTTTGCCGGTCTTGATCAGCTTGGTGCACCATCTGTGCAGAATTTCCTTTAATACCCACAGCCGTGGTGCCCGGATGTTGTTGTAGTAGAGCACCCGCACGACTAGCATTACCGATCGCACTTTGCGCCGCGCCACTCAAAGCTTTTTCCGTCAACACGATGAGCAGCACGACGGGAATGGACCCACCCACCTTCACGTCCTGCCCCACGCCGAAGGTATGGAGAGAAAAAAGTCTTTCGAAGTCAGTAAGCTGCACACTTGACATTACAAATTTTCTCAGCATCACAACTTCTCCTTGTATTGCAGAAACACTAGGGAAATCCCTTATGAAGTGTGGCAGTGATGCATTTTTACGCATGGCAGACAATTGTGTATTGCAAAAAGTCCCATGAGTGATCGTGGCGAGCTTTTTTCTTTTGATAGGAGGGGTCCAGGTAGCAGTGCTTCACCTCCACGAGCTCCCACAAGACCAAGGGCAGGTATGTATTGCAAATATGTCTGGGTCTGGAAAGTTGTGATGCATGTCAGTGAATAGCAAGCGCACTGTAATGCAACTCCAAGCATGACAGATTTTTTCGTGGCTCTGTGTTGCGTATTCCGCATGATAAACAGCGTTTTTGAATGACAGACAATAGGAGCTCTTCCTGGCCACGCAATACAGAGCTCACAGTCATGCCAAACTAGCATGACGAATCTCGCAATCTTCCAGACATCCAGAGATATTTGCAGTCCATAGCAAGAGGCATTTCGCGATACTGCCCGGAAAACTGGCAATGTCGCCGTCGATACCGTTTATGTATCAACTGCAGAAGTATCATACTAGCATAAATTGCATGACAAATCTCCTCAGCATGAGAAATGAAATTTGTAATGCGGATTTACCTTAAGAAAAGGATTTGTAATGCAAGACTTGCATTTATACGAGTACGATACTTTTGCACAGGATATTATGGAAATTTTCACGGTGGCGTAGTCGTACAGCCACTTGATGGGTACCTTGTGCATATCACACGAAAAAAGTGTTACAGTTACACATTTGTTGTCAATTCAGCAACACAAATTTCTCTGGAACAAGAGAGAGAAAACTTGCGTTGCAGAAATCCCACGGGAAAACACTTATGAAACAACGCTCCTATGCATATCCGGCATGACAGAGCTTGTCTGTCTTGCTATGCCTGCATAGACTATGTGTGTAACTGTAACACTTTTTCTTGCGATAGTGCAGGCTGTAGTGGTACTCTCGCTGGTACTTCTGCAACTCCTTTTTGTTGTTGATCCCTGTTAAGGAGAACTCTAATATGCAGTGCAAAAGTATCGTACTCGTATAAATGCATTACAAATTTCCTCAGCATGAGAAATGAAATTTGTAATGCTGATTTAACTTAAGGAAAAGATTTGTATTGCATGATTACAATACGAGTACGATACTTTTGCACAGGATATCTAACTGCAGCGGTAAATTCTTCCGCAGCGCCGGTCCGATCTCTATCAAATGCAAAAGTGTCTGGGTCCGGAACAAAGCAACTTGTCATGCTAAATCTGAATCATGTAAAAATCTGTGTTGCGTGATTACCAAAAGCTGTCCACTTTTGACCTAATCGGGAGGCAGTTTCTCATGCAGAATAGGCATGATAGAACTCTCGCAGAATCTGTCATGCTATGTCCTACATACCAGACCTCATGGGTCATGGAAAACCTGCATGACAAGTCTGGCATTCTTCCAGACCCAGACATTTTTGCAGTTGATAATCTCGCCGTTGATGCGAAATTTGGAATTTTTCGAAATCGTGCGCACGGTGGTCGCCGGGAACTGCCAAAAGCTATGGGATTCTCAGACGTTACGTTCTCAACTGTTCCATGATTTATTGTCATGCAAAATTGCCATCAGCTGCCACACGACCAAGCTATTCCGCATGACAAATTATCGAAGTGCTAAGCAGGCCGATAATCCATGCCAAATTTGTGATGCGAGGCCTGCACGCTACCCCCTTTAACTTTTGCTGTCCTTGCGTCGCAAACCCATGCAACAGTTGAGAATGTAACAGTTGGGAACGCCATAAAAGCCCAACGGAATTTCGATTTTCTGGTTGGTTTGGAAAATCCGGATTTTTTGGGTTCTTTGCGGTTGCGCGGCAGTAGACGTCGTCGTGGTAGGAGGTGGAGCAGCTGATGTCGTGTTGATCTGGGCCCCCGCGGGTCTCTGATTCATCTTCATCTGAGGATTCTGTTTGTTGTGCAGCCCCAATCTGTGTAGAATGGCGACCAGATTTTCTCAGAAGCAAAGAGCGAAGTACGCAAATGCAGATAGGAGAAAAAGCGCCTGAAATTTTTCGGAAACATTGACGAGTTGCAGCATACCACAGCTGCCCTCGCTGGGCAATTGCTCTCCGCGAACGGAGTGCGTTTCCACGGAAAGATTTTCTGAGGAAACCTCGGAGCCCAATTTCCGCAGCCGCTTGCGGACATTCTCTGCGAGAGCTAGAGGAATAATCGTTTTCGGACCACGAGTCGGAAGCACCCTCTGAGACGCTTTTCGGCGCGCCGCGGCCCAAAAAGCGCAAATTCTGCCGCTTTTTGACCCACGGCGCCGCAAAAAGCGCCTCAGAGGAAATCTTCTGACCCGGAGCCCGAGAAAAGGTCGAAGAGAATTGAGGCCTCACTGCAGCCTCTGTCACAGAAAATTCCGCCGGCGGCCCCAGAGATTGGGGCCCGGGGCTTCTCCAAAAGCCGTCGCGCAGAAACAAGGGTGGGCAAGCGAGGGCAGGCGCGACTGCGGTGCTGCGTTCTTTTGACTAACGTTTCGAAAAGTCTCAAAACGCTTTCCCGGCACTTTGCTCTTTTGTTTTTCCGCTAATTACTTCTGAAAAAGCCCGATCTATACTGTCACAGGCTGGGCATTTTTCAGAGTGGAAAGGGCAGAGATTGCCACTCGCGGCGCGGTCTTTTTCCGTTCCAAAACATTTTTTTTCGCCTCGAGAAAATTCCACGGAGGACCGTGAGCGACGTGCGAAACGAAAATGAGCGACTTTTGAGCTCTGCACCCCTGACAATCTGTGCCTTCTTATCTGGGCCCCCGCGGGTCTCTGATTCATCTTCATCTGAGGATTCTGTTTGTTGTAGTTCTGTTCTTGTTGCCCGAACACAACAACTCTACCTGTAGTTCGTGGTCCAGTGCTGGTCCCCACGACAGCAGGCACATTCTTTGTCTTCGAGGCAGTCGCAGCTCCGTCGCTTGCACTGGATGATGAAGATGCGCCGGATGGGGCCGCGGCGGCATAAAAATCCTGCTGCCCTGGCGCGGCCTTTTCCTCGTCTGCGTCCTCCTCGTCGGATAGGTCGATGACTTTGCTAGTGGAGGAAGTCGCAAGGTTTGTTTTGATGCCCGTACGTATTTTATTCATCCCACCCAGAAGAACTTCTGTCCTTATTGTGAGGAAAAATCCCCCCTCCCCATATCGAAAGCGGATTTGTGTTGCTGTATTTGAGTACACAAATCACATCTGTCTTGCTAGAGAGGACTGCAGACCCATATCAAGCCTGAGCAGAGAGGCTTTGACTTAGGCGCTTAGCATGAAAAGCGTCCGTGATGTTGGCTCAACAGCATGACAAACCGCCTCCATAATGGGACGGAAGCTGTTGCCCTTGTCTTCTTGCAACACAAACGTGATTTGTGACCTCAAATCAGCAACACAAATTTTCGAAAACCTACCTCTTCAATATGGGGAGGGGGGATTTTTCCTTGCGATAGTCCTAGAAGTCTCTTTACTCGTCGTGTCGTCCACCGCATGCTGGTCCTTCAGTGTTGTGCCGGCGTTTTGGAGGTTCTTCTGCAAGAACGTCCCCAGCTTGGCCTCGGTTGGCACAAACTTACTCTTTTTCGTGGTCAGCATCTTTATTCATTCGAAAAATCGGCCTTTTACTTTTTCATTTTCTGCACGCGGTTGTAGTACAAGTTGGCATATATTTGGTATAGCAGTGGCAGAAATAAAGTTGATGTAGCGGCAAATTCAAATGTCATAGAGCCACAACACAAACAAAAATATTTTCGATAGGTTATTGGGCGGAGTCGTGAGGCTGCTACTTCTAGTCTTTCTCCTGACAATTCCACCAGGTCGTGCTGATTAAGCCGCATGTTAGTTCTTCGTGTAACAAATCTATGGCGGCCCGCAACCGAGAAATTACCTACCATTGCTTTGAAACGACCTGAAGAACCACGATATCAAAGAGCTCATCTACAACAACCCGGCGGTTTTCGTTCGACAGAGTCGTGCAGCGAGGAGAAGCAAAATCTTTTTCATCTTCTTCATCTATCGAAATTCACAAGTCCCCCTGGTATAGGAACTGATGGTGATCGTGATCTGACGTTATAATTCCAAATGACGGTCGAATTATCTGTGAGTTTTCCTTTTGAACAGAAGCCTATACATAGTTTAGGCTTTGGTCGTTGCGAGGAGGCTCTATCGTCTCGAGACGAAGATCATCGTGCGAACATTCGCACTAGAGGTGAACAACGGAAAAATGCAGCCTAGGCCACGCCACGACAATGAATGCGGCGGGCGTTTGACAGCGCTCCGGCGCGAAGCTCATAATTTCTTGCGGTCTTCCTAATTGCAGCATAAAAATTTTGATAAATCAAAAGATTACACCACTGTGGTTTTTGGATGCTTGGAACTAGTACGGACATCAGCACCGGGAATCGGCCTGGTAAGTACTATCGCATGCATCGTGCAACCTGCACTCTCGCGGCTGCAGCTGCTGCCTCGGTGTTCTACTTTGCAGGGGGGTCTTCAGGAGCGTGTTGTATGTATCTCTATGTACAAAAAAAAATGAAGCTGCCATTTGTTTCATGCGTTGCATCATGTGTAGTTTTCGTTTCCTTGCATTATTATTTTCGTACCAAAAATAAATCACTCCACAACAGGGTGGACAAGATTCATTGACTTAAACTAACAGCTCGCATTTAAAAATTTTCACTAGGCGGTATTCGCAATACATACACAACAACTCCTTATCCTCAAAAGTGAATCTTGAAGACATCGCAAGAATAGGATAAAAATGGGGGGGAGAATATGATAGTTCCTCAAACGATCTTACAAAAGCACGGCAAGTTCTGTACTTCGTCCCGAGCTTCAACATCATACACGTTTTCTTGTATTAAATTTCTAGGATGATGATAATGTCGGCACCAGTGTGCCCTTTGGCGGACTGCTGCGTGCTACTCCGACGGCAGCTGAAGCTGAACGCCGATCTTCTACGGACTTGATAAATACTTTTTCAGGGCTGAAGTTTATTTTGCTCAAAATTCCGAACTGCTCAAAATTCCGACCCAAGAGCTGATTAAGACATCCACATCCAGCCAGCCAGGAGGTCATTTATTTTCCCATTGATAAAGACATCCAGCCAGAAGGTCGTGCGCACGACGTCAAAATCAAGAGTGATCCGGCTTCTCTGCTTTCGGATCTCGTCCCGCGATACTGCGAGATGACGTGATCCGCAGGCAGAAGGAAAGCAGCTATCAAATGCAAAAATGTCTGGGTCTGGAAGGATGCAACTTGTGATGCGCATTGCACAACACACAAAAATCTCTCATGCACAGGCAGCAAAAGGTGCCCATCTCCTGTCACCATACTAGGGGATTTGTCATGCAGATTGGGCATTGCGGAAGATTCTCGAAATCTGTCATGCTAGGGCTTCCATGACAGACCTTCTGTGTCATGCAAAAACAGCATGGCAAAAGTCGGCACTCTTCCAGACCCAGACATTTTTACATTTGATAGCAGCCTGTTGGTTACAACCCGGGTAGAAGTTCGGTCTGTCTGTAGAAATAGAACCTCTTCTACTGTAGAAGTTCTACATTGATTCTGCGCCGCGAAAACAAAAAAGCGTTCTTGCAAGCTTCTTCATCGGCACTAAACAAAACAAAACGATAAAAACATCATACATCTCGAAATGGATATGGAGGAAAAGTTGTACTTAGTTGTTATCTTCGAGTAAGTACTAAATAAAGGACATCAGCTACTCCGCAGCTCTAGTCCTCGTGTTAGCAGATGATGATGAAAACGGTATCGAGATACACACAAACATGACATGTCTCGCACCTACATCTTTTGTTCATCTTCATCTTCCCCTTGTTTAATATTTCAGTACTCGATCCGTTGGCCAAAATGTCCTCTTATTTTCCAAACAAAATACTTACTACAGTTTAGGGTCAAAACAACGAATAGATGATGGGAAGAGAATTATGCCCGCTTATTGAGAGGAAAAATCCCCCCTCCCCATATTGCAATCGCATTCGTCCGAAAATTTGTGATGCAGATTTGAGGTCACAAATCCTGTCTGTCTTGCAAAAAGGCAAAGCCTGAGATTCCGCCGCATTATGCCGGCGGTTTGTGATGCTGTTGGGCTTACAGAGCCGACACCTGTCATGCTGGTCCCCTACGTCAAAACCTCTCGACCCAGGCTGGGCATATGCCTGCAGTCCTCTCCAGCAAGACAGACCTGATTTGTGTACGCAAATGCAGCATCAGAAACTTCGTTTCGATATGGGGAGGGGGGATTTTTCATTTTCGTACCGCTCATCTGCACGACCAATGGTCGGTGCAGCAGCAGATCATGTCCTTGTCCTTGTCCACCCTCATCTGCGCCACAATTTCTATTTTTCACAAGCATGACAAGGAAATAAACAAGTCATGAAATAATAGTCATCTCGTTGTTCTTTTTCTATGCAGAATGTTGGTACTTCCTTCTATCGTACAAATTTTTATGTCAAGTGATTGCTCTACTTCCGAAGTATGAATGAACTGGAAAAATGGGATCACAAAGGAGCCAAATCGATGAAAACTGAAAAAATATGATCCTGTATGATGTGGGTTTTTTTTATGCAAAGTGACAGAATGTTTGATGTAGTGTTAAAATGAATAGAGCAGATCGTACACTACTATATGACGATTGGAGGGATTGGCACAACTACCATTTTTGCAACTAGAAGAAAATCCATATAAAAGGAAGAGACTTGTTTTTCCTTTACTACTAGCCCGTAGATTAAAGCCACTACTCGACGAGGAGGAGGTTTATTGCCAGTAGAACGAGGAGCGTGAGGACTGTTATTGCTTTCAAAATACGATCATTTTCCACGGCATCTTCCGCAAATAATCTTCCTCGCTCGGTATTACAGCAGAAGCAGAATCGAAGGAGCACCTGAATACGTACTGAAACACGACTGATATCAAGTGCAAATATGTCGGGGTCTGGAAAAGATTGCTACATTTGTCTTTGCCATGCATGTCTGACATGCCTCGAGAATCTGTGACGTGTATGGGTATCGGAAAAAGCGCTCTTACCTGTTATGCAAGAACGCAGTTTTCCACGCGGAATACGCAACACACAGAAGCTCAAAAATTTGTCATGCTTGGCTCCGTATGTTGGCAGTGCGCCTCTCACTCCCTTTTAGCATAACAAGTTTCATCCAGACGCCCCAGACACATTTGCAATGCATAACTGAAGATCGGCCCCGCACTTACGGCGCTAACGGGACCGGGTGCTGACCGATTTCGGGTTCAAATTGTCTTGTTACACCATCATCGCCAATGTAAGTATCCGGGTCCCTTGCCAACTCTATTCTGAGGAAAAATCCCCCCTCCCCATATCGAAAAGGTGCGTTTCCGAAAATTTGTGTTGCTGATTTGAGGTCACAAATCACGTCTGTCTTGCAAGAAGACAAGCGCAGAGGCTTCCGCACCATTATGGAAGCGATTTGGCATGCTGTTGCGCCTAGGGGACGCCCGTTTGCAATGCTAAGCAACTAGACCTATGCGCCCCTACCTAGGCCGAGGATCTGGCTGCGATGCCTTACTGCAAGACAAATCCGATTTGTGTACCCAAATCCAGCATCACAGATTTCCACTTCGATATGGGGAGGGGGGATTTTTCCTTTTGATAAACTCCGCCTGGATTCTAGGTTGCTGCACGATTTTGAAGTCCCGGTACCACTTATTGCAGTGAAAAGTGCCCCCCACCCCTGAAATTGCAAAATTTGTGATGCGAGGTTTCCAGATGAAAACTTTCTGTCATGCATGGAAGGAGTATGGATCTTTCTGATGCAGAGTCTAGGCGTGTATCGCATCGCTTGCATGACAAGCGCCGCTCGTGCTGGGGCCTTTTGCAATACAAATTTTTGCTACTCACGATTGGAAACCTGTGATGCTGATAGATGAAAGAGGGCGAATGTTTCATTTGGAAAGGTTTGCAATACAAATGCGTTCACGTTCGGGAGTGGGGGCATTTTTCATTGTAATACCACTTGAAGAGCGCGTTGTCCGTCTCGAGCACGTATGCCTTGCAAATATCGATCTGGGTCAGGGAGGATGCGAAGACGAACTTGTGACGCATGTTGCGGATCATACAAACATCTGTGTAGTCGCGTGAGTTGCAAAAGGTGCCCACAACTGCTGGCCATGCTGAGAGGGAATTTCCCAGGACTACAGGCATCACCGAGGGGCGGCAGATCATCCTGTGAAGATCATGCTAGGCCCCCGCCTGCATTCCAGACGTAGTGGAGCAAGCTTGGAGAATAAAACTGCATGACAAATCTCGCATCAATCTTCCAGACCCAGATCGATTATATTTGCGTTTGGTAGCACGTATCAAATGTAAAAATGTCTGGGTCTGGAAGAGTCGGGGCTTGTCATGCACATTTTGCATGACCCGCGAGGTCTGTGATGCCGGTGCTAGCATCATAGATTTTTTGAGAGCTTCTTGATGGTAATTACGCATGAGAAATGCCCTCCCCGCGTGCCAAGAGCTGACTCCTCTTGCTGCTCATGCAACACAGATATTTTTACAATCCACAGACAGCATTACAAGTTCCACTCTTCCAGCCCCAGATCGATATTTGCATTTGGTAGCACGAGGTCGTTCACGATAGCCGCCCGCACCGCATCCGCGCCTTGCACGGGAGCAGCCAAAACCCTATCCTGTGCAAAAGTATCGTACTCGTACTAATCGCATTCATGCATTACAAATTTCGTTCTCAGGTTAAATCCGCATTACAAATTTTCTTTCTCATGCTGAGAAAATTTGTCATGCGATTTATACTAGTACGATGCTTTTGCATTTCATAAACCCGGCCATCCGGCAAATTCGCACCGTTCAGGTCCTGTTCCTGGTTTGGTTGCCACACGCCCGAGTTCGGTGCGAGGTTCCGCAGGCGTGCGGCCACCGCCGCGGGGCTGTTGTCACCGCTGTGCCCGCCCCCAGGTCCCGACAACTGGAACACCTTCTTCTATTGAGAGGAAAAATCCCCCCTCCCCATATTGAAAAGGCATGCCACGAAAAATTTGTGATGCTGATTTGTGACCACAAATCCTGCCTCTCTTGCAAGGGGGCAAATCCAAAGAGTCCGCCACTTTATGCGGACGATTTGTCATGCTGTTACGCCTACATCGAAGGCCTCTGTTATGCTCCTAAGCACCTACACAAAAACGCCCCTACGCAGGCTGAGGCCGCCTGCAGTGCCTCATTGCAAGACAGAGCTGATTTGTGTAAGTACACAGATCCAGCCACAGAAATTTCCGTTTCAATATGGGGAGGGGGGATTTTTCATTTTGATATCTTCGCTTCCACGACAAGGTATTGACTTTTCTGAAGTGGTATCAAATGTAAAAATGTCTGGGTCTGGAAGGTTGGAACTTGTGATGCTGTCTCTGGATTCTAAAAAATTTGCATTGCATGACCAGCAACAGAACTCCAGTTTGTGCTACACGGAGAGGGCATTCCTCATGCGGTAGAGGCATCACAAAGGCCTCTAAAAATCTGTCATGCTAGAGCATGCATCACAGACATCATGAGTCTTTCAGAATATGCATGACAAACCTGGCAAGCTTCCAGACCCAGACATTTTTACATTTGATAAGTGGCTCGTTTGACGCCGGAACCATCCACACCCGGGGGTTCGCGCCCCCGGCGCCGACCGGTGCTCGGCCGTTCACAAACAACCCTCGAAGCTCCTCGGTGTTGGTATGGATTGTAAAAATGTCTGGGTCTGCTGGAAACTTGTGATGCTGGGTGGCGTATCATGAAGAAGCCACAAGTGCTGGCTCAGCATGGCAAGTTTGTGAGCTTCTTCTAGGTGTTGATGCCTATTGTGCATGGCAAACTGCGTTTCTGCATGGCAGCAAAATGGGTCTCTTTGGTCACGTGCATGAGAGATTTAAGAGTCATGCCAGACAAGCATGACAAACATGCACTCTTCCAGACCCAGACACTTTTGCATTTGATAGTTGGTGTAACAGTACAACTTCTTGCGTCTTTCTCCGCCGGCGTTCCGTTGCGAATAGTCAATCACCAGTAGCAAGTCGGGTATCGCGAACATGTTTACAGGATCTACTATCCAGTGCAAATTATATCGATCTGGGTCTGCAAGATTTTTGCCAGGTTAAGGTTTGTCATGCAGGTTTTTTTGCATGAGCTCCATGATCGATCTGTGATGTATGCCCTAGCATCTTCACAGAGTTTATAAGGGCTTCTTGCTGCCTACCCCGTATGTTGTCAAATGCCCTTCATTCCGCGTAGCAAAAATTGGGCGCCTCGTCTTGCTGCTCATGCAATACAGATTTTTTTAGCATGATCCAAATGCAGCATCACAGGTCTGGCTCGTCTTCCAGACCACCCAGATCGATGTTTGCAATGCATATCTTCCCCGCCTTCGCAAGACCCCGGAGCCGTCCACCCTCGGCCGGCGGCGGTCAGCCGGGCCTGTGGATCTGTCGTGGCCGGGTTGCCTTGCGTAGGCTCGGTCTGGCCGGGGGGAGGACCACCACCACCATCTCCACCACCACCGCCGGCAGGGGCAGGAGGCAAGGGCATGGGGTACTGACCGATCATTTCCTGAAAGCGTTGCGCGAAATTAGGGTCCGCGTCCGCTTCCCGCTGCAACAGCTATGCATTGCAAAAGTACTATCGTACGCGTAGTATTGCAATACAAATTAGCTCAGCATGAAAAATGGAATTTCTCATGCTGATTTAGCTTGAAAAAGAAATTTGTCTTGCATGACTGCGATTAGTACGAGTACGATACTCTTGCACAGGATACGCGCGGTTGGTGCGCGATCTTCCTATCAACTGTAAAAATCCCTGGATGTCTGGAAGAATCCAACTTGTCATGCTAATTTTGGACTCTAAAAAAATCTGTATTGCATGAGCAGCAAAGAGAGTCCAAGTTTTGCTACACGGAAAGAGCATTTGTAATGCGGTACTATAGGCATCAGGAAGCCCTCACAAAATCTGTGATGCTAGGGCATGCATCACAGGTACAACTATCAGGAGTCATGCAAAACGTGCATGACAAACCTGGCAATCTTCCAGACCCAGACATTTTTACATTTGATACTTCCACAGCCGGTACCACTCGTAGAGCCGGTTCGGCCATCAAATGCAAAAATGTCTGGGTCTGAAAGAGTGCTAGGTTTGTCTTTGTCATCATGCAGGTTATCCATAACCCGCGCGGTCTGGCATGCACGGCCTCACATGACAGCTTCTGTGCGATCTCTATCATGCCTTTCCTGCATCAGAAACTACCTCTAAACTTGTTCAGAAGTGGACCTCTTTTGGTAATCATGCAACACAAATTTTTCCACGATCCAGATGTAGCATGACAAGTTACACTCTTCCAGACCCAGACATTTTTGCAATGCATATCTGGCCCGAGACCAGTTCGGTAACGATTGCGGTTTGAACATGGGCGGGCATGTATCGCCAGAAAAAACTGTTTCACTGTAAACTTGTAATGCAGAAAATGCATTTCATAAAGTGCTTGTCTTGCTACACATGCAAGACAGTGGATTTGTAGCTGTGTTTTCCGTTAGGAACCTTGCATGGCAAATTTTCCTTGTCATGTAGAACAAACTTGTGATGCAAAACCTGCAAAATCCTTACAGTGAAACACTTTTTTCGTACGATAGCATGTCAGATATATCGGGTCTGGCTTCGCGTCGAAACCGTGCCTCGACCTGGGGCGCGTCGTTCGCGTCGTTCCCGCCGTCCGCCTCCCTATGGCGTTCTACTCAAATGTTACATTCGCAACTGTAGTTACATGAATGTGTAATCCTAAACCGACCGAAGCCACAAACGTAACCCATATTTATTAGGGCACCTTTCCGCAGATGGTCAGGCCACCGGGTCGCGGCGTCAGGCGGACCGAAGCCATCACCATCTTGTTCACACTCGGGCACATCACCATCTTCACACATGAACTTGTAATGCAAGAACGGCAAAAATGAATGGGGGAAGCTTGCGCCTTTTGCATTACAGATACTTGGCACAGATTTACATGCTGTTTAGCCCCGTTGGAGCTTTGTCATGCGAAGCAGCTTAATGGTGGCGATCTTGGTGGCAAATTTGCAAGACAAATCATGTAGCAGTTGAGAATGTAACATTTGAGAGTCCTCCCATACTCCCCACCCGCGCCGTTGAGCTTAAACAGATCCCGCCCGCGCAGGACCAAAAAGCGACCGGCGTGCAGTAGCGCGTTGGTGTGCAGGCGCCCTCGAACGTCATACCAATCGCGGCCAAGTGTGGGGTCCGTCGGATAGTTGAGGAGGCGTCTGCGGGTATCCTGAGTAAAAACGTACCCACACCAGAGTCAGGATGGGGATTTTGCAACACAAACCTAGGAGTTTTGTGAGTCACGCATGACAAGTTGCGCTCTGCAGTGTAGTGCAGGTTAGCAAGTGCAGCCGCGTCACAGATTCATCTGCTCATCCTGTTCACAGCATCACAAATTCCAAAACACGATTGGAAATGGCTCTCATGGGGATGCACATTACAAGTCTTCCTGTCTTTGCAAATCTGCATTACAACTCTGGTGTGGGTACGCTTTTACTCAGGATATCGGGTCTCCGGGTGGTTTTCATAGCAGTACAGGCTTTTGTTCGTGTTGTCCAGCACCAACAGCAGGTCCACAATGGGTTCAGCGGTGTAAATATCCTCTCCTTCAGGATCGCAGGTGTCGTCGACCCTCCACGTGACGTTCGCTCGCATCAGGGTAGCTGCTATCAAATGCAAATATGTCTGGGTCTGGAATAAATTTGTGATGCAAGGAGGGGAATAGTGAGCTCACTGTAATGCGCTGCCAAGCATGACAAGTTTTCTGCATGGTTCTGAGTTGGTGATTCTGCATGAGAAACTGCGTTTTTGCATGACAGGGAGTACTAGCGGCTCTTCGCGGCCGCGCAATACAGAGCTCAGAGTCATGCCAGACCAGCATGACAAATCTCGGAATCTCCCAGAGGACCCAGACATTTTTACATTTGATAGCCGCGGCTGCACCGGCCGTGGCGGGGTTGCCCATCATGGCGAGCTGGCCCGGTGTGTACGTAGGGCCGGCTCCATTCGTGCCAAAAAGCACGCCCGACTTCCTATCAAATGCAACCATGTCTGGGTCTGGAAACTTGTGATGCAAGGAAGGGACTAGTGAGCACACAACTACTTATCATGCGCTGCCAAGCATGACAAGTTTTTCCGTGGTTCTGAGTTGCGTACTTCGCATGAGAAACTGCGTCTTTGCATGACAGGCAAGAGGAGCTCTTTGTCGCGGTGACGGTGCAACACAGAGTTCAGAGTCATGCCAGACTAGCATGACAAGTCTCGCATCAACTTCCCAGACCGCAAGACATATTTGCATTTGATACTTCCAGTCGCTGTACCACTGCGGCAAAAATCGCGACAGCTCTTCCGCGTGCTGATCGCGCAGAGTGTACGGGTCCGCGCTCGCCACGACGATTCCCTATCAAATGCAAAAATGTCTGGGTCTGCAATGTTGGCGGGTTTGTCATGCATATTTTGCATGGCCCAGGGTTGTGTGTGATGCATGTCCTTCCATCACAGACTTTTAGAACCCTTCCTGATGCCTACGCCGCATGACAAATGCGCTCCCCGCGTAGCACAAACTGGACTCCTCTTGCTGGTCATGCAATACAGATTTTTTTACCGTCCAGAGTTAGCATGACAAGTTGCAATCTTCCAGACATCCAGGGATTTTTGCAATTCATATTCCGCGATTGGGCACGACAGTCCTCGCGAGGAGGCCCGGAATGTCGCGGGGGATGGCTCCGTTCGTCAGGGTTTGGCGGAGGTCAGCCTGCGGAAGCACCATCTGCGCATTTTGGAGCACCACGAAGTTTTTCAGCTGCAGGTTTTCCCCAGCAACGTTGGCCCGCACACTATTCGGGTTTCGTTTCCGCTGGTACAAAGCCTTCCGCAGGGCTGCGTTGGAGTGGAAACAGTACAGGACTTTGCGTGCCGGATCCTGGTATGGATTGCAAAAATGTCTGGGTCTGGAAGATTGATGCAACTTGTCATGCTAAATCTGGATCATGCAAAAATCTGTGTTGCATGAGTGCCAAAAGCTGCCCACTTTCGGCCAAGTTGGGAGGGGATTTCTCATGCAGGATAGGCATTAGAAAAGTCTCGCAGAATCTGTCATGCTAAGTCCTACATACCAGACCTCATGGCTCATAGAAAACCTGCATGACAAATCTGGCAATCTTCCAGACCCAGACATTTTTGCAATCCATACCTGGAAGTCCGCTACCACCATCAGGTTGGTGATCGGCGTCTGCAACGGCAAGGGGGTTGGCGGTGCCGCGTTGTCGGTCGCGGCCCGCACGTGCGCGACCGGGAGCTGCAGGGCCGCCCGCGGCTTCGACTTCGGGCTGGTAAACTATCCTATGTAAAAACGGGGCCCACACACCAGAGTCAAGATGGGAACTCGGCTAAACAAATCCACAAGCTTTGGCTGTTTTGCATGACAGATTTGGACTCGTAGTGTAGTGCTGTTTGAGCTGGCTCAGCAGCATCACAGATCTAGTATATCATGCTGATTGGAGCATGACAAATTCCGAAACACGACAAAACAATGCTTGTCATGGGGCTTCACATGAGAAACATCTTCGGCATGCAGAATTGCATGACAACTCTGGGGACGCCGACGCTGTTGCTCAGGATATAAACTCGCAGTTGACCATCTTCCACGGCCCGGCCACGCCGCCTGCACTATCCAAGAGAAAAAAGCTGGCAGGGCATTACTATCTATTATATTCATGCAAAAGTAGAGGTCTACAGAGGGTGGAAGAGAGGTGGCCGAGAGGTAAAAAAGAGGTCGACAGAGGTCAAAAAGAGGTCGACAGAGGTGGAGAGGTGGCGCGGGAGGTCATTCGAGAGGGTGGCCGAGAGGGTGCGCGAGTATAGCCCGCCGAAGGGCTCGCCCTAAAGCCGCGCCTATAGGGACCAGAGGGGGCCGAGAGGGTCCAGAGAGGGTAAGCGAGAGGTGGACAGAGGTGCCGAGAGGTTGCGCGAATAAGGGCGAACCTCTCGCGCACCCTCTGAGCCACCTCTCGGCCACCTCTGTAGACCTCTACCGGCGAGTATAGCCGGATTATTAGCAACACCTCTCGGGAGAGGTCAAAAAGAGGGTCTGCGAGAGGGTCAGAAAACCCCGAATCCGCCCGGCACGCGGCCGGTTTTGTTTGGGCCTTTTCATCGCGCAGGCCCGCACCCTCTCGCGCTACCCTCTCGCGCACCCTCTCGCGCACCCTCTCGCGCCACCCTCTCGCGCCACCCTCTCGCGCTACCCTCTCGCGCCCCCCTCTCGTGCCAACCATTTCCGCCGGGAGGCAAATAGGGCGGGGGCGGGATGGTGATCAAAAAAGGGCAGCGCGGCCCCCGTTCTGCTTCCTTCGGCACCTATGTCGAGGTGGCTTCTCTTCTCCCCCAGGCTTCGTTGCAGTTGCTCCCTGCGCATAGCGCCAGCAGGCGCGGGAAGCGCGCGGGAGGCCGCGCGGGCTGACATGGCGCAAACCGGCGCCAGTAGTTCCCCCGGTCTGTCACGCTGTGCCCAAAGACCCGGCGCTGCGGTCCGACCCGCGCATTGTCCTGCCCCGCCACAACAGCCTTGCGCTCCGGCGGTAGCCGGAGCATGGCTGGTATTTGTAATGCAAAAATGAATACGCAGAAAAATTTGTCATGGGTGGCCTCATAGCATGCTGCTTCGGATATGCAACGCAGGCGCTTTTGTGTATTTATTTTTGCATTACAAATATGCCCTGCCAGCTTTTTTCTGTGTGATATGCACCCCCCGCGGGGAGGCGTGAGGTGAAATCGACTTCGTTGGTCTTCTTGTGCTGGGCCTTCCACTGAGTGAAAAATTTCACAATGTTGATCTCCAGGTCTTGCTTCATCTGCCGCTTCATATCACGCAACATCTGCGGCGTGTGGCCGTTCGTCCGCTGCCAGACTGAAGTGGGAGATTGCAGGACGGAATAATCCTCGATGCTCTGCGCTACGTCTTCTCTCTGTTCAATCGTCACTAGGTTCTGGTTGCCGTTACCCGCACCGAACAAATGCTCCATGCGCAGCACTAGGTACGACTCCTCCTCCAGGTCCTTACGCTTCGCTTGTGTCATATCAACTGCAACAATCCCTGGATGTCTGGAAGAGCAGTCGGGGCTTGTCATGCAAATTTTGCATGACCCGTGAGGTCTGTGATGCTGGTGCTAGTACCATCACAGATTTTTTGAGAGCTTCTTGATGCAAATCACGCATGAGAAATTATGCCCTCTCCGCGTGCCAAGAACTGAGTCCTCTTGCTGCTCATGCAACACAGATATTTTTACCGTCCGCAGACAGCATTACAAGTTCCAACTTTCCAGACATCCAGTGCTATTTGCAATCCATAGGTCACGCCGTCCCGTAAATAATTCTGCGGGTGGCGCCACACGTAAGCGTAGTCATATCACAGTGAAAAATGCCCCCCACCCCTGAAATTGCAAGAGTTTGTGATGCGAAGTTTCCAAATGAAAGCTTTTTGTCATGCATGAAAGGAGTACGAATCTTTCTGATGCAGATTCTAGTCGTGTTTCGCATTGCTTGCATGACAAGCACCGCTCTTGCTGGGATCTTTTGCAATACAGATTTTTGCTATTCACGATCGAAAATCTGTGATGCTGATACACGCAAGAGGGCGAATGTTTCATTTGGAAAGATTTGCAATACAAATGCTTCCAAGTTCGGGGGTGGGGGCATTTTTCATTGTAATAAGTCATACCAGGAATTCTGATACAGATTGCTGTTTCGGTCCATCGCTGCGCGCCTGCGCCAATCGATATGCAAATCGGGGTGCGTCAACGTCTTCCCCTGGGAAAGGTCCGAGCGCGTCTGTGTCGAGTCTTCCAGGCAGGTGATCTCCTTCCGCCGCTGCCGGCCGCCCAAAGTGGCCCCGTCGCGCCGGTCTTTACTTAGCCCCCAAAGGTAGTCGCTGTGCGAAATATCGTCCTGCAGGTAGCCCGTCCGGGAATAGTCGACCAAGAGGAGCAAGTATCGCAAGAAAAAACTGTTTGACTGTGAACCTGTGATGCAGAAAATCGAACACAGAACGATTTGTCTTGCTACACCTCCTACAAGGCGTTGGATTTTCGTGTTAGCTTTCCCTTTGGAAGTGCACATGACAAATTTATTTCAGTGTCATGTGTAACAAACTTGTGATGCAGATCTTGCAAAATCATCACAGTGAAACAGTTTTTTCGACGTGGGATAGCAAGTCCTTGATTTTCTCTTTCGAGGCAAAGTCGAAATCGGTCTATCAAATGTAAAAATGTCTGGGTCTGGAAGAATGCAACTTGTCATGCTAAATCTAAATGATGCAAAGATCTGTGTTGCGTGAGTGCCAAAAGCTGTCCGCTTTTGACCAAGTTGAGAGGGAGTTTCTCATGCAGGAAAGGCATGATAGACACCTCAAAGAATCTGTCATGCTGAGTCTCGCATTCCAGACCTCATGCGTCATGGAAAACCTGCATCACAAATCTTGCATTCTTCCAGACCCAGACATTTTTACATTTGATACGGTCGGCTCGCAGTTGATAAACGTGAAGCCCTTCTGCTTCAGCGCCTCCAGGCCAGAATGTTCCGGCGCATTATTCATGGTGACGTTCGCAGCCAGTTTTTGCTGCAGAAGGCCGCCACCGCCGCCGCCCCCACCACCGCCGCCGCCGTTACCACCGCCGCCGCCGTTACCACCGCCGCCGCTACCACCGCCGCCGGCACCACCGCCGCCACCGCCGCTACCACCGCCGCTACCACCGCCGCCGCTGCCACCGCCGCCGCTACCACCACCGGCACCGCCGCCGCCACCGGCACCGCCGCCGCCACCGCCGCCGCCTCCCAAGGAAGGATCATCCTTGGGATATGGATGTGTCAGAATCGAAATTCGCAAAATCGAAAAATTTGTAATGCATAAAATGTAGGGCACGTATGGCCTGTGCTGGGGAGCAGGCAAATGAGACCGATTGCAAGCCTGTTTGGGGCAAGGCGATGCGCCCCAGAGTAGCACGACAGGAGCAGTCTTCCTTGCCCAAACAGCATGACAGACTGGATTTTGTTGCTCCCGAAATTTGTCATGCCCCACTTGGAAACTGCGGCTGCAACTGGTATCGATTTTGTGCATCACAAGTTTTTCGATTTTGTCAATTTCGATTCTGACACTTCCATATGGGAGCAGTGATTGATAAGCCCGGCTGCTGCTGCGCATTGGAATTATTATGCTCCACGGAAGCAAAATAGTATCAACTGTAAAAATGTTTGGGTCTGGAAACTTGTGATGCTAAAATGTGCATGATGAAAACACTTCCGAATGCAGTCCGGCATGACAACTTCCCAAAACGCTTTCTCATAGGCAACCCGCATGAGAAACTGCGTCTTTGCATGACAAAAGAGGCTGCGACTTTTGTTGGTTATGCAATACAGATTTTCTAGGTATGGAAAGCTAGCATTACAAGTTCCAACCTTCCAGACCCAGACATTTTTACAATCCATAAATACACCGCGAGACCGATTCCAGTCCCGACAACCACGCAGACTGCAAGGATAATAGCGACAATGGCAAGGGCACTGCAGCCAGCTGCGGGGGTCGTCCTTGTGGATGACCCTGGCTCCTGATTCTCATCGAAAACGAGCTGATTTTCTTCGTCGGCAGCAACATGATCTTCAGCGTAGTGGTAGTAGTATTGCTGATGCGGCACAACTGCAGTCTGCGTGCCGCCCGGTTGTCCTGCGAGGACGATGTTGTCCTGCTGTGGAGAGATTTGCGGCGGAGGTGGCGTAGTTGCGGTGCTGTCCAAAACTACAACACCATCGTGGCCACGGTGCAGCTCCATATCGTGATAAGAAGTCGCGACGTGCTGCGGATGCTGATGTTCCATTTTGATTTTCTTGATAGAGCTAGAGGACTACTTGTACTTGCACACTACAAATACAAAAGCAAAAGAACTTCCGATAGATATACGCAATAATACGTTTGTTCTTTCCGAGAGAAGAGAAGTTATAGCTAAAACCTTTTCTTTCGAACAGAGGACTGCGCAGGCTTTCTTTAGAACAGAGGACTGTTTAGACTTTGTATGGTCGTTTAGTTGCAATAGGCTATAGAAGTTGTCTGGGAGTATTTTTTCCAAAACGTGAGCACAATCTAATTCTAATAAAATAAAAAATTGAAATAATCCAATATTTTTGTCCAAAACAATTAAAACAAAACAAAGAGAAAGACCAATCGAATAAATCAAAACTCTGTAGAAATTATTGTTGCTATGGAGATGATTTCTCGAGATAAGTAAGGTTACTTCCTTGTCTCGAAAACAAATCTAATAGCGTGCTAATACTATCCAAAAATCTTGTCACAAATTTTCTGATTGGTCTTCTTGAGAAAGCAGAAGCACAGGATTTTTGTACTATCAATATCTTTCGATTTTTTCTGTTCGATTTGGAACGTCGTTGCGGTCCCGAGCTCAAACAAATGAACTTCGGCGCTGTAGAATGAAGTCAGATCAAGACTGGTTTATTTCTTGGCTCAAGACAACTTGAACTTGATTATTGTGAGGAGCTTTACTAGGATAATCAGGGGCCTGATCATGTTCGTGTTTTAGTGAAGAAACATTCTGTGAAGAATGTCGCCACTTTTGATACTACTTATTGTCCTTGCATCGCTCTCATCAACATTTTGTCACTGAATTGCTAACTTCTTACCGACACTAGTGTCATTGTTTGACCGATAGGTGGTCTACAGTCGTTCCCCCGGACCACGTCGGAGGACGGTGTTTGGAACGGCAAGGATCGATATATTGGTCGTTTATTCTTTTGGACCGACGATTTTTTCATCCCCAGTCCGGAACTACGGAGCCATCATTTATGGGAGTGTCAGGATTGAAATCGTCAAAGTTGAAACAACTTGTAATGCATAAAATCGATACCAGTTAGAAGCCCAATTTCCAAGCGGCGCATGACAAATTTGGGTAGAACCGAAATCCAGTTTGTAATGCTGTTTGGGTAAGGAAGACGCCTTTTGTCGTGCTACTTTAGCAGCTCTATTTCTACCCCGCAACAGGCTTACAGCCTGCCTCTCTTGCCTACTCTGCAAGACAGGCAATTTGTGGGTTGCATTTTATGCATCACAAACTATTTCAACTATGACGATTTCGGTCCTGACGCTTCCATATCATTCACGATCTTAGTATCCTGTTCTTCATCTTGTACTATCGACAGCCTCGCTTATTTTCCTAGATATAGAAATCAGCATCAGCTAGTGTACAACTGATAGGATATCATCTTCACAACTCCTGTCTGATGTGGCTTAGATTAGAAGATGAACATGTTGATCTGCAGTAGTTGTGACCACGAGAACACCACGATAGTTGCACTCCTGCATGGATAGAAATATTAAAACCTGCGCAGGAGCCCTGCAGCATCCATTTTTTGGCTTTTTCTTTATCGATCGAAACAACGCAGATGAAGCATAAAAAGTAGCTTGCTCTCTAAAGATTCCGTCTGGTTTTTTGTTTTTCTTCCCTGTACTATCTCCTGCGGTTTTCACAGACTTTCACTTTTTGCAAGATCATACACAAAAAAAATACTTCGTTTCGATATTAAAATCCTTTTACTAGAAGAAAATCGGTCGTTTCAACAGCATATGCATTGCAAATATCCCTGGATGTCTGGAAGGATGCGAACTTGTGACGCATGTAGTTGCGCATCATACAAAAATCTGTGTTGCGTGACTTCTTGCAAATAAAGGTGCTCACTTCTGGCCATGCTGAGGGGACATTTTCCATGCAGAACAGGCATCACAAGAAAGGAGCTGCAGATCCTGTGAAGATGCTAGGTCCTCCTGCAGTCCAGACTTGGTGGAGCTTGGAAAAACTGCATGACAAATCTCCGAATCTTCCAGACCCAGACACTTTTGCATTTGATACAGCACTTCATGAACAAAGAAGCTGAGAAGGTCCCTCGCCCGTATGGCGTTCTCAAACGTTACATTCTCAACTGTTACATGATTTGTCATGCAAAATCACAATTAGAATTGATACGATCAAGCTGCTCCGCATCACAAATTCTCGAAGAGCCAAACAGGCTGAAAATCTGTGCCAAATCTGTCATGCTAGACGCGCAAGGCCACCCCTTCGACTTTTGCCATTCTTGCGTCACAAATTCATGTAACAGTTGAGAATGTAACAGTTGAGAACGCCATAGCCCGTATCGCTTGGTTAGCGACGAAATCCGAGAATTGCCTTCCCTGTTTGCGTATCAAAGACATACATGTCTGGGTCTACTGGAAGATTGCAATACTCGTCGTGCAGATTTTTCATGACTCGTGAGGTGTGGAATGCAGGACCCAGCATGACAGACTCTGCGAGGCCTATATCATGCCAATGCCTATCGATCCTGCATGAAAAAGAACTCCCGCTAAACTTGCAGGTCAGAAGTGGCCAAATTTTGGTAAAGATCTTCACGCAAAACAGATTTTTGCACGATGCAGACTTAGCATGACAAGTTGCAGTGTGTAGTTCCAGACCCAGATCGGTATCTGCAATGCATATCGCGCACAAAGGACTGGAAAGAACGACCTGTATGGTTGCTTTCGTGCTCTCCTTGTTGCCTGGTTTTCTTCCGGATGGCTTCAATTTTTTCCTTTTTCTCGAATATTCTGAGTAAAAACGTCCCCACCCCAGAGCTGTCATGCAAATCTGCACGCCAGAAAAGTTTCTCAATTGGAGCCCCATGAGAGACATGCTCCCGCCGTGTTTTGAAATTTGTGATGCTAGTATCAGCATGATATGCTAGATCTGCGACGCTTCCGAACTAGCTAAACAGGATTACACTACGAGGGTAGACTTCTTGTCATGCGAAACAGCCAAAGCTGGTTGATTTGTCTAGCAGATTTCCCATCTCTACTCTGGTGGGGGGACATTTTTCCTCAGGATATCGAACCTGGACGGTTTTGGAAACATGGTTTGGAAAAAGGTCGTATCCTGTGCAAAAGCATCGTACTCGTATAAATGCAAGTCTTCCATTACAAATCTTTTTCATAAGGCAAATCCGCATTACAAATTTTATTTCTCATGCTGAGGAAATTTGTAATGCATTTATACGAGTATGATACTTTTGCAGTTCATAGGTCGAGAATTTCTTCTCCGGCACATCTCCGTACTCCTTGCTGATTCCCTTGCCTTGAATATTCATGAAAAACGTTTTCTTCCGCTTCACGACCTCCGCCGGGTCACAATCGTTCGCCGCGCCATATCAAATGCAAAAATGTCTGGGTCTGGAAGAATGCATGTTTGTCATGCTTGTCTGGGATGTTGACTCTTAAATCTGTCATGCACGTTGCCAAAGTGCCCAGTTGTTCTGTCATGCAGAAACGCAGTTTGTCATGCAGACTAGGCAACACCTAGAAGCTCAGAAAGTTGTCATGCTGCGCCAGCACTTGTGGCCTCCTCCTGATACGCCACTCAGCATCACAAGTTTCCAGACCCAGACATTTTTGCATTTGATACGCCACGGCTGTGACACAAGTGAAAGAGGTTGTTCTCGTTGAGTAGTCGGAACCGGTTCTCGGACAGGCAATCCGCGCAGCCGATTTGCATCGCGTGGCCGGCGATACAAACCGGATTGAAGTCGGCGTAGGAGTTTCTGTCATCTTGTTATCAACATGAAAAATCCCCCCTCCCCATATCAAAGTGGTAATCTGTGTTGCGGGATTTGTGTATGTCTTGCAGTAGAGGAGTGCAGGCAGATGCAAAGCCTGGAAGGGGCTGGCTAGAGGTGGGCGCTCAGCATCGCAGACGTCTGCCCTGTTGGCGCAGCAGCATTACAAACCGCCTGCGTAAAGTGGCGGAAGCTCTGGTGGCGTTGCTCTCTTGCAAGACAGACCGGATTTGTGAAAACAAATCAGCATCACAAATTTTCAGAAGGATGCTTTTTCGATATGGGGAGGGGGTGATTTTTCCTTACGATACTTGTTCCCGGGCTTCCAGCGGCGCTTGAATAGAAGGATAATTGCTCTCCTCTCCATCTCCGCTGCTCGTACTACTAGGTGCTCCGCCGTCGGTACTAGGTGCTGTTCCGGCGGTGTGAAGATTTTTTTTACCTTGTTCCAGCAGAAGGGTGACTTGATCTGCCGATGCTTCTGCTATCTCACCACGCTTAGAAGAAGTGCCCTGCTCTGGTCCTGCAGGGTCGTCTATATCCACCTTCGTGCTCATCAACATCTTCTCGTCGTGTAGTTGTTGGTCGTGCAGATCTGCTGGCGAAATAGTTCTAGCTTTCCTACTTTTTTCCCTTCGTACTCCCTCTAGTACCGCTTGTTCTCCTTCGTGCTCTTGCTCTTCATTTGCTGGGGTCCTCGTGATGAAAAAGGATTCGTTATTCCCCTCGTCGTGGTCTTCTACTTCACTTCCGTGGGGGTTTACAACATTCCCGCCAGTAGTTGTCTTCGTTGATCTCGCCAAATTTTCGAAGAAGGCCACGGTCGTCTGCAACGCACACTTGCTCAACACTGACACGCTGTATGAACTGCAAAACTATCGTATTCGTATAAATGCATTACAAATTATTTCTCTGCATGAGAAATAAAATTTGTAATGCTGATTTACCGTAAGAAAAAGATTTGTAATGCAAGATTGCAATACGAGTACGATATTTTTGCACAGGATACGCCATGCAGTTCCGCGAACCCCGGGCGGTGGAGACAGTAGCCGGGCGGTATCGTGAGAAGGATCCCCCCTCCCCATACTCACAATGGAAATTTGTGATGCTGATTTGCGGCCACAAATCAGCTTTGTCTTGCATATGAGGCAAATGGGAGCCGCGTGGCGCACTCCACAGCCAAGCTGTCATGCGCTTTTGCCTACTGCAAAGCGGTCTGTCATGCCTGAGTGCTAACCTGAATTTGCATACCTAATCAGGCCTAGGAAATGCCTGCAAGCGCTGGCTGCAATACAGCGCTGATTTGTGTACACAAATCCAGCAACATAAATTTTCGTTTCAATATGGGGACGGGGATTTTTTCACTTTGATAGGCGGGCCGTCGTCGCGCCCGTGCTTGTACAGCATCAGCTTGCCCGCTTTGTTATTCTGTGCACAAGTATCGCACTCGTATAATAAATGCAAGTCCTGCATCACAATCTTGTTCCCAAGGCAAATCAGCATTACAGATTTTATCTCTCATGCTGAGGAAATTTGTAATGCATTTATACGAGTACGATACTTTTGCATTTCATATTTGTCAAAAAACGTGTTCTGGCCGTTGGCGAAGAAGTTTATTTTGGAAGACGTTGCCCCCCGCGTAGACAAACTTGTAGTTTCTTCTTCTTCATCACCCTGTTTTGGTATAATTATTTCCGGAGCTACCGCCGGAGCTGCTCCTGCTGCTGCAACGTCCTGCACCAGAAAATTGTCGTCGGGAAGGAAGTATGAATTGCAAAAGTAATATCGTACTTCGCCTATTAGTAATCGCAATCATGCATGACAAGCACAATAAATCTCTCTCTCAAGGTCAAGCTGAATCTACTGGATAATGACAAATTCCGTTTATCATTCTGTCATGCGATAGTTTTCTCACTAGGTACTATCGAATTTGCTTTTGCACATAGGATAGGAAGAGGAAAAACGGACTGAGATCGGGCAGAAACGCCATCGCTTGCTCTTTGCACAAAGTGTTAGCACTTTTCGTTTGGTGCACAACTTCGCCGTTATGTGATTGTTCTTTGTTCCCACAGGGTTCTACATAGACGAAACGGAGTTGCTTTTTCGTCCTCGCGGAAGTCGATTCCGAAACTTCTCGCTGCATGTCCTCCAGGGAGGTGCTCTGTTGTTTTTGTTCCTGGTAATTGTATAATGCGCTCTCCTGCAGACGCTGGTGATGTTCATCCTCTTGGGCAGCTGATGTGCGTAGAAGTTGACTACTGCTCTCCGAAGTAGATTCGGCTGCATTAATTCGATCCCGGCCCGCAGCGGCCTTAGCGAGCTTGATCTGCTGGTCTATGAGAGCGCACAACTCCGTCTCGTTCCCCTCATTTGCATTGCATGAACAGCAATACAGGCACCAGCACACATGGAGCCTGTACATGACAAACTCATGCACCTAGTGTAATACTGTTTGGGCTTCCGGAATCTGTCATGCATAATAGTGAGACAAGGGAGCAATTGGGATTGTGGATTTTGCATGAGAAATGAGACTGAGGGGGAGTTGTGCGCCGTCGTATGGTCGGTCAAAGAGACAAACTCCACAGTGGTTTCATCCAACCACGCCGGCGCCTTGTCCAGTTCTTCTCCCAGGATGAAAATCCTTCCGACCTGGTTCAGCAAGCCGAAGCGTTCGTAGGATATGGTATTCTCAACCGTTACCTTCTCAGCTGTTACATGAATCTGTAATGCAAGAATGGCAAAAGCGCAAGGGGGAAGATTGCAAAAATTGCATTACAAATCCCGCGCAGATTTAGGTCCTGTTTAGCCCTTCGCAAATTTGTCATGCGAAGCAGCTTGATCTTGTGGATCATGATGGTAGTTTCGCATGACAAATTCATGTAACAGTTGGGAATGTAACGTGTGAGAACTCCATATAGGATCGGAGTTGGTTGCGGAGGTCTTCGTCCCCGCCCTTGCTGCTCCAAAAAGTGACGACTATCCAACAAAAAAACACCATCACAATCACTTTTGCACATTTTTGCAATACAAAAATTTTTGTCATGCGCAAAAATGCATCACACACAGTCAAGAGTTAAAGGCGATTTTCCTTTGTGTTTTTGCAATACAAGAAAAATTTGTCATACGAGACAAATTTCTGATGCAAAACCTCCTAAGTGTGATTGTGATGGTGTTTTTTTCTTGGATAACGACGTCAATGGTTCTATTCCGCTGTGGAAGATGGTTGCTGGTGGACCGCAACATGCGGTCGTCTGGTCCTTGTGGTGCTCGTCCGGAGGAAGATGCTGTGTTAGAGCTTTAACACCCGCTAGCATGAGTAGCGGTGAATCTTTAGTGAATTTTGCATGACAAGTTGCAGAGTAGACTGCAGATGCGTTGTCCCTCTTGGTCTTCTGGGGAGTAGGTTCTGCACGCTGCGCCAGAACGAAGTCGCGGCTCATGCGGCGGGCAGCTAGAAATAACCTGGGCGTTCTTGTTCTTTGGGCCATTTTTGCGCCTCCCCGTGCTTGCATCAGAGCACTACAGCAGCATGGCAAAGCACCAAAAAGAAAGGCGGCGAAACGCATGCAACTACGCAAAAAGGCGCGAGAGCAAGGGCGAAAGGACCAGGCCGGGAGCTTTGACGCGTCTATCCGGCAGGCGTGTGAACTCTCCCGGCCTTTTCGGCAGAATATAGACGGGCTGAGGGCAGCAGAGGGCGCTTGTCTTTTCCCTCCGGCCCCACTTCCCAGGGCCTATTTGCGGACTTCCTTGAGCACTTTCTCAGGCAGACGCGCAGAAGAGTAAGAGCCACCCGATCCACCTTCTTTGGTTACATACGCACTACACAGCCCGGCGAGCCCCCGCAAGACCACTTCTTTCGGTCCTGCAAGCGCCACCACGCGACGAGCAGCCCTTCACGCTATGTGGGATGCTTGGGCTCGTGTCCATACCTAGCGCACTTCTCTTTTAAGTACTTACTTAAATGCAAGTCATGCAATACAAATTCAGTGGAAATTCACCCTTCTGTACGCTAACGACCGTCCAAGGCATAATCCGCAACATGCGGTCGTCTGGTCCTTGTGGTGCTCGTCCGGAGGAAGATGCTGTGCTACCTCCGAAACGTTCGTAGGATATGGTGTTCTAAAGCGTTACCTCCTTCTCAGCTGTTACCTGAATCTGTAATGCAAGAATGGCAAAAGCGAAAGGGGGAGGATTGCAAAAATTGCATTACAAATCCCGCGCATATTTAGGTTCTGTTTAGCCCTTCCCAAATTTGTCATGCATACCCGACTGCACCACATCGAAAACCTTTGCACCGTCGCCGAAGCAGCTTGATCTTGTGGATGATGATGGTAGTTTCGCATGACAAATTCAGGTAAAAACAGTTGGGAATGTAACGTTTGAAAACTCCATATAGGATCGGAGTTGGTTGCGCAGATCTTCGTCCCCGCCCTTGCTGCTCCAAAAAGTGACCACTATTCAAGAAAAAAACACCATCACAATCACTATTGCACGCTTTTGCAGTACAAAAATTTTTGTCATGCGCAAAAATTAAAATGCATCACAGTCAAAATTTCTCCGGGTTTACCCTTCTGTTTTTGCAATACAAGAAAAATTTGTCATGCGAGAAAAATTTCTGATGCGAAACCTCCTAAATGTGATTGTGATGGTGTTTTTTTCTTCGATAACCACGTCAATGGTTCTACTACTCCGCTGTGGAAGATGGTTGCTGGTGGTGGACCGCAACATGCGGCTATGGGGTTCTCAGCCGTTACATTCTCAATTGTTACATGAATTTGTCATGCAAAAGCACCATCATCATCCACGCGATCAAGCTGCTTCGCATGACAAATTTGCCTAGGGCTACACAGCACCTAAATCTGTCCGGAATTTGTAATGGTACAGGCGCAACCCTCCCCCTTTCACTTTTCCCTTTCTTGCATCACAAATCCATGTAACAGTTGAGAATGTAACAGTTGAGAACGCCATAGCGGTCGTCTGATCCTTGTGGTGCTCGTCCGGAGGAAGATGCTGTGCTACCTCCTATCCCGGGGAAAAATCCCCCCCCCATATCGAAAAGGTATGTTTCCGAAAATTTGTGTTGCTGATTTGAGGTCACAAATCACATTTGTCTTGCAAGAAGACAAGGGCAGAAGCTTCCGCCCCACTATGGAAGGGGTTTGCCATGCTGTTGGCCCTAAAAGTGACCCGCTTGCCATGCTGAACAACTAGACCCATACGCCCCTACCTAGCATGGGGATTTGGCCGCAGTGCCTCTCTGCAATACAAACCTGATTTGTGTACACAAATCCAGCATCAGAAATTCCGTTTTGATATGGGGAGGGGGGATTTTTCCTTTCGATACCTCCATGCAGCTCCTGGCACTGCTTCCCGATCTCGTCCCCCAGTAGCTCCAAGGCCACGTCCTCCTCGAAATTCTTTTTCGGATTATTGGTCAACCGATACAGCTTCTGCAACTGCGCATCGCTGAGATGCTGCCGCTTCTGCTGCACAAATTGCTTGAGGGAAAAGCTCATCGTATCCAGCTGCCGGATCGGGGCGAGTTGCTATTAAACAAAAAAGTGTTAACGTTAACGGTTTCCGCAGATGGCAGTCACGCATTACAAATTTTGCCTTCCATGCATGCTACGCAATACAAATTTGGGCAGCTTGTTTTCTGGTGCATTACTGCATCACAAATTCCGTCAACGGTAACACTTTTCGTTGTGATAGTTGCCTCGATGAAGATGCTAACTTTATTTGCTGGTGGGAGGTACTTGTCTGCTTCTGCTTGCTCAAGCTCATCATCCCCGAAGCTGCACGCCCGGTCGTGGAGGACGTGGATAGGGAATTCTTCTTCGTGGTAGTTCTTTCCATTTTTGCGGTCTTGGAAGATGCTGTGGACGTCGACCTTTTCAACATCTGGTGCGCTGCGGTCTTCGCCTTCTGACTTTTCGACTTGGACGAGGCCCCCATCTCCATGGCGGCCACTTGGTGTATTTTTATTTGTGCGGGCGAAAAAATATTGCACGCTGTCCAGTGAAGGTCTTGATCATGCGGCAAGAAAAAGAGGACCACGACGTGTTTCAACATTTTTCTCACTGCCGACAGAAAGCTTGTTCTTCTTGTTGTGCGGATGAAGTGGCCGCGGGAGGACATGATCTTCACGGCAACAGCAGCACGAGACTGCATTTTTTGTTTTTTTTTTTTTTTTATATACAAATCACAAGCAAAAAACGGCGAAACTCATCATAGACAACTTCAGATCGGAGGTAGAATTGATCCAGGCTCGTCATCCATGTTTTGTCGCAGTTCGTGACTCGTGGTTCGTAAATGCCATCCGACTCCTTTGCCTCTCGGCTCCAGATCACTGTCTCCTTCTCCTCGTGACATGCTACAGTTGTTCACATGGTCAGCAGGCGGCGAGTCACACCACCGAGTTGTCTCCATCCTCGCTGCGCAAGAGAGTCGACAACTGTAGTGATGCGACGTCGCAGGTGCTATGTCGCTCTTCCTTTTTTCGGTGGTGTTTCTGTACCTGTTCCTAATGTCCTCTGTCCCGCCCCACACGCCTGCGAAAAAATGTCTAAAGGTCGGGCAATCGAACTCCACATATGTGGGTTTTGAAGAATCAACTTTGGGATCCTGAGATGCCATGACATGCATGACTGGGCGCGGCGCTCCTAGATGTTAGATGCTGCTTTTTGAAGTGAATACACAGGAGGAAGGTAGAGAAGAGGCAATTTTTAGTAGAAGTAGTTCATTTTTTAACTTATTCGCACGTTACTATCGCCACAAAAGATATATATCAAGAAGTAACCCATACTCTTTTCTTATAGCTCGCCTTGTTTCGCCTTTTGTCGTCCACTGTCTCTCGTTTTTGACATTTCCGCATTTTGTAGCTCCTTCACACAAAGCCAGTTTGATTTGCATTCAATGCCTCCATCGTGCTTTTTATCCTTTTTGTCTTAGGATCTCTCTTCACAACTTTTCCCCTCCCTCATTCTGCATCACAACTTGTTGCCGCACGAACTTCATTATATCTTCTGCCTTTCTTGTCAGGCTAGGCACTTGTGCACTTCGCAGCAGCTTTTCACGCTGTGCATTTATCTCTTTTGTTCATACATCTTCATTTTTGAGCACAGTGGTCATTTCCATGTTGTTAAAAAATCAAGGACAAGATTGCTGCTTTCTTGTCAGAATCTTTCATGTGTATGTTGAAAAATTTTGCTTGCTCTCTCAAAAGGAGCCAAAGCTACTCTGCGCGTATTTTGTCTGAATGCCGACGAAGTTGCGTACTTGCGTAGGACCTTCTGCTTGTGCTGCATGTCCGTGCTCATGCTACACCAGGATGCTCGGCTCATCCTGTGGGTTTGCAGTTGTCCGCTTACTGCCCCATTTGCATACTACTCCTGTTGCTTTCTGCAGTTGCATCGTCATGCAGAGAGAATAAACGCACCTTCGCTTCTCATGCTCCACCACTCCTGCTTACTTCAAAATTGTCAAAAATAGAAAAAGTCCTCGCATTACAGCTGTTATGCCGCGGGAGGACATGATCTTCACGGCAACAGCAGCACGAGACTGCATTTTTTGTCCTGATAGCCGTTCGCAGTTTTGCGAGTCGAATTTGAATTCGTTGCGGAGCAGGATGGTGGTCCACCTCGACGTGACAACTAATCATCATCATCATCATCATCATCATCTTGCTTAGGTAAATACTTAACTTCAACTACGCGGAAATAAAGAAGGGTACAACTGGAGAAAAAATCCGTCAATATAACTCTCAATCTCAATCAATCTCTTTCAGCCTCAAAGTTTGTTGTTCTCTTTTGCACTCAAAAGAAAACTTTACTTCTGACGATGTTTTCGCTCAAAGAAAGGTGAACTAGTGTATGCATTGTACTACTGCTTCTAGACAACTCCAATCATCTCTACCTGCTGTATCGAACGACCTACTCGCAACATGAAAATTTCTCCGCTGATTGTGATTCTTCCCCGGCCCAGCACCTGAATAAGCCACGGAACAACGACCATGTGCTGGGCTGCAAAAATTTTAGTACCGTCCTCTTGCTCCTCTACTTCGGCGTTCTCGAACACATATCTCCGTTGGTTCTTGAGAGGTGGATTACACGCCATATGGAAAAAGTGATCGCCTGCTTCCCAAGCGACGAAGTGTAGAGTCAGTAGCGCAACAGCCCTCGCGCGAAAATAAACATGGCCAAAAGAGTTTGGTTTCTTGCAAGAAGCAGGACACCATATCGGACGGTCGACACACAAATTATAACCTGAAATGGTACGCTCCTTGGATGACGACGCCCAGAAACAAATATCAAGGAGAGAACCTCAATCATAGTATGTGTGCGCCAGTTTTTTAAGTACATCGGAACCGGGAAGGAGTATACGAGAGGAAAGAACGAGAAACGTAGGTAGTCCTTCTACAAAGGACCACCTCAGCTCTATCCTCCCCCACGGACCTCGAGCTCGATTCCTTTTTTGGTTCAAAATAAACTGTGCCCGACTTGGTAAAAGGCTTCTCAACATGGAAAAGCAGTTCTAGTTCAAAGCTAGATTGATTTCAAAAGCGTCAACGTTGAATAGGCTGCTCTTAGATGAAGCTAAATCTTGCGGTGAAGATATAGCCTGTGTGATCGGAGCTGGTGCGTGTCACAAGTTTCTTTGCGCGATTCCTTGTCTCCGTGATGTAATGTGTGCGGTTGATGTTGATGACTAGGCCTCGTCGCAGTCGTACGGACCGCCTAAAAACGTATCCTCGCAATATGAAGGTTCTCGTGCGTTTCTTTCACTCGGGTGCGCTTTCAAAGATCCTTTACGTTAACGTTGCGAAAAAGATTGATAAAAATGGGGGAGTACTATGATGTGCGTGGGTTGCAACAGTGACGAATAAAAATACGCTCCACGAGTCCGATGCTTCGATCGTTTCGAGTTCACCCATCCCGCGGGGGAAGGGGGAGTAAAGAAAACAAAATGCGAAAGTAAAGATGATAGAAAAGTAGTAGACATCAGCGAGAATAAAAAGGTTCGATAACTTTGTCTGCTGGCAGTGAGCAAAAATCATACACAGATTATAGTTGGAGCTTGGTTATTGTAGAAATCATCTTACGTAGAAGTAGGGGGTTGAGCACTTGAGGTAGAACCACATAAGTAACTACAGCGCAAAAAAAGTACAACAAGCTCCGGGCGGCTCAGTTCTTTTTCCATTGGAAGGTAAACCGTCATCTCCTTCTCCCCCATCAACTACATGATCCCTACTCGAAAAATAAATAAAGTAGAGTTTACTTTTTACTCATACTCCGCACAAGGACGGTGTCGAGGTCGTCGAGAGATGAGGTTTACAATAAGTAGGAAGAGCTAAAAACTTGTTTTGTACATCCTTTGCGGGCGGGAAAGTTGATGAGGACGACGCCGGGTGTCCTTAACAACTTGTTTTCCACCTCTACTCGGTCATAAAGCATGTGCTTGCTCTGCCAAAAGATCAAGATTCCATGTGGACGATCCGAGTTTTCTTTCACTTCAATGTAATGGGTAAAAGTAAATGATCTTTCAGCTTTCAGAATGCATGCATTTCTTGTAAACAAATCACCCTCCCGCAGCTGAAGGGGCGGGCATCACGGGCTACTAGCGTTTTAATACTAGGCCCACCCTTCTACTTCACCAACATGGCCATCGCTCTCCCGTAGAAGCAACTCCGCCTTTTCCACGTCCCCTCCTGATCTGCGCAAAGCTTCGAGCATTCTCCCCCGATCGGTGAAGCCCCTTTTCAGTAAAGCTTCCACCTCGCGTGCCCACCACGAGACCAAAGGTCGCTGCTGTGCGGACGGGGCGGAGGAGGAAGGTGCTTGTGCCCGCCGGTAGTCGCGCCCGACCGGTTCCGCTTTTGAAGAGGCAGATGCAGAACGACCAGATCTACCTTTCTGTTTCCGAACGACCCTCCGGGGCAGTTCCAGTTTCTGCACCGATATGGAGCCGCCACGAGTTGTAGAAGCTTTTTCCAGGAGCACGCTGGCGGGTGGATGAGTCCTCGAAGTAAAAGATCTCGATCTACTCTTATTTTTGCCAGGTTTTTTCACCCTCCGGAGCAGACCTACTCCCGGACTCGGTCCAGGACAGGTGCCGGCGTCATACTTGCGACCATCTTCCTCGCTGCTGTCGCACATGTCGGCCCACTTGTCTTCATTTGCAGTCTGCCGAAGCTCCTGTACCTCCCATACAGTTCGAAAGAGGTCGGGCGCCCCCGGCTCATCAGCTTGTCGCTTTTGTAATTTTGGTCGTGACCTCGCGACGGCCGGATCATGGACCGCGTCGACGTGCTGGTCGGAGTAGTAGAAGCCGGTGCTGCTGGTAGAAGTTCTCATCTTGCCTCTGTCGTTTCCGCCCTCGCTGCCCTCCTGCGGATCCTCGAGAGCCGAACCTGCCAAGCAGAGCGGCGGCTGGTAATAGCCCTCACGGAAAAACGCGGCAACGTCTTCCTTGTTCCATCTCCGTTCGCACTGTCGTTTGAAAACCTCGTCCGGCGTTAGCCCTTTCTGCCGCATCTTTTTCAGGATTCCCGACAGCGTCGCCGGCTCCACCAGTCGGTCGCGGACGCTGTGCGCCACGGCAAGCAGCCAGTAAACCCCCTTATCCGGGTGCAACTTTTCCGCTTCCAGCGTTTCGTCCACCAATCGTTCCGCTTTCTCCACGTCGCCCGCTTTCGCATGACACCCCAGGAGCATGGTGTACGTGATCAGGTCAGGCTGCACCCCTTCTCGCTTCATTTCCTCCACCAGTGCCTGTGCCTGCACCGATGTGTCCACTGTCGCTCCCGCGTAGGCAGACATCAGTGTGTTGTACGTGACCAGGTCGCGGTTAACTTTTTTATCCGCTTTCATCCTCTCCATAATCTCTTCCGCGCCCTGAAACCACGTCTCCTGGTCGTTCTTGTGGGCGTGCATGAGGATCGCGTAGGTGAAGCCATTGGGGGCGATTTTGTTTTGCGGCATATCCACCTCAAAGACCCGATATGCGGCGGATGTATCGCCCCCCCCTGCGTAGGTATGGATTGCAAAAATGTCTGGGTCTGGAAGCTTCTAAACTTGTAATGCTGTCTCTGGATTTTAAAAGAATGTGTATTGCATGACCAGCAAGAGCACTCCAGTTTGTGCTACGCGGAGAGGGCATTTCTGATGCGGTAGAGGCATCACAAACTCCTCTAAAAATATGTGATGCTAGGGCACGCATCACAGACATCATGGGCCATGCAAAATATGCATGACAAACCTGGCAATCTTCCAGACCCAGACATTTTTGCAGTTGATAGTAGGCGCGCATGAGCAAATTGTAGAGGAAAACGTCGGGGGCGAGGCCATCCTTGGTCCCGATCTCGTCGAACACCGCTTGCGCGCCCTCAGCGTCCCCCCGGGCCGCGTGCATTTTCAGCAGGATAGTATACGCGCGAAGGTCCGGCCGCACCAGGCGCCGCATTCGGTCGACCGCGGCTCTCGCACCTTGCAGTAGACTATACGCTTGCATTTCTATTTCCGCCACCGGCTTGTCGTCCTCCACCTGCTTCCCGCGACTACGACGGCAGACAGCGTTTAGTACCTTATGCCCCCTGATGACCTCCTCCGCATTGTTGATATTGTTGGCATAAGCATGCAGTAGCGTTCTGAGCGTGATCGCGTCCGGCTCTACACCCGTACCAACCATGTCATGCACCACCTTCTCCGCGCGCTCGACGTCGCCGGCACTGCTATGGGCCTTCAGCAGCGTTGTGTAGGTGGCAGCGTCCGGTTTCAAGCCCTCACCCTGCAGTTCCTCCAACACGCGCTCCGCACCCGCGGCGTCGCCGGCATTGCTGTGCGCCTTCATTAGCGTCGTGTAATGTGTGGTGGCCGGCTGGAACCAAGGCCTACGCTTCATGTTTTGCAGGACTCGCTCCGCACCGGCGGCGTTGCCGGCCTCGGCGTAATATCCTGAGTAAAAACGTACCCACACCAGAGTCAGGATGGGGATTTTGCAACACAAACCTAGGAGTTTTGTGAGTCACGCATCACAAGTTGCACTATGCAGTGTAGTGCAGGTTAGCAAGTGCAGCCGCGTCACAGATTCATCTGCTCATCCTGTTCACAGCATCACAAATTCCAAAACACGATTGGAAATGGCTCTCATGGGGATGCGCATTACAAGTCTTCCTGTCTTTGCAAATCTGCATTACAACTCTGGTGTGGGTACGTTTTTACTCAGGATACGTAAGCCTCCAAAAGCGTTCTGTACGTGGACAGCAGAAATCTGCGGGAGAAGTCGTCCCCCTTTATTTCATTATCCACTGCAAATATGTCTGGGTGTGGAAAGTTGGAACTCGCAATGCTAGCTTTCCATTGCTAGGATTAGGAAATCTGTATTGCATATATAACCAACAAAAGCCGCAGCCTCTTTTGTCATCCGAAAACGCAGTGTCTCATGCGGGGTTCCTATCCGAAAGCGCTCTGGAAAGTTGTCATGCTGGGCTGCATCCGGAACTGTTTCCATCATACACATTTTCGCATCACAAATTTCCAGACCCAGACATAGACATATTTGCAATTCATATTTATCTTGTGTCAACAACTCCGGGTCGTGCGGCTCGATTTTTTCTGTTACGACTTTTTGCGCGCACGTGATCTCTCCCGCAACAAGGTACGCCTTCACGAGAGTCAAGTAGGTGACCATGGTGGGCTTCAATCCTGTCTGGTGGTCCCCACTGGGGTCATCCTTCAGTTCGGCCAGGAGCGCCTCAACTTTTCCCACTTCGCCTCGCCTTGCGTACGCGCCCATCAGTGTGTTATACGTGTAAACGTCACGACGGATTCCTCTTCTATCGTTTTATCAAAGGGAAAAATCCCCCCTCCCCATAACTAAACGAAGTTTCTGATGCTGGATTTGCGTACACAAATCAGGTCTGTTTTGCTGGAGAGGACTGCAGGCATATGCTAAGCCTGGGTCGAGAGGTTTTGACGTAGGGGACTAGCATGACAGATGTCGGCTCTGTAAGCCCAACAGCATCACAAACCACCGGCATAATGCGGCGGACTCTCTGGCTTTGCCTTCCCGCAAGACAGATAGGATTTGTGACCTCAAATCTGCATCACAAATTTTCAGACGAATACGTTTTCAATATGGGGAGGGGGGATTTTTCCTCTCAATACGTTTTGCATCCTTCTCAGTACTTCTTCCGCTTCCGATATCGCACGAAAAAAGTGTTACAGTTACACATTTGTTGTCAATTCAGCAACACAAATTTCTTTGCATGAGAGAGAAAACTTGCAATGCAGAAATCCTACGGGAAAACACCTATGAAACGAAGCTCCTATGCATATCCGGCATGACAGAGCTGGTCTGTCGTGCTTGGCCTGCAACACAATGTGTAACTGTGACACTTTTTTCTTGCGATATCCGAAGCCTGGTCTGCGGCCGCGTACACGGTCAGCAGGCTGTTGTACAGCCGACGCAGGTTGCCCTTGCTTAGGAAAAATATGTGCGCGACTTTGAAAATAGCCTCGGCCGCGGCCGGGTTGGCCATAAGCTTCGCCTGTTCCATTTGCGCCTTCACAGGTCGCCACGGGTCGTCGTTCGCTGCCTCCTGCAAAGCATGCTCAAGAGCATCCTCAGACAACAACTCCACCTGCTCTCGTCCTCCTCCTCCAGCCGCCCTACGACTACCACTCCTACGGCTGCTTCCGTTATTGTTCCCTTTCCCCGGCAGAAGGTGGTCTTGCTTCGTCCCTTTACCGCCCCCGCCCTTGGTCGACGTCGTGTTTCGACCCTTGACATTACTCCCCTTAGTACTTCCTCTCCCCGGAGGACCGGTCCCCCCCAAGAAGCCGCGCGCGCTTTTGAAGTCCTCCGACGTAGGTGCGAACATGTTGAGCCTGAGAGCTGCGACGCCCGTAGGTGGCACTGTCACGTTTGGCGGCGCAGTCAGTACATGATCAACACAGGGAAAAAACAAATCACGAACCAAAAAAACCCCGAAACCAACCAGACCTGGGCCAACAGGCAAGGCGCGGCGCGTTGCCATTGACGAGGAGACGCGCATTCTTGTTTTGCTTTTTCCTTTCCGATTCCGTTTCGAGTCCAAAAATAAAGAAATAGAAAATAGAACTGACGCAAAAGATAGCTTAGAGTTCTTGTAGATGAATCTTTTTCGCCTTGATACAGATCAAGCGGAGTGGAGAGTGAGAAAATTGATTATGATTGTAGTTGTGTTGTATATTTTTCCACCACATAAACCAATTGAGGGCTGCCTCATCCACCTCTCCGCAGTAAAATTTCGATGATTTATAGACTTTAGTTTCGCAACAAGATTGATTCAGACAGAAGTTTTCGCCGTGGTCATACAACGAACTACACCAAAAGAGATACACTTTGCACGATTTTTATTTTTTCCGAGCGGATACTAGTAGTAAGACAAACAGTTTTCGTTGTAACAACGTCGACAAGGTTTATAATCCAAGGACTTCGCAGAGGTTCAAAATATTGTAACTTTGATCCTTAACGACCTGTTCGATTTTTATACAATGCACGGACAACATCTTTCGAGAAGTAGTAGTTGCGGAAATTCATGAAACCAGCAAGTTGTGAGTGACATAGCATGCTCCGACCACTTTCACCGATGAAACAGAATTTAGATTTACCATCAAGGAATTCCAATGATTCTTCCAAGGCTAGTATTATTTTTTGAAGATTTAGTAGATCTTTGCACCGTTCTTGTTCTATTCGGAAAAATTAAAATACCTTGGGATCTTGCATCAAGTAGATGACCTTGACGTTGACCATTTACGGTGCGAAAACAACCAATTATTTAGATGACCATGGGATCTTGCATCGAGTAGATGAGTGATGACCTTGTTGTTGACGTTGACCATTTAAATTTATTCTCATTGTGTGAAAACAATAATCCCCTGCGAAATGAACAAACCGACTCAGTGTTCTATCTTCTTGAGAGCAACAACCGATACATTCATAATCGAACTTGAACTTCTGTACTCGTTTATTTTGACCTCCTGGCTCCTTCCAAGCGGAAGAACGGTTCGGTCGTTCTCGGGGTGCTTCTTGATCTACTTCATGGCATCTAAGTATACATATTTTCAAAAGCAAAAGTGTCGGGTCAACATGTGCAGCTGCCTCCACGGGGGGCCATGACAACGGTGCAAACAGGTAGTTGCCAGAAGCGCTGCAACAACGCTCGTGCGTGCACGAACATTCGAAAGATGCGGACGAGATGTTGGATTAGGCGCTTCGCCTCCTGCTCCTTCAAAGGGGTAACTAGTACAGGCAAGCAGTGTATACAACTATTTATCGCATTTGTGGGCATCAAGCAGTAAATGTAAATGATCGCAAGCACAACAAGCTATGTGTAGTATGTAGAACGAGAAGGAGAACCTGAACCTCGCTTGTTTTTGTTAGCATTAAAAAAAAAATAAGAAGCCATCAAACGCGGCGAAACAAGAACGGTTGATTCCCTACAGCTGCAGGGCTCTCCATCTGCTACTGCTTTCTCTATCTGCCAAAAATAAATAGGAAGGTATTACTATCGTACATATGTCAATAAAATTCAAATTCAAAGTGATAGTGAAACTCATGCGGTGCATGAGCAAGATCGTTGTGGACCTCTACTGCCCGGACCCTTGCTGGCGATAGTCCTCGTCCCGGCGAAAAAAACGACCTCACTACTCCCACCTCCGCGCAGTGCAAACTAAGTACCGGGCTGCAACAGGAAGGAGTTCATCCGCGCAGGAGTCCCTGTCCCCTCGAAGACGACCTCCCGAGGACTCCGGTCCCTTCCCCGCATGGCCGCGTTGTGTTCCGCAATCAGGTTCAAAAATGTATTTGACGGCGGCCCGCGATACAGAACGGGATAATGATGTTGCTCTTGATGTTTCGGGAGATCTTGTTGAACATCTCCGGCTAGTGTTCCTGCTGCACCGGCAGGAGCACCATAACTTCCCGTAGTTGCGTTCACCACACGATTGATTGTGGGCTGATTGTTGTGGTGCAACTGGTGGGGAAGGTGAATCACTTGCGGAGATTCCCGCTCTTGTTCTAGTAGTCCACTAGCAGGAGCACCTCCACAGCTCGGAGAAAATATCACGCAAGATTTTTGGGACGGCGGGGGCCCGCTCCTGGCAGAGGACGGTAAGAACCTTCCCGGGACAACTGCTGGTCCCTTCGGGCTTCGGCTCCGACTCTTCGCGCGCTTGATGTTGAATTCTGTTGTTGACTCCAAAATGTTATCACCATTTTTAATACCGCCGGGGCTTCTACTTCTTCTACTTCCTGCAAGTAGAACAGCTCTTGCACCGGAGGGGGAAGACCTACTTCGTGTTCGTAGGTGAGAACTGGCACTACTTTCATCTATCCTGTTCCCAGTTGGCGACACGAAACGCGTCGAAGTACTGGCGCGGGGAGAACTTCTCGTCGCGAGTTGTGAAAATTTCTGTTCCCACATTTTCTCCTGCTCCTGGAGCTTTTGCTGCCATACGGTTTCTGACTCGAGACGCCGGGCCTGATCAGGTGGAGAAGATAATTGAATCACATTTTTCGGTGGATGAAGATGAATTTATGTGTACACCCTCTGTTGAAGACGCGACATGCTGCACCCGTTCACTTGGTATGTAAGAGTTTGAAACTATATGAAAATTTCCCAAAAAATCACAAGCAACTTCCAAAGTACCTCCGCCGCCTCCTCCAGTTCCCGCATCTTCTCCTTCATTTGTTCGTCGAAAGCTCCCGCATTTCGCGCGTCCTCCTCCGCAATTCGCTTTTTGAACATGCTTATGGATTGCAAAAATGACTGGGTCTGGAAGATTGCAACTTGTCATGCTAAATCCGACTCATGCAAAAATCTGTGTTGCATGAGTACCAAAAGCTGTCCACTTTCGACCAAGTTGGGAGGGAGAATCTCATGCAGGATAGGCATGAAAGAAACCTCAGAGACTCTGTCATGCTAGGTCCCGCATGCCAGACCTCAACCTCAAGGGTCATGGAAAACCTGCATGACAAGTTCACACTCTTCCAGACCCAGACATTTTTGCATTTGATAATGCTCATCAACGCGTTGAGCTCCGTCTCGTGCTCCGCTTTCAATTTTTTCACTTGCTCCTGTAATTCCCAATTTTCCCGTTGTAGCGAGTTTGCTCTGCGACCGTGTCTGTCCAAATTCCGCTCCAGGTCCTGATACGCAGAAATCGCGTCTTGCTTTTCCTCCAGAGCCTTTTTCACAAACAGGTCCCGCTCTTCCTCAAATTTCCTGCGCAGCTCCGGAATTTGTTTTTCCTCCAGAATTTCCTTCTCCCTCAGCCACTGTTTCTTCTCCTTGGCCAGAAAATCCCGTTCGGAACCTAACTTCGCGTTCTCTGCCGCATGGAATTTCACCTTTTCAGTTAACTGATTCACCTCGTTTTTCATGGAGTCACACACCTGTGTGAATTCCCTCGCTTCGGTGTCGTTCTGGTCGCTGAGCTGCTTGCATTTCAAATTCAATTCCCGCAGCTCGATCTCCTTCAAGTAGTCTAATTCACTTTTTGTCTGTTCCAAGCAGTCCGCAGTCTTGTTGAGAAGCGTTGTTTTCTCTTCCAAGTCTTTCTCCATCAATTTGTATTTTTTCTTCATCTCAATGTTCTCTTCCAAATACTGTTTGCTATCCCGTTTCTATCGTGAGAAAAAAGTGCTACAGTTACTTACACACTCTGATGGAAGACAAGCAAGACAGACAACCTCTGTCATGCAGGAAATGCTTGCCTGTCTCGGTTCGTGCGTTCTCTTATAGTCTGCGCATTACAAGTTTTCTTTGCCATGTCGAGCGAATTTATCATGCTGAAATTCCATAGCAAATGTGTAACTGCAACCCTTTTTTCCTGTGATAGTATCGCCTTTTTCCGTTGGTGGATCAGTTCCCGCATCTGATCTTGCAAGTCCAGGATGAATTTCTTCTGGAAATGCTGATTGCGGGAGTCGGAAAGCTCGGAGAGGTACTGGTAATTCGGCTCTGGTGGTGGTGGATGTTGATGTGCGAGCGAATGTTGAAACTGCTCTCGTCCACCACCTCGCGGGGGAGTCGTATTTTTCACATTTTTACCTCCAAATCTACTTCTTATCAACAACTCTGGAGAACAAGTTTTTCGCCGGCGGCTGGGTGATGTTACGGCGCTATTAGAGTTTATTTCACCGTTTCTTCCAAATTCGAGGCCTCCTTGCAGCTGGGTAGAAGAAGTGTTCCCTGGGCTGATTCCCCGTCTAGTAGTAGTTGTGCGACTTGTTCTGTTCCAATTGGTGCGCGCATCAACATGTTGTCCTTGTCCTGGCGACAGAGATGAAAGTGGAAAGGGCAACCGAAATTGATTCGTGTCGTTCTTCCTTGAAACTAGAGCCGTTTTCTTTTCATCAGTATGAAGTAGATCATTATCCGGCGGTGGCGTTCGGTCGGAAATCCCGGATTTTGCGGACAGTTTGACGCTTTTACTCAAAAAAACCCGGCTCTGGGTCGAATCGAGCACAAAATCTGCTGCTGCTGCACCAGCAGCTCCCGTAAAGCTAGACCCACCGCCCGTCTGCGTATTCATTTTCTGAGCAACGTCCGTTCGCGATTGATCGTGTTCCGCCAGCGCGTTCCTTGGCGACTTCGCACCACGAGATGGAGTTCTTGTAGTAGATGAGAAACTTCTACAATTCGGCACCCCAAACGTCGGCGGCAAGGGAGACAGCTTGCGCTGCCCGATTAATTCGAAAGTTTTTTCGTCGTTCCTCTCCTTCACTACCTGCGCAGGAACGCGGCCGCCGCCAAAGTTTTCGTTTGTTGTTTGAAGAATACCGGTCTTGGGCTGGTCCTCGTGGAGGTTTTCGTCTAGTGCGTCTACAACTTCTGGTGCTCTTGCTCCTCGGGTAGTTGTACTCAAAATTTTTGAAGAACTCGCATTCTTAATGTTCTTGGCTGCAGATGACCCGATGTTGAAACCAGGATTGTTCTGTCCATCGCACATGTTGAAAATGTCGAGGTCAAATTTGAAACGTGAGGAGCCCGTCTCTGCTGCTTGAAAAATATTTCCAAAGGCAGAAGAACTCGTGCTTGTCGCCTTTTCCGGATTATTCGGCGGAGGGGTTAGCACAACGGCTCTACTGCTTTTTATCTTCGTCGCAGAAACGGAAGTAGAACCTGCACCTCCACTACTGCCAATTGTACCCCCACCCCTGCTCGACGACGCCCGCGGTGTCCATTGCGCCTTTGACGAGTCTTGTTTCACCCGTGTCCCATTCGCCTCCTCGGCGTTTGTTTGGTACTTTCGCAACAAAGAGGATTTCGTTTGCGGGATGTGCACCGCGGTGGCGAGCATTTTGCACACGGATTCTTGCTGCGAAACTTTCCTGGTAGCAGCCGCCGTCGTCGTGTTCGTGGAAGAAGCGCGTCGGGGCGTGGTCTGTGGCGTGGAAGCGGAGAGGGCGTCGAAAGTAGGAAGCGGTGGGAAATGTTGTTGGCCTCCGACTAGCCCCTTATTCATTTCATCGTCCTGAACAAAGACAGTGGCTCCATGATTCCCCACCTGTTCTTGCTGCTCCCGTTTCCAAACTTCCAGCTGTTTCCTCAGCAGCAATTGCTTCTTCCCCGTAGTGCGGGTCAGCGTGTTGGGCGTCGTGTGCAAGGCGTGCGGATCTCTTCTCCTGGAAGAGTTAGAACTGGTACAACTCCGAGCGCTGCCACTACGTTCTTTCGACGAGCTGGTGGATGCAAGTCTACCTCCGTGGTTGAGCTTCACCGGACTTTGACTATGACTTTCACCGCCACGCATCACAAGTTGGTTGTTGATCTTCGCAATCTGGACAGGGGCTGGAGCGGCCTGGTTCAGAATCTTACTCGTCGTGGCCCCTATTTTCATCCCGTTTGAAGATGCAGCTCCGTCAAGACCCTCTACACCCTCGAAGTCGTCCACCTCTGGATTCAAAATCACCTCCGCAGTTGTCGCAGAGGAAGAGGACGAAAGTTCGTCCTCGTGAAAAGGCAAGGAAAGAACGCCAACGCCCCCTCCTACTGCTCTATTAACAACACCAGCACCTGGACGAGGCTGTGCTTGCGTGAAAACTGCTTGTGAAGATCCTGGCTCTACTACTTCGCTTGCCCCTGAAGTGGTCCTCCTCCGGATATTATCTGTTTCGCTGTTCTTGTTCGACGAACCAGCACTACCCGCACCCGGGGGGTAGAATTGAAACGTGGGGAGGTGCTGATGAACGAAGCTATTCACTCGACCAGCATCGACAAACGCCGATGGCTTTTTCAAATTCTTGTTTGGAGTTGATGAACTTGGTCCTCCGCTGGTGTCAAGAACTACAGGAGTCTTCGTTTCATGATCTTGATTCCCGGTCGTCATCCCTTCAGGAGGAACAATAATCGTGCCGAAAGACGGGACGCGGTTGGGGGAAGAGATAACATCGTGCTCCAGGTTCTTGCGCGCAGCGCTACGCGGTGCTGCTGCAGCTGCTGAGTGGTCGTGGTCCATGTCCACGTTAGTACTGTACGCACACGAATTACTGCTAGAAGTGCCGGAAGATATCGTGGCACGACGACCACTTGATGCGCTACCATTGTTCTCCGCAGATGAGTTGCTGGACGAGGCTGCCGAAGTAGAGAGCGCGTCAGCGGCGGTTGTCGTTGCGGTGCCACTCACCAAGTCGAAAAGCTGCTGTTGTGCCACCTTGTCCTGGGTTTGATTTGCATTTGTGTTTGTCTTGCCAGTTTCTAACATGACAGCTGCCTGCTGTTCAAAACAAACTTCGTCCACCGCTGATGAGGAGACGGAACTGTATGAAAGTGCACAACTCGTCCCCCTCCCCCTCATTTGTCATGCATACCCGACTGCACCACATCGAAAACCTTTGCACCGTCGCCGCAAGCAGCTACGGCCGCAGGAGATCTAGGGTCAGAACCCTCATTTGTCATGCAAAATTCCAAATCCACCATTTGCCTGTTGGCACTGTTTGCATGACAGATTCCGGAATCCAAAACAGCACTGCAATCCCCTAGGAATTTGTCATGCAAAAAATGCATCTTTGCCAGCGCTTGCGTTGCTATTCATGCAACACAAATGAGGGGGAGGGAGAGTTGTGCACTCTCATAAACTGGGCGGACCGTGCACAACTATCCGGTACCGTTCCTTGTACCGCTTTAAAATCTCTTCCTTCTGCTTCTCCAACTCCTGTAAAGACTTTGTTCCGCGTGACGAAGAACTGGAAAGCCTTGATGTCGACGATTTATTGATATTCCTCGAGGGGGCTCCTGCAGTGACAGTATCTTTCTTCCTTACCGATGAACATGATGTTGAAGACGCGCCTCCGTGAAGAACCAGCTGCTCCTCTTTCTGCAGTGCCTGGATCTCCTTATTCACGCTGAGGAGCTTCTGTTGCAGCTGTTCGAAGGTTAAGGAAGGTGAAGTTTTTGCACTAGTAGCCGCAACATCTACAACTTCCAATTCCTCTGGTCGTGGATCCAAACACCCCGTAACGACGCGCGACGAGGAAGATGTAGAAGTCTTTAACATTGTGCTTCTTGAACAAGCGGGCGACGCTGGAGATTCTTCTTCCCCTGCAGATGATGAAATTGAAACACCTTGAGGTGGAGCTTCTCCTGCTAGTTCTGAATCAACAGAAATTCGTCCACAACCACCTGGGGCCGCTGTATTGGTCGTGCCAGCAGGTGGTGGTCCAGGTCCTCGTCTCTGCTCAGCATTGCAAACTGCGACCTCGACTTGTTCCTGTACTTCCTTCTCATCTTCGTGGGTCTCGGAATCCTCGTTGGAGGAATTTTTATCTTCTTCGTCTTTTTCGAAAGAATGTTCCATTTCGTCTGGTTATGCAAGAAAAAAACTGTGTAAGTGTAAGTCTGTCATGCAAAGTGTGCAACACTGTTGCACTTGTCGTGTTATCCAACCATGAAGTCTTATTTCGTTTGTGTTTTCACTTATTAGCTGCCCACGACAGGCTTTGTCTAACATGCAGAACAGATTTGTCATGCTGTCACCTCAAGACACCTACACTAACACAATTTTTTTCTTGGATACTGGTTTCAAGCTCGGAAGACTGATGCTCGGACTCACGGACCGGTCTCGCATGGACTTGTGCAACGATTTTACCGGTTTGTGGAACATCTTTTTTGTGTATTCACAATATGGTGTTAATCGTTGTGGAAAATCAAAATGTGTAGCAAATGATCAGGCTTGTTAGCCGCAGCGGTAGCCGTATTCACAGTGGGGTACAATCATATATTCTCTTAGTTCATCTTCATCTGTTCTGCGGTTTTTATAGGGATTATTTTTCAAGGTGTAGCGGAATCGCGTGATGAATGAGTGTAGCACGAGCACTCAGCTAGTCGTGTATGTACTCTTCAGCGATTGCAAAAAATTTCGCCTTACTTTCCTACCCGGTTTTTCATGATCTCCACCCCCCACCCGCTTTCCCGCCCGTTTTTGCCGCCTTTTTGCAACACGCTTCTTGTTCTTGTTAAGAACAGGCCTTTGCACGCAAAAGAAAACAAATGTCTACAAAGTGTTTGACTTCGCACGGTCGTAAGAACTGCTCGATTTATTGTTCCGGTTTTTTTCATCTGCACGAAGTTTGAGGCACGAATATTGAACGAGAGCACACATCAATTCGAAAAGTTCAAAGGTGGTAGATGTGAACGAACGGAGGCGAGAGCGCAGCTACTTTGATGCTGACATATGTTGCGATGAACTTTGGCAAAATGGAACGACTAGACTACTACGACATGATCGGAACTCGTTGCACGAAAAATTATGTGGAAGACGACGTAAGTACCAACGTTGTTACTAGGAGTAGAACGCGTTTTGACCAACAGCAACAGGCAAACAAAGTCAAATAAAACGAAGAAGACCAGCATCGGCGCAATATCCTTCAAGTAGACGAAAGTCGTGCGGAACACGAACATTACGTATTACGTCGAGGGATGGTGATCTACCTGTAAGGCGGTCCATAGGACGGCGGCAATGTGCCTCTTTGCGTGCTCCAAAGGAACACCTTCTTGACACCTTGTTTAATGTACCGTTCAAAGTCATGACCTTAGTTCTGTACCGAAGAAGTGCTGTGTCGGAACTCTTCTAATGGCAGATAAGCGTCCACTTCTAAGTTGTCACGACTTAGAAACTCTTCTAATGGTAAAGAAAGTTCATCTGAAGGGACCACATCAAGAACTCCAACAACTCGCACCAACAAAGCGATGTTGGATTTGTTCTATCTTGCGGCACTTGTTCTACATTTCTTCTTAGTTACTCGCCACCAGCACGCTATTCCGCCACACGCCGTTTTGGATTTCTCTTTTTAAAATCTTCGTGTCGTCTCCCTCTAATCCATCTGCGGTTCTGTTGAATCCGCCCAGGTTGCTGAACACCGTCGACTATCAAATGCAAATATGTCTGGGTTTGGACGGATGCAAGGTTGGTCATGCTGTTTTTGCATGGCACAGAAGGTCTATCATGGCAGACCTAGCATCACAGATTTCGAGAAGCAGCCTCTGCAATGCCTAATCTGCATGACAGATCTCCCATTTTGGTGACAGGAAGTGGCCATCTTTTGCTGCCTATGCATGAGAGAGATTTGTGGGCGTTGTGAAATACGCATCACAAGTTCGCGCCCTTCCAGAGGACCCAGACATATTTGCAATGCATATCGACACCATTCTCCCGCGGCCGTGACGTCTTCCCTGCTCAAAAATCCCCTCGAAACGGACCTGTTCCAGCAGGTAGGACGCCTTTCCGCGGCGTTTCGGGTAGTGATAAACACCGAACCCGTGCATTTTGTCGTGAAGAAACTCACCGACGTAACTAGAATTGTTCGCATTCATGTCGCCACTACTTGTACCTCCACCGCCACCGCCACCGCTTTCCCACTGGCAGATTCCGAACCCGTTCCGTTTGTTATTCGCGTGCTGCCCCACGTAGAGATCGAAAACTAGGTGTGCGGATATGGAAGCGTCAGGTTTGAAATCGCCAAAGTTGAAATGATTTGTCATGCATAAAACTGATACCAGTTACCTACAGTTTGTAGTCGGTGCATGACAAATTATCCCGGTCCTGGAAGCGAGTCTGTCATGCGGCTTAGGGCAAAAGAGCTGGCTTCTGTTATGCTAGTCAGGAGTCCAACTTTTGACCCTTGCCAGGACTATACTCTGCCTCCCGTGCGTCCTCTGCAATAGAGTCAGTTTTGGTATCTTCGCATTTTATGCATGACAAATCATTTCAACTTTGACGATTTCGATCCTGACACTCCCATAGCGGAAGACATACTAGTACTCGCTGTCGCACCTTCTTGTTCCTTCAAAACCATGTTTTTCGCCCGTTGACTTCCCGCCGATGCCAGATTCTGTCGCGTCGACATAGTAGCCGCAGTTTTGTCCCACAGCTCGAACCCTGGGCCCTCTTTCCGCCCGTTGCGCCACAAGCCGTAGTAGATCGGAGCAGCAGGAGGTTTATCTTTATTTAGTATCGCGCTTCTAGAAGAATAATTTCCCATTGCTGTAGTGCTAGTTCCGTTAGTAACGCCACTGCCCCTCGTGGACGATCGTGCAGCTGTTGCTGGTGTGAACAAGCCGACGCCGTGCGGTATGACCTTCGTTTTCCCGCGGCCATCTCGCCCTTGGATTACCACGTGCTCGCCCTGGTAAAATCCGTTTAACTCCGGAATTTCGACCAATGGCAACTCGCTCAGATTTCTCCTCCCGTGGTCCTCCCCGAGCCGGTATGCACTGCCAAAATGTCTGGGTCTGGAAGGATGAGACTTGTCATGCTGTCTTTGGATTCTAGAAGAATCTGTATTGCGTAAACCGCAAGAGGAGTCCAGTTTTTGTTCACGCGGAGAGGGCATTTGCCATGCGGTATAGGCATCAGGAAGGCCTCACAAAATCTGTGACGCTGGCGCATACATCACACACATTATGGATCATGCAAAATGTGCATGACAAGTCCTCCAATCTTCCAGACCCAGACATATTTACATTTGATAGCCGCGCGATTCGCTCCGCGATCGCTTGCATTAGCGTTGGTTGCAGCTTCTGAGGTGAAGAGGATTTATTTCCTGGTCCTATTATCCCGAGATATTCCTGCACCAAGGTCGGGATCTGCGGTTTGTTCATATGTTTTGCACCACCTCCAGCAGCTCCACGAAGACCATTTCTATTAAACTCCTCTGCGTACTCCTGGTCCTGCAGTTTATGGTTTGTCAAGGACTCCCGAAACTGAACCTCTGGGTCGTTTATGCAGTGATAAAGGATCGCACTCGTATAAATGCATTACAGATTTCCTCAGCATGAGAAATAGAATTTGTAATGCTAATTTATCTTAAGAAAAAGATTTGTAATGCATGATTACAATACGAGTGCGATGCTTTTGCAATGCATATCATTCGCGAACATCTTGTCGAAGAGAAAATTCACCGGGAACGTGCCGTCGTCCTGGAGATACTGCTGCAGCTCCGTTGAAAGCGGGGAGAGAAGTTTTGGTGAATAAAAGTGGTCTTGTTCTTCATCTTGTCGTTTGATATTAGGAACTGCCATTTTGTCACTCGTCGTTGTCGTCCTCGTCTCGTTCGATGCAGCAGAAACTCGTGGTCTATGTCTATCGAATGCAAATATCGTCCCTGGGCTAGTACGTCTGGAAGCAGATTGGACGTTGCGAAATGGAGGTTTGTACGAAAATGCACCTCGTCGCGGCGGTGGACCATGCAGCTGCACATCGTTTGGGGAACAATGCGCACAGATGAAGCTGCACCACAGATTTATTTGCGAGACGTTCACTTCGATACCCTATCAATCCCGCATGAAAAAGAATGAATCCACGAGGAGCGATCCACCTTTTGCTTACCAAAAAGTGCGAACAAGCTTTTGGCGTTTTGTTCATGCAACACAGATTTTTTGTGGTCCGCGTCCGTCTCGAGATGACTTCGCATGACAAGCCCAATCCTGCTTCCAGGAGTAGACCCCGAAGATAACCTATTTGCAATGCATATCGACCTGCTTCTGCCGGGTGTATCGCCATTGACGGGGAGTGTAGTTCTTGAAGACCGGAATTATTCGCAGGAAGCTGTTGTAGAACGTTGTCCAAATAAAACTCCTCCACGGACCCGCGGGAGGGGTTCGTGCCACGGGTAGACAATACTTTCTGGCCAGCCCGAAATGCTACTGCAGCACTACTAGTACTTCCGGCGGGCAGCAGCCCGAGCTCTTCGCCTTCCGGTCGAGGTTGATATTGGTGTTGATGAAATGGGAACAATTCTTGCGCCGGATCTGTATTTATTTGACTCTGGTCGTGGTCAAGAACTACATCTTCGTATGAGCCGGCAGCAGCAGAGGAACCAGCACCTGGTATCAAAATGAAAAATCCCCCCTCCCCATATCAAAACGGAAATTTGTGATGTTGATTTGTGCCCACAAATCATCTTTGTCTTGCATATAGGATCATAGGAGCCATTTGACGCATTCCAGAGCAAGTCTTTCATCCGCTTTCGACTACTGCAAACCTGTTTGTCATGCGCAATTACTAGCCTTCTGCATACCCAAACAGGCTGAGAAAATGCCGCCAAGCACTTTCTGCAGGACAGATCTGATTTGTGTACGCAAATCCAGCATCAGAAACTTCGTTTCGATATGGGGAGGGGGGATTTTTCCTCTCAATACCTGGTGGTTTTTTCCTGATGGTAATGTTTATCATGGACGTCTTGGAGGAAGGCGAAGCAGAGCATCAAGTGCAAAAGTGTCTGGGTCTGGAAGAATGCATGTTTGTCATGCTTGCATGGCGTGACTCTCTATTCTGTCACGCACGTTACCCAAGAGCTCCATTTTTCCGTGATGCAGAAACGCAGTCTGTCATGCAGAATAGGCAACACCTAGAAGCTCAGAAACTAGTCATGCTGAGCCAGCACTTGTGGCCTCATCATGAGACGCCAGCACCCAGCATCACAAGTTTCCAGACCCAGACACTTTTACATTTGATACAGAGCCCGCTCCCGCATAATTGACCAGCACACCACCATCGTTCATTGCATTTCCTGCCTGGAAGGCAGCTGCGCCCGTCGGGCTCGGCTCCCTGGAAGTGATGACCGGGGTCGTGGAGGAGGACATTAGGCGAAATACAGACTCCGCCGCGTCCGCCATGGTCTGCGCAGCGGAAACAGGACCGGCACCGGCTGGGGGACTCCTACTTCGTATGCCGCCACTAGTAGTTGCAGAGTCATAATTGTAGCGACCTCCCTGCTCATTGATGTAAAAAGCATTGTTCAACATCCCACCCGTGGCCGCTGAGGACTTTGAAACCGTCTTTGCAGCCTCGTTTACCTTCTCCGCTAGGTTCGGAGTGAAGTTGGCTCCTCCGAGCGGAGACGACCGGCTGCGGCGGCGCGAATTCGCTAACGAGAACACGCTGTCTGCATGGGGGTGGCCAAAATCTCCTCGTGTAGAAGGAGGAGAAAGCGCAGTTCCTCCTGCAGATTCATTCTTATTCCTCGAAGCCCCCGTAGTCTCTACTTGTTCTGGTGCTTCCGCCGAACCTGCTGCGTAATTTCCTGCAGCTGCTCCGTAATTTCTGTAGACTCCCCGGCTTTGCTCGGGTCGTGAAGTACTTCTAGTAGTAGATCCTAAATCTCTGAGCAGCTCCGAGTTGTTGTTCATCCTATCACCCCCACGTCCGTCGCCGCGCCCGGGACTGATTTCGATGCGGTCCGAGGGGTTGTAGTGCAAATTTCTCCCAGCGCTGTTTTTCTGAAAGCGGTTCAGAAAAATTTCCATCACGGGCATGCTACTGCGCATAGCGTTTTCCGATATTGGCATGCCGCTGTCCGCGGCGTGCAGCTCCTCCCGCAGCTCGCGTGCGCGCCCGCGCTGAGTAGAAGTAGATGTGGAAGGGCTATTTGCGATGATTCTACTTGTCGGAGTTATCTTTAGCGGACTACTGGTGCGCTCGAAGCTTCTTCCACGGCGATCTGCCGCTCCTGGAGGACTTTGCGTGCTTGTTCCCGGTTTTTCGAGCAACATCCGAGGACCGAGAAGGCGGGGCAGGAAATCAAGGGACAAATTGTTTTTTAAAAGTGACAGCGGGGGTGAACCTCCACGAGCAGGAGCTACATCTTCTAAGAGAAAATTCTCCGGATCCACCGTTGCGGTGAAGAAATCTCGTCCAAGTCCCTTGATTTTGCGAATTCCCGGAACCACCAGGCATCCCGCGTTAAATTCCTGATATTTGTCCGCGTCTTTCGAATTTTTATCTGAAAGGCCCCGAGAGGTACTGGCCGCTTGTCTTGTCGCCGGTCCTGTTAACGAAAAGCTTCGTAGTCCACCTCCAGGACCTTTTCTGCCTCCACCCAGGATGTTTGTGCTAGTCACATCATTCGCCAGAGTGGGGGCCCCGTCTGGGCGACTGGTGTTGTTTTCCGAAGTTGGGTAGTTGTTCGTACCCTTGTTTTTACTATCCTCATTCATCCTCAGCTCTGCTTCTTCTTCCCGTGATATCAAGTGGTACTCGTGCAGCAGTGCCTCCGCCTCGTCTGGTTCCTGCTCCAGTTGCCCCCCGGCCGCGGCTGCAGGCACGTCGGTGATAAAAGCCGTGTCAAATGCAAAGATGTCTGGGTCTGGAAGATTGCCAGGCTTGTCATGCATGTTTTCTATGACTCAGGGTGTCTGTAATGCATGATCTAGCATCACATATTTTTAGAGGCCTTCCTGATGCCTATCCCGCATGACAAATGCCCTCCCTGCGTAGGACAAACTGGACTCCTCTTGCTGGTCATGCAATACAGATTTTTTTAGAGTCCAAAGTTAGCATCACAAGTTCCAACCTTCCAGACCCAGACATATTTGCATTTCATAAGCCGTCCGCTTGGACGAGGTGGTCATCGGCGCGTTCTGCTCCTCCAGCATCTGCCGCAGCTTCTTGTGTCCGTCCCTAGTTGTCGAAGAAGACGAAGATGTTGAGGACATTTGTTGCATCTTCGTCGAATTTGGTGGTGGTGGTGTTTTTTCTGCTGCTTCTGCAGAAGTTCCCGCGGGTTCATAATTGCGATCAACAGCATTATCCGTGGCTACAACAGAAGTGGAAGTCGTTTGGTACACGTTTCGCTTGTCTGCATGGAGGTTTTTCGAGGAGAAGTCCTGCGCCACCCGGCGGTCTTGTTCAGTTTCGAACTCAACAAAGTCGACGTCGTGCATAGAGGCCGAGTGTCGTGCGTGAAATTCGTCTTTCAGCTTGGAAAATCCTGCGCAAAAGTATCGTATTCGTATAAATGCAAGTCTTGCATTTTACAAATCTTTGTCTTAAGGCAAATCTGCATTACAAATTTTATTTATCACGCTGGGGAAATTTGTAATGCATTTATACGAGTACAATGCTTTTGCATTGCATATGGCAGCTCTACTTGTTTCCTCGGACGTCGTTGGCGCCGTGGGGTTGCTGTTCATCTTGCGGCCTTCCTGATCTTCTGTGCGCGGAGGTTGCTCCTCATGATCGTGAAACTCTACCATGGAGCGCATGCTGCGATCTGGCAGAGAGTCTATCAAATGTAAAAATGTCTGGGTCTGGAAGAATGCAACTTGTGATGCTGCATTTGGATTCCAGAAAAATCTGCATTGCATGAGTACCAAAAGGAATGCAATTTTTGCTACGCGGAGAGGGCATTTGTCACGCGGAATAGGCATCAAGAAACTCTCAAACAATCTGTGATGCTAGGGCATCCATCACAGACATCAGGGCTCATGCATAACGTGCATGACAAGTGTCAGAATCTTCCAGACCCAGACATTTTTACATTTGATAGAGTCTTCCTCTTCCCCATTTTCCGATGAAAAATCGACGTGCGACGACAATACGTCAGTTCTTGTGCCGCCGGGCTTTTTGTCGACAGCCTGCGGCCCACGACGGTCGTCGTATTTGTGTCTTACTCTCTCCCGTTCAGCTTCGATCTTCGGATCATATCCTGAGTAAAAACGTCCCCACACCATAGTCAAGATGGGGAATCGGCAAGACAAATCCACAAGTTTTGGCTGTTTTGCATGACAAATTTGCATTCGTAGTGTAATGCTGTTTGAGCTAGCTCAGCAGCATCACAGATCTAGCATACCATGCTGATTGGAGCATGACAAATTGCAAAACACGATTAGAAAATGCTTCTCATGGGGCTCCGCATGAGAAACATTTTCAGCATGCAGATTTGCATTACATCGGACAAAAGCCGACACAACAGCGTAAATGGCCCCAGATCCGTGATCACAAAATGCACAAGGAAGAGAAAGCAAGAGAACACAAATAGGAACGAAGGAAAACAAGCACAAAAGAAAAATGCCAAAGGTCTGAAAATTTGAAGGAAGCGAAAGAATTAGAGCAACAAAGAAAAAGTGAAAACATAGCACGAAAGCGAAACGAAGTGGACACTGCCTCGAGCTCTTCACCTCACCACAGGCTTCACATTCGCCGCACATTGATGGGCTCAGTAGAAATATTGGGTTTAGGCTAGCGCTCAAGGCGAGGAAGAAAAGAATTTTTTTCGAGAAGACCAAAACCGCAACAAGGAAATGCGCAATGAACGCAAGCGCAAAGCGCCTTTTTTTCGTGTGAAGATGTAGCTGTTCCGAGTACAACTTATTACAATTTAGTATTTCTCCTTTTCTATTAGTTGTAGCGCTAGCTCCTATAGACTGCGAGTATACTTAACAGACAACTGCCCCGGGAGTTGAAGAAGGAGAACCAACTCGATGGAGCAGGTGCGTCGTCCGCCTAGATTTCGCCAAAAGCAAAGCAGCACGAAAGACTACGAAACGAAATGGCGCAGCTGGGCCGTTGGGCGAAAAATAGCACAGACAGAGAAGCCCGGAAGCCCGCAGCGCCAGAAAAATTTGAGCCGCAACGAAAGAAAAGACCAAGCGAAACGACGGGCCAGGAGCATGCACCGGCCTAGGGCGCCCCTAGGGGTGCATTGACCGCGCGCACGTGGTCCCCACTACATGCCACCGGGGGAGCGAAGACAAGGCAACAGCAACCGAGGCGAGGAAGACGCCTATTGCCCTACACACGAGACTCAGCACCACGAAGAAGACAGGAAAGTCGAGCACGAAGGCAATGGGGGTTCTGCAGTCTGAAATACAGACGCAGCACCGGAAGAGAGGCTGTAGAACCGAGGAGGCAACGATAGTGAGAAGTAAAATAGTGTAGATAGTACTATTTGAGTTGCTTGACGATCGCGGACTGGGGTCTTTTTTCATTACATCGGCAAAAGCCGACACAACAGCGTAAATGGCCCCAGATCCGTGATCACAAAATGCACAAGGAAGAGAAAGCAAGAGAACACAAATAGGAACGAAGGAAAACAAGCACAAAAGAAAAATGCCAAAGGTCTGAAAATTTGAAGGAAGCGAAAGAATTAGAGCAACAAAGAAAAAGTGAAAACATAGCACGAAAGCGAAACGAAGTGGACACTGCCTCGAGCTCTTCACCTCACCACAGGCTTCACATTCGCCGCACATTGATGGGCTCAGTAGAAATATTGGGTTTAGGCTAGCGCTCAAGGCGAGGAAGAAAAGAATTTTTTTCGAGAAGACCAAAACCGCAACAAGGAAATGCGCAATGAACGCAAGCGCAAAGCGCCTTTTTTTCGTGTGAAGATGTAGCTGTTCCGAGTACAACTTATTACAACTATGGGCTGGGGACGTTTTCCAATAGGATAGATCAAGCTCTTCGGTCATCATGCGGTCCATGGCTCGGTAAAATGGGTTCTTGCTGTCCTTCTCGTCCCGCCTCGAATCGTCAAAGGCGGGTCGGTTTTTAATGGGAGAAATAAAAGCCCGACCACCATCGCCCTCCAGCTGTGCGCCCGGCTCCTGTTGAGTATGAAACGCAAAAGCATCGTCCTAGTCAAAATCGCATGACAAATTCCCTCACCATGAAAAATGAAATTTGTAATGCAAATATCGGCTAAGCAGGAGATTTGTTGTAATGCATGACAGCGATTTTTACTACGAGTACGGAACTTTTGCACAGGATATTGAGGCTCACCGTGCAGTTCATCCTCGACAAGCGACGCCCGGTGCACGGCGATCTGGTCCATGAGAAATTGAATATAATTATTTGCGGCCCAGCACAAGATCTTTTACATTACATGCTTCAGATGAAGTACAAGTACATAATGAAAGCACAAGTAGAAGTTGAAGTAGTGCTAGTGGGGTAGAGAAAAATAACCAGGAGTTGGGGCGGGGGGGGGAAAGACAAAGAGGCTCTTCAACGACCATCTACATCTTGCTGATCAGATGAGGGTAGGCATGATGCGTGCCGAAATTTGGAAAATCTATGATTCTATCTATGAAACAAGTCGTGGACGAAACAAGAAAATCGATCGGAAAAATCTGTGGCACGACCAGAACGGGGCTGCAAAAAAATCACACGTCTTGAAAACAAAGTAAAGTGATTTTCATTTTACCAGTTGCACGATGAGCACCGAGAAGATCTATTTTGTTGCACGAAATAGAACCGAGCCTAGATGTGAAAGGTTTGCGTTGTGTCTGCGTACGTGGTTGCACGATGTTGACAAGGGACCGAGGGTGGACGATGTTGACACGATTTGTGGTACTTCTACTTTGTATAATACGACGTGCCTTTGATTTGATTCAATTAGACACCAGCGCTACTACCGAGTTACATCTTTGGAGCAGCTGCAAAGGCGGACCGGGTGCCTGTTTGCACGACTTCTTTTCTACTTTGTAGACAACTTTCATAAAAGAACCGACATTAGCATATGGTCATCTCGTGCTCTGGCTAGCTCCGGCTGCTGGACGTGTACCGAAGTTGTTCTTGTAATAAAGTAATTACCGAAAAGAACGCTGACATTGACGTGTTGCATCATCAAAGCCAGAAACTTATTGCAGCTAGCGCGACTCACATTCCGGAGGACACCACCCTCACAAAAGTGGGCTCTGTCACATAGCAACTGCTGCACGACAAACGTCTCTCTCTATCCTCCTCGACATCCTGCATGACAAACTTGTGAATGATTCTGTTTTTGAAGATTGGGCCACACTTTTTTGCAATTCCAATTACAGACTGCTCCAGCCTCCGTAACGACCCTCATCGGCCTTTGTGGTGCCCTCCTCAAACAAAAGGCACGAAGATGGCAAGAAGAAGAACTCCGAGCAACTACAGGTGAGAGAGAGAGAGAGAGATAACCTATATAGCAAGCTAGACAGGACTAGTAAACAACGCACACCACACAGTAGAACGAAGGCCTTGTATCCGCTCTCCCGCTATCGTGATGTCGTTTCCACCTCGCAACGCCTTTCTGTGGTCCGTCTGATCTACCCGCGGATTATGCGGTGGCGTTACCCTCGTCGAAGGCTTTCGTGGGTGAATCCGGGACAGTTTTGGTAGTCAGTTCGTCAAGGTCAAACCGGAAGGCGTAGGGATGGTTTACCTGTGGCCTTGTAGCACCGCTGCTGTCTTGAGCGTACCGTTCTTGGCGCGCACGTAAAAATCAAGACTTAGGCTTAAAGCGGGCTATTGTTTGAATGAACCTGAAAAGCTGAACAAAAGACGACAGGTCCCCGCAGGTGCTCTTCCACGCTACCTGCTGGCGAACCGAACTAAGGAAAACCCCTCCTCAGACTAGCCATCGTAAGCCGAGCGGATCCCCTGCGACGGCTCGACGCGGCTATTTTAGCGCGTAAGCCTTATGGGCTTAGACGTCTTGAGCTTTTTGTATACTTTCGTGGCACTTTTATCTAAGCACTTCTATCTAAGCTCGTTGCTCTAGGAAGGGCTTAGCGGGTGAGCGACAGCTGCGTTTTATGTATACTGTTCTCCTCTGATGCCCTCCGCGCTTTGCGCTCGCGATCGAGCTCAGTAGGGACAGTCTTCGCGTTCTTCGTCCTTCTTAACTATGCACTGCAGCTCGGTGCCTGTAGCTAAATTTCAGCCTCAACACACGCCTCAACATCATCTCACTTTTCCCCCGAGCAACTACAGGTGAAGAACAACCATTTTATCCCGTATCACAGCACCTCGGAAGCTGTACTTCTACGGTTCTGCTGCGCTTTGCACTGCGTCGTTCTTTCTTTATTTAAACTGCAATTTCGCTTGTTTGTTCTCTTATGCATTTAATCCTACCGTTTTCGTCGATAAGGTCATGTTCCAATTTACCTTCAAACAAGAAAAATGGGAAACACAAGGAGTAAATCTATTAATTTTAATCTATTCTAGTAGTAGAGAAATGATAATAAAACGTATGACAAACAAACATCGGTTTTTAAACAGAAAATCACTGCGGTGAGACGATTCCGTACTTATCTTGTTTTGTACTGTCGTGTATAAAAAGGAAAATGCACAACAACTCGTCCCATCTTCTCCCCCCACGCCCGGTTCCGACCCTGGTCATTGTTCCCGTGAAAGTGCATCACCAGACAGCCTCTGCATGCTGAGCAGTCGACGTGCGTTTTAATACAAGACAATCGTGCATCTTTTTCTATCGATATCGTAAAGTTGTAGTACTAACACTGCGTTTATTTCATCTTGGCAGCAAAGGACCAGGAGAATCGGGAGTACCGGGGAAGGGAAATTCGAGTTGTTGTCCGAGGATTATTTTGGTTTTGTTGTTCTTAATCTTATTCATATTCGTTGTCCGATAGTAAAACAAAATAACTACAACGTCTGTAGTGATCGAAGATGCTAACAGAAACAGTGAGCAGTTTCGTATCGAAAGGAAAAACCTCTACCCCATCTTCGCAAGAACCCTTTGCTATGCACTGCAAAACTATCTGGGTCTGGAATAAAGGAGGAACTTCTGATGCTTGTCTTGCAAGCCTGCGAAACCCGTGTTGCAATTGCATGACCAGCAGAAAATATGAACGTGGCCGCGCTTTCTACTCGGCACGGTGTAGAAACGCAGTTTGTAATGCGTCCTCCGTACGAGAAAGCTCAATAAATTTTGTCATGCTTGGCAGGCACCGGGAAAAAGTGGTTGAACCATCTTCCAGGGTTCAGCATCAACACAAGCTTCTTCCAGACCCAAACGTATACGTGCAGTTGATAATCTGTGCGCATGGTGCAGAGACCACAGTGGTGGATCGTTTGACACTTCTGATCCCACTCCATGGTCATTACCACGAGTTCGCCGTCCTTCAATGCATACGATCATATCCGTCATATGCCACTCCCATCCCGGTGTTGCCGTTATTTCTCTACTGCATGACAGGCTCTGCACAGGAGGAGCCTGTGGTTAGTTCTTGTGCAGGGGAGCCAAAACGAGGGCGGTCCACATCTCGTTTCAGCACAGTTTTACAGATACAGGTGGGACGAAGGTTTGGTACACCGCACAGAAGGACTCTCGCGATTATCCTGAGGAAAAACGACCCCAGCACAGAGTTAAGATGAGGAATCTGCTGCACGAAGCAAGAGGTTTTGGCTGTTGCGCATGACAAGTTGATCACTTTATGCTCATTAGAGCATCACAAGATCATCCCAGATAGCATTGGAAAATGGTGTTCATGGAGATGCGCATGAGAAGTTGCATTTTAGCTTTAGGCATTGGCATGCAGACTTGCATTATAACTCTGGGGTGGGGACGTCGACGTTTTTCCACAGGATAGCGATGGGGTAGCGTTTTTCCCGCGATAGTACATCTCTGTTGAAATAAATATCCTAGCATTTTTCATACATAATCATGATCTTTAATTTGTTCTTAAATGCTTGTTTGTCCGTTCTCCGTGTATAAAATATTGCACAGCGGCTGCTCCCTTGGATGGAAGCTCAAAAATTTTCAAAGTCCTTTTACTTCTTCTCGCGGTTTTCGTTTTTTTACTTCGTGATTTGATAGAATTTAAGAAAGTATCCCACAGAAAATCACACCCATACCAGATGAAGAAAATTGAATTTTTGTAAAAGTGCTGTTTTCCTGTCAGCACCAACACAGCTTTATTAATGCAGAGCTGCAAGATGTAGTTGAGCAGCTATCCTCTGGCATACAGATTGAAGACTGTAAAAAATGCCAATGCGGAATAGCAGCTACAGATGTGCCGAAACAACTTGTCGTGCTGAACACGACACAGCTGGCCGCACTTTCTTGTGATGCTAAGCAAGGTTGCAAGATTCATATAACAATCTGGCATGGGTGTGCTTTTCCGTAGGATAGAATCGGTTCGAAAGGTATGGGCGCGGCAGGTGGGGAATCTTCGTCAAAAGGGAAATATATCTACTTCCAAATCTTGCATCGCAATGCCTCTACTTCACACGGCAGTACTATGCAAAGGGATGCCGCTCGCACGGCAAGGGTAATAAAACAGTCGTGCTCTTTTCCAATGACGAGCATGTTGACAGCCTGGCCTTGCTGCAATGCCAGAAAAATAGATTAGCGGGCCCAGCTATAAATTCATGCAAGACAACTGATCCTGTCCATTTTGAAAATTTCCCACCTGGTGCTGCTTCCATAGAGACGAGATGATGTTCTTATTCTTATTCTTAATTGGTGAGACGTGAAAAAATAAAAAAGCAGATTGGAATGGTTCGCAATACTATCGCCGGCGTCCTGGACGCCGGCGTAGTAGTCTAGTACAATTATAATAATTTTAGTTTCTCTGTAGCTGTAGTCTGTGAATGAAAAAGCAATGTAAGTATGTTAATGTTTAAGATTAGTCTTGCTCGCCTACAGTATTTTCATTTTAATCGTGCATAACAAAATTGTGCGCAAAAGTGCAAAAAAGTGAAAACGCTCCTCCTCAGACGGCTGTCGAAACAACCACCTCGATTGCGAAATCAATCAAATTCAAAAAGATATCGAGTACAAATATGCCTGCTATACTCGTAATCTTAAGTGTGAGAAAACAATTAGAGAGCTAGACGGATCATCCACACTCTACGTCACAAACTGTTCCGCTCCACGTTGTTCCATAATTTGAGGGGGGCATACTGGAAATTGTATGTCGCTCCTCTGCTATGGAAAACAAAAAAAAAGCGCAACAAAAAAAAAAGAAAAAATGAGCCTCCAGGAAAAAACGCTTATGAAAAAACGCGCCATCCTAGGAAGCGGTTTGTGTTTGTTAGTTCTGCACATGCGTCATTAAAATCGGCTGCTCCCGCGGAAAAGAAAGAGAAAAAAAGTTCCTTCCTTTCCGTTTTGAAAACCTCCGAACCCGAAGACGGCAAAAAACTCGCATATCCTCTTCACGCACTGGCGCTTCTTCACATCATGCAAATCTTGCGTCACAAAGCCTGACACAGACAAATTTGCAATGCATATCAAGTTGCGCGAAGCTATGGCAAAAAAAAAGTCCAAAGCCCCGCAATAAAGCAAAAAATGTGAAAAAAAAAACGCACGTGCGGAAAACAACAGCAACTAAGCGGTTTATGTCGCTTTTTTGGCGCTGCTCTGGCGCGAGAGAAAAAAAAAGGCGAGTCCTTCATCTTTCGAAAGATTGGCGCGATCGCGAAAAATTAATCCTATAGATTTGGTCATGATTCTACTTGGTTTTCCCTTTTGAAGAACAGAACTGTCCGCCATTGCTGTTCTTCTCTTTGCGCTGCGCATCTTTGACGTGAGGCACGCACATTTTGATTTCAGCCGCACCGAAAATAAAAGAATACTTATATCGGGAAAACTTTCGTAGAAGTAAGAGTATTAAAGTCCTCTCTTTATTTTAAAATTTGTCCGGAGAGGGCAAGCGCATGCGTCGATGCTTACCATTATTTTCCAACTCTGTCCGCAAATGTCTGCAAGGCAGTGAACAGTGTGATAGTTGCTGGAGCCGATTTTCTTCGGAACTAGTATTCTTGTTTCAACGTACAGCACGATTGCAAATCTACAAGTGCTCAGCCCTTTTCAACAATACGTCTGTCATGCTCAGCCCTCTTGCGGGGTCGTCTGATGGTCAAAATACGTTTCCGGTACTGAATAATTCACCAGAAAGTTATTTTCGTTTAGAAAAAATCTGTACTCCTCGTCATAGAACCCGCCCATGCTGCTCGCATCAGAACCTCCCGGCCCGTTGAAGTTAAGCAAATTCAAAAGCCTGAGCCGCAATTCCAATAGAGTCGCTTGCGATTTGTCTCGCAATTTCTTTTCCGACGGCGCTTCTGCGACAGGTGGGCGAAGGTCAGCGGGGGACTTTTGCTTGTAATACATTTCGCACATTTCTTCCATGTTGTTTCCGGTTAAGGCGATCGCAAAAATTTTGTCCTGGTCGTAGCCATTAACACTCGTCGGGCCTGTAGGCTGTTTTGTACAAAAATATTTGAAAAAATCGCGCGCCCACAGCGTTTCAACTCCTTGGGCAACAGAGTTAAACGGGCGCCGGTACTGGTTCGGGAACAAGCCCGTAAGCCGGTTTTTTGGGAGGAAGCTGCTAACCTTGCTGCTGCCTTTCGTGGTCGTGTGCACTTGCGGCGAGACCGCAAAATCTTCCCAATCCGCGTCGACCCACTTTTGTAGCTCCCGGAAAACCAAGGCGCCGAAAGATGGGTCCTTCCAGTCAATTCTCCAGCTGTCCCAACCAGTCGCCTTCACATTGTTTAACGCTAGGTCTTCTTGCTCACAGTGTGGAGCGATTTCCTCCTGCACTTTTAGTGGCAGGAATCGAAAAACATCCAGCCGCTTGAACATGTCGTAGTAGCTAAATACAGCCTGCCACTCAGTGGCCTTCCTGATTTCTGCCGCCCCGCTCAGGATCGCCTTCTGCAACATCTGATCACACACACTCGCGAGGCTTCGAACCTTCTTGTCGGTGTACAAGATAGCGCACTTGTCTTGCAGGTTCTCGGGTGCAAGGAAAATAGGCCCCACACCGCACACCCCCATCGCCACTCCATGATAATCGTGCGGGCGCGCCCTATTCTAGCACACCCAAGCCCGTGGCCCACTCGGGGCTGAGAGGGCGGCCAACCAAATTCAGAACGCACCGCCCCGCCGCCCCCCTAAAAAATGAGAAGAGCACCCACAGCAAAAGACGCGCAGACAAAGGAAAACCAAACCTGTCAGAAAAAGATAAGGAGGCGCCCTGCCTGTGAATGGCGAATCCCCAAAGGGCTGCGGTGCTTAGTTATGGGCCTACCGGGAGCCGATGCCACCTAGCGAACAAGACGCAAAAACAAAAGCAGCCACGGCAGCTTGTGCGCACGTGCTAGATGGCGGGCAAACTGCGAGCGCGCCCGCGCAAATCCCCCCGCGGCGGCCGTAAATGAATACCAATAGTAGCCGCCAAGGCGAGGGTAATGAGGTCACGCCGGTTTTGTTGAGTGGCGGAGGGGCTGCCCCTCCGCCACCGGGGCAGGAGGGCGAGTGCGCCGACTTAGGGCCCCCTGTGTCTCCCTTGGCCCGCCCGACTAGGTAGATACGCACGGCCGCGCGGCCCTTTTCCAATCGCCCCCCGCGCGCCAACCCGCGGGCGTGGCGTCTGAATCTTAGTGGGAAACTAACACGACACACGGCGGGGCCACGACGACCAGTTGGCCACCCCTACTTTGACTAGCGCGGCGGGGCGTCTCTGCCGGGCTTGGGGTCATGCAGGTGCAAAACCCTCGCCAAAATGATTCCGCAACCCTGCCTGCCGGCACGACGGAGGCGGCCCGGTGTAAAGCCCACACCCACCATCCAAGGCCCCGCGGCGTGGCGGGTTCGAAAACCCCGAGGCGCCGAGCCCCACCCGGGGCAATGCGCTTGCCTCCGAACACTACGCGCAGGGGCGGCCGGGGAGGCTTGCGGTGGTTGCGCGCGTCGTGGCGCGTGTCGCTCGCCCAAGGGAGGGCCGGCCGGCGCGGCAGATGGGGCGCCCGCCTTTGCGGCGTCAATACCCGTTGCCGTGCAATGGGAGAGAAGCCTGGCTGCCAGCGTTTGAAGAACTGCCAGCGCAAGAACACGATCGGCGCAAAATAGAATGCGCCACGAAGGGCCACCTGGCGTCGCATCCGATGTAGCAGCAGGCGCCAGCCTGCGGGCTGTTTGGTTTTGACTTTGGCGCCACGACTGTTTCTCGGGCGCACTCCTTGGCCACAACTTCTTGACCGTGCGCGCAGTTTTTGGAAAAGGCATCACAGCCGCCATCGCGCAGAAACCTTGACGGCCTTCTTTCTACATGGCCCAGGCCTGCGCCTGGACCTGAGAAGCCAATGGCGCGCGCCCTCGTCAGAATCAAAACCGTGCCGGACCGACGGGGGCCTGCTTTGGTAAGCTGCGGCCCCTGGCCAATGTGAGAAAGGGCGCCGCGCCCCTGTTGCGCCGCCTCGCAATGCGCCGGAGCTTGCCGGCCGAAGGAACGAAAAAGCAATGCGAGCGCAAGCTTTTTTGATAATGCTGAAGAAAAAGGCAACACTATCAGGCGCGCCTGGAGCGAAAAAAGAAAACCGGCCTTGTCCTGACTCACTGGCCTGCCACGACAGCGCGTGGCCCCTGTCATTGACTTAGGCAAGGCCGCGAAGCATTTGCCCCAAGCAGGCGCGGAAGCGCACCCGGTCTGCATACTGGATCCGAAAAAAAGTTCAATGCGGGCGCGAAACAAAGCACCGAAGGCGCCCTTGGTGCGTCGATAGCAAGGCGATAGCGATAGCGGTATCGGGACGGGGTGGGGCGCTCTTGTTCCGCGTCCTATCCTTCCGAAGCGGGTCGCCGCCTCGACTTTTTCTTCGTGGAACACGAGCTCGTGGCCGCCCGGGCTCTCGCGAAGCTGCTCCCCGCACCACTCGCCCAACCCAGAGCTGTCCCTTTTCATTTGCAAGACGAATGCTTCGACCGCCTTCGGATAAACTTCATCCGGGGCCGCCTTACTCGCGAGGCTCACCACCGGTTCGTCGCCGCTCTGCATCTCAAAGACACTGCGACCGAGAGACGCGAGTTGAGACCGCAACAATGCGTCGAACGTCACCGGCATCCCCGAAGCAATGGCCGCGCGTGTGCAATGTCTGCTAAGGAGCCCCTGCGTTTCTTCCGGGAGTAGTCGAAACGCCTTGAGACGCGCCTGCGCTTTCTTCGTGGATTCGGCGTCTCGTTCGGCATGCCTTCGCTCCAACTCTTGGTCCAGCCGGTCATTGCATTCGCTCGCCTGCTCCACCAGATCCCTTGCCAGAGCGGGGTCAAGTGCTTTCTTGCCAAGATAGACAAGCTTGCACTTTTCTTCGAGATTTTCATATCGAGGGGAGATCAGCTGCATAACACAGAGGGCCCCGGTACATGGTCACACGGCTACGCATGCAACATCGGGAAACAGGATCGCCCAAGCCATGACCCCACGAAACCCTGCCTTCCAAGAAGCAGGCGGCTAAGCCAGGCATGAAAGGACCTGCGCTCCGCCGCTTCCTAACTTAGCCAGCGAGCGCACCGTCGCGGCGATCAAAGATGGGAAATCGCGGGAAACTTTCGGCACTGTTACCCGCCCACCGGCTCCCACTGCGGGCGTACCCCACTACACCAGGGTCGCGAAGCTGCTGCGCGATGCATGCGCAACTATCGCGTGCGAAGCACTGAAGAAGCCAAGCGCCCTTAATGGCAAAAAGAAAGCCGAAAGGGAAAGCGCGGCCGCCTCTATATCCATGAAAGAAAAGAAATGGCCCCGCGGCCGCATATTGGGCGCAAGGGTATCCCAGCGAAGAGCGCTAGCATATGCATGCATGGCGCGGGCGGGTGCCATGTGCGCCCAGGCGTGCGACAATACAAAGCGGTCTACCGCCAACAGAATCGCAGACCACAAAGCCGCGCCCCCTTGCGGGACGCAGAACGAAATACCCCTGGCGCCTACGATAGGGCCCACCGCCCCCCTCTCTGCGCCGGGCGCTTAGCCCGGGAGCAGGGCCGCCCTGCTGCCTGATACCGGGCGCAGAGGCATTGCGTACGCCACACATTCAGAATCTGCAATGCTGGGCCCCGCTTTCCAGGCCTCGCGGGCCATGAAAATGAATGCCGCGCAGCAAGCAGATGCACTGCTCGACGGAGACCTAGACGCGCTCGCGGCTGATAGCAATGCAGAGGCGCCAATGGCAGCAGAGCGGGGGGCGGGGGCGGAGATGAGAAGCCGAGGCCCCGCTCCTTCAACTTGCTGCAACTATGTTTCCACCAAGAAAAAAAGCCTGCGGCGCCGAGGCACTACCCGGAGGGAAAGCGAACAAAACTGGGCCCCGGTGGCCGCATAAGCGTTGCGCAGCATCTTCCCCCGCATATTTTCCCGAAGTCAATAGCCAAAGCAACCTGGCTCGCTGCAGGAATCTGGCCCCGCCCTTTCGCGGAAGCCATACCAAGGACAATCACGACGAAAACACGCCCCACGCCCCGTAGAGGATGCCCAACAAAGAAGACGCCCCGAAAACAAGGGCCGGCCTGGGCGGGCAAAAGGCGCAACCGCGGGGGCGGTTGGCGAATTGCAAAAAACCACACGCACAGCGAGGCCGCAGTCGCGGCCGGACGCAAGGTCAACGCGTCAAAGCAGACAACGCTCCCCGCGGGCCAGTGCCATGGGGCCAATGAAGCGCGGCCGCCGCGCAGCTGGCGCAACTGGAGATCCCACATGACCTCGCCGAAGCGTTCGCGCCCCCGCCATTTTCGCTTCCGGAGACGGCGGCGGCGCGGTTCGATATCTGGGCGCGCGGCGCGCTTTTGGTTGCCCTGCGCGCCCGCGCCGGCGCGGCGGGGCCGCCTGCTTGGGTGGCCGGTTGCTGGCCGACCGCCGCATCGCACCCGGAGGGCGATCGGTTGGGGGGACGGAGGGGGGCGGGCCGGCCCTCCGTCAGCGGAAGTTATAGGGCCGGCCCGCGCGTCGCCCCTCCCAAATACAATCCGCCGCCGGGGCGGGGGTAGTGAGGCCGCCGCCGTTTTCTTGCGCCTTGGCTCGCTGCGGGCCCACCGCGGCGCCTTGGGTAACGTTATGCAACCGCGGCTGCCCCAGTGCCACCGCTGCTTTTGGCACATTCCGGCGCCCCTCTCCGAAACCCTGTCCCGGCGCTTCGGGGCCGACCCGGGAGCCGCGGGAGGCGTCCCAACAACGAAGGGAAAAGGGGCCAGTAGATTACGAGGGCATTTCTTTTATTTCCGCTCGGCCAGCTTTCGAGGATGCATTTTTTCCGGGGCTCTGTGACCAGCACCGCGAAAGGTAAGGCAGCCGCCTTTGCGGCCGCCAAAAATGTCCCGAACACGAGGACACGCCGCGCGGTTTCGCCTACGTAGCAACCCTTGCGCGCGGTTTTTCCTGGCACTCGTTTGGGCGCCCCAAAGATCCAGGCAGGGCCCCCGGCGGCAGGCGCCTCCGAACGAGCCGCCTTTGCCGGCCCGCCACCGTTGGTCTTTGGGGCGTTGGAGGATGGGGCGCCGCCGTGCTTCGTTGATCAGTCACAGAGCCAAACAGGCTGGGTAGCTTGATAGGCTTTTTCCCAAGTCAGCAGACGCGCCCTAGAGCCAAAAACTGCCGGCTGTTTTCGGGGCACCATGTCAAGCAGGCTCCCGCGCTGGGGTTGTTCGTTGGCCGCAATACATGCCACGCGGCCGGACCACTAAAGGCAGCAACAACACGCAGGCCCCCCGCCCTTTGCGATGCCTTGCGCCGGGAGCGCGAACTGGGCTGGCCCCTGCGCCTAGCTAAGCGAAATCGGGGGACGCGGCCGCGCCCGCGACTCTGCTTGGTCGGCCAGTGTTCATAACCTGCGCAGAGGGCCCGCGCGGGTGCTTTCAAAACGGGTGGGGGGCTGGCTCTCCAGGCCGGGTGGTATGGGGCGTGTTTTCGACATAACGCCGACGCTGGGCCTGCAAAAGTTTTTGAACTGCACTCCGCCCCCCTCGAGAAGCTTCTCAAGCAATGCCAGAATGGGCGCGAGGCCCCCGCCTGCTGCCGCCCGCGCCTTCCCGACACTCTCGGCACCGGCGTCGAAGCTTTCGGCGACTGTGGTGCGAGCGTGTTCTTTCAAAGCGTGGTCAAAGCCGCTTCCGAGACGGCCGCTGACACCGCTCGAGCATGAGCTGGCGAGGTCCGCCTGTTTTTTCAGCGGAAGGAAGTTGAACAACGCGACGCGCGCCTGCGCTTCCGGATCTGTGGCTTTGTGCTCGGCAACATCCTCCAGGAGGTCGCGACATTCCGCTGCCCGTGCCCCCAAGTCCCCCGGGGCGGCCGGTTCCAGCGCTTCGCGGCCGTATGCCCTTTTGCATATGTCTTCCAGATTTAATCCGACCCTAATGGCTCCGTCCATTTTGGCCAAGAACGCATCGCGGCTGGGCTCGCGTTGGAAGTCCTCCGCGCCCACACGCAATCTGCACCAACTTTCGGCCACGTCGCTCTGCAGGCCTCGCGTGAGGGCGCCCTCCATCTGCCCGTAGGTCATATCAGATCGATAATGTGGGCCAGGAAGAGCGTCCGGGAGCTCGTTCTTCGTTAACGCGGTCACTGCCTTCTTCAGCATTTTGTCCAGATTCTCAGGCGTGTCGCAATGCTTTTTCAGACCTGCTTGGAATTCCACTGGCAAGAGCCGAAACACCCGGAGGCGTGCTACGGCCTCCTCCTTCATGATCGCCTCCGCTTCGTTGGCGAGAGCCAGGACTTGTGTGTGCGACATTTCGGCATCTCTCATCACGGCATCTGTTAGCTTTTCTGGGGCAGCAGTTCCTTCTCCATACACAATTTTGCACTTCTCCTCGAGGTTCTTTGCGAATTCCATAGCGGAGGTGACCTTGTCCTCCTGGTGCACGAGTTTGGCCTCGAGTCCCAGCGCATGGCGTCTGCACCAATTTTCAAGGTCGTGGACGCCGTCCAGAAGCGCGGTGAGGAACTCGTTGATCTGCGCAAATTTCTTGTCTACGACCGATGCTCCTTGTAGGAATAGCCGAAGTCGTTCATGGCCATTCATCAAATTTGTTTGATCACTAACCCAGTCCTCAAGCGCCTTTTTTAATGTGTCTTCGAACCCCTTTTTCTTGCCGGTTGCAGTCAGATCAAAACTCCTGGTGGAGCCGCAATTTGTTGACGTGGCCACCCGTGACTGAACCTCTAGCGGTAGAAATCGAAATACGAGGAGGCGCCCTTTCGTTTCTTCGATCTCACCCGGTTTGCTGTAGTCAACATTTTTTCGCAAAGCCTCGTCACACTTCATGGCGACTCTCTGAGATTCTTTAACAGGGGCTTTGCTCGTGTCTTCTGTGTCAGAGGCTGTTCTGTCACCGTAAACAAATTCGCATTTTTCCCGCAGATTCTCCTGTCGCAAGGAAAAACGTTGCACACCACACACGCGCGTGCCATCTTCAAGCCACATGCTTCTTCTCGTCTCCCTGCACACTGACTGTAGCTGGACTACTTTCATTGATCTCCAGCTGACAGTGCCTGAGCCCATTCAAGAACTGCAAATCGCTTTCTTTGTCTTCATCAACAAGCTTCCTCGTTCTTTAACCGACGTCATCATCATCTTTCTAGCGGGGGGGGGGGTGCTAGGGGTTTTAGGACGTGTTCGAATTCCGCCTGTTCCAGCATCGGATGTAAGGGTAGTGCAGGATGCTGAGATCAAGATTTCTAATTTCGGTCACTCGTCACATCATCGTGGGTAGAGGAAAGTAGCCGCGCAGAGACATTGTATTGCTGTCATCCGGCGCGTGCTGATGTGCCTCCTGGACCTCGCACTGCAGCCGCTGGAGGCGTGCAATGCACAGATGTTGATGCTAATTGTATGTAGCCACTGCAAGCGTGCATGCCAGCCTTTTCTTCCCATAATAAACACTACCTGCATATTTTTGTAGTCGAGAAGGAAGTCGGAAACTTCTATTAAAATTTCACATGCAAATTTTTACGTGACTAGAGCTAGACGTGGTTGATGTGCAACATTATTCTCTCGATATCTTCCCGTCCTTGAGAGCGGCAGGGACTTCAAGCGGCTTGTACTTAAGTTCTACAACGTCCTTCATTATCAAGTCGAAAGCATTTCCAATGACCAACACAACAAAAACACAACCCAGGTAACCGTGAATATCGACAGGGAAACGCAGACGCGTAAGAAGCTCTGAGCCATCTACAACTTGGCTTCATCTCATAAAACCATACTCCTCCTCTGTGTTCTGCGGGAACTCGGACGCGAACCGGCAGTGCGGTGCCTCCGGCAAACAAATGCAAACAATGCTTTACTCCTTGCTTCACACACGCATGCCATAGAAAAAAACTCAGGCTCGCTGACTGAGTAGAGCATGACACTAGGAGGAAAAATCTTTCGCGCAATTCGTACACGACACGAAATAAGGCATCTAAATCAACCCAATGGGCAGTACAGCACAAAGGACATTAGTCCTGCGGGCACCACACGCACAGCTGTGATGTAAGGCCAGAGACGACACACCTCCGCGATAAGTGTGTTGCTTTTTCTTCAGGTGCTCGTATTGGAAAATGTTTTCGACATGATATTGCCCATTTCGGTACGGCACACGTCTTGGAAGCCATATTGCCGATTCAGAATCAACGAAAGCTCTTTGGCGATTGTTTGGGAGTTGAACATTGGCTCCGTTTCCGTTATGATTTCGTCCCAGCTCCATTTGGATTTCCGCACATTGTTGAACTTGTTTTCCCAAGACGCATTCGTGACCATCGCCAGAGTTAACTTTTTTTTCTTTGCCCAATCCCTGAGCTTTACTTTCATCGCGACGTCGAATTTTTTTGCAGATGGCGCTAATTTGTTGCTTGTCATGTACGGGCTGTCACAATATTCGGTCGCGAGGTCTGCCTGTATTTCCAGTGGCAGAAACCGAAACGTATTCCGGTCCGCTGTTTCCTTTTCAAGGATCGCGCCGTAATTATTCGGCTCCGCAATCCTTTGCTGCAACTGATCCTCGCAGCGCGCGGCCTTGCTTTTCCGGTCGTCTTCGGTCTTCTTGTCTTGTTGCATTTTTTGGTCCGCTGCGACACGTTTCTTCTCCTCTTGATCCCGTTGCTTCTGCGCCTTTTGTTCGTCGGTTAGTCTAAATCCCTCAACCATACTGGAGAAAAAGAGGTCATCGCCACCACCCTTTTGCAGCTATTTCCTTCAAAATTAAGTCCATTGCCTGCGGTGGCGCAAGACGAATTCCAGAAAACTCTGATAAATCTCCGTGCAGTTATCTTCCCCACGACGAGATACGTTATTTTTGCGCCAGCAGCATCAAAACATGTTACTTATAAACTACAATTTGAATGCACCAAGGCTGCAGATAGTGGCGCTCGTATCGTATTGAAAAGATGCCCTACCCCAGATGACTTCCGTGACATTTGTATTGCAGAGATGCAAGGAAACACTTGCCACCTTGACGGTATCCGCAGTGCAGATCCGTATTGCTGGAGGCAAAAACCGTCTTTTGCCTTCGCACTAGAGCAGTGGGTATAATCGGGAGACAGCTATGCTACGCATGTGCAATTCAGCCCGCCGAACTACTGAGTTCATCTCGTTCGGGAGGAAAAAGAATTTTCTCCGTCTTCAATCCAACAACTGAACAATGCTTCCGGTTTTCATCTTGGAAGAACAAGACCTGCAGCAGTAAGTTCTGCATTTGCCACATCATCGGGGGGCAGGGCATTTTTCATTTTGATAGATTGACCGCAACGCTTTATTTTTCCGTACTTGTCAAACTGCCGAGCCCGAGACTAATACCCGCCAGTATGCATTGCAAAAATGCGCAAAGTAGTTCTCCCTGTGCAGCTGCCTGTCTTTTTGCGGAGCCCGAAGCGAGGAAACACAAGACGGTCGTATTTGCTGCAAAACTAGAGATGAGCGTGCGAGGAAGATATCATCGTAGTTCGGCACATAGTTTTCTTCACAATGTATCTATCCTACTAGCAGCGCATCACTCGCCTTCTTTCTTTTCGAGAACATGCTCCTGTTGCTAGAAGTCAAAGTGGCAGAAGTCTAAAAAAATAGAGGCGCATGAAGATACATGTTGATCCATGCATGTACCACCAGCCACTTTTGCGCATTTCTTTCTACTTTGATAACCCTGGAGGAGGAACTCGAAGTGGCGACTGGGAGTATGAAACAGCAAACCAAAATTCTATCAACAACCCCCGCCCAGCGCAGCCCAAGCAAATCTCGCTATCCGGAGGGCCGCCACGACCACTGTGTAGGACGCTGATCTTCAACAAGCAGGAAAGTGCAAGAAAATCGTATTTGGCATGCAAAACTAGATACACAGGGCACACAACTAGCGGAGTTCGACGTGTACATCATCTCCAACTTCTGTATCTGTTTCTGTTACACGATACAAAAATCATGCATAAAACAATATTCAGGCACGAGTTATTGCTTCGCGGTATGGTGAGGAAAAACGTCCCCACCCGATAGTCAAGCTGGGGACTTGGCAACACAAATCCGGAAGCTCTGGGCAGAGTCACGCATGACAGGTTCCTCTCTGTATTCAAGTGCAGTTGACCAAGGACAGTCACATCACAAAATCATTTGCTCATGCTGTTTACAGCATATACAAATTCCATAACACGACTGGAAATCCAAATGCCTCTCATCATGCAGATGCGCATTTTTACGCATGTTCCTGTACTTGCAAATCTGCATGACAACTTTGGCAAGATGGGGACGATTCGACTCAGCATACGCGAGCCCTCAGGATCATCCGCAAGACCCGGTGCGCTTCCGCTTTCGCGTTCGCATTACTTCTTGCATAAGCGATACATATCAAAATGAAAAAAGCCCCCACCCCATATTCAAAAGTAGGATCACATATCAAATTGCCATGCCAGAACATCAGAAAAGATGCGGGCTCTCGTGGTCTCTGACGCGGCAAAGCGCTGCGTGTTGATGGTCAGTATGACGGAATGCAACAGCCTTGCTCAGAATAGCATGACAGATTGCCACCATCAAATTAGGCCACTCCTGCGTCGAGTTGTGGTCGTACACAACTTAATGTGCCGGAGAGTTTTCTTTCGAGGATGCTGGGGTGGGTACGTAGTTTTTACAAGTGATATTGCATCGACAGGTGCTTGATAATATTTTTCGGTGAAGCCGTCGAAACAAGTTCTTCTTCTAGTCCCTCTACCCTTGGACGCTGACGATTTGGAGAGCGCTGGGGTTAGCTACTATCCGAGGAAAAAAGTGCTACTGGCAGACACATCTAATGTTGCAAGTCGTTTTGATTTAGCAACACAGATTTTCTCAGCAAAAGAAGAAAAATCTGCAATGCGGAGATAACAAGGTACCACGAAAATAAAACAAACATAAACATGTTCCGAAGCATAGTACCATTTGTCGCATGTTGTTGACAGGAACTGTCTGTCCTCTTGTTGCCTGTCTTCCTGCTACGACACGATAATGTGTGTCCTTTAAGTGTAACACTTTTTTCTTGCGATAGGTATTGAATGTTGGTTCTTCCTTGGTCGGATAAAAGCGCCACTGTCGTATATCGTGCGTAAAAACGTACCCACCCCAAAGTCATCAACATGGTGCTTCTGCTACACAAATCAAGCAGCTTTCCGAACTTCGCACGACAAGTTCTCTTGGCACGCAGTGGACTGGTCGTGCTTAGCTATCATAACCGCATGGCAAATTTCTAGTACTCTCATCCTGATTAGAGATTTGGGCATTACAACAAACACGGAAACACAACTTACATAAAAGCCTCTCATGCTGATGGTGAGCCGCGGCAACTTACAAATCTGCATGACGACTGCGGGCAGGTACGTTTTTCCACTGGATATTGGAGGTGTCGTCGGGAGCTTATTAAATTGAAAAACGCCCCCCCCCACAACACGACTCAGATGGCAGTAAAACCTATGCTGATCCTAATATCACGAGAAGACAATGTTGGTTTTGGTGTGTACAACGTAAGATACAAAAATGCAGAACTCAGAGGACCTTCTTCAGTTGACTAGTTGTTTGCTGTACTCGAGTTTGCAGCCGTGGTCCAACATGATGATTCGTAGTTAAAAATCTGTTCGACTCTAAGTCTAACATAGTCCGACATAGTAAACAACAACGTTAAAGTAGGCGACTATGTACCGCCAGTTGTGCGGCCGGGAATCTTCTAGATGACCTGCTTCTGCTTCTACGATCATCTGGCGATATGGTGTGAAAGTGAATTATTTGGAAAATACGCTTTGCAGGTGGTTCTGTTTCGTACACAAAAATGGCGATTTTGTCACAGCCAGTGGCACGAAGCAGGTGAAGATTTTCCTGCAAAGTAGAAAATCATAAGCGTCCCAGTGACACAAGAAGCGGAGCCTGCTTTGTTCGCAGCTCGCCCTTCCGCGGCCAAGCAAAGCAGAGGTGATGGAGCAAACATCTTCTGTCGGAAGAAATCGAAATGCTTATGCTTCTTGTTGTAGACCGCCGTGCATGATGAAGTAACTTGTTGTCGAAATCTACTTACTTTGGTTCCACACGACCATGCAAATAAGCAGACTGCTAGTCCTACACGCGTGCACGCTGGTGGACATGCGGCGAAAGCCAATTTGGTTCGTTTTTGTGGGGGCATTGTGTATTTCTTCGGGATACAACCACTGTGGTACCAGTGGGTGGTCCTCCTGCTTGTGCAAGCGCCGCTTTTTTCTCCACCTCCAGCCTCTGCTTCTCCGCCTTCTTCCTGGCCTCCTCCGCCACCCGCCTGTCCTCCTCCGCCTTCTTCCTGGCCTCCTCCGCCACCCGACTGTCCTCCTCCGCCTTCTTTCTCGCCTGCGTGAGCTCGTTGAACATCGCCTCCTGAGCTCGTTGCTGCTCCGGCGTGAGTGATGCCGGTCCCTGCGACTGCTGCTCCTGAAGCTTCTGCAACTGGGCGGCAATGTCTCGCGCTTGAGTCGCTGCAGCAGTAGCTGCCGCTTCCGCAGAAGCAGCTCTCGCTTCCGCAGAACCAGCTCTCGCTTCCGCTTCCGCGGCTTGCCGCTTTTCGTTCTCCCGAAGCTGGTGCAACTCTTCCATGGCTCGTATCCTGAGGAAAAACGTCCCAGCCCCATAGTTAAGATGCTGGGGGCCTTGCTGCACAAATCCACAAGGTTTGGGCATTCCGCATGACAAATTTCGGGTTTCAGCTTAGTCGTGTTTAGCCTGTGCAGCTGCAACGCCACAAATCGATAACCCCATCTCCCTCATTCCAGCATGACAAACTCCCAGATAGCATCAAGCAATACTCCTGCTCATGGGGCTGCGCATAAGAAACGTCTGAGGTTTCCTGATTTGCATGACAACTCTGGGGTGGAGACGTTTTTACACAGGATAGCTCGAAGATCCTGCGACGGAGCAGCTGCCACAACCCGCGGGTGCGGCGGCTGCACGACTGGAGCTGCCAGCAGTGGTTGTGTTGCCACGACTGGTGGTGATGACACGACTTGTGATGGCGGTGGTGGTTCTGTGGTTGCAATTGTAGTTGTTCTGTGGTTGATGTTCTTGAGATGAACAAGTTATAGTATATTTTCTTTTGACAGGACCTACTTCACCTATGCATTGCAAATATGTGTGGGTCTGGAAGAGCCTGCTCCAGCTTGTCATGCTAAGATGAAGTCTGCACCAGGCAAAAACCTGTGTCGCGTGATTGTGAAATAAAGTTGTCTGATTTTGACCAACTGTTGAAAGGATGTTTCTCATGCAGCGGGATACGCATTTGATAAAGAGCGCACAGAATCTGTCATGCTAGGTCCAGCACTCCATATCCGATGGGTCGTGGAAAACCCGCATGACAATTCTTGCAATCTTGTTCCAAACCCAGACATATTTATAATTTGCCGCGTCATTTGATATCACACTGTTGTTGATCATAGCAAGCACTACTGTTCATCGCGTAAAATTGTCAATGTGCGTCGATATCGTGAGGAAACATGATCTCCCCTCCCCCCTACTGGAGAAGGGTAATGCAGATTTGTGGCCACAAACCAGCTTATTTTTTGTCTTGCAGAAACTCTTAAATTAAGGCGTATGCTAAGTCTGTTTCGGTTTCTACTCGTAGATAGATAGAAAGGTGACTTAGACTTACGTTGTTGAGGTGGTAGAAGTGGTTGCGCCGGCGGTTTTGCAGGAGGGGCGGAAGGTCCGCAGCAACCCTTTTCCTTATCAAATGTAAAAGTGTCTGGGTCTGGAAACTTGTGATGCTCGGTGGCGAATCATGAGGAGGCCACAGGTGCTGGCTCAGCATGACAAGTTTCTGAGCTTCTAGGTGTTGCCTATTCTGCATGACAAACTGCGTCTCTGCATGACAGAAAAATGGGGCTCTTGGGTAATGTGCATGACAAATTCAAGAGTCACGTGAGACAAGCATGACAAACTTGTATTTTTCCAGACCCAGACATCTTTACATTTGATATTCCTTCAGCAGAAACGACTCGGCTCCCGCGGCATCCGGATCCTGGTTATGCACTGCAAATATCGATCTGGGTCTGGAAGGTTGCAACTTATGATGCTGCCTTTGGATTCTAGAAAAATTTGTGTTGCATGACCAGCAAGAAGGGTCCAGTTTGTGCTGCGCTGGGAGGGAATTCCTCATGCGGAATAAGGAGGCATGATCAAGAATCCATTTAAAAATCTGTGATGCTAGGGCACGCACCACAGACATCATGGTGCATGCAAGATGCCCATGACAAGTCTTGCAACCTTCCAGACCCAGACGTATTTGCATTTGATATTGGTCAGGATCAGGCATTTCCTTCTGCTCACCCGAATTAGAATTTGGCGGCGGCGCTGTTGTATGTGAAGATACGTTGGGTTGCATCCAAACTATCGCAAGAAAAAAGCGTTTACAGTTACACATTGTGTTGCAAGATCGGCAACACAGACAACCTTTCTCATGCAGGAAATACTTTGGAGCCTCGTTTCCTTCCCGTTTTGTTTTCCCTTATGATCTTCGCATTACAAGTTTTCTCTGCCACACAGAGAAAATTTGTGATGCAGAAACTCCAACAAATGTGTAACTGTAACACTCTTTTCTCGTGATACAAACACAAGCAACTTACTTTGTTTTACTTTTCACACAATCGTGTGAAAGAAAGTACTTCATTCCTGAAGCGAAGCGACGAAAAACAGAAATTCTTCAAGATTTGTATTGGTAGCGTGCTCTGCGCTGTATTTGATCGCGCCCATGAGAACTACTGCTTCTACTGTTATAATAGTGCAATGCAAAATCAAAATAGAAGTTTGAGTAGATCAGTGTAGCCGGAGCGAACTGCGAAACATACGGTGTCATGCGGAGAACGGAAGCATATGAAGTACTGAAGTCCAAAGCTTAATACTTCTAGTAGACGAGGTGATTTCCTAATTCCATCTTTTGATTTATCAATCGAGCTCCCCAAGAAAAATGAGAGTAAAACCAAAAAAATATATCAAATGTAAAAATGTCTGGGTCTGGAAGATTGCAACTTGTCATGCTAGATCTGCAGCATGCAAAAATCTGTGTTGCATGATTACCAAAAGCCGTCCAGTTTTGACCAAGTCGGGAGGTAGTTTCTCATGCAGGATAGGCATTAGAAAGGTCTCGCAGAATCTGTCATGCTGGGTCTCGCATTCCAGACCTCATGGGTCATGGAAAACCTGCATCACAAATCTTGCATTCTTCCAGACCCAGACATTCTTACAGTTGATAATCTAGTATGTAAGTATATTTATAGAAGGGTGACATACGTTGTTGGCCCGACGGTGGTGTCGTGGGATTCGTTTTTCCGCCCCCGTCTTCGCAACCGTTGCAACGCATTTATCGTGACGAAAAACCCACCCTCCCCATATTGAAAACGATCCGTCTGAAAATTTGCGATGCAGATTCGTGACCACAGATCCTGTCGGTCTTGCAGGAAGGCAAAGCCACAGAGTCCGCCGCATTATGCAGGCGGTTTGTGATGCTGTTGGGCTTACAGCATAGACATTTATTGCCATGCTCGTCGCCTACGTCAAAACCTCTCGACTCAGGCATGGAATATGCCTGCAGTCCTCTCCAGCAAGACAGACCGGATTTGTGTACGCAAATCCCGCATAAGAAACTTCGTTTCGATATGGGGAGGGGGGATTTTTCACTTTGATAGCATTTGAGATGCCGCTTCCGGGGCGCCGTGGCGCTCCTCCTCCAGCTCGGGCAGATCTTCGCTGGGCTTGGTCTATCAAGAGGAAAAATCCCCCCTCCCCACACTGAAAAGGTATATTGTTGGAAATTTGTGATGCTGATTCGTGGTCACAAATCGTGTCTGTCTTGCAAGAAGGCAAACCCAAAAGGCCCCCACGCATTATGCGGCCGGTTTGTGATGCTGTTGGGCCTACAGCATGGACTTTTGTCATGCTGAGCGCCTAGACCAAAACCCTTCCACTCCGGCTTGGTATGGGCCTGCAGTCCTTCACTGCAAGACAAATCTGATTTGTGTACGCAAATCCAGCATCACAAATGTCCTTCTCGATACGGGGAGGGGGGCTTTTTCCTTTTGATATGGTCTCCAAGAACTTCGTCGGCTTGGAGGTTGCCACGTGGCCAGGATGAAGATTGGCGGTGCCGTATCCTGAGTAAAAACGTCCCCACCCCATAGTTGTTATGCCAAAGGAATTGCAGCACACTTTGCCCCCCCTCTGCCCCAGGCCGCAGATGGCTTGACACGCAGGGGGGGTAGGTCAGGCGGACACCGAAGTGCCATCACCCCATAGTTGTTATGCAGATCTGCAAGCAAAAGAGCATTTGTAATGCGCATCCCAATGAGAGGCATTTCCCATCGTGTTTTGGAAGTTGCAATGCTGTCAACAGGATAAGGAGATGGATTTGCTATGCGGCTTCCCTTGCTAAAATGAATTACACTACAGCCTGCAGTTTGTCATGCGTGGCTCCCAAAACTTTCAGGCTTGTGTTGCAAAATACCCATCTTGACTCTGGGGTGGGGACGTTTTTACAAATGATATGTCGTGCTGGTGGCCGGGTTCGGACGTGCTGGCATCGTCGTGGGCCACCGCTGCGCATCAAAAGCAAAAGTGTCTGGGTCTGGAAACTTGTGATGCTGGGTGGCGTATCATGAGGAGGCCACAAGTGCTGGCTCAGCATGACAAGTTTCTGAGCTTGCTTCTAGGTGTTGCCTACAATTCTGCATGACAAACTGCGTGTCTGCATGACAGAAAAATGGGGCTGTTGGGTAATGTGCATGACAAAGTCAAGAGTCATGTGAGACTAGCATGACAAACTTGCATTCTTCCAGACCCAGGTACTACGTTTGCATTTGATACTGCGGGGATGGCTTCGTCCGGAGTCACGGTGGCCGCCGGACGCTATCCCTTGTAAAAACGTCCCCACGACGACCCCGTCGTCACGTTGGGACCTCTGCAACACAAATCCAGAAGTTTGAGGTGTCACGCATGACAAGTTTCTCGCTGTATTGTAGTTCAGTTTAGCAAGGACATTCGCATCACAAAGCCATCTCCTTATCCTGTTTACAGCATTACAAGTCCCAGAACACGACTGCAAGTGCCTCTCATGGGGACGCGCGCATTACAAACGCTCGGTTCCTGTAATTGCAAGTCTGCATGAAAAACATAGGGGTCGTGCGGACTTTTTTTACTCGGGATAGACGCTTCTTCTTCTTCTTCCTGGAAGACGAAGAGGGCTTGTTCCGGCGGGGAGTGGTGGAGAAGCCCGCAGGCGTCCACAGGTCGTCAATGGCAGGAGGGGCCTCGCTGCCACGGTCTATCCTGTGCAAAAACGTCCCCACCGCCCGCCCTAGAGTCCTCAAGATGTTGCTGGGAATTTCGCTACGCAAATCAACAAGTTATGGCTGCTGTGCATGACAAGCTGGGGGCTGTAATGGCCTCCTGATGTTGTTTTAGGTAGTGCAACTGCAACATGACGAATCAAGTGCCTCATCCTCATTCCAGCATGACAAACTCCCGGTCTACATTAGAAAACGTCGGTTTTCATGTGGCTAAGCATGAGAAACATTTTAAGAATGTAGATTTGCATCACAAATCCCAGGAGGTGAAGGAGAATTATGTGGGAACGTTTTTCAAAACGATACTGGCAAACCGCTTGTCATCGTCGTCGTCGTAAAAACCGAAGGAGTATGCATTGCAAATAATGTGTCTGGGTCGTCTGGAAGAATGCAAACTTGTCATGCTCTCTGTCAGTCACACAAAAATCTGTCTTGCGTGAACAGCAACACCAGACGAAGCAGGTGCTCTTTATTTGTGGCTACGCGGGCAAAAAGTTTCTCATGCAGCATACAGATTATAGGCACAGAGACCTCATAAATTTGTGGCTTTCATAAAACCTGTGATGCTATGCTGTGCATTCAGAAGAACCTGTGTGAGGCAAACGGTGCATGACAAAGTCCGGATGTTTCCAGACCCAGACCTCGATATTTGCATTTGATAAGGGGTCGCCCTGCTCCATGAAGGAAGCTGCTCCTTTGCCCTTCCGCGCCGCCGCCCCCGAACTACCCGCACCGCGGCGCCGCGAGTTCCGAACGGCCTTGGCGGACCCCGACGCCCAGAAGAGCTGCCCGGTGCCCAGGAAATAGGCGCCGGGGAGTTGCAGCAGGTGCGCGATGGAACCCATCACAGACTTCTTGACGAGGACGTTCTTGAACATGGCCGATGCTGCTCCGTGCTGTCCTCCACCCCGAGGCACCATTTTCGCGTCTCGCCCTCCGCGGCGAGAATGTACTACGAGTGGTCCCGGCAAAGATCAATTAGGGGATGATGAAGAAAAAAAAGTCCGCGCTGCCCCTTTTTATTCCACAACTCTACGTCTACGTCCCGGCTCCGAATTGCGTTACTCCACCTCGCGGTCTGCTCGTCCTTGTGGTGCTGAGACGACAGTACTGCGCGTTTTTCTCCTCTGTATTTACTCCTTGTGCTGGGAAACAGAAACTTCCCGAGCAGTTTTGCTCCTGGTGTAGTACTCCTTGTGCTGGGAAAGGATTATTTCCCGAGTTTTGCTCCTGGTGTAGTACTCCTTGTGCTGGGAAGGAAAGATTTCCCAAGGTCTGCTCCTCTGCGTGCTCCTTCTTGTGCTGGGAAAGAAAGATTTCCCGACTTTTGCTCCTCTGTATACTCCTTGTGCTGGGAAACAAAAATTTCCCGAGTTTTGCTCCTTTGTATGCTCCTTAAGCTGGGAAACAAAAACTTCCCGAGTTTTGCTCCTCGCTCGTCTGTGTGCTCCTTGTGCTGGGAAACTGAAATTTCCCGAGTTTTGCTCCTCTGTGTGTAGTTCCTTGTGCGGGAAAACAAAAATTTCCCGAGTTTTGCTCCTTTGTGTGCTCCTTAAGCTGAGAAACAAAAATTTCCCGAGCTTTGCTCCTTTGTATACTCCTCGTGCTGGGGAACTAAAAAGTTTCCCAAGTTAGTTTTGCTCCTCTGTCGTGTGCTCCTCGTGCTGGGAAACAAAAATTTCCCGAGTATTGCTCCTTTGTATCCTCCTTCAGCCGGAAAACAAAAATTTCCCGAGTTTATTTGCTCCTCGTTTGCTCCTTAAACCTGGAAACAGAAATTTCTCGAGTTTATTTGCTCCTCGTTTGTTCCTTAAGTAACCCTGGGAAACAGAAATTTCCCGCCGAGTTTTGCTCCTTCTTCTCTGCTCCTACTTGTTTTGCTCTAAACAGCAATGCTCCGTGGAGTTTGTTCGTTTGTTGTTCTGCTCCTCTCGCCGCGAACGTGACTACCTACTCGTCTCCTGCCCTTCAATTAGACGTAGTAGAAGTGCTGATCGTGGCGTTTTTCTTCAAGTCGTGGACAGGGGGCGTCCACGTCTGAAAGGGAAAGTTCTTCAAGTCGTGGGAATGGGGGGAAATCTCCACGTCGAGAATTGTAATAAACTTGATGAAAAACAAACACAAAAAATCGATGCACTTCAAAACGGAAACGCGATTTGGTAGTACGACTTGCGGTTCTTTTAAAGTAGCTCCTCAGTAGTGTACAAAACGACAAGTATTTTATCCGGAGAACGCGTCGAAATGATATTTGAGTTTCAACAAGAGACACGGCGAGGGAAAAATAAAATGCTTTTGATGATGTTGTAAAGATTTTGTTCGATTTTTGGAAGGGAAGTGACAGAAAGAAATTTAAAGTCGTGATAGTATAATGATGCTTTTACAGTATAGGGAGTTCTTGAGATTTTTTTAATTTTAGAAAATGAAAAGAGTATGATGTTAAGTTTTTAAAAAAACAAGTTTTTGGGTAGTGCTCGAAGTTAGTTGGTGGGATGTTTTTGCAAAATTTTTTTTAGTCGTCGGGTGAAAGTTGATGTTGAAAACAAGAGTTTTCCCGCCTGTGTGGTGGTGTTTGTCATGGGAATTAATGGGCTTTTCGACTTTCTCAAACCGCAACTCCAAGAACGCTCTTTTCACCATGCACGAACCAAAAATCTTCTTCAAAAGGCCGTCAGCTGGACAAGACTTGTAGTAAGTTACTTCTGTTGGTGGACGATTTAGAAGTTTTTTTTGCCTTAAAAACTGCACGATGTTGACACGAGTTGTACGGCAGATGAAGATAGTAGATGAAGAACGACCACTGGTCATAGTCGAACTGACCGATTTTCTTGCCGAAATTGCTATTGCACAAAACCGAAGAAAAGTAAGTACGATGTGGACGAAACGATACAAAAAAGTCTCGCGCACGACTTTTATCGCACGGGGACTACGGCATCCATTGTGCCACGGGGTGAAAAGGACTAGACGTAGACTATGTAGACGGACGGACCGAACGCCAAACCTACAGTTTTATCGTGACTAAACATGATACCGACAAGACCTTCTACAGTAAACCGTTAGGACCGAACGAACGAAAAACCTACAGTTGATTGATCGACTAAACATACCGAAAAGACGAACTTCTTCTACAGTAAACCGACATTGGACGGCGCCTCGGGAAAGTAAGAGGTCTTCGGCGAAGGCCGAGCCTCGGAAGTGGACGATGAAACAGCGCGGGGGAACAAGTTAAAGTTTCCATTGAGATGTAGTTGTTGTTCAACATGTTTGTTATATCCTCAAAAAGAAAAAGCGCGCAGAACAGGTTCATGCCGTACTTAATATCACGGTTGGTTCCTGAAGCGAACAGTGCTGAGCTCGAACTCTGAGAGATGAGAGGTAAAGGCTGTAAAAACTTTCTTATGCAAAAATCTCTGACACCGAACTGTCTTCCGTTAATTATTTGTTTCTGCGCTTGTGACGCAGTCGTGGTGGTTTTCACGACTGCCAACAACATCTAGAGAGAACTACGCGAACGCGATGTGTTGTGCGAAAGTTTTATTCCAACATTTGTCTTCATGCTCGGCTGCATATACAAGACTTTTTAAACGAGCTGAAGCTTTTGTGTCCTCAACATCGAGATCGAGTAACCATAAGTAGTACTGGCTGAAATACAATCAAATGACTGCTACGTACAAAACTCCCTGTCCGATACAGCAGCTCATCTCCATCTCCAAACTGGGAGAAAGAACGGCATGCAGCGTAAGTACCCACGTCGACCTAGTGGTGTACATCTGCGTCTTCCGTGCTGAAAATGTTATCGCCGTGTTCTTTCGCCAAATCCGCAAGAGACGGTGGACGGAGCAAGTCCTCCTTGTGCTCATTTGCCAGTCGCCATTGCCTTGCTGCTTCCAGCTCTAGTGTCACGGCTTGGTCATACTCTTCCTTTTTGCGCTGCTCTTCTGCTTGCGCCTCTTCGATTCTCGTCTCGAGGGCTTGAAGAGTGCTTGGGTCGCCTCCCAACGCACCACCTGCGTCTTGTTGGCGTGCATACTTTGCGGTTTTGGCATGCTCGTACTCGTCTTTCTTCACCTGCTCAAAATTCCGGGCACGATTCAAATCCTCGAGCGCTTCTGCTATCCTTTCGTCCGCCTCTGCCAGCCGCTCCTCCAGCGTCAGACCCGACGTCGACGAATCTTCGCTCGCAACGCTGGCAACAGACGGAACAAATGGCGCTGACGCGCTACTTGAAAGGCCTGATGGAGTAGAGGACGAAACGCTTGACAGTCCCGCTGCAGTAGTGCTGCTTCCTCCATCCGATCTACTCGAAGATGTAGTTGGAACGCTTGATGCTACTGCAGCTGCATCTAGGCTACCACCTACCGGAACTACAAGCGCAGAACTTGCAGCTCCGGGCGGCGCAGAAGACGTCGAATGGAGTCCCGCGACGTCGGGTGGGCGGGAAAGGGAATGAACTGGAGACGTCAACATCCCCGCGCCGGCTGGTGGCACTGCCCCCATACGTCCTTGCGGCTGTTGTGGCACTGATCTCGGCATCAAAGGTGGTCCTTGCTGCTGCGGGCCTTGAGATCCACTCGCAACAGCGTGCGGCGTCGTCACAACAGCGGATGGTACAGCCACGCGAGGTTTTGGTGCTCCTGCGCCGGATGGTGTAGTTCCAGTACTAGTTGCTCCACAGCCCACGCATTTCTCGACTTCTACAGTGCTTGTTGGGCGGAGAACAGCAGCCGGGGCTCCCTCGTAGTCTATCACGACATATCACAGGAAAAAAGTGCTGTTACAGTTACACATTGTCTTGCAGGAGCCGCAAGACAGACAACCTTTGTCATGCAAGAAGTGCTTACGAACTTCATTCTGTAAGTGTAGTTTTCCCTAGGGATATCCGCACTGCAAGTTTTCTCTGCCACACAGAGAAAATTTGTGTTGCTGGACTTACAAGAAATGTGTAACTGTAACACTTTTTTCTTGTGATACGACGCCAGGAAGGACTTCTACTACGTCTTCCTCGACGACCTGCTGCGCAACTGGCGCGGCGCTTTCTGTGAAAGACGTAGCTCCTGTGCTAGCAGAATTTGTACTGTATTGCCGCCGCGTCGTGGAGAACCCCGCCGGCATCCACAGATCCTCCAAGGCCGGAGCAGCCTCGCGGCCATTCGCAAACTTTTTATCGTCCTCCTCGTCATAGGAACCGAAAGGACTAGTAGTGGTTCCCGCGTCTACCTGGGCGTGATCTACCCCGGAGGAGGTGGGAGACGATGCTGTTATATTTTTTCGTACTAGCATTTTGTTAGACAATTTTGCACGACAGATCGGAGCTTGAGCTTATACACACACACGCATGTTGACAAATGCCTGGCACATCGAGTAGATCTGGTTTATACATGTCGGCACTGAGCAAGTTTGTCGGAACAAAAAGTAAGACGATGAATCGATAGTCTACTGTGAAATCAAAAAAAAACCTTTAAAACTCGCCGCAGCTTTTTTCTCCCCGGAGTTATTGTCGTGGTCCTTATTTGGGCCTACACTCGGACTGCGCACTGCCTCAGTCACGTCAACATCGAAAGAGATGCCCAGAAGCCGAAGCAGCCTCACAAAAACCAGGCTCATTTGGATTCGCATCTGCTTCCTCTGCCGCGAGACAGACATTTTTGTAGAAGTGAAAAATCTGAATCAGGCTAGTTAGTACAACTTAATAAATAATAGGGACGTACAACCTATTGGAAGGGAAGCTGAAGAGGGAAAAATTTCACTGTTCTGTTTTATTTCGTCGCCGAAAAATTCTATACACAGTTGTTGTTTTGTAAAATACGCATTAGTACGGGACTTTTATGTACAAAATCGTGAATAAATGGACGAGCACAGGGTTGTTCTGTGTCTATCGCACGATAGGTTTCCACGATAAATTAGTCCTTCGACGTACGAAAACATTAAAGAGAACGAGGAATGCACGACGAAACAAAACGACACTGCCCAAACTTGAGGTACACCAGGTAGCCGTGTGGCGCACGAAAAAATAATGACCAAAAATTGTCATCGTATTTACGCAACGAAACGCTACACACACACAGCGAGCAACTGATAAGATCCACGATTTCACGACGACGACACACCATCCTCGCGCCCGCCAACAACAGAGGCAGTCAAGTATCATCTAAAGCGCATCAAGAACAGCACTATTGCACATTTTCATTTTTGCACCGGCACAAGAAACGCGATCGGCGTAGTGTGAAAGTGTTCTTTATTTCATTCGCACTGGCTTCTTCAATACTCAGATCGGCTCTAGTACTTAGCCAGCCTTTCGACTAACAACTTGTTTCTATCAACTTCTGGTCATTCTAGTTTTTTGCGAAAAAAACGCTCCATCTTGAAAGAAGAATGAGACGAAGGAGGTGGCGCCAGCTTTCCTCTCCGTAATCACCCTCGCGTCTGAAGATGAGGCCGCAGCAGTCGAAGTCGCAGGCCGAATTATAAACTCGCTCTGCTCTACTTCTTTGTTCCCGCAGACTTTATTGCCACCGCTTCCTCCCGCGTGTTGTAAATAGTTCTTCTTATTGGCATTGTAGTTAGACCGACTGTGCGCCTTGCTCTTTTCCAAAGCCGCGAGTAACCGCTTCGGCACGGGTAAAAGGTCGTCGCTTTTGCTAGTATTGTTTGCGGCCTTGGCTTTTCTATTTTCTCGACCAAAATTCACTAGACCCGGAGCTGCATCTCCAAAACGTGGTCCTCGGGGCGGCGGAGGAAGTGGTTTTCCTATGGTGCTGTCCGTGTGGTCCTCTCCTGGAGGTCTTTCTTGCCCGCTGTTTTTACACTGTGATTGTTCCGCTTCCGGCTCTTGTACCGCACTACTTCTCGTCATCTCTCTCTTCCTCGAACCAACGTCAAACGCGTCAATCAAGCTCCACACCGTTTTGATCTTCGAGTTGTCCACTTTCACCAACACAGCGTCCTGCAACCGGTTTTTGAAGTGATTCGGTTGGTACTGGGAGTGGTTTCTTTCAACGTGTGTAGTCGAGGACGAGGAAGAGGATGTTGTTGATTCACCTGATTTAGAAGCGGATCCAGTCGACGACCTACTTGCGGAAGCAGAGCTGACAGTGGCCGAGGAAAGCGCTCCACCTACTTTTGAAGACGAGGAGCTGGCTGAATGGTTTTTTGTCGTCTCGAGGAGGGCAAGAGTGGTGGTGGTGTTGCTTTTTTCATACGTGGCGTCGTCCCTGTTATCGGCACCCTCTCCATTTCGACTTTCTCTGAAGTAGCCGCTGCCAGAATCTTCATTTTCTACCGGAGCTGCGTGGGTGCCGTCGTCGTGCTCTTCTTCATCTTCTTGCGATCTCCGCATGACAAAGAACGGGTACTTCCATTGGGGGTCGAAGTCGGCGAAGTTGGTATTTTTCACCACCTCCTTCACAAATTTTCTCACCTTCTTGTTCGTGTCTCCTGCTCCTTGATCAGGATCCCCCGCGGCAGTTCCGCTTGACAATGCGACGTGGTCGTCCTCGGGAGACACAGCGATTTTCGTACTGCCTTTGCTCATCATGTCGTGCCGCGTTCGAAGACCATGCTCGTGAAGATCCTCGGCTTGTTCTCCACCCTGGCTCTGGACTGTCGCCGCCAAAATCTGCCGAAACAACGTTTCTGCTCCTTCACGACGAAGTAGCTCCGTAGCAGTTGCAGCCTGAGACATATGCTCATCGTCCGCAAGATGGGCGTCTTCGCCTTTCATATTTTCGGGGAGACCACAAAGGTAATCGAAATTTACCGTGGCTAAATCAAGGAGCTTCGTAGTATTCGCAGCAGCGGTCGAGGTGTTTCTATTTCGATTTCCGTCGACTGTTGTCTGCAATATTAAATTCCGGTTCACAATCTGCGGTATCCGCCTTGCCAGTCCTTCCGCAGCTGCAGTAACGGTGGATAATGTTTGTTCCGGCGCTGCTGCCTTCCTCGCTTCCTCGTCCACCAGACTCCAGCTTGCAGACTCGTCGTGGTCCTGCTTCGAAAAGTAAGTGCGGGCCCCAACATCTTCTCGTCCTCCTGCTTCACGATCTTCTTTTGTGACAGCAACTTCTTCTACCGACGAGCTGCCGGAAGAAGAACTCATCTCCTCCCCGACCTGCCTCCTGCCACGACAATAATTTTCCACAATGTCCGCAACGATCTCCTTCACCACGCCCGCAATCATCTTCCGCTTGTGCCGGCGCTGCGGCGTCCGGAAGGGAAATCTGGACAAGGGCGAGCGGGGACGCTGCCGGTCTTCCGCTTCCTGCTTCGTAAAGGGCATGATGGGGTCGACAAACTTGTAGAGCGTCTTCTCCCTGTCACTCTGCGCTCGAGCTGCATTTGGGAAAGTAGACCCGCCTGTTCGAAGATGCAACGGTGGTCCTGGCATCATTTGGGCGCCAACATCAACTCCTCCTTCCTTCGCCTTGACTTGCAGTTTACTCGGTTTATTCTTCGAAGACGATTTCTTCAGTCTGATTTCAAACGCCGGAATCGGCGGCCGCGTTTGCACCGAATCCAAATCCAAGGATTGCAGCAGCTCACTCGCTTCTGTCGAGTTTTTCTGGTTCTTATCAAATGCAAATATGTGTCGGTCTGGAAATATGTGAAATTTGTCATGCTAATCTGACATGTTGGCCCTGCGCTCTGTATTGCGTGGCAACGAACAGCTTCCCCTGTCCGTCATGCAAGAACGCTGTTTCTCATGTAAAATACACAACGCAGAGCCAGGAAAAAATCTGTCATGCTTGGCGGTGCATCACAGCATGCTCATATCATTCACTCACATGCATTACAAGTTTCCACCCCCAGACATATTTGCAATGCATAGTTCTTCTGTGCGAACAAAAAGCGGTCCACCTCGTTCTCCGCTAGGGTTGCGTCGCAGGTATGACAGTGCACAACTCCCCCTCCCCCTCATTTGTCATGCAAAATCCCAAACCCAGTTGCAGCCTTGTAGCACTGTTGGCATGACAAATGCTGCAAGCCGAAACAGTACTTCGGTCGGCGCATAAATTTGTCATGCACAGGCTCCAGGAGTGCTGGCTTTTGTATTGCTGTTCATGCCATACAAATGAGGGAGAGGGGGTGTTGTGCACTGTCGTAGCAGGACTCGGACTTTTCAAAGTCGAAGGGCTTGAAGTGGTAGTCCAGGGGTAAATGAGGTTTTTTGTTCATAGTGAAAGTGTTTCTGTTTGATGTTCTGGGAGATGAGAAAATGACCGCAGATGAACAAGAAGAAGTGTTGCTGCTATCGAAGTCGAGCGACAGAGTGCGAGGCGTGTGGAGGTCAGATTCGACTTGCTGTTCACTGTCTTTGTCATGCGGTGATGAAAAAGGGGATTTTGTCATGCCAGACCTCCTTACCGATTCCACCGACTCCGAATCGTCCTCGTCTTCCTCGGTGGTTGACCCGGGTAAAATCCAATCCATCGTGTGTCGTCCTTCGAAAAAAAGGCTGTTTTTGCGGTTGTTTGTTGTTGTTCCTCCTGCAACTCCTCCTACTGCGCCACGAATAATTCTACTTGGCGGCTGCAGGCCTTCCAAAGGCAGTTGTACCGCGCCGATTTTTCGAAATACTTCACCGAGAACTTGTTCGCCGCTGGCATTGCTGCTCGAGCTGCTGAAGAGGTCGTCGGAAGTGGAGGAGAAGTCCTCAAGATCTTCTACCAGTGTTTGAGGTCGTGCTGGACCAGCGGTGATCCCCGGTACTGATGTGTCCTGCGGCTGATGATTGTGTTCTTCTTCTTCATCTCTCGCTCTCCTATCCAGTTTCGCATCACAAATCAGTTTTTCCAGCAATTCTTCGTCGAAATTCGCAACCCGTTTAAGCAGAAACTTTGCCAGTTCCGGGTGAAGTTTTTCCGGACGGAGGGGCTGTTCCTTTCGCTGCTGATCTTCTCTGGTCGAACCAGAATTATGCTGAGAATCAGGTCCACCTGCGCCCTGACCTGTTGAGTCGGCATCTTCGTGGTCCAGAGCGACACTATCACCGACGTTTTTGCAATCCCCGAACGGAACAATCTGCAGATTTGTGAAGTCTAAATTTTCGAGATCAGAAGTTCCTCTGCCGCCCCTTTGGTCTGAAGTCAAAGTGATTCCCGATGACAGGTTCTTCGCGTTTTTTTCACTAAACAGATATTTCTCCACAACAGTCCGATACACCTGATGCACAACCGCGTCAATCAGCTTCGCCTTTTCCTTCACATTTACCAGCAAAACCTCAACGATTTTCATCACCGCCTGCTTCCGCGTTTCGGGGGACATTTCCGCTTCTTTCACGTGCTGTTGGATATTAAACTGCTTGTCTTGCAAAACAGTCCTTGTAACCTTCTGCACGATCTGTCTCGCGTGCCTCCGATCCGTGTTGTACCGTTTCAACAACTTGATTAAGTGCTGTCCGAAGGGAGAAGTAGGGGTTTGATGTCGTGAAGCTGCTGTGCTTGTTTGGGTCGTTGGCAGTTGATGAAAACCACGACGACCTTGGTCCTCTTCTGTAGATGAGACCGCGTAGTTCCTCTCTTCTGGTTCGTGCAAAATCTCGGACACCACAAAAACCTTCTCCTTCGCGGCACCGTTCGGGTAGAAAATTTGTTTTTCTGCAATACGGAACGGGAGACGTGTCGTTTTAATATTTCTCGTGCCACCAGTGCTCTTCCTGGTGCAGCTGCTGTCGAAGGGAGTAGAAGTAGTACTTCTTGCTCCTGCATTTGTTCCACCAACCAGAACCGGATACTCGTACAGCGGAGGAGTTGCCGGTCGCGGAATGTCTTTCTGGATCTTGTTCACCGTTTCCGCCACCTTGACTAAAGCGGTGGTTTGCAGGAGCTCTGTGGACGAGGACCCAGTAGTACCACCACGAAAAGGCACGACCGCGAGAATCGGGTTTTGGTTCCGCAGAGCAATGGCTTCCTCCTCTGCAGTCGCGATTGTGCCCGTGCTGATCGTGCTTGCGGTGTCTTGGTGGTGGTCTGGGTAGTTGTGTGCTCTTTTGTTTTTCCTGGAGGACGAAGACGAACTGGAGGTGGAAGATGAGGAGAGTAAAAACGCTTCGTCAAAGTGCTTGATCTTTTCCTGCAGTTCCAAACGCCTGTAATGGTCATCGACAGAGCCAAAATTTGTTTTCAAGGAGAAATTTGTCGATGACGAGGTGGGAGAGGACGCAGCAGAACTAGTATCGTTCCCACCACCTTGAAGTCCCCGGCCTAGAAACAAAGATCCCGATCCGAAACTCGCTTTTTCAGCATCATCTTCGTGGAGGCGGACTTGTTGGTCAGCCGTAAAAAAGCCTCCTCCTTGTTGGCAGCTCCCACCTGTTTCTGCCGGCGAGGGGGCTGCGGAACCGGAGAAAGAACTCGCTTTCGACGAAGAAGAAGAGGAGCATTTACTGCTCGACTGCACTTCCAGCATGTGATCCCCCTCGTCGAAGACTTTGTACGCGTGTTTCCTCTCCAATTCAAACTCCAGAAACTTCTCCGTCGGTTTCCGGGTGAAATCGTTCTCGGGCTTATGCTTTTCCGCATCCACTTCAAACCAGTCTCGGTTTTTCTTTGCATTCATCAATCGAAATTCCTTGTCCGTTTCCAACCTTTTCTGCTTTTCCCGGTATTTCTTTACCCAGATTTTCAGCTTCTCGTGCGCGTTTTCCTCTTTCTGCTTCTTCTGCTTTTCTAAAAGGAGCGGGGATTTTGTCGTGTTTTGCCTTTGAATCAGCCTTGCTTTTTCGTTGACATTTTTCTCCTGCCGTGCCAGCATCGCGGTTAAGGTTGGACCCTGCAGGAGATGTTCAGTGCCAGTGGGGGAGGGAGGAGGGGAGAGTAGACCAGCCGATGTTGTACTGACGAGGACTTTGTCAGGCTTTGCATCCTGTTCCTGCGAAACTTCTGTTGCAGACGAAGAAGAGGAGTGTTCTTTGTCATGCTGATCTACTTGGGCGGTCGCACCATCAAAAGCAGCGTCCTCCGCTTCTTTTCTCTTCTCCTTCACCATAGCCAGCACCGTGTTGAAAAACGCCGTTCCGGATTTTATTGTGAGGAAAAATCCCCCCTCCCCATATTGAAAAGGTATGCTTCCAAAGCTTTGCGTTGCTGATTTGAGGTCACAAATCACATTTGTCTTGCAAGAAGACAAGGGTAGAAGCTTCCGCCCCATTATGGAGGCGCTTTGTCATGCTGTTGGGCCTAAAGGGGAGCCGTTTGCCATGCTGAACAACTAGACCCATACGCTCGTAGCTACCCTTGGTATCTGGCCGCAGTGCCTTCCTGCAATACAAAGCTGATTTGCGTACACAAATCCAGCATCAGAAGTTCCGTTTTGATATGGGGAGGGAGGTTTTTTCCTTTTGATAGATTTTTTCAAAGATTTCCAACCACGTCGTTTGCCTTCGCTCTTCATCAAGTCGTCCGTGTCGTGCTTCTCTTGGTCGTGTTGTGGTTTCGCACGAGCAGCAGCTCCAGACGTTGTAACACCTTCGTCAATTATGTCGATGACGTGATGCTCTTTCCCACCGTCCTCCGCCCCGCCCGCGTCCTCCACATCTTCTAGATCCACTACCTGTCTCCTCCGTCTCGCGAGAATCTCGCTCTGATGCGGCAACGGCTCGAACACGTCACGGAAATTAACTGTTGCATCCTCGTGAACATCCGCATTTCCAGCTATCGCAGAAGCCTTATCACCACGGCCTCCTCGATCAAGATCCAAAACCTCTTCCACCATTCCCTTTTCCACAACCCTTTCCCCGCAATACTTCTTTTCCGCCACCCTCTTCCGCATGCCCTCCAATTCCCGAAACGCAAGCCACTCAACGAACGGGAGATCTTCTTGTCTCAGCGTGTTTTGCCGGTAGTTTTCCTTCAACCGGTGGAGCAGCAAATCCTTTTTCGTGTTCGAGCCGGAAATGAAGGGGTCTTTTCCACCTTCTTTTTCGGAAGCTGTATTCATCCGAAAAACTTTTTCCAAACTCGGCTTCATCACATCCTGATACAAAAACTTCTCCCCGTTGTCGTCAAAGAGTCGCGGGATCTCCCCGTCGTGAATCGCCAGGGTTCTCGGGTCGCAGTTGGCAAGCCGGATGCGGTCTGGGGAAAGCGAAAGACTTCTTCTAGCACGATGACCGTCCTCGTGTTGTCCTTTTCTCACGGAAACAACCACAGAACAACGAGTCGTGGGGTATTGCGGCGGGATTAGCAAGGTTTCGATGTCTGCCCGACGTAACTTCCACTGCTTCACGGTACTGACGGGAATCGCAAATTCGTCGTCCTCTTCGTCTTGTTGTTGTTTTCCCGCAGCTCCTGCTTCTCCGCTGTGCACCATCCCGTGCTTCAATGGGAAAACTGGTTTGTCGAATTCCGACTCTTCAGCAGCAGCGGTTGTCTTGTTCAACCCGTAAATCGGATGTCGGTACTGTTTTTCAAACTGCTTATTGACTTCTCTCTGCGCTAGCTCCGCTACTCGATTTGCTTCTTGCTCCAGGTAGTCGTGGTCTTTTTTGTCATGCAAACGCTGCGTAATTCCAGCTGACGGTTGTCCGTCTTCATCCTCACCCTCAACACCCCCCTCTCCCGCCGATGTTCTAGTTGGAAAGTGCTTGAAATACCCCCGGTCAACGAAGTGAAAGCCCGTCCCGGTTTGAATATGCACTGCAAAAGTGTCTGGGTTTGGAAGAATGTCATGCTTGTCTCACATGACAGCTGAATCTGCAATGCGTGAGCAGGAAGCGAGCCTCTTGCCTGTCATGCAAAAGCGCAGTTTGCCATGCGGAAAGCGAAACACAAAGGAGCCCAGAAACTTGTCATGCGTGGCTGCGTATTGCAGTACGCGGCCCATCATTGGCAAGCTAGCATCACAAGTTATTTCCAGACAAAGACATATTTGCATTTGATATTGAAAGTTCTTCGACAAATTCAATTGCTGTTTCCTCATCCGGTTCCTTTCCAGTTCCTCTTTCTGAAACTGAATCTCTTCCGGGTTTAGAATGGTATCCCGCCGGAGTTTTCGCTTTAGCAAGTAAGAAGCGGAAACGGGGCGGTGGGTTATTGATGCTCCTGTAGACGCAGTAGTTGTACTGGCATTGTTTCTTCTCAAATCCAGTTTCTTATCGTCCAAATTGAACAAATCCTGTTGCTTCGCCTTTTCCTCCAAAATTTTTTCGATTATCAAATGCAAAAATGTCTGGGTCTGGTGGAAGATTGTCATGCTAGTCTGGCATGACTCTGCACTCTGTATTGCGCGGCCACCAAGAGGTCCTCTTGCCGGACATGCAAAACCGCAGTTTCTCATGCGAAATACGCATCACAGAAGCACGAAAAAACTTGTCATGCTTGGTGGCGCGCATTCCAGAGCACTTATTGTTCACGGACTTGCATCACAAGTTGCCAGACCCAGACATATTTGCAATGCATATCCGTCACATACTTCGTAAATCGGTTAAAATGCGGATTCAAACTATTCGGCGGAGCGGAAATCGGTCGGGTACGCTGGAACTGTGGTGCGGAGGAACCGCGAGAAGTCAGCACGTTGTTCGGCAGCAGAGAAGCTTCCTGCAACGGTGGTGGATCGTCGCCATTTACTCGCTGTTCGTCCGTCCCGTCAAGATCAAAATCCGGGGTTGACAAAGAAGAAGCACCATTCCTTTCCTTTTTATCAATCGCCACAATCCTTTTCTCGAACGCCAATTTCTCCTCTTTAATCTTCTGTGCTTTCAACATTTCCGCCAAATTCCCCGCTTTGATTTCCTCCAGTTGTTTCTTGTTCTCGGCTGATTCTGTGAAATCCAAATACTCGAATTCCTCGCAGTCATTTATCCCTTGCTTCGATACCTTCAAAACCGCATTTTCTACCTTCGTCGCTTGCGGTTTCTCCTTTACAAAATCGCCCCGGGCTAACTTGATGAATTTACTCATGTTCAACTTGTACCTTCGTAGAGAAAATTGTGAGCTCTCCCTTGCTTTTCGCTTCTCTTCTTCCGCTAAAGATTGTGCTTCTCGAATCGTCTCTTGGATTCTCCGCTGTTCCAGTTCTTGGTCAAACTGGGGGCCTCGGCCGATCACCAAATCGGACGAAGAGGAGGAGGAGACAACATCATCGGCGGTGTTTTCCTCATGCTCCCTCCATCCTCTGTTCTCATACAGTTCCGGAGACAGAAACTCCATTTTCCCGATCATTTTCTCGACCCGCTTCCCAGCCGCTTCCATCTTCCGCTGCAAGTCCGTGTCGATCTGCGTTAAGACTTTCGGGGATAAATGGTTTTTATCAATGAGGTTCTGAAGATCAAATTCGTTGAACTCCTGTTTTTCTGCTAGTTGTTTTTGGAGAGAAAATTCCTGTTCTTCAATCGTCATTTCCCCGTAGTTGCGAAGAAACTCTGGGTTGTCGATTTCTATTCCGAAGTTTTCCGTTTCTAATTTTTCCAATTCTAATTTCAATTCGTATTCATCGTAATCTGTCACACCCCCTGGCTTCTGCTCGTCTAAGTAAAATCGCTTCAGTTGTTCTGCTTTTTGGAGTCTTTTTTCTTGGATCACGTTCTGGAAGAAGTCTCTGCGGAGCTGTTTGTCGCGGGTGGGAAAGTCCCAGATGTTGGTATTTTCTTGGTCGGTTGTTGTTTGCGCCTCATTCTCATGGTCCAACATTTGTTTCAGACCATCGCCGTCGTCGTGTTTTCTTCGCGTTACTTGCGTCTGCTCCATCTCTGCCTTCAACCTCTCCAGCGCTTCCTTGATCCGGCCGGGTGAAGCGATATCCAGCGGGTGGACGGATATGCGTTGCAAATCTGTCTGGGTCTGCAAACTTGTGATGCTGGTTGGCGAATCTTGACGACGCGCCAATTGATGGCCCAGCATGACAGGTTTCGGAGGTACTAGGTGTTGTAAATTCTGCATGCGAAACTGCGTTTTTGCATGACAGAAAAGTGAGGCTCCTTTTGGATGACGTGCATGACAGTTTTGAGAATCATGCTACCCGAGCATCACAAGTCGCGCACTCTCCCGGACCCAGACATATTTGCGATGCATAACGGAAACCACAGATCGACTGTCGTTACTGTTGGCGTCGTCCCAGTCCACAGAAGTTTCTTCGTCATAGAAACGCTTTTTCGATTTGAAGTTGTTTTTTATCGTATTGTTCAGCATCGGTATCTGCGACGCAATGGGGTGCTCGATCCGGTGGAGGGTTGTCGGGTGGAGAGGCTGTCGCTGTAGTTCTTGCTTATTGATACTTTCGTCCTGCTCGGTGGAATTTGTATTGCGATTTTTCATCCCAAGACCACTGTCGCTGTCGTGCTGGGACAGTTCGTCGTGAACAGATCCATCTTCACCGCCCTCGCCGGCGCCCAACTCCCGAAAGCTGGATACAACCACAGTTTCGACGAAACTCCTCGCCGCTTTCCGGCCTTCGAACCAATCCAACCGGTCTTGCAGTTCTTTTTGGATTTCCTCGTTTGCGATGCGGTCGCAGGACGCTTGGAGGACGGAGTGGACGTAGGAGTGGATGATGTGAGCCTGGAGTTGATGATGTTCCGCATGTTCTAGTAGTTGGTCCTTCTCACCATCTTGTTCATCTTCCGACGGTAAAAATGCTTCCACAATGTCGACTGCAGGAGCTGCACCAGATCCAGAACTACGAGCATGCGTCTTCATCTTCCCCTGACGTTCTTCAGACATCAACCTGGAAGACGCAGAGGCAGATGAACTCGCACTGTCACTGCTGCTAGAGCTGGAAAATATTGAACCACCACCGCCACGCCTCCTCCGCGCAGCACGACTTGCTTTCTCCAAGTTCCGTCTTCCCAGTTCGCGGGCCAACTGGTCCTGGCTCGGCTGCACGATGTCCGAAGGACGGGCGGTCGGGGACAAGCCAAAAGTAGAAGCGGAAGCTTTTTGTAATGCTGCACCGGCTCTTCTTGCGGGAACACCGGTTCTCCTGTCATGCGCAATATCCACCCTGACAACCGGCGACTCCAGTCGGTCCTCCAGCTGTAACAGTTCGTCCTCGCCGTCGTAGTTCTTCTCCCTAGTACTGGAAAGATTCCTATTCTCGCCATGAGGAAGATTCTTCTCATAATATCTCCCGCTGCTCCCCTGCAGCTCCAAATCGCCAGTCGCCTGGTACAGATTCCACTTCAAATTCTCCGCCCGCTCCGCCCAATATTTCCTCCACGACTTCAGTCGCTGCTTCATATCCTGTCGAAACTCTTTCGCCCGGTTTTTGAAGAAGTAGTCGTAGATAGTCTCGCGGAAAAATTTTCGGAAATTTTTGTCCAACTCTTTTCTCACTTCCCTCCCGTATTCTTTTTCGAACCCGAAGGGAGAATTGTCGAAAGAAGGACTGTCGTGAGTTGTTGTTTCCTCGTTATGTTCAAGGTCTCCGATGGCTTGTTGTTCTACTGTTCCTACTTCACTATCCGCTGTCTTGTTCCGGTTTTTTCCAACTACCTTCCCGCTCTTCATTTTCGAACTACCGCCTGCTCTTTTCGTCCTGCAACAAAACCTAATCCTCGGTACACCCAAACAGCAGCAACACCAGCACCCGTAGCACATCCCGTAAAACACCCCCTTGGCTCGCGCGTCAACGACTCTGGTGTCGAAGTTTTTGTTTTCGACGAAGTACGGTCGCCAACAGAAGTGCTTCAAGCAGCAGTAGTCGAAACAGGTGGTCAAGTAGTACTCCTTCGGGCGCTTCTCGATCTCCTCCACGGTCCTGAGGATCTTCCGCATGTGCAGGAAGATTAAACCGGAGAGTAAAAAGATGGCGAGGAGCGTCATCGGGACAATGACTTTCAAGAAGTGCCATTGGTTGTACCACAGGAATTGGTCACTGGTGTCTTCCGTGTTTCTCGTATCTAAGTTGTTGGGCGCCGGGTAGAAGTAGAGGGTGATGTTCCCGACTTTCACCTCTCTTCGGAGTATGTGGTTAGACTGCCAGGTAGTGGTGGTGGTGGTGGTAGTGGTGGTGTTGAGAGACAGAAGTGCGGACATCTTGAAGCGTGAGGCTTTGACCCTTGTTGGTTCGTAAAAGTAAAACTGTTTAGATGCTGTTGAAAAAAACTTTTACTCAATAGAGCAAGGACCACGACGCACAGCTTGTTCTACAAAAACTACACACTACTGACGCTCTAGCAGAATCCTAGTGTTGCAAATAGCGAGATCATAACATCGGCCGACTTCGCACTTTGAATGTTGACGCACTTGCTTTACTAGCAATCCATGACAACGCGAGGCGAATACGGCGAAACCTAGTCACAAAAGCAACACGACTCGACGACAAATGCCAGACACAACTTCGATAGTACACGAATTTATGACTCGACGAACGATACGAACGATATATGGTTTGAAAAAAAAAGAGAAAACTGCGAAACAACGCTTTTGTTTTGCGGCGACCGGAGGAGAAAATGACCAGACTCGTGGACCTGATTCGACGAGAACTGGAGGGATAGAACAAGCACCAACGCTTCTACTTTCAGGTGGTGTTACTTCGATCGTGGCTGTACCCTATCCTATGGAAAGGATAACGATAAGGAAAGAAATAGTGTCGCTTTCATATCAATTTGCAACGAATATACGTGCAATCCGCTGCTCTTCATTTACTTCTGTCGTCTTTGACGACAAAGTGGCACACGTCGCGCAATGTGACACTTTCTTTCACCTTTTCGCCAGTATCTTTATTCACGTACTTTATTTTCACATAGTCCTTATCCTTATCCACCTCCAGCACGTCGACGATACTGTGTTCCAGCTTCTCATTCCCGGTTCTTATCCTCTTCGCCTGCTTTGCGTCTATTGGCAAAGTTGGCTCCAAGTACTTTTCGGAGATATTCTCATAAACATTCTGCTTGATCTTCACACTGGCGCGGATTTTTCCGGACGAGGAGGACGTGTCGATGGTCAACACCTCGCCTTTCTTGCAGTAGATCGCACTCATTCTCTCGTCGGTCACTTTCACGACTAAACCAGGGAGAAGCCACGTTTTATTCACAGCGTCGTCGTTACTTTTTCTCCTTCGCTTATTCGACGCAAAAGTAGTAGAATCGGCTTCTTTGCCTTGTTCACCATTAGCTACAGTTTTCTCCTTCTTCTTCTCCTCCTCTGCTGCGGGTGGTGCTGGTACTACCAAAAAATCCGTCGGTAACAGAACATCCTGTGCCCCTAAACCTAACCCCTTTCGCTTCCACGCGTTTTGTTCAACCATCTGCACGTGGTGTTTCTTCGGATCGTAGCCTAAACCGCGGAGGTACGCGAGTCCAAAATCCTGGATGGGTAAGTTCTCGAAGTCGTCTTGCCGCATATCGGATTGTTTTGCGGAAGCATTTTTATCTGTGTGTTTGTCCTTGTCCGCCAGAATTGGCCGGGAGGAAGAGGAAGCGGAGGTAGTTGGTTTTTTGACGTTCAAGAACAAGGATTTCTTCAGCTTCATCTTCGGATCTTGTTCAGGCTCTTCTTCTTTCTTCTGGTTCTCGTCGGTCTTTATGTTGTTTTCAGCATTTGTAATTGTTGTACTCGTCTCTCCAGTACCACCAGCTGCGACCACGCTATTCGCTGCAGGAGCTCCTGCGCCGTTGTCCTTCTCCACCTGCGCAGCTTTCGCTAAACCCATAATGGGCGCGATGGTTTCTAGCTTCGCCGTGTTGGTCAGCAAGTTGATTTCCCCGTTCGCATCCTTATTTTGCAATTCCGCGAGAATCGCCGCCGCCGCGTCTTGGTCGGTGGTTTTCCCACCTGTTTCCTTGCTCTCCGTGTCCAAATTGATGATGTTTTTGTTCTCGCTTGCAGCTTTATCCGGGTCGTCAGTGTCCACTGCCATCGCTTTTCTCCTCCTCTCCTCCCGCAGCTTCTGGAGCGCTTCATCCTGCTGCTTCAACGCCTCTAGATCTAGGCCAAAGTCGAGTTTTGGTAGGTTCCTTAGGTTGATGTCCACCGAGCCGTCGAACGTCGTTATGGTTTCGACTTTCGACTCCTCTTTGTACTGCGCGCCGACGTTTTCTCTTTTCGGCTGGATGTCTGCCGCGGTCTTCTTGAAGGAGAATCCTTTGAACATTTTGAGGATGTTAGACTGGGGAAATAAACTTGTGATGCTGGTAGTACTTAGGTCGTGCCAGAAAAATGAATGACTATGAAAGTTGTACAGACATATCCTATTTCTGTCGCCTCCTGGTCGCTGTGGTTGTGTTTGAAAAAGAGTGGATTGCGTTTGGGTAGTCACGTTAACTGAGTTTTCGTATATTTTGGAAAACGAGAAGCCAAAGGCGATGGACTTCTTCTGGTCGTATTGATGGAAAGAACTTCTCGAAGGATCACATTTCTTTGCTCTTGATCTACGATTACGGTTTGAAGGAGATTTTGACCATAACAGGAAGGGATCGCCTAAGTACTTCGGAACCAAGCAATTTTGCCTTTGATCCGATTTATTGGACTTGTGTGAAACTAAACCATTCTTAACGTCGAACAGAGCATTGTTCACGGCCTTGTTCTGCGTCCACCACGGCCAGGGCGCGAATTTTTTCGGATATTTTTCATTTTTTCAGAAGTTGTGTACAGTCGGTTTCAACTTTCGCGCATCGTGCAAACCTGCGTCTGCTCGCCGTCGCTCGAGCCTTCAATACAATACAGCTTTATAATTCGCGATGAATCGTAACAATTATCGAAAATGCAACAAAGCAGTAGATACAAAAATCCGCCTGCCAATCCGCACAATTTTTCCGATCCTTTGGTGTCTTTCTTCGAAACAACTACGTGCTTGTACAGTGAAACTGGTTTTGCTTTTTGATAAAATTCAAAATTTTACAGCTAGCGACCTGCGCATGATCTTCAGAGATCTTCTCCTAGTATCCTCCTATTTTTACACGACGACAGGTGCTAAGGCTGACTAGTGCAGATTGTTCTTGAAGAGCATGATTACTATGCCCCTGTAGTTGCCTACCAGCCCGACAAACTGTTCATCCTCTCCCCCTACTTACTTCTTCACCCGTTTGCTCGGTCGGATGGCATATCCACTGCAAACATGTCTGGGTCTGGAAAGATGCCACGAATTTGTGTTGCTGAGCCTTGCATGACGGAGCGATGCTTCGTACGACATGAACGCATCACAAATTTTTCGGTTGGTATTGCAAGTTCCACCGTGTTTTGCATGACAGACAGGCTTCCAGCACGACAAAGACCGTGGTCAACATTCGTATTCATGCATTACAGATCTCGCTGTCTTTCAGAATTGTGCATCACAGATCCAGATCCACACATATTTGCGATGCATATGGGAAACGCGCAGTCATCTTCTCCGTCGTCCATGGTCGAGCTGCTCATGTAGAACATTTCATCCAGACCCGTGGAGGTTCCGCAATACAAATCGTCATTTCCCCCGTCGTACATGTCGAAATCGTCCGAGACCGAAACCTATGGATATGCAAAAGCATCGCACAAGTTGTATTGCAATACAAATTTGCTGGTATAGAGAAAAACTGAGTTTGTCATGCAGGTTCAGGTCACAAACAAGATCTGTCATGCAAAAAATGCAAGTAGTGCGATACTTTTTGCAAACGATAACCCCTCCTCATCATCTTCGTCCGACATCTCCTGCAACCCGAGCTGCGTCTGGTCCTCCGAGATTGGCGAAGTGGCGTTTTTGATCGCTAACTTTATCGTGTCCTGGGGCTGCATCAACCCGGTCGTAGGATGCTGGGAAGTAGTACTCGGGATTTGGAACTCGTAGAACACGGTCGTTGTGGTGTCATTACTGTGTTTGCTGGAACAAGACGACTTCAACCCGGAAGATTCGAACCCGATGCCGCCACCGTTGGAGGAACAGGACGAGGACGACACGTTTCCGTCTTCCTCCGACATCGAGAAAACGTTGGTCGAGCACGTGCTGTCGAAATGGCCGTTGTTCATGAAAGTGCACAACTCGTCCCCCTCCCTCTCACTTGTCATGCAAAATTCCAAATCCACCCTTTGCCTGTTAGCACTGTTTGCGTGACAGATTCCGGAATGATCCAAAACAGCACTACAATCCTCTAGGAATTTGCCATGCTAACGCTGCATCTTTGCCAGCGCTTGTGTTGCTGTTCATGCAACACAAATGAGGGGGAGGGGGAGTTGTGCACAACTCTCATATTGTTGTTCCCGTTCATGTTACTACCGCTCATCTTCGGCATCCAGAGCAAATCGTCTAATTTCTCCAGAATCACCTGCTCCGAAACGACGTGCTGGTACTCGTCTTTCAGCCAGTTGACGATCTCGGAGACCGTTGTGATGTTGCGCAATTCTTTGTTTGGTTGCAGGGCTTGCGGTGTTGTTGCAGAAGTAGTAGAAAACGCGTTGATACCAGTACTGGCAGAAGTAGCACCTCCGCTCATCTGCTGCTCGATGATTACGGTAAACGGCTTGAATTGCTTTTTTCCCCAAAGTTGGGGCTGCTTGTTCTGCTGCACCGGGACTGGCATCATCACGTACATGCCTGAGGAAGAGGGAGGACCGCCGAGCATCGGCGCCTCACGCTTGTTACTCGACATGGAGAGCATACTGGGCGGAACAGGAGGCGTTTTTGAATTCGCGATATTGATTGTACGATAAAAAAACCGTCTCAACAAAAACACGTCTTGCGCTGCTAGATCGAACTTTTTAAGAACTAGCTGCTGTAGAGCAAAGCTTTTGGGAAGTTGCAATTGCTTTCAGTTCATCGAACTTGTTCGAACCCGATTGCAGAACCAGATTGCAGACACGATCACGAATGAACATGTGCCCCCGAAGTGCAGACACGATCACGAATGAACATGAACCCACGAAGTGCATCAACACGAATTGCCACGATTCAAGTTTCTTTTTCTCCCCCACTGATTACTGACGATGAGTGTTGAAATAGTGCGAACACGACAGAAGTCTGATAGCGATGGCACTTGGTTAGCACCACGACAATCTGCAGGACTTAGAAGTAGTTCCTCAAGAAATTGATGCAGGCGCAGGCCTACCGTCCCTTATACACGACAAGCGATGTTGTTCACTGAAGTATTCAACATCACAGCGATTTCTCTTTCTTAGTCTTCACTGCTGCACATCATACGATTTCAAAATATTGCAGTCTGTTCGTCGCGACTGTTCTTACCCTCTGTCCGCAACAACTGCCGCGAGACAAGTAAGGGCTGCGACTACTTCTAGGCACTTAATAGATCATAGCACACTCGAAAAGAAAAGCCGTACCATCTTCACGCTGTCCCCTCGATTTGCTATGTGAGAAAATGGAAAGAAAGTACGTGTGAAACTCGCACTCTATCTTGCTAACCGCAGGGAGTGTTCTGAGGTGTTGTTCAAGTGGGCGCCAACTCGTTTGGCGATAAAAACCCCCACGACGAGTTGGACCAAGTTCCAGACCCCGTACAGGGCTGCGAAGAGGAGGTACTGCATTTTTTGGGTGGATTTTCCAGTAGACGACGTTGGTCAACAACTATCCGAGCGAGACAGCCCTTACTATTCCCGTTTGTACCTACTTACGGGTCACCAGTGTTTACGAATATAAACCTACGGGTAGAGCTGCATTATCACGGGAAGCTCCTGGAGAGTTGGTCGTGGTTGATACGATTCAGATTGACAGGCGCTTTAGGATCCCTCGTGGGTGCAGTTAGATTGGAAGACTGTTCGATACCGATTCGACTGCAGCTAGAAAAGTACTTCTGCGTGTGGTCTCGTATGCTACCAAAAGCTTCAGGCAAAGAACTGCAGTAAACAAAAAACGCGAGGAGCTGAACCGATCTGCTTTTGCCTGTGCCCAAGAAATAAACCGAATGACGTTCTGTAAACCGAAAATTTTTCGCAGCTCGTAGGCTCGTTTACCACTCTTGCCACAACGAGTGCTAGTACTCTGTCAGAACACCGTAGACTCGACGTCGGTACGAAGTTGTGAGTTACTGCTGGTGTGGGTTGAACTTGAAGTTGTGCGCAATGGCCATAAAAGTACAGATACACGGAAAACAAGGTCACAACTCGTTCCGCACACCGTAGAGCTGTTGTGCAACACGACAAATCAATACGTGTTTCATCTTTAACTTTATCCTTCCACCGCAAAGTCGTTCATTCCGAGCCACGGGAATTCCGCGTGTGGCTTCTTCTCCTCCACCAAACTCTTTTTCAAGCAGTAGTTGAAACTCCCGTTCCCCAGCCTCGCATTCTCCCCGACGGGGGCGGAAAACTCCCGCACTTTTCCCCTTCCATCCCGCAAATACCAAATCCCGTCCTTCCCGGTAATTCCCCCGCATAAAGGCGTGTTCTATTCTGAGTAAAAACGTCCCCACCCTAGAGCTGTCATGCGGTTTTGCCTCTACAGGAATATTTGTAATCCGCATCCCTATAAGATGAGGCATGTCTAGTCGACGTGTATAATTCGCATATATTTGTAATGCTGTAAACAGGATAAGCGGATGGGTTTCTGATGCGGCTGTCCTTCGACAAACATGCACCACACTACGCACTGAAACTTGTCATGCGTGACTTCCAAAACTTGGAGATTTGTGTTGCAGATGTACCAATCGTTGACTATGGGGTGGGGACGTTTTATTTGCTCAGGATATGGTCGCGCACAGTTTCTCCGCGTTCGTCCTTTCAATAACCGCACAATCGGACTGCAGGTTGTTATGCATTGCAATTATGTCTGGGTCTGGAAACTTGTGTTGCTGAAGCTTGCATTGCAGAGTAGCCACATTTACGGCATAACAGCATCAGAAATTTTGCGAGGCTCATTGCATATTCATTCGTAAAACGCATCACAAATTGGCGTCCAGCACGACAAAAAAGCTGGCCCATCGCATTCATGCATTACAGATCCCTCTGCCCTTCCAAATTCGCATCACAAATTCAGAGTCAGACATATTTGCAATGCATAGTTGTGGTTGTTCATGGATTTGCAGTTGTTTTGATCATAGTCCCACTTGAATTGTTTCACCGGACCGCGTTCCAGATACGCGTTCGCGAAGCACTTGAACAGGCTGGTGTGGTCAGTTGGTGGCGATAAAGGTGGGGAAGTGGCTAGTTCGTTGTCCTCCGGGTCGCCTTTCGGTGTATTTCCTCCTTCTTCTGGATTGTTCCCGCCCGTTTCTTCTACAGGTTCCTCCACCGGCTGCTCCGGTGGGGGTTCTAGTTCCGTATCCACCGCTTCCATCTCGGGCTCCCCCGGCCCGAGCTTCTCGTCCTGTCTCGCCTGGATTCCGTCGCACCGACTGCAGTTCGGGCGGGCTTCCGATTCTTTCCCGAGGCAGTGTTCCAGGCAATCTTCCTCCTGATTCGAGGAAGAGACGAAGACGTCCTTGATGTTCTTCAACAATGCTGCTGGGTTCAGTGCGGCGAAAGAAGTGGAAGATGAGGCAGTTTTTATGCCAGCTCGATCATGCCGGTGCAGCTTGGTGAAAAATGCAGTCTTTCTGTGGTTGGGCTTTAATACTATTTCCTCGTGGTACCAGTCGCGTAGTGTAAGCCCGTGAAGATCCTCGTCGTGGTTAATTGCAGTGCTACTACTGTGGAAAACGTCACTCCAGGGGGACCCTGCTGCAGTTGAACCGGATGGGAAAAAGGTCGGGAAAAACCTCGTGGCTAGGTGCTCGGAAATGTTGTTGGCCTTCATCTTCTGCTTGTTGAAAGAGTGAGTGTGTAAAAAGCCCCCAAGCAATCAAGATTACGAAAGTACTTTTTTCAAGTAAAATAGCTGAGTGCAGACGAGAAATGAAAAACGAATTTCAGAAGCGAGGCATGCGCTTTTTGGTTAAAGCTCCGAAACGAGAACCAGCACGATACCATACCGTACTAAACGAAAAGGCTATCCGATGTCGATTTCATTTCTTGCACAACCAGCGAAAAATTAATCCTCACGATAGAAAAAGCGCTAGCGATTAAGCCGAGAAATGACGAAACAGACGCAAACGCCATGCGTCAAGAAGTTGTGGCAGGGATCATTGTTCGTAGTTGTTTGCACGGCAACGTTCACTGGCTGATTTATTTCCAGTTGAAGATCATACTTTATTTGCTTTTACAGAAAAAACCTGCTTTATTTGTTATTCAAAATCGTAAATTCTCAATCCTTGTCATCTTCATCATCACTGCCCGCGGATTCATCGTTGCTACTCGCGGACTTCACCGAAGCACTATCTTCGTCCAACTTCTTCTCCTTTCGCTTCTTTCCAGATCCACCGCTCGAATCACTATTATCCGAGTCAGAACCACTGCTCCCGATCTCTGACTTCAACAAACTCGCGTTCAATTCTTCTATCATCGCATCGTCAATATTCTTCCTCTGCAGCTTCATGACCATGTTATGCACCCCGAACGCGAACCCGAACACGGCGATGGAAGTGCCGTAAATCACCGTTTTGAACAAGTTCTCCTGCATCAAGAGCCTGTATTTGGTCCCCGCGTTCCACCTTTCGGGTGGCATCAGCATGGTACTCGCGGACGTGGAGTAGGATTCTGGCAACGTGTACTCTCCGTCTAGAGAATCTTCGATCGGCGGAGCTGGGGGTGGTAAATACGCGTTCGCCTGGGCGGAGTAGGGGTAAAGAGGTAAAACGTATTTCTCCCGCTCTTCGGATGTGATCGTCACGCCATCTTGTCTTGGTTTGTTCGTTTTCTGTTGCTGTTCTATCTGCTGTTGCTGTAAATGCGCTAATGCCGCCGGGTTCTGCTGGGAATGCGGGTTGGAAGTCGGGATGGGCGGGGGGAGAGTCATGTCTTCGGCGAGAAAATTGTTCCAGGTGTAAGGGCGGGAGGGGGACTCGTCGGAATGGACGAAGGAAGTTGGAGTTGATCGGTCGCCTGCATGACAAGCTCCTTGGTACAAAAAAGCGGCATGATCAGCGTCATGGTCCTCCCCAGCAAGGAGCTCGGAAAGGACAACGTGCAGGCCTGGCATTTTTGCTTATGCTCTGCTGATTTTCATTTTCTATTTTTTTTCTCTGAAACGCATCAAAATAAAACGACAGGGCGAAGCTGTCCCAACGCCAATTGAAGATCGTTTGACACTCTCGGACACGGATTACCACCTGTCCTGCATTCGCATAATTTTGTGTGCCTGTACTGCGTCTGCGTGGAGATCTTCGCATGACAATCTTCCACCACGAAAGACCATCGAAAAGTGGACGAAAATAACGATATCGACAGCAAGCGACGATGGGAGCGAAGCGTCGAATCTTTTCGATCTACCTTTCCGCGACAGTACAACTTACTTGCACAAGGTCTGTGTGTCGCTCAGTACTACGTGCTCGCCACAGAATATTACCTTTACCAGCGATGGACCGCTAAATACCATTACATTCCAGTGGTCTCCGACACCGACGGTTTAGTCTACTACTGCGACATCACGAAAAGAGATCGATCTGGCTGCACGGTTGGTGCAAAAGTAGATGCAGGCGGAACAGTTAGTATTGCTTAAGTAGTAGGTAAGGGATTATTAACAAAGGTCGACTTCGCCCTGCTCTTGTCGATGGCGCTTTTTCTCTTTGGTAGATGGCGCGGTGATTCATTTTTTCATGATGGTGACAACAGAACACGTCGTGCGTTTATTGCATGTCAATGTATCTATCGTGTTGTTCCTGTTCCATGCGCTAAAATATATTCTCGTTGATCATATTCACAGTATGCGAAACAGTAGAAAGTAAAAGAGCATCATCAAAAAGTAGAAGAGACAACTGCATTTCGTCCTGAGATTGAGAAAGAGGTAGAAGTGCACCCCGTAGTGATTATCCAGTATGAAATTGTAAAATAACCCATACAACCCCGCGAAGAAGTAGCCGGCGGACAGGTCGGGTAACGTAAAGGAGCTGTCGCTCTTTGGAAAATGATTTGATGTCATGCTCATGTCAACTGCGGAGAGGGCGCGATGAAACTGATCAAACACTTTATCCGGAAACACCGCCAATCCCAAATTCAGCAAGTGCACGTTGAGAAAAAACGGGCTGAGATTCGCTTGCAACCACGGAACCACCGCTTTTTTCCAGTTTTTTAACCCTAAGGTTTGCAATCGGAGAACGACGATCGTCGGCACAACAACGCCCCACCAAACCGCAACGGTGATAAAGTTCTGCGCGATGGAGGGGAAGCGGAGGAGGTGGAAGAGATTGGATGTGACCGCTAAAAGAAGCGCTTTGCTACTGAGCGGAAGGTAGTTGTTCATGTTCTCGTCGTCGTGTACTATTGCTCCTGATGTGCTGGTGGCGGAAGGCGAAGTCGTAGGAGAAGTGCTGGTAGAAGACGCAAGCACGCAAATTACAAATCCCAACAGAATCCTGAAACTCGCAAGAGACCAGGAACACAGCGTGAAACTCGCCAGTGCCCAACGGCAGGTCGTCCAGACGTAGAGGAGAAGGGATAGTGAGTAGAGTGTGCCGAACGCGAGAAGTGCTTGTGCCGTTTGTATTTCGATGCTCGCGTCCGTCTCTGGATGAAGTTTAGAAGGTTCTGCTGCCTGCATTGACGCCTGATGCAGCTCCATAATTCCTGGCGTAGTTGTTCCTCCCGCTGTTGTGCTTGCTATCGGCGTCTCGCAATAGAAGTAGCAATACAGGGGTAAAACCAGTAGCGCCAGGAGCTCCGCTAGGAGAAAAACCGCTAGAGGAAGCAGCGCGTACTTCTCCTTCCTCAAAAGCAAATATTCCGGGACGCCGTTGGCCTTCAGAGTGGAGCGGAAATGCTTCCCGACTTTGTGGAAGTCGAAACAGGTCTTGTTCTCGGATTTTGGTGGATGAACGGCAGCTATTCGTGATCCCGGTCGTCCTGGCTGTTGTGCATTTTTAGAAGTACCACCTTCCACTTCACTACTCTCCTCCGTCGAAGAAACTGTTGCATTCTCCTCACTGAAGTCCAGATCGAACAGCGTCGGCGGGGAGCGCCAATCGGACAGGATTTTCTGGAAGAAGGACGAGATTTTTTTATTTGCAGCATGCTGTTGGTTCGACCCCTGTGTTGAAGTTGTACCCGACTTAACTATACCGGTATTTTTGCTCGCAGTTCCTCTTCGCCGCACTGTCGCAGTGGATAATTGTGTACAGCTCTTTTGGCCTGTACTAGTACTACTATCGCCACGTATTATAGCACCATCCTCTGCTGTAGTTGTAATCTCGTCTATCTCTTCTAGGTCCGCATTCCGATCCGCTTGGAGATTTTCCTGTATCTTACTCCGGTTTCGGTGGCTCACCCAGGTCACGGCAATGAGGACCACCCAGTGGCAGGATTCCGGGAAATAGAGCCGCTCCATAGTTTGTGTGTGGTTGCTAATGCCGGCTGAGAGAGCAGGAGGAAAGTGCGTGTTCAAAAATCTTTTCAACAATATTTCTCCATTGAAAAGTACGTCGTAATGCTGAGCATGAGAAAGTGTCTGAGCAGAGAACATGTAGTCCGCTCAGCGGAAAATTCTACTTTCTAATGATAGCTACGAATTTCTATGCGTGGGTGGGAAAAAATTATAGATACGTATGAAGTGGTGAGGTCCTGCAGTTCGTTATTTTTCCTTGAGAAGTCGTGAGAATGAAAGCTGATGGTTCACCCCGACACGACGTACTCTCACTCAAGACCTTCGCGCAAGGATGTCTGTTGCACTTCTTATTTAGACTTAAAGTCAGTACGACTACTATCTTGTAGCCCCAGATCTTCCAAAATATGCCTGGTGACTACAACCGGAAAAAATGGACCGACATGTATTTTTGGACCACACTCTGCCGCTCGTGTCTCTCGCCTGCCCCTTCGCATGCAACATTCCCTGAAGAATTGAAGGAAGTGTGCTGAGCACCAGTCCGTGTGGAATTGCAAAACGGAAGAGAACAGAACGAGGGTATTTTTCGAGCAGAAATAAAAGGCACAGAGGACAAACACTTCGTGGCCCGAAGCGTTGCTACTTAACTGCTGCTGCTTGTACTACAACCAACTATCTCTTTTATTCAGATGAGTAACGTAGTGTCTTTTTTATTCGTACAAACATACATTGCAAATCGAAATTGTCGCGCTTTTGAAAAAAAGAAAACAAAGTTCCATGGTTGTTTTCAAGCTTCGTTTTTATTCCCTCTGGCTACAAGGATGCCGTAGAATTTTGCCGTAGAAGTTTTAAAAAAACACACAACTAAGTAGTTTGTGAAAGGACCACGACCTCAGGCTGCCGCAAATCCATAAAGCTTTTACTTGAAAAATTCCAACATCATGACGAGGAAACATGCAATCTTGAAAGTTAGACGAGCACCAGCACATCATACTGCCAGCGTACTCACACAATTTCCATCAAACTCCAAACTCCCCTCTCCTACCCCGCAAACGTTTCCCCATCAGTTTCTTTCCACAAATGGTCGCATTTCAGGCAGCGCAGAGTGATCACGGGTTCGTCGCTCTGATCCTCTTTCCGGTGCGTGCCAACGGTCGCGAGCATCAGAATCTCCTCGCTGTTGTTGCATTTCGGGCAGTTATGAGAGTGCGCAACCTCTCCTCCCCCTCATTTGTCATGCGAAATGCCAAATCCAGTCGCTTTCCTGTGGCACTGTTTGCATGACAAATTTCGAAAGCCCAAACAGTTCTACAGTTGGCACTTAAATTTGTCATGCATAGGCTCAACGTGTGCTGGTGTTTGTATTGCTGTTCATGCAACACGCATGAGGGGGAAGGAAATTGCAATTGTGCATTCTCATAGCAGTGGTAATAACTGTTTTTCGCAACTTTGGTCCATCTCGGATCGTCCCGCGGGTCAATCGCCATCGCTTCTTGTAGGACTTTCTCCTCCAGATTTGTTCGTTTCGCGGTCATTTCCTCGGATTCTAACTCTGCTTGTGAGAGGAAACAGAGATTATAGCAGCTCTGGACGTTGATTTTGTTAGTCGTTTTGTTGAAGCAGCTTTGGTTGGTTTTCTCCACTAATGTCTTGTTGCTGCGGAAGAACTGCACTAATCTCCGGTACTCGATCTGGTACTCACTGTACTCCTGTTTGGTCAGCATTTTGGACGAGTTCGGGGCAGAGGGGACTACTGGCTTATTTTTCTCCGTAAAAACCGCTTTGTCGCACAGCCCGCGCTCCACTTCCACCGCGATGGGCTTCAGTAGCCCTTTCGTGGTCAGGTTCTCAATCACCTTCTTCCTCCTCTCGTCCTGGGGGAGGTGGGTGGTTTGCTGCATGGGTTGATTTTGGGATGACGTTGATGTGACTGCCTGTTTACTGTTGCCGCTGGTGCTGTTTGGCGCATTCGAAGCCGAGGTTTGGGTCGTTCTCCGCGGACTTCTTAAGCGCACAGGCTGAGCAGCGGACGATCCTGCAGGACCTCCTCCGGGGCCTTGAAGATTATTTCTCGATCCAGCTAGACCAGCACTGGTTGTACCGGCAGGACGGGCTGCTGCAGCCCGCTTGCTCTGCTGGTCCTGTGAAGTAGTGGTCGTCGGGTCCGCCATCTTCTTGGACATAGATGTGCTTTGGTCCGCAAGCACGGCCATTACCATAATCTGCTTGATGTTTTAGACCTCCTGCAAAACGACCTGCACTTGTTTTCGCGAATAGAATAAATCAGTTTATGGTCCTGTGTGAAATTACTACAAGCGGTTTAAAATCTGTTCATTTTTGGCTGCTATGTATGTCCATGTTCTTTACAGGTGGTCTCCAAACTTCGGCGTCACTGGAATTTGATTCAACAAGAAGTGATCATATCCAGAGAAGTAACTACAGTGCTCTATCTGTTAAGATGAGGGCGCTATCCTCCAGTTTCATGGCCCAGCTGCTCTCCCTAGAAGTGGCCAAGTGCTCCATGCGGATATTATTGAGAGCGACCCGCTAGTAAGTACTTATTCCGGAGCGCGCGGTAAGAACTCTCTCGTCAAGTGAAGAAGTCTATGCTCAGGTGAATTATCATGTGCTGCGACGGTTCTGACAAGTCAGCATCGACGGAAGTAGACACCAGTTAGACGACTTGGACTGCAGCTATAATGTGCTTCAGCATCGTGTAGGTACTCAATCCTGAACAAATTTTTTGTCCCTCATCGGAGCTGCACCCAGACAAGCTTGACAATTGCAGCTCCAGGTGGCAACAGGCAGGGAAATAACCATTTAGGTTTCGGGTTCTGGGAGTGAATCTGGTGCCACGAGTTAAGGTAAAAAAACTGAAGGTTAAGATTTTTCTTGCAGGATATGCTACCTTTCTTCTCGGTTCTTGGGGTACTGATTACGGATAGCTTCAAAGTTTCATTCGTGGAGGGAATTTTTCTTGATGGAAAAGGGATACAGACTTCCTTGTAGTACTTGCTTAAACTAAGTTGATAAAAATGAACCTGAGGGTATCAAAATTTGGTGATCTTGCATATGGTACTTCCTTGTACTCGGATAAAAATTTAAGGTAAAAATAGAATGCAATTTTAGAAAAGAGACATCAAATCCGCACTGCTTGGAGTGCTGTTTTATCTTCAGACAAAGCTGCTATAATTTTGGACATGATTATAATCGTAAAACCTATACTTGTGAATTTTTGTGAATTAAGCTATTTGACGCGTGTTAGATATTACAAAGCAAAACCAGATAGTTGTGAATGTGATAAAACGATAAAGGGACAAATGTTGAAAAAAAATAAATGCCTAGAAGTCATTTGAAAAGGCCGCAACGCCTCGCACTGAGCGAGGACAGTAGCTAGCCTGCTCTGTGACTGTGTGCATCATGATCAGAAAAGAAACATCAACAGATGATTTTACGACTCTTTAGTAGTTCAGTCTACCTGAATAAGTGCACTTCCTCCGCTTGGTGGACATGTTCAACCGACGACCGCTTTCCCCTGTTCATCCGTGACTTTCACCCACTTCCCCTGCTGATTTTTCCGCCTATTCCGCGCCCGTTTCCCGCCCCGTCTCCCCCTGTGCCTTTTCTTCGCCCGCTGGAAAATTGGGTGTTGCTTCCCGTCGTTCCCGGTGACAGCAGATTTCCTGCTCACTTGGCAGTCATCTCCCTGCTCCAAAGCCCACTTAATCGCCTCGGACAAAGTTACGGTTTGATGCGCTAAGTCGACCCCGACGGGGTGTAAATCCGCGAAGAAGATTTCCGCGTGCTCATCATCCGTCGGCAAGCCCCAATTTCGAAACGTCGCGAGCAGTTTTTTAAACAAATTCATGTCGATCTTGTCGTCAAAAGCGTCAGGGATCAGGATGAAATCGTCGTCGGAAGTTGAAGTGTCCATAGCAGAATTTTCCGTATTCGTTTTCACGTTCTGCTCGTGGACGTTCCGGACTTTAATCTCGTAGAACAACTGCGAGGCGTCGTACAAATAGAACAACAACGCGTAGAACCCGTCATACCGCAGTTCGTCGATATCATCCTCGTCATTCCCACTTTCATTGAAACCAAACTCCTCGGCCGCGTGGTCGAATGCCGCGAACAAAGTTTCGTTCCCCAATGGTAATTCCAGTCGGAAATTCATGATTTGCGGCAGTTTCACGACGTCTTCCCGTTTCAGGATCAAATCGTCTTCATCCTCCGACCCGGAATGGTAGTTATCGTCCCTATCCGACAAGTCCCCATTCGGTTTCACTTCAGAATTCTTCGTCGCAAGTTTCTTGAAAATTGCATCCCGCTTTTTCTCATCGGCGTCGTCGGATTCTAGTGGGAGGACTGCAAGGAAGCGGACCCAATTTTGAAACAGATTGTGGTGGTGGTCGACAACCTCAGGTTGTTGTGTGGGAGGAACGGTGGGTTGTTCTGCAGTGGCTTTGTCTTTCTCACCATCAGCTGCAGTGGTCTGTGAAGTTCTCGGTTTTTTCCCGTGCGTCTGAATTCCGTTTTCCGCGTTTTTCAAATGAACGTTGTCATGTAAAGCGTCCAACATGTCCTCCGAAACTTCTTTATGTCGTTCCCACTCGACCACGATCTCCCCCATTTCTCCGCCCGATTCCTCGTTAACCACTTTCAAAACCACCTGTTTCGCCCGTTTCAAAAACGCGCCGGAGGAATCTTTCCGGACTTTGAGTTTGCAAGACCCGATTAACTTCTCCTGCACGAAGCTGTCGCGCATCAGTTCCAACGGGGATGATTTTTTGTTCTCGTCTGCGTTTTCTGGTGCTGCGGTTCCCTCATTATCCTTCGAGAAATACAGCGGGCTTTCCCAAACTTCAAACACCACCTCACTGGCCCCTGGGTGCGGGAACATCAGAGTCATCTTCCAATCCGGATTTGCGGTGTTCGGGATGACATGCGTGTGTTTCTCCTCGGTGCCGAAAATCACCTTTACAAAAGTGTTCAGCGCCTGGAATTTCGAGGGCGTGGTCGAAACCAATTTCGTCGCACGTAAGACTGAGACTTCCCCCATGTCGGGGAGTTTCGACTTGTCCAGTAACTGCGCTGCTTGCTTCACGGTTTTTAACGATTTGGTGACAATGTTCACGTTTTTCTTGAATTTCTCCAGAGCGGGGGATTTCTTCACGGATAGGGACTTTGCAGCCAAGTCAGCGGAGGTCGTATTTAAAGTTGATTCACCGGGCAACCTCTCCGCGGCGGAATCCCTCGCGGCAATCTGTTCCGCAAATTTTTGTGCCAATTCTTGGTCTTGCACAGACGGCCCGCGGTGCTTTTCTTCAAGAACCCGCTTCTCTTCCTCCTCCTTCTCTTCGATTTGGAGTTTCAGCAATTTTGCGATCTCCACATCCTCATCATGAGGTCCCCTTTTCTCCTGTTCTTCCTGTTGGTCGGCGATTTGCTTTTGCAAATCCTCCGCGATCTTCACATCCGTGACCGACGGCCCGCGGTTCTGCTCCTCTTTCTCCCGAGATTCAATCACTTGGGACAGTTGCTTCGCGAGCAGAATGTCTCTCTTGCTCGGGCCTCTCTGCTTTTGCTGCGCGGCGGTTTCGGGGTCAGCGGATGATGCAGCTGCTTCGTCGGTATTGTAGTCGAGCATGTCGGCGAATTCGCCTGCATCTTTACCATCTGTCTTTTGATCCGTAGAAGAACTGCCAGCCGCGGCAGAAACCGCAGCGCCCGCACTCCCGGCTAGATCAGTGACAGCATCGTAGATCTTTTTCGACTCATCCGACACCGCTTCGATGACTCTCGGACTCAACTCTCTCGCAGATTCTGCAACCGAATGGGCGCTATCAAATGCAAAAAGTTCTGGGTCTGGAAGAATTCGAGATTTGTCATGCAGTTTTGCCTGACCCGGATTGTCTGGCATGCACGCCCTAGCATCACAGATTTCGAGCAGGTCTCCCAATGCCTAATACGCATGACAAATCCCCTCTTTCGGTAACAAGAAGCCGGGCCTTTTGCTGGCCATGCATGACAGAATTTCTCATGATGTAGAATTCGCATCACAAGTTCGGATCCTTCCAGACCCAGACATTTTTGCAATTGATAAGCGCGCTGGTTCATCCACTCCCGGATTTTTCCCAGGCGCGCAGCCTATGCATTGCAAAAATGTCTGGGTCTGGAAGATTGGTAGGTTTGTCATGCAGGTTTTCCATGACCCACGCGGTCTGTCATGCACGGCCTAGCATGACAGGTTCTGTGAGACCTCTATCATGCCGCTCTTGCATGAGAAACTGCCTCTAAACTTGATCAAAAGTGGGCAGCATTTGGTAATCATGCAACACAGATTTTTGCGTGATTCAGATTTAGCATGACAAGTTACACTCTTCCAGACCCAGACATATTTGCAATCCATACAGCCCCAGTCATCGCCACGTTGGTCAAAGTGTAGATGTTTTTGGTGCTTTTTCTCGTTGCGTCCTCGGCGCCGACACTGTCTCGCGGATTATTGTTCTTCGCAGCTGAAATGGACGAAGCGACCGCGAGTTGGTCCTTCAGGTCCAAATCTGCCTCCTGTACGTACTCCATCTCATCCTGGATATGCTCCATATTGAATTTCACCGAAGATCTCTTCGACGCGTTACTGCTCGCTGCGTCCGTCAATACTGCATTATTAGCAGCAGCATTATCGTCGTCTTGACCACCTCCTGCAAGAACTGTCCTGTTTCCGTCGGATTCTAGGTTCATCTTGTTCATGCTGTGTCCCACGCCGGAGGACACTCGTTTTTTGTCCTTATCGTAGATTTTTTCCTCCGCCTCCGCCATCTTCTTCGAGGAAACATCACTTAATTGCAAATCGTTCTGCAAACTCGAGCTTAGGCCAGACAAAGCGTTTTCCTCTCCGATTTTACTCTCTTTCAAATCCAACAACTGCTGCGCCGCCCCGTAGCTGATCCTTACCCCGGAGCTGCTGATCGCCCCTTCAGAGCGGTTGAGGACCTCTTTACTGGATTTACGCGCCTCCGAGTTTATTTCTTTCACTAATGATTCCCGGATCGTGTTGGACACAGCGGCGATCGTGGCGTTATGCTGGCTTTTTGTGATATCACCGTTGTCATCCGCATTTTCATCCTCGTCGTCGTCCAGACTCAAGAAATCTGAATGCGCAACCGTCATGTAAACATCCTGCATGAACGTTTTTCGCGCTTGCTTCTCGGTTTCAGTCAGAGCCGCCGAATAATTGTCGTGCTCCTCTCTTGCGGAGGAACTGCTGATAGCATTCGAAGGTAGTACTAGCGAAGAAGTAGTCCCCACAGCGGGGGCAGAACTACTCGGGAAAGAGATTTCTTCCGTGGCTTCCTCCCCTGCAAGATTGATTTTCACGCCCTTGGCACCACCAGCACCTGGTGCTAATGAATCTGGTGCTTCGACGTCAGCTGCATCTTCTTCTTTCGTGATATCTACCACCTGTTTCGAGAGTCTCTTGTGTTTCTCCTTGTCGATGGCCTCGTCGACGTTGAATATTTGGAATTGCTTCTGATCGGCGTCGTCGTCCGCATTTTTGTCGTCTTCATCTGGTGCAATGGTTTGCTGGGACAAAGGATATAAACCGTCAGCCGGACCATTACCGCTGCTCACCACGTTTGATATTTTCCCCGCTACAACACTCCCCCGCGACGATCTCCTGCCCAGAATCCCCGCAACCGATTCTCCTTCCTGCGCCGCCATTGCGGCAGATTTCCGTACCGACTTCAGCTGCTGCTTCCGGTTTCTTTCCGCCACCGTCAGTTCCCCATAGTGGCTGTCTTCCGACTCCGTTTTGTCCTCCTCTTTCGGAATGGTTTCCGTGACGGATTGCCGCAGCGTTGCGCTCGCAGCATCCTTTGCAGTCGTCGTCGTGTCTTTTTCGGAAGACGCCGACACGATCGTGCCAGCCAGTAATGGAGTTGGGTGCAAATCCCGGATTTTTTGCATCTGCTCTAGTTCCTCAGCCGTTGGGATCGACAGTGCGGAATCGGCGATCCCAAACAGCTCTTTGGACTGAATGTTCGCCAGAGCGCGGTGCAAGTTCATCGGCTGCAGCAAGTTCGCGTTCTGGTTGTGTTGCGCGTGCAGCATCTGTATGGATTGCAAATATGTCTGGGTCTGGAAACTTGTAATGCTAAAAGTCAATGGTAGACGCACTGCAATACGCAGCTATGCATGACAAATTTTTTGGCTCCAATGTCTTACGTATTCCGCATGGCAAACTGCGTTTTTGCATGACAGGCAAGAGGGCCTTTTCGTGCCTATGCAACACAGATGCTCGAGTCATGCCAGACAAGCATGACAAACTTGCACTCTTCCAGACCCAGACATTTTTGCATTTGATAATCTGCGTGTGGTCTTTCATCTGGGAGAATTCCAACTTCCGGAGATACTCAATCTGTTGCACCTGCTCCTTCGTGGGCTGCTCGATTTCGAAGGCAGCATCAGTGGTGGAACTGGGTGGAACAGCAGGAGCTACATTTGTAGTCAACACTTCAGAAGAGACTGCCGCGGCCGCGGCCGCAGCAGCACCTGGACTGCTGCGCGGTGAAGTCGCTGTAACTCCACCCCCGGCACCTCCCTGCTGCAAAAACCCACTCGCCGGCAGTTTTCCCTGCTTCGCCTTCAACGCTCCTGTCGCGGCTAGTTGCGCGTTATTCTGCAGGTAGTTTTCTTTCGAGCGAATCGGCTCGGGGTAAGGCTTCGGCGGGGTTTGCTGGTTTATGGCGAGGGCTTGGGACGATGCGGTTCTTGCACCATCCTGTGGCAAGTTGTTCTCCAGGAGAATCTGCTGGATCTGCAGCTCATGCTCCGATAGCTGCATCTGTTCTTTCTGCGCCGAGACATTTGTCGTAGTTGTTCCTGCAGCCGCGGCTGCGTTGGCCGCTCGAAGGGACCCAGGAGCAGGAGCGGAAGTTGTAGATCCCGCTTTAATTGCATTACCGGCTTTGCCGGCGAGAACAAGAGGCTCACTTCCTTCCTCCTCCACTGGTTGCAGCGGTACGAAGTTCATGTTGACCGTTTGGCTCGCATACTGCTGGCTCTCCTCCCCAAACAAGCGCGAAGGTGCCATTTTCTGCAGCTGCTGTTGCTGTGCTTGTTGCACGACCCGATTGTTGCTCTTCACATCCATCGTCGCAGGTCCTGCTTGAATCGCCGCGACAGACGGAGATGATCCACCAACCGCCGCCGACGTTGACGTCCCGCTAAAATCACTCGTTCCAAGCAACACCGCAAGCAAATCTTCCGCGGTTGCCAACTCATGGTACTTGATCGGCCATTTTCGTTCCAATCTCCGGACCACCTCCTGCCGCTCCCGGTATAACAAATCACACACATTGACGCAGTTTTTCTTCAACAAATTCACAAACTGGTCCATCTGGAGCTCAATCGTCGTCACAATCTGCTCCAACTTTTTACACCGTTGCTTTTCCATGCTTAACTCATATTCCCACTGGATCGAGGTTTTGAACGCCGGTAAGTGGTAGCACTGCCCGTCTTATCAAATGCAAAAATGTCTTGGTCTGGAATGTTGCAGGGTTTGTCATGCATATTTTGCATGACCCAGGATGTCTGTAATGCACGACCTAGCATCACAGATTTTTTGAGGGCATCTTGATGCCTATTCCGCATGACAAATGCCCTCCCCATCTAGCACAAGAAACTAGACTCCTCTTGCTGGTCACGCAATACAGATTTTTTTAGAGTCCAAAGTTAGCATCACAAGTTACAACCTTCCAGACCCAGACATTTTTACAATTGATACGTCTTGCCCGTTCGTCACCATAACGATGTCCTTTTGCTGGTTCTCCTTTATGTTCTCCTTCCCGTTTTTTAATGATCCATCCTCGTTTTGGAGGTAATTCGCGGGGATAAACGCATTGTGGATCGAGGGGTAATCCAGTTTGGCCGGGACAGATAAGCCAAATTTGTTCGCTAGGGTGCCTTGTTGTGTGTTGTTATCCTTCTTGCCGGTGTGGAGCGACTGGATGAAGTCGACGAGGGAGATTTTTTCGATCACGTCTAATTCCTGCTGTTGTACGGGTGTTGTGTCAGAAATCGCGTTTGTCATAACACCAGCTGCAACAACAGCAGTGCCCAGAGTTGTGTTGCTAGAGCTGGTGCCGGTGCCCGTATTGTAATTATTTCCGACTAATTTACTGACACGGTCTTCCGGGTTGTAGAGGAACGTGGACTTCTCAGAGGTTGTAGATGCAGCTGAAGTCTGCTTGTTCATCTGCCCGTTACTAGCACTGACACCTGTAGAAGAAGGAACAGCATTCTGTTGCTGCGACACCACCGCCAGTTGTTCCGCCTCGTTCTTCGTTTTCAGCAGCCACCCGCAGTACTGGTCCAAGTAGTGCAATTTTTCCTTTGCCTCCCCCAATTCCGCCTGGAGATTCCGTGTCACTTCCTCCGTGTTTTTCCGGAGCTTTTCCTTCAATTTCTCCTGCTCATTCTGCGCGTTCCTGCGTTTTTTCTCATACAGCAACACCTGGAACATTGTATGGAAGCGTCAGGATCGCAATCAGCAAAGTTGAAAAACTTGTAATGCATAAAATGCAAGCCACAAAATCCCTGTCTTGCAAAATAGGCAAGTGAGGCAGGTTGTCGCTGTAGGCCTGTTCTTGAGGGGTAGAAATAGAGCTGGTGAAGTAGCATGACAAAAGGCGTCCTCCTTACCCAAACAGCATGACAAACTGGATTGAGGTTCTACCCAAATTTGTCATGCGCCACCTGGAAACTGGGCACCAACTGGTATCTGTTTTATGCATCACAAAGTATCTCAGCTGTGTCGATTTCGATCCTGACGCTTCCATACATTGCCCGCCATTTGTAGTATTTTTCCGCGTTCACGGAAAAGGCGCGGAGTTGCAGGTAGTAGTCGTTCACCTCGTTCAGTTCTTTCAACAAAGTTTCCGTGAACTCCTGCAGCGGCTGCTTCAATTCCGGCAACTCCTGCACGTACGCCAGCATCTTCGCGGACTCCTCGGAAAAGGTTTGCTTGTTGCTGTGTAGTTGCATATTTTGCTGCTGCTGGAGTAACTGCGCAATGGCGGTGGCGCCGGTGAGATTCGAACTGGCATGAGAAGTAGCGTTGTTCTCGGGAGTCGTGAGTGCTTTCAGCAAGTGAGGGAACGTGCACGTCTGTTCCTTCAGAAGCGCGATTTCCTGCTCGGTCTGGGCGATGTCGAGAACAGTGGTGTCAGCGCCGTTATCCATTGCAAATATCTCTGGGCTCTTTGAAAGTTGTGATGCAAGAAAGGGAAGAGTGAGCGCACTGTGATGCGCTGCCCAGCATGACAAGTTTTCCCGTGGTTCTGAGTTGCGAACTCCGCATGAGAAATTGCGTTTTTCCATGACACACAAGAGGAGCTGTAGTACGCGGCCACGCAATACAAAGTTCAGAGTCGTGCCGGACTAGCATGACAAATCTCGCAATCTCCCAGACCCAGACATATTTGCATTTGATATCCGTCGACCGTGAACAACCCCCCACCAGCCTTCTGTTTGCTCCGGTTTAGTTTGCTCTGCTGTTGAAACGATAACAACAAAGGTGCGAACCGAAAATTCACTTTTTGCGGCATCTGCGGCTTCGCAGGCTCCTCGGCGAGAAGGCCACCAGCCTGGTTACCAGTGGTCGTCATTTTTAAGGCTGCCTGCTCCCGCAGTTCCTTCTCCAACTCTTCCTTTTGCTTGTCCGTCTTCTGCATGCCCTGCACCGCGAGCGCTAACTTCCCCGCGGTGGAAGCTTTTTTCCGGAAGGTCTGCAGCAAGCTCAGCTTTCGTTGCGCGGCACTGGTTGTGCCGGCTCCATTCTGGCCGTTTGCGTCTTCGTTTTGCTGTTGTTCCCCGCTATCGTTTGCGCTGTTCAACATCTCGCCAGCCGCACCTTGTTCGGCGGAATTATTATTGCCAGAACCATCGGCTCCGGCTGGTGCGCTGTCCGCTTTTGTTTTCTTCCCCCCAGCGGCTGCACCACCTGTCGCACCCGCTTTCTTTTTCGGCGCCGCTCCGCTTGCACCCGCTTTTTTCTTGTTGCCGGCGGTTTTTTCTAACGACTGCAGCTTCGGGAGTTCCACCCCGGTTAAGTGACTGTCGTCTTCCATCTTTTTCCGGACTTTACTGTGCAAGTCCTGCTTTTCGGAAGTCACTTGCGCGCCGCCGTTGTTCTCCTTACCCCCCTTCTTCCCACCTTGTTTGCCACTATTCTCCCCGTGCAGACCTTTCTCTCCGTGCACGACCTGTTGGTGCAACTGCTCTTGCTTTTGTTTCATGTCCAGGTATTCCGCCTGTTTCAGCTCCTCCGCCGTGATTTCGGTAATTGGCACCTTCTCGCTCATGCCACTCAGTGCCTCCATCATTTTGGACAGCGTTTCATATAGGGTTCGCACCTTCGCCTCGGATTCGAAATCCCCGTACTCTTTCGCGAGCAACTTTTCGGTCGCAAAATCCATAAATTCCGACTGAAATTTCCCCAGAACCGACAGACTCGCCCCGACCTTCTCCCGGAGGAGAGTGTTCTCGTTGCGCAGCTTCTTGATGACGGAGAGATTGTCGGTGTGTTGCCCAAGGGTGGTGGAGCTCAGCTCCAGGCGCCACTGCTGCTTCTCGGATTCGAGCTCCTTGCGCTCGCCGTCGATAATTTTGATGTCTTCCTGCAGCCGCCGCTGCATCTGGAAGAGCAACAACGACTCCTGCGACCGCTCCTCGTGCTCCGCGTTAAGAGGACCCCCGGAGGAAGTAGCCCCGGAAGACATCAGGGCCCGCATGTGGTCGCCGGAAATGGTCTGCAGGCTGCTCGCCGTTCCTGCTGCGAGTCCCCCCGGAAGTGGCCCACCACCCATCATTCTCGACGTGCCCGCCCTTGCGCCGGCACCACCGCTTGTAGCTGTTCCCCCAAGAAGATCGGACGACCCGGCACCAATGGAACCCGAGGCCCCCGTCGCGGCGGACAGTTTGGGCGCGCGGAGGTAGGACTGCGCCAGCCGCTGCTTCAGAATCTCCGCATCCTGTGGGGAAAGTTGCTGCAGCAGGTCGGTGCCGGAAGGAACCAGCTGCACCTGAAAGTAGCTGTTTTTGTTTTGCCCCCGCGCGTCGGCCATCTTTTTTTATTTCTGTTTGCAATTGTAAAACTGTACAAGAAGCAGCAAAGTATGACTTAGTAAAAAATCTCAACCGCTAGCTGTACCAGCCGCCAGGAGAGAGATTCCTAGCGCCTCCGCCCCCAACAGGAGCTTCCGGGCGACGGCGTACTTAGTTAGACTAGTATACTGGCGCCAACACAAAACTTTAAAAAATTGAAAAGAGACTAGTGTGGAAATTTCTCTTGGGGTTCTATGTCTATCAAGATCATCCGCCTGGTGAAATTGTGCGTTTTTGTTGAAGAAGTGTGCGCTAGAAAAGAAACGAAAGGCAGCAGGACGAGAAGCACGATTGTGTTCTTGATTTTTGCACGAAAGTGAGAACAACATGTGAACGACGAGGGAAAGAGAAGAACTCAGACGAGAACGAAATACGCACGAGAACCACGAACGAAAGCGTCTAGTTCTTCCTGTATGTGCACGGAGTTACACGTTGTACGAATGAGGTGCGAAAACTTGTAGACCGAAATTTTCTTTTGCTGCAGAAGCTTCTTCTAGACATTCAAGCAATGTTGACGGCACCAACCGATGCATTAAAGATGAACTTCTCGGGGACAACATGACTGAAAAAGAACCAGGCACAGTATACCACCCAATCATCGATTGCTGTGAAAATTTTCTCCGAAACTTCTGACGAAATCAAAACTTCCCCTTTGTAGGCTCCTCCTGGCCCATAACTACAAGGTGAGGAATTGCTGCTTTAATACATCAGCCAGTGCAATATACAGAGCTCAAAAAACCACATAAACCAGTGGTCATTTACTTACAAAGAGTAAGTGCTTATGATCTTCATGCAGTCTTCTCGCACCCAGGTGCTGCGGCTCGTCTACCATGCATCCCCCGCAGTAGTTCGTCTACGTGTCGACTCAGTTGGCTCCCCGACAGAAGCTCGTCTTTCGCGCTTGAGTCATCTTCAAAAGGCCGCCCATTGTCTCCCTCAAAAAGGTCGGAGATGCTGTCGAAGCAACTCAGCAAATTCCGCCCACGCGGTGGAAGCTGAAGTTCTTTTTGCTGTGGATAGTTATTTTCAACTTTTTTGCTAATAATTTTTCCGTCGCCGCTCGCAAAATGAATTTCCCGGCCCCCCTGTTGTCCCGCGTTTAATATTTCTGTCATTTCTGAAGATGTCGCCGGCTTTATTGCCTCTTGCGCCAAGTCTCCCTCTTTTGATCGGCCGCGAAGCCGCACCGGCTCATAACCTCTCCGCCCTGATAGACCGGCCCTTCGCGCGACCGGGCTTCGCGTCTGCGGCGTTTATCAAATGTAAAAGTGTCTGGGTCTGGAAGAGTCATGCTGTTTTTGCATGACACAGAAGGTCTGGCATGGAAGCTCTAGCATTACAGGTTTCGAGAAGCTTCCGCAATGCCGAATCCGCATGACAAATCCCCCACTTTGGTGACAGAAAGTGGGCAGCTTTTGCTACCCATGCATAAGAGATTTTTCTGTGTTCTGAAATGTGCATCACAAGTTTGTATTCGTCCAGACCCAGACATTTTTACATTTGATAGCGTTCGTTGCGCGACGATTGGGTCGGAGTCGGCAAGAACCTTCTTCCCGGGCTCAACATCGCTGCGTTCGTTGGAACGACTGGCAGCATCTTCAACTAACCGGGTGGTTGTCTTGTCCGTTTTTCCCCCTCGCCTCCCCGAGTCTGTGGACCTTGGAGTGCCGCCACAAGAAGAGGAATTATTCCGGCGGAGGTTTGAGAACCCACCACCTCGTTCAGGATTTTTATCGCCTTCGCCTGCCGACGTAGTGGCCTTTTTACTGCCATTGCGCCGCCCCCGCATTTCTTCTCGACAGCGTGCACCAGGCTCACGAACTGGATGACGAGGACGCCGCCGGGGGGTCGTGAAGGCTTCCGACGTGGTCTCAGCTCGTGGTCCCCCTCTCGCTCGTGTTCTTCGCCCCGAGGGGGTCCCCTCTACTTCCGTGCCAATAGTCGCACCTCCTGCTACTTCTTCAGCACCTGCACGCGCTTTGCTCCTACTTTTCCCCTCAACAGGAGAAGGCGAGACTACGCATCGAGCAGCAATAAAATCACGAGCAGAGGACTTGGTAGTTCTAGTGGATGTGGAGTTATTTCTAGAAGCCCGCTGCACTCGACGTCCGGCTTCCTTGTTTCTACCGAGCTGCGACGGAGTTCTTGTCCCTGAAGACGTGCAAAAACTTATCCCAGAGAAAAAAGCTGGCAGGGCACATTTGTAATGCAAAAATAAACACACAGAAACATTTGCTATGGGTGGCCCCATAGCATGCTGTTTCGGATATGCAATACAGATTATTTCTTTGTGTGTTTATTTTTGTACTACAAAGATACCCTGCCAGCTTTTTTCTGTGTGATAGAACTTGTCCGCTGCGAAAGTGTTTTCGACATCCTCAACACCGGTTCATCTTCACGATCCCCACAGGAATTATCAACTTCCAGGACTCCACGACCTCGCAGGCCAGGATTCGGATTCAGGTATTTATTTTTCTTGTTCCACCTATGATCTCTCTTCTTCGTATCCAACGAGCCATTTTTGTTTCTCATCTTCGTATCATCATGCTGTGATTGGATACTACTAGCAGTAGTAGCCACTTCTTCTTGCTCGATCCGCTTTTCCTGCAAAAACGAGCACATCTGCTCCACGTGCCGCAACTGCTTCTCCAAGCTGAACCGCAGATCCCGCTCCGTGGCCAGCTTCTCCTGCAGCTGCAAAACCTTTGCCTTCAACTGCAGAAAGACAGTTTTGGACGCCATTTTTGTTTGTGCATCCATAGAAGAAATCTCGCGTTGTTTATCCTCATCTGCGCGGACATATAATTCCCGAACAGCAGGAGCTCCAACTTCTACTGTTTCCTCATTTATTCTACTTCTGCACCACGGCAGCAACTTTTCCTTTCCCCGCTCACTGGGAACTACAACTCTCGGCGCACCACCAACTGCTGGAACCATGCAGTTCCTGTTTCTCTCGTCCCCATTGCGACGGCCCTGGGCACCGAGAACCTCCGTCAGCTTTCCGTCCAGCGCGCGCAGCCCGCGGGCCTGGTGCCGAATTTTGCCCGCCTGCTGCTCGATCGTTTTTCGCTGGTCCCGAATCGTGACGCACTGCTGGTACAGCCGGCGGTACAAAGCCTTCCTTTCCACATCAATGGGTAGTCGACCACGTGCTTGTAGTTCTTGTTTCTCGCAGTAGTTCTTGATGTTGTTGTCCCTCGTCGTGCTGCTGGCCCCCACTGGTTCGTTTTGTTCAACAATGTCTTTCTCCAGCGGCCGCAAGGCAGAAGAGGAAGAGCCCGTACTACAACTTTGGGTGAAAGAACTGGAGCTACGAGCGTCCCGAGAGCTCGGTCGTGCTGGTTCCCGCGGATTATAAACACGCTCCTCCGGCGGCCCGCCCACTAACTCGCGGTCCTGCTGCTGCTCGTCGTGTAGTGCCGCGGGCTGCGTAGTTGTGCCTTCGCCTGAAATATTTAATCGCCCATGATGCTGTTCTTTATCTGCTAGCTTCTGCGTCAGCGCTTTATTTTCCTCGGCCAACAGCACATTCCGCTCGTTCAGACGAAGGTTGCGCTCGTATCAAATGCAAATATGTCCCGGTCTGGAAGAATGCAGGTTTTCCATGACCCATGACGTCTTTCTAGAATGCAGCACTGAGCATGACAAATGCTGTGAGATCTCTCTCATGCCTATCCTGAATGAGAAACCTCCTGTCAACCTTGTCAGGAGCGGGCATCTTTTGGCAATCATGCAACAGAGATTTTTGCATGATCCAGACTAAGCATGACAAGTTGCAGCATCCCCCCAGACCCAGACGTATTTGCAGTGCATAGCTCGTTCCCCTTCGCAATCCGGTCGTTGGCATCTTTCACACAGTCGGCCAGCTTTTCCTCGTAGGCAAAAATCACGCGTTTCAGCCTGCTGATGTCGGAAGCGGCACTATTTTGTTCCCCCCTCTGCTTGTCAGCATCCGGTTGGTGAAAGCAGATCCGGTATCCTGTGTGAAAGCGTCACCCCCCAGAGTTATTGTGCAGATTTGCGATTACAGAAACGCATGCAATGCGCATCTCCATGAGAGGCATTTTCAGTCGTGTTTTGGAATCTGTAATGCTCTAAACAGACTGCGCAAATGGCTTTCTCATGCGGCTTCCCTTGCTAAACAGCACTACACAGCAGATGTTGGAAACTTGTCATGCACAACTCCCAAACCTTGGAGATTTGTGCTGCAGATTCACCAACTTGACTCTGGGGCGGACTCCTTTTTACTCAGGATATCCGGGGCGAAGAGAACACCGTGTGCGACGCTGCTCCAACACCCTCTTGGTCGTGCGGCACAAGACCAACATTTGCAACCTCGCGCTCGTCGGCCAGTGTAGTCTTCGGAGTGACGGGAGCACTGGCCAACCTAGAAAGGGGGGCCCGAGGCTGATTACTCCTCCTAGTCGAGAAACTACACGAAGAAACAGAACTCCGCTCTCCTGCGCCAGCAGAAGAAAGAACCGTCCCGATCCTATTGAGGCTCGCGAGCGGCAGTTTGGGTACGACCGGTTCAGCAGGCCAGGTGCGGTTACTGTAGTTCCTTCCACCCGGAGGTGCAGTTCCCCTTCGCTCGTCCGTCGCTGCTGCGGATGAGGGACAACATGCGGTCTTGCTAGAGGTAGGGATGGGAAGAAGCAGCCGCCGCGGGGAGCAGCCACGCGGATCTCCAATTTGTTGTGGTCTACTCCTTCGAGAAAAAGAAGAAGTCGCAGCGCCCACTGCACCAGCCGCCCGACGAGGCACACCTTGCAGGGCGTGGATCCGAGAAGTGCTGGTGGTTGTCGCGTTAACAGTACCTCTCTTTTCCGCGGGCGGCGTGGATCCGGTGCAGGAGAGGCGTTCTTCCTGACTGTTCCTCAAGAACAGGTGCTTCTCTAAGTTGAGGCGGAGATCGCTCAGCGTGTTGCTCTTCCGCCGCCGGCGCTCTGCTTTTCTTCTCGTCCTTGTTGCTTTTCGTTTATTTCCATTCTTGTCTGCATCTGCAACACAGAGGATGGACTTCTTCAAGTAGGAATTTTTACTGGTAGTAGTTATCATCTTCTTCCGATATCCGAAGTTCTTCCGTAATGGGGAGGGGGCTGCAATATCCTGCGAAGACGTCGCCCATGGTCTTTGCCCTTCCGCAGTTTCCGCTCGGTCCACGGAAAAGTCCTCGTCCTGCTCGAAGGGGGCGCCGTCGTCGCTGCTTCTAGAAGGATCTTCGTGGACGCCGCAACAACTGTAACCGCTGGGCACTTCCGCAATCACTGGAATAGGCTCCAGTTCCTTGATGGCCGACAGAAATAAATCTGTCGTGTCGTCCGCCTGGTCGTTGTGGTCTATGTTGTAGTTGCCCGCACCATGATCTTGATGTTCATCTTCTTGTACAACTACATCTGGCGCAAAAAAGGATGGCGCGGAGGGTCCTCGTGGTACTTCTACACCGGTTCTGCAAATGCGCGTGTCCTCGCGTTCATCTCGTGCACCACTGGTGCTTTCGTTCCGCCCCGGAGCAGTGCCCACAGCTTGCGTTTGATCGTTTGCTGTCCTCGGCTGTGCTGCTCCCCCGGCCGCAACCACCACGGCCGCCGCTGCTGCTTCGGCCGCTCGACAGAGGTGGGTCCGGTTTAGGTTTTTGTTTGCGCGTGGGCCGGAAAGTAGAAGATCCTGGCCAGCGGATTCTTGTGCGGCTGGGGGATGTTCCCAAGAGCAAACTGGAGGATGTTCCCAAGAACAAACATCCTCTGCTTCATCCGTGGCCACGTCTCGGAGGATGCGTTACGTATCCAGGCAGAAAGACTGCGTCAGTGTGCTGTTGAAAGTGAATGCACTTGCACATGCAGCACATGTTGCACGACAAAACAGTAATAAAAATGGAAATACCAGATTAAAGTACGTTTGTCATCCTGCCTTCAGGGAGGAACCTTTACGGCCTCCTCGCATGTTGAAAGAGTGACTTCGAATTGCACCAACTAGCGGCACAGGAGAACTTTTTTCTCTTATCCAGGGTACACTTGTGTTGATACTGTGCGTCCACCCAGGAGGTGGACGAGCAACTACACTGACACAGTGTTTTGTTTTCCGGGAACATATTCCGTATGGAAAGAAAAAAACTTAGTCACCGTCACTAAGTTCAAGTTGCAGGCTTTGCATCACAAATTTTTCTAGCATCACAGCCTTTTCTTGTATTGCACAAACGCAAGGGAATAATAATAAATCGCGTATGAAATAATTTGACACGACTGCGCTGCATTTCTACGCATGATAGACATTTTTGTATTGCGAAAATGCACATGAGTGATCGTGACGAACTTTTCTCTTTGCATATTCCGCCAGCTGCTCGTAGTACTCGGAAGACCGGGATTCGATATCCTGTGCAAAAGTATCGTACTCGTAGTAATCGCAGTCATGCATATACAAATTTCTTTGCCAAGGTAAAACAGCATGACAAATTCCGTTTGTCATGCTGAGGAAATTTGTCATGTGATTTATACTAGTACGATTCTTTTGCGGTTCATACTCGACCCGCAGCGCCGATAGGCTTTTCAAGCACTGAGACGACGGCAGGGCAGGCGCTGTGGTCTTCCCCCCGGAATAAAATGGCGCGAGGTCCATGTATATCAAATGTAAAAATGTCTGGGTCTGGAAGATTCTAAACTTGTAATGCTGTCTCTGGATTCTAAAAAAATTCCTATTGCATGACCAGCAAAAGGACTCCAGTTTGTGCTACGTGGAGAGGGCATTTCTCATGCGGTAGAGGCATCACAAAGTACTCTAAAAATCTGTGATGCTTGGGCATGCATCACAGACATCATGGATCATTCAAAATATGCATGACAAACCCGGCAATCTTCCAGACCCAGACATTTTTACATTTGATAATGTAGACATGCTCAAAAAGGTGGTCGTGGCAAGAAGTTCCTGTACTAGTATCACAATGAAAAACGCCCCCATCCCCGAACTACTTCTTGGGAGCATTTGTATTGCAAACCTTTCCAAGTGAAACGCTCGCCCTCCTGCATCTATCAGCATCACAGGTTTCCGGTCGTGAATAGCAAAAATTTGTATTGCAAAAGACCCCAGCAAGAGCGGCGCTTGTCATGCAAGCGGTGCGATACAGGCCTAGATTCTGTACCAGAAAGATTCATACTCCTTGCACGCATAGATAAAAAGTTCTTCATTTGAAAACCTTAATGCATCACAAATTTTTGCAATTTCAGGGGTGCGGCGCATTTTTCACTGTAATAACTAGCTTGCGTTCTTCCCCCCGCGTCGTCCTGCTCTTCAACCTTTTCATCCAGTACCTCCAGCGAGAACGCCGACACGCGGCCAGAACACCGTTCCAGGGGCGAAAGCGGTCGTGCCGCAAGGCTGCCACCGAAGCCGTACGAACGTATTACAGTGAAAAGTGCCCCCCACCCCCAAAGTTGCAAAAATTTGTGATGCGAAGTTTCCAAATGAAAACTTTTTGTCATGCATGCTGCATGCATGAAAGGAGTATGAATCTTTCTGATGCAGATTCTAGTCGTGTTTCGCATCGCTTGCATGACAAGCACAGCTCTTGCTGGGATCTTTTGCAATACAAATTTTTGCTATTCACGCTTGGAAATCTGTGATGCTGATACATGACGTCGTTTCGCTACTCGTGTAGTTTCGGTGTCAAATACGTATTGATAGAGCGAACCTAGAAGAAGTTCTTCTAGGCCACGATACGGAGCACCACATCGAAACTGGATTTCGTGCGGTCGTCGAGAACGAGCAGGGTGACACCGAAACGGCCGGCTCGGTGCGCGACCCAGTATTGCAGGCGGGGAAGGCGAGGCCAGTTTCGGTGCGCCACACAGTATTGCAGCGGGGGCGCAAAATCTCGCCCGCGCAGAGAAAGATCGGCGCCCAGCCGTCCCGAGTTCCGGACGGCACGCCCGTCGGCCTGCTCGGGTACTCTTTGGGCCTGTCGGGTGGCTGCTACTCTCTGGGCCTGTCAGGAGCCGGCTGTCGCAGCACGATTTGATGGCCGCCACGCGCCTGCAGGCGCGGGCGGGCACAATCTCGGCGCGCCAATAGTATTCTCCTGCGTGCCGGGCCCCGAGCGCCGGCGCGCAACCAGCTTGCCTGTGTGAAGGCGGTGGGGTCGGCGGTGTTTCCACGCGGCAACCTAAGGCCGACGGCGTTGCCCTCTTTGCGGGCATTGCGCACGTGGGTGGAGGACGGGGCGCGGGCAGACCGCGCGCGAAAAAACACAAAATCAAAGGCCGGCCGCTTCCTAATGTGCGCCGGTTGCTCCGCTTGCCTTTCCTGTTTTCTTCTCTTCCCCGGTGGCCTTCTGCGTGTGCCTTTCGCGCCCATAGGGCCCAAACCCGGGGGGGGGCGGGGGGGCACGCAACGGCGTCGCACTGCGGGCAGTTTCGGTGTGCTATTCAGTATGTATCGGGAAGGGCGGCGCCATAGTCTCGATGCGCTAGCCAGTATGTATTGCAATTTGTATCAATACATACGAATTTGTATGCTTTTTTTTTGTATTCCCGGCCAGGCTCGGCGTCGTCGTCGTGCAATTCCAAGCCAGTTTCGGTGTGACGGAGTTGGCCGATTTCCCGATGAGAAAGTGCAAAAAAATGTATTGTATTTTGTATGCAAGTGACACCGAAACGTATGGTAGAGCGAAACCGCCACATACATGCAAGAGGGCGAATGTTTCATTTGGAAAGGTTTGCAATACAAATGCTTTCAAGTTCGGGGGTGGGAGCACTTTTCATTGTATTAGAACGTCGGGTCTCTTCGTCCCGAGTGGAGGTCTTCTGCCGCCCTTCGCACGTCACCTCCAGGAGGAAATTGTCTTGCAACAACTCGTATCAAATGCAAATCTGTCTGGGTCTGGACGAGGAGAAGTTTGTCATGCACATGTTCCATGATCCATGATGTCTGTGATGTATGCCACAGCATCACAGATTTTTTGAGCGCTTATCTATGCGCATCCAGCATGATAAATGCCATCTCCGCGTAGCCAAATTTGAATTCTACTCTACTTGCGGGTCATGCAATACAGGCTTTTTTAGCATCCAAATGCAGCATCACAAGTTTGGCTCTTCCAGACCCAGACATGATTTTTGCATTTGATAACTCGTGGTCTTCCGCCCCGGGCGGCGTCGAACTGTCTCGTCTACCCACGCACGCCGGGAGGCCCGCAGGAGCGCCGTTCCCGCCTAATGCGGGGGCTCCTGCAGATGCAGAGCTTTGGTGGAACAGCACTAGATCATCGCGCGCAGCGGGCAGGGGCAGCAGCTGCGCCACATTTCCTTCGCGGCGCACTGCCGGTTCTTCTGCATGGAGTTGCGAGGATATTACATTCTGCTGAGTTCTGGAAACCGAAACTGCACCTGCTGGATTGCCGGCCGCTGCTGGTGGGTCGTCCTTAATTTGCGGGTCTTGCGGCTGCTCCACGCTGGACTCGAACGCCGAGGTGGGGATTGAGCTTTCCTCCTTGCTCCGTTATGCTCTGCAAAAGTATCGCGCCCGTACTAATTGCACATATGCATGACAAATCTTCGTCCTCAGGTAAAACAGCATTACAAATTGCATTTGTCGCACTGAGCTAATTTGCAATGCAATTTATACTACTAGTTACTACGATACTTTTCCAATTAATACCCGTGCTGTTCTTTCGGCATTTCTCATCCCGGTCATCTACTTGTCAGCCAAGAAAGAAAAAAGTATGTTGTGGAAACCATTTTCATTGCTTAGATGCGGCGGCTCTCAACCCAATTAGTATAATCGAGGAACCAGGTTTAAATCACAAATCTTACACTTACTCTATTGATTGATGCTAAAAAATGAGAAGACGATACAAATCTCACTCTATTGACAGACTGATGCTGCAATCATACTGATGCTTTTAAAAAGACGATACTAAACACAATATGAATATTAGTAGTAGCTTCGCTAAGTACTTCATAGACATCAACCGAAAGGAATCAAAGTGTCGCGAAAATTATCCTGGGGCAAAAACACAACCACGAAAACACAGAAGCAATTCCTCTACTACATAAAAACAGAACATAATTCAGTGCACCTGAGTTTTGAATCTTTCCGAGTAAATCTTGGCAGGCGCATATCGATCGCATGAGGGGGCCAGCGTCTGTTCACGTAGTTTTCTGCGCGCCGACAAATGCACGCGTTTCGTTTACTGCTTCATCGAAGGTTTTTACTTATTAACATCAACCGCCCTCGCAGATCATGCGAACAGGAAGATTTTGATTTCGGCCGACGCGTGTGTAGTAAAATGCCGCTGAACTTGACGCTGTGTCGCCAGCACTCAGTGCCTGCTTGTGCTTCCTCGAACGAGGGTCGCCTTCTCGCACGGCTTCCTCGGAATAGATCCAACCAAAGAAACAGAAAGCCCGGCACTATTTTGTAGATGACACTAGCTACATTTTTACGTGGCGGCTTTGGTGACGGTACCACGCAACTTAATCAAAGAGGATCTCATCAACAAAGAGCCGATAGATCTAGTGCGGCTCAAATGACAGGCATCTTTCTTCGGAGTGCGCATGATCTTCAATCGAGGACAGATCAGAAGTTGTCCTCTGAACTATTCAACATTTTTTGTGCTACTACTCACTCCCGCCCAGATCTTACAAGGAATACATCTTCGTTATGAATTTAGCTACACAAAGCTCAAAAGCCCAAAAGCCCACTCTTTCGCGGCTGCCCGAGCCAGTAGAGCGGGCGCAAGGACGCAAAAGGCCGTCACTTGGTCAGGAACACAACTACGGCGCCACGGCCCTTCAAGTGGAAAACGAAATCAATGATCCTAGCAGCACAACAGCCGGACCAGCAGCACACTGCTTGATGTTACTAGTAGAAAAAGTTTCAGCTTCGGCCTAGAAACTTATAAATATTTCATACTGTGTGCCGTCTTGGCTGATAATTTTCGACAAGTGCTTTTCTACTTACAACTACCCAACGAGCCACTGATGCCTGTTCTCTGTATCAGTAGCATTCGGTTTTACTCATTTTCCTATCCATAGGGCGAATACGAATCAAATAGTGCACTGTCTTTGATGTAATAGAGCGAATACGAATCGAATAGTGCGCTGTCTCTGATGAAGAGGTTTTTGTTTTTCGGGAGAAATAAAATAAGTATCACAGCTGTGGGGCGAGAGCTTTAATTAAGTGGAAAGGAACGGGCTCTATTATCCCTCTCGACGAAGCTGCAACGTAAACAACTACGTGTCGACGAGTTTCTTGCGTGTCATGGGCCTAGTACTCACATCGTGTTTTTCACCCTGCTTTGACGTCGAGGTTGTAAATGTAGTCGTCTTCTTTCCGTTTGTATCCAAGAAAAAAACTGTGTTCGGGCAACTTTCATCTTTGGCTGACAGCATCACAAGTTTGCTCCACATGACAGAGAAAAGCTGTCATGCGTGGGTTGTAAATAAAAACACACATGAAAAGAGGACTTCATGGTCGTCTGGCATGAAGACAGGTGTAAGAACTCTGCTGGCGCAACATATTCTGCAGTACAAAGTTACACTTTATACACAGTTTTTTTCTTGCATAGTTTGCTTGTCTTCGGGTTCGGCCCGCGGGGGGATTACTGTCCGACAAGAGGAGGAACGCGTTCGCTCTTGAAATCGCTGTTGCGGTAGTGGACGACGAACTCGTTGTCGAAGTAGTCGTCGTATAGTAGGTATCAAATGCAAATATGTCTCGGAAAGGGTCGTGTAAACTTGTCATGCAGGTTTTCCATGACCCATGAGGTCCGGACTGCGTGACCAAGCATGACAGACTCTGTGCGATCTCTGCCATGCCTATCCTGCATGAGAAACTTCCTCCCAAGAACTTGGTCGTGAGTGGACAGCTTTTGGCACTCATGCAACACAGAATTTTGCATGGTTCGGATTTAGCATGACAAGTTGCAACCTTCGAGAGGACCTAGACATATTTGCAATGCATAGTAGGTTGGATTGAGGTTTCGCCACTGCGTTTCATTTATGTGGCCGTGGTATCAAATGCAAAAATGTCTGGGTCTGGAAGATTCTGACACTTGTCACGCACGTTTTGCATGAGCCATGATGTCTGTGATGCATACCCTAGAAATAAAGATTTTTTGACGGCTTCTTGATACGTATTCCGCATGACAAATGCCTTCTCAGCGTAGCAAGAATTGCATTTCCTTTGGTACCCATGCAATACAGATTTTTTTGGAATCCAAATGCAGCATCACAAGTTCCGATTCTTCCAGATCCAGACATTTTTGCAATCCATACATGGTCGGAGCTGCAGTCACAGGTGCTGGTTCCGTCATCTCCGGGTTCGCATATCAAGTGCAAATATGTCTGGGTCTGGAAGAGGACTGCTGGACTTGTCATGCAGGTTTTCCATGACCCATCTGCTCTGCAATGGAGGACCTAGCATGACAGATTCCACGAGATCCCTAGCATGCCTATCCTGCATGAGAAACTGCGTCTCGACTTGACCAAAAGTGAGTAGCATTATGGTAATCATGCAACACAGATTTTTGCATGTGAATCGGTTCGAGAGTGTACCCCAGTTCACGAACTAGTTCGTGAAGGTTCTGGGCATACGAAAAAGAGCAGAACCATACGTAGTGCACGTGCCAAACCCCGAAAAAAAGAGCGGGCAACGGGAGAAAAGAATCCCGATGAGCTACAGGGCATTTCTTGCGGGCACCATATGTCGCAAAAAGTATGTGCACGCAACAAGCCCCGAAAGATCTTGTATTTTGGCGCGCGCGCGCGCGATTTTGGTTTGTGAGGCGCGAAGCGCTGCGCGACTATTGTTTACGGTGGGACGGCTGCCGGCCATAGGATTTAGGGACGCTGCTTCCGATCAATGGGCGCACGAAGACCGAAGCTGTCCGCGCGGCAATGGTTTCAAACAGAAAGCGGTCGAACGCTAGGGCCGATCGCAGTCATGGCTACTGTTTTCTGTAGTGACAGACTTGAGGCCTTTGGCGCCCATCACGGTGCGCGCAGCTGTGCTGCAGCACCATCTAAAACGACGGCGCTGCGGCATTGCAGGCACAGACCCGAACCGGGGGTCAGGTAATACCTGGCCCCCCGGATCGACTAAGTACCACTGAGATCAGGAGCGTACCTTTGGGTCAGGAACGCCCCCCCTACTCCTTCCTCCACCTGCATACTTTTTTGGCGCCGAGCATATCAAATGGCCTGTTTGTTCTAGGATATTTAGGCCCCGGGGCGGTATTGAACTGGTAGGTACATTGCTGAACCGCGGGCCCTGTTGAACTGATACACATGATTCAGATTTAGCATGACAAGTTGCAGAATCCCAGACCCAGACATAATTGCAATGCACATCGCAATTGCACAGGCAACTGGTCCGGCCCGTGCGCCCCGCGTTGGGATTGGCGCAGTCACAGGTAAAATATGCAAAGAAAAAAGTGTATACAGTTACACATTTGTATGTCAATTCAGCAACACAAATTTATCTGCATGAGGAAGAAAACTTGTAATGCAGAAATCCTACGGGAAAACACCTATGAAACGTAAACGAGGCTGCTATGCATATCCGGCATGACAGAGCTTGTCTGTCTTGCTTGGCCTGCAACACAATGTGTAACTGTAGCACTGTTTTCTCGCGATATAAAACCAGAGCACCCCATTATTCCGAACAGCAACACCAGGAATCCCAGGCACCCAAAAATCAAGTTACACCGCAGGTATATCAAATGCAAATGTGTCGTCTGGGTCTGGTGGAAGATTGATGCCAGGTTTGTCATGCATATCTTGCAGGGCGGCCCATGATGCCTGTATGTACATGCACATGCCCGAACATCATAGATTTTTGGAGGGCTTCCCGATGCCGATTCCGCATGACAAATGCCTTCCCCACGTAGCACAAACTGGACTCCTCTTGCTGGTCATGCAATACAATTTTTTTCACAATCCAAAAATAGCAACACTACAAGTTGCGACCTTCCAGAGGACCCAGACATATTTGCAGTGCGTAAGGGAACGGAAGTTGCAAAACGTGTTGTGCAGACAGAACTCCACCTGGGCCAGCTCTTCGCTATCAAATGCAAACACGTCTGGGTCTAGAAACTCGTGATGCTAATAAAGCATGGATGATTTTTATGGTGCTTTCAAGTGCAGCCAAGCATGACAATTTTATTCGACGCCGTCGGATGCGTAGCACGCATGACAAACTCTGTCTGTGCATGACAAAACAGTAACGCCTTTGCTGGCTATGCAACGCAGAAGATTTTTCAGGAATTATGCTAGAAGAGATTGCAACAAAAATAAATCCTGTTTGTTTTCCTGAACCCAGACATATTTGCACTGGATATTCGTCTGAAGATATCGCAAGGAAAAATCCCCCCTCCCCATATTGACGAGGTAGCTTTTCGAAAATTTGCGTTGCTGATTTGTGACCACAAATCGCGTCTGTCGTGCAAGATGGCAAGTCCACCGGCTCCGCCGCATTATGCAGGCGGTTTGTCATGCTGCTGGGCCTACAGCACGGACGTTTGTCATGCTAAGCGTCTAGGTCAAAGCCTCTCTACTCAGGCTTGATATGGGTGTGCAGTCCTCTCCAGCAAGAAAACTCTGACCTGTGTACTCAAATCCAGCATCAGAAACTTCGTTTTGATATGGGGAGGGGGGATTTTTCCTTTTGATAGAAGACAGCGAATCCTCGACATCCCGGGCTTCTTCGTCCGCCCCCCGCTCCCAAGATTATCCAGTCCAAAAACGTCCCCAACACAGACTCAAACTGGGAACTTGGCAACACAAGGCCAAAATTTTGGGAGTCACGCATGACAAGTTTCGCTCTGTATTGTATACAATGCAGTTTAGCAAGGACGGCCGCATCACAAAACCATTTTCCTATGCTATTTACAGCATTACAAATTCCGAAACTACACGCCTGGAAATGCCTGCCATGGGGTCGGGGCGCATTACAAATGTTCCTGCTGTAATTACAAATCTGCACGACAACTCTGGACTCGGGACGTTCTTGCTCAGGATAAAGATTCCTCGTTCTTCTGCTGCTGCCTCTCTTCCCGGAAAAACTCATCTACGTCGTTATGGCTTGCTCAGATGCTCGATACAATCTTCTCCTCAATCGTTTCAGTTGAGACCCGATTTTGTCTTGCATAAACAGCATAACTAGCATACAAGGCCTTGCACTTTTTGCAATACAGATTTCGCCAGATAATTTCAGTGTGGTTTGAACTCCGCAACTTGTCATGCGCAATCCTGTGAGAGTTCTTCGAGTTGGCTAGGTAAAACAAAATCCACTTTTTGCATCACAGATTTATTTCCATTTCTACTGCAAGAACGGTTGAAAAATTGTATTACGTCTGAGCTGCAGGTCATAGTCTTTCTTCTTGAAGTATCCTGTGCAAAAGTATCGCACTCGTAATAATTGCAATCATGCAAATTTTTTGCTGAAGCTAAATCCGCATTACAAATTTATTTCTCAAAGAAATTTGTAATGCATTTATACGAGTACGATACTTTTGCAATGCATATGAACCCCCGGGCTGCTTCGATCCTCTGGGCGGCGGTAGTCTGGTAGATGCTCGGTTGCGTGCTCCGCTATCAACTGCAAATGTGTCTGGGTCAGGGAACTTGTGATGCTGCTTGGCGAATCATGAGGAAGCCACAAATGACGGCTCAGCTTGACAAGTTTCTGAGTTGCTAGGTGTTCTTGTCTATCCAGCATGACAAACTGCGTTTTTGCATGACATAAAGCTGTCGCTTTAGCTTTTGGGTAACGTGCATGACAGACTTAAGAGTCATGCTAGCCAAGCAAGACAGACTTGCATTCTTCCAGACCCAGACATTTTTGTAGTGCATATCCGCTGCGTCTGGTTTATAATTCCGCGGCCTGGCTGCCCGCCCTGTACCTGCGGTTCCACCAACAGTCCGCGCGAGCGAGCGGGCATGCTCGTTGGTTCTTGGCCAAGTAGTCGCTCTGTAGTTGCTTGCGCATCTATTTCCCCCATCACTTGTATCCTTCACAACTACCGATAGAGGGTATCGCAGTACGTAGCCATCATGCTATGTCTTCACCGGATCGGCATGAAAATACTGATGAAAAAGGCATAGTAAAACTAAAAACCCAAGAAGTGACCCAGTTTGTTTCTCTTCGGTTTTGCTTTTCCTTTTCATCCAAAAAGAAAAATGCTACAAGGAAATAAATAAAACCCGGCGACAGCACTGGATCATGAATACTACGTTATCACCTCCTGCTCCTGCTAGAGAATCATCATAATCACACCGCAGGAGCGGCACCAGCGATAAAATCCGTCACAAAATAACTTTCCCTATTTATGTCGTTACAGCTTTGCACAGCAGGTGCGAGTCATTCATTTCACTTGTATTTCTCCGCCCTACTCGTACATCTACCAGGGCGGTTCTACATAGGGTACTTACTCACTTCTATTTTCGCCTGCAGCACTTCGATTACAGCAGCAGCATAAGCAAACTATGCTCAAAACAAACATCTTCATCATGCCGCACGACATCACAACAATGCCGATGTACTACCTAGGTAAAAAGTAGCGAGTTATATATACCAAGATTCCGAATCGAAGATGATCCGAAGATCACATGATAGTTCGTGCTGTTCCACACCGAAATTTGTGTTCCACTAGAACATGATCACCGACGAGAGGTGGGATTGGGAAGTACTTACCTCCATCGTTGGGAACCACCATACTTCTACACTCTTTCTTCTGTGCAGGACCTACCGACATGATGTTGATCACCAGCGCGATGCGCTTTCCGAATCCGAAAATGAATCATGAGAGCACGGCAGTAGTTCAGATGCTTGCTAGAAAGCAAAAATGTTGATCCAGGAATGATAAAATGACCGACTGAGCATTCTTGTATTGTTCAACAGCAGTCGTTGTTGACCGATTCATGTTCCGCCTTGATGCGCGGGAAAAAGAAGAAGAGTGTTCCTGACTTGTTTTTATACTTTTCTTTCTTCTTCTCTACAGACCTCCATCGTGTTGTACAGTGTGAATCACGTAGCAGCTGGGTACTAGAAGTCGTTTTATTCTTATTCATTGGCCACGGCCTACTTAGTAAAACTATGCTGTTCTTGTTTATCACTCTTTAATATTTTCACTTTTCACACGACAGCTGCCAACCCCACCCACTGCTGATCCCCACAAGAACTCTCGTCGTGCGTCCCCGGTTACGAATTTGAGGCCGTTCCGCCCGGAAGATTCGGATTGGTCACGCTCTCCGCTATATCAAAGTGAAAAAAGCCCCCACCCCATATTCAAAAGACAATTTGCGTTGCTGGATTTGCGTTGCTGGATTTGTGTACACAAATGAGCTCTGTATTGCAGCAAGAGCATGTCGGCATATTTCCTCAGCCCATTTGGGTACGCATCCGGCTAGCAGCTGAGCATGAGAAACAAGTCTGCCATATGCGAAAACGCATGACAGACTCGCTGTACAATGCGCCACATGGGTGCCGTTTGCCTTGTACGCAAGACAAAGCTGATTTGCGGTCACAAATCAGCATTACAAATTCTCGTTTCGATATGGGGAAGGGAGACTTTTCCTCTCAGTACTGCTGCTCACCACACGAAATGCTCTCGTCGTGCGTCCCTGATTACGAATTTGAGCCCTTATCGCCCGGAGGATTCGCCTCAGCCGCGCTCTTCGCTGCCGACGTCCCCTCACTCGTCGTGGAGTTTTTGTGTTTTGTGCCGCCGCTCGGACTAGCACTTCTTCCAGCGCCGTTCGTGGTGGTTTGCGAAAGAACTCTGTTGCTCGAAAGAAAACTTCTACCGAAGGAGTTTGTGGCGGAGCTTCCGGCTTGCCCAGCTTGCAGCTGATATGCCTGGTCTAGTACTTCTGCGTCTGCCGCCGTCCCTTTAGTACTAGGTGGCAGAGCGTCTTCCAGGCTGCTTCTGCTCGCGCTCAGGTTCGAGTCGCCCTCGTTGTGAAAGCTGCCGATCTCAGCCAATCTTATGCGAGAAAACAAGGAGATAAACTGCGTTTACTGCGTGTATTGTTTGGTCTTCTTTTGGACGAGGATTTCTATTCTAGGATTCTTGTTAGTGCGAAAAACTACGTAGACACGTCCATAGTCAGTCGTCTGATGTGACACATGGAGTATTTTTTACAGTTAGCTGTGCAAATCTTTATTCGCATCACACATTTCATGTTCGACGTCCATTCAAGAACTACATATTACACAGTTTCCATTTTTCTCGCTTGGATAAACGTTCCCGAAAAATCGTTGACGGAATGAAATACGTGGTCCCGGCTCTTCAGCTGTCGTGGCCGCGTATGCAATGCAAAAGCATCGTACTCGTAGTCATTCCGATTATGCATTGCAAATCTTTTTCCGAAGGTCAATCAGCATTACAAACTCCATTTCTCATGCTAGCTGAGGGCGAAATCATTTGTAATGCAATTCACACTACTAGTACGATGCTTTTGCAATGCATACCCCGCGGATTGCGACAATTGCGATTTCCACTGTGCGGGCCCACTATTCGGTCCTCCCCCACTGGCGCTGTTCTCCCCTTGGCCGGTTTTCCGCAGGTCCTGTGGGTCGGACGTGGCGAGGGCGTGGAACAGCCCCGTGGCGGTCCCAGCGCTGGTCTCCGATTTCCTTCGTTGGGGCGTGGAGAGATTAAACTTCTCGGCGTCAAGTTGTGCTCCGGTCAGCATCTGTCCATTATCTTTCGCCCCGCCGTAGTTCTTCCGTCCGCGACCACCGTCTAGGGAAAGCGTCTTGGCGAGCGAGGACAGGGTATCCCAGAGAAAAAAGCTAGCAGGGCATGTTTGTAATGCAAAAACACATACACAGAAAAATTTGTCATGCGCGGCCCCATAGCATGCTGTTCAGGATATGCAGCACAGATCTTCCTGTGTATTCATTTTTGCATTTCAAATATGACCTGCCTGCTTTTTTCTGTGTGATACAGGGATCCCTGCAAGTCGCTGTGCTCCGCGCCACGTCCTCCCGTGCCCGACGTCGAACTGTGGTCTCCCGCTCCTCCCACGCTCGTCCCACTTCCCCCCTGGTGTAGGTTTTGTGCCGGCGGCGCGCCGCCGTCCTGGGCGCTCGCGAGCGAGCTGCTGGCGGTCTCCTCCCGCAATTTCAGCATTTTCGCGCCCGCAGAACTGGTGGGCGCCAGCAAGGCTTCGTCCTCTTCTTCCAGACTGGAGGATTGGCCCGTGACAGAGTTTATGCACTGCAAAAGTACTATCGCACTTGTTGTACTAATTACATTTATGCATTACAAATCTTTTTCTTAAGGTAAATCTGCATTACAAATTTAATTTGTGATGCTGGGCTGATTTGTGATGCAATTTATACTAGTACGATGCTTTTGCATTGCATAGAGTTCTTCCGCAGCGCGTTTTGCCGCACGTGCGTATCGCGCAGGTTCGGGCCCCCGTTCTGTTGCTGCTCTACCATCTCTTTCTGGATCGCCTCCTTCTGCTCTACCTCCGCCTGAATACGCGTTATCAAAATGAAAAATCCCCACTCCCCATGTCAATAAAACGGAAATCTGTGATGCGGGATTTGCGTACACAAATCAGATCTGTCTTGCAGTAGAGCACTGCACGCAGATGCTAAGCCTGAGCAGGGGTCTTCTGGTGTAGGCACTTGGCACGGCAGACGTCTGCCCCGTAGGCCTTACAGTATTACAAATCGCCTCTATAACGCGGCGGACTCTCCGGATTTGCATTCTTGCAAGACAGACAGGATCTGTGGCCACAAATCTGCATCACAAATTTTCAGAAGGCTGCGTTCTTAATATGGGGAGGGAAGATCTTCCGCTTGAATACGCGTTTCCAGATATTTGTTCTCTAGCACCGTGGTCCGAAATGTTTTTTGCACTTTGCTGATCTCGCTCATCTGGTTCTCCACGAGCGACTGGAAGTTTTGCTTCATCGATTCCAAATTTTCACACGCGAGCAGCAATTCCTTGCGTTGCTTTTCCGCCTCGTCCTCTAACAGAACGGTTGACTCCGTTTGAATGCCGATCGATTGGAACTCCTTCTTGAACACCGCAGCGGCCTCTTGCTCTTCCCGCTTCTTCCTCTCCTCGGGCGTTTCCTTGTCCTTGTTCAAAAACTTCTCCCGGTTGTAGTTCGTGATGTAGCGAATTCGTGGTAGATAGCGGTTGATGATCCGTAAATCCTCGAGAAACAAATTCACCCGCTTGATGTGACTGTTCAACCGCTTGACCTCCTTTTCCCGCACGGAGAAAGGACTGAAGCCGCCGGCTTTACTTTGCCCGCCCCGACTGTTATGCAACAAGCCAGCAGGATCGGCACCCGCGGAAAATCTTCGGTGGTCGGTACCTTGCTTGTCGTTCAGTCGAAGCTGATGCCTCTGCGCGAGCGACGGCTGCTCGTACTCCAAGCGGCCGGTGCTCGCTAAACTTGGATCGTCGTAGAAGTCGTCGAGCAGTGGGTGGCTACCTTTCAGCGACGACACAGCCCCTCCCAACGCTGCGCTGCCCGCGGCTCCGGAGGAGGAACTACTCCCGGTGGTGGAGGAACTCCCGCCGATCCCGGCCCCGGAAGGAGAGTTGTTGGTGTTGGTCCCCATGTTGCTTTTCGACACGGTGGATAGCACCAGTTTCTCTACCGCCTGCCACTGTGGCACGGAAATTTTCTCGAACTCGTTTACCACGTTCCAGGTGACGAGATACAGTGCGTGCGGGGAGATGCTCCGGCACTTCACGCACGCGTGTAACGCCGCCTCGATGTAGTCCTCAAAAAAACACAACTTGAACTGGAAGGACTGATTCTGTTTGCTGTCCGAAATCTGCAGCGAGGAAGAGTTATGCAGCAGCGACGCCGCATTCCCACTCGCGACCGCACCAGCACTGAAGCTAGTCGTCGGATATAACCCTTTGTGGTGATGCCCCGCCCCTCCTCCCGCCCCGAAAGCGTGATGCAGGTGCAGCTGCTTTTGGTGGTAAGCCGTCGAAAGGGCGTTGTACCCCTGGGCGGCACTTTGGACGTAGCCATACGTGCGGTCCAGGTTTTGTACCACGTGAATGTACACGCACTCTATCACCTCGGGACACTCGTCGAGCTGAGAGATTTTGTTGTTTCAGACTTGTTTAATCAAACCTGTGATGCATAGAATGTACCACAGAAGTGTTTGTCTTGCCGTTTATGTTCCCTATAGGAAATGCACGCATGGCAAGTTTCGCCTATTTCTTTTGACATGTGTAACGCGATCGCGAACTTGTGATGCAGAACCTACTATACAGATCTCTATCTTCGTTTCAGAGCCCATGCGCATAGGAATCAAAGTTGTTCTCATCGCTGCACCCCAGCCGCTGCAAAAAATCGCAGCAACTGGCGTGAGGACAAACTTGTGATGCATAGAATGAATCACAGAAGTGTTTGTCTTGCTAGTACACATGCTAGACACTGGATATCTTCTAGTAGTTGCGAACTTGTGATGCAAAACGTACTATACAAATCTCTATTGTTTCAGAGCCCATGCGCGTAGGAATCAAAGTTGTTCTCATCGCTACACCCCAGCCGCCGCAAGAAATCGCAGCAACTGGCGTCAGGACTCAAACCTTTTACTAAATCTTCGGGTCATCATGCGATAATCTTGTTTACACTGTTGTCTGCTCTAGTGTGTCAACTTCTCAAGAGGATCTTCTTCATGTATCAGCATGTGTACAGTACATGCTTGTTTTTCCTGATCGACATGAATTTTCGGGCGGAACTACCGCGGGCTGGATCTCTATTCTTTCAAAACGGCATCATATTAAAGTAAGATCTCACTCGAATACCTTCATCGACAAAAAGATGAAAATACAACGCCTGCTCTAAAGACCAAAACTCCTATACCATTTTCGTGGCCGTGTAGTAGTCCGCTTGGCCATTGTCGCCGATAAAGATGTATGCATTGCCAAGATGTCTGGGTCGGGAAACTTGTGTTGCTGATACTTGCATTGCAAACTTGCTGCTTGTACGGCATAGCAGCACGACAAATTATCCTCGGCTTATTTTTGCGGTTCAAGTTTATTCGTGTTTAGCATGACAAGCTGACTTCCAGCACGACAAAAAAAATTGTCAATCGTATTCATGCATCACAGACCTTGTTGTCCTTGAGGTCTTGCAATACAAATCCAGACCCAGACATATTTGCAATGCATAAGATGAATTTGAATTCCGGGTAGAGCGATTGGTATTCGACAAAGTTCGCAAACTTTTTGTCCCCCAGTGGCCCGTAATCCCCGCTCATGATGAACTGCGTCGCTGTCACGATCCCGCCGGGCAGCAGCGCCGGCATGCAGTGCAACCCGTTTTCCATCCGCATCATTTTGGAAAACGAGGAAAACAGCCCCGACTCCACGTAGTCCGAGACAATGTGCGGCCGAGCGGAAAAGCCCACCAAATGGCCGAAATTCCCGCCGCAGTCCAGGTTTTCGGTCTGCTTTATCGTGAGGAAGAATCCCCCCTCCCCATATCAAAGTGGCAATCTGTGTTGCGGGATTTGTGTACACAAATCAGCTTTGTCTTGCAGTATAGAAGTGCAGGCAGATAAAAAGCCTGGAAGGGGCTGGCTAGAGGTGGGCGCTCAGCATGGCAGACGTCTGCCCTGTTGGTGCAGCAGCATTACAAATCGCCTGCGTAAAGCGGCGAAAGCTCTGGCTTTGCTCTCTTGCAAGACAGACCTGATTAGTGACCACAAATCAGCATCACAAATTTTCAAAAGGATGCCTTTTCAATATGGGGAGGGGGATTTTTCCTTTCAATATGCTTCCGTAATTGCTCCGTCGTGCTGTCGTTCTCGTTTTGGTCGCTTTCTGATTCCTCTTCCGAGGAACTCAAGCCGCTGAGCTCCGAATCTGACAGCTCGCTGTCGTGGTCGTTTTCCGACGAAAACAGTTCGTCATCCGCCATCGCGTGCTTATCCGATACGGGGCTGCTAGGGGGGGAAATCGGGATGTTATCGTCGACAAGAACGGCAGCTGGTGTGCCACTGTCCGGAAGATGAGGACCTAGAAGATGGCCTTCTTGTTGCTCCAAAACTGCTGTTGCGACCGACGCAGCACTACTGGCGCTACTGTCTGTTTCCTTCTGCGATAATGAAGATCCTGGCTCTACTGCTTGCGCATTTATTCCGCCCTGTGGCGTTTCCCCTGGTCGTGTGGTTTTCATCGACACAGGACCGTCTTGCACACCGCTCTCGCCTGCGGAAGACTCTGCGGAGGTCAGGAAGGCAGTGGACTCTGGTGGAAGACTCTGCTCTCCACCCGCTGACGAGGTCGTGGGTGCCGCCGAAAACATCTCGGTCGGCGGAATGGATTTCAGCTCGTCGTTGTTATCAGACGTAGACTCTTTCGCGGACAAAAGCGGCTCGTTCTCCGAGGAAAGGTCGACTGCCCCTTGATGTGCGGCCACCCCGGTAGTGGGGTCTTGGTCTGCCAAGGTAGAAGTCGCGCCTGCTAACAGAGCGGTTGACTTCGTGGGCGAAGATGCGCCGCTCAATATTCCTGCTTCTCGTGTGTTCCCTGCGACTGCTACCGGCTGGTTCAGTTCCTGCTGGCCGCCTGGTGTTGCAGGTCCGGCAGCTCCCGAAGAAAACGTACTTTCTTGATGTCCATTCTGTGTAGATTGGTTTCCTACGATACTCGGCTCGCCAGCACCAGAACCGGTCAGATATATATTTGCCGCGGTCAGTGGCTCGCCCACTGCGGCAGTTACTTTCTCAAAACTAGACACTGCCGACGTTGTTGTGAGATTCAAGTGTGAGCCATCGGACGAAACGCCGGTGTTGATACTGCTACTGGACTATGGATTGCAAATATGTCTGGGTCTGGAAGACGAAGATTCTGAGACTTGTCATGCACGTTTTGCATGAGCCATGAGGTCTCTGACAATGCGAGACCTAGCATGACAGATTCTTTGAGGTCACTATCATGCCTTTCCTGCATGAGAAACTCCCTCTGAATTTGGTCAAAAGTGGACAGCCTTTGGTTCTCACGCAACACAAATTTTTACACCATTCAGATTTAGCATGACAAGTCTTGATCTTCCAGACCCAGACATTTTTACATTTGATATGGACGCGGATGAGACCACGCCGGTGGTGTTGGCAGCCGTCGAGGGTATCATGAGAAAAAAGTGTTACAGTTACACATTTGTTGGAGTTTCTGCATCACAAATTTTCTCTGTATAGCAGAGAAAACTTGTAATGCGAAGATCATAAGGGAAAACAGGAAGGAAACGAGGCCCCCAAGCATTTCCTGCATGAGAGAGGTTGTCTGTGTTGCCGGTCTTGCATAGACTATGTGTGTAACTGTAACACTTTTTTCTTGCGATAGAGGGGGCGTTGTCCTTACTGCTATCCTGCTGCTGGCTGCTGCTCTTCTTCAAGTCTGTGATCTGGGTACTATTAACCGCAGTGCCCCCAGCACTCGGCGCTTTATTTCCTTGTTGTAGCTGTTTGCTCTGAGCACCGGGCAGCTTCGTAACGCCGCCCTTACCCGCCAGTGGCGACCCGCTGCTATTGGAAGAAAAAAACGAGCTGGTAAACTGGGGGTAATTTTCCCGCCACTTCGAGGTCAGCATGGGTGTGCAGCGGTTGGCCAGGGCCGAGGGACACCGCATCCACCATTTGTCCACCCGGTACTGCTCCACTTCGGGCGCATCGTAGTGCTCCAGAACGCGGTAAAACGTGGTAACCCCGGGGTAAATCTGTTTCCGCGGGTACCTCTTGTCCACGCCCGCGATGTGGTTGCCGCCGGAACAGTAGAGCGTATCGTCGATATCGGTCAAGATCTTCAGCCACTGGTGTCTGGCAGAGAGCCCCTGAAAGGTCGGGGACATGTTCAGAAACCCGGCCAGGTCCAGGTCGGCGCCCAGGTAGTGCTGCGCATCCTCGCCGATGGAAGAGAGAGAGGGGGGTTGGGAAATGAGGGTGCTGTTGTTCGCGGCAGTTGTTGGCGGTGCTCCAGGTAGTTGTAAACCTCCCGGGTGGCCTTGCATACCACCAGTAGACGAATTGTTCATCATCGGTGGGTTTAACCCGCCTGCGAGCTTTCTTTTCAGAACACTATCGGTGGAAGAAGATGGTGGTCCCACATTTGTTCCTGTTGCGCTGATAGTGTTGTTCCCGATAGAGGTAGTGGTCCCAATTGTGCCACTCCCGATTTGGTCGTGCGGCTCCGAGGTGCTACCCGACGTAATGTCGTTGTGTTTCGAGGTTCCGGACGCGTTGTGAATTGTCGACGTTGTGCTCGCATCGCTATCCGGTTCCCGATCGTGCAAAAAGGAAGTTGGCCCGCCGGGGGCACCGCCAAGCTGCACCTGCTGGTGGTAGCCAAACTTCATCTTGTTCATGCCCAGAGTTGTTGTGCTGTTTGGATGTTGGTGGTGGAAGGGGGAACGAAGCTTGTGATTCCCCACAGAGCCAATATAACTTGCTCAGGTGTTACAATCTCAAGCGTTGCAATAGAATATGGAAATCTGTGATGCAGGAAGTGCATGATCACCGTAGTCCCAGCATCGGTTTGCGCATGACAAGTTGCGGCACCCAGAACCCCATAAATATCCGGCGAAATTTGTATTGCGAAAGGCGCAACTCTACACACGTTCCTCATGCTCTTCATGTAAGACAAAATCCAGACTCTATTGTAACGTTTGAGATTGTAACGGTTCAGCAGGTCATAGCCAAAAGCCGGACCATTTTGCTGGTCTGAGGACAGAATCCCGTCCTCCGATGGCGTTCGGGATCTCGTCGGGGTCTGCATCCGGAAATTAGAGGCACCTCCAGCAGTAGAAGACACTATACCCCCCCGGTTCAGCATGGATTGCGGATTCGTCATTAGCGTGGATTTATCAAATGCAAAAATGTCTGTGTCTGGAAGAATGCAAGTTTGTCATGCTTGTCTGGCATGACTCGAGAATCTGTTATGTTGCAGAGGCACGAAAAGGCCCTCTTACCTGTCACGCAAAGACGCAGTTTGCCATGCGGAATACGTAAGACATGCCAGCCAAAAAATTTGTTATGCATAGCTGCGTAATATTGCAGTACGTCTATCATTCACTTTTAGCATTACAAGTTTCCAGACCCAGACATATTTGCATTTGATACGATTGGAATTGCGGTGAAAATTCCTGCAAAGCGTGGTTTGAACTCTCCTTTTTGTTCAGTAAATACCTCAAATGGAGATCCCGGCCGATCAAGCGGGTGTAAACCTGCAACGTGGCTTATGACAGTGCACAACTCCTCCCTCCCCCTCATTTGTCATGCAAAAACCCAAATCCAGTTGCTACCTTGTGGCACCGCGTGCATGACAAATTCCGGAAATCCAAACAGTGCTACAGTTGGCGCATGAACTTGTCGTGCACAGGGTCCACCTGCACTGGTGTTTGTAATGCTGTTGATACCATGCAAATGAGAGGGAGGGGGAGTTGTGCACTGTCATATCGCCTGCTGAAGTATGTGCTTCTGGACTTGATTCCGTTTCCCGTAGCTCAAGTCGGAAAAAACCAGTTTCCAAAACCCGTGTACCGAGCCTTTGGAATCGGTCATGGATTTCAAATTCGTCAAGTCGTCTCCCAGTGTGTTCAACACAATCCGGGTGACCGCCTCCTCGGCTTCGGGCGAGCAGGAAAATTTCAAAACCTGCAGTGCGTTGATGATGAGAACTCTCGATCTGACCGTCAGTTCGTCGACCGCGTCGAAGCAGAGAAATTTTATCAGCTGCGTCCTGGACCCACCGGTGTTGCTGCCCCTAGAAGTAGATCCACTCATGGCCGTCTGGTGTTTCTGCCCGAAACTCCCGCTGACCACACTGCTATGTCCAGGATGATGATGAACCCCGACGATGCTTGGCACGACGGAATACCGCTTGTTGTTGTTTTCCTTCGCAGTATAGAACCAGGAGAAAATGTTGAAAAAGCTAGGAACAGAGAAGTTCATGCTGGTATCGTCGTGCAACCGGTCCAACAGAATTATCAAATGCAAATATGTCTGGGTCTGGGAGAGTGTAAACTTGGCATGCAGATTTTTCATGGCCCATGAGGTCTGAAGTGCGGGACTTAGCATGACAGACTCTGCGAGGTCTCTGCCATGCCTATCCTGCATGAGAAACTCCTCCCCAACTTGGTCGAAAGTGGACAGCTTTTGGCACTCATGCAACACAGATTTTTACATGCTTCAGATTTACCATGACAAGTTACCACCTTCCAGACCGAGACATTTTCGCATTTGATAAAAATCTCCAAGTCGCAATTTTGCACCAAGGCGTTGAAGGTATCCCCCTTTCCCAGTAGCAATTTCTCGTGTTCGTCCACAAAAATCTGCCGGATCTTGTTTTCCTGCTCGCGCTTCTTGTCCTTTCGGGAAGAGGGGAGAAACGGCGCGATCAGCTTATCAGATAGAAAGAACGACGCGAAGTAGCTCACCTTGCTACTTTTGAAATAGTCCCGCTCGGTCAATAACCGTTGGATTTCCGCGGTGAGATTTTTCACTTCCTGCGACGGCGTCGCGAGCCGGGTCGACCGGATCGACTGCGCGTGTTTTAACAGGCTGCTTTCCCGCATGATCGAGGCATAGGAGAAAACGATGATAGGGATCAGGAGCAGCATGAACAGGACAATCGCCGGATGATTCAGCATGGAATCCGAATTAATCGGCGAGTCCGGCGGCACGAAGAAGGTTACCTGGATTATCCACAATGATGTTCACAATCACAACACTGACTACGCGTGTATCAAAGAGTTTTGGTAGTTTCTTCCGTTGGGAATGACATGAATGTTCGCTCTATTGCATGACAGAATCAACCTTCAACTGATCATCATGATGTTTCTACTTCAATACTCATACATAGATACCAGTATTATGTATGCACTGCAAAAGTATCGCACTCGTAGTATTGCAATACAAATTAGCTCAGCATGACAAATGGAATTTGTCATGCTGATATAGCTTGAAAAAGAAATTTGTAATGCATAACTGCAACTCGTACGAGTACGATACTTTTGCAGTGCATATCATGACGCCGAGTGCAATCTGCGGTCCCTCGTCCAGTGTCGACCGAAAGTCCTTCATGGACAGCAACGCCCGTCTTAGAAACCGCAAGAAATGCCGCCGCTTTTTGTTCCGGGAGTCTTCCATCTGCCGCGCTACAATCGCGATCGTGGTCTCCTCGGCGAACAGGTAAATTAACCCCATGAGCAACGTCGCGAGTAAGAAACTGGTGAAGAGCGTCATGTAGATAAACCCGAGCGTGATGAAGATCGAAATGCTCGCGAAGAAACAGAACACGAAAACCCGCACCGCCGACAACGCCCTCGCGGTCCCGTGGTGCTGCCACTTCTGGATGTTCTCCACAGAACTCTGCCAGGCCGCCGTGGCGGCGTTGCGGGAGAAGGACGAGGAGGAGGAGGAGTTTTTAGCTGATGATGTTCCCTGATCACTTGTCGTCGACTTCGCCGAAGCGTGAGACCCTGTGCTCTCCAAAGAATCGCGGATATTGGCATTCTTATTGCCCCCGGTCTTCTTCTTTTTCGACGTTGAGGATTTATTGTTTGCGCTCTTGCCTGTCGTGGTAGTACGACTTGTAGTTCCCCCGACCGCGCCATCGTGATCGGCGGTTTTAGAAGTGCTCGCCGCGGCGCTATGGTCCTTTGTAGCTGTTCCTGTTCCAACACCTCCCAGTCCCGCATTCTTGTCCCGGTAGTTGTTCCTCTCCTTATTACTCGACCTGATCCCTGTCCTCTCCTTCGTGGCAGATGCAGCGAGCCGCGTCTTCTTCGGGACTAGACCTCCATCCATAATATGCTCGCCGACTGTCCCAGTTGCACCACCTGCTTCGTTGCTCATGCCGGAGCTTCTAGTTCCACTTGGGTCCGACTGCCGTCGGGTCCGCATATTCACGACCGGCATGGTCATCCCGATACCACCAGGATCGGGACCTCCCGGGCCTCCTCCTGCGCCCCGGTTGGACGAGGACATTTGTTCAGCAGAAAAGACCACAAATTTCTACATTTTCACTGTCGAAAAGTACGTACACACACGCTCTGTGCAACAACAAGATTTGCGGTCGGATGACAAACCTGTGTTGCACAGAGCCAGGCGGTTTTAGTCGTACAAAATGAGGACCTGTTGTGCTTTTGCAGTTGTAGTTCGTGATCTTTGTTTTTTTTTCAACTATCTTTGGGAAAACTTCTCACACAATAATACGACTTTGGGTAAAAAGTACAGCGATGTTATGGGTAGCCGAACTTTGTCACGGGGTAGATACTTTTGAGGGTATTATGGCTTTTCAGTAGAAGGTTCTGAATTCACTGCAAAAAAGTGAAGTCGTGAGAACGAATTGAAGTAAGGACCACAAGGCCGGGGCACAACAGGAGCTGAAGCCGGTGTCACCCGAAGCTTTTTTACCAGGACAGAATGGTGTCTCCGATAATTTTCTCCGTGCTTTGATATCTCAGATCCTTTTTTGGGGAACGAACAATTTTTTCTTCTGTTTTTATAATCAAACACTGCGCAGAGGCTATCCATTCCAGCGCCGGTGGACACGCGCCTCCTCTTGGCAGAAGCTCATATTGTCCTCAATGGATTAAGGAGTTGCGCACTAGGGACTGAAAATACCGAATTGGTACTGCCAAAAGTGGCAGTACTATACTTACTATCTGTATTGTGCTTATTGCTTATTGTCAAAATCTGAAAAAATTCGTGAAAATCTGCAACTGGAAAAGCTGTCCAGATGAAAAGTGCTCACCGATATTAAGAAAGACAATTGCTAGACGTGGTCGAGCCTAGCCACTACAGTAGTGGTGGAGGAACACAATTACTCACTTCCACCGAAAAAGCCCAGCGTTCAAACTGTTTCCGTCGTGTCGTGCATCCGCAAGTTATATTTCCGCTTCAGCCCTACAGCCGAAATCGCACTTAGTGTACAGATATGAATTTTTCAACATCGTCCCTCGCGGCATCAAAGGGATTGTTGTCACAGTAAAGGTTTTTACAGCAAAAAGCGTTTTTCACGGGCCCGAATCCTAATGTTCTTCTTATCTTACATTCCTAGAGTGCTCAAATCTGCATCTTTATTGCAATGTCAATCCTACAAATGGTCTTATTTTCTGGGAAACTTATTTGCCGAACCTAATTTTGACGTCGAAGTTCCGGTGTTCTGTAGTTAAGAACCTGATGTAAAAATCTAGCTGCTAATTTTGACAAAGCAAAGCTGATATCATGGTTTGCATCATTTTCGCACACAGCTGCACGGCCGGACACGACACGAAGTCCGCTTAAAAATATTCTCCTTCCTTTACTAACTCCTCTTTCCCTGTGGCGACTGCACGGCGAAGAGCCCGCTGCTCTTACTCGTCCCGTTTCCGCTCGTACTCGCCAAAGCAGAACCTCCGCCAGCTTGCTGCTCTTTCAGCAACAGATTCTTGTTTTTCTTGCGGGTTTTCCGCTCGCGGCTGGGGAGCGGTATCACAAAGTCAGAAAGTGGTGTCTGGCTGTCTTGTATTATATACTGCATGACAACTTTCCTCAGCATGAGAAATGGAATTTGCAATGCCGATTTACCTCGAGAAAGAAATTTGTAGTGCATGACTCCGATTACACCCTTTTTTCTCTTGATACGCTCCACGAAGTCTTGGTCCATATTCGACTGCAGGAAATCCATCATCTGATGTAGTTTTGATGTTTTTTTCACATTCGCATTCATTTCCGCATGACAGAGTGCGGTGAGTATGCCTCCCACGCATGACAAAATCCCACAAAACGCGACAACTTCGTCTTCGTCATTGCTCATGAACGATGCGCATGACAAACAGCATCGCGCGCAATAGTTTTGAGCCATTTCGGGCCGCCGACCGGTGAGCAGACAGGAGTCGGTGGCCTGGCTCTGCTGCGGGCGCACGGGCGAACCGCGTACCAACGGCAGCAGACCAAGGCTGCCAAGCCTGCGCTGCACCTGACTTCTCAAGGCAACGCCCGGTCTACTATACGAAAACATCGACCGCCCTAGGTCGCCAGAATAGGGGTCGCTAAAAACACAAATTCGGGCAAATCCCAGAAGCAACAACTTCTGTACTACCCAAGGTCGACATGCATGAGCCTTTGACTACCTAAGTAACCCGTAGGCGAAATAGTTTTTAGCCGTTTCGGGCCCCCGGCCGGCCAGGAGGGATGGGAGTCGCCGTGGAACAGCGCCTTCACATTCATTCCCGCATGACAAAGTGCCGTGAGTATGCCTCTCACGCATGACAAAATCCCCGTCTTCGTCATTGCTCATGCACGATGCGCATGACAAACAAAACCCACGCCAATAGTTTTTAGCCGTTTCGGGCCCCCGGCCGGCCAGGAGGGATGGGAGTCGCCATGGAACAGCGCCTGCGACGCGAGCACTGCTTGCGCCCCGGCCTAAGATAAAGATCAGCGCGAATCCCGGGTAGCCAGAATAGGGCTCGCTAAACACTGCATTCGGGGAAAAATGTTGGAACCATGTCCGACCACAACACAACTTTGTCATGCAACTACACACTGAAAAAACATGTTATTTTCATCATGACTAGCCAAAAATGAAAAATCCTGATTTTAATACGTCTTGCTCGTTTCGGATGTGCGATTGGGGCTGCTGCGCCGCTACGGCAGGTGTCCTCATTGTTGGATTCTGCATTATATTCTGTTCCGCCAGACCTCCGCCTTGGACGGCTGCGAACCTGTTCTCCGTGGCCCTCGAAGTAGTTCCAGTAGTTGCACTATCTCCTGCAGGTCGTGGTGGTCCACCTCCACGCTGCGCGGCAAATTGTTCTTCGGTATTGCTGCTATTATCGCCATAATTTGCATTCCCATCTTCAAACGAAGACGACAGCGTCGCCGGATCCTGATCGGTCTCCACCCCGACCAGATCTCCCTCCATTTCTCCGAAGGTAGTGTTACTGTGACCACCGGGAAACAGCTCGATAAATCCGTTGTCGTTCATAACCGCTGGGTATGACAGTGCACTACAACTCCCCCTCGCCCTCATTTGTAATGCAAGATCCGAAATCCAGTTGCTGCCTTGTAGCACTCTTTGCATGACAAATTCTGGAAGCCCAAACAGTATTACAGTCGGAGCGTGATTTTGTCATGCTCAGTCTGCACGTATCTTGGTGTTTGTATTGCTGTTCATGACAAACAAATGAGGGGAGGGGGAGTTGTGCAATCTCGTACTGGGAACACATTACTCTCCCCGGTGAAGTTGTCCTCCTCCCCCGGTCCGACTCCGATCACTTCCGACTCCAATAAATTCGCGCTTGCATTAATCGCCTCGTGCCGTTCGTCCTGCGACCGAACCGAGATCGCTGTGCCGGCCCGGCTGGTGGAGAAGGGAATGTTGGAAAACAATCCGTTGTAACTCCCATTCACATAATTCGAGTTTGTCCAATTGGAATACTGTGTGGACGAAGGGCTGTTGCTCGACGTCCACATCCGGGCCTGTTTCCGTTATCCTGGGTAAAAACGTACCCACGACACCGTAGCTGTCATGCAAATCTGCATGCTCAGAATGTTTCTCATGCGGAGCCGCATGAGGAGCGTTTTCTAGTCGTTTTTCGGAATTTGTTATGCTTCGGCCAGGATCAATAAGCTAGGGCTGTGACGCTGCTGAACTAGCTTAACAGGACTACACCACGAAGCCAAACTTGTCATGCGCAACAGCCAAAGCTTGCTGATTTGTCTTGCAGATTTCCCAACCTGACTATGGTTGCAGTGGGGACGTTTTTACATATGATATCCGTTTCCAAATGTTCTGCTCCGACTCCGACATCAAGTCTGGGTTCACCTGCTTCACCGGACTCTGCCGCTCTTGTAGCTGTATCGCGGAAATCTGCACCAGGGATTTCTTCTTTTTCTTTTTCGGCGACTGGTTGTGCTGTTCCTGCAGTTGTATGAATTGCAAAAGTATCGCAGTAGTAGTAAAATTGCATTACAAATTTTACCTCAGCATGATGACAAATGGAATTTGTCATGCTGTTTTACCTTGGGATGGAGATTTGTAATGCATATATTGCAATTATTACAAGTACGATACTTTTGGTGCACTGGATAAGTTGCAGCTTCTGCAGCGCGTTCAACGCCTGTTGCTCCGTGATCGGGACGCTGTTCGGGTCGTTGTACGCGTGGCTCGAATTCGTGTTTGTCGTTCTCGGCGAGTACCGATGATCCCTGGTGTTTTGATTTTGTTCCTGCTGTCTCTGCAACGTCGTTATCCCCGCCTGTTGCACGATCGGCGGGAGCTTGTTTTGCTGCTGCTGCAACTGCTGCATCACCCGCATGTTCGGCGACCGAGATCGGCTGTTTTCTGATCTTCGGTTCATCGCGACGGAATGCTCAAGAGCCAGCTCGATGGTCTGCTTGTGCACCTGAAAAGCGAGGGTGTTATTCGGTGTGGACAGGTTTCTTCGGTCTCCTGGATTTGTTTCAAATCCATTCTCCGCGATAGAACCACCACCCGCACCCGTGTTCGAGGACCGGGAGTTCAATTTGTTCCGTCTTGGGCTGTTACTATTTCCTGTTCCTCGCGTTGGCGACGGAGAATTTAGCATCTGTTGACCCGCCAACACCTGCGCTCGCGTGCTCCGGAGCTTCTGGTCGCGGAGCGTCGTGTTGAGCGGGGACTTTGTCATCAGATTCGGATTTGTCCCCGGTCTCGACTGGAACAAAGGTGAGTTGCTCCGCGTTCTGTCGAAAGCTAGGAGTTGTTCTCCTGTGTTCGTCCGGCTTCTACCTCCACCGGGTGCTAGCATGAAAAAATCCGTCCCGTCGGTAGCCGAGTTGATGTTCAAGGTTCTTTCAAAATTCTTATCCACCACCGTTTTCGCCGGAGCGGTCCCTGTCCGTCTACCCCCAGTGATTGGACCTTGTTGGTTCAAGCTTGTAGCCCCGGCTTGCATCCCGCCATTCGCCGTGCTGATACCACGAAAGGAGCTCCGCCCGAGAGCCCTCCGGGCCGCTGGGCTGGCTAACCTCTGCGCCGCTGTTCCCGCGTTCGCGAAAATTTGCGTTTTTGTCGTCCGTGCGGAATCCAAGAATTGTGTGCTGTGAGTGGAATTCTGCGTGCTCGCATGGTGCATCTGGTTCGCACTGTTGTTATATTCCCGGGAGTAATACGGTCCTTCCTGTGAATTCTCGCCAAACACGTGGCTGTCGTGCAAATCCATGCTGTCTTGCACAGAGCTGTTCGTAAAATGGTCCTCCTGCGAAGCCGTTGAAGCCTGGTGCTTTTTCGGACTCCGACTGCTGCCATGCTCCCGAGTCATACCGGCTTTTGGCGAGATCACCACCCCAGTCGGACTGTGCACGGAAATTTTCCGACCCTTCATGGGGTTTTGCTGCGCAAGAACATTCGCAGCCGGAAGCACACCCGAAGTGGAATTCGTCGGGAACTCAAACACGGATAGCAACGAGCCGTTTTTGTCGTTCAAATGGATCGAAGAGTGCGTCTTGTCCAACGACCCCGCAGGCGCGCCGCCATGCTGACTCCCCATGTAGACGCTGGTCACGATGGAGGAAACCAAGTTGTCCATATCGTTGTTTTCCGCTTGGTTATTTTCCGATAACTTTTTCCACTTCGAGCCCTCTAAAGCTTTGACTACATCCACCTGCGTCGTGGCGAACTTCGCTGACTCGTCGTGTTCCCGCAGCATAGACATGTTGTTCACCTTTCCGGCCGCCAGGGTGGTGCTCTGCTCGTCGGGCAGGATAATCATCGAAGAGTTCCCGCCGGTGGAGAGTTGCTCCTTGGAAAGCACAGCTTGAGTTGTAGAATTGGCTGGAACAGTAGGGAACTGGTGTGAACCAAGACCTTCACCTTCTGCCTTTTCTTTACTTGTAGAAGTCGTCCTTGTATTTTTCGTCGCGGCTTTGTTCTTCAATTTCTCAGCCAAATCTTTCTGCAAGGACTCCGCGGGGTCGACCTCTCTAACCGGTTTCACCTTCTTCGACCCAAGAACTTTCTGCTTGTTTTTCGGCGACACCGACTCCTGTTTTGCAACCGCTTTTGCGTAACTCGTCATATCTTTCGCAGGTAGAACTTCCACCTTCGCCTTTCTCGCTTGCAAGCCCGGGATGTCGATTACTAGAGATTCTTCGTGGTTTTTCCGCCGATTCCAGGTGTAGGATGCCTTCAGTAACGGTTGCCCCCGACCAGCTGTGTGAGTGTTGTTGCTGTAGTTGTCCCCGCTTTTCTTTTTTTTCGACGTCCCGCGATTAATACCTTTCGTGTTGAAATTATTCACGTTCTGCTTGGAACTACCGTAACCAGAGGAGGTTGCGTAATTCGCATCCACAAAGTCTTTCCCCTCGTCCTCATCTAACCACAAGGATTTTTCATGCTCGTCAAACCAGGGCGTTTTCTGGTTCAAGGCCTGCAAATTATCTCCCCGCCGGTAGGTCGCATCGGGCAAGCTAGTCGGTAAACCGGTGGAATACGGGTTGTGCAGTAGTCTCCGCTGCACAATCTTGCTCATGGGGGAGAGGTGGACCGGGTACGGTTTTCCGGTGCTCGGATTCACCTGCTGGTTGATCAAACTGGTTGTTTGGAGATGTTGCAACTGTTGTTGCTGCTGCTGTTGCTGCAACTGCGCATTGTAAAGTTGCTGTGCGAAGGGGGAGGGATTTCCAGTGCCGTTTCCTGGGAGAAGAGGATCGCCTGGAGCAGGCCCAGCACCCGGAACTATTGCACCTCTTCCCGCTTGGTCTTGCAATTGCGCATGAGAAAGAGCTTGTGGTCCATCCTGCTCCTTACTGGTCGTTCCCGCAGCGCCAGCAACTGGACTTTGCTCCAACCACTTGTCCAATTTGTTCTTTTGCAAAACCGTGGAGTTTTTCTTCATCTTCAGATACTGTTCGAATTTTGCGTCCTCCGAATCTGCTTCCGCGACCTGATCATTGTTCCCGTCGTCAAAAATCTCCCGTCGCGTCGCATCGACAGCGGCGCGGGTGAATTTTTTCGCACCGGCTAGGTAGTGCGGAACCGGAGCAGAAGCTATGGCTGGAGTCTGCTGAAGTGAAGATCCTGGGGCACCAGCAGCTCCCGGGGCCATAGAGTGGTTGAAAAAGTTACTCCCCGTCGTGTTGGCACTTTGCAGAGCGCGGAGCTCCGCTTCTTCCTGCGCGGTCAAATCCTGTTTCAGCAACTGCTGCGTCACTGGACTCGTCAACTGCTGCGGCACTGGTTCGTACACAGCGATGTTTGCAGGATTTTCGTTGAAATCCACGGGTGAGTTTTGTCCCTCCTGCGCAGAAGAGTTATCCACCCCAACTCCCGAGTAGGAATTGTCATCTGCGGATGTTCCACCACCTGGGTTGATGTTTACCCCGTGGCACACTTCGTCTTCCAGAATCTGCCGCCCGGACTTGTCATGGAATCGGATGCTGTTCGGCGGTGTGATCCCGTCGCTTAACTTCTTTGTAGCATTATGTCCTTTCGCACCACCACCAGGAACGATATTTTTCAACGATAAATTGCCAGTTCCGGCGCTAGACCCAGTGGTTCCTGCAGTTGACTCTCTGGTATTTGGTTTGGTGGAAACGGAATTTGGCGGCGACAAACTGCGCACTCTACGATCACCGTTGTTGTTCCCGATCGCCGTACTTACCTTCGAGGAATTGTTTGTATGCGAAGTGGTGATCAATCTCATCGGCACGCCCGATTTCGTCGCCGTGTTACTCGGGACGAAATCCGCGGTAGCGGCTCGTGGATTATTCCTCATCGCCCCAACTGCCGTGCTCGGAACTGTATGCATTGAACAAGCATCGCACTCGTACTAATTGCAGTACAGCATGACACGTCTCGTTTCTAATAGCAATACCTATCTCAGCATTACAAATCTCGTTTTTCCTTTTGGAAAAATTTGTAATGGTATTCCTACTAGTACGATATACTTTTGCAATGCATAAATTGCAGAGGAGAACAAAACCCCCGCCGTGCTGGCTCTTTGCTCCATCATTTTTTGCTCCAACACGTGGTCGTGGAGGTTGCTGGAATAAGCACCCCCGTTTTGAAAGAAATTGTACCCATTTGACGATGGCCCAACACCACCGGCCCCATCGCCGATCTGCTCCAGAAAATCGCTTGTCGCGTCCAGCGCTTCCAGAAACCGGCCGACCCGGAGCGTGTGCCGGAACTGCTTCAACTTCGGCCCGCAGTTCATGTTCTCCCTTCTGGATCCGAACATCGCGTGGACTACAACTTTTTCTGGCGAAGCGTATGAATTGCAAAACGATCGTACTAGTAGTAATTGCAATACAAATTCCCTCAGAAATAGAAATGGAATCTGTCATGCGGATTTACCATACGAAAGGAATTTGTATTGCCTAAATGCGATTACTACGAGTACAATACTTTCGCAGAGGATAAGGCCGTTGTGCCAGCAAAATCATCGTTGTCCAACGACCTGGCCCGTTTTCTGCTTGTGGACCGGGTCGACTTTTGGGTGGAAGGTAATAAAGTCGGATCCTCTAGTACTGACGCGCTATCGTGAGTCCCTTTCTCCACCTGCTCTCCCTTGTATTTGATTTCCACCATTAAATTGCTCCGTCTCGGCTTCGCATTCCCGTAGTACCCGGCGGCGGAGAATTTCTGCATCTCCGGCGACACCGACCTTATCAAATGCAAAAGTGTCTGGGTCTGGAAGATTGCGAGATTTGTCATGCTTGTCTGGCATGACCAAAATAAAAGTTTGTGATGCGTGTCCAAGAAGAGACCCTTTTGCCTGTCATGCGAAAACGCAGTTTGTCATGCGAAAAACGCAACACAAAGAAGCGCAGACATTTCTCATGCATGCCTGTGCATTACAGAGCATTCACTATTCCCAACGCAGCATTACAAGTTTCCAGACCCAGACATATTTGCATTTGATAGACCTGGCCCTTTCCCGATTGTTCTCGCTTTGTGGGTACCCGGTTGTCGGGCCGATAGCCGAGGTCGCCAACCCCACCGCGGCTTGCCCGTTCGTCCCAGAAACCGTCAACGCCTTAAGCAACTGCCGTAAAACGTGTCGTGGGATGATGGCGTCCTTGTTCCCGACTAGATTCGCGGGGACGTTGAAGCCCATAGAGTTGGAGAAATGTTTATTCTTCACCGGTTTTGTCTCCCCGAGGAAAAACCCCTCGACGCCAAAATGTTTCGTTTGCTGCGCGAAATACTGCCTCCGCTGCTGAATTCGTTGCTGCTGGATGATTTGTTGCTCAAACTTCTGCCGGGCTTGCTTCACTTGATACAAAATTTCCCGCGCTTTCTTCGGAAACCGTTTCGCCAACGTGTCTAAGTCGAGCAAGTTCATGTGCGAAGAAACACCGGCGGGAGCGAGGGCTGAGGATGTAGTAGTTTTATTTGCGGTGCTTGCTGACGAGAAGTGTTGCTTGTTCACGGTAGTACTATGACTTCCGCCACCAGCATGGAGGTTCGACCCTGTCGTAGAACTACTACTCAGTTGCTGATGCAGACTACTATTCGCAGAAAAGTGGCCCCCGGTTGTCGCACCAGAAAGTTGATTCCTCGCCGTTCCACTTTTCGATGTCCTTGTGTTGACCACGCTCGGCCCGCTCGGTCGGATCGCGTGGTTGGTCAGCCGAAAGGATTTTTTCGTGTGAAAATCCAGATCCGAGTCGTTGAAGCCTAATTTCTGCAGGTTCAGCTTCTCCAAATTCTTCGGGATGTGGGAAACTGTCTTATTCATCATTCCGGCCTGTTGCAATTTCCTTCCCCTCTTCACACCCCCAACGTGCGACGGGAAGTTCGCAGTGGCGAAATCAAAATCAGCCCCGTCTGCCGCAGAATAGTGGTGTTTGTTATATGCCGAGAAGAACGAAGAGCTCGTCGTGTTTGCGGTACTCGGTGGGAACGCCGACCACATCACGGGAAGATTTGATCGTTTCGAAATGCTCTGTTGTTGCTGGAACTGTTGATAGGAAGTCTGATGCGGAGGCTTGACAGAGGAGGAGTGCTGCTGGAGCTGATTCGAGTTCGAAACAGCCCTTCCTCGGTAACCACCTCCGACGTTATCGCTTTGCATGAAGCTCATGCTCTGGTGCAGGTTCGAAAGATCTGCTTGTGGTCCCCCGCCTTGCTGCTGATAGGAAAGATCATCAGGAGAGTGGTCGAAATCAGCAATAAAGCCGGAGTTGTTCAGCATGGAGAAGTCGATATTCCCGCCCGCGTCTAACTCATCTGGTTCGCTCCCAAGCTGCTTTGACAAACTTGATAACCCGTTCCCCGCGGAGATATCTTCGGCGGAGAGCTCCAGGAATAAAGACGATTCCTCTTTGCTGTTACTTTCATGTGGAAGTCCACCTCTTCCGTGCTGTAACAAGTCTAGATTCGTGACATCCGTGTCCTCTCCGTCGGAAGTATCATCCTCTTCATCGTCGCTGATCCTTGCTGCGTTGTCGATGGAATTTGGGTCCAGACTGTCGTGTTTTTTGGATTCCGTGTCGTCTGCTTGATGATGCTTTGAAGGTAGAAAAGCAGCCTTGTATTTTTTTGAAAAAGCAGCTACTTCTTGATTTTTATCGACATCCGTACCACTGCTCGCAGTTCCACCTCCAACTTTGCTATCAATAACCCCGTCAATCTCCAAGGTCGAACAAAGCGAGGGCGGAGGTGGGAAATTGATTTCGTTTTCGTTGGCCGTTAGCCGGCCCGCGGCAGAAGTACTATTGGTCGCTGTATTTGTATTGCTGGACCGCATTTCCCCAGCTGCGCTAGAAGAGGAAGAAGACGACGATCCTGCACCGCTGGCCGAGCTACTGCTACTTGAAGAAGACGATGATGCGCCGCTACTGCTTCCATTCCTCGTGTTCGATCTTGACAGTGTCGAATTCGTTCTGATCGTCCTGTATGCGCTTGATTTGTTCAAATTCGCATTCTGGTTTTGGCTGTTCGCAATCACCTCACTCGTTGGCGGTCGCGTGCCCTCCAGCCCGCCGACGAAATCTCGGCTGCCGATCAACCTGCGAACCTGCTGGTGCTGATTGAACTGCGCGAAGACATCGATGTCGGAGTTGGATAAGTGGTTCTTACTGCTGCTGTTGTTGTTTTCAGAGGAGAGATAACCACCTCCTCCTTGTTTCGAGCTGTTGTGCGAGGATCTAGTCGTGCTTTTCTGTAGTTGTAACGCGGGATTGACCGGCGGTTTCTCGGAAAACGCGCTGCTCCCCACGAGGCTGGCACCTAATCCACCCGACCACTTCACGCTGCCGCCGAGCCTGTGCTCGCCCGTTGAGATTGAGGAATTTTTGTCGGCCATTTTTAGTGTAGTGGAGTCGTGAATTTTCTTCGTGTGAGCTAGGGCTTGTTGCTTTATTTCGCCGAAGATTTCATAGCAGCTCCTATACGGTCGCGCTAGTCATTGTCTACATGTTGTACAAAGTTGGTGACTTTTATTGCAACTTCCTCTTTTTTTACAAAAAACACTACGATCATATTTTTGATGATAGCGTCGGTCAGCAGGTCCAGCAGTTTTCTTGATGAGTAGTAGGCGAGTAGAGAGGCGCTTTTGATAGTCATAATTCCGACCACGAATGAAGCAGGAAACGAGCAAAGCCAGAATTTTCATCTTCCCAACGATGCAAGTAACATTGTTCCACGGCCCTTTTCAACATCTACAACAACGACTGAACTAGAATACTTCTATGCACTTTTGGTCTTCGCGTACGACAAGCGATCACCAGGAAACGATCCAAGAAGCTGACGACCCTGTCTGATCTTTGAGACGAGTTTGCCTTTTTACCTTCACGGATTTGAACTCTTGGCTCTTTTCCGCTTTGACGGCGGCGCTTTGTACCTTGCAGTGGGAGAGCAGAACAACGCTGAACAGAATTTTCTGGAAAACGCCCCTGACTGTAGGACAGACGCAAAGCAGCTGCAGTAGGCGCGCTTGGAGGTCCGTAATTTCATCACGAGTTCTGTCTGAAACGTCACAGTTCGAAAACGAAACTAACGGCACACAGAAGAACTTAGCTTTTTTTCATATTTCAATCATCAAGACGTCCGCAGAGTGGGACCACGAGAGGCCGGCACAGCTCTAGTTCTAGCCCAACAAGAGCAACGAGTACAAGAATGCTACAACAAAAACAAAAAGCCTCCACAAACACCACCTACCACGGTTTCCACACCGCAAGCAAAATTAAGGCTTCAATCCAGTACGCAACAGTAAGTTCCGGTCGAAACACAGCACAGCAAAATCATTCACACCGCAAAAAAGATCCTCACTTCTTCGGACTCACCCTCGGTTTGGGTTTTGGAATAGAAATCGCACCACTGACCGTTTTCAATTCGCCCATAGTTTTCAAAATCTGCTTCTTGTTCCTGACCGCCATCTTGTGCGCGGTCTTGCGTTGAGACTGTTTTTTGATATGTGACCAAGTAGACGAGTTTTGAATGAATCATGAATGTCGCATCAAACTTCAAGTCAGAATCATGTGTAAATACAAGTAGTGACGGTACTATGCATGACAAACTCATCATGATTATCTATGGTTAACAGACCAGAATCTCAACGTTCTTGTCTCAACGTTCATGAGGCCGACGGGCAATCGTCTCAACGATTGCCCGGCGGCCCCAAACAACGCTCGTCGGCAGCGGCGGAGAGGTACGCCAGCCGGCCGGCCGGGGAGGTCGGCCGGCCGGCCAGCGGCGGAGAGGTCGTCGTCGTCGGCCAGGGCAGCCGCCGCCGGCCGGCCGGCCGGCGGCGGCTGCCCTGGCCAGCGACCAGAACCCCAAACCCTAGACCCTAATCCCTAACCTAAACGGTGCCGAAGTTGAGGCGTCGGTGTCAACGTTGGGGCGTTTTGTCTCAACGTTGAGACAAATTGGCGTGGTTGAGATTTTGGTTTGTCAACCATTATCTATCAAAACAACCAGACAATCACATCCTTCGACATTTCAATGCCAGCAAAACTGCTGCTACAAACCTGCATCTCCTGTCTCTTATCCTTCCGTTGGCTGTTCGCGGATTGGATCTCCTTTTTGTCGTAATCAAATTCCTTGTAAATCCACGGGTCCCGCTTCGTCCCGCCACTAGCCGACCTTGCGGCGTTGTCTTCATACGCCGGTAAGGTTGCGACCAAATCGTTCTTCTTCTTCCCGAAATTCGCGTTCAACCGCGGCGGCGGAGAGTTTGTCCGCTGCCGAGCGGGTTTTGGGGGCGGCATTAAGTCGTATTTGTTCAACCACTCTTCCAAAGGTTTCGGCTGAAATGGGATGGCAGGCGGGGCTTGGAGCTGCGTCCAGGATTTATTTTGCCTGCTGTTGATGACACCGGGCATCACACCGGGCTGCTTGCTGTTACCGTCCTGTTGTTCCGCCGCACTGCGCAGGAGTAGACTAGTCGCTTCCACCGGTCCATCGGAGGTTTCGACCGGGTGGTCAGCAGCAGGAGAAGCTCCACTTTTTTCTTCCGCCGTTGGTGTTCCTGCGAGTTTTGCATTTGTTCCTACATTCTGCTTCCTCTTCACGGCAAGCGATGACGACACGGCGCCGGCCGAGGCAGGGGTGGGGATGAACTTCAGCAATTCCGCATATGTTGTAGTAGAATAGGCATTCGTCGGGGCCTGTTTGCCATCCCGCTCCGTCGCAAACCAGTTATCGGAGGAGACGGCGTTTTTGTCCTTCTTCACCACTTTCCGCTCCGTGTAGCACCGCGGCTCGTACACGTTGGAGGGGAGGGTGGAGGTTGGGGGTTTTGTAGTAAAGACTCTTGGTCGAGGACCCCGGGAGGCGGGGGAAACGGACCGGCGGAGCTGGACTGGTGGCATTTTTGCGGTCAGAACTGCTCCGTTCAGCGAAAATGAAACGGCTCAAACAGCTCAAACAACAAACAGTACTCTCGATCTGGCTTACAGGGTGCGCAGTTGATATTGAGACACAAATCGAGTGGCGAGAGGTAAGTGTGCGAAAGCGGGTAGATGCCGAAAGAGAGCGTGATCTGTGTAGCAAATTACTTTGCAACAAAAACATGCCTCGTTTATAATTTGCAACTCTTTCTCTCTGTCATGGTCTCTCATACTCTCAAGCACGGCACATCAGTCCAAGAACTTGACTTCCGTGCAACAGATTGGCTTTTCTCTCTCGTGGCAGTTCAGTGTGTTTGCGAACAGCTTCGTCGAGAAAGAAGTGCGTGCGGAGTTGCGTTGTTCATATCTACGACTAGTTCGGCCGGGCGGATGTAATCGCCCCCGACACTTGCTGGCAGCCGCGCAACCGAGCAAACGCCGCGCGCCAAGTGGTCGCCGCGGCCGCTTTAGCGGCCGGGCCGGTACATGCGCCGGCGCTTCCGGGGGCAGGCTGTGTCTACGTAACTGGCCCCGGGGGGGCTCGTGAGTGCGGGGGGGGGGGGGCCCGGGGGCCGTATAAGACTCGCGAGCGGAGGCTGGCCGCGCTGCCAACACGCCTGGGGCGGTCCGGGGGTAAAAACAGGAGGGCCGGCGGGGCCGGGCCCGGCGAATGGCATGCACGGGGGGAGCCCCCCCGGACGAGGCGGCCGGCGGGCTCGTCGTTGCCGTGATCGTCCTGCAGGGCGCATGGTGTCCGTATCCGCCGGCCGCCGTGCGTGTCTCGGAGATGCGCGCTCATCTCCATCGCGCCGCGCCGCCTGTCCTTGCGGGGCACGAACTCCGACTGCGCGTGCCGAACGGGCCGCTGCCCGGCCCGCCCTGCCTGGGCGCCTCGGGCGAGACGCGCGCGCGCCGGCGCGGCGCCGGAAGCGCGCTACGGCCGCCACACTCGCCAGCCACAGGCCCGCCCGGGGCGCTTTTTGGTAATGGCGCCAGGGCCGCAGCGAGACGAAGGCCCCCGCCGATCGCCGCGAGCTCCCCGAGTGGGGCCCGGGAAACTCTAGCCCCTGCGGCTACATATTTGCAAAGCGTAAGCAATGAATAGACCACAGGCTATCGCTGCGATGCGCACAGTCGCAGTGCCTTTCTTGAAAGCTGGAGCCCTGCCTCTCAGACCGCTCGCTCTCACACACTCATGTCTCTATCTCGCGCTTCCTGCAGCTACGCTTGCAGCCCTGCTTTGCCACTCACAGTAACTTCTCACTCAGACCTCGTTTATTTGTTGAATACCAAATACTTCGGAACAGACAACTCGGAGGGGGCCATGCAGAGGTGCCAGAAACTCCTGGAGCAACGTCTACAACTTGGCCCCGCAAGCGGAATCGCCTACTGCGGATTCGCCTGCAGCCGTCAGTTAAGGGTGCTGACGAACAACCAAATCTGAAGTGAAGTTCAAAAGCTGGAGTGCTCATACGCGGGCGAGCAATCTCCCGGCACGCATGGAACCACATCCACTTGCCGGCAGCTGCGCATACGCGCACCCGGTGTCCCTGCGGATACCACTTGCCGGCAGCGCATAAGCAGCGCCTCGCGGCCGCTGCGGTCCTGCTTGCAGACCGGTGGCCCGGGCCGCGGCCCTTGATGAAGTGGGCTGGAAATACACGCACAAGCGCAGGGCCAAAGCGCGGGCGCACGCGGCGCCGGGTTCCGCCTTGCATACGGCGGCCGGCGGTTCCCGCGCTGCCGCCACAAGCAGGGCGGGGGGGGCAGAGGCCCCGCGAAGAAGTTCCGGGCGGGGTGCAGCCTGTAGGCCGCTGCGGAGCAAAACCCGCGGAGGTCGAGGACTCCGTCATCGACGACATCAGCTCGGGCCGCGCCCGCCGCCCCGGGGCCCGCGCCTGCGGCGAAGGCCGCCCGGACGCCCTAGGCAGCCTCCGCGCTTCCGCATTGCTCCGCTTTGAAATCGGCGCACCTTGCAAGTGGTCGATCTGGGAGGGGGTTGCCATCTGCATGCGGGCGAGGGGCGTCGACATCTTTCCCCGCCTTCCGCGGGGCCCCTCTGCCGCGCGTCAGAAAAGCGCGCCGGCTTGTGGCAGGTCGCGCCGCCGCCTGCTCCTCTAGGCCCTAGCTGGCCGCTAGCTCCAGCATCCAGCCATCCATTCCGCACCACAATCAGATGAGAATAGCAAGGGCAGAGCCAGAGGAACGAGGCAAAACTGGCTTAGTCTGGCACTTCGTTGAATATGAAGCACGGGGGCCGTTCTCTCGGACAGGCAATCTACACAACTGTACCCTTTTCCACTCGCAACTCTCTCACATTAACCTCATGAGGCGTAACACCCTCGCTCTCGTCTCCTATCACTTCTTGCCCTCCTGGTCTTCCCGGTGAAAGTCATCTTGCCCACGCTTTCAAACAGGCCCGGAACAAGAGCGAAGCGGCTTCCCTCAGTTCAGCACACCTAGAGCGCACACAAAGCAGCTTATGGCTTTAGTAGTTCCTTTCAGATGTTTCCATAACGTTAACACTGCTCCTCACTTCGCTCGGCGAAGGTTCTGCAGGTAGAATAGATCGAAAATTTTCGATTCAATACTGCCTGATAGCGGCATGGATGTCAGAAAAATATCCGTAAAAGATCGGAAATAAAATCTGATTCTGCAATTATGGAGATTAGTACAAACAGTAAAACGTAGTAGTAGATCGGAAATTCCGATGCTATGTATATTTCCATGGAGAAAAATTAAGATGAAAATGAACTATTATAGCTCGTATGTCAAAACTAAACTCGTGATGTGCGTCGAAAATTTGTCTATCACTACTGTACTCAGATTCTTTTCGTCAAGAAAAATCGGTTGAAATTCTCGAAACTTTTTTCAAAACAAACTACTTTTTGGTTCTCATTTCGTTCTGGCGTGCAGGCACTTGAATTTGCTCCACCCTGGCTTACCGCACGAAGAACGCAGGCACTCATGTAGTTGCACGCTTGTGCAATACAAACTTCTTCTCCGAGAGCTCTCCTACACCATGTTGTCCGCTGAATTCCCCGCGTCAGATGGTATGGAGTAGAAAAACTACGCACTTGCTGTCTCAGTGTTTGGCGTGCAAACGTTCCATTACAGTTCATGCTCGTGGTTCTTTTGTCGTGCGATTGTCATGCCATGCATGCCTTCCTGCAATAAAAGCTTCAGTACAGAGAAGCGCATCGCTTCTAATAAAGTAATCCCAGCATGCCAAACACTAATTTCCAAGTGCAAGAGGACTACTTTTCGATCCGTACTAGAATTCGTCTGCGTGGAAAACACGTGCTCGATCGGGATAATGGCAATGGCTTGGGCCGGAATATCAATCGCCGGTACTACATTCTGCGTGACAACTTCGGATTATGGATAGAAAAAAGCGCTGAGAGAATTCTTTTTCACACAGCCATTATTTCATGCATTGACACAGTGCGGTTAATATTAAACCCGCTATCGCTGGGCCGAGTGTACTTTACTCTTTCGAAATGCAAAACAAAACTTCCACTTAATGATGAACTCTCCAACGCTATTTTCTCCCTTTCATACGTCCACCCCGTGCTGCAACACCGTTTCCCCTTCGGACACCGGCCCCTCGGACTGTGTTTGTTCATCCGGATCAATCGTGTCTTCGTGCATTAAATCGATCGCCGCATGGTCGCCACTTTGCACGGCCGTGGTCGTTATCAAATGTAAAAGTCTTTGGGTCTGGAAGAGTGCGCGATTTGTCATGCAGCTTTTCCATGACCCATGAGGTCTGGAATGCAGGACCTAGCATGACAGATTCTGCGCGATCTTTCTCATGCCTATCCTGCATAGGAAACTCCCTCCCGACTTGGTCAAAACTGGACGACATTTGGTAATCATGCAACACAGATCTTTGCATGCTTCAGATTTAGCATGACAAGTTGCATTCTTCCAGACTCAGACATTTTTACATTTGATAGTCGTACCGCTCCCGACCTGCTGGTCCATGCTGCCGACGCCCGCTTCCGAGTGGCCACTGTTGGCCCCCGCCAAGGTCATCGCACTGTCCGTGCTGTTGAACATGACGTGTTCCGAAGGTCCGTCCTCCACCGCGCCATTTTCGTCCCACCACTGATCATAGTTGTGGTCGTCCTTGCCGTAGTTCCCATCCGTCCACTCCTGCTCCTGATCGTCAAACCCGCTCATGCGCTCCTCGTTTTCCCAATTATTTTCCTCGTCATTCAGGTCCGCCCGCGCCGCCGAATTCCGGGGTCTTCTCGCACCCGTTCCACCAGTGCTGCCATCATTCAAATTCCCCGGTTTCCCCATCCCCTTTTTATTCCCTTTGTTCATTTTCCCCATCTTCCCCATCACGCCCCCGCCCGTGTCGCCGGTCTGCACCAAGCCGAGAGCCCGCGCATTCTCTAGCGCTTTTTCCTTCGCGGCCGCGGCTTTTGCCAAGGCCGCCGCCTTGGCTGCGGCTTTCGCCTCCGCTTTTGGGCCCTTGTTCGTCCCGAGAACTTCCGATGTCTGGTCGTAATTCACCAGCGTGTTGTTAATCGTGTCACAGAACATCACCGGCTCCTCTAATCCGAGCAACACCAAAGGGTCCGAAAGATTCTTCACGGTGATCTCCACTCTGCTGCAAACCTCCTCTGGATTTGGGAAGCACAAAGGGGTGGAACCCGCGACTACCGACCCGTGGACCACTTTGGCAGAAACGATCGAGCGGGATAAGAGTAGCAACTCGTTTGTGTACCGCTTGTTCGCCATAATGTCGGCCGCGGTCTCCGCTGTTTCGGCTGTCAAACCGTAAATCACCACGATCCCGTATTTCGGACACGCAATCAACTTCGCGTGCTGGTACTGGTTTTGGCCCTCGTACCGTTTCCGGCAAAAGCAACAGCACATCCAGGAGAAAAGGAACAGAGGTGGGATTAAGCTCCACCAGAACACCTTCCAGAAAAACTCCGCGTAGAAATAATTGTCCACTTGAGCGTCGTCGAACGAGTACAGCGTGGCGTTTTTTTGGCGGACGACGTCCCGTAAGACGTCTTCCTTCAGCATGAACTCTTTCCGCTGTGATTTTCGATTATCCTCGTTCGCTCCCACCATGGATTTCCGGGACACGTTGTTCCGGCAGCTTTGCAGCTTCATCCCGCGGGACGACATGGCTTCGGGCGCGTGGATCAGCATGGCAGACAGCAGAGCCTCCTCATCCTCGGAGGCAGAGGAAACGTGGTCCGACGTGGTTCTTGGTACTGGCAGCGGTGCGTCGGAATGTGATTTGTGGGTCGCCCGTTTCCCCCGTTTCCTCGTCCTCGATGCGGAAAGAGCGGAAGGACTGTCGTCGGCGGTGCTTTTCGAAGCCTTGGACGGCGACCGGCTGTACTCGAAGGCTTCGGAAGAAAAAGCATCGTCGTGGCCGTAGTTCTCCGTCGTCCTCCTATTGCTGTTGTAAGCCGATCCGTACCCGTCGTCGCGTTTCATGTGTGCTCGCCCGCTGGTAAATTTCTCCTTCGCTTCCAGCACCGCGGTCACGGTACGCATGTATCCCATGTAGAAACGTCCCCACATCATAATCAAGATGGCGAGCCGGCTAGACAAGGCCACAAGTTTTGGCTGTCTTGCATGACAAATCTGGGCTCGTAGGGTAGTGCTGTTCGAGCTAGCTCAGCAGCATCACGGATCTAGTATGTTATGCTGAATGGAGCATGACAAATTGCAAAACACGAAGAGAAAATGCTTCTCATGGGGCTCCGCATGAGAAAATTTTTCAGCATGCAGATTTGCATTACAACCACGGGGTGGGGACGTTTTTGAATACGATAGCATGGGCCCGAAATACTTCGAAGGGTCCGGTGCGTCGTCGGTCTTCCGCGACCCGGGATTGATGTTCGCCGAATCCCCCGCGCGACCACTCTGCGGCTTTGCGTAAGAAAACGACCCGCTATTTGAAGAACTCCGTCCGGGGACACTGACTCCGTCCGCATTGCCCCGTTGCAATTCTTTCGCGGCCTGGTTGTAGTCGGCTTGTTGTGGTGGCCCCGCGCGGCCCGCTTGGTGAGCCACCTCATTCCTTCGGTTGGTCATACCCTGAAGATCTCCGCTCTCGTCGCGCATCTTCTGCCGCTTCTGGTCATTAGGACTCCCGTCCTTTCTCGCGTGCTTCGGTAAAAGTTGCTCCGTCTCGCTCGTTTCGGGGCTGGAGCCGTAGAGGTAGTTGTTCTTCTGAATAGACTTCTTAGAACGTCTATTTACCTTGTCCATCACATTTGGGGTCTTATTCAATTCAGCCGCCTTCCGCTGGAGTAATTCCGACGGCTGCTGCTGCTGTTGTTGTTGTGGTCCTCCCGGGCTGTAGTTGTGGATTTCCATCGGCTGTTTCCAAAAGTTGTCTGCTTCCTCCCCCGGAGGTCCTCGCCTATTTTGATTTTCCCTCCTCCCACTCGGCGAGGACGCGGCGGCGGCATTTCTCGGTGCAGTGGCAGCTCTTTGGAAATTCTCAATCGGTCTGGCGCGCAAATTCGTATTCTTATTGCCGTATTTATTTCCGTATTCCAAACTGAGCACGGTCGCCGGCTTTGACCGGTCGGGGCCAAAGCGGGATAAGTCCTGGTTGTCCAAATACGAAGTGGCCGCGACTTCCCGCCCCAGCGCATCGTAGTGCTTGTTCGGATCTTGCGATGGGAGTGGTCGCGCGGCAGGGCCGGTCACTAAACTAACCCCGGCCTGGAGTTGTGGTCTTCCGGTAGTTTTTTCGGGATGCTGCGCGAGGGAGGGCGGGGCTTGCTTATTTTTTCCCGCTCGGCTTCGCTGGTCGTAGAGATTAGGTAACATTTTTGAGAATGGCAGTCGGTCGTTATTCTTCACAAGTAGCGTAATTTAAAAAAGTTGAAGAGATGTTGAGTCATGCTGTTTTCCTTGTTGCACCCAAAGTGCTAAAACTTCTCCTTCATAAAGTTTCGACGAGAGCCGAAAGCAAGGAGTAGTATGTTTCTTCATCACAAACAAATTTTGGAGACATCACGAGAAGGCACGAATCACAAGGCAATTTTGGAGGAAATAAATCTTGAGTCGAGGCACGAATACTTGCATTTGCCATGCGCCCCAGCAGCGAAGTGCTGTCTGTACAAGAATTTACCGACGAGCGCAGGCTCTACGCTTTTCAAGGCGTCTGCAAAAAATTTCTTTTCGTCGCCCGCGATAGACCCTGCGAGTGCTGTATAGGACTTGGCAGCCGTGGGGTTCAAGTGCTGCGCAGGACTTCTTAGCACACCTATTACGTCCTTCTCTATGCGCAGGACGTGAAGTGGTGCGCACCGGTTAGTTTTTAGCACAAAGTGCTACTGGCGCGCACGAGTTAACACTAAGTGGTGCGCACGACTTAGCGTGAAGTCGTGGTGCGCACTACTTAACACAAAGTGGCGCGCACGACAAAAAATTGCGCACGACTTAACACAAAGTGGCGCGCACAAGTTATGTTGCGCACGACTTTACACTAAGTGGCGCGCACGACTTAACAAAAAATTGAGCACGACTTAACACAAAGTGGTGCGCACGACATAAGAAAAAACAATGCGCAGGACTTAACACCAAGTGCTAGTGCGCCCACGTTAAGGCAGAGCGCATGGCGCGGGGCAACAGCGATGGGCCGCTGAAACGCAGCTACAAGTATTTTTGCTTCGACTCAAGAAGCAAGAATGTTGGTAAATTAAACAGTAACGAAAAACTAACACAGAGGGGTCGCTAATTATTGAAAAATGTAAATCGCACACACGAGTTTGATTCTCTTTCATTTGTGTGCGCAACGACCTGCTTAAGGTTTGAGGGAAAGTCAAATCTGTGCTGATGCTCAGAAAGCCACATCGTGCCCAAAGCGTAGAACGAAACAAGTTTGCACCGAAGACATGAAGAGTGTTGCACAACCGACGCGAAACTATCATCAGAAAAACTTCAGACCGAGATGGAATATTTTCGGACTTGCGCTACCGATAAAAAGAAGGTAATAGGAGACCCTCTCAGGCGGCATGGCGCGAGACTTGCTGCAACCGACATGGACCCGCAAGGGTACATACAACGTGAGTAAGTACACCGATGCGACGAGCGACCGAGCAAGAATTATTTCGATCTAGGACATCACTACTAACGCTTTTCCTTTATCAGCTCGAAGCGAGAGTGCGCGATCGAAAAATACCGAAACGCATTACATAAAACGCGCCTACCGACACTCTCACCAACCGCAAATCGACAGGCTTTGCGAGTGGCTGCGGGAGAATTTGAATCCGAGCCGAAAAGAAGTAGGGCGGAACTTCTAGCACGGTAGTTGGGCACTTGTGATAGGCGAGACGTCGAGCCCATATATAGGGCCTCGCGTCTATGGAGGCAATTTCGATGGTTTTCGTTCGTGTTGGAAAAAGCGACCAGGCATGGCATCGGGATCAGGAGCCTTCACAGCCGACCCTAGCTCGGCATCGCCCCTCCCCCGGCGGGGAAAGCGCGACGCCCGCCCCGCACGGCGCTCCGACCGCAGCGCGTTTTCGGTGCCCCCTGGCCTCCTTTCATCGGTCGCGCCGCCGGGTGCGCGCTTGGACAGCCCGCGCCGGGCGAACCGAAGACCCGGGAAAAGAAAGGGGACGGGGGGGGGGGGGGGTGTGCGGCAACGAAGACGGACGCGCCAGCCGCAGCATTGCACTGACAGCACATGCGATTTGTTTGCAGGGATGACAATAGACAACACAAAGAGCGCACATCATGGCCCTTCTTAGTAATTTGAAATCGATCTCGGAAGGTCGCAAGCATATCCTTGTCTGTTCCCATATCTAGAAAAATTTTCTAAAATTTGAAAAATCAAATTTGACGCCGAACGCAACCTAACACATGCTACCTGGTATGTGCGATCATCAACGACTCAAAATAAGTGGACGCATATACATTCTATGTCATTTGGCATCGTATTTTGACGCGTTTAGACCACGCTCCTGATTTTCACAATTTAAAAAATTTCAAGAATTTCTGAGAATGGCATTGAAATAGGCAGAGTCTGGCTCTACAGATCAAAACACATTACAAAAATGCTTTAACAGTCTCAACGTTTGCACTGTTTGGCTGGATTTTTCTACATATATAACATAAAATACAGGATCGGGATTTTCCAGAATTTTTAAAATTTCTTGAAAGGCTATAAAAAGAGGCCTGCTTCCTGTTTGTGCGTGAATGGATGTCGTATATTGGCGACAATTTCACTCATTATGCTTTGACTTAGTTCTATTCCATTCGTTAAAGCCAATTGAGCCGAAGGCAAAAATTTTTCAAAATTTGTGCATTTGAAAAAAAAGTCCACAATTGCTTATAATAACAAAGGAAATTAGATAAATCGTGTCCCAAGTGAAGCTTTACAGGGAGACTTTTGTATTTTTTGCCTTGTTTTACTTATTTATCAAGATATATCAAACCGGTGGAAATTTTCAAAAAAAATCAAAACTTGCCCAAATTTCCCAAGTGGGGTAATTCTAGGGTATCTAAATCAAGAAAATGAGAAAAATTACTTAGAGTCATGCGATATTCCCTATTTTAGCTTAGCAACATCCCTTTATAACTTAGAGGCGCAGCAAATCCCTTTTTCTTGGATTTTGAAAATTTTCCAAAAAAATACGTATGGTCACACATGTGTGATAAAAAAGACAAAAAAAACTAACAACGTGGGTGCTATTTAAGTCCGTGGCTTCCAAAGAATTGTGATCCACCTGGCACAGGATGGCCGCCCTCCAAATCTTCTAGAATTACCAAGAAAAAGCTTCTCCACAATCACAGTAGCCCCCACCTGATGTGTGCAGGGCAGAAAGTGCAAATGCGGTTGCAGGGTGCTCTGTTTTATTGCTTTCCGCATCGGATTGCGACCGTCATAAGACGCGCCGCGCGCCCGATGGCCGACCGGATTTTCCGAAACTGAGCCCCTACTCATTGCGGCAGTTTTGGCCTGCTTTGCGCGGTGGAAAGAGGCCGCAATAGCATGCGGTGCCACGGACGAGCCTGCGCACACTGCTGCCGCCGCGCGGGCGGGGCCATTGGTCCGTTACGGAGGGGGGCAATCCAGGATAAGCGCGCCGGCTCTGCGGCGCAGCCTGCTCCCCCTCCCTACCCTACCCTGTGGCGCCGCCGCGCCTCTCCGCCCCCGATTTGCGTGCGCGCTTTTTCTTGCTTTGGCGGTCGGGGCGCCACCGTCGGATCAGCGGCGTCGCATGGTGCGCTGCTGTTTTGCAAGGTCCGATGCACGCATCCCAGCGGCAACACTCGTCATTTGAATCTGTTCTAAGAGCGAAGAGGCAAGTCTGCGCCAAAGACATACCTGAGCGACTTTTGTTTACAGTGGCCCGCAGCTCGGCTTGCGTCGTGTTTTTTTTTCCTCGAAAGTGATGATGAATTCAAACCGTGAAAACCCAAACCAGTCTGTATGATTGAAACAAAAAACTCCACGATAGTTATCAAACGTGAGATGAAGATGCAAAGTAGCGAACGCGGTCTGAAATCTGATAAAATCGGGAAAGGAACTACATTCGTCAGTCTTCAAACCCAAACCTTAGTTGTTTTTTTCCATCCGCGGAAGGTTGTATTTCTGTCGGATAGAAATTCTTGTAACTAAAGACAACATTACGAATACGAAAAATTCGTATACTACCGCCGCGGTGCTAGTTTTTTCTTCTCGTGTGTCCGCTTGTGCAGTAGAACAAGGTTGTTGATCGTGTTTTGACGTCGGCAGAGCCTTCCGGATCATTTCTTGGTTTTCGCAGAACAGACACGCGGCACCGTCATTTTCGGGGAATAAAAGAGAAGATCACATAAGGAGAAATATTTCTCACCCGTCGACCATGGTAGAGCAGGTAGCTTCTTCGCCGAGCACTTCCAGCTCGGAAACCAGTGCGGAAATATCAACGGCAAATATGTCTGGGTCAGGAAGACTGCGAGGTTTGTGATGCTGGTCTGGCATGACTCTGGACTGTGTGTTGCGTGGCCACGACCAGCTCCCTCTGTCTGTTATGCAAGAACGCAGCTCCTCATGCGGAATACGCAATACAGCGCGACGAAAAAACCTGTCATGCTTGGCGGTGCATTACAGAGTGCTTAGTATTCACTGACTTGCATTACAACTTTCCAGACCCAGACATATTTGCAATGCATAAAAAACTCGGTTCGCGTATTCGATCGTCGTGTCCAATCTACCTCCGGTCAGCACATATCCTGTGCAAAAGTATCGTACTCGTATTGCGATCATGCATTACAAATCTTTTTCTTCAGGTAAATCCGCATTACAAATTTTATTTCATGCTTAGGAAATTTGTAATGCATGACGTGGCCTAGGTACGCACATACGACTCGGCGCGCCAAATCGTATGTGGGGCGTTACAATTTTCGCGCTTTTTTCATCGAGAAAACCCGCCAAAAAGCAGCACCGAGCCCGGTGCGGTTTGTAACGTATGGCAGCACCGAGCCCGCCAAAGTATGTCTTTTTGCCCACCTACAAAATTCGTATGGTAGCGGCGCGCCTTCACAATACATTTTGGCGCACCGAGGCGGCGCGCAGAAACTTCGCTGGGAAGCGCCCGCCTTTGAAACATTATGCGCCTTCGCTGTGTACTTGCTTCTGTCATTCCTCGCGCCCGCATGATGTACGCCCGCGCGCGCCTTTGCCCATCGCATGCGCGACGCGCCGCGCAAGTCGGTGGCCCCAGACTAGTTTCGCACGCCTGTCCCTGGTGACGCGGGCGCCTTCGCCTGCTGCGTTTTTTACTTTGCCCTCGAACGCGGGCCAAGGTCCGGGCTTTGCTTTTCTACCCGCCAACAAGGCACGCGCGCGTGGTCTCGCGACTTAGCCGACGGGCCCCCCCCCCCCCCCCCCGTGTTCCGCCCGTCTGCTGCTTCGTTCGTGACTACAAGTTGGCGCACCGAGGCCGTCAGCCTCGGTGCACCGAGGCGGCAATTCCGAAAAACTTGCATTTTTGGCCTCGGTGCGCCATTTCGTATGTGCGCCCTGAAGAAACTTCTTCTAGCCTCGGCGCGCCAACTTGTAGTGGCGTACCGAGGCCACGACACTACCGAGGCGACGTCATGCATTTATACGAGTACGATACTTTTGCAGTTCATAGCACAAGGGCCGAGCTGAAAACATACTTCGGGGAAAAGTACAACTTTCGTTTTGCGTCTGTTTTATTTGTCATGCAGTTTTACGCATGCATGGAGATAAACTGTGATTGTGATGCGAGTTTGACAATTCAGAATTTTCCATCAAAAATGACCACTCCAGATGCGGTCCGGTGTACGGTGTGAACTTTGTTCCTGGCGTCAATCACGCAGTCGCAGTGGTTGAATTTGGGCGACAGGACTCGCTGAAGGCTGCTCTCCTCCTCGAGGGGAAACAGGCGTTGTTCAAGATGCAACCCATTGCGATCCGGGCGAGCAGCGAAATCCGGAAGGAGCTGCACCTGAAAAAAACCCAGTTATCCACCGTGGAAGAGGAGGAGGAGGAACAGGACACCGGCGGGAACACGGGGTGCAGCGCCGCCAGCGGGCAAAGTGACGAACTCGAAGGGGGCATGTCCTCCTCCAGATGCAACTTATGCATTGCAAAAGTATCGCACTCGTATAAATGCATTTGTCACATTACAGATTTCCTTCGCATGAAAAATAAAATTTGTAATGCTGCTTTACCTTAAGAAAAAGATTTGTATTGCATGATTGCAATACGAGTACGATGCTTTTGCACTGCATACAACTCAACGAGGTGCAATTCCGGGGACAACATTTCTTCGTCCGAGAACGAGCAGCCGGTGAACAATCATATGCACCATCATCCGCAGAACGCCGCCCATACGCCGCCACTGTACACACCGAGGGGGCCAGTGTATAACCATGCATCATCTAACGGAGGCGAAATGGTGGATCACCAACAGCAGCAGCAGCAAGTCGCTAACTACCAATCGAACAGTAGCACTACCGCGCCAAATGAATACTCGACTTTTCCGCAAGGCGGGGGTGGTGGCAACGGCCAGATGGTGGCGCAGCAAGCGCAGCAGAATGGAGGAACTCCGGTCTTGCAGCAGCAGCAACTGATTCTAACACCGGAACAACAGCAACATGCGGTAGCGCAGCAGCAACAACAGTTTCAACAAATTCCGCAGCACGCGGTAATCGCTGCACCCCCAGGGGTACATCAGCCAGGAGGATTACAACCGGGAATGATGGTGCAGCAGCACCAGCCCCCACCGTACGTAGCGGCTCCACCCGGGTACGCAACAAACTTTGCCGTGCCGCCGGGGACGATGGGAGGACACCAACCCGGGGCTGCGCCAACTGCAGGCCCGTACCATCATCCCTACGGGAATTTCCCGCCACATCAACAGCATCCGGGGTTGTTGCCGCACCACCCGGCGGCGCACATGGTCGGCGCGGCAATTTCCCCAACCACGGGACAGCAGCAGCTGCCACCACCCGGTGCACATCACGGCATGCCGGGTCATCCGCAGCACCCGATGGCAGTCGGAGGTGTTCCGCCACCCGGTGCTATGTTGCACCACCACCCGATGCAGGCTCCGCCGGGAATGATGGGTGCAGCGGTCCCACCGGGTGGTCACCTTCCGCACCAACAGCATCACCCCGGTAGTTTCATCCCAGGAGCCGCACCGCACCCGCATGCGCATCACCAAATGACTTTACCCGGGATTGTCCCGCCCCCAACCGGTCAACATCTCCCGGCGGGTGCAGCAGCTGCGCATTTTCCGGGTCCCCAGAACCCAAATCCAGCGGGGTTGCTACTTGATCCGAAAAAGGTCGCTTCCGCGGTGGAAAAAGCCGGGAAGTTAGTGGAGAAACAGGAAAAGAAGAAGAAAAAAGAGAAAAAGGCGAAAAAGGAGGATATGCTGGTGGGAAAGGCGAGTAAGTACCATTCCAGCAGCAGTGGTGCGCAGGCGACTGCAACGGCCGCCGGGGTGAAGAAATGAGTTGAGGGAGGGTTTTGAATTATGCAAAAATTTTTTCCGCAATTGCAAATTAAGTTGTAAATTCTGAGATGCCGATTCGAGTATTTTTTCAATATTTTCTGATCACATTTTTTATTAACTTTTTTAAACAGCATGGCGTGCTGAGTGTTTCAAAAAACGATTTCCGGTATGATAGATTCAAAATTGTATTGTCAAACTGTTGAATTGTCGAATTGCCGAAGCTAGAAAAGTTTCCTAGAAAATTTCCTAGACCAGTATTAGATCTATCACAAGCTGCATTTCAATCAGAGAGGCGAAAGCTTATTTACGCCACTATAATAATTTTAGCCGAGAGGTTAGGTCGGTTCCGGTTGCGAACAGACAGTGCAGCTCGTCGCCAGAGAGGACGAGGTTGTTGAGGCGTTTACTTTGACATATATGTCCTCTCTATTCTTTTGAACTATCCTGTTGTCGTGATTTTTTTCTTCTGCCTAGCAGCTAAAATGTTGTTCGATTTTTAGAAGAACTCTGTCGATTTTGGTCCCCCTTGCTTGCATCACAGCTACCTCCGTGCACTTTCAAAAAGCAAACTGCGAAACTGATTTTTTTGAATAGCCGAGCGGATTTTGATTTTCATGTTTTGGAAACGAAAATTTGTATACAGTGCAGCGAGCAAATGCAGCGAGCTCTTGCAGTAGATTCTCATATGATGTTCCGCTCCTAGTTATGAATAAAAGCAGGAGAGAATTATTCTTCTTCCGTTCGAAAAAGGCATCCAGTACTGCACAGAATAGAGCAGTGCAGCCGTTCTGATTCTGAAACGAGCGCTTTTCTGCACTGCCAAAGATCCCGATCACTACACTAGCGCTATGCATTTTCTTGTCGCGTTTATTCCGGGTGAAGACTCGCAAATTTATTTGAAGGAAAGAATTCCTGCTATCAAGAACTGCTCCACCGATCTCCGGTAATATACATACATAACCAGGGCGACTACTTTTCTAGTGACGACCGGCGGCACTCTTAGTATGTGTGTGAGCTGTGCTTTTAGAGTAAGTATACCTAAGAAGTCCTCCGCCTGGTGAACCAAGTGAACTGTAAGGAAATTATCACTACAAAAATCTTAAAAACAAAAAAATTTTTTGCGATCAGTTTCATCGCGCTGTTGATATTAAAGAATTGCCGCTTCTAGTGAAGTAGATTTGTAGTGCCCTAGTACTACGCTGCGCCCGACGTGTATCAACTTTTTTTGAAGCATCTTCACAAGCACCAATTCCGAAGGATGTTCTTGAGCCGCGCAGATGAAGTAACGATGGGGAATTTATTCATGAAGTTCTGCCCTGAGGAGCTGCCGCCGAACGGGTCAAGGGCTTCTCGCGTCGTGTGAAGGAGCTGTAACATCACTTGTGGAGAACAAGAACAAATAATTTCCGCTTGTTCATCCCGGCGCTCGACAGAAGAAGAAGATGGCTGGCGGTTCCTGGCTGGACGGGTATATCAAGCCAGAAGACAGCAAAAAGAAAAGCTCAGCAGCAGATCATGCTGATAGCACCAGCAGGACCGATGGTCACCAGCAGCATCAATGGGGTGCAGCATCTGCTGCGACGAGCAGCTCCACTACACAACAAGGGCCTGCCGGCGCGGGCCATGGTTCCTGCGGCCCAGATGAATCCTGGTATGCGGATAATTGGGCACCGTGGGTGTCCGGAGGTGCAGGGGGAGTGCAACAGCAGTTGCACCAAGATCATCAACACACTGCGGTAATTGCGGCGCAACATCACCAACAGGGTAATGATATGGCACACCAGCAAAATAAGTCCATCAGCACCGACGCCAACCAAAACAGCCCGGCTGTAGGGAAAACAGCTGCATCCGGTGGCAGCTCCAGCAGCAGCGGCGGTGCGACATCTAGCGGAGTACTAACAGCAGGAGGAAATAGTAACGCAGCGGCCCCCGGGGCCAGTAGCTATTACTCAGCTTTCAATTCCGCGGCGGGTGCTTCTGGGAGCGGCACTAATTCGAGTGGCAAGGCACAGAGTGGAGGTACTAGTTCCAGTGGAGCAGCTGGTGGAGGAAAAACTGCGCAGAGTTCGCCTTCACTGGCTAGTGCGCAGCAGCAGCAGCAGCAAATGCCGCCGCCTCCCCACCCGAATGCCATGCCGCCGTACCACGACCCCTACGGAGGTTCCTACGGACCTACGCAGCAACATCCAAACGCACCTCCGAAGCCGCACCCCGGAGGACACCAATATTATGGCATGCCGCCGCCGATCATGCCGCCACCGGGAGTCGCCTACCATCCCGGTTTACAGCAACACCCGCCGCCACACCCCTACTACGACCCGCACGCGGCGCAAATGTGGAATTATGGTCAAGCGGTCCAGCCTGGAATGCAGCCAGGCAACTATCACGATCCTTACGGGGCTTCGATGCAGCATCACGGGACGATGATGCAACCGAATCCGTATGGGATGGCTCCTCCGCACGGCGCACCATACCCCGGGCACCAAGGTGGGTCCATACCACCTCCCATGCAGGCTCCGTACCAGCACACAAACCTTGCTGCTATGGTGGATCCTTACTACTATGGGAATCCGAATGAGATTCCGATCGGGCAGCAGCAGCCGGGGACGGCAAGCACGGTGACTGGAACTACGGGACAACATCAAGGGAATCAGCCCGGAGGAGGTCAACATCAACAACAAACGCCACAGCAATCTCCGAGGGACCAAGTCGCCACAGAGTCTACAAACAGGGAGGGTAAGAAGCAAGCGAAAGAGAAACGGAACAAGCAGAGTAAACAGCGGTCAGGCAGTTCTTCTTCCTCCGCGGTGACCACAGGTGGATCTTCTGCGCAACGTTTCCCAGTACCGCATAGCCCTTCTGTCACTTTCGCCGCGAACGCACTAACTGCTGAAGCAAAGGACCAGATCGCGATCGCCGTGGGCGGGGAGCACAAAGCGGAACTGGCCAGTAGCGCGAACAAAAGCAGCGCTACTTCGAGCAGCAGCAGCAGCTTCTCGAACAACGACCCGAACTCATCCCGGTCCAATAGCAAGAGCAACGTGGTCAGAGGGCCTTTGTCTAATCGGGAGCTGCCCGAGGCTAGCGAAGAGGGTGGAATGGTGTTGCCAGGACGGTCGGTTGCTTCGTCTGCGATGCCGTCTCCGCAGGGCAGCGGTAGGAACGACCAAGCTCATCATCATCACCACCAACCAGGAGGGGCACATGCGAGCGCAGGCGTCGAGAATCCGGGTGGGGGTTGTACGGGTACATCACAAATCTCCGAATCTTGGATGAAGACCATGCGTGCGAAATTGGAGGAAAAGCGCGGGAAGCTGAACGAAACAAGAAACACAAATGCTCATCGGAGTGCGAGTCACAGCAGTAACCCGACTACCGGCGGAGGAGTAACTGGCCCTCCGGCCGTGATCTTGCAAGAGAATCCGCACAACCGGAACAATGCGCAGTTTCATCATCTTGCGGGTTCTGGTACAACGGGTCAAGATCCGCAACTGCACGAGTTGGAGGGGAAGCATCACGGGTCCAACCGGTCCTCTGGTTCCCGTTCGAGTTCTTCTTCCTCCAACAGTAGCAACGAATCTTCTTCCAACGAGAATTCGAACAGTTCCCACTCCGGCGAGAGCAGAAGCAAGCGGGATGTGGATCTCCGAGTGCATCAGCAGGGGATGAACCATCAGCAATACAACACTGCGCATCAATCGTATAATAATCCGATGCACCACCACCAGCAGCATCTTTTATCCAACTACCCAAACCAATTACCCGGGTACAATGTCCCCCCTCCGGAGCCCGCTTCCTCCGCGGATTCCACCCCGCGAGAATTATCGCAGCGCGATCTGCAACTCACACCAAGATCAGCGAATGGCGGGAAGCGGCCGGTTCCGGTGCTGCAGATCGGGGGTAGTGGGAATGGAGGACCGGAAAATGCGGTCTTAGCGACGAGTTCGAAATCGAGTAGTAGTAGCATGAACAACAACTACTTCTCTTCCAAAAACAACCCGAACGCGGATGGAGTATCGAATATCTCCAACCCACCACCCGGGCAGAAAAAGCGCGCGGTTTCGATTCCGGAGGCGGACCCGCCTTTGGAGTTGTTGCAAATGAATTCAGGTGGCGGTGGGAGTGGATCGGGGAACAATAGTAGCAGCAGTGCAGCAGGAGGGGCGCCCGGTGGAAACACAAGCTCCTCTTCCTCCTCCTCCGCGAATCAAGCCGGGGAGACCGTTGCTACGACCGCTGCTCCACCACCCGGATTGCAGAGCGCGAACTCCAAGCCCGCGAAGAAGAAACCGCAGATCACATTGAAAAATCAAGCACCGCCAGGGAGTAGTAGTAGCGCCAGTACGAACAAGTTACAAATCGGGCAATCGTCTGTCGTTTCAGGTGGGTTGGCTGCTAGTTTGAACAATGGCGGGAAGAATTTGACCTTGAACAACGCAAACACAGTACCTGCGAACAGCAGCACGACGTCAAATGCGACTCTGTTGAAGCAAAAACTCACCGCCGCGACGAATCTTCAGAGTAAGGGCTTGATGTCAACGAATCCGAACAACAAAATCATGCAGAGTACGACAAATCTCGACATCAACTTGAATCCACAAAGAACCACGCCAATCGGTGGGGGGATTATTGCTTCGCAAGGCTCTGGTGGTGTGACTAATCTTTCCCTGATGGCGAAGTTAGAGAAACAGCAGCAGTCGCAACAACAGCAGCAGTCGCAGCAGCTCTTGTACAACCAGCCGGATAGGATTATTCAGACAACCGCGAACGTGCCAGCCGTGCACAAAACCACGAAACCGTTGATGGAGAAAGTGGAAAAGTTCGATGCGAAATCGAAGTCAGAATCCAAGGCGATGGCGGCGGCAAAAGCCCAACAGGCGTTGCAGAATCAAAATCGAGAGATGACGACCGCGGAAAAGAAGCGCGAATTGCTGGAAAAATTGCGCGCGGCGAAAATGGCTGCGGGGGGCGGCGGAAATTCTTCTGCGGGGCCGCAGTCTAGCTTCGACAGTGCGAAAGGAGTGGATGGGGCAACTACAAGCAGCGCAATTACAACAAAGCCATCGACAGGTCTCGGACAGCAGCAGCTTCCTCAGATCATCGCTAGTACAACTGGGGGTGCAGCTGCTCTTGACGGGAGCGGCACGACGACCAAAATTATCAGCACCTCCAACACGCTGGTGAACACAACGACCGCGAATCCCAAAACCCCAACGTCTGCTGCGCAACACGCTACTTCCGGAGACAATTTTACCTGGAACAGCAATCGGAACAAGCGGGATGCTGGCAACAAGTGGCACGTGAGCGGACACCAACAACCTGGCGTTGTGCACACAGGAGCTACTACTGCTGCTAATCCCATTGCCGCCACCACCACCTCCAAGCCAATCAAAATTCCAAACGACAAGGAACTGAAAGTCACGTTAGCGGATATGCAAAACCTTATCGCGCGGATCCTCTGCCCGGACTTACTTGGTCGGTTCACCGAGCATTCTGATATTCAGTTTATGGAAATTCCGAACGTCCAGCGGATCCCGAGGGTGACGATTTGCTTGTTACCGAATTTAGGCGTGCATAACGTGCAAAGGAAAGTTTCGGATGAGAAGGTGAAGCCGGAGCAGGAATTGCTGCAAAAAATCGCCACGGTCGCCGGCAACAGCTCCGTCGCACAGAACTATTTCATGCCGTATCTTTCCGGTTTACTCCGCCGCCCCTGGAAGTGCCACATAGGGCTGAAAAGAGGGTTTTTTCCGGAGCGACATGATTTACTGCAAAACATGATGCTGGGGAAATTTAAGGTCGTGAAAGAGAACAAATTACGAATGGCGCAGTTGAACTACATTTCGCCGATCGCAAATACGGACGAGGAAATGTTTACGCAGCCAGTGCGGAGGGAGAAGTATATAGGGTTTCATTTGTTGCTTGTCTTCGCGCATGACAGTTTTTCAGTTGCACATGCAGTGGAATTTTGCATTCACCAGAGGGCAATATCATGTTCGCAAAAAACCTATCAGGGGCGCCACCAACAACGTCTACTACCCGTCAAACTATTTCCTCGCCACCCGGGACGAGCTTTCCATGGCCGGGTACCCCGTGCTCTGCCAACTGAACGTGTTCGGGTTGGAAAACCACTTGGAGCCCGGCTGGGTTTGCGCGAAGAAACAGGTATCAACTGTAAAAATGTCTGGGTCTGGAACAAAGCAACTTGTCATGCTAGAATCATGTAAAATCTGTGTTGCGTGATTGCCAAAAGCTGTCCACTTTTGATCTAATCGAGAGGTAGTTTCTCATGCAGGATAGGCATGATAGAACTCTCACAGAATCTGTCATGCTATGTCCTTCATACCGGACTTCATGGGCCAGGGAAAACCTGCATGACAAGTCTGGCACTCTTCCAGACCCAGACATTTTTGCAGTTGATAACAGGATGCAGCGACCGATTTCACGCCGAACATGCTGGATTTGCTGATTATCGATTGTGAAATGGTGAAGACGACGACGGAGGAGAATGCTTTAGCGAGAGTCTCCGCCGTCGATATGCACGGGCAGGTTTTGCTTGACTGTTACGTGAAGCCACCAGACCCGGTCACGGACTACAAAACGCAATATTCTGGGATCACGGTGTCCGATTTGATGGGAGTGACGAGGACGTTGGAAGAGGCGCAGAGATTGTATACTTGCTTTTAGTACTTGCGGTCGAGAATGTACTCTGGATTTCAGGGTTTTAGGATTTAGGGTAGTTTCTCTTCATGTATAGTTTGGTCTTGAAAAATCGCCTGGCATTGTTGCTTTTTTTTTCTCGCGAAGCTTCCTTTCTCATGCGGGAGCGCCGGGATAAGTAATATGTCGATAAAAGCTGCTCCTTCTGTCATGCAATATTGCCAATCATGAAACTTTATCAAAGGCTTCTCCGTTTCCTCAACCCGCGAACGGTTTTGTGCGGTCACAGTCTGGAGAACGACCTGAATGCGATGCGGCTGATTCATCCCTTCGTCATTGACACGGCCATTTTGTTTCCGCACCCGGAGTATGAATGGAAAATATGTCTGGGTCTGGAAGGTGGTAACTTGTCATGGTAAATCTGAAAGATACAAAAATCTGTGTTGCATGAGTGCCAAAAGCTGTCCACTTTCGACCAAGTTCGGAGGGAGTTTCTCATGCAGGATAAGCATGGCAGAGACCTCGCAGAGCCCGTCATGCTAGGTCCCGCATTCCAGACCCCATGGGTCATGGAAAACCTGCATGACAAGTTAACACTCTTCCAGACCCAGACATTTTTGCACTTGATACGGAACGGCTCCCGATGAAAATCGGGCTGTCGAAATTAGCGGAGCGGCACTTGAAGGTATTGAAGAATTTTGTTATTGCGCTATCTGGCATGACAGATTGACAAACACAAAACCTCCGTGGTGCCTTCGCGCGTCTGTTTTGTTTAGCCTGACAAGATGTCTGAAATACAAATTATATCAGCGCCGCATGGACCGAGATAAGGGCCACTCAAGTATCGAAGACGCGCTCTGCACCCTGCAGTTGATTCTGACGAAAATTCGCAATGGACTGCAGTACAACACAGAACATGGCGTGGAGCAGTTGAGGACACTGGGCGCTTTGCCAGGTATAAAATTGACAACATGATGCGACAACTCATGACAACATGCGATTTCTCACGCATGAGAAAACCAGCAATGCACTCGTTTTATTCACGCTTTTCGTGCCACATGACGATCTTATCGTGCGCTGCAATTAAGTATTCATCTTGCAAACTAAATGAACTCTTCAGGTATCACCACCGAAATCTACTCTGAGCAGGAGGCTCTACCGGTCAAAGCAGAGTGGAGCGGGAATTTTGGTGAGCAAATGCTGCTGAACGTGGACAATATCGTTATGCAAGACTGGCGTGAGAAAAACCCGGTAGTTGAAGCTGATCCATATGATGTAGTATCGGAAGAGGAAGAAGACCACGCTTCTACTGTGGTTCTTCACGACTCCAGTGGTGATGTCGTCGTGTCAGGAACTACACCAGCTGACAATACTACAAACCACTGCATCGAGGACTTGAACGAATTGGAGAACGAGGAGCAATTACTGCAAGCGATTGACAATGGAGATTTGGAGATGGTGGAGATCGATGCGACCGACTCAGAGGTGGATGATATGCAAAAAATAAAGTGTTACATTTATTGCACATTGTGTTCTTGCAAAGCATGCAAGACAAACAACCTCTGTCATGATGCGCAAGATGCTAGAGAGCCTTGTTTCATGTGTGTTTTGCCTTATGATCTATGCATTGCAAGTTTCCTCTGTCATGCGCGGCAAGTTTGTGACGCTGAATTCACTACAAATGCGTAAAAATTGTAGCACTTTTTTCTTGCGGATAGGCGACGTCGACTTCGCTGAAAGTGTCGAAATACCGCAGCCAGAAAACGAACCAGGGTACACGGAGGAGGAGAAGCTTCTGTACCGAAAAATCTGCAAATTGGAGGAGATGATCGAAACAGCCGAAGGGGAGGAGGGCAGCGACGAGGATGATGAGAGTTCTGATAGAAGCGACAATGAATACGATTCCGATTATCACGCTGCAGAGGATAACAAGAACCCTGAATGTAGTACCGCCGGTGTTCCCGCCGTCGAAGAGGACTCCGGTTCGGAGGAAATTATCGAAATCGAGGTTTCCGAAGACGATCCGAGGTTACCGGAGAACCAACCTCCGGTGCAACAACAGCAAAAGGAAAAGCAGCAGAAAAATGTTCATCGTAGAAAAAAGCAGGCTAAAAAGAACCCGAAATCTTCTTCCGCTAGTGAGGTGATTGATTCGGAGATGTACCGGTCTGAATCCTATCAAATGTAAAAATGTCTGGGTCTGGAAACTTGTGATGCTGGGTGGCGTCTCATGATGACGCTACAAATGCTGGCTCAGCATGACAAATTTGTGAGCTCCTAGGTGTTGCCTATTCTGCATTTCAAACTGTGCTTCTGCATCACAGAAAAACGGAGCTCTTGGGTAACGTGCATGACAGATTTAAGAGTCATGCCAGACAAGCATGACAAACATGAATTCTTCCAGACCCAGACATTTTTACTGTTGATAAATCCGAGCCGGAGGATCACGAGGAGGTGCAGGCGAAAAGACGGCGGATTGACCAGGCGATGAAGGATTACAAGGAAATAACCGAGAATAACCAAGCGGTGGAAGAGATTCCTCTGATCAACGATTTGATGTCCAACAGTGCAGAAGAGGAATACGATGCTCCAGAGTTGAAGATTTTGTCGGAACAAAATGCAGCTGCGGCCTCTTCCGACCACCACGACGAGCAAAATGCAGCAGTCGTTTTGTTGGAAGACGACATCGAGCTGCGGCCCTACAATTCGGATGACGAACCTGCCTCGGTCCGGAAAGCCCGGGCGGAGAAGAAGAGGCGGTTGAGGGAAGAAGCAAGGAAAAAGAACGCTGCTCCGGCCAATGTTGGTATTGCGGCGCAGGAACAAACTGCGGCTGCCTCCTCTGCGAAAGGAGCGGCAGAGCAAGCACCTCCGAGAAATAAACCTGCACTGCAATCAGAAAAGAGGGGAAGCAACAAGCGCAGGTCTTCTTCGTCAGGAGGTGGTGGGAAGGTCACAACGGATCAGATTCCTGTCGTGCCAGTACCGCCTCCTACTGCTGCAGCTCCAGAACTACAACCTGATGTTGCTTCTTCTGCGAAAGAACAGCAAGAGATGAACCTCGACGTCAATGCACTGCCCGAAGAAGAAGAAGAGGAAGAGCACACCCTGATCCAGCAACTGAGATCCGACGGCTATGATATTGACGAGATCCTTTCCCCCGAAGCCGTGACCGAACTCCGGGAAAAGCTGAAATTTATGCCGCCTGATTCCGAGGACGCGTTGCAAATTTTGGAGAAAACCGTTGCCGAAGCCGAAAAAATCGCGAAAAAACGGCAGGCGGAGAAACTGAAAAGGAAAGAACAGCGGAAGGTGGTAGAGCAGCAGATAAAAGTGCAAGCTGAATCGGCTCTTGGTGGTGATTTTAGCATTGCTGATTCTGATGTTATTCCGCAAATCAATGTGATCCCTCCACCAGCAGACACGAGCCTGCTGGTGCCCGAGTCGAGTTTAAACGCGAGTGAAGACGATATCGAGGAAGATGTTCATCTTCTCGAGGGTTTTGACGAGGAAGAGCCGAAAGCTCCGTCTATCTCCTCCGTCGGCGATATCGATGAAGACGATGAAGTAGATGCTGAATCCGGAATCTCGCCCAGAACGGCTACGGGGACGAGAAGAAGAGGCCGCACGACTGGAGGCGGTCAAACTCAAAACATTGTCTCCGAAGTCGAGTCCATCCAGCTCTCCCCGCGCGACATGGGGATCATGACGGATTTGGAGTCACAGCAGGGAGTCAACACAGGTCTTTTGTCGGAGCCGGAACCGCTCGTGTTACCCATTCCCGGCATCGCTTCCGATCCAAACTACGACAGCCAAGCGTTGCTCCAGAAGTCACAGGAACAGGCGAAGATGCTATCAAATGCAAATATGTCTGGGTCTGGAGAAGCCCAAGTTTGTCATGCACATTTTGCATGATGCGTGATATCTGTTATGTATGCTCTAGCATCACAGATTCTATTCGGAGGTCTTCTTAATGCGTATCCCACATGAGTGATTCCCCCTCCGCGTAGCAAAAACTGAATTCCTGATCCTGATCATGCAATAAAAATTTGTTATAGAATCCAAAGGCAGCATCACAAGTTGCATCCTTCCAGACATCCAGGGATATTTGCAATGCATAGATGCTGGGGGATGCGGATCTGATTGAGCAAATCACGCCGAAGAACTTTGTTCAGCGCGTATCCTGAGTAAAAACGTACCCACACCAGAGTTGTCATGCAAATCTGCATGCTGAAAATGTTTCTCATGCGGAGCCCCATGAGAAGCATTTTCCAATCGTGTTTTGCAATTTGTCATGCTCCAATCAGCATGGTATGCTAGATCTGTGATGCTGCGGAGCTAGCTCAAACAGCACTACACTACGAATCCAAATTTGTCATGCAAAACAGCCAAAACTTGTGGATTTGTCTAGCCGATTTCCCAACTTGACTATTGTGTGGGTACGTTTTTACTCAGGATAGCGAGAGGAGCAGGTAGAGCAGCAGCACCAGGTCCTCGGGGAGAAGAGTGTTCTCGAGAAGATTAAAGCATCGGAGGACGTCGAAGTCTTATCGAACGACGATATTGACGACCAAGACGCGGTGATGTCGCAGAAAAATCCGGTTTTATCCGACGAAGACATGCTACCGCCGATCACCCCCGCGGACGACGATGACGATGTTGTACCACTGCCGGCTGTTTCTGGTACTGCAGCAGCAGCAAAGCCAGGTGAGAAGACCGCGACAAGCACCGTGCCTGTGCAGGATCAACACGCGAAGGGTGGTACTTCTGTGCTTGCTGGGAAGCGGTCGTCTCCTGATCTTCGGGGAAAAATTGTCGCAGGAAAGGCAGAACAGACCTCGGACGCTGCTGCAAGTACTGCAGAGAATCCTATCGCCACAACGTCGTCGTCGAAAATAGTAAACAAGACCCGGTACAAAGTCCGCTACGTGAATTCCGAGGACGAAATCGACTTCCCACAGGCCGAAGACGAGGACAGCCGCCCGGTTCCCGAGAACTTTGGTGAAATGCTCGGGTTCCCTTTCGAGGGGGATAAAAAATCCACCTTCACCTACCCAGCAACTACTGACCAGCTTCTCGTAGAATTAGCGGGGAAAAAACAACTAGAGAAGGAGAAGCAGTTGAAAGAGCTCCCCCCCTCGCCGGCAAAACTACTGAAGCAGAACCAGCGCTCCTTACGGGTGTTCAACTTTACCGATATGGAAAAGTTCCACCCTTTGAACAAGGAAAACGCACAGGTAGCGCGGGCCGAGGAGAACCAGGCATTGCTGGATTTGGACAGAACATTGAAGAAATTAGTCCAATCGAAGGAAACCGCGGTGCCGAATGAATTTTTCGTCTTCATTATCCTATGTAAAAACGTCCCCACCTCCTCATAGTCAAGATGGGGAATCGGCTAGACAAATTCACAAGTTTTGGCTGTTTTGCATGACAGATTTGGGCTTGTAGAGTCGTGCTGTTTGAGGTAGTGCAGCAGCATCACAGATCTAGCACATCATGCTGATTAGAGCATGACAAATCCCAAAGCGCGGCTAAGAAATGCTTCTCATGGGACTCCGCATGAGAAACATTTGCAGCATGCAGGTTTGCATTACAGCTATGGCGTGGGGACGTTTTGAAATACGATATTCATCTCTTCCGGCAAAGCGTCCATCTACAACAAAACGGTCAAGTCTCTCGGGAAAAAACTGGCCGCGTTGAAAAGCAGCGATACAGCCACGATATGCATTGCAAATATGTCTGGGTCTGGAAGATTTGGAAAGTTTGTCATGCAAATTATACAGGGCTCCCGGTGCCTCTCATGCATGCTCTAGTGTCACAAGCTCTTCGGGTGGCAACAGTCTGAGTGTCTTTTGCCTCTCTTGCAATACAGATTTTCGTGTGATCGACACCTAGCATCACAAATCCCATTCTTTCCAGTCGCAGACATACTTGCAGTTGATATGCGAATAGTAGTTCCAACGGTAAAAATCGTGCGGGTGGTCCTTTGGACGCACAGACGATAAAATTGATCGACACCATCACGAAAACGCGGAGCTATTGTGATAATTCTGGGTTCGTGGCGTTCCACTGGAAGACCGTCGATGAGGAGTTTTTGAAGACGCATTTGACAAACCGGCGGTTGTCTTTGTCCAGCTTGAACAAGCAGCCACAGGTTGGTGTCACCGGATCTGCAGGAATAAACGCCGCGGGTGGAGGTCATCTAGTTGCAGCGTCCGGAGGACATCAAAATGCTGGGAACAACTCCTCCGGGTTGCAGCTCTTGAGCGGTTTGCAGTCCGCAGCGATGCTGGGGCAACATGGTGGGAATGTGGCGTTAAACAACACGGGGAACAGGACATTGCAATAGGAATTAGAAACCGTTAGAATAAACAGGGCGGGGGGAACAAAGTCGTTGGTGTATGCGATTATTATCGCATATAAGTAGATTTTTTCAATGTTTTCGATAAGCGGCCTGACTATGTAGAGCACGACAGGCGCGACGTTACTTTCTTCTGCGAAAAAATCAAAGTCCTGACAAGTATGGCGACGAAATAAGATAACTATGCGACATCACAGGAACAGGTACAGTTTGCGTATAGTCTACAAGAAAACACTCATCAAAAACGTGGACGACAAAATATGTCGGCGATATTTATTGCATGGGATTCTACTGACAAGAGACAAGTATATGGCTATGTTGTATCGAGTTGTTGTATATGTTCAGCACCAGACAGTCTTTTTTTACAAAATCTTCGAGCTAGGCTCCTTGCCCGACGTGAATCACAGTGGGCGACGAGAGCTTTTTTTTTCATCATGATGACAGACTTCGTTTTTTTGAGAAATAGAAACGCAGTTCAGGCTAGTCTATTGTCGATAAATAAAAATACCACTATTGGCGAAGAACAGAAAATTGTAAAAAAACCAAAAAAATGATTTTTCACTTTTTTCCGCTTTTTTTACATAATGAACACAACATATCGCTAGTATCACGACAAACGACAACAAAAGCCCCTCTTAGCGACCTCTTTCAACAAGAACTTTTCCCCTACAAGCCTGAGCTGCGTGTCAAATGCATGATAAATGCCCAAGTGAATAATCGCCACATGAACAGCTTTCATGAAATTCAGGACTCTGATTTGATGCAAAAGCAACATCGTGTGGTGAGAATAAACACCAAAGAAAAGAAATGAAAAGAAAAAAAGAAAAATGAAACGCGACAGAAACGACCCTCGAGAGGCAAAGTGAGAGGGTGGCACTTAGTTTGATGCTTCGGTCGTGGGCTTTCAAAAGAACTGCGTAGTCTTTTGAAAGCCTTCTGGCTCGTCGTCAAACCTGTTACAACCCTTGCTTTGCCCCTCAAGGGTGGATCAGAAGCGACACTAGAGTGGAAAAAAACAGAAGAAAAGAAAAAGGCAGCGGCAAAACGACGAAAAAACTTTGCCCGTCAGAAGTAATACAAGCGACAACTGAACTATTGTGTCCGCGTGCCACGAAAAAAAGGCGTTGCGCTCTCTGCGATGCTGCTTCTTGCCTGAGTTAATTATAGTGGCGCTTGCAGCTGCGGCAGTGTTCGCTGCCTGCGTGGAAATTTCTTCATGGTCCTTGTCGTGCCTCGCAACCTTTTTGTCGGCTCTTGAAGCAGTAGTTCTGGAACTCGTGCGTTCTTTTTGTCGTACGTTTTGTCTTTGTTGTCGTACGTTCGCTCGTTCTCATCGTCCAATGAATTTGCGAACAAGAAGTTCTCCACAATATCGCGAAATGTCAAATCGTACATCTTTTTCTTCTTGTAACCCAAGACGTCGTCGTCCTCTCGTGCAGCGTTGTGCTACCCTCCTCACTAAGTTCAACCTTCATCTAGTCGCTGACAAAGAATCTTCACAGCTGAGAAATAATCTTCGTTTTACTTATGTCTGTGAATTCTCTTCTTTCTCACTCAAGCAGTTGTGTACTTACACCTCGGCACGACGGCGCCCCATTTACCAATTTACATTTTTGAACTTGATTATCTAACTACCCATTGACACAGACAATAAGATCACAGTTCGCGGCATCAAACTAACTACACCTTCACTATGACCTCCTCTTCCGAAGAATCTTCCGTGCCAAACCTGTCAGATTGGCACTCGACCTTCGTCCCCGTGTCTGATAAGGAACTTGAGCTACCACAGGAGACCAAACTGTTACAAGAGCGGAAAGACGCGGACGACGCGTTTCTGAAGAAACAGAAAGACGAGGATTGGCAGGAAAGCGAGCGGAAATTTGACAAGATGCAAAGTTGTGTTAGCAGCGGCTTGTCCCCAAGAAGTTCTCCGTTTGCTTTCGCCCCGCCGAAGAGGTCGATCAGCTTGCCAGAGAAGGTTTTGTCAGAGGAATGGGAAGACGAGGAGGAAGAGGAAGATGATGAGGAGGAGCTGAGCGCCGGGGGCGAGGATATTTACAACGATGAGGTGGACGTTCAGCAAGACCTGCGGAACGAAAAATCTTCTGGTACAACAACATCCGAGGGTCAAAATCTCCAAGCCGCAAAGGTTGCTCGTCCACCCTCCTTCCGAATTTCCCAAACGGCTTGTGACGACGACGATATCAGTTTTACGCCGGCAGCGAGTACTAGTACTTCCGCTCAGAAGGGCGCGCGAAACACACGAAAGATGAACGTGTTCGCCGCACAGCCGTTCACCCCGCTGCAAGGGCAAAACCAGCGATACGCCTTGAGCCAACGGAAGATCACGACGGAGTCGAGGCTGTTGCAGCACACCATGGCCTCGCAACAGCTCGGGACGGCCGAAGTAGAGTTTGCGACCGCGCGAGGACAAAGGGCTTTGATGCAGAAGCCAAAGAAGAAAAAGCCGCACAAATCATTCGAGATGTTTCTGCGCAAAGCCGAGGAGAAGCTCCTAGTCGACAGCCCGGCGGATCTGGATTTTATGTTGCAAAATGAGATGGAGCAGACGTATAGCAACCGTGGTAACTGTTCGGAGGATTCCTTTTACACGACCATGCAGAACGATAAGCATCAAGGGCCTTTGTTTGCCGGATTAGAGGATCCGGGTCTTTATGAAGATTTCGATCTAGAGAACCCGGACGATGATCTGTACTTTCTCGGCGAGAACATAACCGTCCTGGACGGCGAGTCTTTAGACGGCGATGTGAATTTCCATTTTTACGAGAACGATCCGGCGACGTCGGACGTGAACAGCGCCGCGGCAGGGAACGATCAACTCGGGGCTGTTGCAGAGACTAGTGCATCAAGTCCTGCAGGCGACCAGAACATCAACGACCAAGTTCTTCAAAACGACCAATCTGTGCCTTCAAAGCAAGGTCCTCGCAACACGGCTGCCACGGGCGAGAAGATTGTCAAGATGAACACGGCTTCCACCGACGACATGTCGATTTTTCCGCTTGATAGTTCCTCCCTCGGAATCCTCACAAAGAGAAAGTGGAACGCGATGGGGACGCCGACGGAGAAGAAGAAAGTCTTGACGAAATCGCAAGCGCGGGTCGGGAAATCAATCGAACGGACGAAGCAGTCGATATGCATTGCAAATATGTCTGGGGCTGGAAAAATGCAACGTCTGTCATGCATATTTTGCATGACCAATGATGTCTGTGATGCATGCTCTAGCATCACAGATTTTGTAAATGCTTTTTGATGTTGCCAACACAGCATGAGTAGTATCACCCTCTTCGCGTAGCGAGAACTGGACCCCTTTTGCAGTTCACGCATTGCAGATTTCATGTAGAATGCAAAGACAGCATCACAAGTTTCAATCTTCCAGACCCAGACATATTTGCATTTGATAGTCGAGGGGTCGGGATTACATCGATCCGGAATTTGATTTATCCTCCCTGAAAAAACCCCCGAAGAAAACCAAGCCGATTCAGAATCAAAATTTGCAGAAACGAAACGCGGTCCAGGAGATCCGGTTCAAGGAAATGGAGAAGCAGCAACACGCGTTGGCGGACAAGGATCTGCAGCAAATGTTAGACGCCCGGACAAACGCCACAGATTCGTTTTTACATTGCTTAAGCCGACATTTGCGCGAATACACGAAACGAAAGCCGAACATGGTCAACGCGTGGCGGAAGTATCTCGACCAGTCTATCGTAAGGACCAATCCTTCCTCCCCATATTGACAGGGTAAGTCTTCGCAAATTTGTGTTGCTGATTTGTTACCACAAATCGTGCCTGTCTTGCAAGGAGGCAAGTCCACAGTCTCCACCGCATTACGCAGGCGGTTTGTCATGCTGTTGGACCTGCAGAAAGGACGTTTTTCGTGGTAAGTGCCTAGGCCAAAACCTGCCTGCTCAGGCTTGGTCTGGGCCTGCAGTCCTCTGCAGCAAGACGCATCTGATTCGTCTACGTAAATCCAGCATCAGAGACGTCGTTTTGATATGGGGAGGGGGGATTATTGCCTTTGATACAGTCCATGCGGGGGGTCATCGCCCGGTCGAAGTTTATGGAACTGTGCCAGGAGATATGACAGTGCACAACTCTCCCTCCCCCTCATTTGTCACGCAAAATATCCAATTCACCCTTTGCCTCTTGGCACTGTTTGCATGACAAGTTCTGGTAGCCCAAATAGCACTATACTCCAGTGCAAATTTGTTATGCAAAACCAGCATCCTTGCTGATGCCTGTATTGTCGTTCATGCTATACAAATGAGGGGGAGGAAGAATTGTGCACTGTCATAGGAGATCCAGGCGCCGGCTTCGGCGCAACTCTGGCCCAGCATGGCCGAGAACAACCGGATGACGTTGTTGCATTTCTGCCCGTATGGATTGCAAATATGTCTGGGTCTGGAAGGTTTGTCATGCATATTTTGGATGACCCATGGCGCCTGTAATGCATGACCTAGCATCTGAGATTTTCAGAGGGCTTCCTCATGCCTATTTCGCATGAGACATGCCATTCCAGTGTATCACGAACTGGACTTCTCTTGCTGGTCATGCAATGCAGGTCTTTTTAGCATCCAAAAACAGCATCACAAATTCCATCCTTCCAGACCCAGCCATATTTGCATTTGATAGCCCGAACGAGGGGGCGATGCTATTCCGGTTGCGGCACTTTTTGGTCAGGTGTTTTGGGTCTCTGTACAACTGGTTCAAATCCTGTTTACTCATCATCCCGGGCAACAACGTCGTTTCGAACGAGTTGTTGGATAGCTTATCCCCATTGCGCATGTTCTCAAAAGAGTACAATGCGTCGGGGAAAACGTCCGAAGAGGAGGCTGTTTTGGAAAAATTACAAATGCTGGAAGATATCGACGAAGACATTTTATTCGACTCCACCATCGCGGGCGAGGGGGATAAGGATAACCAGCCAAATCTGATTCCCGAGGGTACGATCGGGTCCCACGTGGCCCAGAACGACGCGAATTCGTACACACTGTCCGCGTATCAACGGCAAATATGTCTGGGTCTGGAAACTTGTGATGCTGGGTGGCGTCTCATGATGAGGCCACAAGTGCTGGCTCAGCATGACAAGTTTCTGAGCTTCTAGGTGATGCCTATTCTGCATGACAAACTGCGTTTCTGCATGACAGAAGAACCAAAATGGAGCCCCGGCTCTTGGGTACTAACGTGCATGACAGATTGAAGAGTCATGCCAGACAAGCATGACAAACATGCATTCTTCCAGACCCAGACATTTTTGCACTTGATACCGCGACGAGCGATAAGAAAACTTTACTATCCCAAACGAGGAGGAAGCAGGCTTTTAAATTCCGCCAAATGCTCGAATCCCCGAAGATGACGCAAATGGAGTTTGAAGCCTGCTTGGAAGTGTTAGCCTACCCGGAAGATGCGAAGAAGGCCTGGGAGTTGTTGGTTTACCTAGACCAGGCGGAGTTAAGAGTGGAGGATCTCGTTTGGCTGGAGTTGAACTGGACGAGATGGGACGAATCGAAAATTATGGATAGTTCCCACGGGCAGGGTAGCGGCATGCAATTTAACAGCGGGAAGGAGGGGCAGAAAACGTTCACGGAGTCGGTGACCAGTACTTTGACTTCGTTGGACGTGATCGACAGCGGGAAGCGGTCGTTGGAGAAGAGAAGGTTGCTGGACAATTTGACAACGCGGAATCAGTGGACCCGTTTGAAGGTATCAAATGTAAAAATGTCTGGGTCTGGAAGGATGCAAGGTTTGTCATGCTTGTCTGGCATGACAAAAAAGCTTGTGATGCGTGTCCAAGAAGAGACCCCTTTGCCTGTCGTGCAAAAACGCAGTTTCTCATGCGAGAAACGCAACACAAAGCAGCGCAGATATTTCTCATGCTTGGCTGTGCATGACAGAGCATTCACTATTCCCAACCGAGCATTACAAGTTTCCAGACCCGGACATTTTTGCAATTTATAGAAGGCGGTGTGTTTCAACTTGAACGACGGGCCGGAAACCATGGGGCTGATGCGACCGCAGGTCGAGGAGCAGTTGCATTCGAGGGTATAATCGATACTGATAAATGAAGAATGTTTTGAAATTGAAATTGAAATTTTCCAGTTTTCGATATGACGCATAGCAAATCCAAATTTCAATCATCTCGGTGATTTTGTCGTGCGAGTTGTTTCACTTTTGAGTCACTTTCTGTGATGCAAAAACGGCTTGAATCTTCATGCAGCGATCTTTCAAAACAGCTCAACCTTTACCTGGAGCAGTACGGTGGCGAGCATACCAAGCAGTGCCTCTACGCGCCGGAGAGGTTTTGGGGCCACCAGCTCGGGCGCGCGAAGGATGGGGGGCGGGCGAATCTGACCCTGCAGGGCTACAACGCATCTTCTAATGCGGGGAGCAACCAGAAAAACGATAATAACAACAATTTTGACATCACCCACGACCCCCAGACGGGCAATGTCGTCATCCAGCAAAACGCGAACCCGCATTTTCTGAACAAATTATCCCCGTTTTTGAAGTTCCAAAAGCTCCACGCTTCTGTCGCGAACTTTAAAACGGTATTAGTAGCGAGCTCCGTCCAGTCCACCCACGTGCCATCTGATACGAACCACTTTTCCGCGATGAAAAACCAGGCGTTGGAAGTACGGGCGCTGCAGATCGACGCTTCATATCAAATGTAAAAATGTCTGGGTCTGGAAGAATGCGCGATTTGTCATGCAGCTTTTCCATGACCCACGAGGTCTGGAATGCAGCACCTAGCATGACAAATTCTGTGCGATCTCTCTCATGCCTATCCTGCATGACAAACTCCCTGCCGACTTGTGCAAAACTGGACGACCTTTGGTAATCCTGCAACACAGATTTTTGTATGCTTGAGATTCAGCATGACAAGTTGCATTCTTCCAGACCCAGACATTTTTACAATCCATACTTCAGAAAAGAAACGGGAAGAATTGAAGCAGAGGTTGATTTTCAGCTTCCGATCTTCTTTAACGAAGTTCCATTTGACCATTTATGGTTTGAAAATTTGGCGGTTCACGATGGACCCGATGGACCGGGGCTGTATTGGGTTGACCACGATCATGGCGTTCTGTCGGGAAATGTCTTGGACGGGGTCGAGGGTGTTGTTGTGGGAGAAACTGTATGAATTGCAAAAATGTCTGTGCCTGGAAGATTGCAACTTGTCATGGTAAATCTGAAGCATGCAAAAATCTGTGTTGCATGAGTGCCAAAAGCTGTCCACTTTTGACCAAGTTGGAACAGAGTTTCTCATGCAGAATAGGCATGGCAGAGACCTCGCAGAGTCTGTCATGCTAAGTCGCGAATTCCAGACCTCATGGGCCATGGAAAATCTGCATGACAAGTCTACGCTCTTCCAGACCCAGACACTTTTGCACTTGATAAGCTGTCCAACAAGCAACCGGCGAGCGGTTTCATCGTCGCGGAGGATTTGTGGCCGAACCAGGTGAAGAGATTGCGGGTTTTGCGGAAAGAGCTGTTCAAACTGATGGAAACTTCCATCCCCTCCATCGCGGTCGAACACAGTAACCAGTACAACATCAAAGTCCGGTCTTCTTCGAACAGCAGAAACGGTACTAGTCGTTATCAGCAGCAGCAAGACGACTTCGCGAAGAACCAGTGCTATGCATTGCAAGAGCATCGTACTCGTATAAATGCATTACAAATTAGCCGAGCATTAGAAATTGAATTTGTATTGCTGATTTACCTTGAGAAAGAGATTTGTAATGCATAAATGCAATTACTACGAGTGCGATACTTTTGCACAGGATAAATGCCATGAAAACGCGATGGAGATCTACAACTTGATGGACCCAAACCAGGCGGGCTACATCACCCGCGCGAGTTTTTTGGCGTTTGGGAGGAAGTATCTGCCGTTTTTGGAGAACGAGTTGATCAAGTTCATGCGGCAAATTACCGTCGGGGAACACCAGGTCCGGTTGTTTTTCGAGGACGTGTACTACTTACTGTACGGGAAATGGAATATCACACGGGAAGAAGTGATGGACGTGAATTTTAACGTGCCGATTGGGATGCCAGACCCGCGGCCGTGGGAGGACCGGTACTGGCGAAAGGATGTGATCGAACACGAAGCGAAATTGAAGCAAATGTCCGGCGATAAGCCGATCGAATCCGTGCAGGAGTTGGTTCACGATCCGAAAATCAGGACCACAACCCAATGGACGAAGGTCAACGTGGCGAGACTGAAACAACTGGCCTTCGCGGTGAGAAAGGATGAGGAGGAGCGGGAATTCTTCAAAAAGCACCCCAACGGCAAGTTGCCAGGGCAACAAAACGATGAAAATGAAGACGAAGACGGGAATACGACGAGTGGAAGACGGCCGTTTATCAAGGTCGACATTCGCCCGGAGCAAGATCCGGAGGGGTACGTCAGACGGTTCGCGGCGCTGAATTACGACCGAAAATCTTTATTCAACCGGGCGAACCAGTGCGGGTTCGCGCCGGGGAGATTGTCCGCGTTGGCGAAAAGAGCGGCGATGCGGGAACCTCTGTGGTCGTTGGGGGCCGGGCAGATGCGGAGAATGACGTGCAAGCACGTGTTGGAGCATTCGCTCGCCGCGGCGGCGCAAAAGAAGAACGATATGCATCGCAAATATGTCTGGGTCTGGAAGGTGGTAACTTGTGATGCTGTCTTTGGATTCCAAAAAAATCAGTATTGCATGACTAGCAAGAGGGGCCCGCTTTGTGTTACACAGGGAGGGCGTTTCTCATGCGGAATAAGCATCAGGAAGGGTTCTAAAAATCTGTGATGCTAGGGCGTGCATTACAGGCGTCATGGGTCATGCACGATATGCATGACAAGCACAAGCCTGCCACTCTTCCAGACATCCAGGGATATTTGCAGTTGATAAACGAGTACCAATTACGGTACATGGGGACTTTGGGGAAGTCGCAGTCGGCCGGGAATTTGGGAAGTGGGTCTCGCGAACAGCCTTCTGGACAGACGAATTCCACCAGTAAACTCTCCATCTCCAGTTCGAAACAGTCCCGACTCACCGACCGATCAATCGAACACGCCGTTATCCGCCAGCAGCCGCCGAAAACCAATTTCTCGCCGACCGAGCGCAAACTCGCGCGGCTCCAGTCCCTTGCGGGGAAGCAGTATCAAATGGAAGAATATCTGGGTCTGGAAGAATGCAACTTGTGATGCTGCATTAGGATTCCAAAAAAATCTGTATTGCATGAGTAAGAAAGGGAGTGCAATTTTTGCTACGTTGAGAAGGCATAATTTGTCATGCGGAATAGGCATCTGGAAGCCTTCAAAAAATCTGTATTGCTAGGGTATGCATCACAGACATCATGGCTCATGGAAAACGTGCATGACAAATCTCGCATTCCGCCAGACCCAGACATTTTTACATTTGATAAGCAGCTGCGGAAGCAGGCCCGGGAGGAGCAGGGCCGGCAGAAGCAGGCCGAACAGCTATCGAAAGGAAAAATCCCCCCTCCCCGTATCGAAAACGAAATTCGTGATGCTGTATTTGAGGTCACAAATCGATTTGTATTGCTAGAAGGCCAAGAGACGCAGTTGTGGCCTGAATTGCAGGCAATTTGTCATGCTGTTTCCAACTTTTAGTTGTTTTCTGTTATGTTGAAGACGCAAAGGTTTATTCCCACGCCACCCAGCCCTACAGTCCGCATCTTTTCCCGTGTAGCATGACAAAGCTGATTTGTGACAACAAATCTGCATCACAGATTTCCGTTTTGATATGGGGAGGGGGGATTTTTCCTTTTGATAACAGCGGGCGCAGGAAAATCTCGACAACATGAGCTTTCACGCGAGTTTCCGGGGGTCGAAACTGGTGTTGGTGGATGACGGGCAGATGCAGGCGGCCATGAAGTCGATGGCTGGTCCCGCTGCTCTTGGGGAGAATGAGAACGCCGGAACGGCGGGTGTACTAGCCGGCGCGACAGCTGCTGGAAAGAGCATGAAGCTCCCAGCAGGAGGAGCCGCGCCAGGGGGCCTCGGTCAGAAGAGTATGATGAACAGCCCCAACATGATGATGGTATCTACCGCGGCAAACAACAATAAAACCACGGGTGCGATCGATTTCGACCAGCTGGCGAAGTCCGATTTCGTCACGGACAGCAACGGCTTTTCCGGAAACGAAAACGCCATCGTCATCGAACGGGCGAACGTGAAGTCCACAAAGCAGCAGCAGAAGTCGAAGCAGGCCAACAAGACGATTCTGATCCACAAGGTGCAACAGCAGGTGCTGGATAAAAAACGTTTTTTGGAATCGGCGAAGCGGGCGATTCTGGACCGCCAGAAATTCATGGAAAAACTCGCGAAATCTGTGCGGTTCTCCGGGGAATCTAGTGGTACGAAAACGCCAGGGAGTAAAGACAGTGCTGACAATGATCCACTATTAAAGGAGCACTACAAGGATCACGACTGGTTTGACGATCACTCGAGTTCCATGAAAAATTTCTACCCCGGCCAGAAACCCCCCTCGAATTTACTCCCCACCCCGGACTTGAAAACGGGCCACTTGGCGAACCTGCCGGAGACGCTGGGGCTGAAATCCGCGATGAAAAATAATAAGAAAGGGGGCGGACAACAGGAACAACAGGCCGTGAACAAACAAGGCAATAAGAAACTGAAGAAAGCCACCGCGGTGGTGACCTCCGCGAACACTTTTCAATCCTTGCAGGCGAAAACCTATCCTGTGCAAAAGCATCGTGCTCGTATTGCAATCATGCATTACAAATTTTTTTCTCAAGGTAAATCCGCACTACAAATTTTATTTCTCATGCTGAGGGAATTTGTCATGCATTTATACGAGTGCGATACTTATGCATTTCATAAAACCGTGCGGCCTGGGACGCTCAACCAAGACAGCAGTAGCAACGCGAGCGGGACTAACATGAATAATCTGTCAGCGGAGGTCCGAGCTATGGAACTCCTCGACGAGTATGAGAATTTCTCGGGGAAAACCATCGGAGATGCGGGGAATGGCAGCATGGAGACGATCTTGTATCCTGTGTAAAAACTTTCCCACCCCAGGGTTGTCATGGAAATCTGCATGCTGAAAATGTTTCTCCATGCGGAGCTGCACCATGAGAAGCATTTTCGATTCGTGTTTTGGAATTTGTCATGCTCCAATGAGCACGATATACTAGATCTGTGACGCTGCTGAGCTAGCTCAAACAGCACTACACTACGATTCCAAATTTGTCATGCAAAACAGCCGAGACTTGTGGTCTTGTCTAGCCGAGTCCCCATCTTCTTGACTATGGGGTGGGGACGTTTTTACATAGGATATCTTGTCCTCCAATATATCGGCGAATAAAACGTCGCAAAGAATAGGCGAGCAGACGAATGATGTTAACAACTCGGGGGAGGATTCGTCGGACCATTTTGGATTGTAGAGGGTTGATGATTTTTTGAAGTATCCTCGTTCGATGCAGGGAACTTTGTTCTGTCTGGTCGGGCAGTGTCGGCAGGACACTAGCCTTGTCAATCCACATCATACTGGTGGTTTGTGGCTATTTCCTCATCTTCTACATATAGTTTTTTAATCGTACTAAGCTACCCGTGCCATAATTGTTTTTTTGCTTTGTGTAACAAATTCAATTTTTTAGCTGTTTGCGTTTCATCTGTCAGTATCCCTGACAGAAGAAGCTGCCACAGCTCATTATGCGTGCAGGTTTCGACACTCTTTTGATAATCTTTTGATGAAAACCCCCCCACGTTTTCGTATCTATTGTGCAAAGTTCATTGTTTTGCCTTTGTCGGAAAATTCGCAAATGAGAGTGGCGTATCAAGTGGTGCTGTGGTGCTGAAAACTCCTACCGCGACGAGCAGCGGTTACCAGCTGTTCGAAAAAGATGAAGATCAAACAAAATTGCTACGCTGTTCTGCGGTGGAAGTGAGGTCTGTACTTGGGATCAGTCTTGCTGAAGATATTGGGAAAAGACTAGTAACTGCAAAGTGGCCAGATTTATTTCCCGATTCTTTTGAAGAGCGGAATGAAACGGATCATGATGATCATCTTTGAGATGGCGCTACATAATGTGATTTTTTTTGTCAAAGATGGTTCAAATTTGGCATGAACGCCTGCTGTCGTTACAAATTTTCAGTTGTTCAAGGGGGTGTTGTGAAACAGTCCTAGATCGACACGCGTTGAGCACATATTGAACGCCGCATTTTTTAGGTGTGCGTATTTTGAAGATCGTCCCGTATTTTTGTAGTTGGAGATTATATATAATTCCCTTGAAAGTAGTAGCCCACAACTTTTTCATCTAGGAAGTCATGAAAGCCCCGCACGACTCCATAGCCCCACCTTCACCTTTTTATGGCTAATCCACGGCTTTCATCTCACGACCATGAAAATGGAAAAGTGTCCTTAATATATCGAATAACCCCCCGTCCGCGCCGCCGTCCCCGTGGACTTCGGCCGTGAGAAAATAAATTGTCGGACTGTATTTTGAACATTATCCGAACATGTTTTTCGCGAATTCTCGGTTCCGCTTCCGGATCCTGGTCCGGTCCATCACGATCAGCTCTGGGCTCTATCTGGTCTGGTTTATCATCCAGGTCTATGCATTGCAAAAGCATCGTTTTTTACTAGTATAAATTGCATGACAAATTTGTTCAGAAACAAGAATGCAGTGTGTAATGCTGTTTTTGCTCAAGCCACAGATCTGTCATGCATAACTGCAATTACTACGAGTTTTCGATGTTTTTGCACAGGATAAGGTCTACGTCGGCGGCCAGGAGGCGGTCAAGGAAATCTCGTCCCGGTTGCAACTGGTCACCACACACTATCCTGTGTAAAAACGTACCCGCACCAGAGTCAGGATGAGGATTTTGCAACACAAACCTAGGAGTTTTGTGAGTCACGCATGACAAGTTGCACTATGCAGTGTAGTGCAGGTTAGCTAGTGCAGCCGCATCACAGATTGATCTGCTCATCCTGTTCACAGCATCCCTATGCCGCTCCGGCCCCTGCGGAGGCTTGCCTCTCCAGCTACGCCGGACAATGGCAATGTCGGCGCGGTTGTTTTAGCATCACAAATTCCAAAACACGACTGGAGATGGCTCTCATGGGGATGCGCGTTGCAAGTCGTCCTGTCTTTGCAAATCTGCATTACAACTCTGGTGTATGTTTTTCGCTGTCCGCCTGACCTACCCCCCCTGCGTGTCAAGCCATCTGCGGCCTGGGGCAGAGGGGGGGGCAAAGTGTGCTGCAATTCCTTTAGCATTACAACTCTGGTGTGGGTACGTTTTTACTCAGGATACACACTTGACGGAGTTCACGAACAAGCAGTACGTAGCTGTCCTCGCGTTCTATCAAATACAAATATGTCTGGGTCTGGAAACTTGTAATGCTAAAAGTGAATCATGATAGACGTACTGCAATACGCAGCTATGCATAACAAATTTTTTGGCTGCCATGTCTTACGTATTCCGCATGGCAAACTGCGTTTTTGCGTGACAGGTAAGAGAGCCTTTTCGTGCCTATGCAACACAGATTCTCGAGTCATGCCAGACAAGCATGACAAACTTGCATCCTTCCAGACCCAGACATTTTTGCATTTGATACTTTCACCGAGCTAGCCAAAGCGCTCTCGAAGCTCCTGCTCCCCTTCGTGTTCGATCTGGTCTTGGTCGGGACCAAGATCTGGACGGAATTGCTTCCCCGGGAGGTATATGAACTGCAAAAGTATCGTACTCGTATAAATGCATTACAAATTTCCTCAGCGTGAGAGATAAAATTTGCAATGCGGGTTGACCTTAAGAAAAGGACTTGTAATGCATGATTGCAATACGAGTACTTTTGCACAGGATAAGGTAAAATACGCCTCGATCATCGGCTCCGTGGTGCTCTACGCGCTGTACAGCTTCCGCTGGGCCTATGCAAGGAAAAAACTGTGCAAGTGTAAGTTTGTGTTGCGGATGTATGTAAAACAATCACTACTTGTCATGCTGGGTGTGCGTCACAAGCTCAGACCTTACGTGTTTTCAACACGTACTAAGTGCGCATGACAGATTTTTTCTGTCATGCAAAGCGAATTTGTGATGCTACTCATCCTACAAAGTTACACTTACTCACTTTTTTTCCTGGATAGGGCCCGGCACGTGGCGTTTCTGCCGACCGCCGTCGGGTTGTACGTGTTGTCTGAGCAGATGCAGCTCTATAACCCGCTCAGGTGTTACAATCTCAAGCGTTACAATAGAGTATGGAAATCTGTGATGCAAGACTACATGATCTAGCCAACTCTCATAGGATTGCGCATGACAAGTTCCGGAGCCTCAAACCCAAGTACAAACTGGCGAAATTTGTATTGCAGAAAGTGAAACGCTCTTCGAGTCTGTCATGCTCAGCATGCAAGACAAATTGTCACGTTTGAGATTGTAACACCTGAGCGGGTTATAAGCTCCAAGACGACTTTCTGATTCAGTATTTGATCCCCTGTCTTTCCGTCTACTACCCGGTGCTCGAGTCCTTTAGCAAAGTGAAAAAAGCCCCCACCCCAGATTCAAAACACGATTTGTGTTGCTGGATTTGTGTACACACATGAGTTTTGTATTGCAGCAAGAGCTTGTCTGTATATTCTAAGCCCATTTGGGTACGCACCTGGCTAGCAGCTGAGCACGAGAAACAAGTCTCACATAGGGTAGGCGAAAACGCATGACAGACTCGCTGCGCAATGCGCTATATGGATGCCTTTTGCCTCGTACGCAAGACAAAGCCGATTTTTGGTCACAAATCAGCATCACAAATTTCCTTTTCGATATGGGGAGGGGGGATCTTTCCTTACGATGTCCGTACGCGCCTTCACGAGCAAGAGGAATTCCCTCTGCGCGGCCTGGCTGCACTACTGGAGTCTGTGTCCCCTGACCGTGTTCGGAATCGCAACATGGCGCCAGCATCTCATCAAGCACCTGCAGCAAATAACAGTGGGGACAGCTGCCGAGAGGGCGTCGAGGAGCGGGTCAGCAGTCAGTCCTACCATTGGGTCCTCGTCGTCGTCGCAAACGCTGCTCCACCAGTCGCTGAAGCCGATAACGCTGATTCTAATCTACCTGGTCTTCTGGCAGGGGTCCGACTACGCGTTTTACCTCTTGCAGGACTTGCTGAAGAGGGTCAGCGGGCTACTGCTCCGGTTCGATCTCTTTAAGTGGATCAAATATGCATTGCAGAAGTAGATGATCGTACTAGTGGTTCTATTGCATTGCAAGTTTTTCTTTTTGATGAAAATGAAAGAGCAAATAATGACTCGGAACCTGGAAGAGAATTCGTAAGCTCTTGGAACGCAGCACATAGAAAAGACACTTGTGTTGAAAGATATCCTGTATTATTATGGCAATGATTTCTTCATCTGCGAGTACGATGTTTTATTTCCGCAGCATAGCAAACGAAAGGTCGCGCTAGTCGTGTCGAAGCTGTACGCTTTCGTCTCCAGTAGAACCGCCGTCCCGGCGGAAGAAAAAACGCTGCAGATGAAACTGGTAGAGAAGCTGGCCACGAGCAGTTCCTCGCTGGGCGAAAACAATATCAAAAGCAAAAATCTTTCCTCCCCATATCAAAACGGAGATTTGTGTAGCATGATTTGTGACCACGTATCACGTTGTCATGCTAGAAGGGAAGAGATGCGCACTGCAGTACTGGCTGGTGTCTGAAAGCCTTGCGCCTTCAGTATGACAGGAAGCAACTGGAAGCGGAAAACAGCATGACAGACTACCGGCAAGCGAGGCCGCAACTGCGTCTCTTGGCCTTCAGCAATACAACTCGATGTGTGTACTCCAGTACAGCATCACAAATTTCCTTTTCGATGTGGGGAGGTAGGGGGGTTTGTCCTCACGATAGTCAATCAGCAAAATTCATCGTCTTCCGCCAGCACCACGGGGAGCGACGGAGGAGCCCCTGTATCGAGTGCAAATATGTCTGGGTCTGGAAACTTGTGATGCAAACCAGGGAATACTGGGCGCACTGGCATACGTGGCCAAGCATGACACGTGTTTGAGCTGCTATGTGTAGCGTATTCTGCATAGCAGATTGCGCTTTTGCATCATAGACAAAGCGATCTTTTTACACCTACGCATGACAGAGTTCCGGGTCATGTCAGACAAGCATGACAAATCTGGCAATCTTCCAGACCCAGACATATTTGCAATGCATACCCTGGTGGCGCAAACAATTATTTTGCAGCAGCTACGGGAGGAACTACAAGCAGAGCAGAGGCAGACGAGCAGAAAGACAACAGATCACCGAGACGAGATGAGAACGGAATAAATCAAGCATCAGGAGGTGGAGCTCCTTCCCCCAGTAGCGCGTTTGCGAGTCTGAAAACGAGAATCTTCCTGAAACTCCTGTCCCTCGGCAGCAACACACTGTGGCTCACCGTGGTAATTGCGGGGGTGACCTTTTTGGTCATGTACCGGCTACTATGCATTGCAAATATGTCTGGGTCTGGAAAAATGCAACTTGCCATGCTACCTTTGGATTCTAGCTAAAATCTGTATTGCATGAACAGCAAAAGAGGTGCAATTTGTGCTACACGGAGAGGGCATTTCTCATGCGGTATGAGCATCAGAAAGCCCTCGCAGAATCTCTGATGCTAGGGCATGCACCACAGGCCTCGTGGGTCATGCAAAATCTGCATGACAAACTCCTGCATTCTTCCAGACCCAGACATTTTTGCAATTCATAGCTACTCTCGTTCGTCTCCAAGTCCATCGTGTGGGTGTGGTTTCTATGCAATAAAAGAAATTCTTGTTCCCCGTACAACTGCTACGCGACGTACAAAATGCATCTGAAATTTCGCCATGTCAGAGCAAATAGAAATACAAATACCACTTGTCATGCTGAGTAGGATTGAAGGCAGCTATTTGGCATGCAGAAAGTGCATTTGCTTTTTGTACAAAAACTCATTTGTACGTCGTGTGCGGAACAGAATTTCCTGTGGATAGTTTCTCTACGAGCTGTCCTCTACAGCGCAGCAGTCCTCGCACCACCGCGCGGATCCGAACGTGCGGAAGAAACTTGCGATGGCACTGCTGTTCCTCTCGGCGGATTACTTGTTTCGCCAGAAGTGGTTTTTGGTCCCCGCTTTCGTCATCGACCTGATTCGCATACCGCTCTTGGTTATCAAGTGCAAAAATGTCTGGGTCTGGAAGAATACATCAAACTTGTGATGCGCATTTCAGAACACAGAAAGATCTCTCATGCATAGGCAGCAAAAGTTGCCCACTTTCTGTCACCAAAATCAGGAATTTGTCATGCGGATTCGGCATTGCGAACGCTTCTCGAAACCTGTGATGCTAGAGCTTCCATGCCAGACCCTCTGTGTCATGCAAAAACAGCATGACTCTTCCAGATCCAGACCCACACATTTTTGCATTTCATATTGGTGGTTTTCAACCTGTTCGGGGAGCAAATTCTGGATTTTCTCTTAGCGAGCTGCATGAGCAGCGCTTTCATCCAGCGAAACTTGGTAATCGGCAACAGCCGGCCCACCAGTCCGGGCGACACCGATAGCAGAGAAGAGGAGGGGGGAGAAGAGGGCGGGGATGCTGAAACCGACGGTGTAGTAATATCGCCGACGTCTTCTACTTTACGGCGAAACAACTTCCGCGAAGAAGACGATGCAGACAGCACAACTTCCCCAGTCGCGGCCGAGCCAGCAGGTGTCCTCGACGCGGGAAAGGGCAACATCAACAGCCCCCAGCTGGACTCCCCGGTAGTAGTAGCTTCTGTGCCCAAGAAAGCAGACCAAGCGGCCGAAGGCACAGAGGGGATCGAGGGTGCGCTAGAGGAGCACCGAGAAGAAGAGACTTCTGTTATCCTGAGCAAAAACGCTCCCACACCAGAGTCAAGATGAGGACTTTGCAACACAAACCTAAGAGCCTTGGACGTTACGCATGACAAGTTGCATTCCATAGTGTAGTGCAGCTTAGCAAGTGCAGCCGCACCACAGGTCCATATGCTTATCCTGTTCACAGCATCACAAATTCCAAAACACGATTGGAAATGGCTACCATGGGTATGCGCATCACAAATGTCCTCGTCAATGCAAATCTGCATGACAACTCTGGGGTGGGGACGTTTTTCCTTATGATATCTGTCGCCGCGTCAGACCTGCGGCAACGAAGGTGAGGCAAGGGTAGCAGGTATGATATTAACTTCCAGCTGTGAAGGACGAGCAACATTTATTATAGGATTGCACGTTGAGGACCACGAAAGACGCAAAATTTTTGCACACTTAGGGCCGATAAACCTTTGTCGTAATGAAAAACTTTCCCACCCCCCCAGCTACGACGGCCCACGGCCCAGAGTTCCAAGAACTTGGTTTAAGAAGTCGAGTTTTAAGCAGTCAACTCACAGCGGCAGTGATGCTATAGTGTATCTCTCTGAAGATGACTCCATGAGGATAAAAAGAGTGCCAACCCCAGGGTGCTGCTGCGCTGATCCGCTGTTTTCAACCGTCGTTATTTGTTCCGCACCGCCCTCTTCGTTGAAGCTCTTGTAGAAATCCTGTTGATGTCTGTCGTTTTCACTTTCTCTTTTCCTTGTACACGATTCTTGCTCTTTTAGTCAGTAGGTCCCGGCGCAGAAGGTCGGTCGTAGCGTTGTAATTTCTAAGTGCTGGTTTTATTATTTTTCTTGCAGCAGCTACTACGCTTCGGTTTATCTTTATGTTCGGTTTCTCTGTGGTGTACCTGTAGTCTATCGAGTGATCCTCCTCGTGTAAAAAGGAGTGTACGTAAAAAATCGGGCTGCAACGGGTATATAGAAAACAAGTTCCAAAAAGTCTTGTTTATGCAAAGATTACGAACGACAAATCATGACCCAAGCAGACGACGTCGGGCCTCCTGATAATTCTAATCCCACCAGCGCTCCTGCTGTAGTTTGACGACTGGGAAAAGATAGCAGTGCTTCCGCTTGCCGACCTAGGTGCGTAGTGGTAGTGGACCGAAAGCTCAAGGAGTCATGCCGGCTGGTATCTTAAAGGCGGCGATGAAGGAGCAAAAACCAAAATCATCTTTCCCCCACTTGGTGTTTGTGTACGGGATATCAAATGCAAAAGTGTCTGGGTCTGGAAGAATGCATGTTTGTCATGCTTGTCTGGCATGACACTTAAATCTGTCATGCACGTTACCCAAGAGCTCCATTTTTCTGTGATGCAGGAACGCAGTTTGTCATGCAGAACAGGCAACACCTAGAAGCTCAGAAACTTGTCATGCTGAGCCAGCATTTGTGGCCTTATGATGAGACGCCACCCAGCATCACAAGTTTCCAGACCCAGACATTTTTACATTTGATACGGGACTTTGAAAAAAGATTTTTTCAACTACAACCGCTTTATATCAAATGTAAAAATGTCTGGGTCTGGAAGATTGCCAGGTTTGTCATGCACATTTTGCATGACTCCTGATGTCTGTGATGCATGCCCTAGAATCACAGATTTTGTGAGGGCTTCCCAATGCCTATACCGCATGACAAATGCTCTTTCCGTGTAGCAAAACTTGGACTCTCTTTGCTGCTCATGCAATACAGACTTTTTTGGAATCCAAAATCAGCATGACAAGTTGGATTCTTCCAGACCCAGACATTTTTACAGTTGATACTTTATGAAAGCGAAGGAAAACTTATCCGCTGGGAAAAGTAGAACGAAGTCCGTGCTGTCTACAGCTCACTCTGGTTTTCTGCATGCTGCTGGGTTGCTATTTGATGTACATGACGATGGACTAAAAACGTTTGTCCCCACGAGGGCGGGCAACATAGGGCCCTGGGCAAGGCTGCTGGCCCTGGGCAAGGCCCCGATGCTCTGCTAGGGCCCTGGGCAAGGCTGCTGGCCCGGCCTGCCCATCGCCGCAAAGAAGGGAAGGTTGTTAGCCCACGACAGAACGCATGCCGGCGCGCGCTCGCCCGCTGCTTGTCATGGCGGGGGCGGGGGCGCGGCGCCCTTGGCGCTTATTCGTGGCGGCCCTGGCTTTCTTCCGGGGCCTACGCCTCTTGCCCATGCTTTGGCTCCGGCCTTCGGCCTTCCGCTCGGTGGGGCGAAGATACGGCGGCCCCGCCCCCCTTGGTGCGCGCCCGGTTTGGCGCCCTGCGTGAGATCCTCGGCGGCCAGCGGCGCCGCGGCGTCCCAACTTTAACGGGCGCCACCCCTGCGATTGGCCACAGAGCCACCGAGCGTGTCTGTGTGCCCGCACCCACAAAGGGGGCGGCGCCAAGGCCCTCGCCACGGAGGCGGTGCGCCGAATCCCTGGGAAAGCGAAGACGCAGCCTGATGCGGCGCGGCATCGTCGGCGTCTTGGCAAGCTGCTCCCGCCCTCGATTTGCCCTCAGTGTGGTAGCGTGGCGGGGCGCGGGCATCTACAACGCCCAGGAGCGTGCTCCCAGTTGCATGCGGGGAGGCCGCGGCGCCTGGCTAACAGCGAAGGCCCCGCGGCGGGCCCGCGAAAAAGTGGGGCGCGGAGGAGCTGGGCGCGGCCGGTCACCAAGTGGACAGACGCAGGCCCTGCAGGAATTGGGCGCGATGTCTTCAAGTGTTGCCGGGCTGCTTGGATCCCCACTCGTGATGGGGAAAAAATTTCGCATCAAAATTTTCAGCATACTTGAGAAAAGCGCACCTGACTCCACCATAGGGTTGCTATTTGTACATGACGATGCACTAAAAACGTTTGTCCCCACGAGGGCGGGCAACATTTGTTTCTCTAGCAATAGAGTTTGAGCATGTTATCGAGGACCGCAACAACGGAAAATGGTGCTAATCGTCGAAGCTTGTCCTGCGACACGCTTGCAGAACACCAGAATAGCTGCGGCATTTTAGTATAGCAGTTCTGCTTCTGACACTTGGCAGGCTTTTGACTATAAGTAGCTGAGGACGTTCATTTTACGTCGGATAGAACCTTCACTGGACATTGGTCTCAAGCCACGCCGTGCTCTATGGGAGTGCACAACCCCCCCTGCCCCTCATTTGCCATGCAAAATACCAAATCCACGCGTTGCCTCTTGGCATTGTCTGCATGACAAGTTCAGGCAACCCAAACAGCACTACAATCCTTTATGCAAAACCTGCACTCTTGCAGATGTCAATGTTGCTATTGCTGTTCATGCCTTAGCCTTACAAATGAATGGGAGTGGGAGTTGTGCACTCTCATATGCTCGAGTCCGCGCGTATCCGTGCCTTTTTTGTCGACTGCTACTACACCCCGTATTTGGTGCTGGCACCGGAGCAGGACAAAAATAAGGTGCAGCCACCTGTGGATGCAGAAATATTAAGTGGAGGAGATTTATATGTAGTGAGGTCACCGAACGGTTCTAACCTGGCAGTTTTCTTGCCATGAAGTGCCAAAAACGACCGGCAGTTTTGAAGCCTGTAAAGCGTTTTTTTGCATGAAAAAGCTCGCAGCGTGCAAGCCTGTTTGGCTTTGCCTTCAACGAATCGCCTGCGGAAACTATCGGTCGCCGCTTGATAAAACGACGCAGGGGCGCCGGCAAAAGGGGCGCCCTTCTGAGGCGCCCACCGCCTTAGTTTCTGGCGATTTGGGGCGCCCAAAAGGGCGCCCGAAAAAAACGCGCCAAAAATCAGAACAGCGAAACCGCATGGCACGGCCGCGATTTCGGAGCATTTTGGGCGGCCGCGAAAGCGGCCGCCTTTTCGCCCGTTTCTAAGCGGGAGAAGCTTTGCAAAAAGCGCCGGCGCGAAAAATAAAAACGCAAAAAAGAAAAAGCGCGCCGGACGCGCGAAGCCAATCCGCATGCTATGGGCCCGAATTTTCTTTGGTTTTTGGGCGCCCCCCGTGGCGCCAGAATCGGGCCCATAGCGTCGGGGTTGGCTTTCTTAAGGGAATTCCGGAAATTTGCCAAAAATCTGTTATGTTTTTCAAGCGGCCGCCATACCGTGCGGCATAACCTTACCCACGGCGGCACGGAGGGCCCACAAAAAGCAGGCGCCCTTCCGGCCCGCGGCCAAGGTGGGGGCAAGAAAGCGCCACCGACCTCACTACCTCCGCCACGGCGGCTATATTTGGTTATGTTCTGAGAAACCAGGGCTAGCACAAGCAGAACTAGCACTAGGGGAAAAGCTACAACAGAGCAAGACCGCCCACGGAGAACTCTACCGCGTCGACGATGTGTATGGAAGTACCAGGTTTTTGGAAAGTGACAGAAAGAAAGTTGGTGCAATCAGTCATGGATAAAATTATCGACTGCACCAGTTTGAGTTTCACACACCATTTCTGAGGGTTGCGTGACAACTTGTGTCCATGGATTTATCAGACTCAACTTGTCATTCTGTAGTTCATCGCAATAAACGTAAACCTAGGTCAGCTCCTATTATGGAAACCCAATCCCCGCGAGGCCGCTAAGCAGGCCTACAACCGGCCTCACTTGACACCCATGACAAGACAGGCACGACTTTGTGGCCGGGATTTCATGCATGATACAAGTTTTGCTGCAAAACTTTTGCAGCCCTTTCGTTTATTCCCAACCTGAAGCTACTTCCATAATATCATGCTGGCGGAGCTCGACGAGCTTGAGGGCATTGCGCGTATCCCGCGTGAAAACGTACCCGTAATTGCAATTGCAATTTGTCATGCGTAGTTGTTTTCGGTACCATAGTGCTACTCTGTTTATGTTCAATGCATGACTCTCGAAAAGATTCACTTCTGGATCTGTCGTTCAGAAATCCTCTCTGGACCACTCTGGGGTATAGCAAGTAAGCATGTATTTCTAGGTACGTTTTCTTCAAGTGATAACGCGGGACCGGTACACAAGGTCGGTGGTGAGAGTCGAAGCGCAGACTTGCGACGTTTCCGAGGAAGCAAAAGCAATGCAACAGGAAATAAATCCTGTATCAGCAACGCCTGGACGAGGTCCAGGACGAGCGGGGGAGCAAGAAACTGCGTATTATTTCGATGCGTTCGTGTACCATCTGAGGGCCGAGAAGGTGCCGACCGAGATTCTAGAGGGTGCCTCATCTATGCCGTCGTCGATTCGCTTCATCGAAAATTATGCTTTAGTATGGGACGACCAGACAGTGACAGTAGTGCTGCACAGTTCGCCCCTGGTTGTTCCCCTCCTTTGAAGGACAAGTATCGCGTCATCAGTCGCAACAGAAACAATGGCGCATAAAATCACGGAGTTTCTATTGCAAAGGATGAATTGTAAGAGCTCACGCGCGGACCCGGACGAGAGCTTGTCATGCAGATCTGGCGTGGTATCGGTATGCGCCAGGCCCGGAAGAAGAGCTTGTCTTGCAGGGCGCCGCCAAAATATAGGAAGGAGGAAAGCATCCGGAATAATTGCAGGCTTGCATGACAAATTACGAATGGGACGCCCTGCCCTTAGCCTTCCAACATGACAAATTACGAATGCGGGGGAAAGAAGTACACGTAAGGATTTGCAGCAGGACTGCAGCACTTCCATACCTCGAAAAGCACCGGCAAAACTACGTGGTGAAAGTATTGTGAGCAAAAATTCCCCCTCCCATATCGAAGAGGCGTGCTTTTCAAAATTTGTGATGCTGATTTGTGGCCACAAATCGAGTCTGTCTTGCAAGAGAGCAAAGCCAGAGCTGCCGCCGCATTTCGCAGGCGATTTGTAATGCTGCTGCGCCAATAGGGCAGACGTCTGCCATGCTAAGTGACTACCTCAAGCCACCCCTTTCCGGGCTTTGTATCTGCCTGCAGTGCTCTACTGCAAGACAAAGCTGATTTGTGTACGCAAATACAGCGCCACAGACTTCCCTTTCGATATGGGGAGGGGGGATTTTTCATTTTGATAGAAAGAAGAGCGCGACATGTCCAGGTACCAACCAGACTGGGGTGGCTACGTCTAGTTGGTGATTTAAAGTGCTTGTGAAACAAGGTAGAATCTTCGAAGAAGAAGGTTTAGAAGTTGTGCTACATCTTCTGCTCTGTCGAAGGGGGTTTCCAATTCCATTGCGCGCTTGTCAGGCACGACGAGCACTGACAAATGATTGACAACATTGGAGAAAAACTACAACGAAAATCTGAGAGGGATTTTTTCCATTTAGCTACTAGGACCACTTGTTGTTCTGTCGCCAAGTGTGTTTTCCAAGAAGCTCTGCAATAATGAAGGAGTCGCTATTTACTCGTAGTGGTTTTGATGTGTAGATACCTCCCGCCCTTGCAGGGAAGGGGGGCTACCAGCAGGTAGTCAATTGTTCGGCTGCGAACTACATCATAGCGCAGACTTTGCTAACGAACAACCCGCCCTTGCAGGGAAGGGAAGCTATCGGATGCTAGTTAAGTATTTAGAACAAAAAGCCTCGCCCTTGTAGGGAGGGGCGCTTAGCACGAGCTCGCAGCTGGTGCAAAAGTCTCTTCGCATAGCCGACCACGTAGCGGAAGACATTGAGCGAGACGCAACCTGCTTCCCGCAGGGAAGCTAGACACACCGGCCCCGGCTTCCTGGGTGCGGGTCTCAACGCAGTTAGGTTGGCCAGCAGCTAGCTAGCTACCGCGCGCGCCCCTCAGCGCTCGCAAGCACCAGGCGCAACGGCGCAACCCTGAGGCGCGGGTGGCGCGTCAGAGCACGCGGCCACTGCAGCAATAGGGACGCACGCCAAGCGCAGGCGCTGACAGCACGAAGGGCCGCGACTGCCGAGAACCAACAAGAGGAAGCCGGGAGCTGCCCCAGTTCTTCGCCCGCTTGGCTGGACTGCTGTGTGTGGTGGCACCGTCCGGCTTAGCCGAGGGACCCGCAATCTTTAGTAGCTTGTCTTCTCTCTGTCTTCCGCATCGCGCGGGCCTTGTGAGGAATGCAAGCCCAGACGGGAGAGCATTGCGGCGCCCCTCCTCTTCTGTCTAAGAAGCTAGGCAGGCGAGGAGGGCGCAAAGCATCCGCGGAAGCGCAGGATGCCCCCCGGCCGCATCACCTACAGGCTAGTAGCTCGTGCCCGATGTGTGCCGGCACTTCGCGGCAAAATCGAGCAACACGGCGCCAGCAGCGAGAATCGCCTTGATGTGGCCGTCAGGAACAAGGAATAGAGATTGCCGGAGCGTTTAAGTACGCCCGCCCCCCTAGGGGTCGCATAGGCTCCTCCCGGCTCCAATGTTCACCTCTTGTGCTGTTCGCCGGGCCTAGCCAGATCCATCACGAACACAGAGGGTAGCTTCACACCCTTGCTCGTCCGTACATATCGTTTGGGTGGATCGCTTTCCCGGTGACACGATCAAAAATCGAGCGGCACGTACCCCAGACACAGGGCAAAGTGCGTCGTGTATGTATGTATGTGTAGATACCTACGACCGATCTACTATCTCCTGTGTAGATTACCGAGAACAAGCCTATCTCCTGTTTAGCCTCGTAGAAAAAAGTCTGAACTCTTTTTCTTCACAGCCCTACGGTTATCGTTCGTCGAGCTGGAAGTCGTTTCATCTTCGTCCTTTCTGTTCCGTCTCGTTCAAACAACATGTCGTCACGTGCGAAAAATCATAATTGCTTGCGAACATCAACATCGTCGTTCTTTTCTTCTAGTAGGCTGATGTACTACAACTCGTGTTGCTCGTACAATGAGAACAAGTAGAGCCGAAATTTCGTCCTGCAGCTCGTTGTTCTGTTGCAGCTGCATTTGAAATTCTGAATCTCTGAACAAACCAGGTCGTTGTTGTAGTTGTTCCCAGCTTCAACGCGTTGACCCTTGTTTTTTTGTTATTTCTCCTCTTGTCGAGACTCTTCCTAGAACTAGAAGCTTTTCTTTTTGACGCGGCCTTTTATTGCAAGAAGTCTTTGACAGTCTGTAGTTTTTTTGATTTCAGAACTTTGACCTCCAAAATTATGACGCGCTTCGCACTACGGGATACCAAGTATATTCTCCTCGCCGGCGCGCCGGCGTTGCATGCGGGCAGTATGAAAATAAAAAGTGCCTTTAAATTGTTGTGCCCCAGAACCGTGGCGAATTTTTTTGTGATGCGCAAAGGTACGTTCTATATCGGGTACTTATCAGCTTCGACGGCCCATACGTTGAACACCGAAAATTTAAATTTGTATAAACATTGCCTATGAAGATGCTGAAGTTACAATAAGACTGGTTGATATAATTCTGGAGCAAAATGTGTCGCGTTGTGGACCTGAACATGCACTGCAGAGGGCTCTAACTCTACAGGCTTGCGTGGAGTTACCACCGGGGACAGGATGGCTAGGAAAGCAGGGCGCCCTAGGTAGGGACGGGGCCCCAGGCTCCTTGTGTCAGGACACACAGTCCGACAGTCGGCGGCTTGATCGGTTTGCTCGGTCTCGGACGCTAATACTACTACGCGCTCACGGGCGCCACCGAGGGATGTGCGTTTTTTCCATTGCGATAGTCGACTTGGGTGTCGAGTTTTGTCACTAGGAGGAGTGCGTTTTCGGACGAGGCAGCTGTGACGCTGATGCAGGGGAGCACGCACGGGGGCGAGTTTTTATTTATTTGGCTATGGCAATAATGAGTTACACCTTTTGGACGAATCTAGATGAGGGCGCCGGACGAGCAACCTGTTTTTGCCGGATTGCCTTGAGGGGAAAAGGGCGGTCAGACACGCTGGGGGGCATAGGTTTCTTGTTCGTCTAGGGGGTACAGAGGTACCTCCTGGCCTCGCCGCTGTTCTGGGGGGTCTTGCCCTGGGGGCCAGGTGGTGGTGGAGTGGGCCGTTCCCCGCTACGGAAGCTGGGCCAGCCCCAATAGGCGCGGTCCAATGGGCCGCTTGGGTGTGTGCTCTGGATAATTCTCGGAAGGAACGCAACGAAATCTGGAGCAAAATGTGTCGCGTTGTGGACCTGAACATGCACTGCAATCTGAAAAATCTGGCATCTGAAATCTGAAAAAAGATACTGGCATTTTCGGCAAGGGCCGATGGTGTGATGGGTTTTGTAGCGAAAAATGCGTCACGTGCAGGCAGCTCCAGCCGCTTGGAAATTGAAAAAAAATGTTGAAAAAATGCGTTTTTTCGCAGCATGCAAGCGGCCGACAAAATTTACCGATTTTCTGCAGTCCCCGGAAGCCGCTTGGAAATTGAAAATGACAATTTTTGCTGAAAAAGCAAAAGCCGCTT